CCTCGGTCGAGAAACGTTTCTCAATTCTGACAATGGTGTCGCTGCTCTGACGAATACATCCCTGTGTGGCAGCGAGATCCTGCCAGTCATATCGGGGACATGCGGCTTCGCCCCTTTGGGCACCAATCTGATCACCTCCTGCTGTCCATTGCCCGATTTTGAAGACGCTAAGAATTTAGACAAATAATCAAGCAGGTCAGCCAGGGCCAATGATGTGTGTCGGTTGCTATACTCGGACAAAGCGGTTCGAATAAGGGCCCGATAGCGCGGAGGCTAGTTGTTGGAGCATAGCGCTAACTGGTCGGCGACAAAAATAGGGTAGGCGAGGGGGGCAATCCGAGAATTTGGCAGCTTGGTGATCATCAGTGTCCGCCTGTCAGGCTCTCAGGGCTCTTAACCTTGGCCAATGAGGATTGCCGTTCCTGATGCTGCTTGACAGACATCTCCAGGCTCGAGCTCTGAGACAGGCACCCCTGGCTCATCTTCACCCTCAACGCTCTTCTCTCCTTTAATTTGGAAGCCTTTGTCCTCTGCACGATTCTTGACTCTTGGCCCCAGACTTAGTCGAGACCAGGAAGCTCGGTTGCGTATATTGATGACGGATCTCGAACTCGCTAGTTGCGACGGAGGAATTTTACCTCATGAAGATCATTCGAATTGAGATTACTGCCGGCTCGGGGACCTTGCGGCAAGCGCGGCATATCCAGTCTGCTCTCCATGGCAACTCGACAAGTGGCTGGCAGGTTGCTGGGAGCAGTGCGGCTCGGAGAAGGCTTCTTCGTTCATGAGGATGACGGCGAGATTTAATAGAATCTACTGAGTACGCAAAACAGTACTTAGTGGTTAATAGCATCCATGTCAAGCAGTGCGCCAACGCTGATTTGTCTGCTTCAAACGACCCAAGTTTGCTCCAATTCATGGACGACGACGTAAGCCGGTATCGACCATTGATCAACTTGGCACGCTCGCGGTGAGATCATGATGATGCCTGTACTCCAGGCCCTTTGATTGTACAATAGCAACAGATGCAGTGCCAGGAGCATGGACTTGTGGACGGTTGTTTCTCCACACCACGTTGGGGTGTTGTCCAAGCACGACAAACATTTTTTGAAGCGGGTAACATCCACGAGGCTGCCACTTGACAAGACACGAGCGACACGAGGAAGAACGGTAAATAATAGACCGTGCACGTCATATGCCCTGCGGGGACTCTTAGTGTGACAATCATTGCTCAGGGGCAGCTGTCATGAAAACGGTGTTGGGGACCTCTGAAAGCCGATTGGCACCCCTTTGATTTGCTTCGAGAGTATCAGATGGAGCAGGGTACTTTAAATCTACTCCAAGCCCAAGGCGCAAGAGTCAAAATTCACGTATTGGAAGTTGGTTGCAAATGTGTGATCAACTTGCTTGACTGGGGGTTTTGTGAAGATTGATTGGGAAACCAAGCACCACAAACCAGCGACTAGCCTGGTCCAGGATGGCATCAGTGTAATCATAAAGATGAGGCGATGATCGACTAGGGCATCAGGTTTGGCTCAGACGCATTTACAGTATTCACCTTGTGTGCTTATCCTTTTTCTTTTCCTCCCGCTCCATGACAAATTCGAGAAGGAACCATAGTTCCAAATGGGGATAAAGCGTAGTTTCGTCTCTATCACCATGATCAAGATGATCGCAGCCGCCGTATGAACGTTTGCCACTGTTGCGGAATCCACATTGATTGCATGTTTCAGGAATGAACGCCTGCTTCCTGTCATCATAGCTTATCTCGATGACAGATTTTGAGAGCTTTGGTGAAGTCAGCGGAGAAAAGGCAACGGATTGCCTTCTCCTCGGGATCCTTGAACGCAGAGATAGGCTGAAGAAATGGTCTGCATAAGTGGGCACTTCGCAATCCTTCAATCTCACTGGGTCCGATCGAGGTCGGTTGTGGCATCTTCCCGTTTTTGGGTGGAGGGGTAAAACCTCGTGAGCCAACAGCCGCCTGAGAGTCTTCCTTGAGGATCACACTTGCGCGAGCGCGGGCGACGGGGAAGAGCACAGCGTCGGGGAATATTCCAAGTAAAGGAAAGGGCAGATCCAACGAGAAGGCAACGGAGCAGGAATATGCTACGATTGTTGCGTCGTTGAGCGGTGTTTGGTGGGTGGTCAATGGCGGGGCTGTGGCGGCTAGTTCAAAATAACCAAAGGAGATCCTGCGCAGAAGAGCGAAACAAAACGACAACTGCCGCAGCCCACTGCGTTCTCGGAACAGTTCTGCGAGATAGGATTGCGTGAAGCAAGATTGAGTGCCGGGCGTATCTGGCTTGGTACATATCTCCCGTTCCCGAGGAACAGGAAACTATCTGTAGATGGACATTTAGCGCAACAACAGAGTTTCGCTTCGTCGGAGCGTGAATCTTTTGATGGATGGAATTAAAATAGCCTTGTCACTTGAGTGTGAGGCCCGTGTAACTTCAAGCGCTCGCTGGGACCTGAACCCAGGGAGCTGGAACTGATCGCCCACATCAAAGGCTGGCTGGCTCCTGAGAAGCGATTCTTCGCTTCGCTTGGCGGAAATTTCTCCATCTCAACCCCTCGAGGCTCACTCTTTCCCAGAACTTCTGCTTTCTCTGGCCCCAAGCCCCAAGCAGTCGGGAATCGCCTGGGTCTAGCGCATCGCCGCAATCAGTCTTCAGATTGCATCGCGCCCAGGGTGAGACCGGTCGCAACGCTAATGCTCCGTCTAAAACCAGGAAGACTCCTTCTCTCCCAACAGCATGACGACTCACAAACACGTTTTGACTCGCTATCAACCATCTTTCGAGAATAACGGATGCCTCAACTGTTGCCTCTTCACTGTTTCTGTGTGAGCTACCCACCAGTATCGGCTGATTCCTGAATGACGAGATGGAAGTCCAAGGGCTTGGTGCAAAACCGGTCCCAAGGCCAAGGGCACTACTAGGCTAGTCCGACAGGCAAAGTATGATATAATGATTATCGTTTAGTCCCCCGGGGCTCGGTGACTTCGCAATCCTGCCCTGGCTGGCACAATCACGCCGTCAGTCCTTAGCGCTGGGTATTTGTAACCTGGGCGACTTAGCGAGACGCCCTCGCGGGATCGTCTTTGTCTCCTTGTTGGTGCGCACGGATTGTAACCAAACCACCGGTAAACCCCAAGGAGAAGTCAAGACCTGGAAGCCGCTACTACTAGTATCACCATGCCACCATGGCCACACAACACAGCCAGGGCCGCCGCGTTTCCTGGTCCATGGTTTCGAAGGACGTACCTCGCTGGACCTAAGAATGCTTCCTTACCATCTCAGTCAACCCCGTTTCTCCTGCCAGGAACTTAGGTGCGCTGACTTGAGCGCCATACAACTTTGGACTTGTTTACTACAGAATGTCTGCAGCGCTTGGCGTGTCTCACGAGGGCACTAAGGTCTTCTTTCCATCTTCATCTAAATTTTGAAGCCGATGGCGTAGGCATCTGGCTCTCTCTGTAAGCACAGTCATCATCTGCTAGGTCGAGAGCCAAAAGCACCTCGTGAAATCAAGGAACCTTCCCTTTACTCCGTACACTCGGGAGAGCTGTGGCTTTTCGAGGAACCCCAGTATCCGGCCCAAGCGTGGAGAGTGGAGGGACGTGGGACGGCCCTGAAGATGTGCGGCCTGTGCGTGATCGAGTCTCTGGAGTCTGGTCTCCTGAATGTCGTACAAGCTGCAAGCCATCCGAGGCGGATAATTGGACTCGGACCCTCCTGGCCACTCAACCCGAATAACAGAAGTACGACAGTTGGAATCCAGTTTCTTTGAGTTCCTTAAGATCAACCGAAACTCGAGTTAAAAGTGATACATACGTGAGAATTACGACACAAAAATCCCCGGCTAGGAGCCATCCGCATCCTCGATTGCCCGATGGTCCCCAAGGATAGGGTACACTAAATCCTCCCGAGTGTCGCCAGGCAACGACCGCGGAGATACTGTTCGTGAAATCGAATTGAAAAGAGGAATCAAACAGATAAAGAGAGATTAACAGCCACAGGCGTCGAACGAAAGAGCGAGGAACCGACGAAGTGGAGGGCATGGGTTGGGCTGGAAGGCCAAACGAAATGATCCTCCAGAGTGCGAATCGCCTGGAGCGTTTAGACTTCAAACAAGGCCCATGCTGCCATGTCAAATGACAGCGCCTTAGCCCCTCTGGGTAAGAGCAAAAGTCCGATAGCACCTCGATCTGGTCCCGGAAAGGACATCCCTGGAGGGACTTAGAGTGTGCTAAGGTAAGAGGCTGTTAGATCGCCCCGTCGCTCCACTAGTAGACTCGACTAACACTCCCGCTATGTTAGCCCCTGCTAAGTGCTTTTGCCAGCCCGATAATATCCAAAGGGAGTATTTGAAATCTATCACTTGACGGCGTGCTCAGGGCGAATTAGGGACCGCCCTCCACATTAAACGCCTGCTTCAACTTCAAAAGCCCCAGAAAGCCACAAAACATATCACCTTCGGTGTTGAACAAGGAAGGGCCGGTCCGAACTTTTCCGGAAGTACAGACCTCAGCCTGGGGCGGCTGTCAGTGCCACTGGAGACCAGAGACTGGAGCGACAGGGAGACACCATTGGCCGCGAGAACACGACGGGGTTGGTGTGTGGACGCAATAGATCTACAAATCGTGGTGCGAGATGGCTAGCTGTGCAAAAAGCAAAAATAAGGTCAGTGGAAAAGAACCAGATTGCATTCGAAGAAATAAAATTAATCAATATTCAGAAAAATAAATTCAAAAAATAGAGAAAAAGCAAAATTTCCAAATTTCCACTCTGCTGCATGGCTTTACTGCAGACATGCATTGTGCCGGTGCCTTTTAGCTGTGTTTCGGCTTTTCGCCATGGAATGCGCCCAGGGATCATCCATGTTGTTGGTACCTCCCGATTCGGAAAGGGTTCGATTGTATTTTGAGGGACGGTTTTCGGAGCGTCAAGCGAGATTTTAGAAAAAAAGAGAGGGGAAAAGGGTATGGTTGCATGGTGGGTTCTTTGACTACCGGTTCTTTTGCAGTCCAATCTCGATGGATGTGCATTGCTCATATCTTGCAGACTGAAAAGCCATCTCTCGCCCCCAGTTATTTCAGTTTTCCAACACCACCACTCCAAGACCAGATTGCGCCTCTTTATAAAATCCTTAGAACTCCCTCATTGGTTTTCTTCTTTCTTCAGTCATCTTCAGCTTCGACTCGCCGCTCCAACTTCGCTTGCCCTTCCCGTCTTTCCAGTCCGGGGTTGCTACCGAAGATCTACATATACAATCGCCCGCCGGGTCTACTGTATACAACGCAGCCTGCCGTACCGCTCGTGTCACCTTCCCCCGTTTACACTGTCCAGCACTTTCAGTCAAGGCAGCCGGACGTTCCCGCCTGTTCGCATTGCATCTCCAGTCCTCACCCTATCTGCGTGTGTGATTCTAGGATACTGGAGTGCACTGCAGCGTTTCCTGCACCTCTCTCCTCCCGTCACCCCGCCATCCGACCCTGTGATCTTCCAACGGTTTTGGGTCTATCCCTCGAGCTCTGGTAAGCTGCGAGTGCATCGAACTGTTAATCCATCCCCCATCCCCGATCATCGCCCCTCCGTTTGACTGGTGCACCGGCCCCTCCCGCCCGCTCCGGTTTACTCTCCCGGAAAACTGCACACTGCCTTATACGAGTTGTCTCCCATTCGTGCTTTAGCCGCCTGTTTCTCCCCTCCAGCTCTTGCTTGCTTGCTCGATTCGAAGATGCACTTACGCGCTCTCCCAAAGTCAAAAACCGGCAGCTAATGTTTCGGACAGCTATTGCCAGATCGGTACCGTTGCAGTTCAGTCTCCAAACAACAACTCTTCCTTCGGCTGATTGATGACCGCACGGTCTGAAGATCTCGACTGAATACCACTTGCCTGCCGCACCGGAGAGCAAGTACAAATTCATCGGCTTGCCCGCCCTCACGTTCGCTATCCATTTGAGCTCAGGATTGTTGACGACCATACATGCATATGCTTCGAGCCGACTAAGCACTATCTACTCGATCAAGTACCACTCTTTCCTCGACTTGATCTACCTTGCCCTTTCTTGACGACAGTATGGTTGTCAACGGCCCCACTTCCAAACCAGGGTCAGCCAAGCGCCCTTTGTCCGCTTTACAAGATGGGTGTGCTGGTTGGGAGCCTGCTTCGGTGAGTCAAGACCTTTCAAAAAAAAAAAAATCTCCCTGATACTAACTAAGGGGATATAGCCCATGAGTGCCTCGCGCCCGTCTGTCAACGTGCCCTTTGCACACTATGCCTTGATCTACCTTGACAATACGGGTAAGCTCAAGGTTGCCGAGTCGCCGTCTATCCAAGAGCAGAGCCGGTCGGTCTTCACGCCTGAAGTCCGCGAGAGATTCCTGGAGATTCTCGGGTCCAAGATCGGATACCACAAGCCTATGATACGTCGTATGTGCTGTGAACATGCTCGCCTTTCATCTTGGGCCACATTAGCTTATAAGGTTGAATCTTAGATGACTCGGCGGCTCCCTACGCTTACGGCCATGCTCACGGCATGCCCTATCACCGCCAGGGCAAACGTCGCAAAGCTGCGGCTCATAGCCATGCCCTAGAGATGTCTTTCAGTGAACGATTTCCCGAGCCAGCTCCGCCTGTGGTTTCGCCACCGACAAACAACATGGTTGCTATGCAGATTGGTGATACTGAAAAACTCATAGAGTACTATGAGAATGCCCTCAAGCATTTCCAGCAAATAAACTGTCGTCTCATTGCCAAGCACTTCATCAGACACATTGAGCCTCGCAAGCAAGTGAAGCACCCCTACAACGGCGGGGAGTCAGGGAACCCAGAGATCACCAAGCCGGAATGGTGGCCTGCTGAAGTCATGCACAAGGAGCCGGATCATCTCAAGAAGCAACGTAAGTGTTCTGCTGAGATTGGCCCCCTTCCGTCACTGACACGCCCGTGGCAGAACGACTTCAACTCTTAGTTCACATCCTACGCAAACTTGGCAAGTTTGACATTACAGCAGAGAAGCTGGAAGATATCTCACAAGACTGTAAACGGTCGCTCAAGCCCGAAGACAGCATCGATGAGAAGATGGACATTTTGACTGAGATATTCAAAGTTCGGAAGCAGGAAGAGCGTTTTGAGCGCGGTGAAATTGGTAAGCAACCCCTAACCTAAACACGATCAACCGCTGACTTTATTGTTAGATGCGGACTCGATGGTATACGTTCGAAACCGAGACGCTCCCGCGAAGGAAGTTAAAGGTGCCGAGTCTGTGATAGACGACATGGAGCCAAAATTAGAGCTTGACGAGTTCGAGGACATCGAAGAGATTCCGCTGGCATCTGCTTCATCATCAGAACATCTGTCTGCATCGTTTGCCTCGGTGGATCACTTGGCCCTGTCACAAACTCGGTCTTTCAGCATGGCCAGCGACAGAGGCCGAACTATTCCATTGAATGATTCCTTTAGCTTTGGAGAGCCCTCAAGACACGACCGCTCATATTTGAATTCAGCCGCGGAGTACGCCGATGACTATCCTGCTCTCAGAGGCCCGACAACATCGGGGATGGTCAGTCCAAATGAGCACCCTGACGCCTATGATTATCTGTCTCACACTCCTTTCACTGCTTCCGCTGCAAGAGAGCACCATCGCCCACTTTCAATGCCAATGCACCACGTCTCCCACTACGACACTTGGGGCTCACCATTTCGCCCAAACATGTACAATTCGATGGAATATGGGGCCACTCAAGCCCTCTCACAGAACTCGATGCATTACCCATTGCAGATAAGCCCGTCTCACCCTCATGAGCTCCCACACGGGCTTCCAGAGATGGGCCGTGAAAGGGGCCTGGACTCTCTGGATCTTATAGCCTCCAGAATCTCAGTCACGAAGCCGTTTTGAAGACGACCACAGACTTCACCCGGTCCTTCATCATTGTTATTGCTGTGACATCCTCAAAGTACATGAGTGACTTGGGATGATTTAGTACACGACCTCATGATTCATGTGAACGAATAGCATATTGCTCATTCTCCCCTCTCCATTTCGATACCACGACCGGCCGGCTCTCTTGCAGGCCCAGGGTACATCCGGACGCATTCTACCGACAGATGTAGAATTTGCACCTTTTTACTCTTGAGCATCTACGACTTTTCTTCACGGTGTATATACGTTTGTTTTTTTCTTTCGCTGTTTTGCATTTCGTGATGACATGCATTTGCAATTGTGCGCCATTTCATACGAGATAAAAGCTGCCGGGGTTGATGGCGCTTTGCACGGGATTATCATGCACCGCTATCTTTATGTTGTTTAATTTGGGCCTTGTTTTGTATAGAATTTTGGGAGCGAGGGCGCAGGTGGCGAAGCTGAATAGCTTGATTTAGATCCATGGTGTATATAGCAGATGACTGTGGCAGATGCACCCCCAATGAATAAGAAATACTTCAATGATGGATTTGAAGTAATATCACCATCAAAGGGAGATCATTGACATTTTAATAGTAGACAAATGGGCAAATTGACTTGTGTGCCTGCTATTGTAGATATTTCGCGCTAATTGTAGACGCGCGGCAGCTGCGCTTGGGCTCCGGCGAGAACCAATCCCGCTCCCCATTGAATCACGGGGCTCTTCAGGACAAAGAGCTCGCTCAATCTCCTCAACAGCCGTCGAGTGTCACGAACTACAACAACCCATTATTCCGTTCGCCTACGATACAGCTGTCAAATACCGACTAAGATACCCATCAATTCGAACTCTTCAGTCTTCTGTGCCACCTCGGTTCCATCTCCAGCACCACGTCGCAAGCTCGAGAAACAGCTAGCGACAGAAACTCCTGTGCTCTACGAACCGACCGGACAGGCGAAAACGTGTTGGTCGTCGATATTTGTGGTCAAGGTAGCGCGTCACCATCGGTCTTTTTCAACGCCCTCCTACATCATCCGTCCCACCGTTTCTTCCCTTCACTCGCGCTCGCTTCCTCTCCGCAAATACTCCGCCATCATGATACCATATATTGAATGGAAATGGGCTGACTCTGATTACGCGCCTGCCCACGATTACGGCGGATAGCACTTTAGGAATATACTGTATCGACTTCTACACCCACCGCTCGAGAGCGTCTGTTCAGGAATTTGAAGATATAAACAACGCTCGAAATCAAAGCCTGAAAACAAACAACCCGCCTACCTATAAATCATTCATACTTTGACTCTCTTGAGGAGGACACGGCTCCGTCCGCCACTCCTCCGCCGCTCGCGGTAGAATGGCCAGTCCGGCCAACCCTTTCGCTGTGCTCCACCAAACGGACGGAGCAGCGAGCTCAAGAGGACGCGGACGCGGTGGAGCATTCAACAGGCCCACGACATTCCAACCTCGAGGCGGTAGCACAAATGTTCCATTCAATCCTAGTCTTCGAGGACGAGGTCGCGGCCGAGGAGCCTCAACCGCGACAAGAGCTGGTCGTGGTAACGCGCGCGGCGCAGGTGCTGCAGGGAATACATGGCGCGGTGGTCAAAAACCGGAAGGCCAAACAAGGGCTGCTTCGCCCTTTGCGCAGCTGAAACAGACCTCGCCTGCAACAACGTCGCCAGCGCCGGCAACTGGGCCTCTCTCGCAGCAGAAACCCGCATTCACGGGGTTCGGCAGAGGGTCGCCACGACCATTTGGGGCTGCGTCGTCAACTCGCCGTGGTACGACTGTCAATTCTGCGAGAGATCCGCGGACTAAGACTCACTCGAACCCGACAAATGGAGGCCCCAGAAACGGCGTCCCTGTTGAAGACGTCTCGACTGTGGAGAGCTACAGTGATCGATACGAGCAGGTAAGTTATTCAGATGATGGTGTTCCGTAATAATCAAGACGCTGACTGGTTAGCTCAAACTTGATCGTGCCAAACAAAGGCAACAGGCCATCAAAGACGGGCAGATGGCGGATCCCAACCAGCCTATGTCCTTGAACAAAGCGATCACACCAGTGGGCACTTGTACCAGCATGTGCCCTCAGTTCGAGCGTGTAGAGCGCATTGTCCAGAAGATGGTTGATAAGAGTGAAAAGGTAAGCTCTCGGTACTATGGTATTCTTGGTCTAGTGTTTACGATTTTTATAGTATCTCGACCCCAAGACGAATACACTGCAGAACCTGGAGACAAAGATGCTTAAGCGATTTCGACGATCTGCCGCAGGGTACGATGAGCAACTTCCGTCTGATATTCGAACGCCTGCTACATTACTTCAAACGATGAACTACTTGACGCGACATATTATTGGTGGTTCGGAGCCTTTGGGATTAATCCACAAATTCGTGTGGGATCGTACGCGGTCAATTCGCAACGACTTTTCTGTTCAGCAACTTACGCAAGAGGAGGATGTGAAGGTTGCGGTGACGTGTCTGGAACGAATCGCCCGTTTCCATATCGTTTCTCTCCATTTACTCTCCAGTCCTGAAAATGAGGAGCCATTTGACCGACATCAGGAACGAGAACAGCTGAACAACACGATGCTGTCCTTGATGTACTACTACGACGACAATAGAGGCCGGATTTTTTTTCCCAACGAAGACGAGTTCCGCGCTTACTATATCATCTTCTCTATTCACGACCAACGACCTGACTTGGAGGCTCGCGTCCAGAAATGGCCTACCGAGCTGAGGAATTCACCGCGTGTCAAGACAGCGTTGGAGCTGTTCGCGGCTGCTGGAAACACCTGGGAGTACCAGGGTACCCTTGACGCTAAGCGGCCTAATGCAATCGCGCAGGGCTTCTACGAGCGGTTTTTCAGTCTGGTCAACTCTCCAGGCGTATCATATCTTATGGCCTGTGTTGCGGAGATTTACTTCAACCACATGCGCCAGACCGCCATTCGTTCAATCTGGAAAGGATACTGCCGCTATCCCGCCTCGCAACAGCACAAAAACGAAGAGTGGACGGTTGACGAGCTGACAAGTGTACTGTACTTTGACGACGCCGACCAGACAATTGAGTTCTGCGAAGCCCAGGATTTGGAATTCGCCGAAAATGCCAACGGGGACCTATATCTCAACTGGGGGAGCCGCCCTGTTGATTCTGTTGGTATGTTTTGCTTTCGATGGTTCCGCATATTAATTTGCACTTCGTCATGTTTTCCTCATCTACGCGCACTCCTTTGTTCTAGCTCAGTCAAAGCTGCTATCTCCCATCGACTGACTTTATCTCCTCCATAGCCTTTCAACCTTCTTCCGACCATTCCTTCTCTGATAGCTATGTTGAGTCAAAGCGTGCAGGTAGAAACCTGGTTGCTATCGTCCTCGGATTGAACGTCAAGGAAGCCGCAACACTGGGCATGATTGATAGAGAACTTCTCTCTGAGCGTAACTCTGCGATGACATCTCACGATAACGATGAGTCCTTGTTTGTGAGCGACGACGATAACGAGATGTCTACACCTACCTCACAGTCGAACAATACCACCAGTATGACTGGAGCACTGTCTTCAGCCTTTGGAGCTTCATCTCAGCCAGCTCCTGGCAACCTCCCAAGCCCTGGCCTCGGTGCTTCGTTCTCCCCAAAGCCGGAAGAACCCAAGCCCTCCGTGTCCCCGAATCCCTTCGGGCCTTTGTTTCCTTCGGCCAGCTCACAAAGTAGCTCTGTGAGCCCTCCAGCTCCATCTCTCAACCCTTTTGCGAAGCCGTTTTCACCATTGCCTTCCGCCCGAACAACCGAGAAGCCAACCCCCTCCCCACCTCCGGTGAGCAACGGCCAGCCGGCAAGCGTCTTCTCCAGTGGAGCTATGCTTGCGCAGTCGAAGGCGGAGCAGAAAGCTCCTAGTCCGGCAATCTCACCTTTCCAATTCCCAGGCGTCTCTCAACCTTCGAAGCCCGCAAGCCCTTTCCCAAGTGGAAATGCGCTTGCTCAGGCAAAACCCGAGGACAAAGCGTCTACTCCGCCAGCCGCAACACCGTTCCAATTTCCAGGCGTTTCCAAACTCACATCTCAATCTTCCGCACCTGATATCTTCTCGAACATTCAACAACCCACACCATCCACTACCTCTCCTTTCAGTGCTCCTCAACTTCCTGCTACTGTTCAACCTAGTGGCCCGACTGCTGGACAGTCTTCTACTAGCGTATTCGACACAGCGAAACCCACTCCTGCCTCAGAGGGCCGTGCTCCAGTGTTTAGCTTCAGCAAACCCGAACCTGTTGCTTCAAAGCCACAAGCAAGTGCTTCGGAGATATCAATATCACAGCCACCTCCCCAACCGACTCAAGCCTTCCCCTCGTTCCAGCCAGAGAAAAAGAAAGAGGGTAAGTCTATTCTACGTAAATATATGATGCGAGCTAACACTATATAGAAGCCCCCTCAATCCTTTTGTCTCCCAAACCGTCACCTTTCCCGGCCCCTTCTACCTTCGGACTGCCTATTGCTTCTACACCCCAACCGAGCTCAAATCAACTTGCTGCAGGCCCATCGGCCTCTCCAGCCCAAGAGAGCGCATCCTCTTTGACCGCCTCTCAAGAACCTTCGCCCCTGGCCAGCAATGGAATTGTTAAGAAACCCGCCTTCCCTCCACCACTCCAGTCGAAAATGCCGGAAACGGCGGCGCCTCAGGAATCTGCTCCTGGTGTGCAGGCTGACGTACCTGAAACCGATCACGCACCGGTGAAGACCGTCAGCGAAGAACAGGGTAAGCTCCCCTTATAGTAATTTACCCACCCTCAACCTGCTAATAATGTCAAACTCCCGCAGAACCCGCACAAGGCGAAGCTGAACGTAAACTCGCTTGGATAAACTCTCTAAAAGAGGCTGCTAGTCGCCGAAGAAGGACGGTGTCAACCCCAGAAGCAACGCCGACCAGTCGCAAACGTGTCTTTGAAGAGCAAGAAACCCCCCCCGCAAAGGATGAAGTTAAGGCACAGAAAGTGGCCAAGCCCGAGCGGCCTCGAAAATCGATGGCTCAAGCTTCCGTGAGACCGTTACCCAAGCTTCCAATCCTTGAGGCGATAGAGTCCATGACTGCCCGGAAACCGGTGGAAAAGCCCGGGCCTCCTAAACCGAACCAAGTCGACGAAGATGAAATTCTTCTTTCAGCTGCGCGTATTGCTGCCGAGACTCTGAGAACCGGACCACGCCTTCTAGACGCCTTTTCCGCGCCTACTACCTACGAACCGTGGCGCTCTTCATTCAGCCCTGGAAGTAGCGTCGCTTCCTCAGTCGCATTCTCTCGAAGCCAATCGCCTCAGCAATCCGTCCACGGATACGACGTCGCCCTAGCTCCAGAAACCAACTTGGGACTCGGACGCACATTATCTCGAACTGAACAAAGACTCCGTCTCACAGGCGGTAAGGGTCTAGCTTACAAGCCTCTGAACTTTTCCCCCGGGTCGTCATTGCGCACGCCCCCGAAGAAGTAACTTGACCTCGATTCGAACGTGCTCTTCCTCGCTTGTACCTTTAGAGCAAATGTATGTATCTACCTCGACCAGTGTAATTGTTGGCCGCGTTACAGACTCACAATTATGCCAGTGGTCTGGTGTTTTGGCATTGGCGGGTTTTTGTTGCATTGCGTGGTGTTTGATGGGTGGTTTCTTGCCTGTATTTCTTGTGGGATCTGTCTTAGCTTGTTATGTGATATTTTGGGATTAATGCATGAGGCTGCGTGCTAGCTTCGAGGACACACATGAAGTCGTATACTTGGTCTTCAGATCTCTACCGGTGTACATGTGTAGATGTTGTTCACGGACTTCCTTGAGCATGCCTTGGTATGGATGTAAACCCATGAACCGATTAAGTCACATGACCCATATGATTTTCGGCCAATCAAACCATGGTCAGCCTCATCGCAGCAACAACCATCTACCAAAGGTACTCCATTGCAAACAGCAGTAAACGCCAACGAAACAACATACGCTCTCGAAAACAAGGAGTAAATCTCTATCAAGATTGCTGCTTCAACGTCCGTCCGTCTTGGGACATTCCAACATTGCCTCTCCCGGCCCGCTCTACACCACAAAGTCACCTCTGTCTCCAACTTGCATCAGTACACAGGAAAAACATACCTCAGTGGTTTCACTAAAAAATTCTGTCGATACATTTTCGCTTTTTTCAGACAACCAAATCAAATAATCAAAGTGTCTCCCCTTTCACACCGGCCACCAGTCCGCCAATTATTCCCCTCTACACAGGTCCATGACCAACAGCAGCGCCGAACAATGCGCATCGCAACATTGCAAATTGCCGCGAAGCTTGGAGACGTAGAGGGCAATATCCAGCGAGCGGATGAAGTCTTAGCAAATGCCGTACTCAAAGTCCACGGCCCCAGCCATGGCCAGAAAACGGGTGCAAAGATTGAGGAGGCGGGCTTGGATATGTTGGTTTTGTCGGAGATGGCGCTGACGGGTTAGTAACTTAACTGGCACTCTCTTCTCCGTCTTGTCTCGTGATGATCTTAGATGGTTGGTGCCCAGTGATGTGATCAACAGGCTGACTGGATAACAGGCTACAACTTCCCCTCCCTGGATGCTGTGAAGCCATACGTGGAGCCAGCGGGGAAGGGACGTACGGCTGCTTGGGCAAGGGAAACGGCTAAGAGACTACAATGTATAGTCTGCGTGGGGTATCCTGAAATCGAAATCACGACCCCAAAAGGAGGAGGAGAGGGAGAAACTCAACAAGAGAAATACTACAACTCCCTCCTAATCATCAGCCCAACAGGTTCTATCCTACACAATTACCGCAAAACATTCCTCTACTACACTGACGAAACATGGGCGTCCGAGGGAAGCGCAGAGCTAGGTTGTCGAAACCTCACCCTTCCCCTCCCTCCTCCCGATTCAAAACATGTTCCCGACATCCCCGAGACCGGGAATATTGACAAAAGTTCAAGTATACGCGCACGAGAAATCCCCACCACATTCGGCATCTGCATGGACATAAACCCCTACCGCTTCGAAGCACCCTACAGCGCCTTTGAATTTGCACACCGAGTGCTCGACTCCCGCTCCGAACTCGTCATTGTCTCCATGGCCTGGTTGACGCTGTTGACGAGAGAGGAACTGGATGCGTTACGTGGAAAGCCAGAGATGGATACGTTCAATTATTGGATTCAGCGGTTCTTGCCACTCATACGGGAGAGGATTGCATATTCCTCGAACCCGGATCGGGATCATACTACTAAGAGTACTAAGGACGGTGGGGGAGATGCGGACGAGGTAGAGGAGAACAGAATCATCATCGTCTTCGCAAACCGCGCAGGCGAAGAGGATGGGATCCCGCTTGCGCGGTATGCGGGGACGAGTGCGATTATTGCTGTCTCACAGCGGCAGCACACACCATCTTCAGCGACGAGCTTACTACGGAACGGGAGTATTACATCACAAGGCGAGGAGGACGATAAGCAGAAACAGGCGGATTCAGATTTCGACGTGCGGATCCTGTGTTGGAGGATGCTCGGTGCGACGAGCGAGGGCGTTTGTTTTGCGGATACGGCGGGGGAGCCGGAAATGGTGTTTCAGTTGGTTAAGAAGGCGGGGTAGCTGACTTCAAGAGTTTCACTTCCTTTTAGTAGACTCCTAAAGTGAGACCTTATGGAGTGGAGATTGCGATTGTCGAGGAGTAAATGTAAAGATGGAGGTCCGGTTGGCGTTAGACAAGGGTATAGGATATAGTACTAGTAGGAAACTTGGATTGACTTACGCATACAAGACCCAGCGAATCAAAACTTCAAATCGAGACACCTATCGTATAGGTATGATTTTGCTGCCTATTCTCTCCACTGGAGACCATGCCGAGAATATTTTTAAAGCAAGACAGGACAGACTACGTTATGCTGATTCTCGGCTGTCTGCAAGCGGCAGCGGAATGCTAAGCCTCCTGGGACATTCTCGGGTTCTGTTTATCGGAGATTGGAGGTATGGTAAGTATCTAGACCTCCTTCGCTTCTAGATCGAGTGTAGTATACCCACCACATCCTCCAGCCAAGATCATGTGAATATCTGACTCGTATGCATCCATGTGACATGCGCATAGCAGGGGCTAGATGCTTGGATCCATGGTGCTAGTGCATAGCGCGTGCAGATAGAGATAGCGCATATCAAGGAGATCTTAACGAGGTCAGGATGCGATATGGGCAGAAGCCCACTCTCTGATAGTATCAACGCCTCAAGGTTGATGATTAGCGCCCTCGCCCTCGCCCTCGCTTCTCGTCGTTGCAATGAGGTGGGATTTCTGGACCATCTCGCCATCCCATGACCAGCTTTGATCAGCCTTAAGCTGAACTGATCGACGGTGTTCTATCAGATGGTTTTCTTCACAGACCTTGTTTTTGAACTGATTTGGATGCGACTCTTCAGGATCCACTCCGCATTCGTCGCGCGTCATATTACGCCATCCTTTAGGGGAGAGGAGGCTTGAGTATGAGTTTGTTTGGGTACCGCATGTGACGCTAGGGTTGGATGGAGTCACACTTCCACAGTTTGGGTGATAGCGAGGGTTAATGTGTGGGATATCCTGGGTGAACGTCATTAGCAGCCGATCCTGGTGTGTCTTCGGATGGAAGTTCGTGGAGGGTTCTCGGGTGAAGTAGCAGCCTAGGTGAGGAGGCAATAAATCGCGCACGGATATAATAAAATGGCGAGAAGAGGGCTTCAAAACAGCTGAACGTGTGAAAGCTAAGAATATTGTCGAAAGGAAGCTGAGCCTATTAAACTGCACCTCTTCAGCATGGGCTGAGACCCCGTCAGCCAGGTCATCTGCTCTCAGCTGAAGAGCGTACTTTTGCAGAGCCACGGCCATTACAGTCGAGATATAAAGCACACCAACATAGCGCAGAGTAGATGATCGGCAGCTAGAAACGATAAGGGAAATGGACCGTGCAACCCCATGGCTGGCGGGCGATATCTGACCTTCCAACGAGAGAAGGGCCGGCCCGCGAGGGTGCAGTAGGTACTCCAGTGTGAGGCGGCAGGTGCTCTCCAATAAAGCAAGGACGGATGGGTGCGCCGCGAGGCTAAACTCCAGGTAATTGATCCGCGATGCTCTTCATCGTGCATACCTCACTGTGCCCTCATGTTGGAGGGTTGCAGAGCGCCACGTGATCACGGGTGAACCCCTCCACCGTCGACCGGACTGGGCATTGCCGTCAGCCAATCACCACTGCGGACGAGGCGCTCAACAGAGGGAGGGGCACGGGATTCCGGCACATGACATCGACGACGAGAAGAAGGAGGGAATCAAACCGGTTGGGTCAAATATTGTTGTAGAGACTCATGCAAGGAATGCTGGTCTCGAGAAGAAGGAGGGTAGATGTCTCGCATTGCTGTGACTGGTTGTATCATAAATATGAAGTGAGAGCCGCGCGACCGCGAAGAGATAGCAAGCAAAGCAAGCCTCGGCGTCAGGTGACTTTAGTGCGCAGAAGGTGCGTTCGGGCCGCCGCACTACCAGCGCTTCTCCTCTTTTGAGTCCTCCTCGCCACGTGAGCAGTCGACCTCTCTCTACTCCTCCATGTATCCCTTTTTCCCAGTGTAAAAGCTGCCAGTTCTTTTTGCTCGACCTCAGATTTGGCCGGTCCGTTGTTCTCAAGACGGACGTCCCTGTCGCACCGCTTTCTCCCGCTTCAAAAGACCGGGTTTCTGCGTCTGCGAGACGATTCGCGATACTCTTGTTGTTGTCCGTGGCAGGTGACTTGCTGTCAGGTGATAGATAGACCATCCCAAGGTACAGAGCTTCCTCTCCTCCCTTCTTCCCTTCTGCGTGCTTTTCCATCACGGCCCACTTCAATGGCCATCGCGTTATTGGACCTCGGCCGCCAGGGCTCTGTCGCCCTCCCTTCCTGCTGCCCGACTGGTGGTGGCCGAAGTCCAATTTTCGCAGTTCTGCCGGTCGCAGAGACATCATGACGCGCCTTGATGCGCCTCCTGTTCTGCCCGCTGTGCTGTATACTTTCCCTTGTATTACGCGCCCAGCTACTGCTCTGTGCTTTTGTGAGCTTTGATATATGCCCAGCAGTCGGGCTTTTGACCAAGTTTTGTTGATGTTGAGATGCGGCGCCCAGCGCGTCAGCCAACGCGTCTTCCCCTCACAAACCGCAAGGTAGCCGGGGTCAGCACACAGCACAAGAGCTTATTGCAACTGAACGCTTATTTAACTTGTTTCTGATGATGATCTATCCTGTTCATTATGGAGTAACTTGTGCCTCAGGCAAATTGCTCACTCACATCACTAACGTTGTATCTTCAGATCTAGTGGGATTTTCGATTACTGCGAGAACCTGACCTTGCGTGAAGACGCCGCTGGGCTGGTACGCGCTTTGAATCTATTGCATCCTTCCAACTAATACGTCTCGTTGCTCGAAGATTTGTGATCATGGCCGACACACAACTCGCCGGTGCCACGGAAGGCAATATGGTCAAGCGCAAGCGCGAGAGCAGCGATAGCGGTGGCCCAGATGCCCAGCGCATCAATCGATCATCTCATGGAAGCAACGGCAGTCTTCCTGGCCCAGATGCCCAGACCAACTTCACGCATAGCTCTCTCGGATACGACCATGGCCTGCCCACCAGCGCCACAGAGCTCAACATCGACCAACAAATCCTCCAGCACGTTGGACCTCAGAACGGGATTACCGACGAGAATGCCCTTACTGCCAAGGCAGCGCTGGCTGCCCATAATCCTCAGAACAAATACCCCCCTCCTCCGGATACCACGTTCGATAACAACCTCGCTCATGGCCTGACGTTTGGAGACGAGATTGGCCAAAGTATTGGCGCTGCCCATAGTCACTCAACTGCTGCTGCAGTCTACGCCGCGCGGGAAGCACAAAGCATGAACCAAAAACCCACTGTTGGCTCCCCGGAGTGGCACCAAATCCGCAAGAACAATCACAAAGAAGGTAAGCTGCTCCTCAATGCACACGTCTGGGGACGCTTTCTAACTCAGCGCTAGTCGAGCGTCGGCGTCGTGAGGCGATCAATGAAGGCATCAATCAAATCGCTCGCCTCGTGCCCAACTGCGATAAGAACAAGGGTGCCATCTTACAGCGCGCCATTGAGTACATTAACCAGTTACACGAGGACAAGAGGCAAATAAACGAACGATGGGAACAGAGCAACATGACGACAACTCATGCTATAAATGAAATCAGCGCCCAGAACTCGAAACTGAAAGTAGAGGTCAATCGTCGCGGGGACATCGCACTAAAGTGGCTTCAAAGGTGTCGTGACGCGGGGCTCGAGTTTGATGATTACGAAGAATCCAAGGAGCTAGAGGCCCTCGATGTCGATCAAAATCAGGTCTAGCTTTGCTACCGCGCCTTGCTTTGTTGATTTTCTTTTATATGTGTCGCTCCTCAGTGCAGATTTCATTCGCCCACGATTTCTTATGGTGGTACTCTGCCCTATTCCATCATTACCCCGCTCACGTCTTTTGCTTCCGGAACACGTCTTTCTGATTTCCATTCAGTGATTTCACTCCGGTCTGTTTGTTGTGGTTCTCTTTATACACAGGAGATGATGCGGATGAATCCGTCTTCATCCTATGGCAGGGCCCGAACTGTTTATTTGTACTCGCTCCACTTATTTCTGTGCGTTATTTAGGGATGGGTTGGCGAAATAAGGTCCGGGAGTTTTTAATTTGCAGTTTTGAGTTATAGTGCTCAGAATGCAGCTGATATACCATGGCAAATGCCCTTGCAATGTGCTCATGTAGGATCCAAGTTCTTTTAATTGAGATGAGAATCTCAGGAGACGAATATATACAGCGAAGAAAATCAACAACTTGAATGACATACAAGTCAGCCCAAGCAAGAAGCGAAAACACCTCACAATTACGTTTCTCCTCCAATAACCCTTTTCTGGCGGTCACGTCGAGAGTCAATGACTCCTTATTTCTACTCCGATACTACCTTAAACATTCCCAGATGCGGTGGTACTCGACCCACTCGCAACACCCACATTCTTAACAACAACACTCCTCCCACTAACGCCCGTAACACGGACATCAACAGTGTCCGTCCCGAACCCAGCGGAGTTCTCGAAAAAGTTGTAGAATGTCCTCGTGGTGCTCTGCCAGTTTGAGCCGCCGTCCGTGCTGACTTCCAGCGAAGCAACAGCCTCGTTCGCGTTGACAACCTGCATTGAGAACCAGTACTGTGATGTCCCCTCCTTGTTCTTGAGGATGATGGGGCTGTCAATCCCGCAGGGGATGAAGTTGTATGAAATGGCGATCACGCCTTCGGAGGCTGGTGCGAGTTCCTCAAAGGCGGACTGGAAAAGGTCGAGATGCGTGGGGGCGCATTCGGGGCATTTGTCGACAATCTGATAGTAATTAGTACTTGGTATAGCCAAAGGATGAATGGGAAGAAAAGGGAGTGGAGGTGTGGTACCATAGCCTTAACCGAGTTCCCACTTGGCCCGGTAACAGAGACACAGCGGCCGCAGTTCGCCGCATCATCCCATGCCTCGCCCGAGAAAGCAACGCCAGACAGGTCCGAGGGGAGCGTGTATTCTGTGAACGAGCAGGTTCCGCCAGAAACGTTGCCGCCGTAAAAGGTTGCTTTGCCCGTGGTGGCGGCGCTGGACGAGGAGGATGAGGTTGAGGCAGCGGGTTTCTCCGAGGCTGTCGTCGTGGCGGCCTGGGTGGTGGTGGTTGTGGTTGAGGGCTTGACGACGGCGACGTGCGTAGGTACTTCAGAAACTGTTGGTTCCGGCTCATCAGCGACGGAGGAGGTGGGGATTGTTTCGATTTCGCCTGCGGTAGGAACCTCCACGGCGGTTGAGGTTGTAGTGGTGGTTGTAGTGGAGGTCGAGGTTGTGGTAGTGGTAGTGGTAGAGGTCAAGGTCGAGGTCGGTGCAGCCTCAGCGGTGACAGTGATGTAGTATACACTAGCAGAGTAGCCAGGTGGGCACACGCCGTTCTCCTCAAGCTTGAGAGGGACCGCAGAGACGGAGGTGCTCGCGCTCAAGGCGGCAAGAGCGATAGATGTGACGCGCTGATACTTCATGGTTCTGATATACCTTCAAGAAAAAGAGTAAAGAATGATGAGCAGTCTCGGACAACTCAGATAGACAATCAAGTCAATAATGATAGGCAGTATAGCGATTAAATGAATGGACGTGCAGCTAGCACAGCTTTGCTTTCAAGGAATGGACGCCTGGATATCAAATCCACGGGCAAAATGACACTGCTATACCACGTAAAACTGGTAGATATGGCGAGAAAGGAAGAAAACATGCGAGCAAGAGGGATTTATGTTATGGGAACGCCATCGTCAGCGCCCTCGGATGTCAGGTCGTCAGCCTTGAACTGCTGACACGGCAATCTAATAAGATTAACTCATCTTAAGAGCGCATTTTTGCTCAAACCTTGCCCCATTGCTTTAATGAAGTGAGACTCGGCGCCGCGGCGATTGGGGTTTGTTGTGGGCACTAGTGAAATGAGATCGCAATCTGAAACGCCGGTCGTGGATCGGGACGTTGGAAGAATATGACAAGACCAGCGATCCGGCTCGGAACCGAGTTGGATGAGTTTGGTTGATGAAACGGAAGACACGTCGTTTCTCAAGCTTGAAGTGAGAGCAGAGAGCAGACTTGAAGCGATCATGAGTCTCGCAGTAGTTGCAGGTGGCTTGAGGCCGAGTCAACAAGGCAGCACTCAAGTACGGCGGTAGTAGGATCCGTGATTTCGTTTACTGGATGAGCAAACGGGTCCGACGGTCGTTACAGGCAAAGGCTTGTATTTGTCTCTATGTGGGTATGGCTGAAGGACAATTCCAATCATCGCTCAAGATGCAGTTGCAGAACACTGAAACCAGAAAACCTGTTACTTGGAGTCCCACATGATCTCGTTCAGCCTGAGAAGTGCATCTGCACTAGCCTTCTTCGCGGCCATAAAGTCTTCCCGGTTCTCCTCGCCTCTGGGCCCTCTGAGAATTTCTGAAAAGCCCAGGTCAACCAGGACCTTGAGTTCCTCATAGCTGAACGGGCCTCCATCCGAAGAAAGCGCCTTATCGCCGTGAGCAGCAAAGTACTCTTTTTCTTCTTTCGCATAGTCGAGCGCTTTCTCTGCGCCGTCAAGGAACCAGTCCAAGAACTTGGCGCTCCGCGGAAGAGCCACAACCTCGCGATATTGCTCTTTTGAGACGTCATCTGAACCTTCGCTCTGATCGACGATAATATTCTTGAGGTTCTGCTGCAGAACAAGAACATCTAGCTGAAGTCTCAGGGCACCGTTCTCGTTCATAGCCCAGATGAACCGGGTACTAGAAACGAAAACCCGATCGATAAAGTGAGCGAGGCCGGATGTGATGAAAACACGCTGAGTGTTGCCAAGATACGTCGAGAGGTTCGTATCAAAAGCAATCAGGTCTTTGTTTAACTCAAGAACCGCCGGCGACGCTGCTGTTGGTTGGCTCGCCAGAAGATGCCAGCATCCACCGCTGGGAAGCGGAGACGGGGTTCCTGGTTCTGAGTTGCGAACAACTGGAGGGTTAGGACCAGCCATTGTGCGCGTCAACATATGGATAATTCCGCATCGGATGTCAATATGTAGTGCGAATATCGAGGTGAGTGCGAGGTCGCGCAATGACTGGAGAGTGGTGTCGAACGCTGTAGTCGTTTCTGGGTTTAACGGAAGATAAATCGGTTGGCTTATGCTATCGCGCATGGGCTTCATAGCGGTGATCAACGTCCAGCGGCGGTTTGTGGTTCCGGATCCCGGTTGAGATGGTCGGGTGTCTGCTACTGGCTGTCGTAGTTTCGCGAGATTGCTTGCAAGCCATTGCTAATTCGAATCAGTCGTGTCAAAAAACAAATGATAGTGATAGACTGACCATGCTATTATGAAGAAGAGACAGTGCTGCCACCGATTTAGGGTCCGAAATGATATCAATGGGCTCCAGCGGTGTTCTATTTGTTTGTTTGATCAAAAGGCCAGTTTCCTGTTCCTATTAGCGCCAGGCGGCGTTAGAGATCGAATGAGAAGCAAACCTTATCAATCAGCTCCTGTTTGTTGGTATAGGAGCCCTTCCACAACTCAACAACTAGGTCGTGTATTGGTCCTGATTCAGCAAAGGCTGCACCTGCCTTGAGGCGCACACCTCCTTGGGTTCGCGTTGAGCGTTTCGTAACGATGGCTATCGCAGACGTTAGTTTATTGGCACTTTGGGGAGCTTAAGGTTGCTCACATTTGTACCACCCACAACACTTGTCATAGTATGTTACGATCTGGCTTAGAAGGAGTTGTGTAAAAGCTTGGTCGTGAGGAATGCTAGACAGCATTTTACTGAACTCTCGCACAGTCGACATAAATTTGACCGTTCCCTAAAGTCGTCAGAAAAGTCTTCAGTGGGCTGAAATAACAACGGCTACGAACCTTGAACACAGGTCGTGGTGAGATCGTCGACCATTGAGGGTCCTCCGTGAAGGCATCTGGGGCAATAAAGCTGAGAGTGCAAAGCTCGCTCACAGTCTCGTCAAGTTGCGGCAGAAAGACATTGACAAGAAAGTCGTCGAGGAAGGAGGTGAGAGAGCCGGTTACCATGTCAGAGTCCAAGGGCACGATATCCTTCAATCGCTGGATGAAGGAAAGCGAGGGCGGAAGGAGCAAGCTCATGTTGAACACGCTGGGCTCGATGAGGATCTTGTGTCCTGTACCTTGTCTTGAGTCCGAGGCCTTGTTTGACTGCTCTTTTTCTTCCGATTTGGAGACGAGACCAGGAACGGATGACCTCAGGATTTCGTCCAATTCGTTCTGTTCTGCTTTCATCTCGCTCGTTCGGTCGGTTTCTGATAGCTTGAACAGTTTCTAGGTGAGGTTAGTCCAGCCACTTTAGCCACACAGTCGAGAATACACACCTTGTTCTTATCTCTGTATCCCGAGTACATTTGGCGTCGTGCATCGGCCTCTTCATCCGGTCGAATCGAGGAGTCACCGTCAGTGGCCAGGTAATCGTGCATTAACGACCGGATCTAAAGAGCAATCGAGTCAGCCATGTTCCACCTTCCGCACTAGTTCAGCATACCTCGCTCTGATAGAGTTTCCATAGCTCTTTAAAGCCACCGGCCAGAGAGTTGCTCTTGGGAATCCCCTCACGCTCTACAATGGCGCCGATAATATCATGAACGACCCGATGCCCCTCGGCAATCGACTCAAATTTTGCATAAAGCGTCCACAGAAACTCGGACAGAACATGACCACGTTTCTCAATCAACTCCGTGGGAGAGTTTGCTTTGCCGTCTTGTGCCATGGAGCCTCGTGGTAATGGGTAGCGAGCATCAATTTCGGCATTCGTCTTATCGACGACCGTGAAGAGCTCTACCGGAAGCCTCTGTTCGATGCTGTTGACTGCTATGTCCAAATGCCCCATTTTGTTCAGAGATTCGATGAGAAGTTGTATATATGCGAACGTGTCAGCCTCCGGATTTCGAGAGGCATCCTCTACCATGGGTTTTGAAGCATCAAGCCTTGCAAGAAATCCATATACAGGTCGCTCCCAAGAGCTCGGCCCAGCGCCGTTGAGACCTGTGCTCTCAGAATCTGGACTTGGTGGCTTCCATCGATCGGCGCAGTATGGAGATTTCAGGTACAGATGATCATGAAGTTCTTCGACCAGGATATCCGTAATTGACGACTCTTGATTCTCAAAGTAGGCACGAATATCCGCAAGAGCCCCGATGTTCTCCAGCTCCGAACGTCTCAGAAGCCGGAGGGCGTCGTGGAGTACCTCAACTGCGCCGAGGAACCGTTTGTCGGATAGTCGAGACTCCAACTTCTCCGGTAAAGATTGTATCTCCTGGATCTGGCTGAAAAGCTGGATTATGTCGTCGTATTTCTGAGAAGACGTCGCCAGCTCCTTTAACTCAGGTTTCGTTGACAACAAGCCAGCTTTTGCGTCTTCAAGAGCATGCCTCAAGTTCCGCACCCGACTTTGTGAGCTCTGTATGCTGGACTGAATTTTGTGATATGTACCGATAGAGCTGTTGAATCCCTGATGATGCTCTAGGGGCATACAGCATTAGTACCTAGCTTCCACTTATAAAGGCAAATACCAACCATTGACGATAGCTTTCAATGTCTGCTGAATCTTCTGGTGTACGTCGAGAAAGTCGGGTTCGCGCTCCGCTTTCCCCAAGGTGCTTGTGTCCATCAGTTGTAGAGCGACTTGTACAGGGACACAGTCATCGGTCGCCACGAAATCCCATTCGCGTTGGATCGAATGCAAAACATCTGAATGCCGTATCAGTCGAGTCAGCCATTTCCCCTTTTGCAGGTTTATCACGGACAAAGCATGGCCGAGCACATACCTTCAACAGCCTGTGTGCCTCCTGCGCTGGTCGCACTCCGCTGACCGGCGACATTTCCTAGCCTGCTAGTATCCCCATGGGGCACATTGTTCCCCGGTCCGCCCGGAGGCCTTCGTTCCCGATCTCTATCCAAATCCGGCCCTCGAGTCCGCGAGCGCGACGAAGAATAGGAGCGGTCATCCCGGTCGAAGCGGTCACGGCGCCGTTCTGGCGATTGATTCGGCGACAAAGAAGGCTGCTGCGAAGCTTCCGGATAGAACCCTCCGTATCCTCCAGGGCGGCGGTCCCTCCCTCCACTCCCTCCGCCGGCGCCGGCGCCATAGCCATTTGGCCCTAGATTTGTGTTGTTACCATATCCACCCTCGCTTCGCTCGTACCGGCTGGCGTCGGAGTACCCGTAACCGTTCGAGTAACCGCCTCTGCCGCTCATGCCAGGTTGTTGTGCTATTCGGGTCTAAGGTTTATGCGATAGCGACTAATGGGTAGAGGGATCGGAGCCTGTGTCGACTTTCAGGATTGAAGGCGTTCACGATGTGGTCACAAGGTAGGGGATGCGGGCATGTTCGCTCTGCAGGCACAGGCTGTTTGAAGTTCAGGGGACCCTTCTTGGATGCGCTCAATTGAGGGGGATTAAAGAAGTGACTTCTTCGTAGTTCAAAAGTTCGGCGGAGAGCTCATTGGCACAAAGAGGCACATGCATGGAAGGAAGGACAACAGTTTGAGGGGGAGCTGTTGTCAAAGCCGATCTCCACACGAGCCGCCAGCCACATCCCGTCACGGAGAATTTACTAGACTCAAAAAGGAAGACACGATGCGCAGACTACCTAAGTGTTAATGAGATATGGGCAGAGCAAATACAGGAAATCCCTCTATTCCATTATGAAGTTCGCTCTATCAATATCTACCTAGTACTCCGTACATACAACATTAACTACTTCGAGATCGGGCGAGTCTCTCTCTGGAGCCAGTTACGCGAGAGCTCATCGCTCTCAAAGAACATATTGGTCTTTTCCCACACTTCAGCATGGTAATCGTTGACCCATTTGATCTCATGATCGCTCAGAAGCGACGGTTCAATCAGGTTGAGGCCGATTGGGCATAGTGTGACATGCTCAAAGCCCAGCCAAGGTCGATCGCCGAACTTGTGAGTAGTCTGGACCTCACGCACCATAATGACGTCTAGATAGTTGTCAGTGAGCATTGTGCATTTGCGGCTGGATTACATAGCGGAGGCTTACTTTCGATACGGATGCCGAACTTGCCGTCCTCGTAGAAACCCGGTTCTGTCATAATCAGCATGATGAAACAAGCATCGACATGCAATGTACGTACCGTCAGAAATAACATTGCCAGGAGCTAGGGGAACTTCCGTGTATTGCACCCGAGTACCAATACCGACGGGTCCCTCGTGTACGTTCTACAAAACAGTCAGCGGAGGCTCGAAGTCTAGAGGAAATGTGAGTTTACCAGGTAGGAGCCAATTCCATGACCAGTTCCGTGTAAGAAATCAAGTCCCTCTCTCCACAAGTGTTGGCGGGCTAGAACGTCAAGGGCAAAGCCGCTTGTACCTTTCGGGAATACGGCGGAGTCGAGGCCGATGAGGCCTTTGAGCACTAATGTGAAAGCTTTCTTCTCGAGCTCAGTGGGTTGTGCAAAGTGGAAGGTCCTGGTCACATCTGTAGTCCCGTCCAAATATTGTCCTCCAGAGTCACATAGATAGATGGCGTTGGGATCGATCACGGAGCAACCCCCTTTCTCCGGTTTGTAGTGGATGATGGCGCCATTAGGGCCCGTCGAGGATATAGTATCAAAGCTGAGACCGGCGAACAGGTCGTGTTTCGATCTGATCTGCTCCAGCTTATCGGCTGCATCAACTTCGTCCAGGATTGTTTTCTTATTAACCAACTCATTCTCGAGCCACGCGAAGTATTCAACTAGGGCAGCCCCGTCGCGGATGTGGCAAGCCCTCATGCCAGCTAATTCGACCTCGTTCTTCACAGCTTTCGCATCGCCGATAGGACTACGCGTCTCATCGACATGATCCTCACCACCCAGACTCAGGTTGAGAGCCCACGAAGCTCTATTGGACAAAAGAAACTTGGCAGGCGGTGCCTCGGGGTCTTGCTTCTTGGCCTCAAAAAGTGCTTTGGCATCGGCAAAGATAGACTCGTAAGGCTTAACGATAACGTCTACTCCAAGATGTGCTTTAACCTCAGGGGTCAACTTCTCATCCTCGATGTAGAGTTCAACCGTCGTGGGTGTGACAATACAGTAGGAGAAGAAGACTGGATTGTACGGGATACTATAGATCGTCAAATGTTAATTAGATGACAAACTAGATGGTAAGCAATGTACTTACTCGTTGCCTCTCAAGTTAAGGAGCCAAGCAATTTCATCAAGCATAGCTGTGAGCATTGTCAGTATAAGCGTACGTCATAAAAAGACTGGGTTCGAAGCACAAATTACAAATCCAGCCGCCTTCTTGGTCTCCAACTCCTTGCGCAGATCGCTAACTTTCTCCTGAAAACACTTTCCTGCATACTTTTCGGGATGAACTCTAACCTTCTCTCTTGGGGGAGCAGGGCGATCTTCGCCCCAAATCGCGTCGACAAGGTTCTTCGATACTCCAACTAGGGATGAGTTGTTTTTCTTGAGGGTTTCGGAAAGATTGCGTGCCGCCGCTATACATGGTTTAGTACCCCAGCGCAGAGTTGGAAAAGAGGCCTAAGCCTACTTACCGGCTGTAATCAGAGCCGGGTCAACTCCGACTACTTTGCCTCCCTCGGATTGTTGGGTTATCCTATCAAAACATTCAGTTTCCCACGGAGAAGCATCAGGTGTTCAATCACGCCTACCACTCCTGCCAAGTTGGGACACCCTCAACCCCGCGTTTTAAAAGCGTCCAGTTGTTATCAAGCTGCTTCGCTGCTTGGTTGAAGTACCGGCCATCAGTGGATAGTGCGGCTTCGCTCGAGGAGATAATCGCCGTTCCGGCAGAACCAGTGAACCCAGATATGAATTCTATATAAGAACATGTAAGTTATCAGGAAGTATGGAGGACGCGCATATTTCGAAGGGCATTTCGAGGGTAGAAAGGGCGTGGAAGATTTCGTTTACCTCGCCGGCCGTCACAAGGCGCAATATATTCCGACTGGTGACTATCTTCCGAAGGAACGACTTAAGAACGGTGAGAATTGAGTTCTGTCTCGGACTGAGGATAAGGGTTCTCTGCTGCCATACTGTACACGTCGACCTTGTGCTCTTGCATCAACTTTCTCAAGTCGCCTAGGCGTTTGGTCGTATCAACGGTTTCCATCTCGACGGCGTATCGCGGAACGGATACCGAGAAATATCTTGATCGGAGCTGAGGGATAGACTTGGTCGGCCGGAAAGCGAAAATCCAGGAAAGCCGAGCTGGGGGACGAGAAAAGAGCATCGACCGGCGCGATTCAGGAACAGCGCACGTGTCAAGGGTAAGGGCCTCTCAATCAGAGGAAAGCAAGAGGAAACCCGCGCCGTAGCCCAGAATATGTATAAGCGGGCAGGCAGAAAGAAGAAAAGTCTAAGAAAATCCGCAAAGATGTCGTGTACAAGCCGCCTTGAGGTGGGGTGTAGACCAAGGAGCTGGGAAGGTTGGATGAGCCTTAAGGTTCGCAGTCTCGGAACAGATAAGGCGGAGTTGTGCCAGAGTGGAGTCATCTTACATAAATCACCACTTCTCCAAACCATACTTCGATCAGGTTGCTCGGTATGATCCTAGCAAAGAATTAGAACCTTATGTGATCACTGAATTTTGAATCCTACGTAGTGGCTCAATATACTGTATCTAGGGCAGCTCAAGCGAAATTGGCTGGTTATTTGGATCCTTCGACCCCCCTCATGAGACAAAGAAATTCCCCACCGATAGTGTTATCAGCACGTGACCCACTCTTCACCTATCGCTCATCTATACATACAGCCGGAATTGTCCCTTCTCCAGCTTTTCTGTTAATTTCTCCGGTGCTTCGCTCACGCCCATGGACCATCCACCCCAGGTCGTGGATGTTCAGATCCTCATCAATGAGGCAAGGACAGTGAGTCTGAAGTCTCTGGCCGTATTTGTACCCCAAACTGATAGATATCTCTCCAGCTTGTCTCGCAGCTTTATGATCCAGCGAACACGGGAAACCCCACCAAGATCAAAGTTATCCAGGAACATCTCCAAACCCTGCAGAAGGGGCCGCATGCCTGGGTCATAGCTAATAGACTTCTTGCCGATGAGAGCACCGATCTAAGATTCTTTGGCGCTCTGACTTTCACGGTCAAGGTCAACCACGACTGGTCAGTTACTCTTCTCAAATAACAGGCTTATCCGCCCACTCATCTCCATGGCAGGCAACAATTGTCATCCCACGACGCTCGGGAGCTTATTGGACGGTTGATAGACCACTATGTATTTCTGGTCAACGGGGGGGAGCGTCCTCTAGTCATACGAAAACTAGCTTCAAGTCTCGCCACAATCTTCCTAAAGACTGGTGCCCCGTGGACTCGGGCCATCTTGAGCCTAGGCGCCTCTCTTGCGAGTGGGAAAAATATCAGTGAAGAAAATTGCCAATCAATAACCCTCCAAGATGCTATTCTCCCTGCATTGGCCGAAAACCAGGTAATATCTCTACTCTATTTTTCAAATATTCTTGCAGAGGAAATCAATCGCCTAGGCTCAGAGTCGCGTCGCAGTGGCGACGTCCATCGCATTTCCGAGAATATAAAAGATGCTTTTCTTCTCGTGGAGTTTGTCCTGTCCCAGATCCTGCAACATGATACCTCTAACAGCGGTGCCTCTAACGAGGTTCCCGGAGCTGTGGCACTCGATTCTTACCAGGTAAGACTCTCGAAGTATGTCGACCTATTATTCAAAACTGTCTAACGCAAGTGCTAGTCCTGGATCGCCGTGCGAAGTTCGTTTCAGCTGCATGATACGATCACTGCAGCGCAGTTGATACCCTCAACGAACTGTGTAATACAGAGCCTTGCCATACCATCCTTGTCTAGAACAGCTGCGCGCATTCTTACTGAAGCCATGGGATGGCGTGACAGTATGTTGACGCCAGAACATCTTTCAGCTGTGCTGGACTACCTCATCAGTCATTCCGGTGCAGCACACATTGCCTCACTCATGGAAGGCGACTTTGAGGACGAGAACATCGCTTTTCTAGAGCTACTGCTGGCATTCTCAAGTTTGAGGCAGACGCAGCTACTGACCCACTCTTTAGACGACAAGCACGAGAAACTTGTTGCTTTGCTCCATACTTTATTCAAGGCGCCTGGTTATGCAGCAGTAGATGATTCTGCGGCACCTCTCATTCTCGAATGGTGGACTAGTGCTGCCGATGACCTCCAAGACAATTTGCTTGAATCCGAAGAACAACATGGCCTTGAATCCGCAAAGCAGAATCTCGCCCGTGTCACACTCGATTGCTTCGAGAAGCTCAAGTACCCAATGCCGGAGGAGCTACGAGAGTGGAGCGACGACGAGCGAGCCGAATTCGGTTCATTCCGCCGTGATGTTTGCGATTTTCTCCTTGCCATTTACCCTATATTGGGAGTGGAATTGGTGCACGTGTTCCAAGCACAAGCGAGAAATTCTCTCATAAGTCAAGACTGGAGAACATTTGAGGCTGCTATTTTCTGTGTTGCCCAACTCTCGGAGGCCGTGGACGAGAATCAGCACGCCGACGACTGCCTGAATTCGATCTTTTTCTGCGATGAGTTCTCCCGTCTATGCGAAGGGGACGGCATTATAATCCCTGACAAACCCCGCCAAACTCTGGTCGACATGCTAGGGAAATACCAATCATATTTTGAGCGCACTCATGCTCTACTGCCACGAGTGCTCACCTTCTTGTTCTCGTCATTGGATGTTGCATCATGTGCTCCCACTGCCTCAAAATCAATATCCCACCTCTGCAAATCATGCCGCAACGCTCTCAAATTTGAACTTCCTGCCTTCATCGGCCAATTTGAACAGTTTCGCTTCAGACCCACGGCCACCACCCAAACCATGGAAAAAGTGTTAGAAGGAATTGCTGCTATAATACAGATTCTTCCTTCCGATGAGGAAAAAGCACCCTTCCTTGAACGGATTCTCAAATTCTTTCATGAGCAGGCAGGTCTTGCTCGAAATGAGGCTGCGCAAGGGTCAGTTGAACCTGCTCGCAACCGCGGCCACATGGTCCTTCGTTGCTTAGCGAGCATTGGACGGGGGCTAAGGGCAGATGGGGAAGTCATCCTGGACTCCGGCCATGGGAAGGACGAGGACCCCTATCCGCCCACCTTTTGGAATTCAGGTGACGGCGCTGTGTCGCAAAACCTGATAATGCAATGCATGCGACTTCTCATGACGGACTTCCCATTTGATGTCGCAATAATCGAAGCCACCTGCGACATTCTGAAGGCCGGGTTCACTGAGAGCACTGGTCCTTATGTCTTCCCACCTCGAATGACCGTTGACTTTGTGAAAAGCATTCCTTTGGGTACTGCTGGCACCGATATGGTGATGGGTACAGCGTCTGCATTTCTGGCCTCGCACGGCTCACATCCACACAAAGTATCTGACGAGACCATCGCACTTATTCTCCGTGTGTATGACACGTTCTGCTGGGTGCAAGAAAAGCCGGAGCTATACGATCCAGAAATTGCAAACAGCGGCATCGACTTTCTTACTCGCTTACTCCCCAAGTATTACCCATACCTTTTCGCACTTACATACACACCTCAAGGGGCTGAACACAGACCTACCGTTATCCACGCAATCTCAAACTTCACACTCCTCTCACTGCAAGGCCCAGAACCCATTCCTCTTCGCTCAGCTTCTCAGTTCTGGGTGAGCGTCTTAAATCTTCCTACTGACGCTGAGGCTGTACAAAATACCATTCGCGAATGCTTGCCAACGCTTTGCCGCATACTCATTACGCAAGTTGCGGGTCGGTGTGCGCGGTCGGACCTTGAGCATCTCACGGATGTCCTCAGACGGGTTGTCTTCAAGCAGCAGGGCAATGCACGCCCCCATCTCACCGCCGCGCTGGCCGACATAGGGAATGACCATACCGGACAAGAACATGCTCATGTCCCATCGCCAGAAGAAAGACAGCGCTTCCTGTCGTCTTTGTTTGCAGCAAGGGGCGTCAGAACGCAGACGCTCCAATTGGTACGCGCTTTCTGGGTCAAGTGCCGTGGTGCCGGCTTCGATTATATTGGGTAGTTATCAGTAAACTTACGCAATCTACGATACCCCTTGCATATCGATTATCGAGCATGGATCTGGCCAACGCCACAAGTAGAACCGACCTGCGCTCACGTTTACAGGGTATACCATAACCAAGTTATACAAGGCATTGATTAATCTTTCCCTAGGATTCCGATCGTGTCAAACAGCTTTGATCAATTCCCTCCAATGCTCGAGAAATGACACAGGATCTTCTTTGGGATATTTATAGATGGGGTGGGTGGATATGCAAAACATCAGCCACTGGGGCGGTGCATCCACCAGGCATCGACGACGCCGTCGCCCAATCATCCGAATTTGGAACGCCCTGCACACTGCAGTGAACAGACTCCAATGCTCCATATCATTTAGCGAGCGGAAGGCGAACGTCGGCCGACTCGTGGCGGTGCAACTAAACCCGAATGACTTGGTTATGGAATCCGCCTGATCTTCGGTTCATCCTGTATATAACTACGACGACTTGCTAGCTCTTGGGCAACATTCAACACACCAATGCCGCATATCGCTGACACACCGGAGTCTATCGTATCCCACTCGGATTCGAAGAATCCAGCAACAACATGCAGAGGCATCACCTCCAACGGCCTACCATGTCGCCGTGGACTGGCATCGTCAACATCACCTCAAAGAAACGCGACCAAAACGAGAGTACAGCCAGGCATAGACATAACTGCGTTCTACTGCTGGCAGCATAAAGATCAAGCGGAGTCAATCTTGCGCCGGACGACATGGGCATCAGAACCCGGGCAGAAGCCACCGAGATCAAGCATTGACACATTAATGGATCGCCTCGGCGTCCTCGAAATCAATGATACGCAATATGCCCGGCCTCCTCAGAAACCTAAGCCAAAAAAGCAAATCAAACGTTCATTTTGCTGCTTTGATATCATTGAAGATGATGAGCCATTACCTTCGAAACCAAGCCGTCCCAGTGCAGAAACAAGCTCGTATGGAAAACCTACTAAGCCCCAACAAATGCAGCAAGTATCATCACTTGCACCAGCTAGATCTGTTGCAAAACCAAAGGCCAATGCGAAGCCGAAGTTGAAGCCGGAGCCACAAAATCAAGCACCTTCTTCGACATCTAGTGCCCAAACGAACTCGCTTCTCGCATGGATTCCTGCCTCACTTTCACCACAAACAACCTCACTCCTCTTAACCGAACTCGCAAAGCCAATATCTTCGGCGGATGAGCCAGGTTACATCTACATGTTTTGGATTACCCCTTCAAGATCAAACAAATCCCAACCGCCACCTGTGGACGTCGCGACTTCTCTTATCCCTGTCTCCGCGACGCACACGGAGACCATCGACCAGATCCGACGTACCAGCACCGCAATAGCTAAAGCACGGGACCTAAATGCCCTAACATCATCACCTGATCCAAGCAAAAAGAATCCAGGCACAGTACGACTGAAAATCGGGCGAACGACCAATGTCCATCGTCGTCTTAACGAGTGGACAAGACAATGCTCCAATCATCTGACCTTGATTCGGTACTATCCGTACACCTCATCATCCTCTCGTCGACGTCAGGGCCGAGACGCGAATGGTGCTACGGAGGCACTTGGTTTCGAGCCAGGCCAGAAAGTGCCGCATGTCCATCGCGTGGAGAGGCTCATCCATCTTGAGCTGGCCGATATTAGGGCGCGGGATCTAGGCGTGTGTCTGGAGTGCGGGAAAGAGCATAGGGAGTGGTTTGAGGTTGCGGCTGAACGGACAGCGCTCAAAAGGGTTGACGAATGTATTCGGCGATGGGTGCGTTGGGCACAAAGTCAGTGATTACTGTAGATCAACCGGAATTACATTCTATACGTTAGGCAGGTGCTCTCGGCCAGCTTCCCAGAATACCAGCCAAACAACCCTAGGAAGGTGCCACTCCCATCGAGTCGAACCAACAACCCCCACCCCATCAATTATGAACAACAAGCTCTCCAACTTCAGACTACTTCCGTCGATTATACCCACTATACCACGCACTCTTTTATCTTATTTTATATTATCTACTTCAGTCAGCCAGTCACTCACTCAACCGTCAACCGAACCAATCATTCGCTACATATCGCCATATCCTCAGCCGCATACACAACCCAACAACAAGAGAAAAGAAATGTCCTCCCCTTCTGATCAAAAAGCACGCTCTGAAAGCCCCTTGTGGGGAACGCCGTTGCTAGAGGAGCATGGACAATCCGCGTCCGCCCCTTCATCGGGAGAGCTTGAGAGACTTCAGGGGTGGTTTCCAACTCGAGATGTTCAGGTGCGAGAGGGGTCGGTGAACCATTCGGATGAGCAGCAGAATGAGCAGGCAGGTCAGGAGCCAGGTCCACAACCAAATGAGCAGCCAGTCCAACAGTCAGGGAATGAAAGAATTCAACAAAGTCCAAGTGATCGAAGACTTTTTGAACTGCTAAAGAGAGAACACCCCGGTTTGGTTCAACGCCCTATCAGACCGAGTCTTCCACACTTCACGCATGCCCTGTATCAAGGGCCGCTACCTAGTATCAAAACTGTGGGCCCGTCATCCTCGTCGTCTGAATCGGCTCTCTCGAACAGCGCCCAGACTGAAGTTCCCACTGAAACAACGCCATCTCTCTCGGTTCTCTCTCCCCGGAAAACTAACACCGGAACTCCTAATCCATCTGGAACAACGCCATCTCTGTCGGTTCTCTCTCCCCCAGTTACAAACGCCGGAACTCCTGATGCATCTGGAACAACACCGACGTCCTCGATTCCCTCGGCTCTCGCGACCACTGACATCGAAACTCTCAACCCTTCAGAAACAACACCCTTGGTGTCATTCCCCCCAATCCAATCTTACAACCGCTCTCGATGGTACTATCGTGTCTATTTGGCTATTCTATTCATAGGGACTTACGTTGGAATGCTTGTTCTTGTGCTTTACTATAACCCGCGTTCCGCGACGGCAACAGAGGAGGTGCATTGTAACTGCGTGATCAAGCGGTGATAGATAGTTAGAATATTTCCTTCCCAGGGTCTGAGCTAGAACTGTACGATAGGATAGTCTAATTAACCTGCTATAATTATACTTATATATGCTTCTTCGGTGCATTTTACAACGTTCAGCCAATGAATAAAAGAGCAATGGCATCTGATTAGGCAGTGAAGCAAAGCGGAGCTATTATTGCTGAGGTGCTCATGTAGTTCCGCATTAGGTGCTCACGCAGGTCCTGTTTCAAGGCCCCGCTCAATTCTCTCTCAGCTCTATCAAATGCCTGCTTAAGAGGCTTCCCTAGCGGCCGTGGCGCTAAGAAGAAATGGTATCCTAGCTACAGTGCTAGTCCTAGTAAAGGGAATTAGACCAGAACCTTGGAAGCCAATAAGATCCAATGTACGAAAGCAGGGTACAACGCAAGTGGAATTCTGACAGCATTAAGCGATCATGCATGTTGGTAAAGGGAAGGATTTCACTCTCGGGGATCTATCTTAGCAGAGAGCCTAATCTACTCGGATATGTTCTCTGAATTGGGTAGAGAGACTTGATAACTTTTAATAACTCGCCATGTTATAGTCTACAAAGTCTAAATACTTCATCATATGCTCATACCTCATAAACACAACGCTCATTAAAACACAATGTGGAAGAACAAATTGAAGCACGAAGAGAGACTGAGGAGATTTACCAGCCGCGCTTGGCCAGCTTGTCGGTCTCCTGCATCTGCGAGACGTTGATGCCAACCATGGCCTCACCGAGACCCTGGGAGACCTCCGCTAGGACCTTGGGGTCCTTGAAGTGTGTGACGGCCTGGACGATAGCCTTGGCACGCTTCTTAGCATCGCCGGACTTGAAGATACCTGAGCCGACGAAGACTCCGTCGCAGCCAAGCTGCATCATCAGGGCGGCATCGGCGGGTGTGGCAACACCACCGGCAGCAAAGTTGACGACGGGGAGACGGCCCTTCTCGGCGACGTCGCGGAGGAGCTCGTAGGGGGCCTCGAGCTCACGGGCGTAGGCACGGAGCTCAGGCTCGGGGTCAGCGGAGGACTGGAGGATAGCGCGAGCACGGGCAATTTCAGCGTTGACGGTACGCATGTGCTTCACTGCCTCCACGACGTCGCCGGTACCAGCCTCACCCTTTGTGCGGATCATAGCGGCGCCCTCGGAGATGCGGCGAAGGGCCTCGCCAAGGTTGCGGCAGCCGCAGACGAAGGGAGCCTTGAAGTTGTGCTTTGTGACGTGGTAGAGATTATCGGCGGGGGTAAGGACTTCGGATTCATCAATGTAGTCAACGCCAACGGCTTCGAGAATCTACCACAGAGCAGGTTAGTCGGTGTAGCGATAATTAATTGGGTCAAATAACATACCTGGCATTCAACAAAGTGTCCAATACGGGCCTTGGCCATGACGGGAATTGTGACGGCTTCCATGATCTCCTTGATCATTGAGGGGTCGGACATGCGGGCCACGCCTCCCTGGGCGCGGATATCGGCGGGCACTCGTTCGAGGGCCATAACAGCAGCGGCACCGGCCTCTTCGGCGATACGGGCCTTGACAAAAGGTCAGTTGGCGCGTTCAATGGAAGTGAAGAAGATACTAACCTGCTCTGCATTGACAACGTCCATGATAACACCACCCTTCAGCATCTGAGCAAGGCCAGCCTTGACGGTAAAATTGTTGGCGGCAGCTCCATTGGTAGCGGGGTTCTGAGAAGCCATTGTAATGGTAGGTCGCGGAGGACAAGAATGAAGTCTATAAACTAAGACAAGAGCGATGGATGAGAAGGTAAAGAGAGAGAAAGTAGCGTGGGAGAGAAAGTTTGAGGACACTTGGGTTTGCAAAAGAGTGAGTCACTAATATATCGAGCAGTTGGTTAAGGATCCATGCTCTGCTCACGAGTTGCCTCTCCGAGACCCAGAAAAAAAGTCCCCTCGATTGACTTTCCCCGCCGAAACTTTAAGCTGGCCAATCACGGCGCTTTTGCCCCTCCAAACCTTTGGCGCCCGGTGCGAAATCGCCTGAAGATCCTTTTTCGTTTCCCGCGGGATAGCCTGGCCCAGGAACCGCCCTTTTGCCTGGTGCATGACAATCTCTGGGCAACAGTGCATGTCAGTTTCTGCCCGTTTCTAGCCTACACTTGCTTATGCGATAACCGGCCGGGAAGTGGTCAGACTTTGTCAAAATCAACCCACAGAACAGCCGCTGCTGATAAGCAGATCGGAGAAATCGATCGCTATCAATCTCGACAGGTAGGTTTCCGAAGTAGATCACGATGGCCTCTCGGAGTCTCCAAGGCCTCTGAGGAACCGTGAATGATCCCATTCAAGAAGCCCTGAGGGTTGAATGTGAGACGGTAGACCGATACATCTGGAGGATCGGAGGAAGACCTCGTCCTCCGCGCATAGTTGCGGGTTTGCGGGACGGGATTTGCCTCGCCGACGCTCTGTCTGGAACGGAACATAATAACCCCGAGAAAATTCTGCCGACCGAGTCACCGCCCTCACGAACCATGACGTAAACGCCTACAACAGCAACGATGTTCTTGTTGACATTAGGATATGAAAACTAATGATTCCTGAATCTTCACACATATCCACACTCAAAACAATCATACGCATCAATTGGCACCAATAATCCCACAACATGGCATCAGGTCTCTTGCGCACCTCTGCAGTCCTCGGAATCGGCCTCGGCCTATCCTTCTCGCTCCCTTCATCGCCCTTCCGCGCTGCCCCCGTGCAATGTCAATACGCGGCTCCCTACCACAGTGCTGGTCCCAGTGAAGCGGACTGGACCATGAGCTCTCAGGATTCACTGTTGGGAAAGCAGCGCATGACACGAGGTAGCGGAATCTTGACGGCATCAAACATGCGACAGGTGAGCCTGGGAAGCGTGCTTGGTCTTGTGGTAGGCGTTGGGTTGAGAGCGTTTTCTCGGGTGCTGGTTGTACTCTTTGGGATGGGAATAATAGCTGTTGAGGTGAGCTTTTCAAGTTCGAGGGCTGCTCGCGCGTTTAGCTGACAAGCCGACAGTGGGCGGCCTCCAAGGGATATAACATTCTGCCTGTCCACCGATTGCAAAAATATGTGAAATCCGTCAACCTCGAGACGGCAGTATCGCGACATGTGCCTTTCAAGATTAGCTTCGGTGCCACCATGGCTCTGGCTGCCTTTGCGCAATTTTGAACTTGTTGTTTGGATAGACGATAGTTCGCCGAGCGTGAAATGCTCAATCGTAAGCGGAGCAATTGACTTGGACAAAAGATATTGTACAGGGTATCATAGATTATGTCATCGCGCGAATATAGGTGTCAGCCTAACACAAGATCCTCCAGGACTCCTTCCATTTCGCCGCGGGACAATGGGACGCTCAGGATCTCCCCTCCGCTCGTATCCATCCGCGACGTTATCATCTGATGGTCATGGAACTCCTTCAACAGAGTGCGAAACATCATCTCGGAAGATGCAATAAACTCCTCGGATGCCTTTTGATAGAGCGTGCGGAATTCGATTCCCGTCTCATCCTTCGGTGCTTCTGCTGCGCCTTCAGCGTCGTCCAGGTCGTCATCTCCATTTTGGAATTCATCCGCCAGCGATAGCAATTCCGTAAGAAGTAACCGGTAGAGGTTCCGCGCGTTCTCTGGCAGACTTTTCAGTACAAACTCGACACCCTCTTTGCCACCAACACGGCGTCCCTTGCGTCCAAGGAGATTATGAACCTCTTCTACTACATCAAATTCGGCATCGAAGGGGATAAAGGTAGTGCAGTCGTGGAAGACAAAGTTGAGCTGATCCCGGAGACTGATATCCCACATCAACAAAAAGTTCGGTGTGTCTGCGGTTGCGAGGAGATGGATCTTCGGGGTAGCAGCCAACCGAGCAAGCAGGGCCTGGTTGGCGGCGCGGCGAAGGGACGGCGCATCGATGGAGTTGATGAAGACGGTGATCGGGCTTTGAGAGGGTCGCGACTTGAGAACGGATTGCAGCAATTCCAGCACCTCGATTGGCTGAGCTCCCATTTTCGAAGGGATGTCAGCCCCTAGAACGGCGGTGACAATCGTAGCAAAGATGGAACGGATGGACAAGTTGGGGGTGTGTCCGTTGACAATGACGACGGATGGGGGGCTAGAGCTGTGCTTGCGGTAGAGCCAGTCCGCAAAGTGTTGCGTAAGTGGACGCTTCGAGCCGTATCCATACAGGCAAATGTTGAACCCTTGATGAAATTCAAAGTCCCATTGTGAGAATGACCGGCGATGAAGGTCGTTCAGGAAAGCTGTCTCCCGCTTGCATGGATCTTGACGTTGCGCGTGTTTCTCAAAATATTCCTCGTGGGTTAGCAGCGTCACTTTGTTCAAGTTGTTGTTCGATGTTCGAGGAGGCCCGGCGCGGTTCTGGAAAAAATATCTCTCGTGCGCCGGCAAGTCCCCCTCGGGCGTTGGAGATCGCTTGTTTTTTGCACCCTTCGGTCTTCCCGCGCGACGCTTCGGTGTAGCTGCTGTCTTGTCCGTTGCCGGCTCCACAGAGCCTGCCTCGACCGATTCGACTACGCCGTCATCTTGCGCAGCAGCTTCAGCTGGAGCATTGTCCTCACCAGCCAATATCTCCTCCGCCAATCGAGCGCCTCCATCCCAGATATCCTCTTCATCGTGCTCGAGAAGCAATTGGGCACTTTTCTTCTTTGCAGATCGGTCGGCTCGGGCTTTTGTCGGGGTCGAAACGGGGTTATCTTTTGTAGGCGTAGAAAATAGTGCTTTGGCTTTCGATCGGTTAGATGGGGTTTTCAATCCGGAAGCTTTCAGGGCAGCGGGTGTTTCTGCGGCGGGTCTTTGAGGTGTTCTCTTCACTCGCTTCGACGGCGAGTTTTCTGGAGATCCGTCACCGTTGGTATGATTATTTGTGGTGCCATTAAGTTTCCTAGTCCGCTGTCTCTTCGGTGTCGAGACAGGGAGCTGGTCGTCTAAATCTGGTTGCTTCCGTTTCATTTTAGTCATTGCCTTGGGGTGACTAAGAGTGGAAAATACCATTTAGAAACAGCTGGTGTTCTCGCAGCAGGAGCAAAACAGCTCAGGAAGCTTAGACGCAAGGGGCGGTCCTAGGAGCAGCTTCGACGCTGAGAATGTTGATCTTTCTTCAGGGTCGGTCGGGGCTCCCCCGGCCAATCCACGCGCCTGGAACGCGATTAATTGCTGGGCCGACTGTTTCTCCGCGGTTCGCGATATCGGAGCGGCATTTATTGACCGCAGCTCTTGCGACAATAAATCTCTCAGACTGTGGCATTTTTGCGTCCTTATCATTAGTGTTGAGTTCTAATTCGAGGGAAGGGCGTGTTTCTGGCTTGGTTGTGGTCTACTCGTCCACATAGCCTCAAGAAAAACAGCATTGCATTCTGGGCTGAGTCCAAGTTCTTCAGGAGCAATAGGTATTTAGTTCCCCTCAGAGCTCCAAATTTAATCTCTCAGCGTTGCGCTCTGCTCTTCATTGGTCTGGCAATATATACTAACTGCGGATGCTGTATGACAGCTACAATGGCCTCCTACACGCAATCCTCAGCCACAATGGCCACGTTCGCCCGGATGGTCAAGGGCCAAGTGCGCTACTACTCCGCACCAGTGGACGTAGCAATTCCCGCGAGCAAGCGCAAGTACATTCCTACTTCGGGTACTTACCCGAAAGGCTTCGTTGTCTCCGGTACACACGTCGGTGTGAAAGCATCAAACACCAAGTTTCCCGACCTCGCCCTCATCTCCTCCGAGACCCCGTGCTCCGCAGCCGCAGTGTTCACGACCAACAAGTTCCAAGCAGCCCCAGTTCAGGTCAGCAAGAAGATCCTCAATGCTAGTCAGGGCCAGGGTATCCGGTCCGTCATCATCAACTCGGGCTGCGCCAATGCTGTTACCGGTAAAGGCGGCCTCGAAGATGCCATGAACATGGCAGCAAAGGTGGATGAATATACCGGCGTCGCTGAGGCTGGTACGCTCGTTATGAGCACAGGCGTTATTGGCCAGCGGTACGTTCACTTTTTTCAGACTCCAATATAGCACAGCTTCTAACGGGTTCAGGCTACCCATCTCCAAAATCCTTTCCAAGATCCCTGACGCCCACGCATCCCTCTCCTCAACTCATGACGCCTGGCTCACCACTGCCCGCGCGATCTGCACAACAGATACCTTTCCCAAACTTCTCTCGCGAACTTTCACCCTTCCCTCCTCTCCGGGCCGCACCTACAGCCTCGCCGGAATGACCAAAGGTGCCGGCATGATCCACCCCAACATGGCCACCCTCCTCGGTGTCATCGCCACAGATGCTCCCATTGTCCCCTCAGCCCTGTCATCCCTCCTCAAATCTGCCGTCTCGCGCTCTTTCAATGCCATTTCCATCGACGGTGACACCAGCACAAATGATACTGTCGCCATTCTGGCAAACGGAGCCGCCGGCGGCGCACCTATCAACACGACCCAGTCGGATGACTACGTTGTTATGCAAGATATTCTGACCTCCTTCCTGCAATCCCTCTCGCAACTCGTCGTGCGGGACGGTGAGGGTGCCACAAAGTTTGTTACTGTCCGGATTCAGAATTCCCCTGACTACGAGTCTGCTCAGCTTATTGCTTCCACAATTGCCCGGTCTCCCCTTGTGAAAACGGCCTTGTATGGGCGGGATGCTAACTGGGGCCGTATTCTTTGTGCTATTGGATACACGCAAGGTGTTAAGGAGGGCACTGTTGTGCCCGAGCGAACTAGCGTGAGCTTCAAGCCTGTCGACGGAAGTCCTGTGCTGAAACTCCTTGTAAACGGCGAGCCAGAGCAAGTGGACGAGGAACGCGCTAGCGCCATCCTGCAGGAGGAAGACCTTGAAATTGTTGTTGACCTTGGTGGCGGTGCCAAGGGCGAATTGGGTGGTGAAGAGGGCATCTACTGGTTCTGCGACTTCAGTCACGAGTATGTGACTATCAACGGTGACTATAGGACTTGAACGAACCACTGATATATACAATGCCCTACCGGCAAATGTGAATACCATAAATATAACTTTTGAAGCGCTCTACATACATGCTTGCCCTGCGTATGTTTTCGGATGCCTGGCAACCTTCCTGATCAGCGAACACGAGGAGTTCAGCAACACATCGTAATATTACGTGTTGAGAACAAATGGTCCGATGCGGCGGTGCTCGAGGAGCCCATCGAAGACGAGCCCTGGCGCTTTACCAGAATCAGTCAGACGCGGCGCTCTCTGATCAAGCCTGAACGCGGCTGTGCCTTACTATGGGAATTGGCTGGATGAACCACTCGCCACTTAACATGCAGGGATTACCAGCAATTGCCACGGCATAGGGATGAAGCGCTAACAGTGCATACATGCGTTCATGGCTGAGCAAAAGCATCATGAGAAACGACCTGACACGCCGAGATTGGTCTCTCCGAGCTCGATGCTGTGGTCAGCTCCACGGTCTTTATCCTGAGATCCAGTAAGTCGATGTACAACGAGATTGGCTTCTCAACCTACCTTCATCAAAAACGAGCTTTATAAGGATGACTTGCTCGATATCCGTCTTCTCAGACTCAGACTAATCAAGCAAAGCATTGCCTACATCTGACCATCATGCTTGCTCTCCTCTCCATTGTAGCACTGGCTTCAGCCTCTGCATGCACCCCTACCTACAACTCACGCCCAACTGCAGTCATTGATTCCGGCACACTGGTTGGAACAACTACAAAAATCTCCATCCCCTCCGCCACAGCTCCTATCACTGTCAACAAGTACCTCGGGATCCCCTTTGCGGACAAGCCCGAGCGATTCCGCCTCGCTGAGCCTGTATCCCCCTGGACAGTCTTCTTCGACGCCTCGAATATCGGGCCGGGATGCTACCAGGCGATCAGTGAAGACGCCTATTGGTACGCCATCGGCGCTGGTCTCGGTCTGCTCCCGTCGAGGAGAACGAGGACTGTTTGAATCTCAATCTTTTCGCTCCTGCCACAGCTTCCGCAGGCTCTAACCCTGTTCTTGTCTGGATCTATGGAGGGAGCTGGCAGGGTGGAGGAATTCCTATGATTTGTATGACGGCTCGAACATCGTTGCCAACCGGAAGTCATTGTTGTCGCCATCAACTACCGGATGAACGTCTTTGGGTTCCCTGCGGACGATAGCACCCTTGTTACTGAACGGAATCTTGCGTGAGCACTCAATTCCTCTTTACTTCTACCTCTCACTCATTATACAACATCCTAACCCTGACAACACTATTAGTCTCCACGACGCTCGCCTTGCCCTCGACTGGGTCTGGCGCGATATTGCCTTCCTCGGCGGCGACCCTTCAAAGGTAACCCTTGTAGGCGAGAGCGCCGGCTCCTGGACGATCGAATCCCTCCTCACAGCACCCCCACTGGAGCCCCTCCCCTTCCGCGCCGCAATCATGACCTCAGGCCTCCTCTCCGTCTCAGCCACACCCCGCAGCATCACCTCTTACATCGAAGCGTCGAAAACCCTAGTCAATGTCGCCGGACTGCCCAGCAAACTCCCCCGCCAGACTCAAATACCTCCAAGAGCTACCAGCCGAAGTATTGCAATCCCTCACCGTAAACAACAGCCTCGCCTTTAGCGCCTTCTCGGACGACCTCACCCTCGCCAGCAACGCCCGCGCGGACCGCCTCGCAGGGAAGACAGCCCAAATGCCCCTCCTAATGGGCACGCCAAACGACGAATCAAGCCCCCTCGTCTACGGCCAAACGAACGCCTCCGCAGTCCTCGAGCTAATCCGCTTAAGCGAGTACACAGACATCCTTCTGGAAGCCTTCCCGCTCGGCGAACCAGGAATCAAGAACTAAAACGCCCGCATCATCCGCATAACTTCTGACATCCTCATGCACTGCTCTCACCATGTCTTCTGCAACGAAACACGCTACGTTCTTGGAAACCCCGTCTGGAGGTTCCTCTTCAACGCCTCCTTCCCGAATACAGAGTTCTTCCCCGGGGCAGGCGCATACCATGCCATGGAGATCCAGTTCTTCTTCGGGGCGTATAAACAGGAGAATGCGACGGATTTCCAGCGTGAGGTAGGTTGGGTCATGCAGAAGGCGTGTGTGGATTTTGCAAAGGATCCAACGCAGGGTCCAGGATGGGCGCAGGTTCCAGAGATTGGGGTTTTTCGGGTCTGGAGTTACGCCGTATGTTAGTGATGAAGGGAGGAGGGCGTCCTCGGTTGTCGAGAGTGAGGTATTGGACAGAAGGTGAAGGCTGTATTATGATTTGTACGATGTGATCTCTTTTTGGAATGGAGAGGAGTAGATGTGCTGTTTCTGCTACTTGCAGGAATCCCAGGCAGTAAGGCTATATGTCGACACTGCCCAGGTGTCGCGGAGTGCCGCCTCTATCTCGTTTGGGGCAGCGCCTATCCGAGACATAGGCGAACATCCCTGTTGTTGGTTTGGTGTCAAACGCGCTCTGTAACGGTAGTTATATAAGGACGATGTATTTACCAGGATTATCCCTGACTTCAACAGATTTCTGGCTCTCAATTCCCTATCCAGTTGTATGGTAGCTTCCACACTATATACAGGACAAATTTATTTTAGAACCGGTTTGTCTCGAAAGCACGTCTCCAAGTAGATATATATAGTTGATATACAGGTTGAAAATTTCTGAATGCTTCTATTCAATATGGTTACAAGCAGGTCGGCATTATATACAGTTGTGGCTTACTTTTCCAAGGCGAAGAAGACAACCCCTCAAAATGTCAATGACCTTCCCATACATTTTCGCGATGAAAAATACATCCAAATACTACCGAGCCACAACAGTACACCACCTGGGACGCATGGAAAGATCAAGGGAGACCCGCAACCTTTCCACTCATGCTGTGCATCAAAACAACGAAAAAAGGAAGAATGTCTGGCCGTCCCGAATTAATTACCAGGGACGAGGCCCTTGAGGCCAGCGCCAATGTCGCCTTCACGAGCGGCAATTTCAAAGTAGCCGTAGATGATACTAAGAATGTCAGTTGTATGAAACACAGAATGATAGATAGATAGCTTACGTGACGGCAAGAAGGATACCAGTACCGCTGCCGAGGGCACCCAGAAGGTCGGAAGCGACGGAGAGAGCACCAATGCAGGCACCACCGAAAGCGGCAGCGGTGGGAATGACACGCTTAAGCTCTCTGTACATGCTCTGCTCACGGTGACCAGCCATGACAAGGCCCTGGTCCTTGAGCTGCTTAGCGACATCACGAGGAGCGGAGCCAGAAACCTCAATCCAGGTCTTGGAGAAGAGAGCGCAGGCAACAAGCATAAACGTGATGTAAACAGCTGTGTGGATTGGATCAAGGAGCGCCTCCTTGAAGTTCAGGGGAGGAGACATGTAGTAGGCGACACCGGAAGAAGCATGGAGCTGGGCAGAACCCTCACGAGGCTCCCAGACACCGAGAAGCTTGACGAGGATGTTGTCCGAGAAGCGGGAGTACAGCATCTGACTGATAAGGAAGACGTTGGAGGACAGAGCGGACTGGAGCATAATGGGCATGTTGGAGGTGTAGAACAGACGGACGGGGTAGGAACCACGCATGCCACGCTGGCGGGAGGACTTGACGGGGATCTCAACACGGAAACCCTGGAGGTAGATGACAGCGGCGAAGACAATGAGGGTGGCGAGGAGGTTCATCACGTTGGGCAGGTTCTGGCGGTAGAAAGCCTCACGGAGAGCACGCTGCTTGTCGGGCCAGGTCAGGAGAAGGTGGAAGAGAGCAATGATGGCACCCTCGAATTCCGGGCCGCGACCAGTGTTAATGGTGGTGGGGGAGAATGCCTTCCAGACAATAGACTCGCAGATGTTGGTCGCAATGAAGAGAGAGATACCGCTACCGAGGCCGTAGCCCTTCTGGAGCAGCTCGTCGAGGAGAATAACGACGAGACCGGCAACGACAAGCTGGACGATCAAGAGAACGCAGATACCGGCACCAAGGTCGCTGGGCTGGCCGTAGAGACCAGTAAGAACGTAGACACAGGCCTGGCCGAAGGAGAGGATAATAGCGAAGAGCTTCTGAGCAGTCTGGTAGAGCTCACGGTCGGTCTTGAGGTCAAGGTTGACGTCAATGAGGTGGGTACCAGCAAGGAGCTGGAAGAGCAATCATATTAGTATGGTTCAGCGCGCAAGCTGTAGCTGACAATAGGCGCATACCTGGAAGACCATGCCGGAGGAGATAATGGGAGTGATACCCAATTCCATCAGAGTACCACGGTTACTGGCAAGCATCATACGCAGCCAGTAAAGGGGGTCTGAGGTATCAGATGAGACAATGCCGTACAAAGGCATTTGACTCATGACCAAGAAGATCAGAAGAGTCAACTAAAGACAGTTAGTTTTATGACTTTGCAATAAGGCCACATGGGAACTTACCCCAGTCCACATCAACTTCTGGTTGAAGGGCACCTTGGTCTCGGGGGCTGCCACCTCCGGGAGGAGGGGCGTAAAGGGCTTGATGAGGTCAAGAAATCGAACTATTTGTGATGATTAGCTTCTCTCCTCCAATTGAGGTGAGTGTGGCGAGAGCGTCGCAGAATTGGCTTGCAATCGCGTGTGCGAGCACTTACGTCCGCTCATGGTGGCCAGCTCCCAACGGGGTCAAACAATCGGGGAATTAGAAAAGGTTGATAAAGGAAGCTGGTGCGGCGCCCAGCTGAAGGAATGGAAGGAAATTATAAGAAGGGGAAGAGAAAAGGAACTGAAAGGAAGAAGCGACGTGGAAGAGAAGGAGGAGGGAGGGAGTTGGAGGTCAGGTTGAGAATCTCCGTAACGCCTCGCTGGCCACTTTCGACTTCCCCAGCCGCGCTAACCCGTTTTGAGGCCACTTGGTCGCTTCCCCCCGACGAACCATACAAGAGCTTAACACTCCTTAATTTGTTGCCATGGCTTATTCTCAGACCAAAAAAGCTGATACTCGATCAAGATTTATCCAACATTGTGATCTAAATAAATTAACCATTTCTTCCCACGCAGCCACCTGGTATATTTCTAAAGCAGAGCATAATATCTTTGTACGGTAACCATCAAGGTCGCAAAATGTCCAACATCGTCTAAAGCTCAACCGGTCATCACTACTGCTTCAGCATCAAGGCCCAACAAGGCTCAAACAGTCGTCTATCACCATCTCCAGCTCACCGAGTCGTAACTTGAGCCCCTTATTCTCCTCCTTCAGGACACCCATAACACTCCAGGCCTCGGCAGAAGGTACACCATGGCAGATCCTGCATTTGGAGTTACTGCCGGCCCAAGCACTGGTGATCCCACTAGACGTGAGCCCCTTCATCACCTTATCGTACGTGGACTGGCGAGCAGGAGGTGCGGGAGCTTTGGGTTCTTTTTGAATAGGCTGCAGGGTAGCAGACGGTGGGATGGGGAGTGCGATCAGTGAGGTATTCGGCGAAGGTGCGATCGTTGAGGCCGGGGACTCGAGTCCTTCCCGACGTGAGAAGACACTTTCTGCCAGACTTTCGTCTCCTGACTCGAAGCCGGAGTCACTGGGAAGAGTTCCGTTGCTCGCCCGTTTCAAGCTCCACTTTGGGGCTTGGAGCTCGATCGATATGTCAGATATACTTTCATCATCGGCGCTGGGCTTAACGAGCATCACGCTTCGTCGACGGGCTTCTTCCTCCCGATGGCGCAGCTGTCTTTCTTGCTCGAGCTCCTCTGCCATGGCTTTCATAGCTTTCTCCTGGCGGAGAACCTTTTCAGCCATCCCATCCAACTGGATTTTGAGGTGTCCGATGCGTGTTCGCGTCTCCTCGAGCTCTTCCTGTTTTTCTGTCTTCTCGTTGAGCACCTCGTGTAGCGCGAATGTCCGTTCTTTGTAGGCTGCCTGCAACCGCCGAATAACGTTCTCCGCATTATGCCGTAGAGAATCGAAGGCTTCCTGATGGCCCAAGCCGTTTGAGTCGGGAGGGAATAACGCAGCGCCAACATCTAGGTTCAGAAGCTCATCTTCCGCGGGCTCGGGAAGGTCGAGTTTCGTCTCAGCCTGACGTTTCAACCCGAAGAATGACAGAGGATTTGTTGATGTTACTTGCTTCAATGGGGATGGCGCAGTCATCCGTTTCTGAGAGCGGCTTGTGAGACTCGAGGTAGTGTATGACGGACTATAGGACTCCTGGCTGCCCGAACCATCCATTCCAGTCGAAGCCATGTCCGATGTTTGATCTTCCTGACGGTACAGGAGTCCCAGGTTGACTTGTTCGGACTTGCCCTGGAACAGATCCGTCAACAGCTTTGCGCCGACTTCAAATTTCTTCCTTGCGGAATTCTCGTTCGGAGGGAGAGGCCGTGTTCGAGTGTAGTCTAGGTCCTCGAAGCTCTGGGGCTGGTCTCTGAATAACTGCCTAGATCCTGGCCGAATCTCGCGCGGCCGAATTACCTCCGTATTCGCACGGCGGTGGTAGAGCGTGTACGGGATACGCCGGGTCTCCGAAAGTGGCGATGGCGTGTGAGAGTTGGGTGTGAGGGCAGCGGCAGGGGTCTCGATGTGGGACAAGCGTGGATCATTGCAAGGCTGATCGCTATTCTCTTTTAAGGTCGAAGGAACCACCGTCGAGGAAGGGGTCCAGTTGGGAATTGTTGGCGTGGCAGTAGCTGAAGGGTGCGCAGGCGCTGCGAGCATTGTCAAGCTTGACCTTGACTGGTCAGCAGGGATGGATGATGTGACTGGAATGAGCGAGGAATGCAGTCAGTCGCACCACCTGGGCGAGAACTGGAATGCCACGTCGATGTGCTGTCCAATGCACGTCACGCTTTCGGTGGTGGTCGACAGTCGAAGGAAACTGGGAACAACAGTTCAGCAGCAGCTCCGTAGTGAGCAGTGGTTTGGTCCGACGCGCTGCCGGGTGATGGGGGTCGCAGTCGAAAAGATAGTAATGATCTTTGGATTCGAAACCGATCTGAGAATCGAAAGGAGATTTCAGTCCCGGCGCTCCGTCCTCTCAAGGGGGTAAGGAGTCGAGATCGGGGTCAACGAAACCGGCGCCAAGCAATGAACTAGCGATAGTCGTTGATCCGCACGTGCCTCGTCGATGAGCACGATCTCGAGTCGTCGATACTGAAGATATTCGGCTCTCGCCTTGATATTTGACACAATCGACAAGATTGGGGTTAGTTCACGAGTAGTTGAGACAGCTTCCAGTTTTCAGATGGTAGAATATGACGAGGTTGGTATATATTGCGGAAAATGCGGTGGCTGAACGAATCTCGTTGCTCGAGGCTCCACCCCGTGCTGGCCCATACACTAACATCTTTGGGGAAATCAGCAGGATGAGCCTGGAGCAATATGGATCAACCTTTGTTTTATCGTCATACTGCCGTCCATACGTCCGTCATCGCCGTGGCAGGTCCAGACGTGAAACGGTTAATTGAAGGTCATCCTTCGGTCAAGTCTTCCCATACGCTCGCTCTGGGGCACTTCCTTTGGAGAAAGAGGATATTTGAGCAAATCACGTAACTTGCCCTGAAATGCGCATCATGACTTTGCTCATTGGCCATATCAATCAAGGTGACGAAGGGCGAAATGCGCTCGAAAGGGGCAAGATGTACTCCGCACTTCCGTAGATACCGTTGGCCGTTGCCAAGCTGCTGAACGAAGCCAGGCAGCTATCAAGAACTAAACCTGGTACGTACCTTCATTTTTGCTTCAGCGTCGCTCAATCATTCGAGCAAGGTTCATCAAGAAGCTCAAAAACTCCTTATCAAAAATGTCATTTTTGGAGCTACATTCCACATCTCGTCATATGGTCTGACTGCTCTAATCCAAAGGCGGTGTGCGGAAAAGAGTGCCAGAAGAGTGCACAAGAGAGATGCTTGAGATTGTCAAGCAAGGCGAGCAACCAGCATTTCATCACGGAATACTTGGCCAGGGCGACTGATTCTCTGAGTAAGACTGAGCTGATGCTCGATTGAGTCTACTTTGCATGTCACTCTCCAAGCCCTCTCAAAATGCCTCGGAAGGTAACTGGGTTAAAGTTTCTTTCAAATGCGCTGGCGACGCCGGAGCAGTTGACCAGCTCCTCCTCTTCCATTGATGGTGTTCCAACCGACTTGGAAACATCCATTCGCTTTGCCGGAACCCAGCTTACTCAAGCTGCCGGTATCCTTCTACGATTGTCGCAAGATATCATAGCTCAAGCCATTGTGACGTTTACTCGGTTCTGGCTAGGTCCAGAAGGAGGAAGTCTCCGGATATACTCCGCGAAGGTACTTCAACTTAACGAAAGGTCAATAGAAGCTCACTGATTAAGATCCAAACAAACAGGATGTCTCCGCCGCCGCTCTCTACATGACCGCGAAGCTATCGTTCCAACCAACCTCTCCCCGATCCGTTCTGAATGTTTACACGTTTCTCCTGTCGAGAGAGGCCTCGCCCCTCTGGTTCGTGAATCCGAAAGGGCAGCCCAAGGGACCAGTACCCGAACACTATCACCTTACAGAAGGCGGATACCAGGCCCAGCGTCAAGTCCTTTTGCGCATAGAGTCGGTCATTCTCCGAACGCTCGGTTTCAACACGCACGTCGCTCTACCTCACACGATAACCCTGACCTACCTTCAAACTCTAGGCATCGCATCGCCAGCAGTCGCACGAAGAGCGTTTGAGCATCTCAACTCGAGTCTTCTCTCCCCGCAGCTTTTATATACGACCCATCAACCGAATGCCCTCGCGGTCGCTTCTATCTACCTAGCGGCTCGAGAAAATGGTGTAAAACTTGTGGATGGAGAGTGGTGGGAGGTCTTTGACGTGGACAGGGAGGACCTTGGGTTCCTCGTTGTCGCGATGCAAAGCATGGAGGGGTTTGCACGAGCAGAAAGCGAGAAGTGGAAGGGCCGAATGCTCCCGCTAGATACAGAAGAGGTGGACGCAGAGATTGAGCGAAGGAGGATGCTAGAGGCTGGAGAGTGATTAGTAGCAGTTCTGTGCAATCATCTTCACTCAAAGAAAGCAACAAAGCCGGGCATCTGATCTGCTAGCTGCCAAAGCTAGCTATGGGTAAGCTCAATATCTGGCCCGTTACCAGATGGCCGGACCAGTGCAGATCCTGCCCGAATTATCGCACCCAGATAAGCCTTGCGCTCTGCTGAAACGACCAGGCAAGGCTTCGATGGGCAACTTCGGGTTGTCTTATCGGACGATATGACGTTGGTAAAGTCAGCAGGTAGAAGCTACCTCAGCCGCCTGTATTGTATATAGCACAGTCTCAGATGAACAAACAGCCTTCAGATATATGAATGACACAGGTGTCTGACTCAATATACTCCAGGTGCAGGTGGTTGACCGTTGTGACGAGCCTCAGCCACATGATCCAATGGTGCAAGTACCCCGCGTGCCCCAGGCAGCGAAGCCCGAGACCGCCACATCTATTCACTGATAAGCGTTTCCCCTCCTTGAGTCCTTGCGACTAGACAACACCCAACACCTCACTTTTACTCGCCTTCTAACGCCCTTGCAATCCAACTCACATAGGACAGAAGGACACGGGGACAGAAAATGAACATCCTTCATTCCACTCTCTCAACCTGGCGCGACCGGCTCGCCCCCGTCTCCAAAACCTCAACCTTCCGCGCCTCGGGCCAGATCACACCGGAAGAATTCGTCCTCGCCGGCGACTACCTCGTCTACAAGTTTCCGTCCTGGTCCTGGGCCGATGCTTCAACGCCCTCAAAGCGCGTCTCGTATCTGCCCGCGGGGAAACAGTTCCTGGTAACCCGCGGGGTACCTTGTCACCGACGACTGAACGATAACTTTGCGGGGGATGCGCATCTCGACGACGAGATTGTGCGGGACTATCTGTCTGGTGGCTCGGGGGAGGACGGCGGTGGCGATGGTGATGATGATGGATGGCTTAGGACTGGCGGTGGTGGGGAGCGGCATGAGAGTACGATCCGGGATGTGAGGACTGTTGACGAGGCGGGGAGGGAGGAGGCTGAAGAGGAAGAGGAGATCCCGGACATGGAAGATGATGACGATGAGGAAGCCATCATTCGAGAGCCGGTGGGGAAGTCGAGTACTACTCAGTGCGTTTCAAGAGCTTGTTGTTATTCGCTCTGCGCATGCTAACAGTTCGATCCAGGCCAATCCGCACATACAACCTCTACATTACATACGCCAACTTTTACCGCACACCCCGCCTTTACCTATCAGGCTACCTGTCTCCGTCTGAACCTCTTCCACCTCACCTAATGATGGAAGACATAGTCGGCGACTACAAAGACAAGACTGTCACACTAGAGGACTTCCCTTGGTTCGAAGGCAGCGTCAAGATGGCCACAGTCCACCCGTGCCGACACGCCTCCGTAATGAAAACTCTCCTCGACCGCGCTGACGCCGCTTTGAAACTCCGCCGTGAGAAACTCAAGGCAGCCGCCGAGTCCTCCTCGCCACAGGAACAAGCCAAGCTCGTGCAAGCAGAAAGCGGCCTGGAGGGTCTCGTTGACGACATCAAGGGTCTATCACTAAACGAGTCTCAAAAGCAAGGCGACAAGGCCGCCCAAGTTGCACAGGCAGGCGGAGACGAGTGGGAAGTTCTCCAGGCTGAAGAGGACGAGCAAGTCGCCATCAGGGTGGACCAGTACCTCGTCGTGTTTTTGAAGTTCATTGCGAGTGTGACACCCGGGATTGAACATGACTTTACCATGGGGGTATAAATTTGCCCTCGACTCAGTTCCAATTTGATTTTTGTTAGACTGTGATCATGCATCCGCGACTCGCCAACGCTCTCCATATGCACATCCTGGAGTATATTTCCCCGTCTTCTTTCTTTAGTCGTAGTTTTTTTTTTTGGCGTTGGGGTTACTAGGATGATATGATTGATATAATAAGCTCATGAAGACTCGATGCTGTTAGTAACAAATGATTGCACTATTATACTTCCTTCTATCGTGAATTGACCTCTCAACTCCAGTATTAAAATGTATAAATATGCCAACGCCAACAACGATAAAGAAAGTAAACCTTATCCTAGCCCTACCCATAACTTAGCAAAACCATATACCAGACAAAGGTAACTCAAAACATTCAAGCGCAAGAACACATCTTCTCCGGCTCCTCAACCACCTTAATCTCCTCAACAAGATCCTGCGGCTCATGCACAACCTCTAGCTCAGCCGGAGCTCCGTCGTCTTCCTCAGATCCTGGAGCGGGGCACTGCCCAATCTCCTCATCTTCTTCCTCGAGCTCACCATGCTCCTCCGTGACTTCAGGACCATCAGTCGCAACCGGCGTCCCAACGCCCGGAACAGGCACGGGCGTAGGTAGATCAACAGAGTGAGGGAACGAGGTTGGTGGTGGTGGCAGAGGGAGAGAGGGCGTTGGAATCTCTTCTTCTTTTTCTCCCTCTGGTTTTTCTTCCTCCTGGGGAACAGGAACAGGAATGGGAGGCTGAGAGTCGGTATGCGATTCTGACTGCGACTGGTTCTCCGCCTCGTCATAAGAAGTCTCGTACCACTCGCCCAGATTCACCGAAGGACCATCAGGGATGCCGATGTTTGTATCCGAGCCGGTTGTCACTTGGGAGTGTGAGTCTTCCGACTCCTCAGAGCTGGACGTAGAGGTTGATGTTGAGGAGCCAGGACCATCGTGATCTTGCGAGTGGGACGAAGACTCAGACTCTGAGGCGGATGCATTCTCCCCGAACGCCGTGTCGAAAAAGTCGTTGTCGTTGTAGTAGGGGCCGTCGGGGATTCCGATGTTCGTGTTTGAGCCGGCGTTGGTGTTTGTACTTGTCTGCGAGTTTGAATTCGAGGAAGAGTCCGAGGTGGATGTGGTGGATTGTTTGCGGATGAGGGCTTTTGATGCAGATGAAACGGGGATTGCAAGGGTTGACGGTGCTAGGAGGAGGAGGCATAGGAAGGCGGAGACATTGGGTGTATGCATCCTGAAGGACTGTAGTTGGCTGTGTTGTATGTGTGTGTGTGTCCGTTCTAGAAGGTAATATAGATAGAGAACCTTATGGAATGGAAATAGAGACCGATGAAGTAGGGCTTCAAGGAAAACGTAGGTTGAAAGAGCGTTTAGAAAGTGACTGTAAAGTAAAGAGTGAACTATAGTAATGGATATCAAAATCACTCCCCGAGGTGGTGAGTTGTAGGCCCTTTTATGTCTTCATCTCGATCTAGACCTTCAGCTAAGACATCTTCGCCAGTGTATACCTACCTGTACAGGAGGTGTATGCCCTCCCAGTCTCCTGGGTGATGATGTACCATCTCCATCTCGATGGCCATCGGAGAAGCTTCTAGGAGAGCGTGCAGGCGAATGAGAATGTCCGAAGCCTATACTTGTGTCAGATCGTGCAAGAGGGATGAGACAGATGCAAGGAGAACACCTAGGTAGTACTAGGGGTGGCGGCGAGGACAGGCTTAGATTCAGGTACAGGATCCAAAAGGGGAGAAAGATATTGATTTATGGTACTCCAGGCTGTGGCTGAACGTCTAGATAGAATCATCATTGTCATAAATGTGGTTGGTGTGTGATATCCATCAAGGAGGAAGAGAAAAGAGAAAACATTTTGAGATGAACACAATAAAATGTCGAAAAGAAGCCTGTCCCTTTCCTGTATACACAAGACCTGATCTGTACGTAGATGAAGGATATGAAATATTGTATGAAGTGAGGATTACAATTTGTCGTAGGGGTCATCAAATGGACTGTCCAAACGCAGTCCCAAAATTCGTCGTGCTCTTGAACCTGATCTCAGGCTCTGCCTCGCCCTGACCAGAGGGCTTCTCAGCAGTCTCGTCACCGGCATCGTCATCATCATTAGCATCCTCCCTTTTTGACCCATCGCCCAGGATCTGTCTCGCCTGGCTAAGGAGCTTTTGATCAACTTCCGAAAGAAAGTCATTGTCGTGGTCCTTTTCATTAACCAGGGATAACGGCCCCTTGAGCGCAGGGTCCTCGGGAAGATCGATCACGCCCGAGAAATATGAATCAGATCGCTCTGTAGGCTGTCGCACCCGGGTTACGGGCGGAGTAAGGGGTCCCTCGACGAGCGCAGGCCCTTCGCCGGGAGAGCCCTGTGCCGTATCCACGTCGCGATCGATGACAACCATCGGGGTGTGTCCTGCGTCTCGGACGAGGTTCCTCTCGGGGGCGCCGAGGTCGGAGAGCTTGAGCTTTACGCTGTTGCGCCTCTCCATGGAGGGTTTGTCGTGGGAGGAGTTGGGAGATGTCTCTCGGGATGAAGGTGAGGGGGGTGTCATGACGCGGGCTACCACATCCGGCGGTAGGGCGGATGATTTCAGGGTGATGCCATCGAGCCTGCTGTCGAGCTTCTCGATGGGGACAGGGACGCTTGTCGTTGAGTCGGTTGCACGAGACTTGGGCGAGAGCGCTGCATCGAGGGACGGCGCCGGCAGTCCTGTTGTCTGGCTACCACCCCCTTGCTCCAGGACCGTAGACAAATGGAACTGGAACTGGCTTTGGATCTCTGGTTTCTCCTCGTCGGGGAAAACCCTTGTAGGCCTGCTCATGGGACTTGACCCCTCCCATACCTGCGAAGGGGAGGTGGACGACGAAAAGCTTATACCGTGACTCGTGGGTGGTACAGCACCGGTCGCAACGCCTTTGCTTTTCAGCAACGACTCTAGCTCCGCAATGCGGATCTTCAACAACTCCCGCTCCTTGTCCCACAGCTGCCTTTCCTCCGCAAAGAGAATCCTCTCGCGATCGAAGTTTATCCGCTGGCGATTAAGCAGCGACCGCGACTCCTCGAGGTATCCGATCGCTAGAGCCGGAAGGGTCTCCTTTTTCATCTCAAGGGTTCGCGCGGGGTCCGGGTTCAAGGTGGGATGATTATTCGGCACTGAGTGCGAGCGGCGAATTGGTGTCGCCGTAGGGGAAAAGCGCACCTCCTTGTAGAGGCTTCCATGCCCATTGGGGAGCTTGGTGGTGGTAGTCGCTGACTTCATGACTGTTTGCGGTTGAATTTGGATTCGAACTTCTTGACGAAAACGACGAGTTCTAGGTGGTGATGTGGCCAGGAGGCTCAGGGACTGCGACAAGCCAGGGGTAGTTTTGTTTGCCCCTCATAAAGGGAGTAAGAAAGATGTGGGATAGTGTGCTCCTGTGAAGTCCAGCAAATGGTCAGTCAGTAGTCCATAATCGCTGGCGAATGCGATGAGAAGAGCAACGATTGACTGTGGAGACGAGAGCAATTTCCCCAGCTCGAGGTCTCCGCCGCAACCGTGGATCAATCACCAGGAACCAAATTCATCAAACTTCAACCAGCGTGCGAGGAAAAGTGGGAAGGCAGTCTCACTGTCCATCCATCGAGCGACAAGTGGGTGCGGATGCGCTTAACTGCGTCTCGAGGTTCACAGCGCCGGCCCTGAGGGGTCCCACAGGACGCAATAATAATAAGCAATGGACTTACTTTTCAGTCTCCGAAACCCAATGTGAGCGAATTAGTACCTGGTACGTCTGTATGTACTTCGTAGCAGGGAGATACTGAGGCAGTGGTGACTATTGGCCGCCGAGACAGGGCGGATCTCAGATCCTCAGACAAAGCAAACAAAACAGACAGATAGATACGACGAGGGATTAATGGAAATTATATAGCATCATCGCGAAGTCATACAGCCGATTTCCAGGCATCTTGGCCTATCTCCTATCGCATGCTAGTCCGAGGCCGATCACGAGGGGTGCCATGACGTAGCTCATATTTTGAGATGAGAGTAGAGCTATTGACTCGTCTGAAACCTGCAAACAGGATGATCTTCGCACGAACTGGTCAAGTTGACTCAAGCAAACAAGAAGCAATTATATCCGAGGCCCGTGGGTGAGCAAACCGGGCTGGTGGTGACATCTGCAGATAAGATATATTTCGCGTTGTATTTATTGCGAGGGTCATGGATGATGATCCTGGCAAAGTCTTTGATTCTCGGAATCTATTCTAGATTATCTATCAACTGAAATCAACAACATTATTGTACATGGCAGACAGAATAGACCAAAGAACTCCTCTATCACCTTTCCATCATTCATCGCGTGATGACCAACCTCCCAGCACTACGTTGTATATCCCCACATGCGCACCTCCTCATCTTCCAGCAGAAAAGTCGTCTCAAACACCCACCAACGAAATCAAGCGGCTGCCGGAGACATCGCTCCATAGAACTGACATACAGATGGAGCTGTGGGGGCATCGGGGCTGCACCGGGGAGGTATGAGTCCTCGAGGCCTGCCAGACTCGGCAACGTACATATCAGTGGCTTGCCTCAAGACCAATCTCCAAACGTCATCTTGCAGCTTGTGCGTCCCCAGGCCCCAGGGAAAGCCACCAGTGTGCACCAAAAGGCGATCGCCCGATTCAGTCTTCCGTATTCAAGGTGGGCAGTCTAGCTCGCTCGCCTTTTTCTTTCGCTTGGATATAAACTCCTTTTCGGGTCATCGGGATGTTGTTTGGTGGGTGGGTTCTCCGAGAGGGCGGCGTTATGACTGTAAAACTGTCAGCTGGGTTTCAGCGTCAATAGATGGACGATGTACTCACATATTTTTGATGATGATCAAGCAACAATCCCCTCGGGCAAGAAATCCATCTCCATCCTCCTCATCCCCTTTTCACTAGTCCCAAATACCCTCCCCAAGAACCCAACACCCCTCCCTAGCACCTCCTTCTCATTACACCAAGGCCCGAACCCGGCTGCCCCATCCCCATCCGCACCCCCAACGCACGCCGCAAACCACGGATCGAAATAAAAGACAACTCCCGTTAGGCTCGGCAGTTTCTGTTCGAGGACCCTCGCCGCACGCTCGTACTGCCGGAAAGTTCGCTTCGGCGTATTTGAGCCAGAGGCGTTTGCGCCGTTGTGCACGAAGAGATATACCTCAAAGCCGATATACCGGATTCTTGCCCGTGCTGTAGTGCTCAGTGTATCGAGGAAGGGGCCCAAGGAGTCGAGGTCGAACGAGTTGAGGAAGAAGAGCGTGTGTGTGCTATAGAGGTAGTCTTCAACTTCGTCGTGAATTTGGTGGTTAACGGCGAGGAGGGAGAGAGGCCCTTGTAGTCCTGCTCGTGCCTTTTTGCTTTCCGTTTTGGAGCTGTATGTTTCGGCCAGCCCGACCCAAGCTGGAGAGATGTGAAGAGAGCGATAGAGAGGTCGCGTGGTGAATTTGTTACCGGTGTCGTTGATGATTATCAGGGGACGGTTGTGGTGATGGTGGTTGCTGTGGGTTGTTAGCAGGGATGTATAGGGTGTCTGAATGTCGAGAATGTAGGAATATATTTGGAGCCGGAGCTCTGGGGGTAAACGTAGGAGGGGCGAGGTTTTTTGAGGCGGGATCATTCCTGTTTGCGGTTCTTCAAGATTTGATAGGTACTAGGTCTGGAGTATAGGCTATAGAGACTGGTTGTAAAGGCCCATAGTGAATGGGCCGCTTATATTGAAACCGAGACATGGGACGACCAGACTAGGCAACTCAAGAATGGTGCAATCCCGACATAAAACAAGTATGACTGCAATGGCTGACGGCGACTCATCTCATCGGAGGTGCCAGTTGTTGATCAGACCACTAGTTTACTACGTCTTGCCATCAGCACCGACACCGTTCTGAGAAATTGCCCCCCTAACTGGTTGAGAATTGTATGATCCTGAAACAACACAGCATGATCGCAGCTGAAAGGAACACGAATCCATTTCAACCTTTTCGCACATCGCATCGTCTCCAAATATTGCTCAACCTGCCGAGATACATAAACGTCAAGACTCCAAAACAAGTCAAGCTATGCCAAGAAATATCATTCAACATATCATGTTCGTCTATAAACGCCTAATGACCACGCAGCTCGTAGGACAGCGAGGCCCCAGGCCATCCCGATGCTGTCACGTAGAACATTCAGCTTGCTCCCGCCAACCTCGCGCCAGTCGACAGGAACCTCTGCGACGGGTATCCGCGAGAACTCGGCGAGCATGAGCATTTCCACGTCGAAGATCCAGCCTTCGGAATGCATGTTTGGGATAATGTATGGAAGCGACGCTCGCGAGAAAAGCTTGAACCCACACTGGGTGTCTTTTATGGTGGCGGTCTTTGACGGGGTCAACAACCACAGAATCAGATGGAAGGAATGCATCAAAAAGTTGCGTAGTTTTGAGCGCTGTCGAAGTATTAGTATTGCGTAAATCCTATCGCAAGGACGAAAGCCTACCTTGACGACAGCGTCACTTCCAACCATATGGGCTCGGGAACCCACGGCTACGCCACGACCGTCTGTATCCTCAATATCCTGACACGCCTTGACCAGCTTCCCCAAATCCTCGAAATTTGTCGCACCGTCAGCATCCGCAAAGATCACGTATTGACCTCGCACATGCCGCATTCCATGAGTGACGGCTCCGCCCTTTCCACGATTCTGGGCCAGGCTAACCACTCGAATTGTCCCCGGCGGGATATGCACTCCTTCCTGGGTCTTCGGAGTCCAAGGACCCGCGTAACCCTTTGGATGGAGAGACAGCTGGTGGTCGCGCGCAAAGGAAAACGCCATCTCCTCCGTATTATCCGTGGAGCCATCGGACACAATGACAATTTCCCAACCCTTTCCTTGTGGTATAGCATTCGTTGCCTTGCCGCTCGCGGTGCCATTCGTGTATCCGTTTGTTGCGTTCTTCCGTTGCCGGATGGCTTTCTCGTCGACGTGCCCATTCGCCAGCGTTCCGTACATCCGCTCCAGATAGTTCACCGCTTCTTCCAACATGCCACCGAGGCGATCTTTCTCGTTGTAGGCCGGAACAACCAGGGATATGAAGAGCTCGGCCTCGTCGGTTGATTGGTTCTTCGTTTCACCATCTTTGAATTTTGAAATATCGCGCCAGGATGGCAGTGGTCGGGGTTCTGTTATTGAGCCATCAACTGCGATCGTGCGATAGGTCTTTTCTTCTGGGAGTGACTTGCGCGGTATCGGGGCGACTAGTGTCACGAAAGCATAAAGCTATATATAGTTAGAATCGGGTTCTTTTCTCTCGTATTAGGGACAGGCCAGGGGAGCGTACCGCGACGTATAGTCCAGCCCCGGTAGCGCAGACGGCGGCGAAGATGATGTAGAGGGGTACGCTAGCGAGCAGCTCAGCGCAGTGAACGCAGGTGTCTGCCCAACCTTCCACTGCCATTGTGAGAGAATCTAAACCGAGTGAAAAAGAGAACCGGTTGAACGAGAAGAAATTAATGCCGTAGGAACAATAGAGGATGCCAAGTTTGGAGTAGCGAGCGGCGGAGAGCTCTCATGGGATGAAGACAAGGCACTCTTGGCCAGCCATGCGACACGGGCTCTTGCCAATAGGGAATCAACGATGCAGAAGCTTGACAGGGGATACAATGACCATTATGAAGGCAGGTCAGAGTTGGCGAAGGACGGCGAGGGGAGGAGCAGAAGATGGGGACGTGCAACGGTTCCTGTCGCCAGCTTGTCCTTTTGGGTGGTGGTTGGCGGGCCGCATTGGATTTCCCCACCGCTAAGAACTCACTAAACACCGCCATCCCTCAGCCTAATTTAGTCTGTATGGCTGACGAGTCGCACGTAAGCTGATGACTCTGCCTTGGTAGATACGAGATTCGATTTAGAAATCCTCCATATCTGGATCCAAATAGTAGGTAACATGGACTATATATACATGTGCTTAGATCTAGATCGGCGATATCTCAAGAAGTCAAGCCCAAGCCCGAGATATAAGAACCGAAGTCTCACTGGCCTGGCCTGGTTGGTTCACTTCACCCCAACAAGCCCACATCTGGTCTTTGCGCAGTGCTGAGTCTGTTTGAGGAACACCATTGAAGGTGTATGTAACCGACCACTGGTATTGTCCGAAGTGGGCATTTTTGCATCGCGTGCACTGCACCTTCGAATATCTCTGGAAGGTCAGGCTTCGAGAGAAGTCGGCTGTGTTCTGGCTTGACAGACGAATCATCCAAGTATGAGAACATGGGTTTTCTGTTGGAAGAGCCACGATATGCAAGCCGACTGCGTCAGCTGGTATGCATTTCCACATCAGTGCTGGGTCTTTGCTGTAACCCCTTGCCGTAAAACGGGCTATGTAGCTGCGCCAGCTCGTTTAGCTTCGAAGCAAATTCAGTGGCCGAGAATCTTTGGGTCTCTGAATCATATGTCATCCAGCGGTTGAACTTTTAATCATTAGTATAGTTTCAATGAAGGATGCCTGCATCCCTGGTTTTTTCAACACACCTTGGCAAGTCTAACTCCATGCCACAAGCACCTGTGCATCCTCGAGAGATCTCGGGACGGCGGTTCTAGATTCCGACCCTCGTCTGCGTTCGGCGCATTGATAAAGAATCCTGCAGGATAAAGCCCCTGACTCCAAACCTGGCCACGGATAAGAAAGTCCTCTGGCAGCCATTTGTCTTCGTTTTGAATTGGAAAACCCGGTGCTTCAACAAGGGCGAAATCTGTAAAGTTGCGGATCAGGGTGTTGAGAAATCCGGCAATCTGCTTCCAGGGCACCACAACCTCAACATGTTTCATGCCGCTGGGAGTTCGTGTTAAGCACCAGAGAAAGGCGAGCGATATGTGCAACGAGGGAAATATGTTTTTGTTGCCGATATGGCCGAGCATGATGGACAATGTCTGAAACGCCAAGCATGAGCCATGAAAAAGGAGCGGCGAAATAGTTTTGGAATCTCGGGAAGCAAGAAAATCGGACTCTATGGTTTTGAGATCGCCGACCGGGGTCCAGTATCGGTGAGACCATAGATAAATGTCTTCCACAGACTTTGATTGAGTACTGATCCCGCGAAACTCGTCAGGAAGAAGCGCACGGGGAGCTGCATATTCGAGAACAGCAGCAAAGTTGCAAGAAACGATGTAGACTCCATGCACCTTGAATGCGGAACCCATTCGATTCGCATACTGTGACAAGGACGAAAGGAATTCGTCACAAGTGCTCGTGAATTGGCCTGAAAGTTCTCCTGTAAAAAGGTAGCCATGCGCAGCCACAAAGGCTGTTATTACCCCCGGAAGATGATGAGCAGTTCTTGAGCCTTTCAGGCTTGGATTAAAGATGAGGAATATACTTTCCCTGGTTCCATCGAACGGGCGGTTGCATACCAGGGATTTGGTGTAGTAGAATAGCTGCTGCACAATATCTGGACGGCCTAGGACCGCAAGATGATGCTGGATTCTACCAACGTCCGGGTTCTTATCCGCAGCTTCATTGTACCAATATCTTGCAATTCTAACCCAGACTTCCTGCTCACGGAAATCAGCTTCTTCAACGAGCATGCGGTACCTTGCGATGTCACCAAGACACTCAATCCAACTTTCTTCAAAAGCAGGAGCAGTCTCTAAGAGGAGAGTCATCATAGAGTAAGCAAGATGTATGAATGTCAGCATGTACTCCGAGGAGCTAGGAAGTCGACGACGCAGTAACTCAAGCAAAGCTTGAATCCCATGGCGCCATAACCGAGCTGGCATAGAGTACTTTTGAGCGAGACCTTTTAAAAAAGGATCCCCAACGGGGTTCTGTGTAGCCAGCAGAAAGTCATGGTGCTCCTGCAGGAGATATCGATGTACGAGGATCAACTTCTGCCATTGCTGCGGGGACAATTCTTTCTTCGATTGGGACTGGATTTTGATGTATTCGATGCATTTCTCTTCCACCATGAGAAGACCGGCATAGATTGAGCGGATGTTATTGGTCAGCTGCTCTTCTGTTGGAGGTTCAGTTTCTGGCTGTAGCAAGATCCGAGAAGATGCTGTACCTCCGTCAACCACATTAGATCCTCCAGTGGACGTCTGATCGTTGTCCAGGCGTCCTGCAGACTTTTGGCCGTAGCTTGAATTCTCTGTCGTTTCGCCGGATGCCCTCGATGACGGGCCAGTTTCATCAGGTCGGCGGCTTGCGCCAGCGGAAAACCGGTCGTCATTCGAGATTGGACTCGTGCGGAAAAATTGCTGTTGTTGCTGCAAGCGGGAAGGCCCAGTATCGCCGGCCCTCGCATCATCCGTTGAGTTTACAGAATACCGCAGCCGAGACTCGCTGCCACCAGCAACTGCTTTTCCGGTCCAGTTGTCCACTGCTGCTCGGCTGAGAGGGCGACTGCGCGAGGTGCCAGACCTATGCCGCGGAGGGGCCTTTCGTGGTTGTGGAGAGCCTGGTTGAGGCTGATCCGAGGGCATAAACTCAGCAGCTTGATCGCTCACGGCACTCATGGCATAGTCATCCGGCAGCTCCCCAGATCCAGCTCTCATGTTGGTATAGGAGAGACTGGCGGGGTGCTGTGCTCGATTGGAGGCCATTGATCCATCGTCTGATAGTATCGCCGCGCGAGACCTCCTGGTAGATCAGTCAGAAGGCTCCTCCGGTACGGTAGATAGAAGATACCGTGCGGGAAAAAGAGGCTGGATGGGCAAAATTATTTCCCTACTCACCGAGGCGAGCTGTTCCCTTCTAGATCCGGTCCAGGAGAGTCCATGGTAACTGAAGGCAACCGCTCGGAAATTGGGTCAGGATCCCCGCTATCCCCACGGCGCAAAGGAGGTGATTCCTTGCCAGCACTCATGGTTTATGTTGACTCGAAATAATGAAACACGTCATCTGATCTAATCAGTGGTCGGCAAACCCCGAGCTGCAAAACAACGACGGCGAGCATGGACGATTGGGGAAGAGGAATAAATCGCGAGGAGGAAATAATACGCACGAATGATACATTTGCGAGGAAGAAAACAGCGATGTTTGCAACAGGCCCAGTTGATGACATCAACGTGCGCACGGGGAGCAGACGAACATCTGCAGCGCCAAATAAGACGCAGGGCGCAGAGCTACCTACCAAGAAGCCAGACCACGTTGAAAAGCAGCTTGGGGTTTGGACCAAGGTAATTTATAATCGCGACCAGGCGATGACATTGGAGAATCTTCAGACGCTCTAGGCAACTAATCGGGAGACTGTGCCTCAGCGGGCTCTCTGCCTAGAAACCCACGATGACTGGCGAATGGCGGCAAGGGCCCACACAAGCACATGGAAGATTCTCTGGAACTCGTGAAGAGCAGAGCAAAAGCAAATCGGGGGAGCAAAAGGCTGTGAAGTTGGGTTACTTCCTCAAGGTATATTAACCACTTTTAATGGGGTCGGGGAATAAGCGTTAGAATGCTGATTATGTCGAGGATTCGCACGGCCGGCGCCTGACCTGCTGAGATTCGCGCCAACGAGGAGTTTGAGTAGTTGCCTTGCGGAGCCGACTCGTTCCTTTTTCCTCCCAGTTCCTTCCTTTCCTGCTCTTCCCCACGCCGATCGATCTTTTGCATTTTTCCCACTGGAGCATCTGCCATCGCTGATTCACTGCGTCCTGCGAGTCTCTTCTTCACCATTCCCCGCCCCTAGCCGGCACGCGGTCAATGCCAAAATGTTCACCATAATGTCTCACGATCTGACCCAGTTGAAGCACGGAGGTTGCCTGATAGCTGATGCTCCAAGCCTTCAAGTAAACAAGTTGCCTCCTGAAGATCCGATCCGGTCTCGATCAAGGGAGACAGGCAAACATCAACTGACCTTCTTATCACAAGTCTGACTGCATCCTATCTCCTCCAGCTTCCCCCGAGTATTCAATCTTCGAATTCATCGTCGACGATTTATTCATTGGTTCCGCGCTACCCAATCTCGACCAAGCGTCTTCGGATCTTTCCACCCGACCAGGAATTGGAATACGAGCCAGATCATCGGTTCGCCCGACGTGGACACCGCTCTTTACTTCTGATCGCTTTCAAGCCTGAATGGTGGCCAGCGGAAGCTGCGTTTATGTAGCTCAGTCATCCCACTGCCACCGTTATACCCCGGAGTACTCCGTACAAGGACTGCGTTTCACAAGGCTCAGTAACTGTTAACAAGTTCGACTAACAACTCTAATTCGTGATCAGCACGCCACTTTCAACGTCCGAGTGGGCTTTCGAATTTGGGCTCCTAGCCCCGTCAGGGCTGCTAACATATCCGCCGCTAAGCTGGATATTCGCTTCCAGTATCAGTTACATAGCCTTGGGTTATCTCTTGTTTTCCGAGTCCTCTGCCTATCAACCAGTTCAACTTCATCTTCAAAGTCCGTTGTTGGCTCATTGTCTGCATGATGCATATGCCCAATCCATGATACTGCTGCTTGGGCCTCATCATAACCACCTAACGCAATCCAGAGTACAAAGCATCTACATCGCCAGCCAAGTCATTCATCGATGTTCTGTGAACGAGGAATGAGTCATAGGTGACACCGACTTTCTGCGCGTCGCCCCGACGTGTTGCCGTCGGCGGTGGGCTCCGTGACCGCTAGCGGTTCTGTGGGTTGTTATGCCGCTCCTGGCTGCTGGTTAGGCTGGATATTTTCAATGGCTTGCTTACAGAACAAAACACCAAGGACCAAGCAGAACTGAAGCAACCGCCGTAGCTCGACGGGCTCGCCGTTTATGGGAAAGATGAGATATCAAGCCAGTTGCTCAAGCGAGTCATAATATGGTTGGGTCCTCGACCGGGAACCAGCGTCCTGTGACTCATATGCCAACAATTCTAGCGATGCTGAGTGACTTGGGCTCTTTTCTGGTGGTCGAGAGCCAACAAATCGCTGTTCCTAGCTCCTCTGACAATAGGCCAACCTACATACAACAGGCAACCTTCTGGACCTCAAGACCTTGAAAGGCAATATTCCTATCATTGCTGACGTCAAGATGCCTGAGCTGGAGGTGAGTTTACTCTTTATATGATTTGACAGCTCTCGTGATCGGCTTCAACCGTACGCTTCCATGGCCAGCTCGCCTCTACAAACACGTACTAAGTTCGGTGACTAGGAACAAACCCTTTGTTTAGCCTCGTTGCCTATGAGGAACCTATCACGGAAGGCAGCTCAAAAGACAGTTAAAAATCAGACCATCAAATTATCGCCGTGACTCAGCTTCACTGGCTTGAAAACTACAATCTGCTCACCTAATCAGATAATCGACGAGAGAACTATTCTTAGCCACTTCACTAGTATTAGACAACCCATGGAACCAACTCGCGGCTTATGTATCGAAAATGCAGTCCAGAGAAAACCTTACAACAATCAAGGAAAGTAGAGAAGCGTCAACTCCGGTCAAATAGACCAAGGAGCCACATCAGGTATCTGGAAAACGCATCGTGTGTAGAAGATAAAACCGCGCAAAGAAAGAGATCAGGAGGAAAAAGGACGAAGCGAAGAGTAAGAACCTTCGAAGCAAGATGAAGAGAACGCAACGCCATACCAGTCTATTCAAACCTCAGCCGTAACATCCATAGTCATTTCATAGCTCGTTACTAGTCAGTTCCGCAGGAAGGAAAATGCCAGCCGGAGGTTCCGTCCGAGCCAAAACAAGGTGATGAAAAATAAGGGCCAAATGCTACGTATCCATCTCCATTGCAGGAGAGTTACGGAAAATAAATCCGGTGCTAGGATCACAAAAAGTCAGTCATACAGTTTCGAACCAGAGACGTTCCAAGAGCGATTCAAGGTTCTCTTGAACAAAAGTAGAAAACGTGCTAAACTCTAAAAAAAGGAACGTACCCGCTGCCTTACTGTCTCCCGACACATTGGACACGGCGCCTTGCTTTTGATCTGCCCCTTGTACGTGGGGAATTGCTGATCCGCGCACCAGCGACATAGAATCGCGTGGCCACAGGGGAGCAACACTGTGTCGATGAGTTGCGCCATACAGACTTTACATTCCATATTTAGGGTGAGCTCTTCCGTTTCCTTCGGCTCGGGACGGTCATTTTGTGGGATGTCGAGCCCTTTCTTCTGCGCCCAGCCGTGACGGAGGGTTTCTTCGTACATGGCTTGGACGTCGGCCGGATGCATGTTACGGAGGTAGGCGTTGAGGCGGGCGCGGTTGTCTGGACGGTCCGAATGTCGAGGTGGTGGGGCTGAGGTTGTGTTTGGGGTATGGGTGGTTGGGGCGGAGGTGGAAGGGTGGTATTCCGGGTCTTGATAGCTTGGATCTCGCATAATGGCTGGGGTAGCATTGGTCTGTGGGCGCGCTCGAGATCGGGAAGAATGGGTAGTAGAGCGAGACCGATGGTGTCGAGAAACATGGTATTGCGGCGGCGAAGCTAGGCTATTTGTCCGTTGGTGCCGCCTCTGGTGGTTGCTTCCCGAAGTTGATCCAGATCGCGAGGGTTGCGAAACGACAAATGGGTCTTCTCTGAAATGTGGCACTTCGCTGGCGGTGGTGGGCGGTTCCGCTCTCATTCTGGGTTGGGCAGTCTGGGTTGAGCGCTGCGTTGTATCAGAACGATTACCCTGAATGGTAGTCAAGAACTGAGCTGGAAATGATCCCCGCATGGGGGCGATGTATGGAAACTGGATCGACTGCAAAGCCTCTGGCATTTGAACAAGCTGAGTCGACGTACCGAAGACTGGCTGGTTTGTTGATTGTGCAAGGGTAGACCACTGGGGCGAGAAGGCACCAAGACTGTCGACGTTGGAAAAGAAGCTAATGGGAGTATTGTCGAGAGGGCTAGTTACAGGACCCGTGCTCTGGTTTGTCCCGAACGGTGCAGTGGGATATCCGGTAGCAGGTGCCATATCCCCCGTACTAGTAACAAGTGTGTTCGCCACGAACTGAGGTAATGAATACCCTGCCCAGCCTCTCGGTGAGCTGTTGCTTGTCAAGAATCTGGGAGGAAACTGACCTTGGCCGTCAGAAGCTGAAGAGGGGAGCTCGTAAAAGGAAGTTGACGGATCGAATGGCTGCGTATAATCGACATAGTGACTGGCGTTTGGGAGAGTAGAAGTCGGGAAGCCAGAGTCTTGCACGCTTGGTTGCTGGAATTCGGAATTCATGTTGATGAGCTCACAGATACTGCACTACGAGTATCTGGAGCGGCAATATCACCTGGGTGAAGAGAGCGGATGATGTGTCCTAGCTGAGACGCAATATCCGGGACCCCTTGAGCTTCTGAGAGCACAAGGACAATATTCCGGTGACAATGAGTAGTTTATTTTGAGACAGATAACGACGGCCTGCGTCAGTGGAATCGACTTTATCCTAATGGACTGTGGAGAAGGGACCTGCGAATATGAGGGAGGAGAGTCAGATGAAGAAGGTTATTGAGATACATTGTATGAAGGTCTTAACGAAAGAATGACTAGGAGATGGAACAAACCTTGTAATACCCCAAATTCGAACACAGTCCCTTCAAGTTGTATTAGTATATGGGGGCGGTGCCTTTTGAGTTATTGAATAGAATTTCCCCGGAGATAATGCAGCATGCCCAAGTGCAAAAATTGTGGCCTTTACAGCATGCTTTTGAAGAGAAACTGGGGCCTGCACATGTCTCACTATGACACCAGTCAATAAGAACAGCTGCAGCCAGACGGCTTGTTCAACACAGGTGAGCGCTTGGCCAAGTGAAAGCCCAGGCTTGAAAGAATAGTGTAGGGTTTGTAGTTTGAATCTGATGCCACGACCGCATAGGATCCGAGAGCAAGATGAACGGGTCCAGGAGAGAACGTTGCCTTAGCACTGGCTAGTGGAAACTGAGGCTCTAGAGGCCATCATATTTCGAAGATAGACAAATGTTATGGCACAGTAGGATCCTTCCTGGGAGAAAAAGGCAACATGTAGAGTCCGCTGTCTGGGATAACTTGGGGTGAGGCTTCGATCCGGACGGTGATGAGCCCAATGCTAATATTAAATTCCTCTGCAGCGCTTTTTTTGGGGGGGGTTTCCTTCTGGCGAGACCGAACACTCCCAGACTACCACAGGGCAAATGCAAAGAAGTAGGTAAAGCTCAACCTTGGAAGCGTAGCCGCACACAGCCGAAAGGACGAGACGTCAGTGTGCGAAAAGAATGATCACGACCGAAAGCCAAAGGGAAAGATTTTGGGAAAAGTCAAAGGAGGATGTGCTAAGCACAGTTAGGATTCCACCACCAATTATCCTAGTACACCTCAACCCATGCAACCAGGGACTTCCATTTGTTGGGGGGTTGCGAGGGGACAGGGGTTGAGAGAAAAAGAAACGACGGTGCTCAGACCAGGAGGCGAAAGGCGAGAGCAGATTACGGGGTACAAATGGGAATGGGCTCCTCCAGGATAGCTCGCTTCTCGAGTCAGCCCAGGCGAATGTCAGCGAAGGAACTAAGGTGAACCTGGTGATCGAAACCCCGCAAAGGTGATCTGTCAGGCTATGAACGCCCAGGAGCGCTGGAGCTGGCAGACCGCCACCACTTTGTGGCCTCGGGTTCATTGCGCCTGTTGTAACTTGACTGACAGGCATCCCTGAATCCATCCGTGGATCGCAGGATGATACTGCGGATGCGAAATGATCCACTGATGCTGCCGATGACCTGATGATAAGTCGAAGCAGTGGGTGGCTCCCGCAGCTCCCGACGAGAACGTCATGTCCGCGCGCCTCGGCTTTAGCCGTCCGCAGTCCACATTCCCCAAAGTTGTCGCAAGACCGGACTGCAACACTGGTGGTCTGATTATTATCCGACACAAGCACTATCTACGCCTCATCGGACTTCTCTCCCTTCGCAGCTAATTTGATTTCGGGGCCTCGGCTCATGATTCAGAGACTCAAGCCCTGGCAACTCCTTGCCTGGACCTCCCTGCGCCCAGCTCCACCATCATTGACGACGACGACAAGGCTCTCGATGTCGACCACCACCTCGACGCCCGGCATTGGACTCGGATCCTTGCCCATCAGCTGCCCGAAAGAACTGCCCAAGGATGATTTATTGCGCTTTCCAGCCTTTCGAGCTTGGTTTGACACCTTGCAGCACTCCTTGAGCCAGCAGCAACAGCCATCTCACGAGTTCCACAAGGACCCCTATGTTCTCCGTGGAATCGAGGTCCAGGCTGTGGACTTCTTTGGCGGAGGGCGACTAGGCTTTGTGAAATTAAAGGCCGACGTCTCCAACGCCGGTGGGGAGCGCCTCCCCGGCAGCGTTTTTCTACGGGGCGGCAGTGTTGGCATGCTGGTAAGTGTTCGATTCCACTTTCCAATCTCTAATGGAATCTAGTCCTCACTAGTACTTTCTCTGAATAGCTTCTCCTTCAGCCGAATGATGTTCCCCCCACATCAGAAGACGACAAATGGGCGGTTCTAACCGTACAACCCCGCATTCCCGCCGGCTCGCTTGCGTTCTCCGAGATCCCCGCCGGTATGCTTGATGACAGCGGTGCCTTTGCAGGAAAAGCGGCGGAAGAGATCCAGGAAGAAACAGGGTTGACTATTCCACAGAACGAGCTGATAGATATGACATCTCTGGCGTTAGAGTCATCGAATGAAGCGGCAGACGGCGAAATTCTACAGAAAGGAGTGTACCCGTCGCCTGGCGGGAGTGACGAGTTTATACCTTTATTCCTGTGCAACAAGCGATTGCCACGCAAAGATATCGAGGCATTACAAGGAAAATTGACTGGTCTGCGAGAGCATGGGGAGAAGATCACTTTGAAAGTGGTGCCGTTGAAGGATATCTGGAAAGAGGGCATACGAGACGGAAAAACTCTTGCGGCATGGGCACTATACACGGGGCTCAAGAGAGACAATAAAGTCTAATAGAGTGTCAGCGGACTGCAGTCCATCTGGTCCACTACAAGCATGACATCGCGGGATAGGTGATGAAATGGAAACTCTATCGATCTATAACAACACGAATGACGTCTATCTCATAGCTTCCACTTCTTTGCCAATTCGATGCCTTCCGCTATTGTTCCAATACGAGCATCGATTGCGTATCCTTCGGCCTCTAGCTTCTTCATCTCGTCAAACAACGAAGCAAGCGGAACGGTGAAGCACTCAATGAACTCATTATCCTCGAGTTGCGGCTTGGGGTTCTGATTCTCAGGCAAAGACATGTCCACGCGAACGTGTACCATATTCAAGTTTGTATTACAGAAACCTGGGTCTATGCTAAGATTAGCGTTGTTGACTATAGCTCTCGCGAGTACCACTTACCGTTGTACATGACCGTGCTCGTCTCTTCGGCCACACCCACATAACCCGTCTCCTCCTTGAGCTCACGCACTGCGCACTCTTCGACCGTCTCATTTGGATCGATCAGTCCGGCTGGCACTTCAATAACAACCTTGTCGATGGGAGGCCTATACTGTTTTTGGAGGAGAAGCTCTGGGCCTGTGGCCTTGTCCATGATGGTCACAATACCCACTCCGTCCACCTCACAGTTCGCGGGCCGAGTCTGTTTGACGAGTGCAAATCAGTAAAGATTCCGAGCAAATGCGGCAATGTCCTGTTTGCTTCCTGGTTAAGCAAGGGTGCGATTGGCTATTATGATCCTGCGGCAACGGCAATAGCGGCCCGGGGGCACGAGTACGAGGTGTGGCATCGCATTAAGCGGAAGCCGAGGTGTGACATCCACTGTCCGGTTTCAATAGGCGAGCTTACCAGTCGTTCTGCCGATTCCCAGGTCCTTTCAACCCCATTCGGATCGCAGTAGTTCGTCTTGACTAGAGTTGCCCATTTTGCTTCGCTGTTGTCCTAAGGCCGCTTTCTGTCAGTTGGTTCAACGAAGCAACACAAAACCTGCAAATGCATGTGGCAATCAAATGCTGGGACATACCAGCGGGCCCTTGGAGAGAAATTTAGACTGCGCGTACTTTGGGTCCGACATCTTAGACTCTCAAACCCAATCGATACCGGCTGCAAACAAGGTTCAAGGTTGATCTAGGATGGAAAACGCGACCACAAAACTGGGTACTAGTCGTCAGTCCCTTGCCACACCGAGCACTGACGGCACGTACCTGAGGAGAAGCTCTTGGATAGGCAATGTCGGAAGATTGATGGAAAGCAACGAGGGGCATGCAAAGAACCCCGTAAATCAGAGCTCATTCCCACCGCCTCTTCTGTTTGACCGCCCAATTGCAGTGCCAATGGATCCTCCCATCAGTTGGGCTGGAGTTATCGACCCCTAACCTTTTCCATGCAGGTATTTTCGACGGCCAATTTTCAACAATCACATTGAGCGAAGCTATGATATCAACCCCAATAATGACATGTGAACTATTTCCGCAAGAACGGGCTAGAATCATTCTGATGGCGAACCGTCCAGGCTCGTCCACTGCGACTAGTCAAGATGGATATTCTCCACCGCCACGGAAGTGCGGGGTCCGACGTTCGTATGTTGTCTCTTGTTGCTTGGGCCGGGGAGGACTTATATCTTCGACGGAGTCACCCAACCCAGTGACGCACTCAGCATTTGAAGACCCCTTATTGAATTGAGCGTTTCAACCCACGTCTACAAATGTAATGACCTAATGTTCCCGGAAGTTTTGTCACTCGTCAGACCATTCCGCATACTTTCGGCGCCTTCTGATCTGTGATTCCATGGTAATACGCAGCTCAGGCTACTCCATATTCCGTACTTTGACATGCCCGGTTAAGTTGGCGAAATAATTCTAAGCTCGGTCAAGGTCGCGCCTGATACTAGGTGATTCGTCTTAAGAGGTCCCCCTCAAGGTTGAGCTTTGAGCCCTAACACCCTGCGGTCTAGAGATGGTCCCCAGTAGCTCAAAATGGCATGGAAACGCAAGACACATATTGTCAACACTCAAAGTAAACCGGTACCCACTGTGTCGCTGCTCATAAAGGAACGCCTCCCTCCTGTCATTTGGTCTGACCAGCTTGGCACCAATGTGTGGCTTGTACACAGCAACTCTTTGAACTGCTGAGATGTGGTAGTACCTCAGAGTCGGTACGGAGTATTCTACCATGCTCACTCGGTTTGACAAACTTCCGCCAAAGCAACACTGTCGGCGGGTATAGTACATCACGCTCATACCATCATGACTCCCGTCTGGTGGAAATCTGTGCGCCCCGCATCCGCCACTGGCACCGCTGACTGGGAAAAGTACCATGCATTTGTACCACCAGGTCAAAAGTTCACTGTCACAGTATCTGCAAAGGTCCTGTCTGGACCATTTTACCTGCAACACAGGTAGCGAACAGGTGACTTGTCCAGTTGGGCTGGTACTCGCGTTACAAAGTTGGCGTACTACTGCATGCCGCCCCCCGTTGAGTTCCGGTGATGTCGGCGGCTGCTCTGTATGATCCGAGAGACTCGGAATGGATACTTGTCGCAGAGCAGTGGGCATCTAGGCCGCCGATGGCGCCGCTAGCGTGGGCAGGTGGGCGTTTTGTCCTCTCTTACAATCAGAATGTCGCCATCATGAGACCCAGACTGATGGTGTCGGCATGCCACTCTATTGGCCTATACAGTTTCGAAATTGACTGTTACCGGTGTAGGATCCGGATGAACAGACCTACACTCCAGGCACAGGTGTCAATCAAGGCCACCTATGATCGCGGGTAGGTAGATCCCGTGGTGTTTTTTTCTTCTTCATCAACATCAAACAAAAAGCCTGTAGATGACCTCACTGCGAGTAAAACGCATAGACATTCTATTTCAGGCCAGGCACCTCATGTACCTGGACAAATGAACTAGGAACCCATAACTCGCTCTTAGCGCCGCATGCCACGTCCCTAACCACAATACTACAGGGAGAATAGTATGGATGCTGTATGACAAGGATAGAGCCCCACTCTCTATACATCCAATGATTCAAGTAGTTACGCACAGTACTTCCAACACTACTATCGCGCCTAGAAGAAAACAAAAAAATAACCGCCCGTGCTCCGCCAAAGCAAAGCAGGCACTATACGAATGATTATCGACACCTAGAAACCGGGGAAGCAAGAACCACATCCCCGCCACCAGCATCAGCGTGGGGGGAGCTCAGTGGTGACTCTGAGGGGCTGGCTTCGAACTGGATATGTCCCAGAGCATTTCTGGTAAAAAGACCCTTCACTCTCAATCCAAACGACCAGGCGAGTCCATACCGTAAGATACGGCGCAATCAACCCTGAAAGACGAAGAAGCTTTGAGGGGTAAATTCCACTAATTCATTCCCTTTCGGTATGATTTTAGCGAGGACTCGCTGTTCTCAGTCCTATTTTAAGCTTTTACCAGCTCATAAGAGGCGAGCGATTGTCCATGTGATTAACAATGCTTTTTCGAACCCTCATGCCCCTTGCATGCGGTCGGTCGGTCTGCTGAGGAGTTTCTAAGCGAGGGAAAATTCAGCTTACCAGTCGAGAAGGGCCGGCGAGATGTATTGCAGCATTGAAAGTTGATGTTTACAACGAAGTATGGATGTGGAGACAATTTTCTCGATTAAGCGTATTTAGCGTTGTGACGGACTTCGGGTGGTGCCAGGCGGGCTGCTCCCCGCTTCATGGAGGGGTAGAGGGGTAATAGTGTACAAGGAAAAGGTGGCAAGTCAAGGAGTATTTTTCATTTTTCGTCCCAGGCTAGAGACTCCCTGACTGAGTATCTCGCTATCATGAAATCTGTCTATGCCACGATGTGAATACTAATTCGTGTATCCCAAGTCTGAAAGGGAAATGGAGAAGAAAAGAAAATGCCGGTGATGCCCCATGGTAACGCTCGGCCGCAGCGGACTCAGGCAAAGAAACACAACGGCGGGCGCAAAGTGGGTGGGGGGTTGAATTAAGAAAAATTGAGGAATAACCGAAAGTTTCCAGAATGATAATACGCCCGCTGTCATGATATCGTGTATGTTTGAAACAAGCAAAGACCCAAGTTCAAAAGTCGAATCACAGGGAGGGAGAGATGGGCCGGCTCTCGATCTCCTGGAGGCACTTGGGAAATTCGCTCCAGTCTTTCATAATGACATGAGCGCCAAGGTCGGTGAGACGTTGTGACATCTCGGCCTGCTTCTCCTGGCCGTGGTAGCTTCCGACGTAGCCAATGACAAAGATGTTGGCGCGGATGGCGCTGAGGGCACCGGAAACACTGTCCTCGACGGCGACGGTTTCTTCGGCTGTCTTCCCGCACTCCTTGAGCGCATGGAGATAGATAGCGGGGTCGGGCTTGGAAGTAGGCTTAGGGAGGGAGGTGGCGGCACTGAAAATCTTGTCGTGGTCAAAGTACTTGTCCTGTCCAACCTTCTGGAGAGAAGCGCGGACACGGCGAAGGGCAGAGGACGAGACAACAGCAAGATCGTACTTCTTCTCCTCGAAGAGCTTCTCAACCTGCTCGCTGGCGCCAACACAGGGCTGGGCTTTCTCGAGCAGCTTGGCAATGACCTTGTCCTCCTCCTTGGTGACATATCCCTCAAGTTCCTCCTGGGAGAGTTCGAACTTGAACTTTGCCTGGAGAGATTGCATCATGCCACGGAAGTTCTGGCCGACAAAGTCTTGGATCAGCTGCTCGCCGGTGTAGCGGACGGTGATGCCCTGCTTCTCAAGGATCTCATTGGCAAGGTCGGCGCACGCCTCGAAGGCCAACTCTTCTGAGAGGACGAGGGTGTTGTCGCAGTCAAAGAAAATCTCCGTGATCTAAACAATGAAGTGTGTCAGTCGCGCATTGGCTTGAGAGCATCAAGGAAAATAGGAGGCTTCTCACCTTAGGCATGGTGCAGGTTGTGTTGTGTTGTGTTGTGTTATGTTATGTTGTGCTGTTGCGTTTGTGTTGAAGGAGAGGTATCAACGAAAGATGGAAGAAAGGAAGGAGAAGTAGTGTTATGGCCGCTGGTATAGAGAATTGGGTCTGAGCAAAATTTGAACCAACGGGGATAAATCGGGTCCTTAAGTAGATTTGGAGCAGGCCAACATTCAAAAAAACATATCAGGATCGTGAAGAGGGGAAAGCAATAATGTCATGGATCCATGATGGTGCATTGTTCCAAATCCAGGCAAGAGCGGGACGGTGGGGGCCTGAGGTCATAGCTGTGACTTCTGCGACTGGACATGGCGACACTAGCCTGGGAAACTTGCGCCTGCAATTGCAGGCTCACCGAGCAACGGCGGCCTTCGGGGCTGCGCAGCCCGCTAACACCACCACTAGGCCTATCAAGAGAAAGCACCCGCTGCCACGCTGTGACGCTGGTTTGGGAAACGCGCAGGCACCCCTTGGGTTATTCCAATCAAGACTAGCGTGGTTGGGCTGAGACCCGTCGGTGGAAAGGCGCAGAAACCTGGTCTTGTCCTGAGATAGAAGCCCGTCGAATCATATTCACCTTCTGAAGCAGCTGGCTGGAAGGGCTCATGAAAAGGCTCATGAAAGGTTTGAAAGGGCTCATTCAAGGGCTCATAGAAGGCTCATGAAATGTCCCTCTACAAAGTACAAATTGTTTGACACTGGCCCATTCTCAACGCCTTCTGCTCGATTCTGTGGATGCAAAGCTCCTCGCCGCCAACCCGCAGGCAACTTACCATTCGAACTAGTCGGTTCCTCAAGCGAATATAACCCCGACAAAGCATAATAATACGGATACTGATGACTCGAAACCCAGCGCGTTTAAAACGGAGCACTGTGTTCCAGCGCCTAGGATCTAGCAGCCAGCTAGATATATGCCTCAAATCGTGAAGTGGTTGTCATCCCATGTCCATGGTCTCTTGGGGCTTAGCCACGAATCAATGGCTGGAGAGGGTGCACTATAATGCGGCACCAAGGGGCTAAATCTTGGTTTCCCGTAGTCAAAATCAGATTCTCGTGAGGCAGATAACCTTGAATGCAACCGTTCCCTCTCAAGCCGCCTCATGCTGGTCTGATCGAGCCTTCCAAGTTGGAGGCTGTATGTGTTAAAGTGCATGCATCAGGCTAGAACGAATACAGCCTCTGCGCAGTCTCCGAAGAGGACCTAAGAGCTCCGCAGCAAACTCGTGTCGTACCTATCATTGGCCATGTAAGTCTATCTCCTCAAGGCATCTTGAATCTTCGGCCCCGACTGAACAATGCGGAGTATCGTCGAGAGAAGATCAATATGCCTCATGCCCGCACATGCTCTGAAATATTTGGTGGTCAAATTGTAAGGGAAGGTCAGCGTTTACTAAGGATCCACAGTTCACATTCCAAAGTTGCTGACCTTGGGCTGTTCTTATTGGCCGGGCATACCCATGTACTGAGTGGACTGAAAAGCGCCCTGACAACGTTCGACACCAACTTGTGCGCGAGACCTGGGGCGCTTTGACGCTGGATAGAATTATTTCCTATTTGAGACATTTGTCTATACCCCAGCCGCTCGCTGGAACGGACGTAACCCCTCGTCGCAAATTTGTTCAAAAACTTGATGCTGGCTCCACTACTACAAAATCTTCGACGCTTGAAATCTCGTCGGCCTTGATTTGGTTGACGCCAGTAACATCAGCAGACATGGGTAATGTTTCCAATTCAGACTTCCCCGTGTCCGTATCGTCGCTTCATTTCCCCTCCACCGAGCAGTTATCTGTGTCCCAGACGCTAGCCTCCTTGCGCCGATCCGCCCTCTCCGTTAACAACCGACTCCGTTCCATCGAGGCCGACGCTGCCTTTGTGCGCGAGGTTGCTGATCATTATGCGCTTCCCTTGGTTGCCAATGAAAGATGCGGGAGCTGGTATATCCCTCCAGAGATCAAGACCGGCAGCGCATATTTCAAGAGTACCGATGGCCATACCGGCCAGTGGGACTTCAGTTTTCGCAGACTAAATCTGCAGATTCTACCAATTGCTCGGGAGCATGGGGGGTTAGTGAGCCATGCCATAGCCCTTGTCAGGACGAGTCCGGGGGCGCCGTCGTCTTTCTAGGCTAACCGCAGTTGTTTGATTCATGCAGCTGTATCATTGTGGATTCCACTCGCCGTGGCAAGTGTAAGTGATGTGATTAGCCCGCTGCTGCACTTGGCTTCTTTCCATGTGCCCTATCTCACAAGTCAGCCAGTGATGCCCGATGCCTTGTCGAAGACCATTCCTATTTGGTGCGCGGTTTTCAACCGAGCGTTATTCCCTTCGGAGACTGCATATCATTCCGTGGAATTGCCGCCCAACTACCTAGGCGCGTCGGAGGAGTCGCAAATAGAAGAAAGGATTGACGGCTTCGTGCATTCCCTCAAGGTATCTTGCTCATCTGTTCCATCTTTCTGCAAAGATACACTTAGTCTGATAATATTTTTTTAGAGCCTTAAACTTGATCTAAATGATCTCAGGCAACAATTGGGCAAGCCCATCCGGATCGCCTGGGCTAATCGAACATATTTCCATCCAACAGATCTACTCAAAGGCAAAGATTACAATCTGTTCGTCCTATGCTCGGCTTCAAAACGGGTCCATGGAGCAGAAATATCTGAAGGTGGATACATTCAGGGTGCAGGCGACGATAGCGAGGCCTGGGCCCATGGACTCACACCCCCAGTCTTTTGGGCTCACAAACCTACTCTTCTGACACGGGCAGAGGAAGACCTTCCCGAGGTTATTGAGAAATTGACGCAGGAACATCGTCAGCAGAGCTCGAGCCGCCAAGCGACTCTGATTGCGCCGACTCGGAATCTATATATAAGCCAGGCTCATCCTAGCTTGGTTGATTGCGGCCTGTATGACCTTGTCATCGACTGCAATGGAAAAGCAGAGACAGCGGAAGAAAACCAGAAACACCTAAGCCTCGGCTGTACACCCTCCAAACAAGGTGGCCGCGATCTGAGAAACCATCTAGACAAGGTTCGGACATTCGTTAGCTCGCAGTTGGGCTCGGATTCGTCGAAGTCTCTGCTCGTTATGTGCGAGTCCGGAAAAGACCTCTCCGCTGGAACCCTGCTCTCAATACTATGTTTATTCTATAACGATGCCGGTAAGCCCTTTTTGCCTGGTCTTTTGAGTTCTTCATTGATTTAACCCCTCATAGGCGAATTTGTTGGACCCCGTCCAGACCAGTCTATAAGCAAGCAGTTCATCCGCCAGCGTCTTGCTTGGATCGTGTCATCAAAGCACGATGTGAATCCATCCCGCAGTACTCTACAGTCGGTTAATGCTTTTCTCATGCAACGACCAGACTATTAAACTTGGAATTGCATTATAAAGCTCCACGATCTACTCATTCTCAACAGCCTCTACAATGGCTCCAGCGCCTCCCTGATCCAGTCCATCCAGTACTGCGAAATCTTCATCGGAAATATGAAAGTCGAAAACATCGGCATTGGACACAATGCGCTCGGGATTATCCGTCTTCGGTAAAGGGGCCCATTCCTTCTGCAATGCGTAGCGTATCAGGACCTGTTGCGTCGACTTGTTGTACTTCTTTGCCAGCTCGACAAGGGTAGGGTCGTTCGCCTTATAGTTTCGAACGATGGGGGAATAGGCTTCGACAATGATTCCGTGTTTCTTGCAGTACTCGTCGATCACTCGTTGTTGGTTCCAAGGGTGGAGCTGCGTAGTCTAGCTGAGCATGGTTTCTTGCCGACACCAGTCAAGGGACTTAACAAAACATACCTCAATTTGGTTCACGTGTGGCGGCCACACCTTCGCATACGCCTTCATCTCCTCGATGTGTTTCACGCCGAAATTGCTGACTCCGATGCTCTTTGTCCGGCCTTCTTCCAGCAGCTTTTCCAGGGCCTGCCACAATTCCTTCCGGCCCGACGACCCGGAACTAGAGCTGTGAATCAGGAACAAGTCCACGTATCCATCCTTGCCGCCAATCTTATCCACGCTTTCGAGGAGTTTTTTATAGGTAGCCTCGGGCGAGCCGGCCGGGCTAAGAATTTTTGTGGTCACAAAGACCTCGCTGCGCGGAAGACCGGAGTCGCGGATCGCTTCGCCGACCTCTTTCTCGTTCGCGTAGAATTGCGCGGTATCTATGTGCCGGTATCCCGCTTCAAGTGCCTTAAGGCTCGACTGCTTGGTTTGCTCAGCTGGGGAGCGATAGACGCCGAACCCGAGACGAGGGATCTTGACCGACGAATTCGGGAGGGGCAGGACGTCTGTGAAGGAGTATTTGTTCGACATGGTGCTCTCGGTCTAGCTATAGCTCGGGTATTCAATCAATTGGCTTGGGGAAAACAAGAACTCTGGTTTGGAACGTTTTCTCGCGTGGGCTTCAGAGCTCTCATATGGACATTTGAAGCGGGGAGGAAAGTTCGGCTGCCCCGCCGGGAGCCATGATATCATACGCCCGCCGAAATGGTTAAGATGGCGCAATTCTTCGCGATTAAGGCTAAACCATAGTCCATTATTAATGTCAACAGCGCTGCCATTTTTTTTTTTTTCTTCTTCGACAGTCTTCTTCGCCCTACCTCCAGGGATTTCTCAGCTCCATCGTGTCTCGAGCTCACAACAAACGCCGCCATCAACACGCTCATAATGCGGTTCTCGGCGCGCTGGGGTTCAATGAAGGTCGAAACCGAAGAATATCGCGAGAGCACCTCGGACGAGCAGACTTCTAGTACATTGACAGGAAAACAAGCACGGGTTTAATGGATCAAGCAGGACTCTTCCCCGATCAATGACAGCTCGACACGAAACGTCGCGACCAGCCGATCGCCCGCCATGCTGTCGTGTCAATCGTTTGCAGCTGAAGAAGAATCCGCACGAGTCTCGACTCTCCGGCCAGTCACGATATCATCGCGCTAACTCCACCATGTTTGTTTTTTCCTCTGAGACGTGTGCGACACTGGATCGACGGACGGCGGCCGAAACTCGCTTGAATATGGCTGATGATCGATCCGTCATGGACAAGGCGTATGGTTGCCTCTTGGGCATATTCGAACTCCTCTACTGGATCATGGAGCATGCATGGATGGACACCGGGCCTGGTTTGAGAGACTGGTTGGAACTCGGTGTAGTCGTCTATTGCCTGTATGAAGAAGTCAACTCCTCGTAGACATGCTATGTAGTGTAGATTTGATTCAGCAGATCCTCCAAGGGTCATGGTACTATGTATATATCTACGATGATATTCCGATTCTAACAAAGGGTGTTTATTCTAAATATATCTTGATGCAACCACAAACAATATGGACGTCCATCAAGAAGCCTTTCAACTCTGAATGTTCCATTCTTACGAGTATACTAGACTGGAACCATGATTAATCCAGCATCAAAATTTAGATTATTGAAAAAGCCAGGGATCGGGAGCAGAACCGCACCCAAAGAATGCCGGGCGGCGGTTGCTGTGGGGGCGGAGGGGAGGCTTTCTGTTGACATCCACGCCGAACGAACGAACCCCTTTGAGCGATCGTCTCGCCCCATGCATCGAGAACTTCTTTGCAACTTCGAACCGGTATCCCGCTAAACAACCTGTTGCTGTCCCGAGTACGACCCGAGTACTTCGTTCTTTATCCGCCATTTCTTTCACGAAGATCTTACCTTTTATATTCATGTGATCCGATCTGTCTATCAATAAATTCGACAATACATACCTCTGCCGAGCCCGACGAGTCTTGCATCGATCGCCGAACACAACCACAGACAGACACACACCATTCTCGTTTTTCTCTGAATGTTCTCTATTTTAATCGTCGTTCATCATGCTGGCGGTTGAGAAGTCATGGGTTAATGTGCAGCAGAAGACATTCACGAAATGGTTGGTGTTGCTTTTCCCCTCGTCCCTCTCTTTTGATGCCTTATCTGCGCCTTTCTAGTTGCCCTTGCTTTCCTTGTCTCAAACTGACACAAATGTATTCGGTATAGGCTCAACGATAAGCTGAAAGTTCGTGATGTCTTCGTGAATGACCTGGTACAAGAGCTCTCGAACGGCGTAAGTCATCCCGTCAGCCGAAGTCGACTCGGGTCGCTGACCTTCTTCGTTACTTTCTAGGTAATCCTCATTCATCTTCTCGAGATTCTAGGTGGCGACTCGCTTGGTCGATATGCTGCCAACCCGAAGCTGCGAGTGCAAAAGTTCGAAAATGTCAACAAAAGTCTGGACTTTATCAAGGGGAGGGGTATTCAGATGACCAATATCGGAGCGGAGGATATTGTGGACGGCAACCGGAAGATTATCCTCGGTCTGATTTGGACGCTGATTCTCCGATTCACCATTAGCGATATTAATGAGGAGGGCATGACAGCCAAGGCGGGTCTTTTGCTGTGGTGCCAACGGAAGACCGCCTGCTACGAGGGAGTCGAAGTTCGAGATTTCTCAACCAGTTGGAACGACGGACTCGCATTCTGTGCTTTGTTGGATATTCATCGTCCGGATCTGATCGACTACGATGCCTTGGACAAGAATGACCACCGAGGGAACATGAAGTTGGCGTTTGATATCGCGGCCAACGAAATCGGAATTCCAGATCTCCTTGATGTCGACGATGTCTGTGACGTCGCCAGACCTGACGAACGTTCGTTGATGACATACATTGCCTACTGGTTCCATGCGTTTTCACAGCTTGAAAGGGTGGAGAATGCCGGTCGACGAGTGGAAAAGTTTGTCAACAACATGCATGGCGCATGGGAAATGCAAAACTCGTATGAGAAGAGGATGCGGGAACTTTTACGCCTGATTCGGGCTCAGCGCGAAGAATGGAAGAACGCCACTTTTGAGGGGACATACAAGGACGCAAAGGAGCAGGCCTCCCAGTTCGCCCTGTATAAGAGAAACCAGAAGCGCCAGTGGGTAGCGGAAAAGTCAGACCTTGCGGCTCTCCTGGGTAATATCAAAACGAAACTTAGCACGTACCGTCTCCGGGCCTACGACCCTCCGCCAGAGTTATCTTCCGAGGCCGCCGATCAGGAGTGGGAATGTCTGACTAGGGACGAGCATGAACGCAGTCAGCTTATCAACGAGACTATTCGAGATATCAAAAACACTCTTCGTCGGTCTTTCGCCGACAAGGCGAATGACTTTGCGCTTACCTTGAAGACCCTGTCCCTTGCAATTTCAGGTCTTGATGGTGACGTGGAAGATCAACTTGCCCACGTCAAGCGACTTAACGACAACCTTCCGCCACTTGATGCTTTTCTAGAGACCATCGCGGAGCTAGATGACCAGTGCCAGGAAGCAAACGTCGAGGAAAATGATTATACGACGTACACCCTGGACGAACTGTCGTACGAGCTGAGTCTTGTCAAGTCAAGCATATCCAAGAAAATGGCTTTCCTCGAAAACCAACTGGTTGCACGAAACATGACAAACTTGACCCCAATTCAGCTAGAAGAGTTCGAATCCGTATTTCGGCACTTTGATCGTGACTCTTCCAACACCCTTCACGAGCTCGAATTCTCCGCTGCGCTGGCCAGTTTGGGTCTTGTGTATGACGAAGAGGAGATGCACGAAGTCTATGTGGAAACTTGCGGGCCCACTAGATTGTCCCAGAACGCCGGAGTCAGCTTTGAGCAGTTTATCCGGTTCATGGTGAGTGTGACGGAGGATCAAAATACTGCGGAGCAAGTCTTCCAAAGTTTCCGCGAGGTTGCAGATGGCAAGGTAAGCTTCACCAACAGTTCTGAGCTCAGTCGTCCCAGTTGGCTAACATACATGGATTTCCAGCCGTATGTCACGGAACTTGACCTCAGGCACTCTCTGATCCCAGATGAAATCATTGAGCATCTTGTGAAGACGATGCCTCAACATCAAGGTCCAGATCTCTTAGAAGACAGAGATCTTGCCAAGTACGATTATATCAGTTTTATGGAGAAAATGATGGACAAGCGCTCCGAAGGACAAAACCACGCCGCTATCAATGGTAGCGATTAGTGTCTTTCTGGATTCCATCCTTCTATTACCGTTTTTTGTTTGAGGTTGCTTATAGGTGTTGACCGGGGCTATATGGAGGGTTTCTCTGAGGGTTGGCGATTGATTCAGCGCATACCAGGACTTCTTTGCATCGCCTGCGTTTGTGATTTACGTCCCTCATTTTTGCATTTGTGCTTGTCTGTTTTCGAAGGAAGCTGAGGGCTTCCGCTTTGTATATCACAACCTCGATGGGGGGTATAATACTCGGTAAAAAAATAAGAAAGTGATTGAAGTATATGCACTCCATCGCTAGCATTTTTATACCTTAGAATCCTAAAGTGTGACTTGGAGAAGGCATTGCTTGGAGTATAGCAATATAAAATCACGTGATTGACCCGGTCGGATACATGCCCATCCTTCACTCCTCCTGGCCGTAACACTACCCTTCCATTGGAATCTCTCTACTTGCCGGTTGCACTTCAGACGCCGGTATATCATTCCGATCCTCCTCCTTCCTTTCATTCTTACTTCCAAACTCCTCTCACTTGTTCAAAGATGGATCGGAGTTTAGATGAGATCATTGCGGAACGCCCTGTAAGACTTCCAATGCCTCGATAAACCGCTTCGCTCTTCGCCTTTCGATTTTTGCTAACTTTGTAACCTTGCAGCAGAGGCAGAATCGCGGCCAGAACAGAAGCGGTCGCGGCCAAGGTCGCCGCTCCAACGGCGTCAAAAAGGTATGCATGTCGCGCGCCGAACGATGTTTGGTGGCTAATCTGTATATCTCAAATGTACAGGTCCTTCCTCCTCATCCTCCTCTCCTTTCGCGCGCTCCTATATCGCATTGTGATAAGCAAACCTCGGTGGTCCAGTGATTCGTCTGGCCTTTGGGTAGACCGAAGGCAACCAGAATCGCCACGGAAAATGATGATGCCGCAGTACCATGATAACCTGATTTGATTTCGGGCTGACCTTGTTTCTCTTGATCTGATCGCAACAGCCTTATCGAGACGAACGTGTTGATTTGGACCTGTAAGGCGGCGCTCCTCTCCGTTCCTGCAGAACAAATTCTTTGCGATGAGATCGGACTTACATTTACTGACTTTGCACGATAGTGACTGGGTACACGACAAGTATGAGGACGAGCGAGACTGTATGTTTTGAAACCTACTTCCTCCAACCGATCTTGGGATTTCCCCATGGCCTGCCTCCTTACACAGTCGTTCAGCCCGCCCCTCGCGCTCCTCCCGGAGGCCTCGCGGTGATCGATACTCCCCGTCTCCGGACCGGTACGTTCTTCTCATACATACTTGAATGCCATTGGCGCTAATTGCATACAAGAGCTCCAACCGGAACGAGGCTCCGCATCGACAACCTTCACTACGATATCACAGAGAACGATCTGGAGGTAAGTCACAATCATGGGAACCCGAAGTCGCTCGGTTCTAGTGCTAACCCCCCATAGGAGTTATTTAAGCGAATCGGATCCATCTCGAATGTCTCGCTTGTCTACGACCGCGCCGGACGCTCGGAAGGCGTCGCTTACGTTACATACAACCGCTACACGGACGCAAAGGCCGCGATAGCCGAATTCGACGGCGCAAACGCCAAGGGTCAACCCATCCGCATATCAGTCGCATCCTCCGCCCCCCGCCGCGAGCGAAACCCGTTTGACCACGTCGAGAGACCCAAGGGTAGTCTCTTCGACCGCGTGGAACGTCCCCACGGTCGCGACGCCCGCAGTCTAAGCCCAGGAAGCCGAAGTGAAGACGCCGAGGGTGCTCCCCGCCGTCGCCGTGGTGGCCGTGGTGGCCGTGGTCGCGGAGGCTCAAATTACCGTCGCAGTGACGTCTCCAAACCCGCCCCTGAGAATATCGACCGATACGTCCCCGGACAACGTTCTCCGGCCCGCCGGACCGGTGGTGGTCGTCGTCAGGGCGAGAACAGAGAACCCCGCCCTCGGGGTAATGCCCGGCCCAAGAAGACGCAGGAAGAGCTGGATCAGGAGATGGAAGATTATTGGGGTACGTCGACGACTGGTGCTGGTGCGGCTGGTGGTGATGTTGCGGTCGAGCAAGCGGCTCCTGCTCCTGCTGCTTCTGCTGCACCTGCTGCAGATGACGACATTGATATGATTGAATAGAGTGTTGCACATTGTTGTGTAGTGATTTGTATCGGTGGTGCTGCGTAATTTATGCACAGTATTCTAAAACACATTTGGGTATGCGTGGGTGATCGCTCCCTGGAGATCTAACATCTCACCTCTTTCAACCTTCAAGTCCGCTTTCTGCTTAGTCTAGACTCACCAGACCCGTTGTACAAAAGGTATCCGCAGGAGTTATGGACGATCTCTGTCTGCATTTGAGTTGCACAATATTATGTTGGTATTATATTGTCTTTACACAGTCTGACTTGTTTTCCTTGACCGGCCATAACTTAGCGCCAGAGACCGTACGGTTCTCGGCACGCCTTCCAGAGCTTGATTGTGCCGTCCTCGCTGCCTGTGCCGTATAACTTGCCGTCGGGGGAGAAACTGACAGACCAGATCGGTCCATGGTGGCCCTTTTGGACTTCTATTGTTTGTTAGCAATGCATTTGACATAGCGGGAGAAAGGGGCTGAACGACATACCAAGTTCTTCATCCGTGTGTAAATCATAGACGCGCGCCCAGGTATCATCAGCGCTACCCGTTACCAACCGCGCAGTATCATTATTCACCGCAGCGCTGGCAACCTCGTACCGAAAGTCGACCTTCTTGAGTAAACGGCCCGGGTTCAAGCCGTCAAAGAGGTAGACGCTCTTTCCAGCAGCGACGGTCAGAATACCAGGGTCGTTGGGCCGTGTGGCGAGTGTGTTCAGCTCGCAGCTCCCGATGTTGCCCTCGACAGCGTACTCGACGACCGGGTGGCGGGAGCGGAGATCCCACCACCGGATCTTGCGGTCATCAGCGGCTGTTGTGAGGATGTTGTAGTCGCGGTTCCAGACGATGGATTTGATTGTGCCGCCGTGGACGCCTGGGCCGATCTCGTAGCTTGTAGCTGGATGCGCGCCGTTCTCTGTTGCGGTATTTGATGATGCCGTTGTTGTTGGGGAGGAGGAGTTGCTTCCGCTTCCGCCGCTGCGCGTGAGGTCGAAGATGCGGAGTTTCTTCTCGTAGCCGCCGGTGGCTAGGACTTGCGGGGAGGGTTGAAGGGGGAAGGCGACTGCTCGGACAATGTGGGCGTGCTGCAGGGTGTGTAGGCATTCACCGGTGTGAGTGTCCCAAACCTTACTGGCTGTGTGTCAGTTTCGTCACCCGGTGAGACGTTGGGCTGAACTCACGCAGAAAAGTCCGCTGCAGCGGTGGCGGCGATGTTGGCGTCTGTCGAGAGGCGAGCTTGCCAGACCGCTCCCTTGTGGCCTAGGAAAGTGCCAATCCTAAGAAGGATGTCAATTTGAGAGATCACTGACAGAGTAAAGACCATTGTGAATAACATACCAATCGCCGGTGATACCATCTCGAAGCATAGGGTTGTTATCTAGTCGGAAAAGGTCAATTCATCCGGAAGGCCAGCAACAGGAACCGCGACCCACCTTTGCAAGCAGAAACAAGGTAGTATTGGTCGTCCTCTACTGTTGACGAAAAACTGATATGCGGCACGGGACGCGAGTGTCCGTGGCATGTTAAAGGGACAACTTTGGGAATATCTAAAGATTCAAGGGTCAGCAAGTAATCAGTGAGAAAATAAAACGCTTCCGACGTACCTGAAGCCATAATGAAGTCAAAGTACAAGCATATACCAGGATATCGATTCCACAATGGCCGTTAACAGATACAAAGATGAGATGTCCAACCCAAAGAATAGCCCAGGCTTTGTTGACCAAAGAAAGATGTATTTGCAAAGAAGAGCCCGAATTCGACGTGAGCGACAGATAGAAATACAGAAGGAAATTCGTCGGTCTCGTCAAGTCATCAGTGCTGAAAAGGCGGGGTTTTTGCAAGAAGTCTGCTGGCGAAAGAGGAGAAGAACGGGCGAGTCGTCGAAGAGGGAGGGCGTGAAGAGGTAAAAGACCCAGCAGGTAAAGAATCAGTCAAAATTCGAGAGGCGGCCGCAGCGACACCCTTCTATACAACAAACTGAGGGAACGGAGAGTCCGACCCAGATGTGCTCTTGTAGTCAACTTTTTGATGCTTGTCCCAAACATCGGCGATTCTTGCGGAGGAGCCGATGACCGCGCTAGGCTGTATCTGCGCTAGCCGGCTAGCACGTGAGGTGTATAGTTGAACCGCGAACACAAAAGCAAGAAACAGGAGATCTTAGTCGAGTCTAGGAAAGAGAGGGCCTTGGTATCCTAGCTCAATTCAGCCTCCCCAAGCCTGGAAATTCTCTTCTGGTCTGGACTGTGTCTCCTCGCTGATTACTCATGGCCCTCACCTTCTAGCAGCTTCACTGAGCTTCACCGCCCACATGACGCCCCTCTTTCCGTGAGGCCATCGGCCGGAGCTGCCAGGTGGATGCCAGCAGCCTGCCCCGGAGTTGGGGTTGTTCTACCTGTCATCCCTCTCTCCTTCCTATTCTCTAAAGTACCCTTTGTCAAGCACCTCTAGTCCGTTACCGTACCTACCGAATACCTGCCCTAACCGCCTTTTCACCCGTCTGTTTATGTATGCCTGAGTTCAAGATCTCCGCTGCTTTGGAGGGCCACAGCGATGATGTAAGACGCTCCCCGCTCTCTTGGTGTTGACACTGCAGAGAGACCATGTACCAACGCAATCAACCACTGACTTATCAATGGCTCTTATTAGGTTCGCGCTGTGGCTTTTCCCAACTCCAAAGCTATTTTATCCGCTTCTCGAGATGCGACCGTTCGGCTCTGGAAGCTTGAGTCAAGCCCACCTCCAACGTATGACTATAACATTATCGCCCATGGTTCGGCCTTTATCAACGCCCTAGCATACTACCCTCCCACACCTGAATTCCCCGATGGACTGGTCTTTTCTGGAGGTCAAGATACAATCATTGAAGCCAAGCAACCTAGCAAGACTTCGAATGACAATGCAGATGCTATGCTCCTAGGTCACGCCCACACGGTATGCGCCTTGGATGTTTGTCCGGAAGGCGGCTGGGTCGTAAGTGGAAGCTGGGATTCCACTGCTAGACTCTGGAGGCTAGGAAAATGGGAATCTGAAGCTGTACTAGAAGGTCATCAAGGAAGCGTGTGGGCAGTGCTGGCTTATGACAAGGATACTGTCATTACCGGTAAATACACCAGGTGCTTTGACGTTGACCATACACTAATAGTAATCTAGGCTGCGCGGATAACATTGTTCGAATATTCAATACTTCTGGAAAGCTTCTGAAGAGTATCAAAGACTCCAAAGACGTTGTCCGGGCTCTCTGTAAACTACCTCCTTCTCATCCCACAGGTGCGCAGTTCGCTTCTGCAAGCAACGACGGTCTCATCCGCCTCTACACTCTCCAAGGCGAACTCGTCTCCGAACTTCATGGCCACGAAAGCTTCATTTACTCATTAGCGGTTCTGCCGTCGGGCGAATTGGTCAGTTCCGGCGAAGACCGAACGGTCAGGATCTGGAGCGGGACGCAGTGCGTACAGACCATCACCCATCCTGCGATATCTGTCTGGAGTGTGGCAGCGTGTCAAGAGAATGGTGATATTGTGACAGGAGCTAGTGATCGAGTAACCCGCGTCTTTACCAGGAGCTCAGAGAGGCAGGCCAGCGCGGATGTGGTGCAGCAGTTTGAAACCGCTGTCAAGGGATCCGCAATCCCTGAGCAGCAAGTTGGAAAGATCAATAAGGAGAAACTTCCTGGTCCAGAGTTCTTGCAGCAAAAGTCTGGGACCAAGGACGGCCAAGTGCAGATGATTCGAGAAGCGAATGGCAGTATCACAGCCCATACATGGTCCGCCGCATTGGGGAGATGGGAGTCAGTGGGCACCGTTGTAGACTCTGCTGGTAGCAGCGGGAGAAAAACGGAATATCTGGGCCAGGACTACGATTATGTCTTCGATGTTGACGTCGAAGATGGGAAACCGCCTCTGAAGTTGCCCTACAATCTCTCGCAGAATCCATACGAAGCCGCCACCAAGTTCATTGGTGACAATGAGTTGCCCATGAGTTATCTCGACCAGGTCGCCCAATTCATCGTTCAAAATACGCAAGGTGCGACTCTCGGACAGTCCGCCCAGGCACCTACCCCAGCTGGTTCCGATCCATGGGGTACAGAGAACCGCTATCGCCCCGGGGACGCTACTGCTAGCCAGCCTGCACCTATTCCCGAATCGCGCCCGAAAGTCCTTCCTCAGAAGACCTATTTATCCATTAGGACCGCGAATCTCAAAGTGGTTGCGAGGAAGTTGCAGGAGCTGAACGACAAGCTTGTTTCGGACGGATCAAAAGATTTATCTCTAAGTCCCTCTGAACTAGACACACTAACATCCCTATGCAATGAGCTGGAATCCTCGAACACCCTCAAGGACTCGCCAGCTGTTGAGGCTGGCGTAAATCTCCTCTTGAAGGTCGCGACAGCCTGGCCAGCAGCAAATAGGCTACCCGGTCTCGACCTCCTCCGTTTACTTGCTGCCGCCACACCTGTGACGGCAACAGCAGACTACGGGGGTAAAGACCTGATCACGAAACTTGAAGAGGGCGGCGTTTTCGAACCCCCGATAAATGTCAATAATGCAATGCTCTCGGTCAGGATGCTCGCCAACCTTTTTGAAACCGACGCTGGCCGTCGCCTTGTCATCGACCGATTCGACCAGGTCATTGCTGCTGTCAAGTCGAGCCTGGTGAACGGAGGCGCCTCCCCGAACCGAAACCTAACTATCGCCGTGGCCACTCTTTACATCAACATCGCAGTATATTCCACATCCGAAGGGAGACAGTCAAGTCCCGAATCCGGACAGCGAGGCTTGGTGCTTCTCGAAGAGTTGACACGGGTGCTGTCGAAGGAGAAGGACTCTGAAGCAGTATATCGCTGCCTAGTCGCTCTGGGAACATTAGTTAAGGAACTTGATACTGAAATCAAGGCCGCTGCAAAGGAGGTCTATGATTTTGGTGCGATTTCGCGGACCATCTTGAGCTCTGGCCTTGGAAAGGAACCGAGGATCAAGAGCATCCTTGGGGAGATCACGGAGAGCTTGCCTGCATAGTAGAGCTGCAAGTCGCCGTATTGGTAGCGTGAGCTTATACCCACAGATGAACGTTGAATAGATAATTCTTTTTCTTTAGTCATATCCGTTCTTACAGGAGCTCCCCGCAACTGGTTGGAGCAATCAAACCGTCAGTACCTAGTAGTCCTCTAAAGCCTTCCCTCAGCATCAACTCCAACCTCCAATACCTGATCAATTCCCGGATACTTTGGCAAATCCAAGCCATACTTCTCCGCAACATCCTTGGTCAAGAACCTCCCGCCCACAAAATGCCTACCTCGATAGAACCTCACGCAGGGCTTCGGCGCCGTCAAACTAATCAGATACTCGGGCATAAACCCACTCCCCGGCCCCTCCTTCGGCGGCCCACTCTCCACATCCCAGCTACTCGGCGCATCGACCGCGAGCACAGGCACCTTGGCTTTCTCCATCTGCGATATGATCTCCGGAAACGGGTCGCGGAGCGGGCCGCCGAACGAGAAGCCGAAGATCGCGTCGACTATTAGGGATGTGCCCTTGAGGGCGGATGTGAATTCTGTATCGTTGGTGAGGATGGGGACGAAGAGCGCGCGAAGTTGCGTTTGCAGGCGGGTGTAGAGGTCCTTCTTGCCGGGCTTGGGGTAGTAGATTGATGGGGTGTAGCCGTATTGGGAGAGGTGGCGGGCTGCGACGAGGCCGTCGCCTCCTTGAATAGTTGTTAATTTAGTTATGGTTGATTGAGTGTAGTGTGGTGGGCTAGAATATAATGTGGTTTGGGGTGGTCTGGGGATGCGGGGAAGGGATGGGAGGGGAGAGGGCACCATTATTTCCTGGGCCGCAGATGACGAGGATGTTCCTTCCGGCAGACGGAGGGTGGACACGGTATACTGGTGCATCAATGCGTGGTTAGCTTTTGACACATGGACGGGCGATAGTGATATTAGCTTATAGTTAGGCGGGCTCACCTGCTTGCGAAACAGAAAGACCGGCCAGTTCCATCAGTTGATCGAGGGACCAGCCACCCATTTCCATGAGGTCCTGATCAAGAGAGGCTGCATCTTTGGAGGAGATTGCCTAGTGGAATCAGTGTTCAGCATTGCAATGGTGTATGTGCTAGGCCCTCCAGGATGCGATGGCATACCTTGAGTGACATCTTTGCGGTTCTATGGTGGTGTTTCACGAAAACGGAGAGGGGTGAGTGAAAATTTTGAAGTACGGAGCGAAACATGCGATTGGTGCGTCTCGAAGAGAAGTAACAGAAAACTGATACTGTCTGAAGGACCGCATGGACGATTGCTTCATATGGAGTAGATCGAGGCCTTACATCATATCTTTGATATTCCCCACTACATGCGACGCTAGTCCTGTTTGGAAGACATCGGATTAATCATTCGCCGGCCAAGTTTGAACCAACAGCGGAGATTTTGGAGATGCCGCCAGTCGAGCCTCAACTTTTTGGCAGTCAATGCTTTATTGATATCCAAACAGAACTCGCCAGCATGGTCGTTCGCATTCGTCTGTCCCGGTTCGGGAACAAGCACCAGCCCTTCTACAACATTGTCGTGGCCCAAGCACGGTACGCCTATCCCTGATCTCTCCCGGCTCCGAGTCTGGCAACATGGTCGTCTGATGGAGAGCGGAGAGTGTTTAACGAACCTAGAAACTCAGCTGACTTAATTTCTTCCGGTATACAGAACAGCACGCGATTCAAAGCCCCTAGAGGTCATTGGAACATTCAACCCTCTCCCGCAACGACCCACCAACTTGTCCGACGAGGAAGCAAAGAGCGCGAGACCGTACAAGGATATCGCTCTCGACAAGGCGAGGGCGAGCTACTGGCTAGGAGTCGGCGCACAGCCCAGTGAGTCTGTATGGCGGATATTGAGCTTGGTATGTCCTATAGTGCCTCATGGATTGAATGTTTCGACCGGTGATTAACGGGCTTTCGCAGGCTGGCCTTGTTCAACCGAAGACTCACACCCCGAAATAAGCACGCAAATATTAGATCTGTTCGATAATACCCGCCTCGACTTTGTCCCGTCTGGGATGGCTTTGGTTCTACTCGGGTCGGTGGAGGACAACTCCGTCGGTCAGTGATCAGTGTGTGTCTAGCTTTCTCTGGGTAGGAGATATCTTGGGACTCGCTTTGCAAATCCTCGAACCCGCGTTTCCAGCATTTATTTGGCGTTTGATTAGGGATGACTTTGGCATAGGGCGCCAAACCTGTAAATTGTTCTGTACATTAAGGATATCATGATAAGCCTTGTTTCAACCTTTTTCTCACTGAGATATCTTTTCACAGGAGACGCAGTCCATTCCGTTGGTAGAACCTTGATTGTACCTTCCTGAGGCTTCGAGTCCTAAACTCGGAAGCGGCTGTCCGATGCCCGAGAGAGAACTGACCTTATACTGTCCGATGCAACCGACAGAAAGCCAGACAATAATAGCCGAGCCGACCAAGCGTCAGAAGACAAGGAGGTCAGCATCATCAAATTTGGGAGCCTGCTTCGGAAGTGTACGAGAAGTATCAAAGAGAAAATGCCCGCATACCGCTCGCAGACGATCTTTGTCTAGACGAGTCCGGAGCAGTATACGTGTGGGAAAAGCATCGGCAAGTTTGCCTTGCCTTTCAGAGACACCAAAGTAGTTGTAAAGCACTTACGTAGGAGCAGTCAGCTCGATCGAGGAGTTAAAGGATTAGTAGTAATTACTCCCGTAAAGCTTTCATACTACTCCTGGTAGTCGAAGCAAGTTCGAGGATGAAGGAGCCAATCCCCTTGCGTGCTGAGGTCCGAGGCTCTCGAGGATCGTTGTAAAGCCTCATCGTCAAATGTGATTGGTGATTGTTAAGAATTCAGCTGGGAAGATCACATCCAAGTTCGAGAATTTCGATAATTCTAGAGAGTCGAGGACTGCTGACATTGTTCTCATGTTCTTCTCCTTATAGGCTCATAGCAGAGGTCATGCATGCGCCATAGCATGCCCTAGCTTGATCTCGGTATACACGGACGTGCTTTTGTCATGGATCTGCTTATCATGCTGCAGCTGGAGGGCTAGAATGTCCACTGCATATCCGACAACGGCCGGATCCAGTTTCCATCCTTCTGGGTTGCTTGTTTGCTGCCCCTTTCCAAGGCCCGTCGTGCTGGTCGCCCTCATCACATGGCAAATCGATGACTCCTCAAAAGGATGGCGGGTCGTTGCACTGTCAGCGAGGCCAGTTCCTGGAAAACTGACCCCTCCAGGCAATGTTACTGCAGGTGCTTTTCTGAACCCGAAATCCTTTGTGCGAGGGGCAAAACGTGATTCATTATCCCGACGGCAGGGCTCAAAACTCTCCGTCCGCCGCCATCCACGGAATGGGGGGCTGTGGGAGCGCAATGATATTGTGGTACAAAGGCACATCTCTCTCATCAGCTGGATAGCTTGAGGCTGAAGTAATGACGTGGGTTGGCTTTTTCTCTCGCATACTTTCCATACGTTGTAGGCAAGGATGTCGAACTCGCAGAACTGAGACCAGATGGTTTTGAGCAGTTGCCAACGGAATATCGCTCCAGTCACAGTTCATATTCCTAACTACTTACTTTTGACCCTCGAAGAAGCTTTCTGAAGGAACCAGTCCAACAGGAGGGCGAGCCAGATTGATCGGGTCACGACGGTAAGATCTTGATTCAAGGTTTGCTTTTTTCTCTCACATTTTCTCTCTCGCATATTGCATCATATTGCCTCCAGGCTCCAGGCACCAACCTGCCTGTACGGAGTATAATGTGATCTTTGAGTCCTGGTCTAGACAGAAGTTGGTATTGACGACAGATCCCATAAATACGGATACGGCGATAAAGAACCTGAAAAGGACCACGGCCCCGCAGCTCTTGCACACGCACCCCTCCGCATTGGCATTCGGACGCGGCTTGTCCTCGATCGCTGCACTCGGTCGGCAAGTTCTTCGAGGGTGGGCTCGTCCACGCGATAGGAGCACTACTCTGTAAATCGCCCACCTGCTTCGAGTTGCTGACGGAATGGGTTGATACAGCCTCACACAGTTGTTAGTAGACAGCATTGCATCTCTTGCTTATCAGAGAGAGGGATCGCAAGACTTTGAATGAACATGTATCTTGCATCTTTGGTGCTTCATGCTAAGCTGACGCCGGCTCAATAGCGCGTCATGTCATTGCGACACTCGGGACGCGCTTTGAGCTTGTCGCAACAGCTCATTGGACAGGCTGACCCAAGAAACGGGCAGTTGTACTGTAACCTTTTGTATTGCCAGGTCGCCTCGAACCATGGATAAGGACACTTTTCCCAGTCTTTCTACCCCCCTTCAAGTTGAAAGGACCGCTCCGGACTCGTTGAAGTTCCCTTAGCCCTTGGGACTTTTACTCGTACCTTCTCCTGCATCATCAGCATCACTTCCAGCAGCCTCAAAACCATGAGAGAGCTTTTGCCGTCTGCAACGCTCTTCTTGACATCTTTATCGCCTTCACTTGCGCATCAGACTCGGGATCACCAGCGCCGTTAAACCCCCAACTACACTGTTCGAAAGATCCTCAATCTCCCCCTCTTACTGCCACCCCCCTCCCTTTCTTTCCCTAACTTTAATCTTTTCCCCGAGACGCTCTCTTTCCGGCTTCCTTGTCATCGATTCCTGCGCTAAGCTGAGGGACCTCGACTAACTTTGGTCCGGCATCCACCTCTTTCTGTCCTCGTCTCCCTCTCTGCTCTCCTCCACACCCCCTGCTCCCTCCTCTTGTTATTCTTCCCCAGGCGCCATTTTTTGGAATCTACTATTGATCTTCTAATCAACTGCGTCTCTCCTTCGACTTCCGATCATCTTTTTATTTGACTGGCGACCTGTTTCCACTGTCCCATTAACCCGTGTCTTTGCTTGCATCCTCGGTCCGTCGCATTCTTATTTTCCCTAATCGGTCCTATCGCATCGGTAGCCCCTTGATCTCGTCACTTGTGAGACATCCCGCTAGATCGAGTAGCTTTTCGCTGTCTCGTTCTTGAACGTCGAAAAAAATATCGCTTTTCTGTCCCATTATTCACCTGTCATCCCGCTCGTCTCCGTCCCCAACCCCTTACCTTCCTGCGAACCTCTCAGCTCGTGCTGCAACGTCGCCCTCGTGGGCCCCTTATCGAGCGACTCGACTCCTGATTTCCTCGTCCTCGAGGGATGACCGGCACTTCGAGCCATTCCACCCGTACAAGCCCAGGGTCCTATAGCACCACGCAGCGCACACCCTCCGTTTCATCGGGCGCGTCGCCTACGCACCAGTCGCTTTCATCTTTGCAGCCGCCCGCGACGGCACAGAATGCGATGTCGACTGACGTGTACCATGCACCCGCATCGCAGACTGCAGCTTCCCTAGGCACTGATTTCGGCTATCACCTGTCATCGCCGCTCAGCCCCTCTTCGTCCTTTGATAATATATCCTCAAATACCTCGTCGTTCGAAACCGTGCCGTCAGTCGCCATGCGCTTGGGCGATTCCGATCGATCGGCGCAGGGTCTCAACGGCTTCATCCGCCAGGCCGACGCGGTGGGTGGTGGCGCAATATTCATGCGAAAGCTTCCTAAAAACATGAGTCGCGAGGCTTTGCGCAGCATGTTCCTATTCTCGAACGAACTGTTGGATGCCGACTTTGTACAGTGTGACCTTCCTGAGGATACTGGATTCTTGGCTGCGATCGCACGGTTTAGCTCCATGGCTGCGGCCGAGGAAGCGCGGGCGTTACTTGATGGCAAGCCGAACTCCAAGAACGACGCTACCATGATTGTCGAAATCTACAATACCGGGTCCTCCGTACCCCCGTTTCTTCCCAGGCGCAATACGATCGACCATTCGGCAACACGCGGGCTACTGAACAACGGACCGGCGACGCGCCAGTCGCGGTTTAATGGTACCTTTCAAACCATGGAGAAGTTGTCGGCGGCGAACCCTGCTGGGCCGTCCGCAAACGAGAATCTACCCTCAGCCGAGACGAACTCGCGTCTACACAATTTCTTCTCTCCCCAGTCACCGATTGGAAGTGGTGGTGTCCCCGATTTCCCGCGCATAAGTGGCAAGTCAATGATAGACCAGGATATCGATGAGGACACAGGAGAGCTCCTCAAGGATCCCGTTGGTTACGCTGAGAATGGCCACTCTGGGTCTGTCTCTGCGGCTCCCCGCCGTTCAACCAACCCACAGATTCCTACGAGCCATTTTGGCAACTTATCTTTGACGACAAATATCTCCCCGCCAGTGCAGAATTACGCACCCGTTCAGACACCATCATCGGCGTTTCCTCAATCTATGGGTAACAATACGGGTGGTCCCACATATCCTTTTCCTAACGCCCACACGGCTCGACACAGCTTCCCAGCAGCCAACCCGAACGATCAGAATCCTCCATGCAATACCCTCTATGTTGGCAATCTGCCCCCCGACACCCAGGAAGAAGAACTCAAGGCCCTGTTTTCGAAGCAGCGTGGCTACAAGCGCCTGTGCTTCCGAAACAAGCAAAATGGGCCTATGTGTTTTGTGGAATTCGAAGACGTGCGTACGGCAGGGAAAGCCCTCAACGAGCTGTATGGATATAAACTCTCCAATAGCATAAAGACCGGCATTCGTTTGAGCTTCTCTAAGAATCCACTTGGAGTTCGCTCCGGTCAGCCGGGCTCATTGAGTGCTTCAAATTCCCTCGCATCGCAGGCTGCTATCCAAGGCGCTGGTGCTGGCATCAACGCAATGTCGAACCACATGTTCTCAGCTGTTAGCGGACCACCACCTGGCCTTTCTGCACCCCCCGGTTTGATGCCAATGCCCCCAAGAAACAATGGTGTCATGCATCCTTCGGCATATCCGCACCCACCCATGCCTATGAATGGCTCTTTCAATCCCAATGCGGGTTTGGGAATTCGCCCGAATCCCATGAACCCAGTCATGATGCCGCCACCCCAATCTTTGCTCAACGGTGGAGCCAACGGCAACGGACCGCGCTCCGGCAATTCCACCCCAAACTATCCTGAGTACATGATGGGCCGGTAGGACGACACGACATTCATTTCGACGGGTTCAATGTCCGACATGTTTTAATGATTACTGGTATCTCCGGCGCATTGAGGGACTTTGTTTTTGCTATGGGCTAGACAGCATTCGGAGGGTCTCCTGGCCTTCCCTGGGAGTAAGGCTATCGGGACTCTTGACTTTGGCTTTCTTCTTATCGATACCTGGGCTTGGACACCCTACCACTTCATTGTTCTTTTCTTTACCCAGATGTTTTGCTTCCTCTTTTTTGTCCACTACTCTTTTTTTCTTGGCATGGAATTGTTGGCACTGTTTCCAGTTTGGTTGGGAAGGGATACTCGCATCATTACTAGGTAGCTTGTTCTTGAGTTTGGATCACATTTGATACCTGTCAAGGCTGCGTGTTCAATTTGCTGGGCTTATCTTTTTTTTTGTTTTTGGTTTCTTAGCACATCTCCATACCCTTCTCTGCTCCGTCTTCTGATTCACACTTTCGCGCGTGTTGTTGGGGATTCTTTTCTCATGGGACTCTCTTCATACTTGGTTTAATGACATCGATTCCCTCTGCATCATCACTTCTGGCGTCCCCATCTTACACTAGCGATGTTACCTTCTCCATTTTTTCTGTGTCCTGGGTGGAATGTCAAGTTTGCTTCACTGTATTGTCATTTACCTATGCCTCCAGTCGTTTCTTCCCTTGACATGCATGACCTTTCGAATTTCTTTCTACTTATTCCCTCATTCTCGCTACCCCTCGACTTGGAGATGGAGTTCGAACGAAAGACCCTGCAAGCTGGGCTGACATTCGAGCTCTACGCTAACATTCATGGCGATTTTTACAATGGACGGCTGTTATCATTAAAGAATGGCGTTTTACACAGGGTATACACATGAGCTGTCTTCATTTTTCTACCTTTAGAGCGGATGCACATCGCGTCCGTGCCTACTTATAGGTGCCTGCTGCCTCGGTTGGCATTTTTTTAATCTCTGATAGCCCGACGACAAGAACGGGGTCATCCGATGGTTAGGGTATTCTTCTTCTCTTCTCTTTAGCTAGGTTTCGAGCCAGGACTGCATGGCTTATCCCCATCCCTTTCGAGCGGAAACTGGACTCGAGTTATGTACTCAATACAAGAGTAAAGATATGCCGGCTGGTGATCAAGGTCTCAGATCAATTACTAGTACGTGCTCCGAAACCGCATTCAGGGCTTGTACTAGTAGTTTTCTACGTGGTTGATTTGAGAACCTGGCGCGCTTGGTGGAGCTGGTTAATCACGTGACCAGCTCTCCGTAAAAGTTTCTTCGTCTTCGGATCTTCCTTCCAGTCAACTTGTTGACACCAGAGTTCTCGTCCTTCGCCCCCATTCAGTGTCCAGACACCTTCCAATTGCACTTCGTTGATAGAATCAAGGCATTGTTGCTTGCTCATACACTATTATTTCCGAGCTTTGTGCGCTTGTCGCGCTTAGAATTGAAAATGCCGCCGCGAATACATTCTCAGATCATCCCCAACTCCCTTCTCTCATGTCGTTCCTCTGCTTCTCAAACCTCCACCCACTCATCTCTCCCATCACCATCATGCGCACCTCTCTCCAAACTATCTTGCTCTCGCCGCTCCACCCCTTCAGCTCCCTACCTGCCTCAACAATCCTCCCGCTCGTTTTCCTCGACACCAACCACACAGACGAGACTCCGAGAGACTATGTTTCAATGGCTTACGACTGAAGGGAGTGAATTGAAAAGCCACATTCCCGGCTCAACCAACTATATCACGGACGGGAGGAATCGAAAGAAATATGGACTAGAAGGGCTACCCGGGGATTCAAAGCCGTTTCCATCGAACCCGCATTTTAAGAGTGAACGTATTTTGAGCGAGGAACTGCGAAATGACATCTACCACCGAGTTGTGGTCAAGAAGCAGAGTGTTCGGGCTGTCAGTACCGATACGGGAGTTGATATGAGACGAGTCGCTGCTGTATGTCGCTTAGTTGAGTTGGAGAAACAGTGGCGAGAACAGGTAAGACAACCATTTTTCCTTCTTCCCTTTTGCAATGATGAAACCACATAAAAAATTTCGATTAGTCTTTACGACCTCAGGAATCCTGGGAATGTGTACAACGCCTAATTTTCTGATTGCTTCCAAATACATGGCAACCTTTTTCTTTCTGGCATATTGTTACTTGTGTGGTCTAACTGTGTCATGAGTAGGGGAAACCATTAGCATTGCCATATGCTCGTGCTGTGCACGAGATGGTGCCGACAACCAAGTTGCAAAGAGATCCAAGACTGCAACGCGAAAGACCCCATGAGCAGATCAATGATCTTCCTGCTCATCGACTTACCGATGCTCAAATTTTCTACCCGGTCTCTGAATCTCGTCAGTTTACCCGTGTCGATGCTGGCCGCGTATTCTCCGCTGCCCCAGCCCGTCTGCGCGGCGATGATCAAGACGATCAACCTTGGGAGGTCGTGAGGGATCTCAACCTTGGCGAACGCCGAATCGAAGCCGTCGGAAAAGGCGACTCTGAGCAGCGCGTATTACTGCCCGCCGACGTGCGCATCCCACACCCGCACCTTATCACGCTTGAGAGCGAGCGCGCTGCCAACCCTGACAGTTTACGTGATGTCTGGAGAGCACACGAGAAACGTCTTAAGGAGGGAAATGAGGCTGAAGAGAAGCGCAAACAGCGTAAACAAGAAGCTCATGACCGCCAGGTATCCCGCGTTCAGCCCAGGTCGTCTCGATTCGAGTTCCGTATCAAGGATGTCGTTGTCAGCAAGGAGACCACCGGCACTGATGGTCGTAACGCCAAGGCCCCTGGCCGGAGATATGGTGTCCCCAGATCAGACCGCAAGAAGGGTCAGGTCAAGATTCCTACCTATGTGTTGGTCTAGATGCGGCATGCTGGATGTGACTCGGATGTATTATTATCATGTTTCTATCTCTCTTTCCAAGCTTTGTACAAATATCCACTGAGGACTTTGAATATATCCTAATCATGCTTGTGTCTTACTCTACAATAAGATTACTCCTAGTGACAGCCATGTTGGCAGGTGCCTGTTGGAGGTATATGTTTTCGTACCTGATGTATGACTGGGGCAGCGCCTCAAATTTGCTGTATGGTGCATGCAGTAGTTGATGGCCACTCGTCAAAAGTCTTTACAATCAGCGTATCAATCCTTCCAGGAAGCACTCTCCCCTCTGAGGTACATCACACAAATTGCATGGCTAAGAATAGCGAGAAGGTTTGAAGCACCACTTCGTCAGGACGAACATCAAACGCCAACGACTGGTCCAGAGACTCATAAGAGTTCGGTCAAAGACACTAGCCATACAATAAACTACGTGGACAGCGTTTGACGAACCAACCGGGGAGTTAAGCGCCGCCCTACGTGTTTGAACATAAGGGACGAGTGTATCAAAAAGCGCAGGAGACGCTTAGTGCTCAACCTCGTTTGAACCCCTGATCTTGTCATTCAAAGTGAGGGATGCGCGCGAGTTGAGCGTTGGATGGTTGGAAACGTCCGAAGTTACCACTGGACCGCTGGCGAGCTGGATGGGCTGGTTCGTATGCAAGTTTGCCCTTGCCGTCACGCAGGAGGATGTTACAGGCTCCCACCACGAAAAGACCTGAGTGGCTCGCGGGCTGCGAGACGATGATCAACGCGTAACAAAAGGTGACTCCATCACCATTGCCGCCCGAGTCTGATCGGATCGGAGCGGAGCAGATCAGATCAACGGCAGTAAGGACTCTGAAGTCTGGACGTTGGGTATACATAGGCCTTGCGGCCGCAAATGCCGGCAAGTGGTCCTTTTCATCCAGGCAATTTCCTGCGACTGCAAGCCTGCAAGTCTGCGACAAGGAAGGGCGAAGGCGAGGGAATAGATTCCATGATCTGGCCGGGCCGGGGAGATCTTTGCCTTCTTTTTCGTTTTCTCCCTCTTGTGATTGTGTGGTGAAGTGGATGGTCAAGCCACACGTCAGCCTCAGCCTCTGAGGATTCAGATGGCCAGGCCGGCTGGGTCTGGAATTGGATGGAGAAAATGAGGGTGCGCGTAGACTCGGGTTGGGAAAGCGGAGATGGCGATTAAAATTAGCCTTGATTTGGCACCCCCGACAACAACATTGACGAAGTTTATTGGAATGATGTTGATAGAGGCTTCAAAATAAGAGGCGATAAACACAGTGTATACATTTCGGCCGCTGTAATTCTGTTCATGACTGTTGACAGTGCGTTGTAGGGCAGGATCCAATCTGTCTTATGGGGTTGCGAATCTCAGGACTCAGACTCAGGCCCACCAGCAGACCAGACCGTGGGAAATGAAACCCTCACCACGTAGCAAATTCCAACGCTGATAATAATCGGGATTAATTAGTGAACGATCCTAATCACCACTAAATAACAAGGCTGATTCTTTTCTCCCTGCGAGCGTTCTTTCTTCAACTCCTCGCCCAGTCTCTCCTTTTCTTCCCGCGGGCACTACTACTTCCTCGTGGACTCGTACGCTTCGTGTACAACTTCCGACGAATCCCCCATTCGGGCTCTTGTTTTCTTCATTCCCTCGTTCAGCCTTCTTTTCTCCTCCTTTCTCCTCTCACTCTCCTCGGTCGGATCCTCGCCATCCGTCGACATTCGCTCGTTCAACCCCTCTCTTTCGCTCTTCTTCGCTCTCTTCTTCGATTCTTATCAGACGTTCCACACTCGACCTTCTCGTCCCATTCCAGCCTGGCGCTGCTCTCTTCTTTGTTCCTGTGTCTGCCTGCAAGGGGTCTTAAAACACCACCAGCCTCGCGAAGATCTCGTTCTCGTCCGCCACGCCGGTTCATCTGTCTCGAACTAACTTCGCGTTTCGAAACGACCTATTATTATCTTTTGCTTGATCTTCGCCCACTTCTGCCTGGAGTTGCCAATCTCGACAACTCTAAAACGCCATTATCCTCAGCCAGCTAGTTTTGCGAGGTAGGATCTCATCGCCCTTCTCTTTCTTCTGATTGTCGCTTTAGCTCTTCTCGCTGGTTCTTCGCCTGGATTCGCTCTTTGTTGTCGGTTTCGGCCCCAATGTCCTCCGACCTACCACGCTTTGACGCTCTGCGGCTTATGTGCGTGCGATTGTTCGGTCTAGCTGATTGTTGGTAAATTAGTTTCTCGACTTGTCCCTCCATCGCGCCTATTTGCACTCGATACTCGGAAAAGAGAGCGGGTGGAAAAGAAAGTATCGGTCGCCGAACGCCTTCTGCTGTTGAATCGCAGTATCCCGACTATAGTCAGCAAACAACCCTACGTATTACGCGCATCGAATCCGAAGTGACCAGGATATATATACAATCTCCCCCAAATCTTGGATCGCCATAACGTTGCATCTATCAACCGTTCCATCTTCGTTACATAAACAACAATCGCTCACGAAATAAACACAAGAATGCCAGGAGTACGGCTGAGCAATCTACTGGGCGACCCGTTCGCTCTCGCGACGAGCTCCATCGCAACGGTATGTCTTGGACTCGCCGGATGTCGTTTCGCAGCTAATCATGGCGCAGCTCGGATGGGTGATTGCATTTGTTGCATCTATCGCCGCGGACGTACAGGGGAGCTACCCCAGTTTTCAATGGTGGGCCATTGCCTATACGTTCTGCTGTAATATCGGAGTGATCACCGTCTTCATCACCGACTCAGGTCTCACTTATGGCGTAGCAGTATGTGTACCAATGACAAGGCCTTGGGCAGTGCTAACCAATGTTAGGTTGTGGGATATCTGGCCGCCGATCTGGTCATGAACTCAATCTCGGCCAATTCCATGTTTAACCCTTCGCAATCCGGCTCTAGGTCCTCAAATGATGATGGTCTTGCCGCAAAGCAAGCCGCAGGTGCCGGATTTATCCTTCTGTGCATGATCAACGTATGACTACCCTTCCAGCTCCAAGTATAAATCAGCATCAGCTGCTGACCTCTATAGATTGTGTGGATCTTCTACTTTGGATCGACTCCCCAGGCTAAGCACCGTGGATTTATCGACTCTTTCGCCCTTAACAAGGAGCACCATGGCTCTTATGGAAACAACCGCCCAATGTCGTCGGCTTTTGGTGCACGACCCGAGACGACGTCGAGCCGCCCCCAGATGTACACCTCTGCGCAATTGAACGGTTTCGAGACCTCGTCACCTGTCTCAGGATACCACGGCGGTGCTCCTGGTGAGACGCGCAGCCCATCACAGGCACGCTTCACCAGCATGCCTGGAGGCAACACCAACCCTGAGACGGGGACAGAAATCCCCCCACCAACTGAGTACCCATACAAGGCCAAGGCCATCTACAAGTACGACGCGAACCCCGAGGACGCCAATGAGATCGGCTTCGACAAGGGCGAGGAGCTAGAAGTATCAGATGTCAGCGGCCGATGGTGGCAGGCTAGGAAAGCTAACGGAGAGACGGGAATTGCTCCATCAAACTACCTGATTCTGCTATGATCGGAGCATTTTTTTCTCTGTTTTCTCATCTACTTTTCTTTTCCTACTCTGTCATGGGTCCTCGCTGGTTGGCGAGAAAATGTGTTTGATACCCTTCGAGTTGTATCACTCGGCGCACGTTCGGATTGCAACAACAAAGTCATGTTATGTCTTGATGGTCTTGGATTCTTCATTCTGTTACCTGGTGAACTGTAAGATTTTTATTTTGGATATGAGTCATTCTTCCATTTCATTATTTCATTCCAATTTTGAACCGAGCCTGTTGCGCTTTGCCAGATGTATGATTGTACCAGATGATCCCTTGAGTTCCTTACCATTGACAACGTATGAGATTGAATCAATGATTTTTCAAGCGCAGGTCTGAGACGCCGAGTAGATTTGAAACCTTGAGTCCAAGAGCTTCAAACTCTAAACAACCCGGCTGAGCGGGAACTTTGCCAGGGACAGACTTTACAAGAAGTAGGGGTCATGCTTTCATGGAAATGATTCGGACAAGCTCCAACCAAGTATCCTTATTTCAACACCAACCGCATCCGGAAAACGAATCCGCGTCCTTGACCACAGGATATGAATAATAACGACATATTGTAAGTCGAATGCACCGTGCACGAAATGTAATCGTCGATCGTCGATGTCCCGCTTGATAGGAGCATATTAGCAAATCCAATCCGCCACGTTCCGATATATCTCCGGCTGCGGATCCCGAGCCCCAGCGCAGCCCCATCTCCTCTGGGCTTCCTGTCCGGTCTTAGTGCCTTGTACCTTGAGTGTGATCAAGGCTTTTTTTGGACATTTCTGAGTTTCTAGAACCATGAACACTACGGTTCAGCGCTACCTACGGCCTTCTGATAGACTGTATTCCGTACGGAGTACGGGTACACTGCACACGTGCCTTGGCCGATTGCTGATGGGTCCATCTAGTTCTTCGTAGCGGATAGTAGTTGCAACTGTGGGGATGACGAAGGGTCTAGATGACTTTGGGTAGAGGCTCTAATTGACTGCAGAAGCTCGGATTCAGATTCCTCTTTGGGTAGAGGCTCTAATTGACTGCAGAAGCTCGGATTCAGATTCCTCTTTGTGTATGAAATTTCCGTGGCTTTTGCTGACTGCTTTTGAACGGGATGTATAGAGCGGGAGGACGTTGTAGGTAGGGCTGGATACGGCCTATCATCCATGTTTGACTATGTTGCTCTGGGTGAGGAGGGTATATAAGAAACATGGTCCGCTGTAAAGAAGATAGAAGCCGTGTCACTGTATTATCTGCTTTATACCATATATCGTTGCGTCTACTACAACCCGACGTTCCTTTCCTCGTGGAGATTCGGCGGGTCGATAAGGCAAGACTGGACGAGCCAACATCTCTCCTAAAATCCCACCAGATCGCTTGTATCCTCACTTACCTTCTCATACATCATGTCCTCAACTCCGGAAACCGAGTCGCAAAACATCACCCTTGCCTCCAATGTGCTAGGCACAATTGGCACAGTCCTCTGGTGCATCCAGCTCCTCCCACAGATCTGGTCGAACTGGCGGCGGAAGGACACAGAGGGGTTTCCGCAGTTGATGATGCTGCTTTGGGGAGTTTGTATGTTTCCCCTTTCCGTATTTTAGGCTGGAGGAGAGGAAGAAAGTTGGGGAAGTTGAACGTGAGTTAGCTGACCAGTATGGCTTCTAGGTGCGGTGCCAATGGGAGCGTATTTTGTGCTGCAGGTATGTATAACCGATCTTCATCCCATGCGGTTCCAGAGGGGGTTAGTGGAAGAGAAGAGTGAGTGAATAACACCGGACCTGGATATAGGAAGTGAATATCCCACTGCAGATCCAGCCACAGGTATTTGGGTTCTTCTCGCTGGTGGCTTGGGGGCAGATTCTGCATTATACCCAGTATGTGCTCCCCATCCGGGATGTACTCAAGCAAAGGCTGGAGTGGAGATGCTGATGCTGATGCTGATATCGCTTGCAGCAAGTTTTCCTGCCCTAAGGCCACAGCCATGGTGATAGGAACGGTTGCGCTCTTCGCGGGCGTTGAGGCGGCGCTGATTCTCTCTCTGAGGGTAAGTTCTTCTTTGTATTGTGCTCCCAAAGAAGCTGTGCCAGACTCTAACCATCACAGATACCGTATAATAACGGCATCACCTGGCCTGATTTGCTCGTCGGAGTGATTGCAGCGATCTCTCTGGCGGGTGGTCTGATCCCACCGTACTTTGAGCTGTGGAAGAGAGGCGGACGGGTAATCGGAATCAGTATGACTTGTGCCCTGTTGTGAGTTGATAGCGTGGATTAATGTTGTATAGATTGGTTCTTCCTTGGGACGGATACGCTAGGTGGTCTCTTTTCTCTCTTTGCGCTTGGTATGTTCCCTTGGTGATGATTGCAAGGAATTGCTGACGGTAGTAGCGGCGCAGGGAACCTTTGATATATTGGGTGGCGTTCTGTATATCGTTGTGTCAGTCATTCCGTGGTAACTAGTTATGGCTGTATTGATGATTAATGATGAGTAGGATTCTCTTAGAAGTCGGGATTATTGGCAGCCACATTGGATGGCGCATTCGATACCGGAAATTACTTGCACAGGCCAAGATCACAGGCAGGAGTGTCGATGAGCTGCTTGGGGCGAAAGAGGCAGTGCACAACCGAGGCAGCGACAGCGATGTCGAGAGTCAGATGCATGGGGAGAAGTGAAGTACCAAGAATATGGAGAGAATTGTACACCGAATCGATGGTAGAGAGGCTTCAAGAGTATTTATGCAGGCCAGCTGGCGGACGACCAGACGAGGCTAGCGAGGCAGCGGGTTTACAATCATCAAATAATGTCGAGTAATCCAAAAATAATCGCCGATCGAGCTCGATGGCTCTGCAGTGACAGCTGGAATCGATATTAGCGATCGTACGAGGACTCTGAAGCTGTGAGCTCCTGCAGTTTTATTGTTTTCCCCTCTTTCGACCTTCGTGTGTCTCCAATTCTCTTTTGTTTCCTTCCGTCATGTTCTCTCCTTTGGTGTCCTGCCGTGTCTTTTCTGATTTCTGTTTCTGCGTCTGCTTTTGCGTCTGTTTCTGTCCTTTACCTCGTTTTCCAGCATGACGAGTGACTTGTTTCTCCTGGACACCATCTGCGCCGCCGTTGAGGAGGTGATGACCCTTTGAGGTTGTTGCCAGGCCTCACGATACCTTTTGTTAAGCGTCCGATTCTATGATTTGGTTTCTGTTGTGCTATCCGTTGCTGTCGATTCTGCTCTGCGTCCGCCTGGCCCTGCAATCGCTGGCTGTCAACATGTCAGAGCGCCGGTGGTCCACCAGGCTGAAAGCGAAGCTCTTGCGGCGATCGTCAATGTCAAGCAAAAATCACCCTTTCACCACCACATCCAACGCCTCGTCCTCCACCGGCCACAACCTCCATCAGCAGCACTCTCACCCGCACAGCAATCACGCCTTTGACCAGCCGGTCCGCCAGGACCATCACGGGGAGAAGGCGGCGGAGGAGCTGTCGCTGTCGGCCGACCCAAACTTTGCAAGCATTGCAACCACCGCGACGCCGCCCATCTCCACAACCCCAAACGTCCTCTCCTCTTCAGCCTCCCACCCTCCTCCACCTCTCTCCTCCGCCAGTCGTCCCTCCATCTCCTCCTTCGCCGACTCCCAGTATACGCCTGACGAGCTCGCCAGTCCTACCAGTTCGTCAGGGGGGCAATACTTCTTCGTCCCTGAATACCGGCGTCCCAACTCTCGCTCTTCAGCTCAACGCCACATCGAGGAGCCCCCTCCACCTACCAATCCGAACGCGAGCCCTTCGTCCACGGTAACAAGTAGGCAGGTCCTGCCTCAACCGTCACCGCAAGAGCAACAGCAGCTGGCCACCTCTCGACGGCGCTTCGAGCCAACCCACGATCGGGATCGTGCCCGATCCGGATCTAGCCGCAAAAGCTTCCCATCTGAGCTGCTCAACTTCCCCCTTCCACCGTCACGAAAGGCCGACCACGTTGCCCCTGCCGCTCCCCCAACTTCGCCTCCTGCACCAAAGGCTGATCGCTTGAGCGCACCACCAGCCTTAACTCCGCGAGAGCGTTACGCTGCTGGTGCCGGACCGGCCGAGTCTGTATCGCCTGCGCCCTTGAATGCTGTCGCAGAGAAGCAGGTTATAAGCACTTATCAGTCGTTCCCGCTTCCATCGACATCGCTCGCCAAGCGACCGAGCTTGGGAATCCGTCGCCAGTCGCTTCTGCCTGCCTCTCATCAGCATCTGGTTAGCTCTTTGCTGGACACCGGGTCGTTCTCGGAACCAGACGGATTTGGACACAAACCTTTCCAGAGTACAAGCTCAGGGATGGGTTACCGTAAGATTTGGGTTAAGCGGCCAGGGGGGTCGGCCACGCTTCTGCCTACGTCCGAGGATGCGCTGGTCGACGAGTTGAGAGACCAAGTAGTGATGAAGTACGCCAACTCCCTGGGAAAGACGTTTGATGCGCCCGACATCATCATCCGGATTGCTACACGAGAAGGGACCACAAGACAATTGACCCCTGATCGCATCCTGAGTCCAGAGGAGCCCTTGATTGCGGTCCTGGATTCATACTACCCGGGTGGCCAGACGATACAGGAAGCTTTGGTTATTGAGATTCCTCAGCGTCGGACTCCTAAACCCTCGCCTCGCCATAACACGTACTATACGCACTCTGAGCCGGGTGAGCATGGCGACTATTTCACTCTTATGCCAGCCAATGGCAACGTTCCAACCCCTCCGACGCACCAGCCCCATGCGCCTAATTCCGCCTCGTCGATCTCTATTTTGACTACCGGCATGGCGCCTGCGCTGCCGTCTCCGAGCGGGCGTGCTTCCCGTCACCGCCGGCCTCCTATGACTCGGCATACTACAAACTCCCCAACCATGCTCGGGTCAGCTACGAGTGCAAAAGGTATGTTTTTCTTTGGTAGATCAAGTGAGCTATGCTGATCTATGACAGACCCTGGAGCTCAAGCACTTGCTGTTCCCAGTCAACCCACGCCACCGATTCCTACTCCTCCTGCTCCAGAGTCACCGCAGGCCAAGGCACTTACGCCACCGGCACGCAGTGCATCTCCGCGCCCTGGCCCCACGAAGACGAAAAAGAATCGGTCAACCTTACTCAATGGAGCCTTTGGTGGACTTATCGAGGGCACAGTTCCGCCTATTAACGTGCTCATTGTCGAGGATAACGTCATCAATCAGAGGCTCTTAGAGGCGTTCATGAAACGCCTCAGTGTGCGATGGAAGTGTGCAGCCAACGGAGCAGAAGCTGTGAAGAAATGGCGTGAGGGTGGATTTCATCTCGTGCTGATGGATATTCAATTGCCCGTGATGAACGGATTGGAGGCCACAAAGGAGATCCGTCGGCTTGAGCGGTTGAATGGGATTGGCGTGTTCCCCAAGAAGGATTCCGGCGTGCGCAGTGCGGCTGGTGGGAATACCACCAACTCAGATCCTCTAACTGAGGAGGACACGCTGCATGATTTGTCGCTATTCAGGAGTCCTGTCATTATCGTGGCTCTGACAGCTTCCAGCTTGCAAAGTGATCGCCACGAGGCTTTGGCAGCCGGTTGCAATGACTTTTTGACCAAGGTAATTCTCTCCGAACTTAATCGCACGTACCAAGCTAACATATGTAGCCCGTTCGATTCGAATGGTTGGAGCAGAAGGTGACAGAATGGGGCTGCATGCAAGCACTCATCGACTTCGAGGGCTGGCGCAAATGGCGAGGATTCGCAGACGACTCCAACCCAGGGTCAGATGACTACTCCAGTCCCACGCCAAAGCGCAACACCAGCGCGACTCGCAAGATTTCACCGGCCGCGCCATCGCCTTCTCCGTCGGCGAAGAAGGCAGAGGGCAAGGTCCGCCACTTGAAACGGAGTGACCTTGTTGAAGACTCCCCGGACAGCGGGGACGGTTCAGACTCTCCTGCGTCGATGAACGCAGAGCGTCCGCTTGCTCAGGACGTAACCATATAAAGAAATCACCTCGCAAGGAACCATTTTCTTCTTAGTTCATATCGTCGTTTTGTTAGTCGTGTGTTAGATACCCAGCATAGCCATTTGTATCTGAACTTAGATATATCATGTTGAACAACTCGCGCACATGAAGAGTTGTCATAGTCACGATTAGTAGATAGAATAGTATAGTATAGCATAGCACAGAGGTCCAAAACATAAACATAGAACATGGTATCATCGTGGTCTATAACAATAACAAATGTAGACACACCCTCAACTCAAACCCCTGATATCAAAAACAAAAACAAAAACAAATCACGCATTCTCCCTCTCCCTATTGACTTCCCCTCTCCGAACTCCCCGCTCAACCCCCTCGATCCTCCCCTCCCACTCCCCCCAAACCTCTCCACCACCCAGTACCGAAACCTCATACCACCGCTGCAATACCTTCGCCGTGCGCACACGCAGCTCCGCAACCTCGCGCGCCTGCGCCTCTTGCTTTTTCGATAACGTATCAATCCGCGGCTGCAGCTCGATCAACGAGGCAGATTGTGTTGCGGGAGGGATGGGAAGGTCTTGCAGGCTTGTAAGGCGCGATGCAGTTTCGGGAAAGGAAGTGGTATATGAGAGGATTATGGCTGTCTGGGTTGAGAGGGGGAGGGACGGATCCTCTGATGGGGTGGGAGTTGAGGAGAGGTCTGTGGTGGTCGTAGTTTCGTTATCGGCGCTGCTTTTGCTGGTTTTGAGGTCGGAGGGTAATGGTGTGCTTGAGGGGGGTTTGAAAAGATCGGGGAATCGATCGTCTAGATATTCAATCCGTTGATTAGCATGCTTATCACACTAACACCACACTGCAGCCCAGCCCCGGGATATCCAGTCCCACCAAACGGGAGAAAGGAGAAACATACACAACCCAAGCAGATCCCTCGCAACAGCCGACCTATCACGAAGCCTCTCCAATTCACTTTCCAGATGCAGCAGCCGTCTCGAGATAGTTTCCTCATACGAGGATGGCTTGGCAGGGGGCGTCGGAGACCCCGTCCAGGCTGCGTCGCCTGTGAGGAGGTATGTGAGGCGGTGGAGGCGCGATTCGAGGAGGTGCAGGGTTGAGGAGGCGGTTTTTGTTGGGTCCATTGTTTATATCTTGGAGATTCTAGAATTGGAGCGGTAGGGCGTTTGGCAGGAGAAGGTGTGGTTTGCGTGGGTGTTGGATGGGATTATCGCGTTGTGTACTACTCTCTTAGTGAGGAGAGGACGGAGGTGGATTGGAGTTGGGGGTGGAGTGGAGTGGGTTGGAGAGCTCGCTGCATGGCTTGGCGCTCAAGAGATCTATATTCCTACCATACAATACGGAGTACAAGCGAAGAGAAAAGTGAGTACCATGACGTCGTTTCTAAATCTATGTCATAACTACGTCTCGAAAGTAGACCGCTAAGGTTGATTCCATGCTGACTGGCGATCCTGTCCCTGTCCCTGTCCCGGCTGAACGGCGCCCTGACTGAGTAATGGCCTCCCAGCCCTCTCCTGCATCTCCTGCCCCGGCTCTGTAGCCGAATCATCATCAAAAGACGAGACTTGATAGTCAAAGACGTTCACGTTGCGGGCGGCAATGTCTTCCGATGTGCCTTCTTCTCTGATCGACGGCGACGGGTAAGCGGGCCGTGAGCCGAATGTTTGTTCCCAGTCCACTTCTTGGTCTTGCTCTTGCTGTCTTGCATCTGCGTTGTTTTCCCAATCTAGCAGCTCTGCGTCGAATGCGGCGTTGTCTGCGTCTACGAAGGCCTAGAGGATGTTGTTAGTGAGATAGCTAGGTGGGGAAATGGAAAGATCGTACTTGAAGTGTAGGCGGGGCGGGCTCCTCCTTGAAGTTCATGGCGTTGCTATTTGCGTACACTAGTAGGACGTTCTTCGACTCTTCTCGCGCTGCGCGGAGGACTTCAACCTCTCGCACCTTGTGCGCGGTATATCCAATCACGTCTGCGTCTTTTGGGGCAGAGCTGGTGCCCCCCGTTTCGGCTTGTCGGGTCTTCGCATCGTCTACGGAGAAACTGATGCGCCACCAGTCGTAGTCGTCGGACGGCGGGGTTTCAGGATCTGGTATCCTGCGTCTTAGGACATATGTCACATGGGGCTCTGTGCACACGCCTCTCAGCGTGTACTTGTGGACTGGTGGTTCGCCCGGCGAATCCGATGGCTCCGTTAGGAATTTTGAAGAGCCCCTAAGGCTCTCAATGGCCTGTTGCTTGCGTTCCTCCAGTTCTGTGGGTGTTAGCTTGTAGTTCAATCGAGTGACGGAAAGACCAACCTTTAAGCTTGCTTTCAATCTTCTGTGAGATTGCTCTTAGCTCCGCAGCCAACTTTTGCACATCGGCGCCTGGTTCTGCTGTTGATATAGCGTCGTCGCCTGAAGTGCCCTTAGGGCCCAGTATTGCCGCAGCATCAGCTGCCTTTTCAAGCACCTTCTGCGAGGTAAATCCTTTAGCCAAGCCCTTCGGCGCCGAAAGACGGTCCATGATATGTTGTAGTCTAACAATGTCCTCGCGGACTTCCAGTCGTTGTACGCGATAGTCGCGTGAGATGTCTCGGCAGCTGGCGAGATACCGGTCTGGATAAAAAGTTGCGGGAACCTTCACGTCCGCTGCTTTCGCTGCTGAGTCGGTGTTGTCCAACCTGACTACCAGGATATCGGCGATATGTTCCAGCCACACATCGTCAAGCTCTTCTCCAGGGCTGTCGGCCCACATAGTACCGTCCAGCACATCGTAGAGCGTTTGCCCGTGGACAGACTCTACGTACGGCTCTAGGGTATAAAACTCCTTATCAATCGGCGTGTCGTATGGCGCCAAAGGCCGCTTATACGCCATGGACATGAACACGGTCGTCAATGGATTTCCGGGATCGGCTCGCACGGCCGATTCCTGCCACGCCTCGAGAAATCTGCTAACGCTGCCCTCCGCATCATATGTAGACATGCTCTTCAGGCCGGCTAGAGCGTCCGCGCTACCAAAAGCGCGGGTTGTGGAGTCCAGAAAGGCCATGGTCCTTTGGGCTTCGTGTAGGATATCATCCCAATCGGTGTCGCCGTCTTGTGCTTCGTGAATCGTCACAACTTTGGGAAGATTGATTGGTTGTCCATTCCACCATTGCGCATCATGCCCGTAGCTCGAAAGAGCCTTGTTCCGCAGTAAGAGAGCCTCGCGGGCTAGTGGTATGGAGTGCAGAATCGTCAAGAGCCCGCTCAGATGTAGGGCATCCTGAGATGGACGGATAAAAGCCGGTTCGCTCGCCTGTCTCTTGCGGTCAACCGGATCCGGGCTGATGATGATCTCGCGGGAGCTGGAGTTGAACAGCGTCATTGCCCAAGCGCCCTCGTCGTAATGATCCCGCGTCGCACGGCCAAATTTTTGATTTGAACTTGTGACGCCAGTCTCTTGCTGTCCGAGGTTTTGGTTTAAGGACATAGCTACCGCCTGCTGGAGTTGTCGTTCCTCCTGCTCCGCCAGTGTCAGGCCATTATCCGAGGTTTCTGTCAAGCGCAGTCAGCAGATGTCCTGTCAGCACTACCGAAATCCCTACCCTTCGTGTCCTGCGTGGTGACTTGTGGAGGCGGTAACTCGGGCGCGTGTGTGTTGTCTTTCATATTCATGGCGGACGGAGGGCGCGACGGAGGAATGAGGTTGGGGGAGACGGGGACGGCGTCGGAGTGTTCGATTTGGTACGCTGTCAGAGCAAGCCTGTCAGCATGTCAGGTTCGCCAAACCTTAAGATAGAAAAACTTCGCACCTGACGCGGTAGATTCATTTTGATATGTTGTAGGCTTGCCAACCAATTAACGAGACTGTCTCCAATCGCATATAGAGGCCGTAGGTACCTGTAATAGTTGCGGGCCGGTAGGGTCTTCGAAGTACGCATTGATGGCTTTACTTGCATCAAGATCGTTGGCCTAGGCCGAGCTCCACGTTAGCTAGCTAGAAAAATTCACCGCGAAGAAGACGCATACCTTTAGGAAGCTGATAGCTTGCTCCCGAGACGTGTTCGTTATGCTTGTGAAGCTAGCGATAGCTTCCTCAGACGGTTCGGACGTCATCTTGGAGCTTCTGCCTTGCGGATAGCTGTGGCACGTGTACGACGGGCACGCGGGTGCCAGACTCTGGGCGAGAAGGGGGGGAAATGAAAGTAAAATTAGAAGTGTGAGGGAAGTATAAGAAGACGAGAAGGCAACAACAGCCTTGAGGTGGCCAATGCTGGGGCTTGCGCAGCGGGTTTGGCGGAGAACAAGTGAGCTCCCCACCACATGACGCCAAGCCAGGACCCCTCTACGGCCTTCTCTTATATGCGCATTACCTTTACTGAGCTATTTGCTGAGGAGCAAAGGATCATTGCAAAGTTAATAGTGAATTTGTCTAGACACACCCGTGACTACAAAGGATATAATGGCAGCTCACGATAAGTAGGGAGATGAAAGAGGGGCTGATGGAAGATGGGATATCGCATATGGTCATAATATCTGGAAGTAGATGAGAAAGCAATAATACCATAGCTATGTTTCATGGTAAAAGCAAATATGCCAATACTTTCACCTGGGACTCCTGTTAACTGAGTGGTTTTCGAGGATGCTTTGGCGAGGATTATGAGAGGTGCAGCAGTGGGAGTGGCTTCCGCCCGCTGTGTCGTCGACTCATCCAGAATCCGATCTCCTGCAGTTTTGCAACCTTGCACTACATCGAGCCTTGTACCATCCATCATATACTTACTAGACCCGTCATTCCCTCGGCCATCGATTTTTCCGGATGGTCTTGAACTGAAAACTCAGTCCACTTGTCTGCTTTTCCAGTTCCTCCGCGGATTTGCGGGGAACGATCGCTTTCCTGCCACCTCAGGCGAACATGAACTAACTCATCTCAACACCCAAAACTCACGATTGGGGCTCCCATTCATTTACAAACACATTCTTGGGATTTCGAGGCGCTGAGAAGGCGCAAAAAATTAGAACAAGAGGGCAGAAAAGTGAGTGACAGAGTCTAGGCGGGCTTTGCGGATATCCATCACGTCACGTTGTCTTCCTCCACATCGACCGACCTCCACCGCTGAGAAAGAATCCGCCGACGTGCGATCTCGTCAGCTGCCGATCCATCAGGATGGCTGCTGCATTTGATGACGAGGACCTCTCGGTCTCTCTTCCTCCTGTCGACCGCGACCGCCATCGTGAGCGTTCCAACGGCTCCAACAACTCCCCCAATCCGAACCAGTCCGCCATGGCCATGCCCCCGCCCTCGCGCCCGATCGGAAAGGGTGCTGACCCTTCGAGACAGTCACCGGCCACAATGAGGGATATGCAGCGGTTGGATCAGTATCATACAGTCAAGGTGCTAGGCGAGGGATCTTTTGGGAAGGTCAAGCTGGCCATTCACCAACCCAGTGGCCGACAAGTCGCCTTGAAAATCATCTCCCGCCGCAAGCTGCTCTCCCGGGACATGATCGGTCGAGTCGAGCGGGAGATCCAATACCTACAGCTACTACGACACCCTCATATCATTAAACTGTTTGTCTCTCCACGTTTGCAATTGACCTTACGTGAATGGATGCTGACCCTTTCACCGCTAGGTACACCGTCATTTCAACCAAAACCGATATCATTATGGTACTGGAATATGCAGAGCGAGAATTGTTCGATTACTTGGTGAAGCGAGGCCGGTGCAACGATGCCGAAGCTCGCAAGTTCTTCCAACAGATCATATGTGCAGTGGAATACTGTCATCGTCATAAAATTGTTCATCGTGATCTGAAGCCGGAAAACCTGCTCATTGACCGAGACAAGAATGTCAAGATTGCGGATTTTGGCCTGAGTAATATCATGACGGACGGCAATTTTCTCAAGACCAGCTGTGGAAGCCCCAACTATGCAGCCCCCGAAGTCATCTCGGGTAAGCTGTACGCTGGTCAGGAGGTTGACGTATGGAGCTGCGGAGTCATTCTTTACGTGCTGCTGGTAGGACGACTTCCATTTGATGACGATTACATCCCGGCTCTTTTCAAGAAAATCGCCGCTGGCAACTTCCACATGCCCACTTACATATCTTCCGGAGCTGCTCGCCTCATCCGGTCAATGCTCCAGGTGCACCCAGTGCACCGGATCACCATCGAGGAAATCCGCAAGGATCCTTGGTTCCTCCAAGATTTGCCCAAATACCTGCATCCGCCTTCAGAGGAGTTTATTGCCACGGGAGTTGACCCGCACAAAGCGATCGATCCCCGGAAGATTGCGTTGGGAAAGCCACAGGCCATCCAGAACAAGATCAGCCAGGTAGCAATCTCCAAGTTGGAGAGGAGCATGGGATATGGACGTGATGATATTGAAGATGCGCTCAAACATCCCGAGCCGAGTGCCATCAAGGACGCTTTCTTCATCATTGTGGAGAATGAAATGATGCAAACAAACTGTGAGAGAGGTAACATTGGTTATGAGAACAAATGGCTAATCCTGACAGCGCCTACGGATGACAATATGTTGAACCCTCCAGTTGTACCTTCCCCGCCACCAACAAACCGTGCTGTTCCCTCGACGGGATCTGGACGACCAGCGACGTCTCAGGCGCAGGCAGCGCAGTCACTTCCATCACGCACACGGTCCGGTTCCCGCCGACAACCTGTTCCCATGTCCTTACCGGCCGATTCGGACGAATTAGAGGCGCCACGAGTGAGCCACGTCAGAATTTTGCCGACTAGCTTACCTTATGTTCATGATCAACTCATGGAACAAAGGGAGCGAGAACGGGAGCGTGAACGTGAGCGGGCGAGAGAGGACCGACAAGAGCAATTACAGGCCGGTCTGGACGATGACGACCCCCGCCGGACTGCTCGGTCGCCGGAAGAACAGGAAGCAACAGCAAGAGCCTTGAAGCCGCATTCCCGCAGTATTGTTGATCTGGATAAGCTTCGGCTTGAGCCGCCAGAAAGCCGCAGCGCCCCGCATCAACCTAGAAAGTCTCGACGATGGCAGTTCGGCATTCGCTCTCGCAACCAACCATATGAGGCTATCCTCTATCTGTACAAAGCAATTGCGGCACAGGGGGGAATTTGGGAGATGCAACCCGCGGACACAGGTAGGCTCATTGGCAACTCAAAATGGTTCAAAACTAATCGTTATAGATGGTGCCGCGGACGACGATCTCGCCAACCGACCCTTGCAAACCAAGTATCCAGATTTGCCCTCTGACCATTATGTTCCCAAGGACTTGTGGTTCATCCGAGCGCGTCTACTAAAGGAAGGTGTCAGAGCACCCGGTACGTCATCCAGCATGCATAGCAGCCGCAGCGATCTCGAAGAGCTGCGGCGCCGGTTCAATCTGTCAGGAACCGCGATTTCAGAGGACAAGCCCACCGCAGCAGAGTCAACAGTCACATCAGGTGCTTCATCAGCCACACGGGAAGCTACCATCTCTCGCATCTCGTACGGAGTTTGGGTCTTTGTAGACATTCAGCTCTACCAACTGGAAGAGAACAACTACATGGTCGATTTCAAATGCGACGGTTATCAGAACGTGATCCGCGCAGAAGGTGACACTGATTGGCACCCAATCAGCAAACGCTTCCGCAACAAGGACAAGGAGGTGACGAGTCCTTATCCGTTCCTGGACGTGGCATCCGACCTCGTGGCACAGTTGGCCGTGGCAAGCTGAACTGGGCATGTGATTTGATGTGGCGTCGGGCGCAGGTTTCATGCTTTTGCATGTGTGATCTTTAGCGTGCATTTGTTGATATAGGGCTGAGAGTGAAAAGGGGATCTATACATGTAATGATTTTGATGTTGTACAGCATACCACACCGGTGTATGATAGGGTCTAATATCTGGAAATCAACCGTCTTGGCTTTCGTCTCGCCCAGCTATATCGTTGCGTATTATGTAGTGATTCGTTGCCTTTGGACCGGGAAATTATAAATGCGATATCCGCGTTAGGGGAAGGCAGGAGAGGAGATTGCGGGCACCAATAAAACGGCCAGGGATTCTCGTCTCACATGCTGCTCCCATGCGGTTGTTTTTCAACAACCTCATCAGCCTCATCGCCTCGACTACAATTACCTGATCCAACCCTGCTAGAGAGAACATATCGAGCACGCGAGCACAATCACCGCAGCCATGGAGTCCAGCTCCAAAGGCCCAGCACGGCTCAGCACCGCAGAGCGCAAACGCCTAACAGACCGCAAAGCTCAACGCCAGCGACGAGAACGCATCAAGACGTATATTGCCCGCCTAGAAAAGACACTAGAGGAGCTTACCGCAGCATCCGGAAATGGCGTGGAAGCCACCCTCCTGAAACAGCTGGAGCAACAGCGCTCAAAGACAGAGCGCCTCACCAACGTAATCAACCACATTCACGAAGTCCTCGAGGAGACGCGCAGCTCGACGTCGCCGGGGCCGGAGGTATCATCGCCGCTCCTGACGCAGGAAGAGCCGAGCGCGTCTGCGTCTGCCCCTGCGACAGCTTCTGCGTCTGCATCCTCAACAGCACTTGCATCCGCCATGGCCGCAGCGTCAACATCAGCACCGATCCCACGCCTTATCTCGCATTCAAACCCACTGGCGCCACAGGCACATAGACCGCCATCATTCACAATCAGCGTAGACCTACTGACGAAGATATCGCTGCACAGCCAGAACCCGAGTAACAGCGGGACGCGAAACTATTTCCAGGTCGTCAACGAGTCGATTTCGAATGTGGCCAAGGAGCGCAATTCGATACTTCCGTCGACGATGGAGGATGACGACGATCTGGCAATTCGCGTCGCGCTGTACGGGTGGGATTCGATCCGCACTGGGCGGAGGAATCTTGATCGGGTCTGGGGTCTGCTTCAGGCGCTGGATCAGGGGATTTTTTCGAGGACGGGGTTGGTTGAGAGGGCGGCGATTTTGAGGCTGATGAGGTCGATGATCAAGGTGCGTATATCATGCACATATACTATGGCGGAACCAACAAGCTAATTCTCGCAGTGGCAGTTGTCCCAACATCAGCATGACCCTTCGCAGCCACCGATTCCTTCGATTCCATCATTCATGTTTCCAACGTATGTTGCTGCAAAGTACCATAACTGGTATAATCAAGCTAACAAAGCAGTGTCACACAAACCATGGTCCCTCACGCTCCAATTATAGACTTCTTTGCATGGTAAGTCACCCGGTATAATAGCGAACCAGGCTAACAACCCAGGCCCAACCTGCGAGACCATCTCATCGTCTCCGGTATCACCAACATTACAGAAACAACAGCAAGCCTCTACGTCTCGCAGATTCGCATAAAGTGGCCCTACGAGCTTCGTGACATTTGCAAATACAATGTCTCCGAGGACCGCTACCGCTTCTCCACCGAGTTCGACGCCGCCTACTACGACCTGCAGTCGTGGACGATCGGCTCCGGACCGCTGCAGATGCTCATTGAGAGCGGGCCGTCGATGGCCGGGCTGGACCCTGCCTCTGTCGGCGCTCAGGGGGCGCATGGCGAGGAAGCCGAAGGGGAGGTTGACGCCGGGAGCTACTGGGACCGGCTGCTGGATAGCTGTGATCAGATGTGACATTGCTGGACATAACATCATATAATCATACTGTACGAGTCGGTTTATATACTCCATGTTACCTCCCAACCGCAAACGGGCACCCAAGGGTACTCCCTCCTCCCTGCCTGGCATACTCTCTCATCCTGGCCGCGTCGGCGAGGACATCCTCCCTCGATTTCTCCCTAAACTCCTTTGGCCCCAGCTCCTCGGGCAGATACCCATCGCTCAAATACTCTGGGCCCGGCAACGGCCTGCCCAGGGCGATCCCCAGCCCAAGCGCCTTGAGAACCCTCAGCACCCACGTCTCCCCAACATACCACGGCTCAAACGCATAGACCTTTCTCCTCACCCTCCCCGTCCTCACATCCGCCTCGCCACCAGCATCAACCGCTCTAAACCGCGGCAAAAACAAGACGCGAACAACCCAGGCCCTAATATCCAACACCCCCTCAACCAGACCAACAACCCACCCCGGCGGCTCCGCAACCCCGACCAACGGCCTCACCCTGGGCTCAATCAGCGCCGCCCCAACCCACCTCCCCAAACCCTGCAAGACCCTCGGCAGGAAGCGCACATAAAGCCCCAGCGTCGCCTCGACACACGCGACATTACTCTCCGCAAAGTACATGTGCGTCTTCTCATACTCCTCCACCCAGACGCCCAGCTCGTCAATCGTCGCGGGGACACCGACCATGCCCATGCGCAACGCAATCTCCCTCCAGTACACGAACACGGCGACGCGCTCAACCTGCAGCAGCGGCCTCCACTCGAACCGCTCAATCCACCGCAGCGGCTCGAGGACGAACAGCGCAAATGTATGGATCATATCCTCGTTTGTGATCTTGTTTCCGTACTGTCTGTGGATCCAATTCATCTTGCTCAGCGCCCTGAGCCCGCGCTCTGTATCCAGGCCGCTGGTGAGGAGTTCGGATATGAAGATTGCTGTATCCTCTGAGCGTTTCGCGACGGTGCGTGGGGAGGTGAGGCGGCGGGTTGCGACGAGGAGGGAGGTTCCCGAGGGGATGGCGTAGGATTTTAGGAGGGCGAATTGGGTTGAGACGGCGTAGGAGAAGGGGAATTCAGCGGTAAGGATTGAGAGGAGGATTGGGTGGGCTTGGGAGGGGGTCATGGTGTAGGGGTTTGGGGTGAGGTGGGCGTATCTCTTGGTTAGGTTGTGCAAGTGGCGTGTGCGGAGGATGGAGGTTAGGAGGAGGTAGAGGGTTGTTAGAACTAGTATCACGAGTAAAGACATGCTGACTGTTGCCCTTGCTTGTATGTCAGAAGTTGGGTATAGAGTAAACGAATGTGGGGAGGGGGCGTGGGCTGAGGAAGAAGACGGTATATAATCTATGGTTGTGGTGAGTCAGTAGCGGAGAGTCAGTTCGTGCACAATGCACATGCTTCAGGAGATGATTTGATACTGTATGCAGATGTGATTGAGATATCTTTTTCACAACTAATACTACGGATATTCCCTGGTCTCAGCTTCCAAGGGCATAAGGCTGTGTCGTTGGGTATTCAACCGACTATCCGCACTCGCTCTATACAACCCCCTCTCTTCATGGTCCTGAAACTAGGGCGCCGTTGTTCAAGAGAAGTTAGGTATCATCTTTCATCAGAACTCCCAACCTCGCTACCATTCTTCTGATGCAATCCTCTCTGGCGCGCTGAAAGTCCTTGAGCTGCTCATGGCTGTATACCTGCGCAACGTCTTCTTTCCACGCTGCATACTCCGATTCCTCAATTAGCTGGACTTGCCCCTCCTCTTCCTCTTGATCATTTTCCTGATCTTCTCCCTCCGGCAGAAAAACATCGAACCCGCACCTCTCCCACATCCTTAACTGATACTCGAACCCGATATTCGGCGCAATCACGGGTCGAGATTGCCGCGCAGTGAGAAGAGCAGCGGCGTATGGAAGCGAAAGGTATCTCATGACTAATCAGATCAAATCAGTCCATTGCATCCAGCAAACATTATGTAAAGTATGGTGGCCGAAGACTTACTATACCCAACAACCACGGACCCCGAGCGGGAAACCCCTTGGTTGCAGTGAACAAGAACCCGACCTTGGTCCTGGCGTGTAGAGGTGTCCATGCCGGATTCCTTTCCTGCATTCACCTGATCTTCCTCGGCTCCATCCAAAGGAGCAGGCCCAATAATGGCATCATGAACCCAATCCAGCATCTCATCCAAGTGCGCGAGCAAGTCCTCCATCGGATCATCGTCCATATCAACGTGTTTCCGAGTTATCCTTCGCAGGTCCGAGCCCGTATTCGTGACCGTCTCTGTCCCATCATCTGCCGCGTCTTTATAACTCGAAGGTCGAGGCCGGTCTTCCCAGCGGAGTATGGATAGGATGTGTGTAATGCGATGCTCGGTTAGAAGGGAGTTTGAGCGTGCGGCAAAGCGGCTGTTTCTGTCAATATCTTGAAGTGAAGACGATGCGAAAAGAAGAGAGTGAGAGTGATATAAGAGGGTGAGGCGTACTCGGAGATGTAGAGGCCTGGCACGGCGAGGACGGGGGAAATGGTTGTTCCTGGGAGGAGGGGGTCCATTGCGGAGCGGACTTTATTAGGGTAAGAATGCAAGGTAACTTCTTCGGATAGGTAGGCGAAATCTAACGTGGTATGAGTATGGAGTAAAGGTATCGATGGAAGTTGTAATGGATTTATTCAGATTGCGATTGCCGCAAATATCGCTGCCTTGGAGGCCGCAATGGAGATGCATTCCTTCCCTCTTCTTGGGGACCTTACTATGTCATGCTGACAGTCCAAGTACTATGGCAGACAAGGCACTCTACTTTATAAGTTTGATGACCCATCGTTCTTTCCAATTCTATACTTCTGATCGTACCTTCCTGACCGGAATCTGATTATTCGTCCTCGCAAGGAAGGTGCAATGGTTGTGGTACCGGTCGCTCCTTCCTAGCCCTAAGTTAGCCCGTGCCTTCCTAATTTAGGTACGTACCACTCTCGTGAGGAAGGTGCGAGGACAACAAGGGTCACTTGCTCCTTCCTTACTTTGCCGTACCATACAGCCCATCGCACCTTTTCAGTCGTAATCTTTCAACGTGCCTTCCCTGTATGGATCTAAGCCCGGATCTAGTACTAGCACGACCTCATACTTTCCCCGACATTATGTCAAGGTTCCAGACACGGATGCAAGCAAGGTCGGCGTATACCTCAATACCCCAGCCACTGCCCCAATAGTCATAAGCACGCTCCCACCCAGAACACCTAGGAAAACCATCTCCGCAAGCCCGATATCCATACGCTTGGCTGCACTCTGACCTTTGGAAGCATACGCCTCTTTCCCGGTCTTCCTTCCCATCTGCGGGACGTATTTAAAGTCAAACCGCGTCCGCGACTTGCGCTGAACGATTCCTGCGTATAGGTTTGTCCGGAAGAACTATCGTCATTAGTACAATCAAATCCGTGCGAAAGGCTTTTGAGGAAGCCTACGTTGACCATGAATGAATCGACTCCCGGTATAACTTTCTGCACCCAGGCAAGGACAGTTGCAAATATCACGAAGCCCACAAACGACAGTCGATATACGATACCCGGTCTTTCCAGCTCAAGCTCATCGCACAGCGCATCGCCGTTGATCCAGCGACTTCCCGCCGCGACAAATCCGCTTGAGACACTGAACGGTGGGGGCAGGTTCGTCACGCACTCTAGAAAGTTGTACGCTACCGTCCGTGAGGTCTCTGTCGTGCGTACCTCGTGCACGAGGAAACTCTCCATCGCACACTTTGCCTTTTCGACCGTCTCGAAGTAGCTCGTTGGCGTGCCGAGGAGGTACGCTAGATACCGGAAGACAGCGATATAATCCGCGATCTGCCTGTCATCAAGCGGGATCAGACCAAACATGGGCAATTGCAGCCACATCGGATTGCAGCAGAAGGTGCTGATCGAGTGTATACTGTCGAGGGTGTTGACGGGGATGCCGTAAGTCTGCGTGTCGAAATAGTCTGGGCGTCGCTGGCAGAGTTGGAGAACCCGATGGCGGACCGATGAGTGTAAGAGGCGGACTCGGACGGTTGCGATATGTCCCTCGCCGTCAGGTTTTATTGAAGCTGCGTTCTGCGTGACCTGGATGAGCCATTGAAAGGTCTCGAGGAGGCGGCCGAGAAGCATGCGTGTCGAGAAGCCCCCAGTGCGGACGAGTACTTCGACAACGCCTGGGGCGGCCTTCAGTAGTCAGTCAACTAACCAAGCACAGATACTGAGAAGGGACAGTGGAGTACCGAGTTCTCTGCCATAAAGCCCTGCAGTGCGAAGCCCACAATGTTCGCAATGGCATACCGATAAAAGAACGTCTGGCCCCGAGTAAGCTGGTCCCAGTCTACCCAGTCGGGAACCGTATGGACTTCATCCCAGAATTTAGCGAGAATTGGATCGGTCGTGTGGTGCTCGCGCAAGATCTCATAGACATCTGCCGACTTTGTCTCGCTCTCTTGACGGATCGCCTGGATTCTTTCTAGGGCAGCCGCGCCCAAAGTGTCGTACTGCTGGCGGAATGGCTCTATCTCCTCTTTGGATAGATGGTCTTCTGTCCAAGTAAACGAGTAGCCACAAACCGTGACCCTTTCGCCGATTTTGGGGTTTCCCATGGCCGCTTCTTCCGATTTGTCTCGAACTCGACTATGGAATGTGATGAGCGGATTGACCGACTATATACTAGCGGGTCACTGCCACTTACCCCTTCAACAATCTACTCGAGAGTATTAAACTATCCTGTTTACTCTGCCCCACGTGCAAGGCAGAGAGCTGAACACTTTTATATTTCGAGGACGCTTGCCTCGGGCTATTGACCCTACTAACCACTAGTAGTAACATCCTGCGCCGGTTAGTGCCCAAGTGTGGATTCAGAGTGGCCCCAGCCAAGCTCACTGCCACAGGGCGAAAACCGCGAAAACAAGATACTGTCCATCGACGGCATGGCACGCATTATCACAACAGAGCCATTCTTCCGCCGATGTAGGCGACAAATGGGTGACGAGGTGACGACGACTGAACTATTGATCTCGTCACATACTAGGGGGCGTAGCATCAAAAAACTCCCACGCAGGAGAGCGTTTAGAGCTCGATCGAGGCCTTATAGTCTGTGCTGCAAGTGGAGCGTCATCTGCAAGAAGAACGATCGCCGCACTTTCACCTGCAGAATGGCCCACTCGCTATCGTGGTCCAAGGTGTGACAATGGCATTGCCCGAGTCATGACGCAGGCTTGGTAAGAGCCTAGACTGATCTAATCACTACAGCTGAATGAAATGGCATTGTAGATTGCGCATCGTTTGTGGGGCCCATCACAGCCGCTGGTTCATAGAGTAGAGAGTATATAAGCGAAGCTGTCACCCTTCGGCGCTCCAAATAACATACGCGGACTACCGACAAGCTCCCTTATCGTCCAAAGAAGCAATGTATCTCGAAACTATCCAAATGGCGCTCGCGCAGCTTCAGCATATATTTTACCCAGGCAGCGCAGAACCGAGTTCGGGCTTCAAGTGCCTTCCACCTCCGATCCCAGGAACAGTGCAAGAACAATCATCAGAGAATGAGAAAAAGGAGGAGGAGGATGACGGGCTGTATACAACAGTCCACCTGCCAAAAATGTTTGCCCTCTTTCTCTCCGGCAATCCACCCGTGAACCCATATTACGCGGAGGTTAGGGCAGAGTCTGAGCGGTGGCTAGCCAGGTACGTTTTTCATTCGACACGCCAAGTCGCGTGTCTTTTGGACATCGTCGACCGACTAAGACGATACAGGACATGTAACTTTGACGACCGGGCAGCAAGGCGGCTGGCCAAGACCGACTTTTCGTATTTCTGCTCGATATCAGCCCCTCGTGCGGGGAGGGAGGAGTTCAGGACTGTATGTGACTGGGGGAATTGGGTATGTGGCTTCCTATTTTCTGAGAATGGACGGAGATATAAGCATAACCAATGGATGGCTTGCTGATTGTGGTTGTGTAGGTTTTCCCATTCGATGATAGTGTGTGCCCCAAGACCACTTCCTCTTTCTCTCTTTCTATTTTGCCCGAGACATGCTAACGAAGTAGTGTTCGACAGCGGCGCCCTAAGAGACAACCCAACCCGAGCTCAAGAAGTTATCGAGGATCTTCTCGCTGGGATGGGCATGGGACTAGAATCCAGCAAATCCTCACCCCAAGCCGAATGCCGAGCAGACGATCCTCTAATCCAGGTCCACAACTCTGTATGGGAGCGCATCGTCAAAGCCTCCCCGATTGGTAAGCACATCTACCCATCTACGCATCTACCTCGTTTGAATTGGGGAGATGTTTGCATTAACGACCCCTACCAGGCACACAACGCCGCTTCGCCCAGTCAATGCACGATTACTGCATGGGAAGCTTAGTGCAGGTGCAGAATGCCTCGACACAGACGTATCCTTCCATAGAAGAGATGCTGGGTATCAGGCGGCGGTCTTCGGGCGTGGCGCCTTTGTTTGCGCTTGTTGAGTACGTCCTTGCTTCTTTCTAGCTGCTTCGAGTTTAATAGTGGAGAGACTGACAGGGTTATCTACAGGTATGCGCATAAGCTCAACATACCGGACACTGTGTTCGAGACCCGAACTATACAGGAGATTGATCGGATCGGCGTTGATTTGGTTCTCATGTACGTTTATCCAACGGTCCTTCCTCTACTTCACAAAGGAAAGAGAAAAGGCTTGCGCTTACAAGTGGATAAATCATACTAGACAAAACGACATCCTCTCCTACTGCAGAGAAGAAGTGCGTCTCTCCCTTTCAGTCTCCTCCCCACTCCTCTAGCCTTCCCTCCCACTAACCAGTCTATACCAAATCCAGAGAGAAGGCGTCTCGCACAACCTCGTCGCCATTGCCCGCCGAAACGGCATGTGCGCACAAGCCGCCTTCACACACGTTGGCGATATGCTCTCCTCGCGCTACCGCGACTGGTACTTGGCGCTTGCGGAGCTGCCCAGCTGGGGCGAGGATGTGGATGTCCAGGTGCAGGAATATGTGGAGGGGGTTAGGAGCGTTGTTAGGGCTAATTTGGGGTGGAGGTAGGTTTCTTCTTCATTCCTTTTCCTGTTTTCACTGTGGAAGATTTCTTGCAATAGTTGGGAGTGTGCTGTGCTGACGGTGAGCTAGTTTTCGGTCGCAGAGGTACTTTGGCGACAGGGCGTCTGAGGTTCGGAAGTCGGGGGTTGTGAGGGTGCAGCGGGTGTTGTGATTATCTTATCATCTATTACCTTACTATTGGAGATGGGGTTATGCTTAGAGTGTCTGGTTGTCGGTGGTCTGATCGTCAGTTAGGGCTACCATGTCCGCATGCGGAAGTATAGCTGTGGGTCTGTGGGGTCCCAAGTCAACAATTGACTCATGATAGAGTAATACTAGATTATGACAGCTAGGTTAACTTAACCTTGGAGATCCTGGTTCTTAATTCTCGGTAGTTTCCGCTTGCGGGCATGTCTCGTGGTCCGCCTTGATTTACATTCCACATTCCCGATCAAGGGGGAGTACGCTTCGTACGCCCCAGGAACCAAGTGACAGCCAGCTCAAGTAAGCAGCACAATTGCATTCGGAAAGTCGCATCAGTATCTTGTCCTTGCTAGAGCCAGGTCTGACTTGTGTAGCTATACCCAGTTACTGACCTTTGGTATTGAGTAGATGGTAAAAGTAGCCAACACCCTACACCTCCCTTTTATCCCTACAGTCACCACATGCCAGATCCCATTCCTCCAACATCTCCGCCAGCATGACAGTCTCTGAGAAAGCAGGTCATCTTCTCCTCCAGACCACGCGCCGAAGATCCCCAGTCTTCATCCTCCTCGCCCTTATACTGCTAATAATCATCTACCCTTTCCGCTCAACCCTCCTGCCGACGACAGCAACAGCCTCCATCGCAAACCCTACAGACGCCATAACCACAGATCCAAAACCCGACTCGCAATTCCCCTCCCAACCCCAAAAAGAATCTCCAACCCTCCCAGCGCGCACCCTCCTAACGCGGCCGCTCTCCCACGACAAAACCACAATCCCCAAGATAATCCACCAAACATGGTTCCCAGCGGGGAGCAACATGTCCGAGTCGGCACAGACCTGGGTCGCGACGGTCAAGCACCACTACAGCGACTGGGAGTATGTGCTCTGGGACGACGAGAGCAATGAGGCGCTGGTGCGCGAACATTTTCCGTGGTTTCTCGAGACGTATAAAGGTTTGCCAAAGGAAATTAACCGTGCGGATATGGCGAGGAATTTTTACATGTTTCTTTTTGGGGGGTGAGTCCACTCTTTTTTCCCTTGACACAGCTTGCTTGTTGCCAGGGTTAATTGGCTTGCGATAGGATGTACGCCGACGTCGACACCGAAGCCCTCCGCCCCATCGACCCGCTCTTCGCATCACACGAGGTATCGCTAGCATCACACTTGGATACGCTCTCCTCCTCCTCCTCTTCCCCTATCACCAACGCCGGAAAATCTCAAGTCCAACGCGCCTTCATGGGCCGCATGGCACACACCCTCGACCCGGAGGGCCTCGGCGCAATCCCCAACGGCTGGATGGCGTCCCCACCAGGGCACCCTTTCTGGCTCCTCCCCGTGCTCTCGGTCCTCGAGAACCCCAAGGGCGACGGGAGCGTCGAGGGGATGACGGGCCCGGGGATATTGGGCCCCCTCATCAAAGAGTACTTCGCGAGCGCGAGTACGGGCAGCGATGGCGGGTTACTCCGACAGCTCTGTCGACGGATCCGCGAGTTGAGTGGTGGAAGTGCTGGAGATTGGAGTTCCTTCTGTCCTAGAACTGAACATGGGCATAGTCTGGAGGATTATGAGGATGCCAAAGATGGGCAGGCGGGGGAGTTGGCACATGCGCTGATCCTCCTCCCGCGCGAGCAGATCTACCCGTTTAGTTGGGCGGATGATGGCGATGTCAAGGTTTGTTTGGGGGCCAAGTCGAATGCGCTGTTTGATCCCGAGGCGTGTAAGAGGAGGATGAGGGTTGATGCGTGGCCTAGTTATTTTATTACGTATTGCACGCATACTTGGTAGATGTGCTTTTATTCAATGTTGAATGTATGTATTTATTAGTGAAGATATTGTTACGTTTCTCTCTAGCTTCAGATCCAGGTATAGAATCTACCTAGGGCCAGTCAGCCAGTACAGTTGGTACAAAAAACCAAGCCAGAAGAAATACAATAAGTAGTAAGCAGTCGCATACGCCCCGGATGTAGACGTAGTAACCTTGGCAAGTGGACCGGCAGCCAGCGGTTAGGGTTACAATGCAACGGAGGCCCATCAGGCAGTTCCATGAATCCCTGGTTACTCGCGTTGCATCAGCGGCAGGGCGTGACCAGGTCCTTGTGACCAGGTATCTGCCAGAGCCCTTAAATGTCCTTCTAGTAGTTGTAATAGGAGGCTCTCGTCCCTGGAGGCTTTGTTAGTCGACTGTGTTTGAGGATCGACAGCATGTACGCCAATTCCGCGCCTAGAAGGCAGACTTGGAATATAGTTCTTTGCACATTGTACGTTGATCCACCGTATAACCAGCATTTCTGCTGATGGGTACTAACTGGTGAAGAAACTGGATCTTCTGGTCGAACCTCACGATCCTCTTTAACAAATGGATTCTCGAGTATACCCCCTTTAGTGAGTCCAGCAACCCTACTTGACATCAGGAAAGCCCAACTAACCTCACTAGAATACCGTACGCCACATCACGACCCTCTCTCACATTCTTGTACATGTACTAAATTCGTCCAGCAATCCTCTTGACAACATGGCACCTCCTCTTCGCCACGCTCGCAACCCAACTCCTCGCGCACACAACTCCCCTCCTCTCCGCCCGCGCATCCCTCCCCATGAACGCCCGAATCTACATGGCCCGCATCGCCCCCATCGGCCTCCTCTACAGCGCAAGCCTCGTCTGCAGCAACGTCGCATATGTATATCTCAACGTCGGGTTCATCCAGATGCTCAAGGCCGCGGGGCCCGTGGTAACCCTGCTAACGAGCTACATGTGGTCGGTGACGGAACTGACCGTGGGGAAGGTAGTGAATATTTTGGTCATTGCGGTGAGTGTGGGTGTGACGGTTTCGGGGGAGATGAGGTTTTCTTGGGTTGGGGTTGCCTTGCAGGGGGCCGCGTTGGTCTGTGATGCGAATCGGTTGGTGCTTATGGAGATTATTACCTCGAGGTCCTTGACTTCAGAGGACGGAGAAGAGCAGAGGGGAAGAGCCAGGCATAGAGATGAAGAGGAGGGAGTGGACGAGGGCAAGGAAATCGAGCACACCGGAGCAGAATCCGACTCCCAGGCTGAGTCCCAGGTCAACAGCATAACCAACCTCGGCAAGATGGACCCCCTCGTGAGCCTCTACTACACAGCGCCAATCTGCTTCGTCATGAACGCCATCTTGGCATGGAAGGCTGAGGTGCAGCCGCTCCTCTTGTCACAACTCGAGGAACGTTCTACTTCTCACACATCATCGTCACTCGGTCTTGGGGAAATAATCCTTGAGACAGGCCTGTCGACGCTATTCGCCAATGCCCTGGTTGGGTTTCTGTTGAATGTGGCTGTTTTTACACTGGTATGCTACCCTGCCCAATACCTTCTCTTCCCCTATTTCTCTCCTCTGAAAACGCATCCGGAACTAACGTGTTCAGATTGGCAAAACATCCGGCCTGACAATGACGCTGGTTAGCATCCCGAAGAATATCCTGCTCATCGGGGCGTCTGTGGTTCTCTGGGGGACGCGAGTTTCCCTTGTGCAGGCTATCGGATATGCAGTTGCGTTGGGAGGATTGGTTGTTTATTCTGGAGGTGGTGGGTGGCTTGCTGAAATTCTGGGGGTTAGAGGGATGGTGGTTTGGGGGTGGAGGGCATGGAAGAAGGTGAGGGGGAGAGAAAGGGGGAGGGGACGATATGTGGAGGTTGCGAGGAAGGAGGAGTGGGAGAGACTGGTGTGATAGAGTGTGCTTTGGTCTTTCTCGGAGAGGGTGGATGTATGATATTTCTGGTGGGCTGGACGTCATTTGGATGGAGAGGGAGAAGGCCATGAGCTGGGCTGGGCCTGATATTGGCGTTGGACTGAGTTTGATTGATTATTTGCAGTATGTTCGATATGGTATTGAATATAGCTCGGATATGTAGCTGGAATATAGTGTTTACTCGGCTTATGAATCTACTATGACATATATTTTATCAGAAAGATGCCAACCTCGCAGTAGGATTAGGGCTAAAGCACGCCGGTCAGTACGAGCATCAACTATCCACCAAGCACTATCCAAGTAGTTGATGACACGAGACACGTACATACAATCTAGAAGAAAGTTTCCAACTATCCATGCTTCGTAATAATAATGGTCATTGCTTAAGACAATATCGGGTGATCTCTTCCCGTTCAAGACGCAAGTACCCCTGGCATTAGTTCCCTGCCATACTTGCTTCTTAAAACGTCCGTTTCTTTCAAATGCCAGACCGAAATCCGGCCTGCAGCGTCTATCGATAATGAGAATTGCAGGGGGATCCGACCCCAGATCCACAGCCCGGATCCCCTGAGCTGGACAACCCGATCCGACTCGGCAATTCCGAGCACCCCAGCTTCCTCCCCGCGCCTCACTACCGACCACCCGGTATAAGACCCGATCATCGTCTCTTTCCTACCTACACGCCACGCTAGCCAAACCCCCTTTTCGAGAAGCAATGCAGTCGCCTTTACATGTAATAGTAACCGGCGCAGGCCTCTCCGGCCTCGCAACAGCCATCTCCCTCGCCCAGTCCGGCCACACAGTCACAATCCTCGAACAAGCGCAGGAACTCGCAGAAGTTGGCGCGGGACTGCAAGTCACCCCGAACGCCTCGCGGCTCTTCAAACACTGGAATCTACCCGAGAGCATATGGACTTCCGCCGTCGAGCCCAAGACGCTCACCGTGCATCGGTACACGGGCGGCGTCCTCGCGCACGACGGAGCCTTTGACGCGCGGATTCGAAAGCGGTATGGCTCGCCGTTTGTCGATGTTCATCGGGTCGACTTGCAGCAGGCGCTTTTTAACCGGGCCAAGGAGTTGGGGGTGCGCGTTCATCTCGCGGAGAGGGTGAAGAGCGTACAGGAAGATTCCTCGGATGGAAGCGCAACAGCAACAGCAACCGTCCACACCGAATCCGGCAAAAGCTACACAGGCGACCTCGTCGTCGCCGCCGACGGGCTGTGGTCGCGCTGCCGCGAGTGCCTGCTCGGCCGCAAGGACGATCCTCTACCAACAGGCGATCTCGCGTACAGAATCGTGCTGAACGTCGAGCAAATTGCGGACCCAAAACTCCGCGAGTGGGTGCGTAACCCGCAGGTGCATTTCTGGATTGGGCCGGGCGCGCACGTTGTTGCGTATTCGGTGCGGGGAGGCGATATGATTAATATTGTGCTTCTTGTGCCGGATACACTGCCGCCTGGGGTGTCGAAGCAGGAGGGGTCTGTAGAGGAGATGAGGGCTTTGTTTCAGGGGTGGGATCCTGTGTAAGCTTTTCCTACGATTTGGAGTAGAGGGAGGGTTATATGGGATGCTAATATTTGACAGTCTAACCCAGTTCCTCTCCTACGTCGACAAAGTCGACAAGTGGAAGCTCATGCACCGTACGACCTTTCACCTAGTACCCATCTACCCTCTGTCACACGAGCTAACAATATCTGCAGACGCCGAGATGACAACCTGGATAAACCCCTCTTCAACTCTCGTCTTCGTGTATGTCACCCACCCAGCAATCACCATTCGATCTAACAAATATCCCAGCGGTGACGCCTGCCACCCGATGCTCCCCTACCTAGCGCAGGGTGCAAACTCCTCGCTAGAAGACGGCGCCGTCCTCGGCGGGCTGCTTGGGCACATGAAGAGCAAGTCACAGCTGCCCGCGATCCTGCGGCTGTATGAGACGCTGAGGAAAGAGCGCGGGGAGGCGATTGTGAGGGAGACGTTTAAGCAGGTGCGTTGTTTCCCTGCTATTTCATTCCATGGAGATTGAGGGAAGAGGAGGAGGTGATGAAGGGCAATGCGAATGCTAACATGTTGGGCAGCGCCACGACTTCCACATGCCCGACGGTCCCGAGCAGGAGAAGCGCGATGAGATCTTCCGTGCGCAGCTAGATAAGAATGGGGAGATTGAAGGCGCGTTTCCGAGTCGGTGGTGCGTATACTCCTTTGCATCCTCGAGCTCCTCTGCGAGTTTTGAATGTCTCACGGTTCGTGTGCTGATATCAACTAGGACATGTCCCGAGGTCCAACCGTGGCTATACGGGTACGACGCCGTGAAGGAGGTTGAGGAGGCCGTTGCGACGAACCCGGGGTTGTTCGTTACCTCGAATTTATAGACTATACGAGACTGACCGGGAGAGGTGGGTTATGGGATCGTGATGTGTCAATTCCGTGGATCTAGACATCTCGGCTAGAGGGTGGGGAGATGCTTGATTATCTGAGAACTTATATATATATATTGTATTGAATCATGTACAGATAGATAAATATGTATAGGAAAAACATATACTATAAACAAAACTGATAACCCACACACTCTATACCATCATACACCGCTCATAAAACTCGTAATATACTCACCCCGGGATAGAGGGAACATGGAAATCTAGGGTGAGTGGAACTCATTCATCAAGAACCGGCAACCCGCCCAAATCATCAAAGAACCGCGCAACGCCCTCGAATGAACAGTCCGGGAAGCCGAAGCCGTAGGCCCATTCCTGGGTTTGTTAGTCATCGCATCATACCTCGTCCGAGTTGACAGGGAGACTGGAAGGGAGAGAAGAGACAGGGAGATGACTTACCGGAATTCCCAGTCCATCCCCACTCTCATCCATAGCATGTCCATAACCAGCATTCAAAGCATCATCCCCGTTTGCACTAGGAAATCCGGGCGGAATTACTGGTCCTTCGCTTGTAGGGCCATGGAGCATTCCACCACCACCTGCGGTAGCAGCACCGTGGCCCTCGTCCAGCGGGTAGCCTCGATCTCGATCTCGATCCCGCTCCTCAAACTCCCGCAAATAGTACCGAATAATCTCCGCGCTTTTCCTCGCGACGACGCTCTCATCTGTTGCTTCGAGGATGTCAATTGCTTTGCGGACCGAATTGTGTATGGAGGAGAGTCTGTCGTGGTGGACTGAGGCTTGCGTGTAGGTCATATCTTCCGGACGAACTGAATCGAGCTCATGGTCGAGGTTGAGGTTGAATCCCGGTCGTGAGAGCGGGAGGAGGAGGGTTGATGTTGCGAATGTTATGTATGTTGTATTGTACCACCTAGGTCATCGGTTATTAGCAAGGAGAGAGGGGGATAGAAAGAGCGATAACGAGCATACCAGCACCGGAAAAATGTGTGTAATCGATAAATATCATGCATCACGGCGATGGTCCGTTCTGCGGCGTCGAGGCATTTGCGGATGACTTGGGTAATGAGAACGTCGGAGGTAGACGTGGAGGGAGAAGTAGAAGTGAATTCGTCAGGGTGGTTTCCTGTTGAAGATAGAGCCGGGTGAGCATGTCCCTGGTCCTGCACGCTTGATCGCCGTCCATGGCTTTGATGCCGAGCCTGACCTTTGCTCTGGCTGCGGCTCGTATAGTGGTTGAGGAACGGGCGGAATAGGAGCATTTTGACGTTGTAGTAGCCTGAACCGTTAGCATATCGCACTGATACAGTATTCAGGTCGGTCCGGGACATCGCATACGTAGCCCAAGGACAATCCTCTGCCTTCTCGCCCATTTCGGATCGCGCAACGCATTCCGTCCGCCAGCCCCGTCATTCGCACCAGCTTCACCACTCTCCCCCGTACCACCGTCGACAAACTCCGGCCGAATCCACCCGGGCAAGCTCGCCATCCAGCCGTCCAGCTCCGCCTCGATCGCTAGAGCAACATGTAGTTTCTCGACTAGCGGCATGCGGCGGTGGTAGATCTGCACGGAGACTTTGCGGATAATCTGCGCAAAGTCGACCATCCATGGGATAATGGCGTACTGGGTGTTGTCGCGCGGTGGGAGGGGGCGGTTGTGGTATTCGTCCATACCTAGCGTATCGGGGCGACCGAGGGAGAAGGACATTTCTCTGTGCCATATAGTTAGGTCTGGTTGTGGAGAGGGGAGTAGAGGGGCGGGTACATTTCGAGGGAGAAGAGGCCCCTTATGCAAATTGTCAGCATAGAAACGCGAATTGGGTAAGAGTGAACGCACCACCATGTCCGCGAGATCCAGTCTGCGCGCGGATCCGCGTGGCGGACTTTGCGATTGAAGCCAGCGGCCAGACAGGTGCGGATTGCAAGGCCGAGGTACATGTATGCCACTAATTGCTGTTAGAAAAGTACCAAGTAAGCAGAAAAGCCGGACGTACAGTTCGGGTTGAGTTCATTCTGGCAAATCTTGGCCTACGACTGTTAGCCCACTCAGCGCGCGATGCAGGAAGGGAACAAACCATCAGATATAAGCACTGCACCGCATCAAGATTATTCGGAAAATGCAAATGATTCAGATAAAGCTGCGCCTCGCCAAACAGCTTCCGACTCCATTCGAACCGCGTCAACCCACCTAGCTGCCCCTCATCCCACACCCGCAGCAGCGCTCCAAAGGACAAAACACTCAGGTATAGCGCCACAAAGCTGGGGTCCGGTGTCGGCGTCCGCCGCAGCCACAGATCCTGAGCCCGCAGGTAGAAATCTTCCTTATCGATGAACGGATGCACAAAGTGAATGTTCTCAAAGTACCCGCTCATAAACACATGCGCGTGGTCAAAGTAGTAGTTGTGTTCGTGGACCGCTGCAAGGGTAAGGGACTGCTGCGCCTGCGCGGCGGTGTTCGTCGGCGAGAACCCGGCGTTGTGGAGCGTCGAGACGATGGAATATTCCTGGGGTCTGACGCGAGATTGGGCATGCGCGTGGGTATGGGCAGCCGGCCAGTCTTGTGCGCGCTGTGGATCGCGTGCTTTCTGCAGGTGCCCGAGAAAGGCGACGGATGAGGTGCTCCCGTGAAACTCGATGCCATTTGTGTGGTGGTTGAGCTCGCTGATCTCTTCCTCGACAGGATCGCTGGCTTCGTCGGCGCCTGCGTCGGTCTCGGCTTCGGCGTCGGGGCCGCCGTTGGGGTTGGTATTGTAGCTTGGTAGCGGTTCTCCCAGGTCGGTTCGCGGTGTCAGCGTCGATCGGTCGACTGGCATGGAGCGGGGGGTCGCATCGATGGTCGGATGCGCCGGGGATGCAGAAAGCTTGGTTTCAGCTGCTTGGAGCTTCGAGTTGAGTTCCTCGACTTTTTTCTCCAAATCAAAAACGTAGCTACAATATTAGCGACGTCATGTACCAAGTCCAAATGTGCGATCCTCACCTGGCCGAACGACTATTTTCCAACTGACGATAATTCCCCTGGTACACGCATTTCAACTGGCTTTCTTCAATGGATTAGCCCATCCCTGCCAGTTAAGGAACTGACTGACGTACTCTTACAATGCGAACAAGGATACAGCTCGTCGCACTTGTATTTCTTCGACCTGCACCTGTCGCAGGCCTGCGCTGCACGAGGCCGCTTCGACCTCGGAGGCTCCTCACCGGCACGAGCTGCGGTAGATAGGCGTGGCATGATCCATCGATGCGACAAGATGAGCTGATACAGAGCAATGAGGCAAATACGGAGAAGAGACCAAAAAGTTGGGGAAGCGAAGAAGTCGGATTTTCCGAACCCCACAAATTTTGTCGCATTTCCCCGCACTGCGCGTTGCCAGTCAAACTGCCGGTGTTTCTCCGTGTGGAGAAGGGATAAATCGTTATGCAGGTTTTATTCTCTTTGTACACTGTTGAATAGGCCTCTCGAGTTAGCCGATGAATTACAACGCGATTTCCAGGCCCAAATCCATCGCCACATCCCGAACAACTGCCGCATCCCACCCTCCCGCAGTCTCCGGCAACACCACGGGCTCGAATGCCTGGCCGGCCCTCTGCACCAGGCTCTCGATCCCATCGCCATCAGTAAACGACCAAACGCGCACAAACCGACTGCGGAAATGCAGCGAAAACGCCTGTCCAGCAGGGACAACCACCGTCTCGCCCTCGCGAATCGTCACCTCCTCCTTTCCCTCCAACCGCACACCAAGCGTCCCCTCCTGAACCGCGAGACAATGGTCTACCTTTGCAAACGTCATAACCTTCGATAAAACCGAATCCTCTCCATAAACACTCGAAGACTCGATACTCGAAATCGCACAGACTCCATTACTCTGCGCCGTCGTAATAAACGGCCTCGAGAGCACACCACCGAGCATCCATCGCGGCCCCGTATTCGCACGGAGATAAAACGGCGCTTGACCCTCTGGCAGACGCTCATCGTCCTTATCCCACTCGCCTAGCTCGGGTGGAACATAGTTTGGTTGGAAGACGACGTCGAACTTCCCCTTTGCGGCCATGACTTTGGGGATGAGGATGGATTTTAGATCGCGGTTGTCGGTCTCCGGGACGAGAATACCCTCATAGGGCTCGGAGATGTAGCGGAAGAAGTCGATCCAGTCCCCTGGGGTGATTAGGCCGTAGGTTTCGGTGTGCGGGCCGAGGAGTTCGGGGTTGTGGACGATTCCCTTTATACACCATTAGTATTGTAGACTCGTAGTAGGCAGGAAGAAAGGAAACGCACCGGAGGAACATAGGCAAAATCCCCCGGTCCCATGATGCGGCACTTGTCACCGTTCCATAGCTTCAGGTACCCCTTTGTAACGAGGAAGACGTCGTGCGCGTGGTTGTGGTAGTGGAAGCCCGGGGCGTCGGAGAGGACGGCGCCGCTCTGGAAGACGGCCATGAGGCCATTCGTCTGTTTGGAGGAGGCGAGGATGCGGAATGCGCCCTTGCTGCCGGGAATGGTGATGCGCTCGCCCTCTAGTTGTGGGATTGCATAGGGGACCCTGGCGTCCGGGGGTGTGTTTGTCCAGAAAGAAGACATTGTGTAGGTGTTGAGGGGTATATCCAAGGGGCCAGGGTTGGAAGGGTATGCAGCTGATCGCCGTGGCGAGTGTGATTGAAAGGTACTGTAGGTATTTAAGAGAGGCCAACAGGAAGAGTGGAGATGGTAGAGGTCGGATAACCCACCAAAGTAGAAATTTCGGGATATCCGAGTCTGGCCCAACGTCGCGAATTGAACAATGCGATTGACTCGATTACGGAGTATGCATTATGAATGAATAGCGACAATCGGACTCGACCTTTGCGGCAAAGAGCGGTCTGCAGACTCGCTGCTGTACAACGCTTGTACGTCCAACATACTACCTAGGGTACCGTGAGACTACACCTGTATGCCATTCATGCGAGAAAGATAGGCGTGAACTGACTGGATACGTATATATACTCGATCTCACGCCCCGTACAACATAACCAGGCACCGTATAAAAGAACAGCAGTGTAATAGAGGCAGAGAAGAAAGTAAGCTAGACCGGAACTCCCTTCTGGCGCTCATGAACCCCGAGGTGCTCTAGAATTTGTCACCACCCCTCCGCCACCGGAGCCGCCATCTCGATCTCCGAACTGTTGCACGGGATTGGGGGCTAGTTGGTTGTTGGATGTAAAAACTGATGTAGCTGCAGAGGTGCACCTCATGGCGGCGGCTGGGCTGCAATGGGTGCAGTCGAATATGTTGAAGCCGCGTCCACTGCAGTTGGTACACGCGGAGGTTCTAAAGGGGTAATCAGCATCAGACCGTATATGTGGTCAGGAAGGTACACACCTTGGGGCATTGCCGGCGCAGCTTGGGCACGTGAGGACCATTCTTCCACCGATACATGAAGTATGGCTGGGATCAAGGTCAGAAGAGGAGCTAGCTCGGTCGTCCATGTTGATGCGTATCGAGGTATCTTGAGTCACGGTATGAAGTATAGATATCGGAGAAGTAGAGTCGGGATGAGTGATGGGAATGTTGTGGGAAGAGAAACCTGCGAGTTGCGAATTATATACCCAGGGGTTTCATTTAAGATTTATCAATCGCTCCAAGCCTGGGTGACGGCTGAATCAATTATTAATAACCTCTCAGCAGAGTACAAGAGGAAACAATACCCGGCCATCTAGGACAAGAAAGTCGGAGAAGGCCAGATCTATCTGCAGGTCGACCAGGCTGCCCCTTGTTCAGCTCGAATGTAGTTGCCGATGGAGTTGAACCGTGAGACGTGCATTCACAGGGTTCCTGCTCCTGGTGGGTTCGAGTCAAGACTTGCCCGCCCAATGCCGCCTCGGGAGCGCCGAATGACGGTTCGGCATCCAGGCCATAGCGAGTCCACAACGATGAGATTCGGTCGAATCGAGAATCATTTCGAGTAAGCCGCACCAATAGCACAGCGTCGGACGGCACGGCATGTACCAAGAATTCAACGCATGACCGCATAATCAGCCCCAGATGTGTCTAGGTACCACCGAGTCGTCAATGCCAGGTGAGCTAGCGGCATTGGAGCCTATCATGCTACGCTGGGAATGAGAGCCTTGGGTCATCGATGGTCCGTATATCTAGGACGGAGACTGGTTGATATTCCCTGGCCCGGTGTTGCCAACCGGACTAGGTACATCACACTGCACGTTGAGCACAGCGAGACTCCTCAACACCATCAGCCACAGGCCCATGATCCAGCAAATAGAATGCGAATCTTAAGAATAGACGATGAGGAAGATGTGAAAGTGGAGACCATGCTGGGGTCCCATCATTGAAAGAGAATGGGAAAAGAAAAAAAAGAGCACAATGTAAATCACGGAAGATAAGGCCGAAGCATGGCAGCCACGGAGAGTTGTGTCACTCGAACCGCGAACAATCGGCGACTCTGGCAAGCATGTCAAATTGCTAATAGTCTCCAATGAGAGCAGGACGTCCCCGTTTAAGCCATCCATCATCAAGCCATTGACGGATAACTGCAGCAGGAAATACGAGCGAGATCTCGAAGCTCTAGCCTCAGGATACGAACATCCGCATGGAGGCATGAGCCGTTGTCGCCGATGGAGAGAAAACTTTTCGAGACAATCCGGTAACACCGAATAAGAAAGCATGCTCGGATATCGCTATCCACTGACAGCCCCGAGTCGCCTGTGATCAGGTGCCTCATTTCAAATGAGTAATGAGAGGAATTTTATCAGGCGTGAGATGTGACTTTGCCGGTGTGCTTACCGTTACTGTTGTTCTCGCCGTGATGGATCAGAGCGCAGTGACACCTTCGAATCCGATTGAGTTTGGAGACCTCTTGAAGGCAACGCCGAGGTCTTGTCCTCCATCCAATATGGCTAAGGCAGGATCTTCATGCCTACCAGCCTCATGCATAATTGCGCAAGTCTCTGAGCGAAGGCATGCCTCCCCGCTATGATAGCTAAGCAGAAGGATCAAGGCTACTGCAAATCGCAGTGTCAGTACATCATCTCGATGAGAGAACCGACGGGCTGAGTGGAGAGCACTTATGGAGACCAGAAAAAGCAAGCATAAAATAAGGCACCCGCACAACTGAACCATATCACGATAACGAGCATTGTTCGATTGAGAATACCAAAGAGCCGGAAAAGAATTTGAATGGTTGAACAATACTCGGGACAAGACGCGATGCAGACACAAATTGGTCTCGTGGTGCTTCAAGGTGAAGTTTCCGCAACGCCTCACTGTCAGGATGAGGCATTATGCGAATATCCGTCCAGCAAGAAATCGATGAGACCCAACATAAAGCATCGCGCCGTGATTGCTTCACGTGAGCCCGGAGAAATTAGCAGCTCACGCCGTTATTCGCAGGTAGAAACAAAAATGTTGTAAAGGGGCCAATCACCAGAATCAATCCTGGATTCGATGCAAGATGCGTCGAGATATTGGTTAGCTGCAACCCCCAACCCTTGACGTTATATGAAACAGGACCAATGTAGCCACAACTCGAGGTTGTGTGTTCAATGCATAAAAGAAGTTTCGGGGCGAGTATGAGCTGGAGGCTGGGGTTTCTGGGAAGGGCTCCCCAGTGCAATGCCGCCGTGAAGACTGAGCATCAGCGAGAAAGGGGCAAAAAAAAAAAAAAAGAAAGAAAAGACGGACTTGAAATGCCCCGACAGTGAAGATAGTCATAGCGCTGAAGGAGCGGAGAGTATAGAGCGGTCAAGCTGGTGTTTAGTCCAAGCATTCTTGAACCGAGGCCGATTCGAGCGGATAGTATAAGCCTGGCAACGATGATTGCAGAATTCAATCCCGCTCGGCCGGCTCAGAAGGAAAGAGGTGTAACGTCTGTGACTTGATTATTCCTCCTGCCTAAACTTGGACTTGGACGCTGCGGAGTAGAGGCAAGCGATCTGCAGGTATCCGTTGAAATCCACGCACTTGCTGGATTCAGGGCGGGTTGACGATGTGCCATGTCACGGCTCGCAAGCCAAGGGAGGAAACATCAGTCCTGAGCGCTGAAGACGACTTCTCCAGAAGAGTCGTTTGCTTTGGCTTCTGGTTAGATAACCGAATCAATGGCTGCACAGCGATGGGGCTCGATCAGCAGAAAAATACTTGACCAGGGTGTTCCAACTTCCCCCTAACGCGTTGGGAGCACAGGAAGGTTGCACAAGAATCCAGCAACACGACACGGCACGGAAAGGAAGATGGAGAACGAATGTCCAGTCAGCTGATGGGGTTTTCCCGGCGCTCTCGCTCAGTCCTTGACACCATGGTGCTCAGTCCTTCACTCGGCGCATCTCCTTTTGCTGCCTTGCGACTCATCACCAAGGCCGGTCCTAGGGCAGTGGTAGGTTGCGCAGGAAAGAGGACTGCCAGCAAAGCGACGGCGAGGTCCTCATGCATGCACTCCAAGTTCCAAGTTTGCAGTCGCGGAGGCCATTGCAACGAGTTGAAAAAAAAAAGAGAAAAAAAGGCGAGTGTGGAAAATGGGAGGAGTGAAGGCTGGCCCCAGAGCGAGGGATTCGGAATGCAGGATACAGCCTGACTCTACGAGGTAATCAGGCACCAACTACGCCTACACGGCGCAGTAGAGCTGAGCAGTTTCTTCTGAGTAGCGGCGTTTGTTCTGCTAAATAGGGAAAATGCAGCTCCAACTGTGGCCAATTTCTAACTAGTTTGCACCGCGCAAATACACCAGTTACTTGAACAGGAGAACAAAGACAAAGCAAAGACGCCTCATAGAATCGCGTCGAATCGAGCAGAGTAGCATAAAAGAAAAGAAGAGATAAATTGGCAAGGAGAGTCAATATCGAAAAGTAAGCGAATCCCACCCCGCAATCACAATCCTTGATTCACCATGATAACGCCACAATCATTTCCAACAGCTGCTTCGGGGGTCCTAGGCAAAGTAGTCTGGAGGAAGCGATGCCAGGGCCGCAATAGTACCCACTGCACCAACCACAGCTCCAATGATAGCCGTCGTGGCATGGCTACGAAGGCTCGTCGTCCGTGAGGCCTTTGCCCGCTTTGTCGGACGCTCCACGTCCTCACGAGCTTTTATAACGCCCACGGCGGTTATCTGTGTACCTTGTTGATCAATAGCGGTGGTGACATCTTGCTTCTGAATATCAGAGATGTCAGCTTTTTTGTTGGCCAAATCCACAGTTTTCACCACCTCGACGGGTTCTGATTCCATTTCTGGAGCCTTGCGCTTCTTTGTGGTTATCTTTTCCGAACCAGTGTTGAAGGTTTTCCATTCCTCGGATGCCAGCGGTTTTTCAGTCTCTGGTTCGGGGAATACATCACAAGACATCCTGGGAATCATCGGTGCCAGCGGATCCATGAAGGGTAAAATCTCGGGCTTGGAGCTGCAGCTGACCAAGGTTGATTTGGTGCGTACTATTGGATTCGTACTGGCAAATGGCCCGTCCTTGTAGTGAGTAGATGACAGTTGGGAGCTTTGACCTGACGACGAGTCGACTTGGGGGCTAAAGGAAGCTTTAGTTGTATCAGCTGGCATTGGAGTATACCCGTGGCTAGGGACAGCGGCCGAGATGTGCTCGGCTGAGTGCCCGTACTGGAAAGAAGGCTCCATATTTGCTCCCACTCTCTCAAAAGTCTGACACAGGGAGGGTAGCCTCGGCGGTGAGGGGTGAGACATGCTAGCGACTGATTGCTCTGCTTGCTGAAAAGGTGTGCTGAACTTGATCTCTGGAAGGCGATTCATACCATAGAAGGGAGGGACGTTCCAGCTGCCTAGTATGTCGTTGGGAAGATGTTCGGCCACAGCAGCTTTCTTCAAGCAGTCAAGGGAAGAAGTCCGCGCTACTGGGGTCGCATTTGAGACGCCTTCCAACGTCTCTGTGGGAAAGTGAGTATTACCGCATGGTTCGAGGACTGTGTGATCTGCAGCGTCGTCCACTTCGGCGTTCAGCGCCCAGCCCTCGGAGTCAACATCGGAGCCCTCATCATCTGAGCTATGCGCAAAACATTCGTCATAGTATTGGTTTTCTCCGTTAGGATCTTCTGACTCGTAGTCTACTGAAGGTGGGGTCATCCTTGGAGTCGCCAAGGGCTGCTCAGGGTCCTCAGAGCGTTCATTGTTCTGCTCAATGAGGCTCTTACTGATAGGTCCGGTAGCCATCATTGGTGGCTCGATTGCATGACTGTCCTTTGTTTCGTCATTCTTTGGCGGGGATGATGTAGGAGATTGAATCTCAATCACAGAATGGCTGTCTTCTTCTGAGTCAGAGTCAACACTGGAGGCATCCGACTCGGAACTCTGATCACCAGTAAGATCAAGTGCAACTGGGTTATGAGAGGTGATTTCACAGTCATTCTCGTCATTGTCATCATCATCATATTCATTATCGTCATCGTCATCATCATCTTCGGGGACACAGAAAGTATTGGAAGTCTGCTGCTTCTGAACAACAGTCTCATTCCTATCCAGATTAGTACATTTTCCGTAATCCCGACAATGAGGGACGTACTTGGTTTCAAGCCACTGGCATTCACAACGGACTGCTAAAGGAGGAAAAGTATCTTGCAGGCTATTAGTCAGGGTCATTATGGATTGTAAAAAGCAACTTACCAACGCCACGGACCACCTCAACGCCGAACGTCAGCACATCGCCATTGTTCACCGTGATATCCTTGTCAACGGGTAGCTTTTCTCGGTTCAACCAAGTCCCATGCATCGAGCCGGGGTCACGGATATACAGGAGCTGCAAGTCCTGTGTAAGCAGCAAGAAGACAGAAATACTGCATCTTCGTCTTACCTTCTTTTCAAAGGACGCATGGAGGATAGCGTGGGTGCGTGACATGACACGGGAGTCAAACAAGGCATTCTGGTGGGAAGGTAACAAGTTCTTGTTTTCTCGCTTTGAAGCTCTGCCAATCTCGATGCGGTCTGCCTCGGATTCGAAGGTAAGAACACGATGAGGGAATGCGTCGTCAAGGCCCAGACTGACGAGGACCACGGTAGCTGTAAGATAGAAACGTGTTAGCCAAGCAACTTTTTCCAGTATAGGTGATGCGTACCTCGTAACTCAGGCATGACTTCGGATGTGATGATAACACTGGTGGGTGAGAAAGGTATGGAAGAAGCCCAGATCGAAATCTGGAAATCCCGGGTGGGATACCTCACAGAAGAGACTCGATATCAAGAGGGCGATAGAACGAAGCTGATGGCGCAAGCTTGTGGGTAGGTAATGGAGAACACGAGGTCGGAAGGTGAGGAGGGGTAGAGAGTTATCGGACTAGGGAAGAGTCAGCCTGAGGATAAACGGGTCGCCGTTAGGCAGAGAGAGCAGGCACACAGGCAGATATCCAGCGCAGAAGCCTGCTGGTTGAGCAGCACGAGTGATACTCACAGAATGTTTGTCAGGGTGAAGCTCGAGGATTCGAAGATTCGAGGGTGACTATCTAGGGTGTGTCGTGAATGGAAGAGCAACGGAACGGGCGCCCGGTGATCAGAAGACTGGCGTGCGCGCCAGAACAAGTCGCAGAAGGAGGCTCAGCTTAGGTAACACCGAGAACGCCGAAGAAACGAGGCTGGACGCGAAACATGAAGACAAGAGAGTTGGCAGTTTGCAGAAGTCTCCCAAGCTGATGGATCACAGGATGGAAGACACCTTGGTAAGTAGATAAGTATGGGTGGAATGAGGGGGATAAGGCGCCAGTGGATGACGCTGAGCGATAAGTAGGCAGACTACGGAGCACTAAGTGGGGAGTTCCTATCAGGTGGACTCCGGCACTCCGCCCGCCGATCCAGAATCCAGCCTACTACCCAAGGAACCGTCGAGCTTCACAACAACCACTGCAATCATAAATTCCAACTCTATCCATTATTACCTAGGTCTTGTGCTATTCCAGCTTCCTCCTCTTCCACCAAGCATCCTTCCCACTATAGTACATACATGACTTCGTCGTCAAGCCCCCGAGCTCGCAGAACAGCCCGTTTTCGAAAATGTAGCACAATCATCAAAGTGGGGAGAAGACACATGTCAAGCCGCGTATCAATGTCCAAAAAAAGAATAGAAAAATCACAGAAAAGGAAACCACATAGGAGTAATAAAAATAGTAAGTACACTCACAAATGAAGATACGATACCAATATCCGGAGAGAAGTTTATATCGATATCGCAAGAGGTCAGATCAACGGGCCTTGCGGCTTTCTTGAGCGCGAAATTCCAAGACATAAAGTCAATTTACAGAGCGGGAGGACCACCAAAGCCAGCACCCATGCTCTGCAGGCGTGCGGCAAGCTGCGGGTATTTCTCCTGCACCTCGAGCTGGGTTCGGGTTGCCTCCGCGTACGAAATGGCATTGACGATCTCCGCCTCTGTGCGTGCTAGCTCGGCAGCACGTTCGAAGTACTTGAGCGCCTGGGAGACCTTGCCCTGCTGCAGGAGGAGCTGTGCCATTGTTCCGACAGCAATGTCACACTCGGGATCAACTATATACGCGTTAGCAAAGTAAGAGAGCCCAGGAACTAAGCGACTCACTGATCAGAGCCTTCTGGCAGAGGTTCTCCGCCTCTTGGAAGTCATGCTTCCACTGGAACAAGGCAAGGGCTTTGTTGATGAGCGGGAGAACATTGATTCCCATGGGCTTGCTCTGCTTTTCCATCTCGACAGCCTTGTCGAACTTTTCGATGGCTTCGGAGAAGTTCTGCTGGTCCAAGAGAAGTTCACCGTAGTAGTTGTAGACATCAGGCACGTCTTCAAAGTTCTTTACGGACCTCCTAAAGGTAGCCATTGCAGAAGCAACGGAGCCCATCTTGTACTGTGTGACACCGAGCTGGATGTGAGAGTAGATAAACGTCCGGTCCAGATCGATCGACTTTTGGTAGTCCTTGGCGGCTTCGGCGAATTCACCGAGGATGAAGTGGAGCTGCGCACGGTGATAGTAGATGTCAGGGTCATCCTTGTTGTGGGTGATGGCAAGCTCAAAGTCGTCCTGAGCAGCATCCTTGTTACCTGTTTATCTGTTAGCTGGAGGCCATGGCGGAGGGTTGAGTCGACATACCCAGCTCGAGGTGCAAGCTGGCACGCTTGATGTAGCTCTGAACCAACGAAGGATCCAGTTCAATGCTCTTGTTAAGATCACTCAAAGCATCTTGAGCGCTGCCCTGCAAGTATGTGAAAGTGGCGCGGAGGTTCAGAGCGAGACCCTCGAACTCTCCCAGGTCACCGAGCTCCAGAGCCTTGATGAAAGACGCCGCAGCCTCCTCATATCCATCACCGGTCTTCTTACCCATTGCCAGTAAGCCCTTGCGGAGCTCGGCCTTTCCGGAGTCTTCAGGGAAATCGATAGACTCATCGAGACCCTCGGGCAGGCCCTTCGGGCGGAAGCTTTGGAGGTAGTTGGACACGAAAGTCGGGCTGGGTAGCTTCTTGCCCTTGGCCTCGAGAATGGCCTGGCCCTTTCGCTCGGCGACCTTTTTCAACAGTCGCTCCAGAGCGACGCGGCTGACTTCGTTGGAGAAACCGTCGACGATGCAGCTGGCAGTGAAATCAAGGAGAGCTTCGCTGAACTTTTCAAGATGCTCATACGCAATGGCGCGCCTGTTCAAGGCCTTGACGTACTCACTATCCATTGCAAGCGCAGCGCTGGTGTCCTCAACGACCTTTCCCCATTCTGACAGAACATTGTAGCAGGCGGCGCGGTTCGAGTAGAAGACGGGGTCCGGTTTGCAGATGATGGCCTTTCCGTACAGCTCAATCGCCTTGTTGTAATCCTTGGAACCGTAGGCCTTGTTACCCGCGGCCTTTAGCTTCGCGGCGTATGCCTTTCGTGTCTGCAGGCCGGGATGTCAGTCAGTCAAAAAGCGAAGTGACGTCGGCATCAGAAATCGAAACCCACCTCCTCATCCAACTGTCCGACGGTCGCCTCGTCAACATCGGGAATCTCGTCTGAGGGCTCTTCAGGTTTCTTTGCTGTTGGCTCTGGAAGGATGTTAGCAAAAAGCGCGACGCACATTAGCTAGCACCCGCGGCCAGAGAACGTACCATCTTGGGCAGATGAAGCTTTGGCCTTCTTTTCCTCTTCGGCCTTCTTCTTTTCCTTCCGACGCTGGTTCTTGCTCTTCTTCTTCTCTGTGGGCGGAGTGGCAGCAGATTGACCGGGCCGGCCGGAATCGGAGAGGTAGTAGACGACGCCTGCGCTGGTCACGACGACCGCAACACCGGCAATGGTATAGACGAGGGCCTTATTTTCCGACACCCATTTCGAGATGCGATCCCAGACGGAAGTTGTGGAAGAGGCGGGGAGAGAAGCAGTGTCGACAACCACGTTTTGTGATGGTGGAGGCAATGGTGAGCTGCTCGACATGATGACCGAGGAAAGGAGCCCGGAACCTTCGCTTCAAGTATTGCCTGGTTTTCTGGTTGTTTCTGTGCCCCTTTTTTCGTCCAAGAAATCTGGAGAGTCCCAGTCAGCACTCGAACAGTAGCAAATTGAACAGTTTGGACCGAAGAGAGGGAAGACAAACGGGGTGGTTGGCAAGAGGCTGCGTGTCAGTCTGGATGATTGAGGAGATGAGATGCGGCCATGAAAAAGTTATGCGATTTCAAGGTTGGCCGACCAGCAGCGGTCCCGAGCTCTGGTTGCTAAGTCGACCCAATCAACGTCATCCACAAAAGGGATTGCCAGCTCCTGGCTCCACATCCGCCATCACCGATGGAAAGTCGAAGCTCGAGAAATCGTCATTGAGGCTCTCAAAAGCAGACAGGGACGCATGATTGATAGTCAAATGCCCCGGCCATCTGTTCTCTCTCTCTTGGACTAACAAAAGTTTTGACTAACTGTGCAGTGCGATCTCGGCTCGAGTCGGTCCAGCCTGCACGTGGATAGGTCAAAAATGATCGCAACTCCAGGTCTACAGCCTTTCAGAGTTTGACAACCTGGAAAACAATGTCTTCTCAAGCCTTTCAGATTATTTCTACGCTCCGCTACGACCCTGCTCTCCCCAATGTCGTCGCTCAGAGGGGCGTAGATGCCTACCCCGATCCGCTCAATACTCCTTACTACCTCTTACCCTACCATCAAGACCGACTTCGGAACGCCGCACGCTACTTCAACTGGGACAGCGCGGTCAAATTCCTCGAGCAAGACCTTGCCCAGTTCGCTCAACACCTCGATAAATACATCCCTGACAAGGGCCAGCCATGGCGTCTTCGGGTAGTCGTTGATCGCAACGGCGAGTGCAAGGTCGATGTCGACATTGCCGATCGGATCGAACTAGAAAACTTCGTTGTCCCCTTTATCATCAGCCCGATATCTACATCCTGGCGTGTCTATATCGACACAGCTCCTACGGTTCCATCGGCCTATACGACACACAAGACATCCGCTCGTGGAGACTACATGGACGCGCGGACTCGGTTGGGAATATCCTCTCCGCTTGACACGGCCGATGTGCTTCTGGTCAACCCGAAAGGCGAGGTGATGGAGGGAAGCATCACCACTCCGTACTTCAGGCGGCGGCGAGAGAGTAATGCGGAACAGAACGAGCCGGAGTGGATCACACCCCCGCTGTCGAGTGGTGGTTGTGCTGGCACAAGCAGGCGTTATGCTCTAGCTCAAGGCTTTTGCAGGGAGCAGATAATCACTACTGCGGACCTGATTGATGGTGAAATGTGCTTGCTGAGCAATTCGGTAAGAGGCTTCATTCTCGGCAGAGTCGTGCTCAACAAGAGACCCAATTAGCCCTTTATCGCGCGGGTCAGGAAAATTTCGGTCTTAGTATTTACACCTGTTTCGCTGTCAGGCCAAATGTACATTTTGGCCAAGTAATTATAAGCTTCAATTGTTATTTACCAAGGTCTTTATGCTTCAAAAAACTATCCATACGTAGACCACAAAGTCCAAGAGAAAGCCTCGGAATACTTCACAGTATTGGGCTCAAACATGGCCAGTGGAAGCTAGTACTACGCTGTAAGTGCCCAACAAGTGATCGGCTGACTGCCAACAAGGATCCAATTTTGCAATGATGTCGTTTCAATCTTACGACTCGAGACAATCAGATGCTGGCGGAGCCACGTGACATCACCCCGCGTTTACTCTTCCGGCTAGCGGCATGGAACTGGCAGAAATTCTTCGACCAAAGAAGAGGCTCCGAGGCGCCAGGCGGAAGAAATAAGAAAAGGTGATTGAGCAGACGACCGCAGCAGCACCCCCCAGAGCAAACATCTTGAAATCGCCACACCACATCCACGCCCAACCTCATCCCATCATCTACCGTCGAAAGCAAAGAATCAAATTGGCAGAGCTGAAGATTAGGTGTCGGCAATTATGAAGTTCTTCGAGAACATTTATACCTACGATTATTCCTTCCCGGCCGTTTCCCTCGCCTACTTCCTGCGCTACCCGAACCCGTACTCCAGACACGTTCTGACCACCGATGTCATTGATCGCTATGTCGACCCGAAGACTCACCGTCTCCATACGACGCGCATCCACTTGAAGAAATCAAAGGTGCCCTCGGGGATCCTGAAGCTTCTTCCAAAGGGCATTGGTGGTTCCGACAATTCCGGGCAGAGCTATATTTTGGAAACGACCGTTGTTGACGTGAAGGAAGGCTGGATGGAGTCGGAATCGCGAAATATGGAGTGGACAGGCATTCTTAGTGTGGTGGAAAAGCAACACTATCAACGTCAACCCCTGGAAGGCGCTTTTCAGAAGCTCGAGGGCCTCTCACTCGATGACAAGCGAAACGAGCAAACCACAGTCAAGACAACTGTCACCTTCCGCTCGCGGTTCGGACAAGGAAAGCTTCTCGGACGCCGGAAAACCGAAGGAGAATGCGAAGAGGAGTCCCCAAAGCGGGGATTCTTCACATCACTGTCAACTGCCGGTATCCAGCGCACCATTGAATTGATTGGCTTGAACCGCACGCGGGATGCCATCCTCAAGAGCAAGCAAGGAATGAATGTCGTCCTCGAACGTCTACGCAGCGGTGGCATTGTTGGAGTTCTCGAAGGCATGCGCGAGGACCGCGAGGCAACCGTACTCGGAGAGGGTCCCTGGAAGCGAGTCTGGATAAGAGGACATGCCTCTGACGACGACGACAACTGAACTTTACTCAATTGGGCAAAAATACGGAAAACCTGACTACCCCAAATATTGATGCGGCATTCGAGCGAGGAGCACTGGCGTTGAGACCATTTTTTTTCACCTGTTTTATTTTGACCCTCTCCTACTAACATTACCTTGTCTTCTTACTTTATATTTTTTTTTCTGGACATTGCCTGCTTTGCAGAAGCGTCTTTCACTTCATGTATCTGACGAAATTGTCACGAGACACCATGTATACTATATGGCGATGCCTGATCCAGCTGCTTTATTCAGGAGCACCTGTTGTACAATATACTGATCAAACTGCAAATTAACAAGTTTCATTCTAGGAATAGTGTCTGAGGTGATGTTCATGTAGTCATGTGATGTCTTGATGAGCGTAGAGTGAATATTTCGTGGCCGCACAACATTGTTGTCTCGCAGCCTTGACTTCTTCATCTTTCATATCCAACTTGCCCTCGCACAATCAAGTCAAAGATGGCTGGCTTGCGACAAGCGGACGTTGTTTAGCTCTGGTGCTAGATCAAGTCGTGCCTCTATTGCCAATTACTTCCTCTTTTCAGTTTGTTTCCTTCTCTCGATCTGTGTTTCCATACAAGCTAACAGAAAGCTCACAGGCCCCATCTTCCGGGATTCCTTCTGTCCAACTCTACCTTGAGGATGTGGTAATAAGTTCGTTGTCTGTTTCCTGCTAGATAATGTCGTCGGTCCTTCAGATACACACCTCATTATTGACCATTCGCCGCCTCCCACTTCGTTCTCTTCGACATTCCGACCCAGACCATTATCACTACTTCAGTACTTCCCGCCGGATCAGTCTCGACTTATTGATCAGGACCCTGTTGTTGACCATCGTCCTCCTTGTGCTTAGTCATCCGCACGACATTTGCAGTTTCCAACTACAGACTTCACTATTCGAACTACACTTCGCTTCGACGGTACCTTTAATTCCTTCTGTCTCTAGGCCCATAACAGCCGTGAGGACATACTTTCTGGGTGGTCAACGCGACTTGTGGCGAGTGGTCATCTAAGCTCATTATTGCAAACACAAAACTTCACTCAAGTGGTCTATACTTTCCCCTTCTTCTCATTGGGCGTCGGTCCCCATTGGTTTCGTGTTATCCTATCTAGTACACTTCACCTAAGAGCGGGACTATCACTCTCTAAACGTCAAAGTGAGGCTATTTGTGAGGATACGCTACGGGGCTGCTTCTTCTGCCAGGGACACAATCTCAGCCATGAACAGCAACATCTCTTCAGAGGCTATCAGTGAGAATGGCTCACAGACTAAAAACAAACCGCTCGCCTTTATCCCCTGGGCCGTCGACCAGCTCGATGAAACCGATTCGTCCAGCACCCAAGCTTCCGATGAAATCTCAAGCACAAGCCTTCTCCCCCGGTCACCTCAGTCTCTTCAAATAGACCCAGTGAGCCTCATGAGCCTAAGCCAAACATTCCACCTCCTTCCCACCCCAGAAGACGGTGATAACCTCGAGACAACAGTGGAAAAGGTATCCCGTCTCGCGCACGTCGTCGACCAGGGCAACAGCCTTGCGCTTTGGACAGGTATGAAACTCGCTTCCGAGACGCTCCAAGACGCCGAATCAATCGCAAAGGCGCAAATGCCCAACGAGGAGCGACACATCTATGAGGCGTGGAAAGAATGGGCAATAACCCGCAACGACTACATACTACATACTACTACTACTACTACTACTACTACTACTACTACTACTACTACTACTACTACTACTACTACTACTATAATTAACGAAAGTACCAGTACTACCAGTATTAGTCAGGAATGGTTCCGCCTACCCGACTTCAACTGGGAGCAGAACGTAGCCCCTGTTCCAGAGGGCGCTCAGAGCTCAAAAAGATTCACTCAGCGCCGCTGCAGCCATGGACATCGTCTTCAGGCATCAGGGCGCGACCCCGGAGAACGCAGCATGGCTTACCTTCAACATGGCTCCGCTCCTACCACTTGTTAAAGCCGTAACAAAGATCTCGAACATGGAGAGGCATTACCGGGAGAATGGGGGTAGGAATACTTCTCTGCAGGGGCTTAGCAAGATGGAAATGGCAGAGATGGAAACTGCGCGGCGGGTTGTAGCTGCGCCGGAGAGGAATCTGAATAGGGAGGCAGAGAGGTTGAAGAGGATGACAAGGGAGCTGAGCAAGTCGAATGAGGTTATCAGAGCACGTATGCGTGATTTGGAGGCCAAAAGTGTCAAGGGGGAGGTGCTGGTAAATGGTCGATATGGAGTGTTGCGAGGATGAGCTTCTCGAGCTGCATAGCACTGCCACAATAATTAATGATGGTTAACAGCGAAACTAGTAATAATTCACCAAGACCTTTTCAGGGTCTGTTCCACTTGTTGCTTTCCATCTTTGCAAACAGTACGTATCAGTGCCACTATCTACTGGGGCTGGCGCCTGGGACAGCCTTATTGCTCACAGGTCCCAATCTTAGATTGTTTCGACTTGCTCTCTTCATCACTTGAATTATAATCCCCTAATCGATTACATACACACCCCTTCGAGTCAAACTAGGCTAAGCATGCCCTGTGTAGATATCCTCAAAAGCCTATAGTTAGATTATAAAGGGTGCATGATTGTAGTTAACTGGCGTGTGGGTGTAGCAAGTCCCCTGGGCGCCTGTCCGCAGAGGAGGGTATCTAGATATGGGCCTGGCATGCTTCATCGAGAGCTCTCATCCCCTCTCCCTTACCCAGTGCCTTCTTCATTACTCGCTTGGAGAGCCACTGTATCATCAAGATCTCGACCCGGATCATCCTGATCATCCTGTCTGGTGACCTGCACTCACGTTTATTCCGCTCGTCAGTCTCGAAGGCCAGTGCGTGGAACCGGTACGCTGTCGAGAAGCTTTCTTTCTGTTTCTAATCATCCATCACTGACAAGCATTGTTTTCATCTAGTATCCATCATGGAGGAAGGCACTGGGGTTCTGGACAAGGTACCGGTGGCCATGATGGCCAACGGCGATGCTGATGACGAGCTCTTCGACAAGCTGATTGATAACAGAGTGTTCAGGCATGGTGCACCCGCTTACCATCCTCCTTTTCTGACGCTGTCACAATGTCGCCATCTACATTCGCAAGATATCTAATTCTCAATTAGCGTCCATCATACTCGCTGCTTCCAACGTGAGTGAAGCGCCTATGGCAGCTGCTGTGTTTTCTGTTTCTTCTGCTTCTTCTGCTTCTTCTGCTTCTTCTGCTTCTTCTGCTTCTTCTGCTTCTTCTGCTTCTTCTGCTTCTTCTGCTTCTTCTGCTTCTTCTGCTTCTTCTGCTTCCTTCCGTGGTTTAAACTATGGTGGCCCAATTGCCAAAGGAGATTACTGGTCAACCATACTTAGAAAGTGGAGTTGAAATACCCCGAAGACAAACGTGCATTGAATAAGATGAAGCTATCAGTTTGGGTTACTGACATTGAAGGACTAACTAACGAATCTTCAGTTGGCTGTTGGCTGGTTTATAGACTACCAACCGACAGATCCTGCAGACCAGCCTCCTGCGCCTTGTTCGTCATTACCACCCTTGGGCACTGTCATTTTCTCCAATGGACAGGGTCACCAACATTGAGGCCCTCATTCTCAGCGGCTGCCTTCCACTCCTCAATAGCAGCGGGATCAAGGACTTCATTGATCTTGCCCTTGCCTTTGCAGTTATCGTCGGAACCTCCATCAATAGACTTATCGTCACCAATAGCAAATAGAAAGATGTTAGTTTACTGGGGATCTATTGAGACACAAGTATTAGTGCATATAGCGCAATCATGAAGCTGGACAAAGTGATATATGACTTACAATCATGTTCAGAAACAGCGGCGATTCTTCAACCAAAAGAAAAACATACGCGCATGGATAGGGGACCTATTCTCGAGTCTCTCTCCTAACGGGCCTAAAACGGAACGGCTCGTTTAGTATCTGCGCTGGGTGGTTTATTCTTGAGAATCGTTCATGAACAGAAAGTCCGAGCTGTTGACTAAATTTGTTGTGACGCTCTTTGGTTCGCAGTCCAGTCACAAGAGGCCTAAGCCGAGCGTGGTCACCACACGAGATGATGGCATTGGTTTTCTCACAGGCTCATAGCTTGAATGGACCAGTGTATTGGGTTCAGTCTCCTCGGGGTCCTTATCCCGGATTACCCAGATGCTGTTGGCGTTCTGGCCGAAGCTGGTCGTAATAAGCGTGTCGCCAACGTTGTTATTTGTCGAGATAATAAAATTGGCTCTCGATACGATAGCTTTTGATGCCCTTCTGAATGCAAGTAGAGCTCGAGAGCGTTTCGATTTGTCCATTTGTTTGAAATGCTGCTTTTCGATATCACGTGCGAAGGAACGGAGAATCTCCAGTGCATCAAGCTCTTCACCTTCTGGTACAAGCTCACCATTCTCGATGGAGCCAAAGAGATCATCAGGTCCATTTTCGATTTGCTTGTCAGAGGGAAAGGTGGCGATTAATGTCTCTTCCGGGGTTGATGCGAGTTCAAACACTTTGGTGAAGCAGCTGAAGTCTCAGGTCATGGAAAACTCTTGGTCGTCGAAGATTCCTTGAACTGAGTCAACGTCATCCGTTCGGTGAAGCTGCAAAAGTCCTACCAACCAGGACATATGAAGAGGATACCCAAGGCTTTGGATTTCAAATCCGAGCCTCTACATTCGTTCAGCGGTGAAGTCCAGGGTTGACTTCGCCGTTAAGCGCAAACCTCTCGGTGCGGTACTCATCTTCGAAGTCATGTATAGACCGACCAACCTTGCGGCTTCCCAACCGAGTAACTAGAAACGCGAGTCGACAAATTTGAGGCTGTGCTAAAAGGTAGGCTTCGAGCAAGGTAAGTAATACGAGAATTTAACAGGCCACGGCTAGCTTTAATGACTGTACTTTATAAGTCCCTTCTGCGAATCTAGGCGTTTGCAGTGCTTAGGGCATCAAGCTGTCGGCCTCAGGCGTTAAGAGGTGGGCGAAGCCTCAGGCACTAGGTCGACGGCCTCAGGCACACACTATGAGTGGTGGCCCGGGACAACCTCCTTTGGTTCAAATTCTGCTACGGAGAGGAATTAGATTGTAGATCAGAGAGGCTGTGGACAATAACAAAGGCAGCTAAGTAGGTTATTAGGGTTCGTATGCGCTATTTGGCGAAGGGTGTCAGGAAGAAAGAGACGAATCTTCTCGAGCTGCATGGCGCTTTCATTATACGGACTACGAGTATACTACTGATTAATAGTTAGCAGCAGAACTAGTAAGTAATCCACCATAACCATTCCAAAATCTGGCCGCCCTCTTTTTAGATGAGTATTTGCCAACGTGCTGAATAGTACCATCCCTGGGGATTAGGACAGTCTGACCATATTACTCAACAGCTCACCCAGCCGTTGAAATTGCAAGAAATACTATAAAAGAGCGCCCCATAGCCTAATTACAGCTCCCAGTAAATTCTCTGAAAATCAAAACCGCTCTTCTCCCTTGTTACTGAGCTGTCGACTCCAACGCTAAGGTTAATGATTCATTTGCTATCCAACAATGGCATTCAACCAGATATACTTCCACCCATCCGATCCCGACAAACTCTGTGTGATCGTCCTCCTTGGCTCTTGAATGTTGATCCAGGGACAGCGAGGCTCACTCCTTCCGAAATTGATCTGTGATTCATTGCGTCATCGACAGGCACAGCAACATTCTTGGCCGAATAAGATGAGGTCAGCGAGAATGTTTTTTCTTTCCAAAGACCCTGAAGGGCCAATGAGCAGCTAAAAAGACGCCAAGTGGGGTACAGGGGACGCCACCTTGGCACACTGATTTAGGATTGACTCGACAGTGAAGCAGCCTTATGGACAGATTCTGGTCAAATGATGCATAATATAGTGGGGGAAAAAAAGGCTATAAGATAGAGTGTTAAGGAATAATTCAGCTCCATATGATACTTCCTTATGAACGTTCCAATTGTTTCATGTTGGCTGCCTGGGCAGCCTGGCTCAGTTGTCTGAAGCAACGCTGGTTGTGACCCTGTAAACGATCTCCACTCCGGAATGCCACTTGGAGTCTGGGTCCATGCGGAGGCAGGCCAATCACTGCGAGAGCCAAGCAGCGCTAGTGTTTACCCATCTGGGCACCTAACCAAGTTCTCTGGTCGCTCACCAGGAAGCGAAACACTCTGAGACTTGCAACTTGCAAGGCTGTTGACTCCTTTTGACTCCTGTCTTGCTCCCAGGCCGGCTGTCCTCCGCTCACTGTATATTTCGCCTACTCGTATCACAGAGGTCGCCGTCTGTTTTCTCTCTCATATCGTCGATCTGGTCGTCTCTCTGTCTTCCTCGGCCACCCCTTTACTTCCGACCCTTCCACCACCTCCGAGGTCATTACTGGACCTTTTTCGACTCGCCCTCTCGTACCGCAGGACGACGATTTCGCTATATCTCCCCCTACCGATTTTCGGATTGGATGACAAACGGACGGTCCTGCTGTGCTATACGACACCGGCGCGCCTGTCTTGACGATATTTGGCATCAGCGAGATACCTCCGTTCCTAGTCTCACGATACCGTGTCACAAACACAACAGATCCGAGTTGGTTTATTTCTCGGCCAATACTCGAGATCACCGCTTCTTCACGCTTTATATACTCGTCACCCCTTGACTTGACACAGTAGGATGCTGGGTAGGGTATAAGTGAGCCTTGGGGTCGTTGATTGACGACTACTGGATCAAATGGCTTCCATTCTTTCCCTCCGTTCGCTGATGCGACCGTACCTATTTCTCCTCATGATTATCACATCCTTCTCTCCCGCTTCTGCCGACATGTGCACCTTCTGGGATAGCGGATGCGTCGACCCATTAGCTCAAACCGCCATCTCCTTTAAATTCCCTCCCCTCTTCCTCGAAACAATCAACTTCTATTACGCCTTCGATGCCGACGGTCGCGGAAAGGGCCAAGCACCGATGATCAAAGCCGGATATTGGATTGGATACGAGGCGTACGTCAACAATTCTGTGATTGATATGAACCGGACGTCTGAGATCGCCGTCCGGGTGGGCAATCTGACAGGAACTCCGTCGGGCGGAAACAATGGATGTGACGGTGTTTGGGGCCCCGAATGCTCGAAGAATATGCAGGACTTCTTCAAGGAGCACATCTTTCGTCTGATCACTGGAGGGGAATACGACAATCCTTTGAGCATGCTGGTAGAATCATTCCATGCGCATCCTCCGGAAATCAAGAACTGTCCACCGCCGTTCTTTGACGTCCAAAAACTACCTACTGATCGTGAGTACCAATATGCCCCGCTGGCACATCCTTCTGACTCCGATAGAATTCGCATTCGAAAGCGAAGATGAACAGGTTGCAGTCATCAAGAAGACCGGAAGCGCCGATTCGCCGTGGATGACATGGTTCATTGACAACATGACCGCGGGCGACCAAGCCGAACAAGTCGCTGTTGGTATAATGAGCCGGACACCAGCGTACGGCAGCCCGTTACCGCAGAATCCGGACGGAATCCAGGTTGAACTCGTCTGCGCTCGCGCGCCGTCCTCGGGGACTTCTGTGAGTTCCGTGAGCAACGATTGAAGCGACCGCGAGGTTCAAGAATCGAATCCATAATTTTTTGCACGAAAGCGACATGACCAGCGATATACCCAAGGATGGCTCTGCTCGGGCCTATTGCCCACTCGGATGCCACACCCCGATCACCCATGCGGCCTCTCAACAGATTACGATGCCGACACCAATACATGGACAATACATGGACAATACATGGACATCTCAGCAGCATGGCTGCTCTTCACTCGCTCAAACCTACACGTAGGTTCTCTGCACAGCGCGGCACAAGTCAGCTGCACCGCAGTCATCAGGGCCGCAGGTGACGCCGACCGCTACAAGCAGTGGGTTACTTCGACAGCAATCGAGGCCCAATATAATCACTGTATATAGTTGCATTCACTAATGACACAATACACTCGAACCGACTGCGCGTCTGCGTTCGCATACTCTCCCAGTTCCATACTCACATCGTCTTCCAGCCAACGTCAATCTCCTGCAACTCCCCTCTCCCCCGGAAATCCTCCACGATATCCCCCTGCTCACTCAACAACACCCTCTCCCTCTGATCCCCGACTTTGGCCAGCTCCCTCCACCTCTCTAAATCAGCCTTATTCCTCTTATCACCCTTGGCCTCCTCACTCCTCTCCCAATGCCCCTTCGAAAACCCCAGCAAGGTCGTGATCTTCCCCCTTGGGATATCATACACGAGACTGCATATCGTTCCCGTCTCCTCGAGCCAATTCACCTGCCAGAGCTCGCCCGGCCGAATGCATTGGTATGTGGCTGCTTGGAAGTTCTTGCGGCCGGCCATGGGGCCACCGTGGATGGCGTAGACGATGCGTGAGTCGGAGTGAAACCACATCTCGTAGCGCCATTTCTCGGTGTCCTTGGACGAGTCTGTGGAGGATTGGACGCTATAGTCGTATATTAGGTGGCGGTCTTCGAGGTCTGACTTGAATGCGCTGGCTGCTGAGGGGTTGGGTGGGTTTATGGGCATCTTGGGACGCTTCGATATTGGGATGGATATTTTCGCCGATAAGTGAGTGGTCTGGAGGAGGATTTGGATATTGCTTGAGCTCAATGATCTCTTTGGATCCTACTACACTCTGTCTGCTGCCTTGTTTCTACCAATATACCTCTCTGAGACGATGTCGTCCACATCGGAGTCTTCGGCATGACATCACGACAACAGATAAATGGTCCCATCTACCATGGTTCCGTTGAGATCCGGACTCAAGGTCGGAGGTTTGTTTATATTTACTCCGTGCATCGATGTATATCTACTGGGCTGCTCTATGGCAAGTCGCGTTGATACCTCACGGTATTACTAGGAGCCATGGTTGCACCTGGACCTGGTGGGGTTCTTCTTCGGAGGCTGGCATTGAAATAACGGGTTGAATCGGAGTCGAGGACTCGGGTTGGAGTAAATGATATTAATACACAAATTAGGTGGACAAAACTGTCGGATACTGGTATATATAGTACTTGGGTTTACTAGCCACCACTACTGTGCAGGATGAGTGTTCCTGCGGCTCTGGTACCTGTCGATCATGTGCTCCCCGAAAGTCATCAGGTCCTAATCATGGACGGCACATTGTTTCTACAAAAGTCTCAAGAGAACTATCATGAGAAGTACTCAACTCCGTCTCGTGGCAGTAAATACCTTTCATCTCGTCTACTGAAGACATTTCCCCCTCCACTGTCGATCTTCAGCCAAAGTGGATAACTCCCACGTCCAATAAATCCGCCGCAAATCCGCACGACCTGCGCGATCTTTGCTCAACAAAAATCCAGCGAATCGGCAGCTGCGTATTAGAACATCCTCTGGCCTAGACCAGCCAAGACTGTCTTATACTTGCTTATCACTGCTTGACTGTCCACACGAATATTCCGGAACCCGCCCCTGTGCCTGGGCACCTGCTCGGACACCCCCGCATGCAATTGCAACATCAACCTAGAGAAACCTCCTCCTCGTGCAGTCGCACATCTCTCCCATTGGAGTTCGCTTATAACGCTCTTCCGCCATGTCGCCTGCCGTGTTGACGGCGCCGTCCCACACGGCCGCGATGGTCGTGATCAGCGTCATTTCACCCCCTTCTAAGCAAGGACGCATGCTGTCGCGATGCACCACAGCTACGACACGCTGCACGTGGGTTGGAGTAGGCAGGGTGCTCCATCTCGCGGCCATCGGAATGCCAGATGCCAGGATGGATATAAAAGGCGGCTGAAATCCGAGAAATGAGTTGGATTTGGAAGAACAACACCGAGCATCAGCGGAGCGACGAGACAAAATGCATCTCAGCGCCTACTTTGGTCTTCTTTCTTTTGCTGTGGCGGCCGTTGCCAGCCCGGCTGGCCCCCACAAGCCCAACTCCATTGCGAACCTCAAGTCGCACATCAAGAACGTCGTTATCTTGGTCATGGAGAACCGCTCGTTCGACAACATCCTCGGTGGGCAAAAGACGCACGGCTTGGATAATCCTATACATAACGGCCCGTTCTGCAATCCGTTCAACTTGACCGATCCGTCGCAGGGCGAGGCGTGCACCGGGCCGCGCTCATTCGACTCGGTCATCAATGATCCGGACCATGCCATCTATGGAAACAACATCCAGTTCTACGGTGACTACACCCCGGATAATGAGGCGATTGCCTCGGGCAAGCTGAAGGCGCACAACAAGGGCTTTGCGCACGAGCAGATGCGTCTTTATGCGGATGAGGCCAACAAGACCGACCTCGTCAAGCAGGTCATGCACTACTATACCGAGGAGCAGGTGCCTGTTCTGACCTCGCTCGTCAAGAACTATCTGACCTTCAACTACTGGCACTCGGATATCCCAGGAGTACGTATTCCCCGTCATAACTGCTCAACAAATACTGAAAGTATATGCAGAACACAAACCCCAACCGCGCAGCCCTAACCTCGGGCACCTCGCACGGTCACGGCCTCAACGATGCTGGCTTCGATAATCACGAGCTCCCCGTCAGATCCATCTTTCAACAACTCACGGAAACCAACCACACGTGGGTGAATTACGTCGACCCCGACGGTGGCACCGGCCCTGACGCCGGCTTCTACTCCTGGACCTACGAAACAGGCAACGAGGACAAGATCGTCCCTCTCGCAAACTTCTACACAGACGCCGCGGCCGGCGCCCTCCCCGAGCTCACCTACATCAACCCCTCGTGCTGCGGTGTTGGCACGACATCCATGCACCCCAGCGGTCTGATCTCTGACGGCGAAACCTTCATCAAGTCCGTCTACGACGCCCTCCGCTCCGGGCCCCAGTGGGATAACACCCTCTTCATCCTGACCTTCGACGAGAGCGGTGGCTTCCACGACCACGTTCCCGCGCCGCTTGCGCCTCGTCCAGACAACCTCACCTTCACACTCAAGACTCCCAACGGGGAGAACTACACCTTCCCCTTCGACCGTCTTGGCGGACGCATTCCAACTCTGCTCATCTCCCCTTGGGTTAATAAGAATGCCGTCGAGCAAAAGGGAAGGAATGCCGAGGGAAAGAACGTCTCGTATTCTGCTACATCCATTCTGAGGACGCTCGGATATCTCTGGGACTTTGAGCCTTTCACGCCGCGTGTTGAGGCTGCGGCGTCGTTTGAGCATTTGATTACGAGCAAGGCGAGGAAGGATACGCTTGAGAACTTGCCCGAACCTGAGCCGTTTAAGAAGGCGAAGGTTTAGATGGAGGATCCACGAGCGTTTTAGGGAGTGGATACTGGTGGAGATACACGCTTTGGCGCTCAATGATTTATGAAGAGCTGAAACGTTATTAGAATAAACGATATTCTCGTCCGATGGGGATGCATGCAGCGAGAGCCCCAGTAGATACATCTAATGTTAGAAGAAGAATGCAGTCTACACCAAGAGTATAAAGTGACAGACTCATCGTTTTGCTTTACAGCGAAGATGAATACTCCTTCCGTCTATCTCTGTCCGCGCTTAGATACATACTAGTAGGCGAGTACAAACAATAATGCGCCATACGTAAGACCTAGTATGCTGGATAGGTCGGGTCCGTTCTCCAATAAGGAGAAGGCTCTGGCCTGTGGGAGCCGTGAACTAGTCCTAAAAGGGTCTAAGGGAAATCCTGAATAGTTTCATCTTTGCCGGAAATCGTAATTCAAGACAAGTCTAAGGCTATTTTGGCAAATTAGTGTGGCTCGAGCTTGCAGGTTAGATGGGGAAGCGCGACACGTAAAAAACCAAAAACGAGGTATTATCTCTTGATCATTTTGTTTTCCGCTGGAAGACACCAGCGACATCATTTTGTATAGGGATGCCTTAGTAAAATGGTCGCTCGAGTTCGCAGGTAGGAGGATAGAAGCATGACAGGTACTAATCTATACTCCACCCAGAACAATAGAAGAGAACGAATAGAAGTCTAAGTTTATATGGTGGCATATGGATATCATAGTATAGCCTTGGTTAAAATCTGATCCTACTATGCTCTGCCCACAGGATTCTGGTTCTATTCTATTTTTGCGGAGCGATATGGCTCGCCGTATCTAGACTCAGAGGGTAGTAGTGCTATTTCAACCAAATTCCGCCTTGCCGTCCCATAAAGATGATTCCGCCTCAGTCTTGCAAGACACCATCCGACGAGGCTGGGCAAGATCGTCCCCGCACCCTAGTGGCAGTCAATTCAAGTCTCCAGGTTCTCGTTCGTGCAAGCCCTGGACAGGTTGGCTCACCCGTAAATATTTAATGATTCAAGACGCCTTTAACTGATCGAGAGCTCTAACCTTGTGACTGTCTACTCATCTCAGTCTCAAGATTTCCTCTCTCTCCGTATATCATTCAGCACCATTGTCCTCCATCATGGCCTGGTCAACATCAGACACAGTTGCGTTCATCACATTAATCATAGCGATCCCCACTTCTATAGCGGGAGTCTGGACTCTCCACCTTCATCTCCAAGCGCGGCAAGCTCGACAAGTTCGACGACAGCATCTTTTCAGTACTGTTTCCGATGGTACGTCGCTATGTCTTCTTATTTCCTTACCTTCGCTCCAACTTCTCAGTGTCTAACATGAATCTCTCTAAAAAAAACAGACCCCTCGACTGAAACCGGGATCCCTCTTCTGTCGCAAACTTCTCCGCCATCTCGAACTCCAACCTTTCCTCCACCCACGAGTCCGACTCCGACTTCTACTCCCATACCTAGTCTTCACCTGAGTCCTTCTGCTAGTGTTCGCCCATTGCCTTCGTCGTCTACTACTGGTACCCCGCCCAGCTACCCCGAAACTCACACTCGAAACAACTCAATGCGATACGATTCCTTCTTTTGTATGCTTACTTCCATACCGAAGCCATCTAGAACCTCTACCCATCGACCTCCACGTTTCCAATGACTAATAAAACAATCGCAAACTCAGGCAGACTCCATGTGAATGACATTGGTGCGCAACCTCTCCCGCCGATATATACCGATCCTCGTCCTGTACAAGAAGTTTGACCAGAAGGATACAATACTATAGCGACTTGTATTAGCGCCATTGAACTGATATCAGAACATATACCAGTCAGGTTACGACTCTAGATGAATATATAGATGCGACAAAAATTAGGGCGCTAGCGGTATTGGTGGTTAGAGTTAGATCTATGATACAGCACAAGCTGGGACTCGGAGTTAGCTAGGGAATAGGGCATGTATACTAGACTTGAATGATCCGCCCTATAATTATTTTCATGATCCAATGAAATGACTCGGACCTTTAGCTCTTAGAAGTGGCTGCTTCCATTCAAGATGCGTTCCATGGTTCACCATTTTAAAGCCTGTAGTGGGCATTAAGTGGCGCTTGTTCTTCAGCCCGGGAAAAGATTTCGAGGTGGAGCAGAGGTCGATCGCTTAGTATACCAGGTAGTAGTGGTGGTAAGTATATGACAAAGGAGAAAGAATCCGCAGCTGCTAATTATGATTTCATGCATCAGATATGTGGTAGCCGGTCAGGGAGGTTTTCTTTTCTTGATTGAGAAGCTGTAGCCCAAGACTCAATAAGCCATGTTTTACCTAGTGTTACTAGAACTGAGCCTGAGAAAATCCATCTTGTGTCTCTTTTCATTGTCTCGTCATCTCACTTTTCTTCATTAACCCTCCCACAAACCTCTGCTTTCTCGACCCTGCTTAGGAAGGACTGACTCTGGCTGCTTGATAAAGTTTCGCAGACAAGGAAGGACCTCGCCACGCTCATGAACTCTCCTTCTCCATCCTTTCCCTAATCATCGTCAGTTCTCTTCGTCTTCCTTCTCATTTTGGTCCTTCGTCGCAACAAGTCTCCGAATCCCTCCAGAAGAAATGAGTCACAAGCTCGAATCGATCAGTACGGTACCCTCGGGCTCTACGGGGTCGCACCCTAGTAGAAGCAGCGCGATGCAAAGCTCGTCGGGGGACTCTTCAGTCCAATCACGCATCGATTCATCTGATAGCCATAGGATCGGCGGACCGGGAAACCTACCTCGATGGCCTTTGATCACTGGCCTCTCCCCAGATATTGACCCTGAAGTTGGCATCGCTGTGGTTGATATAGCAGTGGGGCATCTGCAAGAATTGAACCTGGAGTGGAAAAAAGCATACATCTGTACGCGTGCGACCGAAGGTAGTGATGCAAGGCCAATTGACAGCACTACTCTATTGATCTCGGTAGAGTCATTTGAAGAGCGGCGTGACTCTATTGTCGCGCTGCTGGACACGCTCTTGACTGTTCTGCCAGGCTTAGGGTATACGGGACGCATCGAGATTATAGACTGGCGCGCCATCAACGGACCTCAAACTTTCCTACCAAAGGTGTCAAGTCAGCAACAAGACGAATGGAACACCACTCTTGACAGGGCCATTGGAGTGCTCGGGCATCACCGTGTAGACTGGCGCCAAATCGTCCTAGCCAACCGTGGCTACTGGGAGGAGGTATCCAAGCCGACGGTGGTGATAAAGACGCCGGAACTCAGCACAGAGCAGGAACAAGCCTTTCAGAAGCTGCACCAGGACTTGAGCGATCAAAATCTCGAGGTTGAGAGAATGGGCGTTGGAGGCTTATGGGGTTTGTTTGCTTCCGTTGGTGAAACTGTGTTAGCAGAGCAAATAAGCCAAAACCTGGGGTGGCCGGTGAACCCAGATTATCACGCCATGGGAATCAGCGTTGGGCGAAATATGCAAAACACATCTACCTTGGGGGGCTATCTGAAAGTCCGCCAGGATGGAACGGAGCACACGGTGGGTATCACTTGCTATCATGGGGTGCGCCTTGACTCGACAGGCTCATTCGACGAGGGTATGTCACCAAACCACTGTCCGGTCTGCGAAGCTCGCCACTAACCTGAACAGATATCCAATCACGCGGTGCAACTGCGCTGTCTTGGCCCTGTCAATCTCCATCTGCGCAAGATCATAACCTGCTATTGGAACGCCATGTTAACATCACGAACAAACCAACTGCGTCTAACCAGCATCTCAAATCTCGAAGGGAAAGGGTCCAAAAGGAGAGTAAACAAAAGTTGGAGGAACTTCAACAGTTCGATCCACATGTTGGGAATGTTGTCGCAGTATCGGGATGGCGAAATCGCGAGTATGGTACGGGCCTCGGTGCACCATTGGTATTTGTCGACTGGGCGTGCATAGAAATATCCCATGAAAAGTGCCCATATCCCATCAACGCCATCGACGAAGTCGCAGATGAATTGCCCGCCTCATTCCCAGAGGGCCTACCTCACTGGAAGTCTACCAAAGAGGCGGTAGACACTGTGGCTGATATGCCCACTGCCAACATAGTCACCTTCAAGAGAGGACGCACAACGGGACTAACAGCGGGTGATCTTGGGGGTATTTGTCAGGCAGCCCATCGCATTCCGGGCTTACCTGGGCATCTTCACCATCGCGCATACATGGTGACCACTAGCCCGACTAGGAGGCCGTTTGGCCTACCGGGGGACTCCGGTGCGTGGTGTTTGAATGGCAATGGAGATGTTGTTGGCCAGCTTGTGGCGGGTGATAGCAACGATGGGACGGGGCTTGTTGTTCCGTTCAAGCTTCTCCTCAATGATATGGAAGACAAGCTGGGCTTGGAGCCGGGAAGTATCAGTCTGGCGTAGCGAGTCCCTCTCGAGTTACGCGGTGGTTCGGTCAAGTTGACGGTGATTGTTCGCGTATGCCTTTCTTTTACTTTTGTTTGTTACCCTCTTTGCTGCACTACTCTCGAATGGAGCATGTACGAATTGTGAAAGAACAATTGACGTGTTCGTGATCGACAAACAGGTCCAGCGTTAAGCATCATAATACAATTAAAATCCAAGAACCAAGTTTTGCAACCTCCCAGCTTATCCTACACGCAAACACCAGAACCAAACCACCAAACTCCCCTAGATCCCATTACTATTAGGTTTTATATGTCATGTGCCCTTCAGTAAGTAGTGATATCGTACGTATTACTCGTGTGGCAATCGGATCCAGCCAGATATGTCATCGGTACAGAGACCGTAGTATGTCGTTGTCGCAGTCGTCGTCTGTATCGTGCCGTCCACTCATGACTTGTTCGTCACTTGTCACTAGATTGCAGTGGTCGGGCATCTAGACCTGAGCCATACTGGGACGGCCGCGGGCAGGGCCGACGCGAGGACGCAGGTTGGCGCCGGTGCGGCGGGACATCAGGATCGAAATAACCATGGATGCCGTGTACCCAGCCCACGCGAACCAGAGGAAGGCAGTCGATGCCTGGGCCTCGCGGCAGCGCTTCTCGGGGTTGTGCGAGCCGTTGGTGATTTCGTTGCTCAGGACGTATTCCTACACGATTAGCATCTGCCCCCACATTCCATTGTCTAAGAAAGGGAGCGTACCCTGTTTCCGCAGCTGTGGGCCTCGAGTCTCGCCGCGAGAGCAATCGCCGAGGTGAGGAAGAAGATTGCGTTCAGGGTGTCCAGGACGACCATGATGATCGGGTGGATCGCCCAATCTGGGTTGATGGATGCGGGGATCAGGTAGAAGAGCGTGAACATGGAGAAGGCCGCGACAAACATGGTGTAGTTGACTGTGGCGGGGTTTCCGCCAAAGGCTTCTGCGATCATGTTTCCGATTAGGGACATGACGAGCAGTGTCCAGACGAACTGGATAGCAATTTGTCAGTGTTGTGGTTCTACTAGGAGTATAATAGACGTGTCGTCGTTTGCGAAAACACATACCTCCCAAATGCGGAGGGCGATCTGAAAGACTCTCATTTTGACGGATGTTTCTCGCGGACTTCGAAGACGGTGATGGGACGAAGGCGATGAAGATTATTGAGATCGAAAAGAAAGAGGAAATAAAAGGATTTCATGGATTTAAGAGCGGAACGATCGGAGTGCAGAGCAGATGACGATCAGATGAACTGTTGTTTGCTACGTCATCCATTTTCGAGAATCATGAAATCACCAGTCGATCTGCGCTGATCCCTCCACTTCGAAACAACACGACTCATTCGCGCTTGTCTTCAGCAATCTACAAGTCAAAGATAAGATCTTACAAGATCTTTCAAGATCTTTGTAAGTTCTCACTGGCGACTGTAGCTGTGATCCCGTACTGTTACCTAGGGAGCTCTGCAGGGATGCCAACCGCCCGTCTCCGATGAGCTTTGCATGCCGTCAGCGATGAAGCTCGAAAGTCTGGACTGCCGAAGGATCCGAGACCGCGAGTCGAGACTCGAAACTGTGGAAACCCACGGCTGCTTCTCCGGTGGCATGATACGAAGAACAGGCATAAGCTAGCATTAAGCTCACTGGGGCCAAAACTAACCTGATCGGGTGACTCGATTAGGAAAAGTGGTTCGTGTCTCCAGCCGGGCTTAGGCCAGCCCTACGTTCTTCAAAAGTTGATAGATATACGAGAAAACCTTTTGTTATCCTCAATTCATCGCATTTCAACCAACCCCGATGATGATGACATCTCATAAGTCTGGTGGCCCGCAATTTCACTTGGGTATTCCACCGGCGCATATCCATATCGCGAACTTGACGCCTCTGATGACGGAGTTGAATAGTGCTTCGGAGGCCCGTAATACGTACTGTCGTGAGGTATCCGATACGTACTATCGTGTGGTACCTGCCCGGGATGGACCGTGACATACTGGTATTTCTTGCGCCGAAGGTAAACGAACGCAGCCGTGAAAACGATTGCGAATCCCGCGACCGGGCCGATCACAGCTCCAGCGATCCATGATTGATCCGAGGATCTGCTACCATTGTCATTTTCTTCCTCCTCGGGATCGTCTGTAGGGGTGGGCTCGGTGGTGGACGTGGCTGAGGGAGAGCCTGCTGTCAGTCTGTCTGCAGCGGATATCTGGGCTCAGATGCTTACTCGTTGTGGTGGTGGTGGTGCTCGTTGACTCGGACGATGTCGCTGGGCTTGGACGCTCACGATACACGGTCCATGCACTCCAGTTCTGCCAGCATCCAACGCTACTCGCCGAGGGAAGACCGGCCGGCGAGGTCTCGAATATAGTGAACGTCACGCAGGAAAACGCCGATCCACTGCAAATAAATGTCAGTTCTTTCGCATGAAATAGTTCGGAGCCGTATACCAATTGAAAGTCTCGCCATTGTCCCATGTCAAGATGTTGCCCTGGCATCGGGTCGGCAGGACACACTGGTCGGCGTTGGTGGTGGTGCATTCGCCAGCATAATCTCCAACCGTGACCCACGGACTTGCAGCGGTCAACCGCTCAGCTGCTCCTGTTAGGCGAGTCTCAAAGATACTGGATGGGTGACTAACTTGAGCTTGGTCCAATATACCAGCCGATTAGCGACCCAATTGGCGTGGGCGTCTCCTCCTGAGCGCGGCTCAAGCTTTGGGTGCTCGCAAGTAATGCGAGGAGGATATAGCAGTGCTTCGACGGCCACATGCTGAGAGATATTCGAGCTTGAGCTTGAGCATCACCTTTCCCTGGAACGCATCTTCTGACGTCGAACCACTTCGGTGGAAAGGAGGGGAAGTCGAATGAATTATTCGAAAACTGTTCTTCAGCGGCTCAGCCTGATGCCCAGAACAAGACCACGCCAACCTCATCAACCAGCCAGTCAGAGACTGAGGACAACCATTGCAGATAATAAGCTAGCGACACTTTTCAGACATTCCGGCCTATCGGATGAGCTCATTCGCTATTTGTGGTTCAGCTCTAGCAGGGATCAGTCCCTCGCATTTAGCGCCTGTTCTCTTGGAGGCGGCACAGCGAAGCGTTTACAGTCGCTTTGTCCCCTGTGCCGCGTGGAATCAGAAAATCTTGAAGCTCTTTGAGAAAAGCTTTGATTGCTAAAATTAACACCTACTGGCTCCGAGAAAAGTGCGAAAGTCGAGATTAAAGTCGCCGTGCTGACGTCTTGTCGAGGGCGAAATTCGAACTCTTTGACGCGGGGTATGTTCTGCTCTTCTGTCACGCCTTTTCATGTGGTAGACCCATTCTTGGGCATCTAAGAGGCTGGTTGAAAAAAAATCTTAGCTGCTTTGTTGATGCTATACTGCTCATTGAATTATCAGAGATCTTTAGTCGGTACTCAATGTTCAGAAAAAAATGGGTTCTATACAAAGCCAGAGCAAACGCAGCTGAAGGTGGCAGCAGGTGATCGGCGAACATTTGACGAAAAAGATGCATCGAATCCCTAACTAACAACGATAATACGTCTCAAGATAGGCTTGACCCAAAGACCTGAACCTCAGAGAGACCAACATTCATCGTCGAAGGGCTAACGGCCGTTATTCTGATAGTGAGGTTGCGGACTGTCCTGTCTTCAAGCTCAAAACTCTTGGCCGTCCCATAGTTATTTAATTCTCCAATGTCGATTCTCTCCTCACTGTCAAACTCGATGACGCCTGCTGTGATTTGATCGTCGAGATTCGGGCGGTCATAGAGAGCGACCTTTGACACTACCTGCGGGCTCTCCCAGCTGAGACTCAACCAGGCCCCCGTCTTGCCACCTTGACTCGCCCACTCGTGGGTGTAGTCTGCTGGAAATCCACCTGCGGTTGCATCGATCGCTTTATCTGGAGTTTGGCTGGCGGCGGTATTTGCAGATGAAGCCGTTACTCTTGCTTTGAGAGCAATGTTCTCAGAATGCCGCATAACAGTGATCGTTACAACAGCTGGCGCGCTGCTCGTCTTCCCGTTGCTCACGACCAGCTCAAAAGTCAGAGTGCCCGGCTCACTCGGGGTCTTAAATGAAGGATGACTTGTCTCAGCGCTCATCAACTCGACAGGTGTACCGCTGACCTGCGCCCACTCATAAGTCAAAGGTAAATGTTTCGGATCCGAACTCTGCGACCCATCTAAGGCTACCGCCGCATCTAAACCAGCTACCTGGTCAGAGCCGGCATTCGCAACGGGCCCGCCGTCAAGCCTGTATTCGCGTTCGAGCCATCGAGGATAGTACTGTTCGCCCTGGCAAGCCATGTGGCTGTTGCAAACGGCAGGGTCACCTCTCGCATACGCATAGAACGCGAGCTGCTTTCCCAGGAGATCTGTACCGAGTATATTTGCTGTCTCGTTGATGACCGGATAGCCCATATAGCCCGTCAGCATGGGATTGCTCTCGTACAACTTTACAGCTTCAGCAACGAAGAACGCCACCGAATGATGGTCACTGTGATCCCCGTCTCCATACGGGTGGACGTAGTCAAGTGTGTTCACGTGTTGTGGGCCGAAGCCGACCATCAGAGAGACGAGTGCTTTCAGCAGCCCGTCCTTCGTATACGAGCCGGATCCACTTATTGTGTGGATGCTAGGTACCGCTCCCTCCCACAATTTCTGCAGGCTCTCATTTCCAGTTACGTCGAATCCTTGTCCCTGGATATGTCCATCCGGAAGGCGGAGAAAGACGAGCGAGACTTTCGGGTCTTGGTTCAAGGTAAACAACGGAGCTTCATGGCCTGGGATGCCCGCGTCTCTCTCCGTCCAGATATCAGGTGCACCGCTCATCAAAGCGTAGGCTGCTCGTGCGCCTCTCTCGCGGCCTTGCCAATAACTTGCTTCCATTCCCGAATCCCCTGCGGTGATGAAGATTGTGCGGACTTCATGGCCTGATTGGATATAATGGAGCAGGTCTGGTGAAAGAAATAAGAGATCATCGTCTTGGTGCGCGACTATATTGAGGATCTGGCACAGCGCTGACCGAACGTATGCACTGAGCAGGATTCCTATAGTCAGGTAAGGCTTCATCTTGAAGAGAATTGACGGCTTGATACTTACAAGAGCAAGCAGGGCCTAAGTGGTCTTTATGTGATTGACTCGCATTCCACAGGGCTTCTTCATGCAATGTCTCAACTCCTCGAGGCTGAGTGCCGATACATACCGTACCTGGGATTTCTCTCTCTTCACTACACTGCCGAATGGTTGGCCCGATGAGGATTTGAGGCTGTTGCTCGTAATTGACGAGTGACGATGTCCGTAAAACATATTAGGCGCTCTATCCTGTCTCAGACCTTGCGAGGTGCTCGCAAACAAGACAGCCGCGTCAAGATTTGAAGAATGTGAGCGTTTTTTTTTCTTCGGCGCTAATCACGCGTCTGCCGACACGTTCAGAGAGGACAATATAGTTCTCCAGGAATGTGTCTGGCTCATTAGTCTGGATGGCCATTACTTCTGTTTGTTCCCTTCCTTGCCTCGCCGTCCATCTCATGAAGGACACATAAGCAAATTATAGCATCGAAAACAGCAACTGATGCTTTTGACTGTCGAACTATGAGCAAAAAACGAGCCTTAAAGCAGCGAAAAGTGGGTATGGTGTTCGGGTAGTTAGTATACCGGAGCTAAGATGTCAGTATGGAGCGGATGTTTACATCGTCACCGCTGGACGAGCGAGTTTCAGCAGTAACGAAAATAGACTTGAGTTATGATTTCCGTCAATTACGCAGTACAATGTAGAAGATGACAGTATATCCACGACCTTCGAAACAAAGCAACAACAGAAGAGGTGATTCGTGGTGTAGCGGGGCAGTTGTAAGAAACCCTTGCCGCCCGTGCTAAAGAATCTGCCCTCATCTCCACCAACACCCTCTTTTTTCCTCGACTCCCTCAACAGTTCCCACTTCTTAACCGACACAATGGCAATCCAGTAAGACTTGTCTTCTACAAGTCCCCGCGGACATGCGCTGATTCACCCTCCAGCTATCTCATCCTCCTCTCCCGGCAGGGCAAAGTGGTTCGTCGTCACCCACCCGACTCTGCGATCTGGCCGCAAGCTTGAGGAAGCTCGAACCCCCTGCTGACATCTGACCTCTGCCACGCAGCGCCTCGCAAAATGGTTCACGACCCTCTCACCTAAGGAGAAAGCCAAAATCATCAAGGATGTGACTCAACTCGTTCTATCCCGTCGGACACGCATGTGCAATTTCCTCGAGTACAAGGGTACTATTACAGCACCCGGCCATCGCCTTCCCTCCCCGCATTAGTCAACAGTGACTCACTGACTTGCGATTCTTACCAGACACCAAGGTCGTCTACCGTCGATATGCCTCGCTTTTCTTCATCGCCGGATGCGCTTCCACCGATAACGAGCTGATCACCCTCGAGGTCGTGCACCGATACGTCGAGCAGATGGACAAGTACTATGGCAACGTGTGCGAGCTGGATATCATCTTCAACTTCCAGAAGGCGTACTTCATCCTGGATGAATTGCTTCTGGCGGGTGAGATGCAGGAGAGCAGCAAGAAGAATGTGCTGCGATGTATTAGCCAGCAGGATAGTCTGGAGGATATGGAGGTGAGTCGCTGCATTTCTTACTTATGCCGGGTATATGAGATGTTTGTCGATTTGAGTATTTGTATTGGAAATCTGGATGCCACTGCGGTTTTGAACGACCTCTCCGATCAGACTTCGATTGGCTTGATTGTTTCCCCCTGTTGCTCGTCTACAGCCTTCTACTACCCTCTCGAGACCGCACCTGCACCGGAACTTATGAAATCATTGCCTTTCACTGAAACGCGCTTCACGAGCCCTACCTTTACCGTCTACGATTGTATTCCCGAGCTTCACATTGATACCCCTCGATTCCTGTATGACGCTAACGTCTCTTCACCTCAGGTTGAGGAAGATGTGGTTACGAAGATCATGTAGAAGCCTTGTCACTCGATGAGCGTTTCTTTCTCTTACTGGTTGCTTTGTGGGTTTGCGAGGACATGTGTTATTGGCGTTCGGACGTATATAGGCGTTGATCTTCACTATACCACCCCCAGTGGCTAATAATACTACGTTGACTTGAATCAGGGCAGTCAGGAACTCCTCGGCAATCTCTCCAAGCAGGGTCTCCTGTGATGACGGACTTTCGGGTCTTGCATGCTGCAGTTCTCTGGTTCCCATCGGGACCCGTGAGGTAGGTGAGTGATATCACTGGCTGATTGCGGCTCCCACGTGACTCGGTCGCAACGCGCAACTCGAACCATCCCCCAGTCGACGGCTCAACATGATCACCCAGTTTCCCCCTCTTTTAACCCCCTCTCATCGCTTTTCATCATTATAATATCTGAAGTGGCATCTGTTGCTGTGAACAACTCAGATTCACCAACCCGTTGTCCGCCCCTCTTCCGCTGATCAAGCCAGCTGTTCCGCCTACCGGTCTTATCTCCGACAATCGGGACCAGCTGAGACAACAAAAGAGCCACGGTTCCGACTGTGACACCCTTTGTTGTAGCCAAATATAGTGTGTCGTGCAGAGAGTTGACTTGCGATACATTTGCCGTCTACATATAACACCAGCCTGGTACCGCTATTGTGCTGAGAGTCCACCTATAGCCCAAGATGAAGGTGAGCATTATCCGCGCACCAACAACCTTGCCTGACCCGACTAACGCCAGTGATCTATAGTTCCTACCTCTTCCCGAATTCGAGGACGTTACAAGTTCATTAAACTTCGATACCGCCGATTGCCATATTGTTGGAGGATGCGATCTGTACACAACCAAAGCCGCCCGGTCAGATCGCAAACTATACAAGAACATCGAGCATTCGCTCGAAGCGCAATATGAGTCAGTCCTTCGTCTTTCAGCGTCACTGTCACCTCCAACTGCGTCCGACGCAGCGGCTTCTTTGAACCTCTCGCGATCGAGTCCGTTCGGCCCCCTGAGCGACCACTCCAGTCGCCGCACCTTTGCCTACTTGATCGCGACGCTGAACGCGAGCCATCCGGATTACGATTTCTCACATGTCTTACGGCCCTCGGACTTCCGTCGCGAGCGGAATCTCAAGAGGGTGATGAACACGATTGATTCGACTCTCTTCAACCTCCGGCCACGTGAAGCGATCGATCTTACACCGCCTTCACCGTCAGCTGTCTCAGGATCATACAATGCCGAAGCGTCGGCAACATGGGGTCGGAAAATGTGGAAGATTATCGATGAACAAATGTCGTTAAAGGAGTGCGGGATCTACTCTTATTCGCCTGACGAGGACCCATCAGACGCGGACGATGGAGCGATCTGGAGCCTCCATTACTTCTTTTTCAACCGCCTGCGCAAGCGCGTGTGCTATCTCTACGTCAAAGCGATTCCAATCCTTAGCCATACACCGAGCGAGGGGCTTGCCACGCCAACAACGAAGAGAACATTCGACGACGGCTACTTCACCCCGGACCTAGGAACAAGCAAGCGAGCCCGCTACTGGTTTGGCGAGGACGCCGAAATCGACGAAATCGAGAGCGATAGCGACGTGGAAAAATCCAGACCAATGCACGCTGGCGGCGACGAGTTCGACAATTACATCATGAGCGACGAGGAATTCCGATCGCGATCCGGCAGCAAGGGCACCGTTCGCGCTATGAGTGAGGAAATCGCCGACTCGATGGAAGTTTGATGAATGACTTATGACCTAACGTTACCATTCACTCCTGTTTTACTGCCTGAACTCCAATTCTGCTTCGTTTCTCAGTACCCCCTTTATCCTGCTTCCATATCGCTTTTGTATGAGTCGTTCTTTTGCGAGGCGTTTCCTGCTTGATATTATCTACTCTGCATTCAACCTGCATTTCCAACGGGTTTGGCTTGGGGGCGTTTGGCGAGGTAGCCGACAGGCCCCCTTAACTACAGTACTTAATTGATGTGATTTCCTTTGGTGACCAGCCCACGCTGTGGACAGCTGTGGCGATGAGATGGCGTTGTTTCGTTTACTTTACTTCTTGTTGTACCTTATCCGAATCGACTTTGGACCTCCGTTCCAAATCTACTGCGTAAAAGGTCTCATGGAGTCCCTCTGGAGTGTGATGTGGCGACAGGACTCGAAGTAAGTACGGAGTAGGCCACTTCGGCTATCGTTTCGTTATCGAGGAACCTCAGTTGGCCCGCGCGCGGCATGGGGAAAGCTGTCCTCCCTCACATCAAACCCACCTTCAATTTCACAACAAATAAAGGAAGAATACCACATTCCTCCCTTCCTCCTATCTAGTTTCCTGTCACTGCTCAATCCGCTTTACTGCACATACGTGCAACCTAAACATCCACGATGGCCGACGAGGAAGAGCGCCTCAAGGCCGAGAAGCTCGCCGCGGCGAAAAAGAGGGTAATTCTCCCCTCCGACAGCCCTCTACTCTCCGAAAATGCTGTGAAATATAGTTTCTCTAACATGCCTGTGTTTTGATACTAGGTCGCCGCCCTCCAAAAGAAAAAGAAAGCCGGGAAGAAAGCCGGAGGATCGAGTACAGACGCAGCCAAAGAGGCCGAGGTAGCAGAGGCAAACGCGACGCCCACAGAAGAGGGACCAGCCACGGAGGAGAGCGCAGAGAAGGAGGAGGTGCAGCCTGGACCCGAGACGACTACAACCCCGCTAGATGAAGGAGAATCACCATCTGAGCCGATGCCCGATGCGCCGACGGGGTTAGAAGAGGGGGCCGGGCACGAACAGGCCGAGTCCGAGTCAACAGCTACAGACGCAGCGACGACGAAGCCGGATCCGGGGCCCACCCCACGCGCAGGACATACAAGGCAGCCGTCGCTATCGATTCAATCGAAGATGCGGTCGTCATCGTTCCGACAGCAGTCTGTTTCGCAAGGGCAGGGTGGTGGTGCGACTTCGCCTTCGCCGTCTGCGACGATAAAGTCGCCGTCGTTGTCTCTGCCGCCGCTTAGTGCGGATGGTGAGTCCGTGCACGAGGTGTACAGGAAGCAGGCGGGGCGGATTGAGGAGCTGGAGAGGGAGAATAGGCGGCTGGAGAAGGAGGTTGAGGAGGTTACCGGTCGGTTCAAGACGACGGAGGACCAGCTGGAGGATTTGAGGGAGGCGAGTGTTGATGTTGCGGAATTGAGGGAGCGGTTGAGAGTTGCGGAGGGCAAAGTCGAGAGGGTTGAGGAGTTGGTATGCTTCCCTTTTATCTGTTCTTTTGAGGCTATACGGATCTTAGTGCGATGATGGGCTAACAGTGTGCAGAAAGCGGAAATTGCGTCCCTTCAACGACAGAATTCACACCTTCAGACGAATAGACATCGGTCTGGACCGTCGGAAAGTCCGCCATCGGATCTCGTACAGCAGCTAGAATCCAAGTCCGCGGCGGTAGAAGCGATGGAGCTAGAAATCTCGAATTTACGCGCCCAAATCTCGACACAGTCTGCGCATGAGACCCAGATTGCGGCGTTAGAAGAGAAGCTATCACGCAGTGAATCTGCTCTTGAGAAATCACAACGCGAGCTCACAGATGCAAAGAACGCGTTGACACGGGCCTCTGAAAAGGCAGTCAAGGAGGGCGTGGACAAGACATCAACAGAAACCCTAATCAAGAGCCTACAGCGAGAAATCGAAGAACTGAAACAAGCAAAGACAGAGTCCGAAAAGAAGATCGATACACTAGAGAAGAAGCTGCAAGCAATCGGCAACCTACATAAAGAATCCGAAGCCCGGCATCAGACCCGCCTCCGCGAGAGCGAGAAATTCGAAAAGGAAGCGGCCGTCCTTAAGAAGAAACTAGCGAGCACAGAGAACGAGAACCTCCGCCTGAAAGAGGAGCAAGAAGCGCTTCGCAAACGAGACGCCGGCTCCGGCGGTGCAGACGACGACGCCATCGACGAACTAGAGGACGAAGAACGCTCACGTCTCCAGCGCCGAATCCGCGAACTCGAGGGGGAGAACTTTGACCTCCGCCGCGGAGTCTGGCGCGAGAAACGCCAGGAACTGCAGGAACAGGGCCACGATGGTGAGAATGAGTACGCCCCTGAGTACTCTCACCCCTCGGCCGCGAACACCTTCGACGACGTGGACCTCACTGGCGGAAGCCCCGAGCATTCTCGACGCCGCAGCATGGCGCAGAGACAATCGCAGCAGCAGCATTCGTCCTTCTCGACCGTGCTCTCGAGTGGACTTGCCGCGTTTACGGGAGGCACGTCACCATTCTACAACCGTCCTTCATCTACACAATCTCACGCACACCAACACGCCCCAGGGGCACGGGGAAGTCTCGAGCTTTTGTCAGAAGAAAACTTTGACGACGAATTCGACGAGGCAGAATTCGCCCGCGCACAGGCAGAGGAAGAGGCTCGCAAGCGAGTCGAGTGGGTACGAGGGATCAAGAAGCAACTCCGAGACTGGAAGGGATGGCGGTTGGATCTTGTCGATAGCCGTGCTGGGGCGGAGGGGGCCGGTGTGGGTATGGGCGAGATCTTCGAGATATAGAATCTACCTTTCTCTCTCTTGGTCGTGTTCGAGCTGAGCTTTAAGCTATGATTCTGGGGTCAAAGTCATGCTATCAGGCACATACACCTACTACACATGAACGCGACGGGTAATGATTTCGTCGTATGGTAAACGCTAGGAAGGTAGGTTGATAGCGAATAGCAGCTGCGTACAGTTTAATCTACACACAACAAACTAGCCAGGCTTCCCCGCCCCAAGGGACTAGCCAAACTGCTCCTTGGTACACGAGTGCCTCGATCTTCTAGAAGCCCGGAGCCAAGCTAATCTTAGACCTACGCCTGCGTCTATGGCTGAGCCTCACAGCTCCAGCTCCCTACTACCAACCGCCGCGTGAAAGTATGGGGGCCCGTGTTCAAGGTGATTTGATCGCCGCCGCAGCTCGCAGTCCTACAGGTGCAGCAGGAAATATGTCAGTTCTCGATCCAACCGGACTTATCCAGCTCCAACTAGAAGGCAAAGTGACAACTTACGAGAAGAAAGTACAACGGATTGGGGTTGGGGGCGTGTTGGCCAGTGGGAGAACACTGATGGATGAGGCGACTATTGGACTGAGCGGTTATGGGGATTTGTTAGTACTAATCTGTCATGTATGTAGGTTGACCAGTCTGGCTGGGGTGGCCAGCTGAGAGGGGTACAGGAGGACATATACATACCCTCCAGGATAATCAAAGCAGGTGCTGGAAGCCGGCCATGATATTGTTGCACCATTGCTGTCAGTTATACCAACCTGTGGCGTAGTGGAGGATGAAGTCAGTCTGGAGTATCGAGTACAGAGTAGCAGTACTTGGCTGTGGTTTGGTTGAAAGGGGAGGTGAAGGAGGGATAGAGGGCGTAGTAGCAGGAAGGGCGCTGTACAAATCCTAGAAGATCCTGCCCAGCTACGGATGGGGTCAGGGCCGCGAGCAGAAAGGCTGGGATAGCTGTGATAAGTTTCATTGTGGTTGAAGTTGGGTTGGGATGTACTTCTAGAGTGGTGCAATAGGCAGATGGGAGAGGCAAAGTTGGGGGCGTGCGGGTTTTATAGTGGGATCCAGATGTGTACGCACATACTCCGAAGAGAGGCACAATGGAGGGCCGGGGTATCTCTTCGGCCTTGAGATTCCCCGGACGATCAAGATGACGGTGAGGACCAAGTGAAGGAATGCTGCATATTTACTTCTGCGTGATGCAGATCTAGGGTCTGGGATTGACCAGTTAGGCACAGATGTGATTCACATTCCTTGCGCGTTTGCGCATCAATGGGCCAATACCTTACATGGCGGTGCCTTTCTAGGGACTTGAGATCTCGGTCTCGACTCTCTAGACTCAACTGAGCTGACCGACTGGGGGTGGCCTAAACCAACACGACCAGAGGGCCAACTGCTGGCTCTGCCACAGAAACATGCTGTGCTGTGAGCCAGGGTATTGTTTGATTAGCTCGCTCTTTTATTGGATATATGGAGATCAAATATTAGATACTACCTAGCCCTCGTGAGGCCTGCGAACAGATGGCAGTAGTAGATATATAGATTTGAGCATACGCATCACTTACACCTTGTATCTTAAAACATAAAATAAAAAGAAGATAATTCCAACTCCGACCCGATAACCAAACTGTAGATAAGAAAGATCACTCCTCTAATTTCCCATGCAAATACCCCTCCGACTTCCCACTCGCCCTGCGTTTCCTCAACTCAACGACCCACCCGGTTATCTGATAGAGCCAGCCCCCCGTAACAATGACGCCAGAGATTGTATTCACAAGCCGGATAACCAGATTTAAGAACCCTGTGCGCTCCTCGCTGATCAGCAGCAGGATTGGTTCGATGTTGTACTTGAAAAAGATCCCCGGGATTAGGTAAGGCGACTCTGGGATCGCCTCGGACTGGCTGGTTGCCGCGTACTGATTTGTGAAGATGAGGTTTTTGTTGCTGCGGTAGCTGTCGAGGTTTGTGTTTAGGGTTTCGGGGCGAACGTTTTGGTTCTTGGAGTAGATTGTGGGGACGACAGAGAGGAAATATTGGTATTTGTAGTAGTGGGATTCAGTTGTTGCGATTGTTTTGTCGAGCGGGTTGAGGATCGTTGGGTAGTGTGGGCCAAAGGAGAGTTCTGTAATCATATGCGAGAAGTTGAAGACTGCGCAATTATATTAGCCGGGGGCCGGGATTGAGGAAACTCGAGAGAGGTCACGTACCAGAATGATCCAAGTGCTTCTGCCCATCCTGATATCCATGCCCACGCGCCGTGATATGGAAATCGCCCTGCACCTTATTCCCTTCAAGACTCCCATAAACCCGACACGAATCGACCGTATCCCCCCTCCGGAGCTTCGGCCCCTTGGGGAACTTTCGATTGGGGTTGCGCCGCAACTCACTAAGCACATGCCTCGCATGCGCGTCTTCCTCCTGGTCCTTCAGTCTCCGATCATCCTCGCGACTAAGCGTCTGGTATTCTCTCCCCCCCGTAAACCCCTCGTAGTTGCGCTTGTCCATCCACAGCTTCCATGAGGTAGGCTCTTTCTTCAACATCTCCGAGGCAAGCACGCGGTCACCAGCTGCATCTTGGATGTTGATGTGGAGGGTGTCGCAGGGCATGCGGATGACGGCGTCGAGGTTGAGCTGGAGGTCGTGCGAGACACCCTTTTCGACGGTAAAGTGGTGCGCTTCAGTGCCACGGAGCCAGGTGCGGAATTCAGTGACGGAGAAGAGCGTGCAGATGGCGAGGATCAGGACGGTCCATTGCCCGCCGCGGCGAGAGGGGGTGGTGTACGAGGGCTTTGTCTTTGCTGGATGCGCGCATTGCGGTTAGTACGCTAATCAAGAAGGTTGCACGGGGGTAATTGCTGGAGGGAAAATAAGATATATAGTAACAATTCCTTGTATTGTCGGATATAAGTGAGTGTACTCACGAAAAGCATCGAATGTCTGGAGACCCTTCAAGGTCGACTTCTCCCCAAAGGCATCCTCGTCGAGGCCGTGGTCCGCAAACCCATTCATGACGATCGGCGTCGCGAGTGTGGCAGACTGAACAGTCAAGGCATGGGAATTGGAATTGGAGCAAGCGAATGCTAAGCAAGTTGGAAAGCAAGGTTAACCAGTGGGTCGGAGCTGCCAGGAAGAAAGAGCGAGCGAGATGGGAGAACAGGATAAGGCCAAGTATTCCGAAACAGTCTCCGACTCCGCAGCAAAACATCCCGCTCCAGCCTCGTAAACCCTCGCTTCCAGGTGCCTATTTTTCAACGCATGGCAAATTAATCATGTCTATTCGTTGTGTCTCTTTGTGTAGATATGTCCACGAAGCTTCTAAACAACGCAGGTCCAGACTCCACCCCTGCAAAATACAGCACAGCGAGAGACCGGAGGCCAGGTGAAGGATACATATACAAAACGGCCTCCGGGATGATCCCCCCGTCTATCTCAAATATAACGTCGGTCGCCCATCACAGAATGATGAAGAATAGTAAGCAATGCAAAGAATAAAGCCAGCGAGAAGGATAAATGCAAGGTGGTAGACATGCAGCATGTATGAACTCGGCCTCCACAGTCGTAACAATATCAGGAACCTGGTCATGTAACAAATCACAAATGAATAGAAGATAAAGACAAAATAAGTCAAGTCGTCGCAGGCATACAAAATATCAAGCGAGGGTATAAGAACAACTATTCTGCCTCATTCAGTGGCTCATCGAACCAGCAGTCAATGTCAAATCATAAGAGAATGAAATAAGAAACAGAAAAAGACAAAACCACAAGCGTCCCCAGCCTGCTATGCAACTGAATAATCAAACGAGTATTATTACAGATATGCAAGAAGTGAAAAGAAAACGTGAGTATAAAGAATCATTTGGGTTTCTGCTCCTCAGTTAGCCTTTCTTCGCCAGCTCAGGCTAGTCCATCAGCCGCTCGACCTACCAAGCTTGTCGCTGCCGCCGCGGTTGCGAGGTCCGGCTTTCCACTTAGACTGCGGGCAGAAACCCGGGGTAACGCGGATCCGGGCGTGGTGGTGGTGTTGGTGCCTCGCTTAGCTGGCGTTGACGGCGGTAGCCCGCTGACTGTTGAGTGACGCTTGCCAGAGGATGCTTTGATAGGAGAGCTATTGGAGGGTTCTCGACTGCGGACAAACGTGCCGTTTTTAAAACTGGTCCCTGGGGGTTCTGGAAGAGGTCGCCCTGTGGTCGGTGTGGACAAAGTGTTCACCCGCTTGCCAGGGGAGTGCGCCCCAAACGGCCTGGTCCGCGGAGCCAATTTGTGGCCCGTCATGAACTCATGTCTGAGGGCTTCGCTGGGGCTGAGCCGACGAGCGGGGTCCCACCGAAGACAGCGTGAGATGAAGTCCAGGAAGGCCTCGTCGTCGCATTTTAGTACTTGTCTGAGCTCCTTGGAGCTAGGCCGACGTCTTCGTCCCTTGGAGGAGACTGTTATCCTCGGTTTGCCCAGAGAGTCAAAAAATAGCTTCTTTCGAGTACTCTTCTCAATAAGATGTTTCTCTGGGGGTCCAAACACCTCCATAATGCAAGCAAGCTGCTCCTGTTCGTTCTCACCAGGGAAGATCGGGTAGCCGGTGTAGAGCTCAGCCAAGATACATCCCAAGCTCCACATATCAATCGGCATACCGTAAGACATACCCAGGATGACCTCAGGTGAGCGGTAAAATCGACTCTGGATGTATGTATAGACCTTTTCGTTCTCGAAACAGCTGGACCCAAAATCAATCACCCTGATGTCGGAGCTCAGAGGATGGACGAGCAGAATATTCTCTGGTTTAAGGTCACAGTGGATGACCTTCTTCGCTTGTAGGAGGGTAAGGGAAGAGAGGATCTGCCTCGTGAAACGACGGATGAGCTTAATAGAGAACCCCCTAAAATCGTGCGCCTTGATAAACTCGTAAAGGTTGATGCCGAGGAGCTCGGTTGAGATGCACAAATGTCCTCGGAAATAGAAGCTCTGTGTAAAGTTGACGACGCTGTGGCGGCGATGTGGATCCCACTCTTTGAGCTTTTGAAGGAGATTAACCTCAATCAACGCTTGCTGGTGAAATCTTTTCTTGTTGCGAATGATCTTAACAGCAACCAGGTTGCCAGTTTTGTGGTCAATACACCTGACAACTTGCCCGAAGCTGCCCTTGCCCAAGACGTCAATCACCTCATATCGGTAAGCCAGATGATCACCTAGGACAATGTTATAGTCTCCACGGTCATCATCATAACCAAAGTTTGCAGCCTGTGCATTGAGATCTCCCACGTGTTTCTTCGCATCCTGTGTTCCACAGAAGTAGATATCTTTGAAGTCAATGATCTCCCCACGTTCGAATATGTTGAGATGAGCGACCCTTAGTGCTTGGGCGGGTGTGACACGTTCTTTCGGACCAGCTCTCCGGCGCAAGTCATCCAGCTCTCTTGCTGCAGTTTCGAAGTCTTTTCGTTTGCTGCCAAGTCTCCGCATCTCCTCATCCGCAATCCTGTGTTCGGTCTCTACATGACTTTCACCTGAGCCCGAGGTAGAAGCCATGTTGGACTTGGCAGAGCTGATGATTTTGTGCACAGGGGAAAGTATGGAAGAAGCAGAGCGGTGAGTTGCATCACTCTCGTGAGATTCGCGAGAGATGGTCGGTTCTAAAGAAAGACTTTGTTCGCTGCTAAAGCTCGGTTTTCGAAGCGCTGGGTTCGCGACGTTCGACATGGACGATTGTCGCCTGGATTTGAGATATGCTGGTTTCAGGGTAGGACTCGAGTTCTTCGTAGTAGACAGATTGTTCCAAGTAGCGGACGCCGGAAGCTTCGGGGGAGGCATCAGGTCAGACTTTTTAGGGTCAATGCTGGTATTATGAGCCTGCTGGGGCTTGGAGTTGCTTCGTTTTCGTGACAAGGTAATCTTGCTACGGAGGGAGGAGCCGGAAACACCAGTGGTATCGGTGTCGGAAGGCGTTGAGACTTGGCTAACCGTCTCCGCGTTCGAGAGTGCAGACGACTGAGTTTGAGGACGAGGCCCAGTGAGCTTATGCGACTGAGCTATTCTTGGAGAATAGTCTGCACTGGGCTTCTGGCGCAGGTGATTGAAGTCGCTATTGCTCTTTGGTAATGTGTAGGAAATATAGGGGGATACTGTGCGAGCACCTCCAGGGTTGCCTTCGAAAGACGCGAGGGCACTGGAACTGCTAGCAGTCCTTAGGCCAATGCTGGAGGAAGTACTTAGGGCAAAATGAGAGGTGCTGCTCCTCGCCTGAGCCAGCGGAAGTGGATCCTCGTCATCCCGGAAAGAGAAGAAGTTAGCTTTGGAAGCTGTCAGAGGCGTACTTGGGGTCTTGGATATGAGTTGGGCCGATGGGGTCGTCGGGTCAGCTTCTTCCTCCCTGTCAGCCAGAGCCTCGATTTTGGTCGTCATGGGTGTTCCGAGAGGCAGTAAATTCAAGGGTGGCAGCTTGAGGGGCTTCAGGTTTGTCCTTCCGAATGCGCCACGGGGTTGTGGCTCGGCCTCTGGAGTCTTCAACCCGCGCTCGTCCACAGGTGCAGGTTTTGCCGGCTGAGCGTGAGAAAGCGTTGCATTGGAGTCGGGCACATTATTGGCCTTCAACAGTTCGATTTCCAATGGTAAGCTAGACTTCCGTGTGATCGGAAACTGTGGTTGATCAAATTCGCTCTTTGGAGACTCGTAGGCTTTGGGAATAGCCGGAACGGGTGGAACTTCGTCACCATTATTGACGGAATGCTCTACACGAGGTTTGGGAGTTGGAAGCCGAGACGATGAGAAATTTTGGGACAATCTCGTTTGTAACGAGCCACCAGAATTTCTGGCAGAATTGTAGCTCGTGTTCGAAGATAGAGACAAGCCAGAGCTATAAGATTTTCGATTCGGGTCTGGTGTGGTTCGTGTGGAAGACGGCGTCGCGCTTTTCCGCGGAATGTTCGAGGGGGAATGAGCGGATGAGCGAGGACGAAGCGGCATAGGTTCCGTTTGGCTTGGGGGCGTAAATGGCAATGGGTGCGATTGGGGAGCTATGGAAAGACGTTTAAGGCGTCTCGCATCCGTCGGGCTAATTGTCCGAGCACCGAGGCCGGTCGCATGAGGCGGCATGACCGACACTCGCTTTGCAGATGAGGAAGGGGTCATTGGTCTTCCTCCCTGATTCTTTACTGGGGTTCGAACAGCATTTGTGGAGGAAGACCGGGAGTGGTCTCCAAATCCAGTCGCCGTCAAGAAATGTTCGCTGGACTCGGTCGACGGAGGTTGAAATGACTTGGCTTTCGCATTTCGAACATTGGACGGGAGTCTTGCACCATGTTCCCCGTTGAGCTCGTGGTTCTGGGCCCGCGGACGAAGATAGCTTGTTTGGTCTTGTCGTGTCGTGTCAGCACTGGCTTTGCGAGCCGATAAGCTCTGTCGTCGCGCAGATGTAGTCGTTGGAAGTGAGCCAGGTCCGATTGATTTACGTGGCGCGCGCGGCGCAGGGTTGGTCGGCCCTTGATTTTGAACGAGGCTCTGGCGGCGATTGCGAGTGGTCGCAGTGTTTGTCGGCTGACGTGATGACAGATCTGTGGAAAGATTCTGCCCGATCAAGCTTTTGCGCCGTGATGTAAGATTCCTGGTTTGCCCTGATGCATTAGAATCGGCTGTGCTAGTCGCCCATGGGTTAGTTGGGTGAAACGAGGAAGATTGTCGCTCGAAGCCGGTTCCTCCGCTCCCAGGCATAGGAAACTGGCTTAGGCTTGGCTCTGCCATAATGCTATTGTGAAAATCATCGAAATTGACAGGGGCGAGAAATTCCATGCTATCGGGAGGAGTTTGGTTCGCGACGTTGCCCATGCTAGTTGACCGAAGGCTAACACGGGAGTTGCTGCTCTTTAGAGAATCATTCGTGAAATCGATAGAGGATTGACCGGAGTGGAGGACCGAGACGGAGCTGCAAAGCAAATACACATTAGATGCATTGGAACAATCGCAAATTAAAAATAACTTCCAAATGGGATGAAAGAACGATAAGAAGAGGAAGCGAACCTGCGTGACGGGTCTTGCGGCCGTGGACCCTGGGGCACTTTGTGGTCACGAATAGAGAGCCTTCTCTTGCTGAGGGCACTTAATCTTGAGCCAGCAACATTGTTCGAAGAGAGCGAAGAGTGGTCGGATAGAAAGGTGGTGGAGGAGTGTTTTTGTAGTCGCCTTCGTCCCGGCACGTCTAATAATCAAAATAAAGCTTGTTAGCCATTAAAAAACATCGTGGTATTCAGGAATAATCCCAGGATCCCCTTACCTCCAAAGGCCGCATTTTCATTTCCTGCAGGACTGGACGGTCTCGACTGCACTCTTCGCGACTGCCCCTTTCCTGCAGTCTGTTGGTCCGACAGCTTTTCCGGCATGGTCACACTTCGGTCGGGGAGCTCTGGACGCGGGGAATACGCCCAGGGGGGGGAATCGATGACGAAATATCAGTTGGGAATCAGTGTGAAGGCCCAATCATCAAGACATTCAGGTATAAAATGCCTCAATGCCTAACGAAGGAAAGCCTTGACCAGCACCGTCGCGCGACCATGAGCGGTCGTTAACGGTCCATCGCGGGGATAAGAACAGTACACTCTGTTCCAGGAAATAGCACGGACGGTAAGGTGGTCTAGATGTATCAAGGGCGAAATAGAGCTTGTAAGGTTCTTCGATGATCGATTCGGAGCGATATAGCCTGCGTCGGACAGTTGGAAGAGGGTGAGTTGACAGAGGAACTTTGCCGGGGCAGCAGTTCGCTAGACTTGGCGTTCGTAAAGGGTACAAGCGTATATAAACTTCCACAACTCAGGAGGAAGGAACTATGTTGCGCCCGGAGAGCACAAGAAAACCTGAAGGGGCGTAGAAGGATTCTAGGAGAATAAAAATAAACAGGTCGAAGTAAGCTAGGTCTCCGGGGCCTGCCTGAAAGCAAACAGGAGATGAGTCCGAAAGAAAAAAGAGCAGCAGTAAACAAGCACGCCGTCAATAATCTCTTGAACTGTCGTTCTGCCCCTGGCTCCTTTTTTTCGTGCCATGCTGGGGAATTTGGCTGCAAACAGCACAAACTTCAATGTACATCAGGATACGACTCGAGGTATTTCAAAATTACAAGCAGGGTTTGCACTTACGGCTGGCAGAGGAGTGTCTAGTACTCCGTACTTCTACTAGTACAACCATACATTGCTATTGGGTCAGGGCGGATTTTGGACCCAGAAATGCTGTTGATCATCTTTTACACTCGAAGATACAGAGAGTTGAGTCGAACTCCAATTGCCGACATATGTATGCTGTACCTTGAGTTATTTATGTTCTAGTACCTGTTTCTATACCATATTATACATGACAGCCTAGTGTAGTCAGTGTAGTGTAAAACTTGTTAGTAGGAAGTTTACATCGTGGAGACTAGTAGTACTATTCGTCACAGACGAATCGTGTGTGACCCTTCTAGGTATAATTGTTATATACGTGGTTTAGTCCTCGCTCATAGCGCAAGCTTTTAGATGCTAATATATACACTTCGACTTGCGATATTCAACCGACTTCATGCGAAGGTCTATTAGTAAGACAAACATATTCTATACAATCAGCTAATAGGTGCCCTACGACAAATGTTACGATTGGCCCTCCTTAATTGTTGCGACCAGTTTTTTTGGCCTGATGATATGGTGTGTAATTCTCGAAACCCGTGCGTAATTCCCAGAACCGCAGTAAGCAGCCTTACGGCCCTTGCCCCAAATCTTGACTGCTTTCCTCTCGGCTCAGCCCGAGCTCGAGCATGTGCTCGCGGGAGCAGTCGACCGACAACCACCAACATCTCTTCTCATCGGCTGCTGGAGATGCGGCAACACCTCGCCCCTGTGGCTTCAACCTGGGAAAGGCACCATGGACAAACAAACTGCTGATGCCTTCGCCGACCGCGATGACCCAACTCCACCTTTCCAAGGCAGGCAAAATGCGAACTCCGATGATCTGAATTCAAGCCGACATGGACGATCAGTTTCAAGTGTACGCCATTCCATGCAGGATAGGCTACTCACCAAGTACGCGCCTTACACCCTCTCTATTGTCTGCTATCATGCATTCCGCTGCACACTTACTCACTTTTTTGATTAGAATCCTACAACAAGTCATCCCGGTCGAAGACGTTAAAGATGAATCGGTATCGGTGGGCGTCAAGTCCGCCCCCGCAGATGCGAAACGACCAGCTTTTAGCCTACCGGTGATGGGCAACAACTTCCGACGGTTCAATGCGAGGTAAGTCTGAGATGATGACTTATAAGCGCCGGATCAGGACTAACCTTCATAGAATCGGGATCGTTTTCCAATTCCAAACCCAAGTCGAGCGCTTATTCAGTTGGAAGCAACCGTCTCATACATTCTCGTTCCTGTTCGTCTACTCCTTTATATGCCTCGATCCCAACCTTCTCGTTGTGCTTCCGATCGCGACTGTACTCCTGTTCGTCATGGTTCCCACTTTCCTTGCGCGACATCCTCCGCCACCCTCGACCTCAACATCTAGCATAACTCCCTACTACTCGTACCAGGGACCAGCATTGGCACCAGCCAAAACAATCAAGCCCGCACCGGAGACGTCTAAAGACTTCTTTCGAAACATGCGCGATCTGCAAAACTCCATGGCTGACTTTTCGGACCTGCACGATTCGGCGGTTTCGGCGCTTGCGCCAATGACAAACTTCTCAAACGAGAGATTGTCTTCGGCTGTTTTTCTCGTGTGCACGCTCCTAACTGCCGTCCTGTTTCTTACCTCCCATCTTATTCCCTGGAGGTATATCATGCTCGTCGGAGGCAATGCCTCGATTCTGTCGAAGCACCCCAACATCAAAGAGTTCCTTGACAATATTGCAGAGGACCTGGGTGGTGACAACGTCAGGTCAGAGCTACCTGCGCCCCCAGACCCGTCACAGTTACCTTTGATGCGGTTGCTGGGCGACATTTCATTGGACTCATTCCCAGAAGAGCGTGAAGTGGAGATATTCGAGATCCAATACAGGTCTCTGGCTCCGTACGCGGAGCAGGGCTGGGAAACATTTCTCTTTAGCCCCGTCCCATATGATCCACTCTCCCCTTCTCGTATTGCAGGCGGGACACCCAAGGGATGTCGCTTCTTTGAGGACGTGCAGCCACCGGTCGGGTGGGCATGGAAAAGCAAAAAGTGGGAATTGGACCTGGATTGCCGCGAGTGGGTTGTTGAGCGGATGATCACGGGCGTTGGGTTCGAAGTCCCTGGCTCACCTTCGGAAAGCGGTGCGGGCACTGATGAGATCGGAGGCTGGGTTTGGGACTTGCCATCTATTTCATCACCCAGGGGCGATGATGACGTGGCTTCTGCACTAGGTTATGAAAGCTTCTCCCAGAATCCGAGCGACAGGAGGAAGGCGAAAAAGAAGGGAAAGGAGAGGGCGTTTCAGGACATTGAGGAGAAGGGAAATACTGGCACGAATATCATGGGCGAGTGGAGGCGAAGACGCTGGGTTCGAATTGTCCACCGCACCAGCATGCCGGCTGAGAAGGGGAAGAATACACCTAGCGACGGTGATGCATAGATGTGTATCACTATTCAAATGAGAGTTATTCTTAGTCGATATCTCTGAATAAACACGGTTATAGGTATCGGCCTCTTCTAATAATGTCGTCAAATATGACAGGTCAGGCACCGTAGAAACCCTGGCCTTCTCAAATCCACCTGCTAGTCCACCCTTTACCCTACTTCGTAGAAACAAGCAACGCCATTTAGGTAGTATGTATACTCGAGGGATGTTGGGGAAGGTGCGAAGAACCACTTGACAACCTTATAAGAACCCTCAATCTCTCCAAAGCTCTTTGTCTTCAGCAAGCATCCTCTTATTACTACATATACTACTACAAGAAGATCCTTTATCAAAGACATTACTTTCTCCATTCCTTTAAGGCTCTTCGACAGTATGGCAGTGTCGGTTAATGCCAGGCCCCAACACCTAGGCGGCAGCAGCCAATCACCATGAGAAGTGAACCTATAGATAAATATTCACTCTGGGCACACCTGGATTTTTATGCTCAACAACAGGACATAGGTGGCTTTTAGCTTAACTCTCCCCTGGTGGTAGAACTCCCATTTCCCTACAAGCCAAGAAGTAAATGGTCACTGTGTTACTCTTTCTCCAGCTGATGAGTGTTGGTCACCGCTGTCAATCTGCAAGCAAAAACTCCTTTGGACGATGCTGAGGGATCATTGCTCAAGTACAGTTGTTCCAGTAAACACGAACACTATCCAACTTTAATGAATCATATTACTAGGCCAAAGTAGTTATATAGGTACTGGTACTTTACCACCAGATATCTAGGTATTTCTGGTGTGCTTGCAATTATCTATCTTTGACTAGCAAATAGACAGGCGGACATCCAGGCAGGTGTTGTTAGGTTCTGACAGTAATTGCCTCATTCTATCTTCTTGTTGTGTTACTCGTTTCCCTGGAGCCTTCAAGTTCCCTGCCTTCGTTTTACTCTTGCTCTAGTAACACTCACCAACATCAACACCTCTAATACCCATCTCTGTTACTCTGTTACTCGTTTATCTAAGCATATAAGCTCAATACCTTACCAGATATGTCTCTGCCAAATTCGGACGCAATTGCCTGTTACAAATGCTCTACTGCCGGGGTGACTATGGCAACGTGCCCAGTCTGTAAGGACTGTTGGTATTGCAGAACCACTGGAGAGCACGCTCGAGCAGCCTGTCCTTTAGCACCACCATGTGAGATATGCGGCATGACAGAGCACGATACGAAGCGCTGTCGGAAGCAAATACTCTACGTCAAGCCCCTAGTTACAGGGCAAAGACAATCTCTGGCAAAGCAGAAGATTCTGGTCCCTTCATTGACAAATGCAAGTCACGAGAATCCAATGCTCCTGAATATTCAGGTTCCCTCTCCAAGCCACGACGACGATAGATGGCTTGTAATACCAAAGGAAATACGCGATGTACGGACAAGCACTTTCCTCCAGCTAGCCCAGCATCTATGCTAATGTGGTATTATAGGATCTGTCTCTTGTGGATCGGTTTGTGTTTCCTCGTCTCGAGGTTCTCTGCAACACTACAATTGAAGAAATCATACAAGGAAAGCTTCCAGGCTCCAAGTCTTTACCATATACCAACCATATCAACGCGCGTGGGGGAACTGCGGCCGTAACAACCTCGCTCCTCCGATTGGTAAGCCCATCCATTCAGCGACTCGAGGGCCGAGGGATTACCCAGCAAATACTGGCCCAAGTCCGGAGTCAGCAGAACAGTGGAAGTCCTGGGAACCGCTGCATAGGCTATGCAAGCATATTATCTGATGATCGCTCTAGCCAGTGGTGGCGGCTGTACGTGGGCCAATGTACATCCGCAAGGCGCCGCATAATGTCGCAGCATACCCAGAACATCCTGCAGCATTCGACTGCCTCGCTCCACTATTTTGTGCTGTGGATGGGAAACGGCCACAGGTCAACGAGCTTCATCCGCCTGTGGGAGTTCCCTGAGTCCACACCAGCCGACGAATGGTACCAAGTGCAAGCCAATATCCTCGAAGCCGTGTTCTGCCGTGCCTTCAGGAGCCATCATGGCATGCTTGACCATCCTGATACTGGTCAGGCTACTGCCACAAGATACTTTGGCCTCAACGTCATGTCACCGCTCGTCCAGGGCTACGGATTGGATACCTACTTGAGGACGAAGGCCAACGCCGGTCCGGCTAGATCGCCTGACTGTCAAATCCGCCACTGGGCGGTCTTCAACCCAAAGCAGAAAAAGGGGGTGTCAGATAGATCTAGACGTCCCATCTTCCAGCGTGACTTTTGTGGAGCCGTGCGGAGAGCGCTAGGGGAGAAAGCTGAGCCGGTACTCGACTACCTCCAGCTCGATCTAGAGATACTGGATGATACGAGGCTAGCCAATACGCCCCCATATGTCGGAAACGTGAAAGCCCCCCTGGGATTCGTCCTAGATTACGAGAAAGTATCGGCGGCACAGGACACTCCCTTGGAGCCGACTGACAGCCAAATCAAGCAGCTTGTCCTTCCCTGGTCCCTCCGCAAATGTCTATTCACGGATAATAATGTGATAGCTTGGACATACAACTTCAGGGCACATACACAGCTGAATCCCGGTGACCTTGCTATGCTTGCTCGTAATAAAAGGTCCAGTCATGGTAACTCTCACAGAGCTATGCTGGACCAGATTCATGCAAGAATCATTTTCTTGTGTGGGCCCCGTGCCGAAAAAGCAATCCGTGAAGCCCTTAGATGCCCAATCAGATATACGTTGGAGCTGAGTGGATTCGAGTATCCAGTATATCTAGACGATGCAGCGGAATTTGACAAACGTCTGTATATAAGGATCCCCGAGCTTCCCGCTGAGATTTGGTCCAATGAGCCCAAGCACTCGGTCAAGCTAGCGGAGGCCCTTCGATTTGGCATTAATATTCTGGGTCTGAAAAATCTTCGGCCCTACTTCTTTGAGTCAAGCAGTGTGATGTGGTTTATACTCGGCCAAGCAAGAAGAGAGAGGCTGGGAGAGTTACCCATGACAGTTGAAACAGTTGATGAAGGAATCAAACTCTGGCTGGCGCGAAAAGGACTTGGCGAAAAGGAGGACCTGGAAAAGATCGAATATCTCGGCGGGTCTTTGAGTCGAGGACTGCTTATGGTCCTTCATGCGCTCTCAAGACGTGAGAAGGACGGAACAAAGGTCCCCCAAGCACGACTTCCAAGCAGTGGCTCGGAATCCAAAGTCCGCTGCCATGAGAATTTCGATGTCAGGAGGTACAGTGCTTTGACCGAGTTTGTTAACGACAAGGTTAAGGAGAGAGAGAGGAAGTATACCGATCTTATTGCAAACCTGCCGCAAGGACACCCAGGTATACCCTCTACCTTGAATCCCATACCTACTGTCGAGCGGGAAGCATCACCAGGCTTACCGAAGTATGAGGTGGTAGATGAGGATAACACCTCTGACGGGCATGACTTGTTCGACAATGAAGCGGCTGTTGCTCTCACTTCATTTTCTCTCCTTGGCGAAAGGGAAGCAACCGCTGTCGGAGAAATAGGATCACTATTACTCGATCGTCAGACTTCAGCTCATCACTCTGTCTGGAAAGGGTTGGAGAGACTGGGTCTGAAGAAACGCCTTGTCAACGAAAGCGCCCTCGAGCCTGAAATCGCAGACTTGACATCTCTAGTTGACTCTATAGGTGATCGGGAACTTATGGATCTTGATAAAGCTCCTCCATCGGATCCAATGGCGACCGATTATATGAGGCGGCGAAGACAGACTGCTGGCCGGGGGAGCGAGGCCCGGAGGCGAATCAACCCTAACAGTGGAGTGCGAAATTGGCTAGACGAAGCAAGCTTGTTTAGAGACAAGGTGTACGAGTACACGTTTAACGACAATACAAGGGGGAACAATCGACAAATTCGAATAGGCCATTGTCCTATCTACCTCGACCGACATGTTGACATAGGTGATGGGAGGTTTTGGATCCGAATTGAGATTTATGACGACGAAAAACGACACCCGAGCGTCTATGCAACCTCTTCGACGGAGCAAGATCCTGGAAAAAGGTTGGCCTTTTTGGTCAAATACTACGATTCCACGGGCCTTGAACAGAGCTTCTATCCTCAGCAGAACGGCACATGCGCACTTTATAGGGCGAACTCCTTGGTAGATATCCTGCTGTATCGAAAGTCAGCCCTGGAGATACTTGAAACGCCTAGGAGGTTTCTCAGTAAACGTGGAGGTGGGGTTTATACTAGTCATCGATAAACTGTGCTGGTTCTGGGAGTCTTGATTGACAGCGTTGGCTGAAATATACTTTTGTACCTTTCGAGTACTCTCTTCAACTTCATGTACCAAATTCAGACAAATGAAACTAATCGAAACGAATTCATGACTTATCTAACATCTAAATAATTCTTAAAGTTTGATAGCCTTACCACATAATCAACTGACTTTTGTTTGGTACAAGACAAAGGAGTAAAGAGAGTACCTACTCAACTATTTTACAAAAGTAAGCGTCTACCTAGAGCAAACCAAAAAGCGAAAAGACATCATTGGTGGCCGATTGGCCTAATGGTAAGGCGTGAGTCTCGTATGTACCACCACCGCTTCAAAATCTTGCATAATTGTCTAACCTTCTCCAAGCTACTCCGGATTAAACTCAAGATTGCGGGTTCGATCCCCGTGTCGGTCGTTTTTTTTTTTTTTCACCTCTAAATTTAAACTTGTCGTTTTTGTTGCTCACGTGCTTTTCTCTTGATGTTTGTCGGCCACCCCTCTTAGATCATACCCATAGGATATCCCATACTGTGGTTGTATCTTGTCCCTTACGCTGCTATATGGAACCGAAATCCGAGCCTGCTGAAAGTCTAAGGTAACAACATCATCATGACAAACTATAGTACTATCTCGAGCAAGTTTGTTTGCTCCTTTGAGGGTAAAAGGAAAACCATATCCAAGCTGCAATACAGGATTCAAACATGATGAATATTCTACTGTCGATGATGTGATAACGCATGTGCATGATGGCCCTAATATTAATATGTATTGGGGACTGCTGCACACACTGTGGCACCAGCCTCCTCTCCGCACACCCCACTAAGCCTAATTTAGAAGTGCCGAATGGGGTGTCGGGGCCCGCCTGCAGCCTGATATTTCAGGATTTCAACCACCCTCCTCATCCATCAGTAATGCCTCAAAACTGTTTCCTGATGAACAATTACTTAATGCCATCGGGAATGGAATATAGCATACTGCGCACCTGCCAAGTCATTTGGGTAACCCTCTTGACAACGCCTCCATACCACGTTACGTCAGCACTGACTATTCTGACAGGATTCAGCCAATGCTCGGTTATCGCCATGTGCAGTCGGATACTTTACCCTCCTCCCGGCGGCTGTCATCTCCAGCGCCTGGCTAAGCTATGGACTACGGCAACTGTCATTTGTACAGCGGCCGAGATGGGCTAGACCATTTGTGCAAGAGCTCCCGCCCAGTCCCGAGATTCCTCTAGATCAGACGAAACATCGTCTGGGCTGGGTCATAGCTCTCTTGGCAATATCTATACTTGGGTCGGCTGCTGAGTTGAGCAAGGTCATTCTCGATGGGCCTAATCTGGCTAATTGTACTTTGCTTTCTTCGTGGGTAAGTAGATACTCATTTTAGAACGGATGGGGCCTAATGTGTATCAAGATTTCCACTGCACTTCTCGCTGCTACTGAGCGGCCGAGAACATGCCCGAAGCTGCTTCTGGTATACTACATGACTGCAGGCATTATGGAGGTTGCCTTCATTGCCAATTACGATGCCTACTTCATCTCGAATTTGTTCACCTACCAGCTCGCTGCTGGGGCCTCTCTATTGGGCTGCGCGGTCACTCTCATCATGCCGCTTCGCCCGGCCTCGCTCCCTCGTATTGAAATCAGCGCAGTGGGCCAGCAGCCATCCAGTGACTTCCGAAGCCCTGAAGATAACCTAAAGCTGTGGCAATTTTTCAGTGTCTCTTGGATGGCGCCACTGATGTCCATAGGCAAGGAGCGAAAGTTAGAGGAGAGTGACGTTTGGTTCCTAGGGTTCGAATTCCAGCATAAAAGGCTTCATGAGAAGTTTCGTCAACTGCAGGGGAGTGTCATTGGCCGCCTTCTCAAGGCAAACGGCATTGATATCCTTATTATTAGCACGATTTCGATCGTGCAAATGATCTGCGGTTTGATTATCTACCGCCCAGTATTCAATGACGCTTGCTGACCTGGTCAACAGAATTCTCTGCGCCCTTGCTCCTTCAGCAGCTGTTACAGGCAATGAAAGACGAAAACAGGTCCAATCGCGTCGCCTTGGTTTATGCATCTCTGACACTGGCGCTTGGGCTGGTAGCCGCACAGTCCCAGGTCTTCAATCTCTGGTATGGCAGACGATGCTACGAGCGCAGCCGGGGTGAGATGATGATGATGGTATACGAGAAAGCGCTTTTGAGGAAAAATGTATTCGACCAACGTGCCGAAGAAAATGGTGATGAAACCGAACCACAAGAGGAGGAGATTGTGGACGATCTTCCCAAGAAAAAGTCTGGTCTCTGGAGCTTCCTTGCCTTTGACCGAGGAAACCGTAAGGACAAGGTCAGAACAGCTGTTTCTATGGGCAAAATCTTCAATATACTCCGCGGTGACGTGTATGAGGTTGCTCAACGGTTCTGGGAGATTGACTCTTTGATTAGCAAGCCAATTGGTCTGGTGATAGCCATAACCCTCGTCTGGAAAGTACTGGGCCCTTCATGCTTCTTGGGAGTCCTAGCGGTTCTGGTTGCGCAGTTGATAAATGTGTTTATCACACGCGCGCTGCTTCGGAGAGAACGTGGGCGCAGACAGGCGACTGATACTAGGCTTCAAGTCTCGTCTCAGTTTGTGGAGGCTCTCCGCCATCTACGTTGGTACGGGTGGCAGAACCACTGGCTTCGCCAGGTTATGGAGGCGCGGGAGGCCGAGCTGAAACTCCGTGTGGTTACAAGACTCTGGAGTCTTGGTATCATCATCGTCAATATGCTCGCTAGCGGCCTGTTTCCGGTGGTAGCTCTTTACGCCTATACTCTCTTGGCCGGACATCCGTTGAGCGTTGATATCATATTTCCCGCCCTGCAGCTATTCACCATGCTGGAATCCCGACTCAGAGAAATCCCCAGCTTGATCACTGTATTAATCAACGCTTCTATTGCTATGGAGCGTATTGAGGACTTCATGGCTGAGCCGGATAAAGAAACCAGGAATATCGCACCATCTCTCGACGATGCCCCGCTACAGCTGGAGAGTTGTTCTTTTGCATGGCCTGGCAAATCTTCCCTTGTTCTGTCAGACATTGACCTAAAGATCTCGCAAGGCCTTACTGTTGTACACGGCAAGGTCGGTGCTGGAAAGACAGCACTACTTCAAGCGCTTCTGGGCGAATTGGATAAGAAACAGGGCACCTCTTGCATCTCAAATGAGATGATCGGGTACTGTGCACAGACACCCTGGTTGCAGAGCATGAGTATTCGAGACAATATTCTATTTACCTCTCCTTATGACGAGCAGCGCTACAAACGTGTCCTGGACGCCTGTGCTCTCCTGCCGGATCTTTCAAACTTCAAGCATGGCGACTTGTCCTTCGTGGGAGAGAACGGAATTGGTCTTTCTGGGGGTCAGAAGGCGCGCGTTGCCTTGGCAAGGGCAGTTTACAGTACCTCCAGAATCTTACTGCTTGATGACCCTTTGTCAGCACTTGATCATAATACCGCCGAGTCTGTCGTTCAAAAGTGCCTTATGGGTCCTCTGATGGAGGGCCGTGTTGTTGTTCTCGTAACACACCGAATTCATCTCTTTCGCCACTTAGCGGATCAGATTATCCTTATACAGGATGGTAGGGCACAAGTGGAAGGAAGATCGTCTGCATCGTCGGCTACCGGTGACCAGATCAATGACTCTCCCAAAGGAGGTTTAAGCGATGGTGAGGCGACGGACGAGGCAGAGCTTGAAGATCACTCGGCCGCCGTGCCAACCAAGTTTGTCGAAGACGAACACCGAGCAGAATGGGGCGTGAAAGCTGCAGTTTACTGGAATTACGTCAAGGCCGGAAAATACCGATGGTGGTGTGCTTTAGTGGTCGTCATCACGATATACCGGCTGTCGACAGTTGCACAGACTTGGTTCCTCAAGGAGTGGGGAGAGGCTTATAACGAAACTATTCATGTTTTCGGACAGTCTGGCTCTGGAAAGACGATCTTCTTGAGTCCCTCGACAGCATTTTCAACAGTACAAGGGCTAACGGATTGGTCTCCTAAGAACCCCCTCGATGGTCTTCCTGCTCCCATCGAGAACGTGCGGCCATGGCTACTGGCTTTCCTCGGCATTATAACATTTCAAGCCCTCGCCATGCTAGTCGCTCGTCTGTTTATGCTTGTTATCGTGTACTGCGCTGGAAAGAAGCTTTTCCAAGAGGTGATGATTGGAGTCAGCCATGCTACGTTCCGCTTCTTTGATGTTACTCCTGTTGGGCGGTTGATGAATCGATTGACATCGGATATCGGAGTAGTAGACGGCGATATTAGCGAGCAGTTTCAACTCATCGCATTCCTGGTCATTACCTGGGTATCCTCGATTGCCGTCATCGCCTCGGTGACGCCAGTCTTCCTCGCCTTCTCCTTCTTGCTCACCGGTGCCTTCATCTTCACCTTCCTCCACTTCCTGCCAACATCGCAAAGTCTCCGACGACTAGAAATGGTTTCACTCAGTCCACTAATCTCCAACTTCGGCGAGCTCTTACACGGCCTGACAACCGTCCGCGCCTTCCACGCAGAGCCCCGCTTCCAAGACCGCGTCATCGCAGTCGTCGACAAGTTCCAGGGCATGGATCACTTCTACTGGTCGTTACAGAGCTGGCTCTCCTACCGCTTCGAAGGCCTTTCCGCGCTCTCCACCTTCTGCCTAACCGTGTTAGCCCTCTACACCGACGTAACGCCCGGCCTCGCCGCCTTCGTCCTTATCTCAGCCAACAGTTTCGTCGCAGCAACCCACGGCCTTTGCCGCACCTATGGTCAGCTCCAAATGGACTTCGTCTCCGTCGAGCGCGTCGACGAACTGTTGCACGTCGAACAAGAACCAGCCGGCACAATCGACCCGCCAGCCGCGTGGCCGAAATTCGGCGGCGACATTGTCTTCGAGGACGTTTGCATTCGCTACGCGCCCCATCTGGACCCATCGCTGAACAACATATCCCTCCGAATCCCAGGGGGCTCAACGACAGCGTTAATTGGTCGGACAGGGAGCGGGAAGTCCACACTCGCCGTCTCCCTCCTCAGCGCTATCCAGCCTGAATCCGGCCGCATCCTCATCGACGACATTGACATCGCCGAGGTCGATAAGCAAGCGCTCCGCACACGGGTGACATTCGTCGCGCAGGACCCGGTTCTCTTCCCCGGCTCGATCAGGCATAACCTCGACCCGACGGAGGAGTACTCGGACGAGGAATGCACCGAGGTGCTGCGGCGGATCTGTGCAAAGCGTGGCTGGGCGCTTAGCACACATGTTGATGCCGGTGGGCGGAATCTGAGCCAGGGCGAGAGGCAGCTGATTGGGCTCGCGAGGGCGGTGCTGCGGCGGAGCTCGATTGTTATCCTGGATGAGGCGACGGCGTCGATTGACCATGAGAGTTCGTTGGAGATTCAGCAGGTGCTTAGGGAGGAGATGAGGGAGTCGACTGTTGTTACTATTGCGCATAGACTGGAGGCGATTAAGGATGCGGATTATTTCGTTGAGTTGGAGGGGGGCAGGGTTGCGAGGGCAGGGTATGTGAGAGATATGTAGAGGGTTGATTGCGGGATAACGAAGAGGATACAGTAGAAAAATTGTTTCTGGATTGCGAAAGAATTAGATACAGCCATTCATTGAAATACTCATACAGATCGTATCCAGAGATAAGATGCCCAGACGACAAATCACAGCCCTAAATGCAGTAGAAAACGACACTCATTGACACCACCAAAACCCAAACGCACTCCATAGACCATCTTTCACTGGCCAGAGCCGTCGAGCTATTAGAAGTCTTATTTACAGGCACCGCACTTTCTTTCCATGTCGAATTTGGGTCACTGCTCATCGTGGTCGAAGCCCTAGATGAAGCCACGGGAGTCACCGTTCCAAAAGTCGCAGCAAAGACGCTAGTAATCGACCCAACAGCCACAGAACTAGCACACTTTGACTTTGTGGTGAGTACCACGTACGAAGAAATCATCGGTGTCCGAATTCCCGAAGTAGAAAAGGAAGTTGAAATCGAGGTCGAGACACTTTGAGTCTGAGTCGGAACAACGAGTACGAGATTCACGGTAAACACACCCCTACCAGGGTCACGCCCAGTAGCCCATGGATTCGAGCATACAGGGTTTCCACTCTCACTCTCATCGAGAGCACCACCGGTAGCTCCCAGAACTGTGGGCAGAGGCGCAAACCCGGCGAAACGTGTAGGATCAACCTCAGACACCTGCGAAGAAGCCCCCGACCAACCGTCGCGTCCCTCTTCACGCACAGATAGCCCGAATTCCGACATCCGCTGCAAGTAATCTGGCTCCAGTGATATACCCTTCTCTGTTTCGCTGTTCAATCCGAAGTCCGGGGTGGCATCATGACAAAGAATCGTCTCAGGGATATCGATCTCCAAGCCCGTAAGTGTATACCCAGTTCCATTGAACGCGCAAACAGCGTCGCCGGATTGCGAAGATGGTTCGTAACCTGGAATATTGCCTGGTGTGTTAAAAAAGATCCTTTATCAAGCACACGGGCTTAATCAAAGCTAGATCCTGACTGAAAGGGAAGAGCAAAGATCATGCATGGTGACTCACAGACAGCGGCACGTTCATATCCTGCGGGAAGAATATTCGATAACCTTCAACAGCACCAATGGCTATCAGCTAAAATACCAGAAAGGATGTGGGGATCCGATCTTGGTCCCTTTTGAAGAAAGGAACTAAAAGACGCACTCGACACGACAAGACTTGATTTGTGCGCTTCCCTCTGATGTGCAAGAGATAACAGAGGAACCATGGAGAGAGTCCACAGCGCAGTACTGCTTCCCCGGAATGGGGCAAGTGAATTGGTTTGTTTCGGCGTTGCTGGAAACGTTTATCGCACCGTACGTCAGTGGTGCCCTTTTCTATGGAAACAGACTGGAGGAACTTGGGCTTACTATCCGATCTGGGCGTGGGTGAGGAGTGGGGTTGTCAAGGCGAGGGCGAGGAGAGGGAAGAGAGGCACCATGACTGCTAGCTTGATTCAAGTCCTCTGAGTGAAGTGATTGAAAAGACTTTGTCGGAGGAAGACAAGGGTAGAGGATAGAGGATGGAGATATTACGAGGCTCCATGCTGGAGGGTTCGAACGCGTATCACGGAAATCTGACAGGCCTAGTATTTTGAGCACATTTACGAAACCAAGACTCCATGGACCTCACTGGCCTGGATTCCAGCTGCCATGGTATGATTTCTGGCCCGCCCAGGTGGGTGGTGCCTTGCACGTTCGTGGGCAGGATTGAATCAACCCCCCTCTTCAGCAGCCAACTTTGTTCATGAGTCCACTCCAGCATACTGTTGAGGAAGGAGGAAAGGATGACCGACGACCCTTATAGGGACTTCGATTGTTCCTGAACCTCTTCACAACCTTGAACCGTCCTCTTACTGTCATCGTATCTAGGGAAGCAGTTCAAATAAAACCATTGAAATCAATCTTATATTGATCCTTCAAGTCTCTTCCGTACAATACCCTGCGCCGTGTTCTTGATCAATCTTCCAGAATCCTCTTTTGTTGTCGAAACTGAATCTCATTCTTGTGATCACTCGCTCGCAGGCAGATGTCTGTGGCTTCTCTGCTGTTTGGGCATGTCGAAGCGTCCCCTAACGCAAAGTCTACAGACAACGTCTCGAGCGTGGTGTAAGTTCAACCCATAGCCACTGAGTACGCCATAAATTGTGGCTCTGACTCATGGAACATAGCGTTTATTCGGAATTCTCTTCCGTCAAACCTTGATGGTCAGAACTTCGCAGGGAGTTTTTTTTCTCCCGTTCAGATTCGCATCGACGATACCAAGAGAATAGTTGCGAATGATATGGGCCACGACCTCCTTTCCCGATTGCAAAACCTGGAGAACCTGCAGACCGACTATAAGAAACAACTTGACAAGCACATCCGTGAGATCGCCGAGCTTCAACAGCGCATTCTCCCACTCTGCGTGCTTCGAGCCAAGATTCTCGATGACGCGGCTAAGTACACTTGGAAAGATTCGAGATATCTGACGCGCCGCAACGGCGTTGCGCATGGTGGCAACATCTCGGAAACTCAGCCAAAAGGAATCTAATCGGGAGGAACCGAATGCGCAACAAGTAGCTGCGTGGAAACACGGATTCTTACTGTTGTCGGTACCCTCGTTAGCCTTGCGATGAAGCCAGATTTCTCAACCCCCCTCCCAAGGTCATCGAGGCTCTCAACAGACATGGAGATTGCTGACTACTCCAGAAATGGCAGCAAAATCCCAATCAAGTACTGAACAAATGTCAGGCTTTGGTTCGGCCCTGGTTATTCGGCCCTAAGCCCACCGATTACCTTCAGAAAGGACGGTTCCGGGAGCTCCCGCGCCTCAGATGAGATCCAAGCACTATCTTCGTATTGGACGCGAGATAGTGTTATTCGAAATGATAATGTTGTTTGATCCTTCTCTGCACAGCTAGTATCAGAGTCTCAGCACAAAGGATGACATCGTAAGACTTTGTTATCTGCAAAAACGACGGCAGTCGGTCGTGTAGCAGAAGAACGGTTAGCTGAGCGAGAAAATTGCCCGTGGTCGACAGTCCAGAAGCCTCTATGCTGGCATGGATATAGCAAGATATATTAGAGATAGCCCCAAACTCTGAGACATGAGATATGTATAGCGATCTTATGTAGTAGGGAACACACACTCAACAAGTCTAAGCCCCAAATAGACACTTTTGTCCTAAATCAACCTAACGCCATATTCGCCGCGTATGCGCTTGAAGCCCAATAATAAGTTAATCATGCCTGAGTTTTCTTCCAATTCTCGATCCTTCGCCGCAAGTCTCCTGGCGTTTGTTGCATCGGGTTCAGCTTCCTATCCCTCGCCATGGCAGCATAGTTGTCCCCATGTTGTTCAATCAATCTCGTGACCCACTCCTCCTCCCGCTTGCTCTGGTGCCGCGGCTTCTTCGGAGCCTGTCCCTCCTTGTTTGCTTGACGTTCGAGCTGTTGAACAATGTGACTTGCTGATTTCTTGGGTTGCGGGTTTAAGTTGTCGTCTTCATCGGATAGGTCATTCAGTGGATCATTGAGCGGGTTTGCGCGGCGGTGTTTGCGCCCCGCGATCTCGATCTCTTCCTCGTCGGCGCGGATAACACGGAGAATCTTGCCGGTTTCTGGATCACGTTCGACCTTCGTCTCGCCCACGGCGGCATTCTTCACGACTGCGTCGACGCTTCCCTTAATGTGTAGGGAGTCCTCGGGCTCCTCGAAGCCATTCTCGGTTTTGCGCTTTTCGGAACCTCCACTCGGGGCGTTTAGACGATGGACAAGGCCTAGGCGGCGATAGTTTTGTGTGAGAGTCAGTTTGCGATCCCTATAATTAAAGCTTGGTCAGTCTCATTTGTTCCAGGAGTCAGAGAGGGGGAAAACACCTACCAGTTCTCTGCGATGATAGCATTCCCCAGAACATTAATCTTCTTCTTTCCACTCTTGAGAACGCCGGTGCGCTTGGGCTTCTGCTTTGGCGCCGACGACCTGTTTTTCCGTGCCTGCCGGATATTTCCCATCTTGAATATATTGCGCGATTAACCGGATATGCGATGAATTGGTGGTGAACAGAAGCTGCAGAATAAAATTCGTTATCGCGGAAAAGTTGACGTTGTTTGCACAGAATCTTGGCGTGTTTGCTTCCTGATAAGCGACATCGGCCGATTCAACCAACTGCTCCGCAATCCATCAACCGTCCAGCTGAGGCAGAGTACCTTGTAGGAGCTCAATTTTGGGTCTTGGCTTCTTACGGCTGCTTCCTAATAATGGCTCTTCTTTCCTTCTCTCCTGCCCGCAGGATTGGTCTTGCGCTGGCCGTTGGCCTGGCTCTTTTTGCCAGTTTGGCCGCTGCCCGCGAGCTGTCAGTTGGCGAGCTGTCCGTCAGCCAGATTGAGGATGAATTGCAAGTACGTTGATTTCCGGCCTACTTGAATATACTGCCATATCTATCTATATATCCTGCCATTATCTTGCAATACTCGGGTGTTTTTTTAAGCTCGTCTAACAAAATCAGAGCTGCCCCCTCGTGGAGTCCCTCAACGAGCATAAGCGCGCAACCAGCCCCCAAACCACAAGCTTGACATCCAAGATCTTCTCAATTCTCTTCCCCGGAAGCCCCGCGGTGAACTCCCTTCTTGCAACTGTCTATATATCCGGCCCACCAAGTAAGACCTGATCCGCAATTGTCGCGTGACCCTCCGCTAACGCCCTACCCCAGACTTCCTCCTAGCCCTATGTCCCCCGAATATCGACCCCTCATCGCTCTCCGTTATGGTCGCTTTCGCTGTCGGAGGCCTCCTGGGTGATACGCTCTTCCATTTACTTCCAGAAATCTTTCTCGGCGAGGACTCACCCGACCATGTCCGTTTCGTCATGGTCGAGCCAAACCGCAACCTCCTCCTCGGTCTGGGCATCATGGTTGGGTTCTTCACGTTCGTCGCGATGGATAAGACCCTTCGCATTGCCACAGGCGGAGAAGGACACGACCACTCGCACTCGCATTCTCACTCTCACACCAACACCGAAACCGCCGTGACATCCGGAGCAAGCACCTTCTCAAACGCTGACCTCAAAAAGCGCAAATCCGCCAAAGACGACGGCTCAACAACCACCATCACCACAACCACTACAACAGAAGAAGAGAAGGAAATCAACCCCAGCGTCAAACTCGGCGGCTACCTCAACCTCATCGCGGACTTTACCCACAACATAACCGACGGCCTCGCCATGTCCTCCTCCTTCTACGCCTCCCCCACAATCGGCGCAACCACAACCGTCGCCGTCTTCTTCCACGAAATCCCGCACGAAGTCGGCGATTTCGCGCTGCTCATCCAGTCCGGCTTCTCGAAGCGCAAGGCCATGGGCGCGCAATTCGTTACAGCCATCGGTGCGTTCCTGGGAACACTCATCGGCATTGCTGTCCAAGAACTCGGCGGTTCTGGCTCTTCGGCTGCCAATGACCCGGACACGCCATTCGTCGGCCTTCTTGGGACGAGCCTCTCGTGGGGAGACATGCTTCTCCCGTTCACGGCGGGCACGTTCTTGTACGTCGGGACCGTCTCGGTGATTCCCGAGCTGTTGGAGACGGGCAAGAACAAGAGCGTTGAGATCCGAAAGACCCTTGTGCAGTTTTTGGCTGTTGCTGTTGGAGCGGGTATTATGCTTGCGTAGGTTTCCCTTCTTTTTTTCCTCGTCGACGCATAGTTTCTATTGCTAACAAAGGGTATCTAGGATCTCTTGGCATTAAGATTCGATTTTATGTGACATAGCTCCATCATATGAAATTTCGGGCTCATTGGTGGATATCAGCACTGATACCTGCTGGATCCAGCCCGCTCTGCATGAAAATACAGCGATTACGACCCTATTGGCTCTCTTCACTGAGTAATCCTCTGATATGAGAAATAGCGGACACACCGTCTGACCTATTTACCCCTTCACCATCCATACTCTTCTACACTGCACCTCGTACAAAACTTGACAGAAGTAAATAACGAAATTTACCAATACGATAGACTCCATGATGAATTCTACCACCGCCGACCTAGACACTAAACTACCATTCCCTTTCCAACGCCCTCCAGCCAAAGAAAAACAATATCCCACGTAAACAGAATATAGGAAGATGACGTAACCAGGCCCTGCGCTCAGCGCGCGGGAATGCAAATAACACGCACGACACCAGATTCTATGATAACGTAAGAGCAACAACAACAGCAAAGATTTTCAAATTTGAGGAAATAAATAAGCATCACTCGTTATAGTGGTATACCTGCGATAGAGCGTCATTAGTCCGTTTGTCCAAGGGGTTACTGGAGAAGAAGGGCGGGGGTGAACAGAAACAACGTACAAAATAATCCGGCAGCCCATGGACACTATATCCCAACCGTTTTGCCATCTTCGCGAACCCCTCCGTCTCAACGAGATGATAGAATGGAAATGCGGGGAACATGGCCCCGTCGCGATGCACGTCCGCCTTGACCATCAACGCTGTCCCGCCGACGCCATCGAGATCAATCACACGTTTCGGGTTGGGATTCTTCGTGTCCGCCTGGTAGGCCATTAAGCTGCGGTATGTCGGAAGTTCGGCGTACCCCTCGAGCAGGATCTCATCGGGTCCCATTGAGTTCGCGAGACTCTGCGCCGTGGAGCTGTCGACCCATGAGTTGAAGTCGTACGGGCGGACGTCCTGCTTCTTCGTCTCGGCGTTGTAGTACCGCTGGTAGCAATTGGGAACGATGACGGGGCGGTTATGCGAGGTCAGGTCTTGGATGAGAGTGGGCGGAGTTTCGACGACGTCGGAGTCGAGCCAGAGGACCCAGGAGGTGCTTGGTCCCAACGTTGTGAAGACGAGGCTGTTGCGGGCGCGGGACATGGACTCGCGACGGGCCTTTTGGTTCGACATCTTGTGGCGCTCCTTTTCATCCTGCGATTGGAGCGGCGGGTCAAAGTCCTGGCGGAGGATTGTGATGCTTGCGAAGCGGTTGGGGATGGGTCCCGTCGTTTGCGTTTTGCTGATGGCCTTTTCGAGCGCGGAGGTGGCGGCGTCGCCTTCTTTGGTGTGCGGGATTATGAACCCAAGTGAGATGAGCTCGTGTGGGTAGCTGAGTTTCTCGACGTTGTCCCAGTATTCTTGGTAGAAGCGTGCGAGCGGGGTGAGGATGAGGACGCGCTCGCCCTTCCCGGTTGCGTCGCTGGTTGTGGTGAGGCTGTTGAGGTCGTATTTGACGACTGGGGGAGGGGGCTGGCGGCCGTCATCGTGAGCGGGTTGAGGGATGAAAGGTTTCGTTGGAGGGGAGAGAGGATGTTCCGCTGTGTCTTCTAGTCGCGAATTTGTGGTTGTGGAGGACGAAGAGGAAGATGAGGTCGAAGGCGTCGGGGAGAATAAAAAGCAGAGGAAACCGAAGGCCAGCAGCGAAGCTAGCAGCAGCGTAATTGGACTCGTACGCCGCATGTTGCGCGCGACGGCCATCCTCGCCGATTCGGCAGCGTTCGTAGAGAGGTATACGTTGCTTCGTTGAGGTGAAATTGAGGTGCGGTCTTCTTCGTGTCCTCGTACTGGGTCACTCGTTCGGATCAGCAGCGGCGGTCTCTCGTTGCCCGTTATTCAGAAATTCAAGTCGCAAGGTCCAGTACCGGAGGCATCTCCAGGTCGTGTAAAAGAGTGGACGTCCCTGGACTCTGGCCTAGGGGTGCGGTTTGGTGAGCGAGCGTAAGGTCGAGCCGAGCCGGAGTTGAGAAAGTCGGAGATGACGAACCCAATCTTGATGATCTGCTATCCGCAACGGGAATTTCGGCGATCTATATTTGGACACTACAACTGCTACAGACGATAAGGGCGGTTGTTCTAGATCTATTTAGGCGGGAGGAATCGTCGTCGTGCGAAATGGTTTCCCACTATACTTCAGGCCGCTTGAAGTTTCGTCGCCGGAAGCGGAAGTCTCGCGGAGTCTTCTGCCATCACGACTCTCTACGCCAAGGCACCCGTGGACGGCAAAGTTCAACCCCTCCTACTATGAAGGACCTCATTGACAACTAGTAGAATTCGTCCATCAAGTCTAACTCTATAGACCGTATATATGCATTTGCACCCTCGACGCCAAGGAACCCGAAGCAATCCAAATCACCCATTATCTACGGCAACCAGCGCATCACACCCTCAAATGCAACCAACGCCATCGCATTCGCCGGGAATGCGCGCAAAAAGCAAGGTACGAAGCCCCTCCAGTACCCTCTCCACCCTCGCTCCCGATAAACCGCTGCTGCCGCCTCCCTCCACCACCGGAACTTTCGGTGCCCGTCACCGAGAGCACCACCCATTGGATCTGTCATCAGGCGCTGTTTCACTACATCTGACGGGTACGACGTGATCCAAAAGATCTGCGCTGAGATACCGCCAGCCCAGAAGTTGATGGCTGGTGCTGAGAGACTTGTCCGCTCTTTCATCATGCGGCTTAGAACGTCATAGGAACCCCACCAGAAGAAGAAGAAGGATCGGAAGAGCATCGTTGCACAGAGGCCGCGGTAGAGGCCTGTTAAGCCGTGTGTGCGGAGCTGCGTAGTGTTAGCAACAGCAAGCTTTAAGCGGCCATCTTCGTGGAATCGCTTACAATCTTGCGAATGCAGTCAATTGGCCCGCTGTATAAACGCTTCGACTTGTCCGCCGCATACTGAATCTGTAGGCGTGCCTTGACATGCTCGACAGGAGCGGCTATGAAGCTGACCGTTGTCCCCGCCATGATACCCGCGATACCATGGCCGAAACTAGGTAGCGTATGGGGATCTGATTGATACTTGGCAAAGGGCGTGATAGCCCGCACTGAAGGCTTCGAGAAAATATTCTCTAGAAGTAATCGACGATATAATGTTAGGGAACCAAGCATTCTAGAACCTCGTTAGCCGTCTAAACCTTCCCATGCAGACTGAGGATCAGAGTAGACTTACATAGAGTCCATCATCATCCACCCTACCAGCGGCGGCGTTGCGCCCTTGTATAATCCAGCAACGCCCTCTTTCCTAACCGTCTGCAGCACGCAGTCCAAGGGACCCTTGAAATGTCCATCCTTGCTCGTTTGTAACCGAACTTTGACAGTATCAAACCTATCAAGGGCTCCGAGTTAACACCGTCCGGGAATCAAGAGTATACAAGTAGAAACGCATGCGAAAGGTGAAAACATACGGATGACCGACTAAACCATATTAGCTATACGCAACACACAAATGGAGCTAGAACCTTAATGACTTACCACTTAATTTAGCAATACCAGAAAACACCCCAGCAACAAAACCCTTGTAGTCACGTTTCGAACCCGTCGAGGCGGCCGGCGCCGCAGCTGTTGTTTTTGAGATATTACGCGACGACTCGGGCGAGTCGATGACTGCAGCTGTTGCGGTAGACAATGGCGCTGATGAAGACACCATTTTGTGTTATTTCTCTCCGAATTGATTGCAGCTCGTATGTAACCTCGTACGGAGCCTCGCACTGAAAGTCAGAAAGAGGTATAATTTTGGGTCCGTTATCGGACGGCGCGGTAGGTGATCGGGGAGCTCTGGCGACTGGACATTCGACGTCTATTCAGTGGGCGCGGCGAAACATCGAGGCACGGACAAATTGTTATGAAATTCACTCCATTGAAAGAGGGAAAGAACTTTGCTCTTATGGCAAAGAGAAAGTTGGAGAAATGCAGATCTTGAAGAGGGGGCTCCAGCTGTATGCGCTTGTAGCCCCACACCCCCCAGCGGATCGGGGAGCGGGTGCTCTTCTCCGGGGATGAGGTTGAGCGCACCCCTCAAAAGAGCTTCACGTTATATTGGACAAGGAACTCGTGTGATCATGGAGTTAAAAGGAGATAAAATACGCCGAGTAGTATGATTTAATTAAATCTAACCTGAGTCACGATCTAGAACTTGGTGCGGTCTTGCTGCATACTGTACCAGAAGAATATAGTCCTCTGAAAGCTGCTAGCAAAACAGTTCCTACTAATCTAAACCCCCATAGAAAATAATTCTGTCACTTAGCGTTATTGTTATTTAATGTCACTTAGTGTCTAATTTATAAATGATTCTCTATGCAAGGACAAAGTCCTGGTGCTGTTTGACCCAAGCAAGACCTTATGATTTCGGAAACAGTGCAGGAACAAGCATCGTGAACAAATGGAAACCCTGTGTGAACTGAGTCTGGCACGGATCAGAACGGGTAGAAATAAATTTGCAAAGACACGAAACGCGGGGTCCGGGTTCGAGAGTATAGCTGCAACAAGACCAATGCGGGGTATAATCATGGTATAAAACCGAAAAGCAGAAGCAGAGGCGTCGGGCCTGCCTAAGCAGAGCCACGGATAAACATCCAAAGGTTCGGGAAAGACAATAAACAGCGCGTAGCATGGTTCTATCATCAAATGGCCCGGGGGTTCTCTCTACCACCCTTTGGGAGCCTTTCTAGCCTTTTGTCTAACCTTCTCATTTTCGCGAGCAATCAAGCGCTCCAACAGATCAGGGGCTGGCGCCGAATGCTGATAGTCCCGTGAGGAGAGGTCTGATCGGTTGGAGGCGCCGGCAGAAAGATAACCATTCGCCTCTTCCAGCGCGAGGGGTGTAACCGGGCCTGGACTGCGAAGGGGGTTCAGGCGCGGGGCGGACGGGCTTGGAGATAATGGGCGGGATGGAGGCTTCTGGAGCACAACCCCTTCAACGAAATCTCGGTATTGTGAGATGGGGTCTCGAGAGGCCGTACCAGGCCGATAGGCATGTTGTCGAGATGAACGAGGCGATGGCGGCTGGCCATTCACAGCCTGTGAGGTGCCGGATGATTGATAGACGGCAGGATGAAACCGGGGTAGATCACCGAGATGGAAGGCTGGAGCGGATTTAGCCGTCGTCTGTACTCGACGAAGGGCTGGCTGCGGGGAGCTAGAACGTCCAGAAGAAGACAGAGATTGCGACGCAACCGAGGAGTAGAAGGTCGTGCTATCGGTGCGCATTCTGGAAGAGCGATGATCGATGTAACGACGACTTGCTCGGCTATCTCTGTGGCGGCTGCCTCTGCGGCCTCTTTCGTGTGATAACTCACGACCGTCACGGTGAGGAAAATAGTTCTTCTCGAATCGACCAGTCAAGGGGGTGACTGGAATATCCTCGCCGTGGATATAAGAAGCTGACCTGGGAATCGGGATAGGCCTTGACCTAGAGTGATGATGAGTAGATGTAGAGAGCTTTTCAAAGGAATCGGATAAGTCGGCGGCTGGTGATCGTGGACGGGACAACGGCGAAGGTGGGTTATAAGAGGAGTAAGTCGCGGTCAGTTCCTCAAGGGAAGATAGGGAAAAGCGAGTTGGACGACCGTGTCTGGCGATCAAGGTTTCTAATTGATCACGAGCGCGTGAGGGAGGTCGATAGGACGACGAGGATCGCGATGAGAGATTGGCTGAGACAATAGGATCAGCCGAGAAACTCCAACAGGAACGTAGGTAACGCTAAAGACGACATGCCACACGTGTCAGGTGGAGATTGTTTCAACGTCGCCAACGAGGGGTACCAATAAGATGTGCATCAAGCGAAGACTGAACGCTACCATTGAATATTCCTGGCAACCGTTGAGGGGTGTTTAAAGCAGGAAAGTGAGGGAAGAATGGTGGGCTCATGGAGGGGTCGATCATTTATTGCCGATCAAGTATGGCATGATGATGGCTATTTGACGAAAAGAGGAATGCACTTACTGCTTAAAGGAGGGACTGAGCGAGCGGAGCTGCAGGAGGATGGAGAGGTGAAAGTTGTGGTCGGAGTTGAGTAAGAGTATTCAGATGAGGAGAAAGACATCTTGTTATGTAGCGTGTCTGGGTCCGGTGGATAAATGATAGAGTCGGTGGCGTCGGAAAATGCAATTCAGGAACTGGAACTGGCTAGGAAACGTTTTCCAGGAGTCCTCAAGTTCCTCAATTTCAAGAGGGAAAAAGGATGCGACACCCCCGCTGGAGCAATTGTTTCTTTTTTCTCTCTTCACTTCTCACACCTGATGATCGGTCTATCAGTCCCGCAACTAAAAACAATATTTCAAAGATTGTCGGTCGGTATGGTTGATTTCAATGCGTCAAAAGCAAGCGTGACCTAATTTTACTTCTGGTCAGTTTTTGCGGGGAAAGAAAGCTGCCATTCAGGGCATGGCGTCATCGCTCAGCGGTAATTGGCTGGGAATTAGCGGTACCGAACGGTAATGACAGTACGGAATGGCCCTCACCTCAACAGGAACACTTGGGCTGCTCCACTCGGCTGGGCAAAGGAGTTTCAGAAAGCCAGGCAAAGAAGAATGTTGATGACTTGAAACAACTTACAGCAGAAGAGGAATCCAAGAACCGGAGTTTGGAATCTAACAAACAGGACTTGCGGACCTTCATCACCTCAACAGCTCGAAGGGAGCACAAATAAGGTTCTTGGCCTTTCCTGCACACACTGGCAGCATGCTGCAATGAATAATAGGAGGACGCACTAAGAGCGCATGCAAGAAGGGCTTGAAATGAACATCACTCCCCGACGGACAGTCCTGTCTTTTTAAATCAACGAGCTGAAGAGCAGGCTCCCTCCAGCTGATGGATGGACCTGTTCAGCAGATACCTAGGAAAAGGTCTTCGTGTCAAAAACTCGGCTGACCAACCCGGTTTTGAGGAGGCAGTGAACTTGTGAAGAAAAAGAAAAGAGAGGATCAGAGACCAGAACCAAGGCAAAACCAGCCGTTTGACGCCAGAAACATGCCCATGAGTCGAGGTTTCAAAGATGGGTTCGAATGGGTCCATTTCACCCTCCATTTTTTCAGGCAAACGAGACTCGATTTGACCATTTGATGCAATCGCCTTGATTCTCATCGTCTCATGCGACCAAGGAATGCAGGTCATTATCTAGCGACATGATAGGTATGCATCCACGCATCGTCGATCATCGTCTACTCCAAATCGGGAACTACAGCTACCTCCAACAGGGCCAAACTACAGCTTCATGTTTTTTCCAAGTCTGAAGACTGTTTCAAAAGAATATCGCGACAACTACTGTCTATCATTGTTGTTTCACGAGGCCAACGGATACTTGCGTATCGACTCAAAAGTCGTCATCCATCAGCCACGCTAGGGGACACGATCAGACGACTCGTGCCCTCCATTACATAGCTCTCAGACCCCCACCTGAGCTTCAGCTACGTCGGTTCACGCGTATACTCTTGCGTATGAGCCTTTAGAGGAGCCTGCGATTACTTAATATCCAGATGAAGCTATTTTTGAGCACTCCGTCGCATCCGGCTGCTTACGGAGCCAAACGACACAACATTGTCTATGGTCCAAGACCTCAACATTAGGCGACCAAGTTGCCTCTGGTATCAAACGCCTTCCCCAGCTAAGTGGACGCTTTTTGGCTTTTTTTTTCTTATACTTATAAATATAATTTGTCACTAGCACCTCTAAATCAAGTTTTCTCTTTCTATTAACCAGTCATGCGTCTAGAGCTGGGAAATATTATCCATCGCCAGAAATGGCTATTGGTAGCTCTGGGGCTCTTTTCTCTCTCGAATAGGATGTCTGCGGGTCGGGCACTTACTCTCACCCTATACTCCACACCCCTTCAGGATGGTTACTAGGCAGCTTTTACGGTAGAGGACAACTCTCTCTCAAGACCACCACACGCCAGATGCAACTTCTCCCCTGAAACAAGATTACCAGCACCGAAGAGTCTTATGACCTTTCATCCCATCACGAGCAGTTTCATGCGTGACTCATGGCTTGCGCATCAGCCTCCTTGTAAGTATACGCACTCCTGTATCTGTTCTAGGAAGAGCAGCGCCACTCGGAAGCCGATACTCACTACTAGAACACCCCCACGCTTACCATTAGAACATTTCACTCTTCAGGCTTCGGGATTCAAATCGTACTTCTACATGCTCCTTGGGGCCGAATGGCGGAGATAGTATTGTTGCAGTCCAAACTAAGGAGCTCTAGATAAATGGCCAGCAGGAGATATGTCGTAATATAATAATTGTGAAAAGGGAAATTAGTATATACAAGTGTTATGCTGGGATAATGCATGTCTATAATGGATGTTATGTCTACATGCTTGCGTTGTGTGCGATAGTGGTGATGCTAATGCTGTAGTCAATAACAGCTATTTGACCACTAACTACTTGTCTACAGCCAAGTATTAGTTGGCATTGCAAAGATCATGATTGAAGATCATTCAAAACTGTGATATAAGGCGCCGTCTTCTCTGCATACCTAATTTACGTATATATATGACCATCTTCCTTTTTGTCTTCCACAACAGGTATTGCGTCAACTATAGGTGTAGCAACCATTAACTCAAGCAGCGAGCGCGCTACCTCTGCCGCAGCAAGGGTCGTTGTCTCCGCCACCGAATCGTAGACCGGGGCGACTTCGACAACATCCGCGCCCACAACCGGCAGCCCGCGCAGAGCATCAAGGATAGAGAGAAGCTCGCGCGTGGAGAAACCACCTGGCTCCGCGGTTCCCGTTGCTATTTCACTGAATTAGTCAAGGTTGATCCACTACAGAGAGGATCGAGACACATACCAGGCGCGAACGCGGGGTCCAGGACATCTATATCAACGGAAATGTAGACCTTGCTATTCCCGACTCGGGATTTAATCTCGTTCACGATGCCACTTACCCCGAGATAATCAAGATCGCGGGCTTTGATGATTGAGAAACCGCAGCGGAGATCGTTGCGTAGGTCCCCTTTAGGGCGGTTAACCGGGGCACGTATACCGACGTGAATGGAGGTGTTGCGGATCAGGCCCTAACTTGTAAGAATGGTTGATGTGTCAAGATGCAAGACGCCCTACCTCTTCGTGGGCTAAATGAAGAAATGTCCCATGATTGACGCCGCTGCGAGGGTGAGTATCGCTCTTGCTTGAAATTGGAATGCAACTTACGCATAGTGAGAGATTCCGCCGCCTGGTTTGGACATTAGCGTTACTCTTACTAGTGGCTGGATATATGCGACTCACCTAGCACCTTTGGATCCCAGGTGTCTACCAAGTCAGCGATAAACAGACAAACAGCGCCGAAACATACCAATATGACTGTCAAAATGGATCACAGACACCGGACCCCAGTGTGTATTAGTTGACCTTAAAGCTGACAAAGTGGTTGTATGATCTCCACCTAGGGTAATAATCCGTGGCGTGCGGCCTTGATGCGTGCTGTTCGTCTTCCTCGAAGAGGCAACCTGAAATCTTAGCCTTCTATACATAGTAAGGCGAGGTACACCCTCACCTTATGCGCAAGATCAAGCTGCTTCAGCGCAACAGTATTATCCAACCAGGTCAGTGGCGCATCCCCGCAGTCTACGAGCTTCGCCCAGCTCTTAAAGACGTTCTCCCCTGTATAGATACTCCACCCTGTGAGCCGGCGCGATCCCAGTCGGATGCCACCGGGTCCGTATCTTGCGCCAGGGCGAGCAGTGACTCCCTATAGTGGTGTTATTTGGGTCATCGTCGCACAGAAAGGGCAACAGTATACGGGCTTACTGTATCAAACGGGGCACCGAGGAAGGCGACATCGTAGGGCATTGCCTCTGCCTCGCTGCCCACGAAGCAATTGACATATGGCAGATGTGCAAATGTTGTCAAGCCAGAGAATTGGCTACCGCTGACAATGTCGACCTTCTCATCCTGTTCCAGGAAGATCTGGTTGGATTGGGTTGCTGCGATTGGGGGAAAGACGATTTCCCTTGCGACGGCCGTTGAGGCAAGTAGTGAGAAAGCTAAAGCAATGGCGTACATTCTGGGATCAACTCAAAAGACTCATTTGAGCTCAAAAGGAATGAATTGGGCCAGCGAGAGCCATGATTATGTACCTCGTAGGTAGATGGGCTTCTCCAACAGTGCAGACGCTATCTTATCGGCAATCGACCAAAATAGCAGTTCCAGCCGATGGAGAAGCACGCTCGGCCGCCGCGGGGTAGGGAAACGAATGTCCCTCCTTAATGCGATTATTTGATCAAGATGGCGAGATTGAGCAGAAGAATGAGAAGCGCGCCTTTTCTGGATAATTCGCCATCTCGAAGGTCGTAGAAGTAGCAATGTGCTCCCACTCTCAGAGGCAGTCTTATCTCAGAGCAAAAGCTCCCCGCAGCCACCCCACTTGACAATAATTTTCTCCGATCAATTTTGTCATCGGATGCGATTGACTCGTTGACTTGCACTACAACCTTCCAAGCAGATATGGTATGTCAGGGCACTGCTAGCTCACATCCACGCCCTATTCACAGCTAACAACCCTCAAGCCTCACGCAGACTCCTCATACTTCGGCTCCGCCGGCTCCAAAGCCGAAGTCTACACGCAAGTTCTCGACCAAGCCAAGGGCCTTGTAATGGGGCAGCGCAACTGGGTCAGGTAGGGACTAAAGCTCTCCTCTTCAGGCCTAGACCATAGTCTTCATGGACCTCGCTAATATACCGTGCAGCAACTTCTCCAACGTTGCTTCCCTCCTTTGGCACGCATACGCCGCGCTTCCGGCCCCCTCATCATCAGTCAACTGGGCGGGATTCTACATCCGTCGCGATAAGTTCCCTTCTCTAAGTAGCACAGCGGCGAACGATACAACAACAACACAGACAGAAACCCTCTGGCTCGGTCCCTTCCAGGGCCGTCCCGCGTGCCAGGAAATCCGCTTCGGGCGCGGCGTGTGCGGCGCTGCTGCCAAGAAGCGCGAGACGGTCGTCGTTCCCGATGTGTTGGACTTTCCGGGCCATATTGCTTGTGATGCGAGCAGTCGGAGTGAGATCGTGGTGCCGATTCTGTACAACGGGGAGGTGAGTTGCTCGTTGCTGTCCTTTTCATCTGTGGTCTAGTTCCTGAGGTGCTAATGAATGATTGCGGCATCAAGACTGTTGCTATCATAGATATTGACTGCGCGGTACCGGATGGGTTTGATGACGAGGATAAGAAGTATCTTGAGGAATTGTCGGCTTTGCTGTCAAAAAGCTGTGATTGGTAGGACGTGTCGAGAGAGTGTGTTGGTTGTTTTTCTATCTACTATTATCGTTAGATCAAATATATTAAGCACTCGCTTATGCCTACGCTTGAACCTCCACTTAAGCTCACTTCAGTTTCGTGAACCTCCATTAAACCACCATCAAACGTCCTTTCAACGTCTTCACTTAAAGACCTCTTGATTGATACCTCGCTCCTGTGGCCCTTTTAGGGCAAGCAAGCAGCTATGGTAGCCCCATACCAATACACGGCTTTGGCTCGAGACTTTAGAGAGACTGAAGAATAGAATACCATTCATGGCTCATCAATAAAAAGTACCAAAATCTATATAATTGTGATCGCTGATAAATAAACAAGAATAGCCCGATAAGTATGAAGCAACCCAAGAAGCGCCAACCGGGCATCAATCACAGTAGCAACGGGTGCACCAAATAGCCCATCTCCAGGGGGGCAAGGTGAATGTATAAGGAGATTCTAATAAATGTGAAGAAGAAAGTGACGGAAACGACACGAGGATAGCATTTACATGCTAAGCATACTCATCTGCCGCTTCATCGGACTATTCGATCCGGTGTCGCCGTCTTCGCTCGGCCCAAGGCCACTATCGGTACCGTTGTACCCGGCATCGGTGTCGATATCCCACTCTTCATCCTCGTTCTCTTCATCATCTGGATCCATGGAAGCGTCGCCACCGCTGTGCCAGCTTTTCTGGACTGCGCCTCGGGTGTTCCAGCGGAGAGCTCGCTGGATGCTCTGGAACCACTCTCCATTGTCGGAGACGACGGTTGGGAATGGGTATTGGCTTGCTTCGACGGTGACGTAGTCACCTTGGCGGAGTTCGACACGACCTTTTCCGTCGAAGGAGCAGTAGGCCGTTGATCGGGACCCAAATGGGACGGCGATGCGGAGGAGCAGAGAGTCTGAAAGGACCATGGGGCGAAATGATAAAGTGTGAGGGCAAATGGGGGTGAGGAGAATGCCGGGGATAGAAGGATGAATGAGTGAGCCACCAGCAGATAGCGAGTAAGCCGTTGAGCCTAAATGGAATCAGTTTGGTGATTGACCAGATGGAACAATGTACGTACCAGTAGGAGTAGAGAATATACAACCGTCCGCCTGGACGACCGTAAGTAGGTCATTGTCGGCGTATAGTTCGAGGTTTGACACGTAAGGCGACGGCCCTCGGTCAATGACCAACTCGTTCAGCACCTCGAACTGCTCGCCCTCCTCCACCGAGTCAGCTTGCGCTCCCTTGCGACGGTCTTTCCGGAATACTGTGCAGGTGAATCGCATGCGAAGATTGACTCTCATTCCAACATCTCCCATGATTGCATTGAGATGAGACTTGTAGTTCTCAAACTCGAAATTTGTCAAGAAACCCAGACTTCCTAATGAGAAACAGAGAATTGGGGGCACGATCCGCTGAAATAGCCACGATGTGAAAAGGACAGTACCGTCCCCACCCAGTGTAAGAACAAGGTCGAATTTCTCCGGCGAGGACCAACAGAGGTCCGGCGTCCAGTAGCGGAGCTTATGCTCAAATGCCTGGTTCTTCTCGACTAAGCCCTGAGCGTCGAATCGCTTGGAGTGTCGTAATTTGGCATCAACGTAGACATTCACTCCAAGGTCACTTCCATACCGCGGGGTCGATAGCAGCCACTCCGCAAGCTCTCGAGTTAAGTGAACGAGGCTATTATCCCGCGCTTTGGTAACGATCATCACAGTCCTGACAGCGCGCTTGATAGGTCGCCGCTGAAGCTGCTTTGAAACTTCCCGCACTCCGGTAGCTGTTTGTAGCAAGCGAGAATGTGATAGCCACTCATCATCGTCTATCTCTTCAAGCACCTTTTGTAGGTTCACCGCATCGTCAAACCGTTTGTGAAAGAAGCATGGGGATTGCATAATAAGGCGGGCGGTCTTCGAATCGCGATCATTGTACGAGCCAACCTGTAAACTTGATAGAGCGCGAGATAGTTTTGCTGTATTCGGACGGCGTTCTGTCTCCTCCGAAGGACTTGGAGACAAGAGGGTATCCTGGAGCCCCATGGCTGCCGCCAGCGGCACGTTGGGACTGGTGTATGCACCGGAGATTGGGGGCCGTGAGGCGAGGGCTTTCATGATAGTCTGCCGGGGTATCAAGTCGCAGGATAAGACGTTCCGATGGTGCCGCGGACCTAGTGAGGGTGTCGTACGGAATGGGAGGAAGGAAGTTGGAGAGGTGGACGAGGGCGCTTGATCTTCTCGTGCCTGGGGCGGATTCCGCGCGGCTGCGGTGGGCTTTGTGTGCGGTTCTTGAGAGGTGGCCTTCCCGTCAACTTCATTCGGAGTTTGGGAAGGATCTATGTGAAAGGCATAGTCGCGGAGGAGCGAGGCCCCAACGGTCTTTGAGGAGGTTGAGGGACAAGGGGATGGGTCTGATAGTGGTGGGGCTGCGGAGTCCGATGGTGGTGATGGTGAGCACGGCAGCTCGGAAACGTCCTGGGAATTTATATAATCATGACGGGGCGCGGGAAAAGCCATCGAAGAGGCTTAGGAACGATAAAATATAATCTTGCTTGACGTGTTCACAAGGGTCAGACACGCTGGCTGGCTGAGCAAGATTGACCTGTACTCCGAAGGTCTGACAGGAAGGAAAAATAAACTGGCGAACGGGCTGCAGGCCGAGCTCGGACGTATCGGGGTTTGGGCGGATTTGTAGTGGTGCAGATTATCGATACACGGTGTAAGCTGACCAGAGCTTAGTGGAAGATTACCGAAAAGCAACGATCAAGTCGTGGAAACTTTTTGGAAACGTGGAAGGGTTCAAGGCACAGTTTAATATCCCCCACATTGGAAAATGGCCGAAGTCCTGCGAATAATAATAATGGCGCGCGGAGGAAGACTCCGCTCCGGCCTGGAAACTTCCTTTGGTGACCTTATCCAAGTTTCCACGGCTCGACCTACGGACTATCTTCCGAGTTCTTGCGGGGTTCGACTTCAGGCTTCTTTCTCGCTATGGAAGAATATAAGGGCGTTCTTTACTCCGAACAAAAACCAACTCCCCTGCTAGCGTTGATTTGTAAATCATTACTCAAAAGATACGGGCTCTTCAGATGCAACCATTCGGCTATCGTCTGCCGAAACAAATCAATTATCTGTGGCTTCCTTGAGGCTGCACAAAGGGTCCAATCCTTATTCTTCTCTGCAGCACCGGGTAGCCCGGATGGCAATCTGGAAGCCTGGAGTCGAGTTCTTTGGGATGCCAAAAAGCAGCCACGTCAGAACATGAAATCTTCCACTCGAATTCCCCGCATTCAGAACCTTAGCCCCTCGTTTCTTTGTGCACATATCAGCTCTTCCACCAATCCATGTCGACACGGCTACGGATTGCTGCTATTGGGCCAATCTATCCCAATCAAGATCGGGAATCCTACTGACCCGCGTAACCTTGGAAGTAACGCACGGCAGCTGATATGAAGCTGAACCATTAAGGGTCTGATGAGAATAATCCGACCGCATGTGATATGGTGAGAGTGGAAACTCTGTGATAGTTGACTGCCACCGTTCGTTCCAAACTCGATGCGTAGAGTACTCAAGCAGCGTCGATTTTCCAGGCGTATTCGACATGTATACGATCTTCGACAGTATCGCGTACTAATCCCTCGAGTGGTTGAGAGTCCACAGTCTCTGTCATGGCTACATCGCCGTCCGAACCAAGAGCCGAGGTTCCATGACAGATCGTCAAGGCACGCTCGTAGACTCTCTCCCATGTATCAAAATCAAATGCGCCTTCGCTTTCATTCAGAAGGAGATGGCCTTTGGATGTGAATGCTAGGACGTGAAGAGAAGCTGCAGTTGTAGCGTCCGCACTAGACGGCTCGCGAATGATTTCACCAGACGAATCAACGGCCAGAACGGTAGCAGAGAGTGACATTGACAGAGGAACAGAGGCCGAGACCAATGCGAGGATAGATGTATGGAGGAGTGCAGGGAGGATGGGAAGATACTATGTTGCGATTGACGCGTTAATCATCAACTTCCTATCACAGTTTGTTTGCCAACTTACGGAGGCTCCTCGTCCAATGCTATTCCCGCCAACAATAGCCAATGTGATGACGACACCTCGCCTTGGATATCCCTTCTCCCGCCCAAGGATTATTCGACTCAAAGCACCTCTCAAGATGCCTTCGATGTGTCGCTCTCCAACACCACCGGGTGCGGTCCCTGGTTTCACAAAAACTTCGATAGTGGCATCCTCGGGTTTTAGAGCGTCTCGGCGGCCGGGAAGCTCGATAGGCGCATTGACCGACCCTAGAACATTTGAACCTGTCGCAGGGCATTTGTATGAAGCTGAGCCGTCGGCTCGGCTCAGTGGATGAAGAGAGGCAGTCGGTCCAACCATCGTGCAGTCTTGTATCCGGTTGGATAGGCTGATAACGACTTTAAAGTAATTAAGAGTGGATGTGCGAGGGAGAAACAGTATCAAATTATGAATTGGGAGGCGCAGCGGCGATGTCAATGCTTGGATGTGTTCTCAAGCTCTTTTGGAAATTTTGATCAACCGCTGGAGGGCTGGAGGCGGACAGTGCGGGCCGCTTCTTGATTGGTTGTTCATTCAATCAGCCTTAATGGAATGTTGTAGCCTCAGGTGTCTAGGTACAAAGCTTCAAGGTTGTTTTCAGGTCTTCAGATCAAACAATCATCGACCGGCGCAGAGATTCATGTCAGTTGACTAGGTATCTTGATCTGGAAGCGTCCAAAAATAGCCACAGTTGCTTGGCGTAGGGAGTAGGATACCCCCGTCAAGCAAGCTCGCCGAGAATATGGATTACGGAAGGCAAGACGCGTGGTATCGAGTCTCAATGGAAAGCTCAAAAATCAGTTCAAGCTCCGAGCAAACCGCTGTTCCTCCGGCTGCCTTTTCGTGGTTGACCTCGTAGCCGGCCGGTTGGTGCCAGGCTTCTGAAAGGTCAAACCCACGCGGGGGTTTTGAGGACAAATAATGATGCAAGAGAGTGAAAACCCGAACCATATGACCAATCGACAGCTTAGAGTTTGGATAACTGGCAGATGAAAGTGCTGTCCATACAAAAATTGAGGACAACTTTCACCTCATTTTGGAGAGTATCTATCTTAAAAAAAGAACTGGAAACTCGAGGCCGGCCGAGAGCATGGGTCAATCGAAGAAAGACCCGGCCCTCGCTTATACGCCATTGGCTGGATAATTGTGCTGGGAGCCTTCAGAATAGTATCATGAAAATGCCGAGTTCGGGCAAGGCGACAACAACGGGGACGCACTGAGGCAGTGAAGCTGCAGCATTATTGTCTTGGCCGCGAGGTTGTCCAAGACTGAGTCTGACCATTATTGGCCACACGAATGCCGCAAAGAAAGCGGACATTGCAAAGAGCTGGGCAAGAGTGGGACTGCACGATTCATGGTATAGGCCAGGCAGTGATCATCTTTGATGTCGGTGTATTAGAGAGGTCGAGCGACTCAAGCCCAGAAATGCCCAGCCACAGGCTGAGATGAGGGGCGAGTGTGGCGGCGTGAGCTCAGATATTCACAAAAAATGAGGGGAAAAAAGTGCTGCTTTTTAACCAGGACAGTAAGAAAGGAGAAAAGAAGCTGGAAACATGTACACGGGTATCATGTTGCTCGCCTTGAGACAGCTCTCCTGTGTTGAACCTTGGGAAGATCTTGAAAGAGGGAGTGGCTGCATAAGCTCACGTGCTGTAGGCTACCAGGGTCGAATCCTCCATTCCCAACGCTCACTGGCTGCCTTCCCTCAATACGCACTTCTCGAAAAGGCGTAGTGACATGATGATGGTGTCGAATCTGAACGAACCACGACTTATCGCCTGAGGCATGGTCTCCGCTGAGCAGTTCCCCAGACTCGTCCCAGCCAATCTTCGACGAATCTATCTGACACCCAAGCCATTAGTGGCTTGATTCACGGTTGAGATGCAAAGTGATTCTTGGAATACTGATAGTGATGCAATCAGCCAAGATGGTGATCCAGATTCCGCGAGTTTCTGAGGTACGATTAATGCTCTGGGACGTGAATGGTGCAAGCATGGCAACCCCTCATGCTGCCTGGTATTGTCCCTCCCCCGCTCCCAGCCAAGATCCCCTGTCGGGCTATAAAGGGCGTCCCCGGCATTTCCAGTCCTGATCAGCATTGTGCTGCTGGTCTCCCCTCTTCTTTGATCGCTCAGCCCTAGAGGTACTCGGATCTTTTTGTCTTTCCCAGAGCCGTTCAAGCCACTCTCGTCACACAAGCTCTTTCCCCGTTACCTCAACTTTAATTGAATGGGCATAGACACATCTCCACTTGATGTCGAGGAATCGACGGAGCCTCCTATATGTGCTTACTCACGGGAGCACAATTCACAAGACCATAATCATCCTGGAGATGTAAAAGACACGATCGATACCGAGAAGACTGCGCACTCGCAACCCCAGGCATCACCGAAAGAAGAGACTCAGCAGATTGAGACAAACAGCTGCCTTGAATCTGACCACTCAAGCCCGACGCACTATGCTCACACTATCGAACCCCCGAGCCTTTCAAGAATCCTCAATGTCAACCTTGAGTACGTTTCCTGCACTTCCTCAGGGATCAGAACACTAATCGTTGAAGTCATGGACTCTCAAGCTCTGAAGCCGCCGCTCGCCTCGCGCGAGATGGGCCCAACACGGTTAGGGAGATGGAAGGACTATCCGTATGGAAAATTCTCCTAAGACAAGTTTCGAACAGTTTAACTCTAGTATGATCTCAATCCACAGATCGTGCAGCCACCTGACCTAACGTTGTTAACTTTTACCCCAGATTTTGGTCATCGTTATGGGAGTATCCTTCGGGATCAACGACTATATTGAAGGAGGAGTGATTACCGCAGTGATCCTCCTAAATATCGTCGTAGGGTAAGAATTATAACCCCATGCATACTGCCCTACTAAACTTTGATAGATTCGTACAGGATTACCGTGCGGAACAGACTATCCTCTCCTTACAGCGGTTATCCGCCCCAATATGTAAGGTACTGCGTGATGGACATGTTACCTCTGTAAAGGCCGAGTCACTTGTGGTGGGCGATATCGTGCAACTTGCCGTTGGAGACATTGTTCCCGCAGACATGAGATTGTTTGATGGCATGAATGCCTCCATGGACGAGGCACTGTTGACCGGGGAATCTCTACCCGTAGCAAAGACGCCATACATTACCCTGACTGCTCGTGATATCCCAATTGGAGATAGGACCAACATGGCGTACTCCGGGTGTAGCACAACTCAAGGTCGAGCCACTGGTGTTGTCACCGCTACAGGGATGATGACGGAGGTTGGAAAGATCGCACAGCTACTCCAGGATAAAGCAGAACACGATGGGTCAAACCTAGTTGTGCGCTTGTTCCGCCGCTTCCTTGCTACCGTAAAGAACATTCTTGGTCTTCTTGGTACACCTCTGCAAGTTAAACTGAGTAAGTTTGCGTTGCTCCTGTTTGCACTTGCAGTCCTCCTCGCTATCATTGTCTTTTCGGTGAACGAATGGGATGTCCAAGGCGAAGTCCTCATTTACGGAATTTGTGTTGCTGTGGCGGTCGTCCCAGAGTCTCTTATTGCAGTGCTCACAATTACTGTCGCTGTTGGCACCAAAGCCATGGCGAGAGGTAATGTGATCGTCCGAAAGCTGCAATGTCTCGAAGCAGTCGGCGGTGTTACTAATATCTGCTCGGACAAGACCGGTACCCTGACGCAAGGTAAAATGGTTGCACGCACTGCCTGGATACCGGATACTGGTACCTTGACGGTCCACCATACCACAAACCCATTCGACCCGACAAGTGGTCTGGTTCGGCTCGACGACAAGGATTGTGATCCGAAAGAAGTCCAAGACGACAGTGCCTTGAACACATTTATCACTGCCCTCTCACTCTGCAATCTATCCACCGTGCACAACAAGGCGCAGTCAGTCGCTTCAGACACTGAGCCTACTCAGGCCGGTGAGGGCGAGTGGACTGCTGTCGGGGAGCCTACTGAAATTGCTCTACGAGTTTTCTCCATGCGTTTTGGGTGTGAAAAACCAGAGATCATCCGAGACAGGGGCCTGGATCTTCATACCGAGTACCCTTTCGACTCTTCAATCAAACGGATGACGGTTGTTTATACTAACCATCAAGCCAAGGTCAATGAGGTCTACTCCAAGGGAGCTCCAGAGGCGCTCATTGCTGGTCTTGATATCACTGAGCAAGAGAAAGAGCTTATCCAGGAAACAGCAGACAGACTGGCCGGGGAAGGTCTGCGTGTGCTCTGCATTGCGTACAAAAAGACGCCATTTGATGATGAATCTCAAGTGTCTCCCCGCAAGATGGCCGAGTCCAACCTGAGATTCGCTGGCTTGGTGGGATTATACGACCCCCCACGGTTAGAAACAGCAGCGGCAGTCCGGAAGTGCCAAATGGCAGGAATCACGGTTCATATGCTTACTGGCGACCACATACGAACTGCGACAGCGATCGCATCTGAAGTGGGAATCCTTGACCCTATTGTGAATGCGAAGTCGAGTCAAGTAGTCATGGCAGCAAAGGAATTCGATCGGCTGTCGGACGACGATGTGGATGCCATTGAACAGTTACCCTTGGTCATTGCACGATGCAGCCCTACCACAAAGGTTCGCATGGTTGAGGCAATGCATCGACGTGGAGCGTTCTGCGTCATGACCGGTGACGGCGTCAACGACTCACCCGCCTTGAAGCGAGCTGATGTCGGAATTGCCATGGGAAAGAACGGTAGCGATGTCGCTAAAGAAGCAGCTGATATGGTCCTGACTGATGACAACTTTGCGTCGATTGTTAAAGCCGTCGAAGAAGGGCGGAGACTGTTTGACAATATTCAAAAGGCAAGCTTCATTCTTTTGCCAGTTGGCGACTGCTAACCGTTCCAGTTCCTGATGCACTTGTTGATCTCAAACATTGCTCAGGTTATTCTTCTTCTGATTGCGCTCGCTTTCAAGGATGAAGAAGATAACTCAATTTTCCCTCTATCGCCTCTAGAAATTCTCTGGGCCAATCTGGTCACTTCGTCTTTCCTCGCCTTAGGGCTAGGCTTGGAGGAAGCACAGCCAGATATAATGTACCGTCCACCGCATGACTTGAAGGTGGGCGTCTTCACCCGGGAGCTCGTCACAGACAAGATGGTCTATGGTAGCTTCATGGGCTCGCTTTGCCTAGTAGCTTTTGTGATTGTTATCTACGGTGCCGGAAATGGTCCCGCTAGTATGGGACGTGACTGCAACGAAGGGTGGAACGACACCTGCGGGACTGTTTTCGAAGCGCGGGCTACAACATACGCAACGCTTACCTTTTTATTACTCATAACCGCATGGGAAGTCAAGCATTTCTCCCGGTCACTCTTCAACCTTGACCCGGACCGTAATCCGGGCAAGCTGTCCGTGTTCCACTCAGTTTGGCGCAACCAGTTCCTTTTCTGGGCTGTCATTGCCGGCTTCGTGGTCGCCTTCCCAGTGATTTACCTTCCTGAAGTGAATCGCGTCGTCTTCAAGCACCACGGCATCAGCTGGCACTGGGGAATCGTGTTTGGCTGTGTGGTGGTTTACCTCGCCCTGGTCGAGAGCTGGAAGGCAGTGAAGCGGCGATTCAGGATTGGCACGGGGAAGAATGCCACGCTGACGATGGAGGATGCGGAGATGAGGGCTGGGCTCAGGGATCTGACCTCGATTTCGCTGAGCGCCAATGCCAGCGTTGATGCCAGCATGAATGCGAGTGTGGTGACGGAGGGGAAGAAGTAGCTTCTTGTTGCTGCTTAACTGATGGAAGCATGCGCAACCATGCCATCTGATTTGAGGACGGGCTATCTACCGGCTGTTTCAACACAGCCTAACCTTGCTTTTCCTTTTGGGTTTTCTCTACCTCAAAGTCCGCAAACCGACCTAATTCACTCTTTAGATACTAGTGTATTCACATATGATGTTATTCCAATTCAGGCCTGTACAACCTGCAAAAAAATCAGATGGGATCGCCCCGGAGCCCGAGTAGCAGCACAGCGCGCATGACCAGGATTCCTCCGACAAAGCACCCAGTCACCGCTCCTTATCGCTGCGTTCCGTTTGACAGTCTGGCGGCTGACAGCCTCTGCAAGGAGGGGACAAACACACGCAATAGAATGCTTAAGACATCTTCATCCCCCTCATCTCCGCGCCCCAGCTATCTTCCGTCCATTCCACAACCACCATGAAAGTTCTCTGCCTTCATGGCCGAGGCACTAGCGGGGCCATCTTCAAATCGCAAACATGTCAGCCCCTAATTCGTGCTTACCTTCACACAAAGACACAAAAGACAGGCCAGCTGACTTTCAGGTCTCAAAAAAACAAAGCCTCGATCCGCGCCAGACTAACAGATCTGAACCTCGACTTCGACTTCCTCGACGGCCAGTACCCCTGCGCCCCCGCCCCGGGAATCGACCTCTTCTACCCACCGCCATACTACTCTTACGTCCAAGACACACCACCGTCCAACGGTACCACACCAGCAAACAGCTACACGATCGAGGCTATACACGACACACATGCCTGGCTCTCCTCCATCCTCGCCGAGCGCGGGCCCTACGATCTCGTTCTGACTTTCAGCCAGGGCGCCGCGCTAGCAGCAAGCATGCTCCTCCTGCACGAGGTCAACCAATCGCAACTCACTGCCCTCGACAGAGTATCTTCCAACGGTTCCAGCGACAGCGATAACCTTGAAGCCATGGCCGCAACACCCCCTTTCAAATCGGCAATTTTCATCTGCGGCGGCGCTCCAATCCCCATCCTGGAGTACATTGGCTTCCACATCCCGTACGCCACTAAAGCGCGCGACCAGGCTTCGCGCGCCGCACTAGCTTCAATGGCCGACTCTACCTCGATCCTGGCCTTGGGTTCAGCCCGCTGGACAGGCCTCGCTCATTCCTCTCCAGGTCCACTATCTCCTTTTGACACGCAACGCCTCCCATCAGGCTTCACATATAACAAGGAAGAAGAGATCCGGCGCGAGATGCGCGGCCCCGTGCAGATTGGGATTCCAACAGTGCACATTTACGGCGAGCGCGATCCACGATATGTGGCGGGGATTCAGCTTTCAGAGGTTTGCGTCAAGTCAAGGCGCAAGGTGTATAACCATGGTGGTGGTCATGAGATTCCGAGGTTTGAGGCTGTTAGTGGGGCGATTGCGGACTTGGTGAGGTGGGCTGTTAGGGCTGCGCAGGCGCAGGATGAGTGACGGCGAATTGGTGATCATTATTTATTGGCGGTGGTGCTTCGGTTTTTCGACGAGACGAATACAAATTGGGAGTCTTGGTTAAGTCTAGCGATATGATAAAAATGGGCATTATTGAGACTGAATCGGATAACGAGTTCCTTTCCACCCCTATACAAACAGTGATCTCCAGTCCCGGCCCCGGAAGCTTTTCCGGGGTTCTCCAGACATCCTCCGTCCCAGCCTGAACATGCGCTCTACATATATAAGAAACCAACGAATCAGTGATAAATACCCCAGGAGAGCATCTCCTCGTCCAACGCAAGGTCCCCAGCTCCGCTCCACCCCCTAAAAGCAAAAACGCATCGGCATCCAATCCGAGAAATCTCATTTCCCGCACTCGGCAAATCATCGGTCTTTGACCGACGGCTATTGAGCACCGAAGTATACATAGGCCGAATCAAAAATAATAACACGCCGTATAGCACCACATCGGCCGCCTCATATTATATCTTACTACCACAACTCACTATTACTGTCAAATCAATTCCGTTCCCATCTCGAAAACCCAAAAGACGGACCAAAATGCCGACCCCCAAACCCCGGATCCTGCACATCGGCGACCCGATCAAATACAACCACGACATCTACGCTCGATTCTCATCGCAGTTCGAAATTATCCGCCCCGAGACCGCCGACCGCCAGCGCGACGCCTTCAAGGCAGCACTTAGAGAAGGAAAATGGGGCTCCTTCGACGCCATCTTCCGGCCTTTTTGGAACACCGGCGGGGAGATGGGTCGGTGGGACCGCGAGCTCATTGAGCTTCTACCCAAGAGCATGAAGATTGTTGCGAGTGCGGGCGCTGGGTATGATTGGGTTGATGTGGATGTTTTTGCTGACCATGGTATTTAGAGCTTCCCTGGTTCTCATGCCTCTTGACATGGTGGTTGAAGAGAACGTGCTTGCTGATATGATATGGCATGAAAAGGAATCCTCTACTGCAACGGCGCGGCCGCCTCCTCGGAATCCGTGGCGGACATGACCCTCTTCCTCATCCTCGCCGTCTTCCGCAACCTCGCCTGGTCGCACAGCGCCGCCATCAGCGCAAACCCGCAACGCTTCCTCGACGCACACCAAAACTCCCCACTCACAGCCCGAAACCCCTCCGGTCACTCACTAGGGATTATCGGGCTCGGCGCAATCGGGTACACGATTGCCAAGAAAGTGTACGCGGCGCTGGGGATGAAGATTCTCTACCATGATTTGTTCAGGAAAAGTGCGGAGGTCGAGAAGAGCGTTGGTGCGGTGTTCTATCCGGAGCTGGATAGGCTGTTGGGGGATGCGGATTGTGTTGTTGTTGCGACGCCTTTTGCGGGGCAGACTTTGCTTACGAGGGAGAAGTTTGGGAAGTTCAAGAGGGGTGGAAGGTTTGTGAATATCGCGAGGGGGTCGTTGGTTGATGAGGAGGCGTTGGTCGAGGCGCTGGATCAGGGCCTGCTTGGTGGAGTCGGCATGGACGTACATGCGAATGAGCCGTATGTACATCCGAGGTTGGCGAGTCACCCAAAGGTTATGATGATGTCGCACAATGCGGGAGGCACGGTGGATACGCACATTGGCTTTGAGAGATTGGCGATGGAGAATATAGAGAGCTTCTTACTGAAGGGGAAGGCATTGACGCCGGTCAATGCGCATCTAATCAAGCCCAAGAGTGTGTTATAGACTAGTTATCATATATATGAATTGATTCGTAACAACAAATGACATGCGCAAGGCTAGATGACAAGAACAAAAGCTACCAGGTGAAGGTCTCTTCGTAGAGGTCTACCGTCCGGGAGTCCTGCGCCATGCGGACGGACTGTCGGACATCATCGCCCATTTTACCGGGTCCGCACACACTAACAGCCATAGCCCCTACTTGAGACTTCTTTGCAGTCTCTACAATGTGGCCGAAACATGGCTTTCCAAAGCCAATACTGACTGTTACACCTGGAGGTGCAGTCAAGGCCCAGGGGCTTTCGTCAGACATGTACTCCTCTCCGCTGGATTCAGCGTCAGTTACATGTATCTGGATAGATAGAGAGAGGCCTTGGGGCTGGTAAGGGTGCTGCGGCTTGCAGCGTAGAGAGGGATGGTCGAATAGAGATACTATCCAGGGGTGGATCCAAGACAGGTGGTCTGTATCGTCAGTAATTGACCTTGGCACAATAGTAGAAGAACATACCGAGACTCCGGATCACCCAAATCAGGCTCATTTTCCGCACGGCGATAGTCCGCGCAGAGAATCCTTCTACAAACTCATGCAAGTATGATATTGGGTGAGTGATCCCAATTCCACCTGCTACCAAGAGCACAGTTCCGTAGGAAGATAGGGAGTGAAGCCCCCCTATGAAGAGTCAGAGTAGAAATAACCATAAGTCCAGCTAACGTACCGAATGGCCCCTCTGCAAAGGCAGTTGCGCGAAACTGGCGTTCATCGGCATCCATGGCCTTACGCAGAAGCTTGCAAGTAAAGCCGTCTCGTCGTTTGATGAGAAATGACACAGTAGGTCGCTGCTTTTCATCAAGCAGCAGGTTGAAGGAGTCGCTAGAGTCTCTCTTGTCTGCAATGGTGTTCTCCTCTGAAGCCGTCCAAGCCACTGAGAACGGGTGAGAAGTCCAGAGCCCTAACTTCGGAACGTAGAGGTACATGTACTGTCCTGGCTTGAATTTCCAGGTCCTAGCAACGGCAACATTCACTCGAGCAACATTTCCGGGAAGCAGTTCAACATTGGCAACAGTGTGTTGCTTACCCCAGTTGCGCCAGATGAGGCTGAGTAGACGAGCGGCCCTCTGGAGAGGTTAGTCGCCTGGAGTGTGAGCACAAACAGGAACTCACCTCTAATCCCCATAGAACAATTGTGGCAAGAAGCACGTATTGCTGGGTGAGCCCACGGACATGATACCATAGCCCCACAAATGCGGCTACTGCTAGGAGGATATGTAGGTGAAGGAAAACTTCGTAAAAAGCATGTCGAAGTGGCGAGACGGATTGAATGAGGATGAGAAGGAATGCGATAAAGGCCTAAAGAGTAGATTAGACAATGAGCTAGCACCCTTGTAGAGCTACTCACGACCATCCCATAGATAAAAAATGGGATTTGCCAAATGGCATTTGCAGTCTCCTGCATACTACCTGCTAACGTTAGAGAAAGCCCACTTAGGGCTAAAAACCAGAGAGAGGACTTACTTTCCGCAACTCTCGCAACCACCACACAAGAAACATGGACGATTGAACCGACAACCACTAATCGACCAACCCAGCGATGTACAAGATTGAAAGCATCAAATTGAGTGCCCAAAAGAGGAATTAAGGGATTGTTCCGGCCAGCGGTCAACACCAGCCCAGGCGTATTCATTACCGCAAGATGTCCAGCGGCGTACTTGAGCTGGTATAACACTTCCTGGTAATCCTTCCACCAGTCGATCAGAGAGACAAAAAAGGCGAGGTTTATCCCAATGTATCCTGTCAATAGTATGGTCTCTATTCGTAGTGGCACAGTCCCCATGTGAACTTTTCCGAGGCGGAATTCGCGACTATGGCGAGTGGATAGTATCGGCGCATAAAAGATATGTTTGTTGAGGCTGGCCATAAGGCCACTTCTCTGCGTGAACTTCTCTTGATCTTCGTCTCGAATGATCGCTCGAAGTCGTCGGCGGTGTTGCAGATTTATCAGAAAGCGCGCGAAAGACAGGATCACGATAGCTCCAGCAAGAACAAATAGCGGCGTCGCCAGCGCAATATTCATAGGCGGATGAACTTGATGAGAGCGCTGCTCACCATCATCTAGAAGGTCGACTCCCATGGTTTTGTCTCGGAATTCGAACGTCGGTTCGGATGTTGTTGTTGCGGATGTTGTTCGAATAGGAAGACCAAGGCAGCAAAAGCTGCACCCTGTCACTCATTGAACGCCACTAGAGGATCAACTTCCGGAGAAAGCGACGCTCAATCTATCTCCGGATACATATAGCTGATGAGTGATTCCGGATACAGGTGACACTTTGTCGTGACGTTGGGTGGCTTTCCTCGGCCTACCGCAGCGATGCCGTCATCCAGCCTGATCCCAGAGCCATTGTGAGTCCGGATAAGTCACAGGCCGTGGGGATCGCTACGTATTAGCAAAAATCAAGGCTAGACCGGGCATGCGATTGCAACCGAGAAGAATGTGGGGACGGCTAGAAGAATGCGGATGTTGTTATCCTTGGGACGGGGCGGGCGTCATCTCGGTGCGGTCGATGCAGAGATCTAGAACCATGGAGAGGGCAACTAGCACTCGAAAATGGTAGCAGTCATCTGAAGGTACCATACGTCGAGTGTCAGAACGAGACTAAGGTCGCGGGGGCCCTGTCTCCGTTGGAGGTGGTGAGGACGAAACCACATTCCGGAAACGGAAACCGGGTCGCTGCAGGTGAGCCAGAAAACGGGATGCGAACATCTATCGACGACGAATCATTCACCCAGGATATTCCCGCTCCCCTGACTCCCCTGGAAGTCAAAGGGTTCCAAGATCGAAGCCGAGTCCCTGTATTTGGACATGACGTAAGACTCGAAGCTGCAACAGACGTGACATGGAGCATGCAAATGCGTGGCAGACAGGGCGAGATGACTCAATTACGCGTTGTCCATATCAGCTGATGGAATTTCGGTATGATGGTGAGCTCTGAAAAACGTCATCAACCCCGAGATTTACTACTTCGCAAGCTGGTGATGCCTAGATGCAAGTGTAACAAGATGATATTGTAACCTCTTCGTCCTTCGACAAAAGTCATGTTATGACAGCTATTGAGATACGTACAGAAAGCAGGCCGTGTTATTGCAAGAGAGCGAAGATATCGCGGTTTTGGTTATAATCGATAGACGCCGTTTCCTAGGTTATCCCCCAAGGTCTCACAATATACCGAGTAAGATCTATATACCCAACAATGCAATGCGCCAAAGGAATTGAACAGTAATGATGATATAAATTAACAAGGCCACAGAGGCCAGCCATGTGATGATGTGCTATGTGACTGTCTCCACAGGCACTGCCTGCAGCTGAATGGGCTCGTCCTTTGCCGCCTCTTGACTTGGATCTGCCTGACCGGGACTGAGCGGGATAGAGGGCTGACTGGGTTCTTCGACTGTCTTTGGCCGCCGAGGGTGTTTGCTTTTTTTCTTGTCCTTGCGATGGCTGGCTTTCAGTTTCTCTTGGTGAATGGAAGAGTAGTCGGCGACGTCAACCCCAGCACCATGGCACAGAGATGTACATTCCTCTTCGATGACCTGAATAAGGTCTGTAGTGAATCCATAAAAAGCAGGGTTGTAGGCATTGCGAGCCCAGTACATAAGCTCTGACGCAACACGGCCGATTAGGGGAATTGGCTGTGGCGCGACCTCATCTCTGCGGCTGGAAGCTGGCTCATCTTCTGCCTCGTCCTCGGCCTCATCAGATGAATACCAAGGAGAGGTCCTCAGCGCAGGCGAAGAAGGCCGCGACGAATCCGAGGAAGACAGGTAGCCCGTGTCAGAAGCTAGGACATGAAGCAAGTGGTAAACAGCTGAGAAACCTAGAAGAGTCAGGTCGACAGGATCCAGCGGTAACTGACTGAACCAAGTAACGGCCTTCTCCATGGTAAAAGATTCGGGTAGCGAGGTATCGTTGCGAGATCGTGCGGTGAAGATGGCGGCAATCATAGCGCAGCGAACTGCAATGGTAATCTCTTCTCGAACGGATACTGGTAGTGATGAATCAAGGAAGTTGAAGTTCTGGTTCTGCTTGCTCTGGGATTTTTCCTTCGGCTTAGGAAGTGCGGAAAGCACAGCTCCAATGTTTGCGACGCGGTCTTGCTCGAAGAAGACAGCCTTCATCACCAGAGCGCGCGTATGAGCTGCAGAAGGCTGCGGTGCGACATCGACAGCAAGCTGTATTTTAGCCTTGAAAAGATCACGGCTCTTTTTGGCATCTGGGCCCCGTGCGCTAGCCTCGAAATACCTCAAAAGAGCTCGCTGAAGAAGATGGGAGGACCACCAGGCGGCGAGTGCATCCAAAGAAGACTGGATTGCTGGGTCCTCCTCGACAACGTCTAGAAGAGCCTCATCGCCGTCAGAGCCTTCTTGAGTAGGGCGATTCCAGGTAAGATTTGCCGCTCGCTGAGTGATGGTATCAATCATGACATCTTCACTGTCGCATTGGAGCAAAGTGGCGAGATGAGGTGGGAGGGCATTGGGGTGGTCTCTGGGCAGCTTTGCATTCATCTGTCGTGCCAGATCCCATTGATATCGTGCTAGCGCACGAGCAACATCATTAGAGACCTGGAAGCTCCATGAGCCTGGCACTCCAACCCGCCAAAGCAAAATACGGCAGTGGAGGGCCTTGAGCATCATTCTCATTGGACTTCGAGGTAAAGTCCCAGCAGCGAAAATTGTGAGCACTAGTCGACTCTTGCTAATCTCGGCGTCACCTCCGGACAGCTGTGCGTCAATGGCAATATCCCAGGACTTGACGCGCAACTTGTCATCCTCTTCCGTGATGCCAGTGAGCGAGGAATACAGTCTCCATCCTAGCAGACACCGTATCACATACTCAAAACATCGTGAAGTCACAACATACCACTCGTGGAAGAACCGATGTCTTGGTACGCCGACTTGTTGAACGCTGGTCAACCAGGCCTGACGTCTAAAGTTGGACGAAGTAAGCATCACATCAGGAGCTGTTGACGTTTTGCCAGAGCTCTGCCGCCCAGGGCCCGAGTTGAAAAGATAGACGAAGACGACGAATGCCGAGCCGACGACTAGTATAGCAAGGAAGAGGAAGTGCAAGATGGCCCTCGCGTGCCAAGTTGACCAGAAGTTGTGACCTACTGCATCAAAGTAGAGAGAGGGTGGAACTTCAAAGCTCTTGAAGTACTTGAAAGGGACCGCCAGCAGGCCCTTTGCTGTTGACTCGGTATCTTTTTCTCTGCCTAGTCCTTCAAAGACCATCAAGCCAGCAAGAGTACCCAGTACATATTTATTCGGATAGTTTGCGCGCCGACGGCCGCCGCCAGATGGAGCGGATCCGCTGCCAGAACTTGGATATGACATGTAAGATCGTGACCACAAATCGTCTTTTGCAGGCTCTGCCCGCATGCGCTTGAAGGAATCTGGAACTTTGATCATTCCGACCGAGCGGGAGGAGGAAGGGGAGTGGTCGCTGGGGCTATCCTCTGGGCTCGAGAATATGCTTGGAGAGGAGCTTGCTCCTGATTCTGTGGAAACGGTGTAATTGCTAGGGGACGACACGGAGGCCGCAGATGTTAGAGATTGATCGGCTGCTTTTTCGAGTTCGCGAAGTCTGATCTTCAAGGCTGTATTTTCATCTTCAAGTCTTTTGTTGCGGGTTTCAAGGTGCCGAATGTATTCCGTCGCTTTGGAGAGGATGGAAGCCTTGTTCAACTTGTTGGCTGGTGTAACACCCTCTGCGTCATCGTCATCGATGATGGCTCCGCTTCCTTTAGAGGCCCTAAGAGAAGGCACACTATCTCGAAGTTCAGCAATCTTTTCGTTCAAATTCGCTCGATAGCGCTTTTCGATGACATTGTGCGCTCGTTTCTTGGAAGGGACCTTCTTCGTATTACCCTGTATAACACCGCTGATAGTGGAGCCATCGTCGTCACTTCCGGACTTTCGCTTTTGCCCGGCACCTGTTAATGAGTGTGGGGATCCAGAAACAACCGAATTCGCCGAGTAGCCATCGGTACCGTCTCTGAAGATAGCTTGGGTCGAGATGATGCTTCCACGATCTTGGTTCAAGAAAGAATCGAATGGTATGTTTGTACAATCGAGGGGAATGTCAGGAGAAAAGTCGCCAGTTGGGAAGATGTCTAGGCCCTTGTTTTGTAACGCGTTGTTAGGCGAGGGAACGGATGGCGTTAATGGCAAGCCCTTGACGACGTCTGGGAACGTTTGGTCATCCCATCTCATCCACTCCGACCAATCCGGTGCAGCATCGTCTGATCCGGAATCTCCCTGTGAGCTCTTCCTGCCCCTCGACTGGGCTGGGGAAAAGAGCTGAAAGTCACTGCCCATGCCTGGGACAGCCATTTGAGAGGTTGAAAAGCAAAAAGTTGTGACCATAAACCTTGGCCTGGATTTATGGTGGTCGTATCTTCGCTCGTATCATATACTGGTCTGAAATTTGCTTACTTCGGTGACGAGTATCAGCATCAAAGTAGCAGCAAAAGAACATAAGGCCTCGTCTGGTGTTGAACACATACAGAGGATGGAAAGGCGGGCTTGTCAAGGACAAGGGTCGAGCCGCCACCCTAAGTTCGAGAGATTGATTGATGATCAACGCAGAGCGGACGCGCTAACGGGTCTGTACCGGTTAGATGTGGAGAAGGCTGATGGGAGCCACAAAGCAGAAGCCGTCAAAGTCGAATTGAGTCACTTTGACGTTGAGGATATCGATATCTTCATCAAACGCAAGGCATGTTAATCGAGTAAGGGAGATGAAATAGGACGGCGGACGGTACCTTTCTTAGGATCTTATCAAATGGTTGGGGCCCGCTTGGTTGAGGGCGCGGCCTGAATTAGGGACTAGGCACCGTGGTTCTCTCCTTCACATGGGAGATGTTAGAGGAGGCTATCGTTCCACCAGCGGGACGAACCAAGTGACAGGGCTGGGCTGTGCCTGGCGGGTTATTTGCGCGATACTTTAGTTCAAGTTGTAGGCCGTTCTTAAAGTCTCACAGCATGGATTGATGCCGATTCGTCTCCGATCAAAGAGGTCCGGGTGTTATCGACAATTGGTTATCTTGCCAGGTCCAAGGTGAACGTTTGGCCTCAAGAGCTTGATCCTCACTGCATCGACGACCTCCATCGATGAAAATGTCGACGTTGGATCTGAGCCAATAGTAGGTTGACGGTGGGCGTCGTATGATCGCGGGAGGTTGCGCTTCCGGCAGTCCGGCTCTTGATGCTGACGATGAGCGCCGTATTAGTGATACGGTACTTTCTGCTATTTACCAGAGACTGTAGGGCGGGTTTTCGTAATACTATGTACAATACACCCGCCTGACAGAATATGACGCAGCACAATTCTTGCTGCATAGCTGACTGCTATTTTCATAACTTTCGCTGTTCATAATCTTCATTAATCGCAGATCGTCAAACTACACGGCGGCCTCAACCTCAGCCATTCCTCCCATAAACTCACGGACGACCTTTTTCGCTCCCTCTGCCGGCTCCTCATACGGTGTCCTCGGCTTCAGCTTCTCTTCCGCTCCCTGAATTCCCGCAAGAGGCGCAGTGAATAGCGCAGTCGCATATTTCGTCGACGCAATTCCACTCTTACACGGACTCTCTGCAAGCGCAGCCTTCCTCTGCAACTCAATTGCCTCTGTCACCTTGCCAGCCGTATAGAGCGCATAAACTTTAGAAGCAGTACGCGGGAACACATTGGCAAAGGCCGCGATACAACCCGCCGAACCCACGCTCAACCCCCCGATCAAAAAATCAGACTGTCCACCGTACACCGCGAATTCCGTTGCGGGGAATGTCGCCGCCAGCCGTGTGATTTTCCCAACGGATGCGCACGTCAGCTTGACACCAACCACATTCGAAACACCATTGGGGCTCGAAGACGCGGATTCGCGCACGATATCCGTGATGGTCTCGGAATCGATGTCAACGCCATTGCAGACACCGGGGAAATTATACACCACAACAGGAAGCGGAGCCTTGCGAGCAACATCTGCGAAAAACCGCTTGATAACAGCTGTTGTTGTTGCCTTGCCAAAGTACGCTGGTGGAAGGACAAGCAGATAGTTTGCACCTGCGGCAGCTGCGTCTGCTGCAAGTTCAAGGACTTGCTTTGTGGAGTGTGCACCAATGCCGGCCATTAAAGGGAAGTCGGGTCCAACTGCCTCGCGGGCAGCAGCGATGAGTTGAGCGCGCTCTTCGCGGGTGAGGAGGAAGGCTTCGGAGTTCGTTCCTAGGATGACTAGGCCTGCCAGGCCGGTCTTAGATAGGTAGGAGTAGTATTTCTTCTGCGATTCTAGGTCAATGGTGTCTGTTCCGTGGTCGAAGTATGTCACGGCCGGACACCATACTCCCGCTTTCGGAACGCGGGGCTGTTGACTGACTGCGGGGGTTTGAGAACCCATTGTTGCTATAGCTCAGGTGAGTCGGGTGATGTTTGGAGACTTTGCGCGGTCGCACGGTACGTTCTCGCTTCGAGAGAAACAGAGATCTGGTCAACTAGCTCGCAGAAGTATCGCAATCCCGCCCTATATACGAGCATGGCTCATAGTATCGAAGTGGGGGAGCATTGGACAAGGATAATTATCCGACTCGGATGTGGAGTCCGAGCCTCGAGGAATTGGAGTAATAGCTGGCTTATCGGAACTCGTAAATCAGCCTTCCACGGACAACCGACCCGAGAGTAACGGAGATGAGCCGAGTTTATGGTCTGGCTGCCGTACTACATGAGGTATTCGCTGCTGATATCTATGTCCTACGGACGGGCTTCAGGGTATTTACTTGATATTCTTTATGAAGAGATATAAACCGAGATACGTGACGATGAGAAGAAACGGAACATATGTGTTGAAATCCCCTCACCAACTTCATGAAAACAAACACCAACCCATGCATGTCGTTTTCTACTAGTGCTGTACAGGGTTATTAGTAGACGACCATCTCATACTCAAAAAAGGCAACGTACCGTCACGTCCTCCCACTTCTCCCATCCACGTCCGCGCACTTGAGCCAGCTCTTCCATCGTATATGGCTTGCCCGTTGTGAAGTACCCAGCATTGATTTTGGCATCAATTTCGACCCTCGAGTCGCTGGGGATCATATCCTCAGGAATTGGGACGCGCTCGAGGATCTTGATTCCTGAATCAACAATAGCGTCGTGCTTCATGTTCGACATCGACAGCATTTTGTCGATCTTCTTGATCCCTAGCCAGTGCAGAATGTCAGGCATGAGGGCTTGGAAACGCATCTATGACAATTGTCAGCATCTGCATATCTCGCGAAACGCTAAGTTATACCACTCACATCTCGCACGCCAGCAATATTTTCCGTTCGAGTAAAGTATTTATCGGCAGTATCGCCACCACGTTTGCGGGCGTTATACACCAAGTACTTTGTCACCTCTCCAAGAGCACGACCCTCTTTACGGAAGTAGATCACAACACCACTGCCTCCATTCTGTGCTTCTCGAATCGCCTCGCGAATGCCGAATGCCAGATACGGTCGACATGTGCAGATATCGGACTGGAAAACATCACTACCATTGCACTCGTCATGGATTCGTAAGGCTAGCTTGACATTCTCATCAGAAACTCGCTCGGGGGGTCCGAAGATATAGACGGTCAAGCCACCAATGGGGGGGAGGAAAATCTTAAGATCGGGCCTCGTTATCAGTTCGGGATAGCTACCGCCAGTGTGTTCGAACAGAATCCGGCGCAAGGTGGGCTCATCCACTCCGAACCGTTCCGCGACTCCTGGTAGATACCATACAGGCTCAACGGCGACCTTGGTAACGCGGACTTCGCCCTGAGAATCTACAACAATCGACCCATCAACTTCAAGTTGTCCATCCCGGACCGCCTCCCCAATCTCCGCAAGTTTCATATTCGCACGGGTGATAGCCATCGTGGGTCGTATATCCCAACCGGCATTGATCTCCTCACCAAAATACTTGACGATATCATGCCCAAAGGGATCCATCGACACTATCTTGGTCTTATCGGCCCACGACGGCTGCCAGGGGAAATCGAAAGTTGGTTCCGTATTCTTGAAGTTTGGGAGAAAGTTTGGATCTAAATCACCCGCTGCGATAGCTAGGGCGTTATAGATGCTATAGCTCCCTCCATGGGCACCCATTGCATTGCGACGCTTGAGGAACGCTCCGCTGCGCGAGACGACAACAGGGCCACGAGATCGTGCGTCCTTCGCCCCCCATTCCAAAGGAACAGGATCGATACCGCTTTGGCCGGGGTAGGTAGTTAACTAGACCGATGAGCTTGAGCGACCACCGGGCAATGTGGTTCGTGGCTGCTTACAACGATATGCTTACTGTATCTCGAGCTCGAGGTCGGGGACTGGATAGTCGTAGTCTCCGTTTCCTTGGGAGGGGAATTGGCGTCTTCTTCCACCATTTTGGATAGTTACTGAAGAGACAGCTTTGCTACAGAAGCTGGAGAAAATAGCAGTAGACTGAAGAACAAAGAGAATGTGAGGAGGAAAAGAAAGAAAGAAGGCGAGAGTGCTGAGGGGGTAAGGTGACCTGCTCCTGCATGTGACCCCAACTCTCCGCATCTTATCTGCTGCCTTACGACACCGTACATTCTTGCTGGCCCAGCCACAAAGTCACTTGATGATGTTGCATTGAAACGCCAATCTTTCCTGTAAAGCTACCTGACAACCATACCAGTTTTTTTTGCAATTTAAGAAGAGCTCCATTGTCTCGAGAATATTCGGAGAGTTGTCGACGGCCCTTATCACGGCTATCAGTGGTTCCCCTCATCGGCCGCTATCAACGGGGCGACAAAGATAAGGCCGCTCCCCACTCGAGCTGCTCAGCTGTGAGTGCAGTGCTGGTAACTACCTGATAGCTTGACGGGCGGCTCCATGCGAGAGAACGAATCTGTCTATCCTTCTAGGATGTGCAAAAGTACATTATTATGCTTGCCTGAAACTGTGGCCATGTGTTATAATTATGCCATAATACCATATCAGCTACCTTAAGACTCGTGTGGAAAGGAAGAACTTGCTGTGCGTGTGTGTGATGGTATCTCTAGATCTTCGTTTACTTTTGAATATGGCAAGGAAAGCGTCGTAATTCTTCATACATAAACCACAAAACCATTCATTAAAGCCTTTGCTGAAAGTCGGTCTGCCTGAGACGTGGTCCTAGCTGCCCAATATGTTCAGAGAGCAGCAGGCGTCTAAGGTCTAGATCCAGCCCATCAGTCAAAATAAAAAGGCCACCCAATACTAAGATTCGTTCACCGCCCAAAGGTTGCCTGGGAACGGGAACTCTTGATTGTCTTCTTAATGATGTCCTCCACCTCGTCCCAGTCCTTCGTGTCAATCCTCTGGATATCTGTGTTGAAGTATTTCTGGATTTGGTTGAGCATGTTCCATTCCTCCCGGTTGGAAACAAAGGAGATGGAGACACCGACACGGCCAAAACGCCCGGTACGACCGATACGGTGAAGGTATGTTTGGAAATCGGCCTGTCGTTCGCGGCCAGCTGGCTGGTGAAGCTCGGGGATATCCTATAGCAGTCAGTAAGGAGTTTTCCATAAACGACTGTCCACTCACGTAGTTGATGACCATGGAAACTGTAGAAACATCGATACCACGTGCGAGAACGTTGGTGGTAATCAGGACCTTGGCCTGGCCGGCACGGAATTGGTCAATGATGGCATCACGCTGCGAGCCCTCGATACCACCAGTCAAGGACGCAACGGTGTGACCCTCAGCGACCATGCGTTTCTCAATCTCTGTCGCAGAGGCACGGGTCTAGCAAACAGTTAGCTAATGCTAAATCGTTGGGATAGCATATTGTGGTAGCGCACCTTGACGAAGATGATAGAAGAACCGACGGTTAGAAGACCATAAAGCTGAACAAGCGTCCTGTACTTATCCTCCTCGCTTGCACAGTCAAGGTACAATTGTTTGATTCCCTCCACGGTCAACTCCTCGTGCTGCAGAGTAAGCTCGTTGGCCGAAGGGGCGAATTTTGAGGCATATTGGTGAACATGCGTGGGAAATGTCGCGGAGAAAAGAACAACTTGGATGTCTCGTGGTAGCAGCCTGTAAAGAGTCAATAGACGCCCTGGGAAATGGAGATAGTCTAAGTACTCACGCTTTCACTCGAATGCACTGATCACCCAGACCTTGCTGGTCCAGCATGTTATCAGCTTCATCCAACACCAGAACCTTGAGCTTTGCCGCCACCATGATACGCTTCTTCACCATGTCCATGACGGTCCCAGGAGTACCGACAACAACAGAGCACTCTAGCCTGCTTGGGCGCGCGGTTGAATCGGCGGGAACAGCGGTCCCAATGACCAGCCCTTCAAGGAACTGTCCCATGACTTGGATAACGCCGACAATCTGACGGGCCAGCTCTCGGGTGGGAGCTAGAATCAAGGCCTGCGGGGTCTTTTGGAGCTGTTCAGTAGAAAGGTCCAGGCGACTGAGGATGTTCAGAACGAAGGCAGCGGTCTTTCCAGTTCCTGACTGGGATTGACCGACTAGGTTCTTTGCAGGATTGCCCATCAGCAGAGGTAAAGCTCGCTCTTGGATCTTGGATGGTTTGCGGAAGTTCATGGCGGACAGTCCCTGGAGGATGCGGGGGTCTCTGAGGAGAGAGTGCAGGTCAGTCACCAAAGCTCAAAAGAGCACTATGAGACGGCGAGAACTTACAGTCCAAGATCTTCAAAGTTCTTCACGGAGAAGAGGGGGTTATTCGGGTCGGCTTGGAGATCACTGAGCTTGACCTCGACTGTATATTCCGGCTCATGGAGTTCCGAGCCGCCCATCTGCCCAGCAGCACCGTCTGTTTGTCTATCATCCGTGGTAGGCTCTGTAGTCTCTGTTGTTCGTCGTGAGATTAGTGTGCGTTGGATGCGATTGAGGTCTGGCATAGCAGTGACGGAGTCATCCGGTCGAGCAGTCTCGGGGTAGCGCGCGTACCTGCGGGTTTGATTTCATCCGGTTTCGAGACGCGATCGGCAAGAGAGCCGCCAGAAGGAGCGTCGGAAGCCATTGCGTTGGGGTTGGTGAAGGGAAAGGGTCGCGAAGTTAAAGAAGTGTTGCAGATTGGGAGGAGGGCGCGGTCGAATTGGCGGGGTGACCTTGAGGGCCGATCAACAAGGGACCAACACGAGACAAAGAAAATGCAACTGTCCGAAGAAGAGCACGCCGTCAGACAGCAGTTGGGAGTTAGGTAGTCTCCACAGCAGCTCAAAGTAAAACTGAGACAGTGACAAGTATGGAAAGTGAAAGAGTATGACAAGCAAAAAACCGCAGTGAAGCAATCGCAAAAGCTGCCAAGACACCAGTTTCGTTTGGGCAAACAACCGAGCGGAATGCGCTAACCTCCAGGCAGAAGGCGGTGGCCGGAGCGGAAATGTACGAAGATGACGTCGCGAGTAATCTATCCCCGCCATCTGCCGACCTCTGGGCAGCAAACGTGGCCTGACAGGCGTATTTGGTATTGTCACAGCAATTTAGCCTGAGGGCTGAGTACCGGAGTATTGCTCTGAGTGCTTTCCCCGCTCTCCCGCATTGCCCGGCCAAAGATCGAAGAAGACAATATTCAGACACTGTCGAATGTTTGGTGTGCTGGGCTTGAAGTGCCACCGCAAGAGCCTTCTGCATAAAGCCACCACTACGGTTATTCGACGACACCCTTGATTCGCTTGCTTTCCCTCCTGACGAGATCTCCCTCCGATCTTTCCGCTGTTGCCTTAGATCCACAACTCATATGCGCCCAAGGTTGTAGTAGTCGTCACAGGGACAATGGCAGCCCCCGAGGTCGCTCCTCAATTTGGGGCGGAGTTGAAGGTGAGTGCTGTATCCCTGGTACCGCGTTGCCAGTCATGCCTAACATTTCACTCGGTGTAGGATGCTTTCAAGCCAGTCAACAATTGGGTACGGTCCTCGATGTCACTTCCCCGCATGTTCGAAGCCTAGGCCAAAACGCAGCGAGCGCAATTGCCGTACACTCGCACCGATGCTAAAATACTACATATAGGTTTCCAATGGGATATCCTGGCTGGAGGAAATACAGCAATTTTACCGAGAGCGCAGCGTGATAGAGAAGGAATACGCCTCCAAGCTCACGGCACTATGCAAGAAATACTACGACCGCAAGGCAAAGAAGATTAGCCCATTGAGTGTTGGAGATCACCCTGCGATGACGCCCGGCTCTTTAGAAAGCGCTTCGCTTACAACCTGGACCACACAACTGTCCGCGGTTGAAGCGCATGCGGCGGAACGTGATAAGTTCGGAACCGACCTCCTTGTTCAGGTCGCAGAGCCACTGAAACATGCCGCTGTGCAATACGAAGAATTGAGAAAGTGTCATGTCGACTTCCACGCGAAGCTCGAGAAAGAGAAAGAAGCCAGCTTCAGCGAGCTCAAGAAGGTGAAAGGCAAATATGACGGTGCCTGTCAAGAAGTCGAATCAAGGAGGAAGAAGATGGAGAGCGCTTTCGATCATAGCAAGAACAAAGCTCAGACAGTATATCAACAGCAAATCCTAGAGATGAACAACGTCAAGGTAGCCGCAGTCACCCCTTTGCTTATTTCTGCCCACTAACATAAACAGAACACTTATCTTATAAGCATTAGCGTTACCAACAAGCTAAAGGAAAGATTCTACCACGAATACGTACCGGAGCTTCTCGATGTGGGTGATGCGGACTGCTGTCTTGTCAAGATCTAGCTAACAAGGTTGACAGGGCTTGCAAGACCTGAACGAGACGAGAGTATCAAGATTAAACGCGCTGTGGTCTCTTGCCGCGCAGCTCGAGAAACAATCTCTAGGGAAAAGCTCAGACCATATGACAAACCTGATTAACGAGATCCCGCGAAATCAGCCTCACCTTGACTCCCTCATGTTCCTGCGACACAATGTTACACAACTCCAGGAGCCAGCACCATTAGGGTTTGAGCCTAGTCCGGTGTGGCACGACGACGACGCGCTTGTTACCGACGAGGCGGCCAAGGTGTTCTTGCGGAACCTTCTCAGCAAGAGTAAAACTCAGGTTCGTGAGTTGAGGGTGGAATCTGACCAAAAGCGACGAGATGTGGAGGGCGCCAAACGCATACGCCAGAGCATCCAGCAAGGGCGCGACAATAGGAATGAAGTTGATGTTGTGAGGTCGATATTCTTCATGCAAGAAGCCTTACATGAGATAGAGCGCAAGCGGCTTACGGCTGAAGTTGAAACATCCACTATCATAACCGTTGTCGGCGACCTCTCCCTTGGCGCAAAAAACCACAACTTCAAATCGCAGACTTTCAAGATCCCGACCAACTGCGACCTATGCGGAGAGCGTATCTGGGGGCTGTCTGCCAAGGGATTTGACTGCCGCGACTGCGGATACACTTGCCACAGCAAATGCGAGATGAAGGTACCGGCAGAGTGCCCTGGAGAACAGACTAAAGAGGAGAAAAAGAAGCTCAAGGTCGAGCGTCAAGAACAGGCCAATGCCGCACCAGCTGTTGATCTCGGTCCCACCAGCGCATCCTCCACGGCGCCATCGCTCGCCCGACAGGATACGATGAATTCCCTGAGTTCTGGATATGCGGTCAGCGCCAATCGGTCCTTGTCGAACGTCGGTACCCAAGAGTCTGTGGCAGAGCTTCCTTCTCCTAGCGCTCCTGCTCCCGCCGCTCCCGCCCCAGCTGCTGCCCCTAAGCCTGCGGTGAAGCGTAACAGGATCCTTGCCCCTCCGCCCGCTCAGTACATCAGCAGTCCGCCGGCCGAGTTACCTGCCACCACCTCGAAGTCCAACGACCGCGAACCCCGCGGTAAAATGCTTTACCCATATCAATCCACCGGCGCAGACGAGGTCACCGTCGTTGACGGTGAGAACGTTGTCGTCATCGAGCCAGACGGTATGGTGTCCTAATATGTGAATTTCTTACAATACTAACAGGAAACCCAAGATGGATCCGGATGGATGCGTGTTCGATCCGAGTCTTCGGGTGAAGGTCTCGTCCCCGCTTCCTATGTCGACGTATTACCTGCTCAGACACCTCCTTCCGCTAGCTCTGGTGCTGGCCGACCAGGATCGACTTACTCAAACTCCTCTGCTTCCTTAGCAGGCAGTACAGCGGCAGCCGCAGCCAAGCGCGTGGGTCCGGCGGTAGCCCCTCGTCGCGGAGCCAAGAAACTACAATACGTAGAAGCTTTGTACGACTACGAAGCACGAAGTGACATGGAATGGAGTATGAGCGAAGGAGACCGCTTCGTCCTCATCACGCGGGACAGCGGCGATGGCTGGGCCGATGTCGAGCGCGGCGGCCAAACGAAGAGCGTCCCAGCAAATTACATTCAAGAGGTATAGGTAGGTATATGCATAAGTATAGAACCGACGGTTGGCTGTATATCGGTGCCAGATTTTGCACCTTCCCCTGCATCCTCCCCCACCCCAAATCCATACAATTCTGCATCCTTATATGTTTTGTTTTATCCATGTTGACATACTTGCTGTATGTTTTTGATTGATCTGGTTTTTGACGATTTTTGCATCGTGGAGTCTGGAGATTAGCGGTTTCCTTCCTTTTTTTTCTTATTTTTCTCGCGTGTCTTTTCTATCGAGCATTCGTTTTGTATTTTCCATGCGCACAGTATCTAGGTCATGGTCTCGCTGATCGCATCTGCCTCCGCATTTGCATGATGTAGGATAGGAGGAAATAAATTCAAGCCAATCCAATCCAACACGTTACTAAACTGCTAGATATCCAATAATCAGACTAGAAAATTGAACATCGCCAGCAACTCTAATCCAAGTCCCCCATAGCCTATCAACCACACTACTTCCCCAAATCCGTACAACCCACAACAAGACCACAGGACCTCTAAAATCTCTTCCCTCCCAACCGATGACCTAACTCGTACTACCTCAGTTTCAACCTCCCTTGTCAGGACATAGTCTCCGACTCCACTCGGAGGCTGGAGAGACGGGGGTCTGCACTGTGGACCCTGACGCCACACGCATGCAGGCGCGGAGATTCCTCCGCAATCTCGTTCCATTCTGATCACAAGCACTGATGATTCACAATTTCAAACAAGCTGCCACAGCACAGCTGAGGTGAGCTGGCTGGTGGGCTGGGTCTTTGGCGGCCGCCGGTGGGCTGATCAAGCTTTGTTTTTAGATCCTCAAAGATGGGCTTGTCATTGGTTGCTTGGATGGCTTCTCCGAAGGGAAGCGCTTTGGAATTGTGAAGCTGGATTTTGCTTACCAGTAGGGATGTGCGTCCTGTGTAGACATTATTGGTTCGATGAGAATTAGGTTGAAGCACCGGGCATAAGAAGCTTGAAAACCTCTGGGCTAGGGGTCGTTTGACATATACTTCAAGAGTCCTCGATGTTAGGGTTATTGGTGCCATTTTCGAATAACACTGTGTTTAACTCCTTATTTCCCGCCTCTTCCTATCCTATTTTATTTTTTTCTTTCTTGAGTTCTAGTTCAAGCTAAAGCTAGGAAATAGGTCCTGTTCAACCCTATCAGAATCTCATGAAGTTCATCACCTCGTAATCGTTGCGATCGTGTTCGTCATAAAGAACCCTTCCTCGACCCATCCTCCTCGGCAACGAAAAGTTGCAGTATGCATCACTAAAAGCAGACAGCGGCCCTCAAACCCCTATCTCAGGTCGTGATCCTCAGAGAACCATCTCCACTCCTCCTGCATCATGTCATCTTGGAGTCCCCCAAGATCGAAATCTTCCAAAGAAGGGAATGCAGCAGCGCCGCCGCTCCCGTCAAGCATGGATGGATCCCCGTATGGATGGTCGAACGGGCTCACCATCGACATCGAAACGGGGATATCAGACATTGAACACAGCGGCGGGGAGAAAGACCCGAGCGGCAAGTTCAGGGGGGAGAGGCTACCGTAATGGCTTGAGCCCAGCTGGGAAGTGTAGTGCTGATGCTGATGATGGTGCTGGTGCTGGTGCTGCGATGTACGTGGAGCGGATGACCTCGCGGTGGGATTGTGAGTGCGGTGGTGCGGCGCTCCCTGTGGTGCGCCTCGCCCTCCTGCTGCTCCCGCAGCTCCGGCTCTGGGAGCATGAGTAGCGGCATCGGAGGATTGAGAACCACGGCTGTATCCCTGGCGCGAAGAGGATTGGGTCGCGGACGGCGGAGGGGAAGATGACGTCGGACGCGGCGCGATTGGGAGAAACGCGGTAGGACTTGAACGAGCGTGTCTGCCAGATGCTCTCTGTAGTGCAGACGAGAAGGGAAAGAAAAGGCAATTAGTAAGAACATCTCAAATTTTGACAAATCTTGCGTGAGATGATGTGGTTTTGGCTTGCTTATGAGAGGATTATTGATGGTATGGTAGTATCTGGTAATGGTGATGCTCTAACATTTTGCGATTGGGACTTTAGCTCTGCCTCGCGCTTGAGCCTGTTGTGCTCATCCGGCGAATTGCAGGGGGTGCAGTTGCATATTGAGCAGGTCGAGAAGGGGCGACCCTTCCGATTGATGCGAATTAACGGTCGATCTGGGAATCATAAGCAAGGCAATTGAGGATAGCGGGTGATGAGAGGAGAAGACGGTGAGGAGAGGAGGAACGCACCATGGTGCTTACAGGTAGAGACACGATGGCCGCGAACGCAAGCTTCACAAGCCCACTTTTCACCGTCTATGAGCATCCCTTGGAGGCGCAGTGGTGAAGGAGAAGGAGGAAGCCATTGCGACGGAGGGAGGGAGCCATACGCTTTTATACGTGTGGATTGTGGATCGCGGATGGGACAAACGACGAAATGACGGGGAGGAAATGGAGGGACTTGGGAAAAGGGAAAGCGGAAAGGAAAAACAAAGTAATGAAAGAAAAGGAAAGGACGAGAAGCAGCGCACTCGCAGACAGACAAGCTGGGACGCTGGGTGCAGCAACAGGAAGACTAGCAGCGGTGCAGTAGGCACTGGCAGCCTTGATCGTCCTGTCGCGTAGCCGCGGTCGAATCGCACAGCCACCGGGACAAGGAGAGCTGTGGATGTCACTCATTTCGGTTCGGACTATGACTCGATGATGGTTAGTCCTGCGTGGTTTTCCCATGTCCGACTCGATTGTGTGGATTTTGTGGGAATCGCAGCTCCATCGCAGGATATGGAAATATCGAGCATTAGATCGTGTGCGGCATTTTCCGAACAAATGATTCTCTACTGGGTGCTTGCTGGACTTTTGGACGGCCTCAGAACGAGATTCCCCAATTGTCTTAGTTGCAGCGAGGCCGAATGGTCGAACAATTCCCTCATAATACGGATTAGCATCATTCCTGGTCGAGGATCCTCCCTGTCCAGCCGTTGCTTTCCCCTCTGATTATGACGTCCGACTCACTCCTGGGTACCGAGATGTCCATTGTATATATGTTGTCGTTGCCCCAATAATGCAAGTCATAATCCCCAGATCTCCCATCTCGCAAAGTTTATTTTCCTCTGCGGGAAAAAAAAAAAAGAAAAAAAAAAAAGGGACTTGGGAAGCGCAAGAAAAGAGCTCGGGTCACTATGCGGCTTGAGCTGCAACGAGAGCTGCCGGCCAAAGCACCAAAAACCAATCATATGAAAGTGGGAAAGAGCCGAAATGAATGGAGGTGGCTGAGCAATGTGTGCATTTGCTGCTGTCTGAGGTTTTCTCAAAGCTTATCGCAAGAGCCAATCTGCTGCTGTGGCGCTGGTCGATCATTTGGGAAGCTCTTGAACTCGATTCTCTCTGCTTGCCAGTGCTCGAGGATTCAAGGCACACTCGAGTAAAGTGAGACAGCTGGCATCTGCGAGCACATTGTTTGCCTGTTTTGGATTCAGTTCCCTCCTTCCCGCAACATGAGGAGCAGCAGCTTTGCTGGACAGAACCTCAGTTGGAGTCCGTCAATTCTGCAACCGCACTGGGGGTTCTTTTTGCTCACTTCCCCTTGGCAATGAAGACATGCTGCTTTCGAGATCCACAGTCGGTGGCTCAACTGGGGTAAACTTGCAGCCCTAGTTCTTAGGCAGCAGCGAAACGAGCCACGTATCAAAAGCTCTCGCACGTTCATTATTCCAGCATTGTGGCCTCAGCTGTTCTTGATTTACTCAATATCCACTCTACTGACTGGGTGGGTTTCGTAAAACAGTGTCGATTTCTGGCGGAAGCAGCCGATATTGGCGAATTCCTAGATACCTGGTAGTTAGTATCTGCTAGTATCTGCTGTATATTGCCTTTACATACTCTGAACGCGACGACCTACCAATAATACCGCGTTCAAAGCCGTTTACCAGTATCATCTCAACTAACGTACTAATCCCTGCAGCAGCCTTGCTGACGATCAATCGAGTAAGATATAGACCGCGGGCTCCGCCCGCGCCCGCTGGCATTAGCTTCTCTGATTCAATGCATGGCGGCAGGCGACCCCATAACAGGGATGTCCAGCCGGAGGATCAGTGCTCTCTGTTTCACTCCATGCTTGGCAGTTGACTGGCTCCGCGGTAACTGTATGCCAGGCTGAGTATATCGGAACTAATAAGAATCTACCTAGGGTACGCAGTAACGACCTGGAGAACACTGGGCAGGCTACATGCCGCCAATGAAAGTGACACAGCCGTTCCCGGGTATGTTCGCAAACGAAGCTGGATATAATCAAAACCAGGTGTATTAAGAACATTCGATCATTGATTACGAGTCTATACTCAAGCACGGAAACTGGTCAACAAATGTGCCATCCAACTGTACAATCGTGCGGGCTCCCCAACGGGAAGCTTGGGAGCGGTCAGGAGAAAATCACGCCAGTTAGAGAACTCCGAAAGAAATAAATGTGATAACCCGCGAAACAATCTGGTGTCCATCTAGATAAGGATGACACCGGCTCCGACCAGAGTTGACAGGATCGTCACCAGCCCGACAAAAGCAGGGGCCATGGAGAGACTGGGGATCTGGAGACCAGCGGCAGCATCGTCAGAGGTCTCAGAGGATCCACTAGCAGTAGAGTCATCAGAGTTGGAAGATGAGACGGTGTTTCCGGCACCATTGGTGGTGTTGCTGGTGGACTGAGTACCAGCGTTCTGGCTACCAGGGCCATCGAATCCCTCACCAGCACCCGCACCATTCTCAAAGTACTTCTGGGCGGGCTTGGGCATAGCGGGCAGCTCGTCGGCAGAGTCAACGTCCCAGTTAGGAGCGTTCCTGGCAGGGCAAGGGTTGGCACCGCCAGTCTTGTTGTATCCACCGTCACCGGTAGGGTTCTCGGTCTTGGCCAGAGCGGTCTTCAGAGCATCGAAGTCAGCGAGCTCAGTCACCTTGTTGTTCTTGATTTCGACCAGACCGTAGTCGCTGGGCTCCTGAGAGTACTCATAAACCAGACCACCAGAGTAGACAGAAGTCATCTTGGTCGAGTACAAGGCCTCAACCTCACCGAAGTCACGCTCGTTGGTGTTGCAACCATACTCGGAGAGGAAGAGAGGAAGACCATAGCCAGTGAAGTTTTGAACCTTCTGGTCCCAGCCGGACTTCTGAAACGAGGAAGGGCTGCACCAGGAGTAGTCGTTGAAGGCAAAGAAGTCACTGCGCTCCTCGTCGGTACCACAGTTCATGTATTCGGCCATCTCGCGACGGTTGGTGTTGACGTCGGCCTAGAGGTCATTTTTCGTTAGTATCATGATTCCAGTTGTCCTGCAGGGTCAAGCTCACAGCAGAGTATCCGACGGGAATTTTGCGGTAGTTGCGGGCGCGGATGTAGTTGCGAAGATCACGAGTCACAGCCTTCACATAAGGAGCTGTCACTGACGATGGGCCGTCGTTGATTACTTCGTTTCCAGAAAAGAAAGCGAGGGTGTTCTTGTACTTGGCGAACTTGTCGACAGTCGCAAAGATGTATTGAAGATAGACGTCGTTGTAAGACGGGGCCGGGTCTTCACGGTTAATGGAGTATAGAGGAGTGTTCACATCGAGCACCAGGTAGATGCCAGCATCAGCCAGGAGGTTCATACACTCATCGTGGTCCTTCGAGTTGTCGACCGAGTAAACACGGATAGTGTTCAGGCCGAGCGCCTTGAACTTCTCGACATCCCGCTTGCAGCCGTCCACGTCGGCGATAGGGTCGGCCAAATCGGAGGAACCGCCGGGTTGGTAGTCGACACCGCGCATGTAGAAACGGGTGTCTCCCTTGAAGAAGGCATTGCCCTTCACGGTGATCGGGGTGATATCGTCGCGGGCGGAAAGCGAGGGAGCAGCGAGAACGGTAGATGCACTCACGGCGAGCGCTGTGGCGATGGTAGAGCCCTTCATCATGTGTAGTGAGAGTCAGACAGAGAATGTTGAGTTTGACAATCGATAAGGGTGGGCTGGTGATTTAGGTCTTGATAAATAAGTGTCGCAAAAATGCAAGAGAGCGAGTGTGAGAAATCGAAATCAAACAAGTCCGAACGAGTGACGAGGCAAAGCCTTGAAGTATGAGAAGAAATTGGAAAGAAGGGAGTTGGAATGATGGAAGGGATGAGGAAGGAAAGAAAGAAAACACAGGAGAGACAGAAAGAGGGTGAGAATGCAGTCAAAGGCTCCTGCAGAAGGGGTCGCGAAGGTGGAGGGTTCAGGCCCCAGCACAGGCCCTCCCTGTTTTTCGGAGGACAACCCATGTTACTACTAGTATTACCACACCCCACCAGGTCCCTAGTCGCTCATTCGATATGTCTTTGAATCCTGCTCTGTGTCAATGCTTCGTCAACGTGATTCTCCAGCGGACGCTTCAGTAGTCCTCGTCCAGTCACAACGTATGTACTCTAATTCTTCTGCCTTGCCTCGAAAGACGTGCATCTGTTTCCGGCAGCCGAGACAAAAGCAAGACACTGCTATCTACTGATCGAGATCGAATTGTAAATTACAAACATACAATAACGATGTTCTGGACAAGCAGCCAATCCCATCTCCGACTGGAGCATTCGTCATCCTGTAACAGTTTCAAGATGCTTTGGCGGAGATCACCTTCTGATGTGGGTAGAGATGGGCGGATCGCCAGGGGAGGCATGGTTTTTCGATGGAATCGCCTGATGAGTGGTCAGTCTCTCCCACCAAGCTTTCACAATAGCCAATTGTTAACAAGATGCGGTGGCAGTGCCTCGAAGAGACGCCCTTAGCAAATGGGAGTTCAAAATGCGGCGGACCAGAAGATGAAAGAATGAAGATGATTCCCAGTTCTGATGCCGCAGTGGGTCTTGGCGGGTCAGGGGACTGGGGTCATTTCTCAGTCCCTGGAGTCCCTTTCCGACCCTTGACGTCGGCCTCACATTCAGAACTGCATCAAATGTCGACTCCGGATCTTGCTTCTCACCAAGGACAAAGTGTCGTTAAGTCTCTAGAAAAGCCCGGAGTATGATTTCCAAGATTCCTTGAAAGTTCTGACTCGCTTCATGAGAAGGACTCGTCCAGTCAGTATTGCCAACACGTGTTCCACAGCAGGCCTTTGATCCACCGTGCGATATTTATGGACCAATTTATTTATTCAACACATTTCATTTCCAAGGCTGGTCTCACACCAAACTGCCCAGTGGCAAAATCGAAAATCGACTTCCAAGGTCGAGTCCTGTCTGCAATTGATCCTCCAGCAAGCAGCGATAATACTGCCAACGCATACATCAAATCAAGCAGCGAGGTGCCCACGCGTCCTCCTCGCTTGAACTCTGGAGGACCGTCAACATGCCAGGTGCTCGTGCTCGTCTCACCAAAAATAGAGAAGTGACGTCAAAATTCATGGTTACACTGATTCAAGCGAACGAATCATTGTTTGTGATATAAGCACTAGTTTCAACACGAGAGTCCAGGCCCAGCGGCACTCCAGAAATCATCTTAAAAATCATGCTTGTGAAGCGCGGTTCAGGTTACCTCTCCGAATGACAGTGACAGACAACATCGAGCCGTGGTTCGACTTTGATACCCGCGCGACAAAACAATTTTTCTTGTCGAATCAAGCCAGCTCCACCGTCGTACAGGAACCTTCGCCACTCCAGGAAAAGTCCAGGCCAAACAAGACCGCAAGCAGGCGGTCAGCTATATCTCAAAGCTCATTTACCGTTTCCATCAACGACAAGCCCTATCATGATTTGCAGTATAAGCTCGGATCTAGGCGATAAACCTTCTTGCAATGATTCAGAAGCTCATGCGTCTCATCCCATATCCAATTCTTCTCACATCTATGCCGAGAACTCGCTGTTCGTTCAATCGTTGTAATAGCCTGGGAACCAGGCAAGACGAAAAGAACACCATATGGTCTGGAAGTACGGTCCACTGCGAGTATGTATGAGTTGTCCGAGCAAAGCATCTCGCCCATGCAATGGTCAGTGGTAAGTTAGTGTCATCAAACGCCTACTGTAAGGATAAGAGCACTTACTGCACGATGCCATCAGATGGACCAGCGCTCTACTATATTACCATCAATATAACCCGCTGAGCTATGTACCTTCACCAGGAGGAGATACCTGCATATTCGGGATCGATGATTCGAAAAATGATTCCGCCGTTCTCTGGCAGTCATGGGATTTACAACATTCCTATTATTTGGTTCTAAAGCCTTGAAGATTTACGTCGACCGAGCAAACCAGGTTCAGTTCTAGGGCATACTTGGTTTGAGCTACTTAATACGCACATTGTATATCAATTTCTAGATTTCCGACGACAGCCCTTGCATACCAGTTTTGGCTATGATGAAATCCAAGAGGCCAACTTGTGGCTCGAGAGAAAAACATCCTTTTGGACCTTGAGAAGACAAAGATGCTGAAGGTGTCTAGGCAGAGTCGAGCACTTATTCAGCCTGATCTGTCTGAATATTGTGCCACAGAGCCAGATTTTTTGTTGATAGTGCTTCGCCAGGCGTAATTGTGAAGTGACCCCCAGGGTATAAGCCTAGGTCACGGGCCCTCTCACTCCGCCTTTGACATTAACGAACCAGATCTTGATAACCGAGAATCTGCGTTGAGTTTTGTTCAGCTGCTTCAGCTGTTCGCGGTGGGGGAGAAGAGTAACCGAGGTCCAACTCTATCCCCACGGCTATAGAAGGGTTCATTCCCAGAGTTTTCATTCTTCATCGATATTGAATACCAACATGGAGCAACTCTGGTCACATATCATCTCATCCTATTCTCCGTTTCAGATAGAATTTATAGGCACACTTCTGGTCCAAATCTTATCCTTCTGGATTCCCAGCATCTGCTATATCTCCCTGGATTACCTCTTCCCCTGCTTCTCCCAACACCACAAACTTCAATCAGCTCCAAAACAACCCACCAGAAAAGATATCGAGCAGTGCCTCAAAGTCGTCCTTCAGAACCAGCTACTTACTTCGGCTCTGCATCTCTCCCTCCTTCTCCAACAAGGCACACCCGGCTATAGAATCACACTCACACTTCCCCCCCTCGCAGAACTCACCCGCGACATAACACTCAGCCTCCTCCTTCGCGAAGCCCTTTTCTACTACAGCCATCGTCTTCTACATTCACGCTATCTCTACAGCCGAATTCACAAGCAGCACCATCGATTTACCGCGCCTATAGCGCTAGCGGCGCAATATGCGCATCCCCTCGAGCAGGTCTTTGCGAATGCGCTGCCAATATCTCTGCCACCGCAGCTTCTGGGAAGCCACATTGTCACGTTTTGGTTGTTTCTAGGGTACGAGTTACTTAACACGGCGACTGTGCATAGTGGATATGATTTTCTGGGTGGGAAGGCGAGGATGCACGATGCGCACCATGAGAAGTTTAACCTGAATTATGGATCGATTGGCTTATTAGATTGGGCTCATGGGACGGATAGGTTAAGAAAGAGGGATTGATCAAGCAACGCTGGTTGAGAGCACTGGCGATTGCGGGGAGGTATGAGTGGCGAAGCCGGCTACAGATTTCTTTGGCCCTTAGGCCGATTCCTGTAGAGTGACATGGACCTGTATACGCAGAGCCTTGCTCATAGTGCTCGATGATGCTGAGGGGGTAGTGCGCCTGTTCTCACAGTTGCTCCTTCCCAACAAGCTACGTTTTGATAGGGCCGCGACATGGGTTGCGCCTTCCTTATTAGTCCTTGTCGCAAGATGGCACCGCGAATGGCATTTCAATCCGCCGTGACCTTTGGTCCCAGGTGAGACAATCACACTCGTCTTGAGATCAGATCTTTACGCGCACAAACGCTTTCTACCTGCGGTATATATAGCAATCCTGTGACGGTAAGTGGGAGACTCGGCGGATAATATCTCCAAACATGTAGTGTTTACTCTAACAGCCTTAGATGCACTATATCCCCTACGTTCTCGGCTATCTTACGCTCATCGCCGGCGCGAAAGCTCGGTACAACAAGCTCTTCACCAGCCATCCCGCGTTCGCTGACCATCCCTTCCCCACAATCCCAATCGAATGCCCCGAGCTAGGTCGGTCAGGCGTTTACCTCGACAAGGACCACACATCCGAAGGCGCGGGTTTGGTTCCGGCTCTTACATGGCCTGCCCCAGCCGATGACTTTGACGAATACCTTCTCATCAGCGAGGACCCGGACGCGCCGATTCCCGAATCTGTCATCCATGGGATATACTATCGGATTCCACGCGAGAAGACCGGTGTTCAGAATCCTGATTTCCGTGTTAAGAAGAACAGTCCGGAGCAATACATGCTTCGAGGTGGATTCAAATACGGGAAGAACAGGCATGGCACGGTTTACATGCCGCCTAGTCCCTTTTTCGGTCATGGGCCACATCGCTACTTCTTCGAGCTTATCGCGTTGAACAACTCTCTTGAGACCGAGCCGATAAATGACATGGTGACCCTCGATGAGGTCCGTCAAGCAATTCAAGGGAAAGTTGCTGGCTGGGGCGAATGGGTTGGAGTTTTCGAGAGCCCTTCAACTTAGGGCTTTTGCTGAGTTGGGTTTTTTGACCATCAAGATCACTTGTGGCCTGGTTGTGCTTGTTTCCCAGGGCCTATTATTATTCCATGAGATTCAATATCTCAGGGACTTACAACGTATGTCATTGCAAGGAACTGTACAAACCGTTTTGATATTGCTTCAATATCATCGATTCGCGTTCTTGTCTGATAACTCCATCCTGCCGTCATAGGCTCCCATCCATGATAATAATAACAGTTTTCCAACTCGCAAAGGTTCGGTTGCTTCGGAGGTGCCGACAACCATGGGTCCCTGGGTATCTGAATATAGAAACTCATCCAGTTTTCATTTTGTCTCAGATATCTTAAAATAGCGCTCTCTATTCTTGGGAAAGAAAGTCTGGCGAACAGGTCCCTGGGCGGCGTTTGAGAATCTTGCCTCAAGACGTTGAATTGGCAGCTTTGCGAGCAGAATCTCAGGCTTATACCATCTTCGTTCAGGATGAGGTCATGTTGAAAATACAGTCGACGATCAACAGCTTTCGGTGCCTTTATCAGAGTGGAGGTGGAAAAACTTCCAGGTTTCCAGGGAGGTTCCATGCACTCGTTTGATGAGCGCTAATCCTGATGCGGCCTCAGTAGCCGAATCATAACCCATCAAATCACATAACTGACTCTTGCGCCAGGATTACTAAGAATAGAGTCTGGTTCCACAGCTGGCACGTCCGGATGCAGCGAAGCTGTTTTGTTCTTTCTGATGCTCCAGCTCTGGTTCTTTGAACGCAGAAAATTGCTTGTTTCCAGGCTGCGGGTGACAATGTCTATGATGGCCGATTGCCGAGTTAGCGGTTGTATACGTATCGGTGAGAAGATTTGACGGGAGTCGGAGATCCCAGCTTGATTCGGGAGTCGGGACAGTCCGAATCTTTGATAGCTTCTCCGGAGGAAAAACCATTATTGCCTGACCTGCCCAGTCCGTGGAACTGGTCAGGTCACTGCGTCATATCCCTGGCAGGAACAAAGCAAAAGGGCCGATTAATTTGGTCGAGCGGGGGCTTTGGTCGAGGCTATTGAAGGATTGGAACGTCGATATCGACTGTGCGAGGCCTCGTATTCCCTCAGCCTTCGCGATCCTGTGCAAGAGCCTCAACAGCGAATTAATCATACGTTGCTCGCAGGACGGCTTCGCGTGTTATATGAGCACTCCGGATAATTGTCAGCCTCTGTGAGGAGATGCGAGTTCTTCCTAGCAAATCAGACAAGTAGAGACTATCGTACTACTGCTGACACGAAGCTTGGTCAACCTTGGAAGAAGCACCGCCCACCCGTCCTCCACCATGGCAAATCCATACTACTAGTTGCTGGGGCGCTCTGCCACCAACCGTCGCTCGTTCGGCAATTATAGCTGACACCGATCGATGATGCGCTGGACGAACTATTTTAAAGAGCTGAATCTTCGCCTCTTACTGCCCATTGATATCTCTCGACCAAGTGTTTTATTTTGCCGCCCTTCCCCTCACCTTGATCGAGATTCTTACGCCTGCTCGATCGGTAAAGCGCCATTGGTGATCGTAGCTCACGTTATTCTGACGCCTTTCAAGTGTGGAGTTGGTTCGCGAAGTAGGCCCAACTTTGAGCAGAAGTCCTCCAGGTTTTGTGCTAGGACGTTCTTCTCAGAGCTGAATCTTGGAAGAAAAATATTTTCACCTCGCCTGCAACTCCCGCCAGCTTTCGAGCTTTCCACTGCTTCTCTTCCCAGCAACACCGGCCTACGACATACTAGCGCATCATGGCCATCATGAATCGGCTTGTGCAGGTCCTCTGCTTTTCAATGATTGCGTCGTCAGCTGTCGCAGCACCAGCTCCCGAAAGGCCGAAAGTCGACCAGGACACAATTTCTCGAATTGAGTACCGCGAAGTGATCCAGAATATCGACAAGGATTCAATTCAAAATTTTGTCGATAAGATCCGCGTTGCCCGCGCCAGTGTTCTTGAGGATCAGAAGGTCGCCTTGCCCAGTCGGCCTTTGTTCGCAAAGAGACAGGATAGTGGAAGCAATTCGCCAGCTCCCACGGGCACAGTCACCGACACCCCGACCTCGACTGACTCCGATACTTCGGATCCTCCTACTTCGACTAGCGACACCGAGCCCGAGCCCGAGCCTACAACAACGACTACGACATCATCGGAAACTACAACCACAGATCCAGAGCCCACTACTACTACAACCACAAGCACAACGTCCCAACCAGAGCCGGAGCCAACGCCGACCTCTGATACCACACAACCCCCTTCCAGCACCACAACCACAACCTCTGACCCGCCAACGTCTACTGATTCGGAGCCCACCAGTTCTTCTCCGGAGCCAACCTCGTCGACGACTAGAGCCACTTCGACGTCTTCCACTTCTACATCGGAGGAGACCACTACAGAAGAATCTACCACCGATTCTTCCACAACGACCGAGTTCACCTCGACATTCCTCAGTACATCGACCCGCCCAGACGGTGTGCTAGTCACCGTCACGGCTACCGCCGTCGTCCATCCGACCCAGTCTTCTGATGGTGAAGCAACCACCACAGGACCAGCCCCGGGTCTCCAGACCCACGACAACGGTGCCTCGTCCAACATGGCCAGTGGTCTACTCGCAATGATGGGAGGCGCCGCTATCGCCGTGGCCATCATCTAATCCCGCAACGCAACATCTCTATCCGATCTACTCCTTCATCGTCCTCCAGTACCACTCCGACCTAACGACATTCCTTACGGCCAACCTATCCATTCATTCATTGTATTACCAGCCATTCCTTTGCATTGAGGGCGTTGCTATTTTGATTCTTATCTTCTCCGTCGCATCCGTTACGATTACGCCGTCACGCTCACCCGATACCATCCTTTTCATCATAGACTCTGCGGCATATTTCCGAAATTGCTTTGCTCTCGATACCTATACCTTGTGGCTGCCCTGCGCCGGCTGCCCTGATTCGGCGTTGTCTGTTTTTTACTTCCATGAATTAGGAAGTTGTGGATTATGTATTTGTCTCTCCTTATATCTGCTTTATACGATATCTAGCGTGTGCATATTATATAGACGGGAAAATCTGGGCTCGGGTTGTCCCCGGGATAGCTGTTAATCTTATTCGACTCTTCTGAGTGCGATTGTTCTGTATCTGGAATATATTCGTAGTAAATGCTATGTTCAGATATTCAAGATCTCATCATGTTTATTTACGCGGCATAAGATCAACAGCAATCAATCAGTCAGCGCAAAAGCCCACAGGCTTTAAGAAGCGAGTCATCACGGCATCCATATATACCCAGCCACCAATCTTCCACTGCAATCAATGAAGCACCTCACCTAACACTCCGAGACCATAAGCCCCGAGCCATCCGGTCAAACCCTCCCCCTCCACCTCTCCTCCTTCGTGTAGTACCGAACAACACTCTCCCAAGCTGGAATATCGCCATCCCTCAACAACGCCGCAACATCAACATTCAGCGGCGAGTCCGGCCGGGGATCTGTGAGTAACTGATGAACCGCCGTCAAAGTGGTGCTGAGTGTGTACACGGGGCTCCAGTGCTCGGTTGTCAGAAGCGTGAGGCAGATCTCGCCGGTCGTGAAGGAGATGTTCGGGTGGGAGATTCGGGTCGTGAAGCGGATTGTTGGTGGGGAGAGGGGGTAGTTTGTTGGGATCTGAATTGAGAGGGACCATAGGCCGTCTGTTGTAGGTTTTTGGTCGGGGTTAGTACACCATTTTTTTGTCTTGTTGTGTTGCGGGTGGAGGGAGGTTGGAGTGTTTTGAGGGGAATTTTGAAGGGGGCCTTGCCTTCGTAGGGTGTGCCTTTCACGCCTTTTAGGACTGCTTCCCAGGTGTAGAGGTCATCTTCATCTATAGGGCCGAGATGAAGGAGGGCTTCGTTGGGGTTGTTTGTGTATTCTTTGAGTTCGCGGAGGAGGCGCTGGGTTGTTGATGAGGGCGGCATGATTGCGATGGATGACGGATGGTCACTGAGAGGCGGGTAACAATACAAATGCTGTCCGGGTATAAAGAAGCCGGCGTCAAGATAATAGGTCGAGTCGAGTGGCTGGGAATGAAGCGGCTGTTGTGCAGGAATTAAGAGATGGCGGACACTACGATACGATAGATGGGCCCCGAAGCGGTGCACCGAGGCTTAAAAAGCGGGTGGGTCTTGTTCTCCAGAGCAGCTCCCGCGGTCGGGCCCGAACCATGTGTAAACTCAACATTACAATTCGCCCCCTGTAAATTTTCGTCGATCTTTAACATCAATCTTTCTTATTTCATGTGAAATCGCCCAAACGCAAGTACTCAGGGACGACTTTATCTGCATCATGCGTACATCGCGAACGTCAAAAGAGACTGCAAAGGTCTTCCAGGCCCTGTCACCCCCTGCGCGTCGTCAAACACGGAGCAGTGCTCATGCTGGCCGGTTCGGGGACTTCGCGTACAATGGAGCCGTGAATGAGGCTGAATTGATCAAAAAGGAGGATGACACCTCTTCTCTCTCATCTGTTGACACTGTCGACATTGAAGATATTTTGGAACCCCCTGCGAAGAAGCGCAAGACCAGAGCAAGCCCTGCCGCCAGGGGCAGCACCTCCTTGAGAACGCCAGAGAAGAAGGTTGAGAAGACTATCAAAAGTGAAACCACACCCCAAAAATCTCGCCGAGCACCAGCACGGAAGATCAAGAGTGAAGACGGTTCCTTCACTGTGGAGCCTCCCTCGAATTGGGAAGCCATGTACTCAATCGTTAAGAAGATGAGGGAGGCCAACCCTACAGCACCTGTCGATACCATGGGTTGTGCCGAGTTATACTGGCGCGCATCTTCCCCGCGAGATCAGCGTTTCCAGACACTTATCGCACTGATGTTGTCTTCGCAAACCAAGGACACCGTCACGGCCGTTGCGATGCAGCGACTACACACCGAGCTCGGAGATGGCGATACACCTGTTGTCAAGCAGGAGGTGGAAGAGGTCTCTGGGATTGCATCGAAATCCGATAAAGACAGCACTCTGAATTTAGAGAATATCCTGGCTGTCTCACCGGAACGGCTAAATTCGCTAATCGGCACTGTGGGCTTCCACAACAACAAGACCAAGTACATCAAGAAGACTGCTGAAATAATCAGAGATCAGTATGATTCTGAGATTCCTTCTACTCCTGCTGACCTGATGAAACTGCCTGGCGTCGGCCCGAAGATGGCTTATCTGTGTATGAGTGCGGCGTGGGGAAAGCATGAGGGCATTGGTGTTGATGTCCACGTTCACCGTATCACGAACCTCTGGGGCTGGCACAAGACTAGAACGCCGGAAGAAACTCGCATGTCGCTGGAATCGTGGCTACCAAAGGATAAATGGCATGAAATTAATAAGCTGCTCGTAGGGTTAGGGCAGACGGTTTGCTTACCTGTAGGAAAGAGATGTGGCGACTGTGATCTTGCCGGGACGAAGCTATGCAAAAGCGAAATCAAAGGCATGGCTCCGAAGAATGGCCCTCGTGCTTTGCCGCTGAAGGAGGAAACTGCAGCAGGAGCCCTCTCTCCCGTCAAGATCAAGGTTGAGAGGGATTAGGTGCTTCTGGGGTCAGGCCTCCTCAAATTGAGCAAGTTATCTTCTGGAATTTGCGAGCTTGTTTTGATGCCTTCTGTGGCCTTTCTACTGTCTGTCACTCTTCTAAATCTCATCCTTCCCATGTCCTCAACCTGTCTCTTCACACCACAAGCTTGGCTCCTCTCGTCGAACCATCCATTGATGACTTATGGTGTTAGGACCATCTGTCCAGCTCCATTATCTGCCTGTCTTCTTTATTTATCTACCCTCCTCGAGCGCTGTGTCGTCTCAGCGCTCGAGATTTGAGTGTCTCAATTGACACCATGTGTGAGTCTCACTCGACCTTTCGCTCCTCGAAGCCCAATCCCATCACCCTGTATTATGACTGCTGACCTGTACGTTCGAAACGCAGCAGATGAAAAGGATACCTACCGCACCGCCGATAAGGCTGAGGCTGTCCCTCTCATGGAATTGGGCGCTGAGGAGACTGCATTTCCAAGCACCGAATCCAAGCCCGTTGAGGCGGAGCTCCCCGTCATAGCAAGCACTCAGGGACCTGCAATAACCTTCTTCGACTTACCAAAAGATACCAAGATACGAATCTTGCAATATGCTGGCCTGCTTCGACCCTGCCTGATCAACATCGCCTTTGAAACGCACCGAACCAAGACCGGTCGTGGTATATGCGGGAACGGTAACCCCATACGCATGACTAGGGTTTCATGGACAGGAACCTGGGTTGATCCTTATAACACGCCCTGCACTCACCCTGCGATTCCTATTCAGGCGCTCCAAACATGTCGTCAGGCTCGTACTGAGCTCGGGGCGTTTTTCTTTACCGAAAATCACTTCAGCATTTACCTTTACGGTCGGGTAGAATACAGGCTTTTTTGTGCAGCCACACGATGGGGTCTAAAGCACTTGAGAAATCTGCATTTGGATCTGGGGCCTCGAGAAAATCGATACCTGAAATTAAACGGTTCACTTCACAAAACAACTTGGACCGTGTGGTCACAATTTTGCTATAATTCCAAGGAAAGAATGCCTGCTCTGAGACGATTTAGTATGAAATGCAAGGTTAAGGATTTGGACATTGCCAGCAGACTGATGCGTACAATGGAGCCTTTTCCACTTTTGGCTGAATGCGCTTTCCACCTCAGCAATAAACCGGACGATGATATCCGTCCTGTTATAAAGAGAGCGGCCTCGAGGCTGACCGGCAACCTCGACGAGAAGCCCTCCTTTTCCTTTACGAAACTACCCAAAGAGGTGCAACTCATCGTCCTCGAGCATCTTTTGTGTGACTGCTCCGATCCATACTTACCTGCAACACAGCGCAGAGCGGGAATGGTTGGTTTCTTGGACCGAAAATTGCATCGGACGACTCAGTTCCCTCTTGCTTGCTGTGGAACATGCTCTCCTCTTCGTGCCATGTGTTTCTGTGAAGCTCGTCAGACCGCGTTCTCCACCACCTGCTCGTGCTTCTCCAGTCCCTTACCCTATTTCTTGGTCAGCCGCAACTTCTATGAGGATTGTCGGCGCATTTTTTTCTCAAGAACTATCTTTACATTTGTCGAAGAGGAGCCCGAATGTATCATGCGCTTTCTCAATACCGTTCCTACTTCGTCGTTTATGCAAATTCGCCATTTGTCTTTCAAATTTCCTAAATGTTGGAGAACTTTCCACAGATCGGCCAAAACTGAAGAGATAGCCCTTCTCTCTTGGTCTGTTCTGCGCCGCTTTATACGCGAACATTTTGATCTTGCGCGCCTGTCGCTAAGTATCGTGGACCTCGGTACAACAGAGACAATGCCAAACGCTAGCCGGATCAGGTACATGCGTAAAATGCTCAAAGCATTTTCGGAACTGCAGGGACTGCGAGAGTTCCGTGTGTATCTGGCAGCCGATCCTTCGTTTGAAAAAGAGTTAGAACGTGCTGTTACCAGCCGAGTGAGCGATGAAAGATATTGCCCCTACAACATGTCGACTCCAGAGCAACACTTATAAATGTCCGTCCCTACTCCCCGTTTCCACTTCATGCATTTCAAGCGGCGTTGGTGGTCTAAGGCGTACTACTGTCTACTTGCCCTTGCTCGTCATTGATCTATCTGAAGACTCCCTTCTGGTACCCATTTCCTTTCCTTTAAGCGTTGTTCTTCCGAGCTATGATTTCCCATTACCTGTGACTATCTGATACTTGATTTCTTAGCATGTATTCATATATTATACTTTTCGCTGTGATGTCATGGTATGCTTAGCATCCAGCTACAGCCAAATACTGTCAACATCAACATTTAACTCGGGGTATCATTTATGGGAATTCCTGAACAGAGCGAACGCTTGTGAAGTAATTCGGGGTAGAGGAATCCAAATATCTTTCAGTATGAGAAAAGCAACAATCATCCTGATGGAAAGTCCGAATAAATGATAATTATTCTTTTGCATTGCAAGCCAAACGAGCATATGATTAGATTCGGGATTTACCAGGGATATAGTTCTAAATATTTCCGATAGCGACCCGATGACAGCCACTTCCCCCAGGCATGAAGTAGCCGAAAAACTGCGAAAAAAAAATGGGGAGAGAGGCTCTTTACAGAAATTGCCCTTTACTGGCCACAAAAATCTGCATGAATTTCGTATGACAAGCCATTGCTTGCATAAGTTGAAGACTGAGCATCTCTGACTAAGCGTTTAATACTGCATCTGTTCCCCGCACGAGCTCCGAACTGCAAGATTTCAATTGACGCTCCATGCTTCAGCAACAACCCAAATCCACTCTCTGAAATCGATCCATAGAGGAAACAACGAAAATAGCTGTGGGATACGATCTACATTGGGAAACCTCTCCAGAACAGCCGCCTCACAACCCTACATGGCCCCGTCAACACCAACCCCAATCTCCATACCCCTCTTCGCCGAAACGCAACAAGCCCTCCTCCTAAAAGAGCACGAAGCCGAAGTCTCCTCGTCTAAACTTGCTAGTACTGCCTCCGCGTCCCCGTCCACACGCCGAACTCTCCAAGCAACCGGATATGCATTAACGGGGATAATCCTCTCGCAGTGTCGGACTGGGCTCGGAGGTCGGCTGGTCGGTGAATTCGCGGCCGACGCTGCTGTTCTGTCCTCATCGGGAAAGAAGAATGGCGGTGATGACGCGAGAGTCTCGGCGAGCGGGAAGGTGAGGCTCGGTGCGCATGGGATTCGGGTTGGTGATATTGTTCGTGTGAATGAGGTGGGCGGTTCGGGGGCCAAGAAGGTTGGAAAGGAGAAGGGCAAGGGTGGTGATGAGAGTAAGGGACCCGAGGGCGTGGTGACGAAGGTTGGGGAGAGTAGTGTGTGGATTGCGTTTGGGCAAAGGGGAGGGGGTGGTGGGCGGCCGAAGGAGGATGATGAGGTTGTTGAGGAGCTTTGGGGGAAGAAACTTTGGCTGTATGTTGCTCCCTCAGTGTCATGTCAGCTCGTGGTGTGCCGATGATGAGGTCGAATCATGTGGTGGTTGGCTACTAACTCGCGGCATGCAGGATCAAGCTTGCGAACGACGTGACGTATAGACGGATGAATCAGACAATGGAGAAGATGGGAAAATTGACGGAGTCAGGCTATACGCACTTCATCCGCGTTGCCTTTGGGCATACGACCCCTCTACCGCCAGACTACGATGCATCCGGAGAAGTTGAATTTGTGGATCCTACCCTGAACGACTCTCAGAAGGAAGCTATACGATTCGCGTTAGCTTCTAGGGACATTGCACTTATACACGGACCTCCAGGGACAGGAAAAACACATACCTTGATCGAGCTGATTACTCAGATGGTGAAGCGAAATCTTCGGGTACTGGTGTGCGGACCATCAAACATTTCGGTTGACAATATCGTGGAAAGGCTTGCTCCCAACAAGATCCCTGTGGTGCGCATCGGTCATCCGGCTCGTTTACTACCCTCGGTCCTTGACCATTCGCTGGAAGTCTTAACACAAACATCGGACGCTGCCGCCATTGTGAGAGATGTACGAAAAGAAATCGATGAAAAGCAGGCGAGTATCCGCAAAACGAGGTTTGGCAGGGAGAAACGGGCTATCTATGAGGATATCAAAGCGCTACGCCGGGAATTTCGCGAGCGGGAATCCAAATGCGTGGACAACTTGGTTCGCGAGAGCAGTGTCGTACTCGCCACGCTACATGGAGCAGGAGGTCACCAGTTGAAGAGTCAAAAATTCGATGTAGTCATCATTGACGAGGCTAGTCAGGCACTGGAGGCTCAATGCTGGATTTCGCTGCTATCGGCGCCGAAGGTGGTTCTTGCTGGTGACCACCTTCAGCTTCCGCCCACAGTCAAATCAGCTCTGCAAAAATCTAAGAGTCCAGTGGAGGGCACGGATAAGGCCGAAGCGGGAAGTGATACTCTGGAAAAGACACTGTTCGATCGGCTACTCTCGCTGCACGGGCCGGGAATCAAGCGAATGCTCACGACCCAGTATCGCATGCATGAGAATATCATGCGGTTTCCCTCAGACGAGCTTTACGATTCCAAGCTTATCGCCGCGGAGAACGTCAAGGCTCGGCTCCTAAAGGATCTACCTTATGAAGTTCAGGAGACGGATGATACTAAAGAGCCTGTGGTGTTTTGGGACACTCAAGGGGGAGACTTCCCCGAGAAAGTTGAGGATGAGGATATTGCTAAGAAGGAAGCACTGCTCGGTGAGAGCAAAAGCAATGAAATGGAAGCTTTGGTGGTAGCAAGGCATGTGGATAACCTGGTTCAAGCAGGTGTTCGACCTGAAGACATTGCCGTGATTACCCCGTACAATGGCCAGCTTGCGATCTTATCACAAATGCTACGGGAGAAATACCCTGGTCTGGAACTGGGAAGTGTGGATGGATTCCAAGGCCGAGAAAAAGAGGCTGTCGTCGTCAGCCTCGTTCGCAGCAACAGTGAGCAAGAAGTAGGATTTCTCGGAGAAAAGCGGCGCCTCAACGGTATGCTTCCCCTCCCTCCCACATGCTCCCCACCCGATCGAGGATCGACAGATTCTGACGTGATGCCAGTGGGTATGACTCGACCCAAGCGCCACCTCTGTGTCTGCGGTGACTCGGAAACGATCAGCAAGTACGTCTGCCTTTGTCCCAACATGTAGCTAAGGTGCAGCCCTGCGTTTGCGTGCTGTACAGATCTGACTCTCTTTCAGAGGAAGCGGCTTTCTCAAACGATGGATGACGCACCTCGAAGAAAACGCCGACTTGCGTTATCCTGACGCTGGAGAGTTGCTTTGAGCAATATCTGCCCAACTCCTCCGCTCGATGCAAGCTAGCCCGTCAGCAGCGGCCAGCGGTCAGATACGGGCCACGGCACGAGACATGTTGCTGAGACGTCTCCATGCTGATTGATCGGCACGGATATGCCGCTTTGTTCAGGTAAACTTCTGAGCATATTCGCCCGAGACAAGCTTACTCCGTACATGCTTTCGTGAACCAGGCTGTTTCGAGCCTTTATCCGTTGTGGCCTACTACTCGAGGGCTTCCGTCCTGGAACCTGACCACTCCGAACAATGCGCCGTGGTTTTGCGTGCGGTATAGACTCTGGAAGCTGCCTTGAGCTGGTAACCTCAGAACGGACAACCTTGCAAGTGCGGGGTTTCCACCACAGGGCAAATCCTTTGGCTGTTTCAGGCTTCCAGCGGATCCGGGAGAGAGAGACTAGGAGCCGCTTTGTGGCTTAACGCCGCTGCGCCAACTCATTATTTCTCATTATTCTGCACGTCGAATGGTCACGTTCCTGCCTGTATCCTGACGAGGATGCGCTGAAATCTGGTGTCACAACGTACATCTTTGATATGACAACAAAGGTATCATGTCGAAATCCTGTGAAACCTCGACGATATAGGAGGGCTTCATATTGGCCTGCGAAGATTTTCTGCAATACAGATAAACCAGGCAGCGATGAACAGCATGGAAGAGAGGATCGTCAGTCGTGCAGTTTGATGCTCTCGTAAGAACATTCTATTCCGCTCATAGCCTGTTCCAGAACACTATGACAACTAGCTGGTGGAGCATCTGCGCTGGAAGTGGATTCCCCCACGGCGGTCATCGCGTCGCAGATGGGCAGGATGCCAGGATCATTTGAAACAGAGATAGACCTCGTCAGACTCATCTTGCTCTGTCTCTGCGGCCTGCTGTTCAGCACAACGACATGCACAGTTGAATGGAGCCAAATCAGCATATTTTTTGCAACAAATAAGGAACTATTCTCCCCACGAGGCCATGAGAAAAGCGGAACAAACTCAAAATGCCGTCGCTTCTGGTTGGCTGGCTGTTAGTCAGGATTCAGGAACGAAGTTGAAGGAGCTATTAATAGCTGTAGAAGAAAACAATCCTCAAGAAGAGAGGATTTGAGAAGATAAGTTGACTCGAAACACATTGTAGCGGTCAGTCTGTACAGCTGTCCGACGCCTGAGAGCTGAGTCTGACTTTGGTGTTCTGGGACCAGATGCTGAAACGCGGCTGGTCAGCACAGACTCCAAGACTCTCTCCATCTCACCTCCACTCGTCAACCTGGACCGAACCTCTTGTAATTTCCCTTCTCCGCCTCTCCTTGTTTGTCCTCGCTGCTTCGTTCTCGTCTTCTCGCTTCCGTGGTTCTCTTCGGTCGTCGCTATTTCTAATTCTAGCTCACTTTTGTTCTCACTTTAAAGTACTCTTTGTTTGACGTCGCCGGGCAGGTCAAGCGGTGCTTTGAAGCTCTCTCCTCGATTGGCCCACCTCCCCATATCTCAAACGCCCGTCTCCATCGGCCATGCAGCACGATTCAGCAGCGTCCACCAGTCTTTGCTTGACAAGCGATTATTCTGCGTCTCACCCTGTCTGATAAGCTCCACAGATCCCGTCTGTCCTTTCGTTTTTCACCAGGAGCCACGACTTTATTGCGTGCCGGCCGTGGCTTGCACCTGTCAGCCTCTGCTGCGCTGCCTTCTCTTTGTCTTCCAAGATCCCCGTCGACCTCGCTTCGGCCTTCGGACTGGCCAGCCAACCTTGCCGCTCTTTGACTTTAGTCTTTTGGTGACCTCATGCCTATGATCGTCTCTTAGATGCTTCTTCGCTCTTTGCTTTTTCCTTCCCAGTCTTTCGTTGAGTCTTGTTGGTCATACGGCTGGATTGGATATACTCAGCTTACGGGTTCTCCTATCCACCGAACTTCTATACCTACCCAAAGACTCTATTATATTAAGCCTGGAGTATTTCCCGTCAAGGTAAAAGATACCCCTCTAAAGGCTTTTGGTTCGTTTGTTGCTGACCCCTGTTTGGCACTTCTTTTAGCCCACCAATCCGGGATACCCTTCGTCGTGACTTTACTCCAGTCGAACACCATCGAGACTTTCATACATATACCCCAACTTTCTTCGTTGACGCTCGCTTACACTTTTTTTCATGCATAAGCATCTATTTGTTTTATCCTGGGATCGTACCGCCATAAACGTTTGGCTGCCATACTGAGACGTTCTTTCCCACATATACGCACCTGTTGAGACTATACTTCGATGTGCGCAAACACTCGATTATCTCGAATCCCACCCCACTGATTCTGTGCACATGCCCCTCGAAAGAAAGATGTCGAGACCGATTGTAAGGAGTAATTCGGTTAGGAGCCCTCCGACGCAACGCGACCTCTCAGCGCCGGCCATACCTACAACTGATGCAGAATCATTTGACACTGCTTTACCTCCCATGAGCTCCAAGCAGCTAGTGGTAGCAAATCGTCGACCACAGGGCGGAATGCAGCGTCTCCCCTATCCGCAGAATGTGACCTCGATTACTGGTAGTCCTGGTGGGCACCGCCGGACAGGGAGTACGCTAAAGACGGTCATGAGGAAGATATTCACTCGAAACAGGCGGAGCCGAGCGGACGAAGTTGATGATTCCGTACAAGACTTTGAGTTTGGCAGCCAGTTCGGGAGCAATATCGGACCCATCGGAGGCAGAAATGGCAACGGGTCACCAAATCCAACTAAGTCTGAAAGCTCAAAGCATAGTAGCCAGCTTCAGCAGAACGGCGAAGCTTTAACTACACTAGATGTCGTATTGAAACACCTGGATACAGAACCACGTCAAAGACGAGCGACTTTACCCAGCTTGATATTTTCAGACGAGGGATCGCGCCACGCACTGGAAGCAGTCGTTCACCCTGGAGAAGGCGCGACACTCAGAAAATTGAGCCCCCATGCGAAGAGTGACCCGGAAGAGGTACAGCAGGGTCAGTTCCGGAGTATAAAAAGGCGCTCCCGGAGCGCTGGCGCACTACGACTCATGGCTAAAGAGCACCGCATGTCGCCGATTCAGTGGAGGAGACCGCGGAGCGCAGAGTCAGATTATGGTGCGTCCACAACGCACGGCATTGCTTCTGACAGCGAAGCGTCTTCTCGACCTCCGACTCGAACCACAGTTGCCAGTGCTTCAGCTAGCATTTCTAAACCTTCTGCAGAGGTGTCTGTCTTTGAAGAGGACGAGCCGGAGGATGAGCCGGAAGATGAGCCGGAAGATGACGAACCTAGCCTGCCCCCAAATGTTGGAGAACTCATCAGCTCCATGCAAAACGACGAAAATGCGACGTTGGAGCAACGGCTCACCACCCTAGAGGTTAAGCTCATCGACCTGGAATTCGCTATAGCCCGCATGCAGAGCGGACGTGGAGACTCTCCAGGAGATTCGCCAAATTCGAAAACCTTGCAAGACTCGTCTCGCCATAAGCGCCAGAAGTCGTCGGGCTTATCTCCGCCAACGCGAAACGAACGCTCTCCCACACCAGAACAGGTGGCGGCTGCTGATCGACCGGTTAGCACGAGCACTATCCGGCCTAGCCTGAGTGACATTCACCGCGCACGCGCCCTGCAAGCCCCATCGATGGTCTCCTTAAGTGATTCGGGGGCCATATCTGTGCAACAATACAGTGCGCTGGTTATGCTACTGCGACGAGAGCAAACCGCGCGAAGAAATCTCGAACAACAAGTCACAGGCCTCCGGGAAGACATTGAGCGACTCCACGGTATGGCCCGAGACTCAATCGGCGTCGGTACAATGTACCCTATCCGCAGCGTCGAGTCCCAGGAGTATCTCCGCCTACGACCAGGCGAATCCCCAAGCAGCTCTCCCAGACCAACGGACGAGAAGATTACTCCTCGCTATGAAAGCGATTCAGACTGGTCCGAGCGGGCGAAAGAAGACCGCTTTCGACCATGGCAACCCACACGTCGGATCGAGGTTGCCAACATGATATAACCTCCCCACGCCGAACCAACACACCCTCTCAACTTAACCCTCCTTTCTACCTGAGCAGACATTTTTGACATTAGACTTCATTTCTTCGTGATGACGATTTGAGATACCACTTTACATCTTACTCTCTTCTATTTGTTCATTGTGAGCGATTTTGTCTTGCCCTGGCTCTACTGATGTTGATTGCCATGTCAACCATATCTCTCGTCTCTTCACGACTCTTGATATCTTCTTGATTCCCCATAGCGTTTTTGAATTTTTCAATATCCGAAGAGGCCGGTTCCTGAATCCAATCCAAGTTCAAATTCATACATCTAAATACAAAATAATAAATATAGATACAGGTAAAATCAGTAATACAAAAAGTCTACCTAACGATGGTAGCTGTATAGAGAAAGAAATCCCAGCAATAAAGATGCACCGACAAATGCGATGGTAGTCCTGAAGTCGTCGGCTTGACCAGGACGGTAGAATGGACAGGCTTTCAATCAATCAACTTTGAGATCCCTTGCGCCCTGCGGCACAAACTCAAGTCTCTTCCCAAACACCCCTTTTGCCCTTCCCACAAGCATTCCAAGCACGTACCCAATATACGCCCCGGTAAGAATCGTGATCGGATACGCTTGCCACGGCCGATCCCTGTACACACAAGAAAACATTAGCCAAACCCAGCCTGACCCAAGATATATCCCAATAGATACCCCGAGAGAAAGACACCAAAAAAAAAAAGGAGAACCTACCAATCCAACGGAATCGGTACAGCCCCAAACCAAGCCCCTAGACACGTCCCCAACGCACCACCCCAAACGGCATCAGCGGGCCTCGATGCGCCCCAGATCTCGCGCCAGATCTCGCCGTCGACGCCGTGCGCGTAGATCAACGGGAAAGCGGAGAGGAGCGCCATGTGCGCGGCGCAAAGGAAGGTTAGGGCGTGGTGCGTTGTTAATGGGGCGCCGAAGAGGACGAGGAGGAGGGCTAGTGTCGGCGTTGCCAGGAGGATTGTTAAGGTTAGGGAGAGGAGAGCGGGCTAGGGTTTTTTTTATTTTTCGTTAGTAGTTTACGAGGAGTAATGAATTGAGCGGAAGGAACGTACAGTGAGTTTCCACGCAACGGAGACGAGCCCTGTACTCCATGAAGAACCCTTTGAGGCCGAGTGTCCGCGGCGCTTAGGACCGGTGGTCTTTCTTGTCGTTCCGTCTGCGGATGTGCTGCCGTCTTTCTCTGCGCCCGCGGGTGGCAGACATCCCATCACATAGACGGCCTGAAGGCCGACGAGGAAGGGGATGTCGCTAAGGAGCTCTGCGACGGGGTCATGGACGACAGAGCTGAAGCGGTAAGCGACTAGGGAAAGGAGAATGGCCGGGTGAGCGAGGGCATAGCCGCGTGCGAACTGCGAGGAGAGGATTGAGACCGGTGGGTGGGAGGGTTTAGGTTTTGAGGGGGTTGATGTTGAGCTAGGAGCTGTTTGTTGAGCGGGGGCGAGGGATTGAGAGGCCATTGTGTGGATGATACTGGGGCAGGGGGAGGATTGAGAATTAGAGAAGGGGTGGTTAGGCGCCGGGCGCCGGGTAGGTTGTGTTTCTTTTCTTGCGGTGCGTCGGTGAGCTCGGAGCTTTGAAAGTGGAAGTGTCGGAGATGACGGATGGAGTTTGTATGGAACTAACTCATGTTGGTGTTTGTTTGGTTTGCTTCGTGGGGGGTACTACGGAGTACCATTACTGCCTGAGGTGTCGGCATTTTCCTGCAAAATAAACTGGCTAATGGTGAAATTTTCTTTTTAAGAACATAGTACATCATTCGTGAGGCGTAACGAGCATCAGGGGTTGGGGTATGAGAACAGCAAACATCAAGGCAGAGCTAAGCATACAGTTCCGGACCTCGTCCGGGGAAATACAAAGGAAACTGTCCCCGACAAACCAAATCCGTAGATAATGACATAAAAGAAAGAGATTCATCTATCGTGGTAAGAGTACCTCAGCCAAGGTAGTGTATCCAAGATCAGTGTGAGGATTACGCATATGCCCGATTATGTTTATTGGGTTTGAAGTGTGGACTCGGTTTTCTCGGCCTCCTTTTTGTTTTCGACGGCAGGTGTTTCAGGTTGAATGACCTCTGTGGGAGCAGCTTGCTCGACTGCTTCATCATCGGCCTTCTCATCAACCTTTTCAAGTGGCTTTTCGTCGGTCTTCTCAATCGGATTAAATGGGTGCACAGGACTGTCAGGAGTGCGGGGTTCTTCTGGGATAGCTGGAGGCAATCCTGAGCTCGGCAGAGGAGATACTGGTGAGCTCACTTGCGCATCCTTTGGCTCACGGTTCACGTCGATCGGAACCGGTCGATGACTTGCGTTCTCCTTGGTAGGAAGAGGTAAATTCTGACTAGACGTAGATTTTTCTACGTCTGAACGGGCAGCAGGGCTTGTGGTCCGATCCCTTTCCGGCTCCCTCACACCGTCTCGGACCTGTGCAACCTTGGCCTTGAACTTCCCAAAAAGACTTCGTTTTTCGGGTTCGGAGACTAGGTTCTCCTTGGAGGCACCATTGTTGTGGACTTCTGCATCTAAACTCAGTGGCTGATAAGAGGGATCGTTGGCAAACTGTTGCAGATCGGACGGGGAACTTTTGCTGGTGTGGTGCCAGCTGCCAATTGAGCTTGTACTGCGATCTGCTCCAGGGCTTGAAGCAGTGAGTGGTGGTGATCCTAATCCCAGGCCGATTTGTTCGTTGCTTCGCTTGGCGGATCGCGGGAATCGCCAGCTTCGGCGGTGGTCTTTGCGCTCCGCACGCGCGGCCTCGTCGTTGTGGTCAACATCAGAATAGTCTGTAAAGGATGAACGAGAGTTCATAGAAGGCGTTCGTGAGCCGTGCGGGCGGAGCGCGTCCGTGGTCCCTCCTTCAGAATGGCCATCCCGCTTCTCGGGTCGTCCGACCCGCTGGATGTCAAATTCCTCATGGTTCAGGTTGTTAGGTGGCTTGGGTGTGGCGCCTCCATCGTCATTAGAAGACTCTGAGCGGGCGGGGACTTGAGAGGCGATCAAAGCGGACTCGGAGGTTGCGGCCTGAAGAGAGACTGAGGAGCTATGTGCGCTCTCACTCGTACTTCCAGGAATCCGCTTCTTCTTCAGTCTATTTGGCTGCCGCGGCTCTTTGTCCCCACCTGGGGGAGGAGACTTTGTGAAAAAACTGGAGAGCTTCCGCTCTTTTGTAGGCGTAACAACAGCGGGTGGTGAGGGCGAAACTGTTGTGGGTGGCAAAGCAATGTGTTGAACAGGCTTCTCGGGAACACGCTCAATGTCGGTAGACGGCTTTGGCGTTGGTCCATGTTTAGCCGAGTGAACGTACACGGCTCCTGGGGTGGCCTCTGGATTTGCAGGCGGCGGTGGGGTCTGCAAAGCGACGCCAGTAGACGGAGGCGTGCGGCTTGAGGATCGAGAATGTTGCGTAGTTGTCGGACCGGGAGAGTTTAGATTTGTGGACTCAACAACTCGGCTGTACCGTGGCGGCGGAATTGCAGGTGACATTTTGGACGGTAAGGTGTTACTCCTGTGCACTCCTGAACCTCCTAAGGACGTCGGGGTCGCAGGATTAGAGGCATTGTTGGAGGCACGCGAGTTCTTGGATGAAATAGAGACATTCCTCCGTATAGACCCATACTTTCGGAAGCTGTCCGCTCCCCCGCTAGCGCTCGATACTGAGCGGCGAACCGTCGACTGTGATGTCGGCGGCCTGGTATTACCAGATTCTACTTCTTTGACGGTTTGCTCATCCGCGGCCGTACCATTCATGCCAACAAGGAAATGGTCCTGGTTTTCGATCAGAAAAATCAACACGTCCTGGCTCAACTTGTACTCGTCTGGCGACATGTCATGCTGTGGGTGAGAGAGTAAGCCGGGCTGGAAGATGGCAGAAAGATTGGCCGAGTTCATGCGGTTCTGGTCGGATTTTGACGCGAAAACTGCCAGCAAATCAAGAATGTAGAGCAGTAACTGCTTGTTCAAAGGAGGAAGCTCTCTGATAAGCTGCTGGTAAGCGGCAACCGCACTCGAATGCTCGTCCGCTTGCGATTCTGGAGGCGACCCATTTTCTTGGGCGCGAGCCTGGAATTTGCGCAGGGGTTCTCTAAATCGTTCGTAGAATTCCAAGGGAACAATCGGTTCAGGTAGCTGGTTGAGGTAGCGCCGAAGAACATTTGCAGCATCATGCACAGTGTATCCGGTCCAATCTAATCCTTTTCCGTATCGCTCGGGAGAATCGAACACCTCCTGCAAATCCTTGATACGTTTCGCGGATCCATTGAGTCGGAAGATACCCTCAACATCCGTCGCTAGCAGATATTAGTTTGAACCGACCATTAAGCAACCTGGGCCTGTACCTTTTTCTTTCAAGAACACTCCGCATTTGGCGACGACTATGGGCACATACCCATAGATAAAGCTCTCTCCATTATCGTTTGTGAGCGAGATAGCGACATTCGCATACTTGATGCTGACTTTGAGTGGAACGCCGAAGATGCCCTGGCGTGTGTTCTCTAAAACCCCTCTGTTAGTGACGATGCGTCAAACGACCAAGAAGAACAGCCAGGCGCCCGTGGGGCGAGACTGTGCGCCACCTCCAGGAGTGCGACGACGAGGACCAGCTTGGGAGGGAAGCTGAGATAGCCTGTCGCATCATCAAGGCAGTTCTCTCGAACACCGGCAACTGAAAAAGTTGCTAACTCTAACAAAGCTGCCTCCACACGTACCTTTCGGCTCCTCCTTCCTTGTATTCCTCTTAAACTGTCTCCACCAGGTTGTAAGGTCTCGTCGTGACGGCGGCGAAGCGGGGTTGGCTTCAGGCTGATGTGCTGTCGGCGGAAGCGATTGGAACGCTTCAGCACCGTGCGACTTGCCGGTTACCATCGTGAAAGGGAAGGTGTATCAAAAGGCGAAGAGGATAAGGTATGATGTAGGTTCGAGTCGAGATGGCGAAATCGATGACCGTAGACTATTTCGTCACTGCCGCCGTTGCTGCAAAGCAGATTCTGGGGCTGGGATGACGGTGATCCCAAAATAGCACGGAAGCCTGGGGAATTACCGCGCAGGCCGCAACGACCCAGCGAGGCAGAAATAAGAATAAGGCTGCCGAGGCACGAATCGACGACTTTTCCAGATCAATGTGACGGAAACAGGCGGATTGGAAAGTTAAGCAGAAAGCTGAGTAGTCGTCGATCGCTGGGAGGGGATGAGGGGAGCAAGCGAAGGATCGAAGAAAGGGTGAAAGATCGAGAGCACCAGAGAAAGGCCGGCCAGGAGTCAGTGGGTGGTCAACCTCAGGCTGACAGGGGAAGATTTGGGCCCCTCAAGTTCGGAGCGAAGCAGGGTTCAACGGAAGGAAGATGTTCAAAATCCACAAGCAATGAAGACGATGGAGAAGAATATCATGAAGCGGTGAATGGAGCAGCGTCGGTGGAACACGCTGGAGAGTCGAGGCTGCACACACGACCAGAGGGGTGACCAGTCATTAAATTGCTCTCCAGAACTTAGATTCCAGTATGCTTCGAGACGGGAGGGCTATCGTTATTACTATCAACGGTTGTATTATTGATCCATGGGTCATGTAATAAATATCCCGAGTTAAGACCCTTCTCCGTCACCCAGTCGCAAGGAACCAGAGAGGCGATCTCGCCTACAACGTACTCCTACACGGGCATTGGTTCTGGAACGGGGTTTTCTAGACACAAGGGATCCTCTTTGGATGATGATCCCCAGTCTTCTGGCGAACAAATCTCCCGGTGCACCAGAGCCTTAATATCCTCTTGATATGCGGACTGGAGCGTGCTGTCGTCCGCTGGGAGATCTTCATTTTCGACTCTGTGGCAGATTCGCCTCCCAGAGACGCCAATATGTTGGCGAAAAGACGTCGGAAAAATTAGAGTTGGAGACATCGATTATACTGAGGGCCTGCAAGGCAAATTGTCCAACAAAGGCTGACAGCTTTGAAATTGGATGCAACCTCGAGACTCTCAAACGCACAGCCGCGCTATCAGCACCTTACCGCGGCATCCACATTAGTGTGGCTTACCTCCAGGCAAACAAATGAATAACCAACACCCTAGTGAACAACCCCTGTGAATTGGACAGCTGTATCCCCCAGTCATGGCGGGCAAAGGATTGTCTGTCCCCTGGCGAGGATTCTCAGTTATTCGGTTGACGGTCGATCCCGGAAGGCCGCTCAGCAGTAGTAAATTGGCTTGACTCCATCACAGGTCTCACAACCATGGATCTGTCCATCCCACTGGGACAGGGTCTAGGCTCTCGATCAGCTCGTGGATGGAGTGTTCTTTTTTTAAAAAAAAACCTGAGTCAGCCAGCAACCGTTGACATCAGGGCAGGCTACAGCAGGGCCTGAGGCACGCCTTCCTCATTCGGTAAAAGAACGCTTGACCGAAATCGGTGGGCTGAGTAATACTATATCACGTGATATAATTTCGTCACGTGGTGTCATGCGAGCTGAAGAGCTTGCGAATGATGCTGAGCTCTGGAGCTTGTGAGAGATAAGTGCCAGAATATTGTTGCTACAACTACGCCTTCTCCTCTTGAAGCTCTAACCACTTATCTACAACTTATACCATAATGGACGGGTCAGTGCTTCCTGCCTTTATTTTTTGCCTCTGTATCAAGATATAACTTTATTCCGGCTCCTCAATAACTTGCGGATTATGATACTAACTCGCCCAGACTTACGGCCGCTGAACAGCGCGAGTTCGCTTCTCGCATGGAGCGAAAGCAGATGAAGGAGTTTATGACTGTATGTTGCATATCTTCGCGAATCCCGTACTTTCTTTTCCTTCAATCCCGCGTACCAATAGTCCCACAATTCCGACACTGACCGGTTCATCTTTCTCAAGATGTACTCCAAACTCGTCCAGCGATGCTTCGATGACTGCGTCAACGACTTCACCACCAAGTCCCTCATTTCCCGCGAAGAGAGCTGCACCATGCGCTGCGTGGACAAGTTCCTCAAGGGATCCGCCCGTCTGAACGAACGCTTCCAGGAACAGAACGCTGCCATGATGCAGAGCGGACAGTTGCCGGGACGTTAAACGGATTCGTCTTTTCGAATTTTCTTCTTTGTTTTATTCGGCTATGTTCTGTGTATACTAGACTTCAATGATACTCGCGCCTATGCCTGGCTGGATATGTGGCAGTGGTTCAGACCGTTCACCCTTCTCGCATCTTCATCCAACGACACCCAAATCTTCTCGAACGGCGTCCTTCTGCGCTGGCTGTCTCCTCTCTACCTATATTGTTGCCTTCTTGTGGGCGTCAGGCGAAACCCCAATGATGTTCGGTAGGGGCTTGCGGTCCGGTGGGACGAACTCCATGCGCGCAGCAACACTCTCCCAGATCTTGCTGCTATAGTAGTCTTTCCAGGTCTCCGGCGTGATATCAAAGAGTAGCATGAAATTTGAGAAGCTGAGTTGACTCACAGGAATCATCCGGTACGATTTCTCGGACAAGTTATTCAAAGGTTCGACATCGCTTGCGAGGGATTGCAAAGCAGCATGGACAACCTGAATCCAAAAGTACGCTTGTGTCTCCGAGTACGGAGGGATACTGGAGTCCACCGTCCGAAGACGTATCGTTGTCGTCTCTAGCGAAGTCAGGGCGTCTTTTACCACTGCACCGCGGCGCAAACCCGAAGCTTGTATATGCTGAACAATGGCAAAGGCAAAGCGAAGAAGTCGATCATCGTTCTCTTCCTTGATCTGGATGCCAGGTTCTGCCTGTGCCGGGCTAGGTTTTAATGTGGGGAACTGTTGAAGATCTGGTGCCGTCCACGACTCCCGGGCTTGTGGGCTAAACAATAGGCCCTTGGTATAATACAAGCTCCAGAGCTTCGTGTTCCTGAGCGAGGGTGTCTGCAGCAAAACGTCTTGAAAGTCAACCCAAGCCGGGAACTGGCCGAGGCCTTTGTCGATTTTGTAATTCCAGATAGCCAGCTGCAATTGCACAAGCCAGAAGATGGTCATTGTCCTGCCCGTCGACTCAGCAATTGCTATTGTTCGGCGCTGAGTGGTACTTACTGGTGTTGTGTGTTCCTAAACCGATCAGGATGTGCCTCTTTCAGCCTATTCAAATGCGCTATAAACGTGTCCGCAGTGGCGAAAATGCTTTCGCCGTTTTTAGTGGACTCCAGGGCGATAATGTACCCAGCTTTGAGATGACTGCGATGATCCCATGCCGGTATATCAGCGGAAAGGAAAGCTTCCCAGAATGACTTGCAGTCCATGGTATCCTCGCTCCCTTCCTTTTCAATAATTGCCCTGAGCTCTTCCTCGGACGTCGGGGCTTCCTTGGGCTGAATCTCACTCTTTCCTGGTCGCCAGCTAGCCACCCTAGAGTTCATGGACATAGTTTTATGCAGTTCGGCCATGACTTCCTCCAAGCCCTCCCCAGTCTTTGCACTCACCTTGTGCTGCAGAACCTTGTACTCCACGTAGTTCCGAACCTGGGACAATTCCTTCTCATATATTTGACGCAGCCCTTCAAGATACGTCTCGCGCTCTTCAAGGTCCTCTTGCCTGGTGGGAACAATCCAAATGTACTTGGTCTTCGCTTCAACCATATCCCAAAGGAAATGACGAAGCCACTCGGGGGTCACGGGTTCATTTGTGTCCGCGCAGTTATGCAGAAACAGCACCAAGGTTTCCGGCTTGAGATAGAACCGCAGTAACGGGTAGATTCTGTCACATCCTGCTGCACCCATTACTTTTCTTAGTTCCGTGACGACAACGTTTGGCCTGGCGGGGACACTTACCTCCGACATCCCACATTTGCCAATGCCATCCCCTGGGATATTCAATAGTCTCGCAATTAAATCCAATCGTCGGCATCGTTGTGACAAACTTATCGAGCTTTAGCCGGTAAAGAAGCGTCGTCTTTCCAGACTCGTTGTTTCCGACGATTAGCACTGGGTACTCGGTTGAGCCGAACAGCCATCGCGACAGGCCTTTGAACATGATGGGATTGTTTGCAACTCTCGTCAATCTGTGCTTCGTTTTTACCTTTTTCGATCGAACGTTCTTCTCAACAGATATATATGTCCGAAAACTGGCGCCTGTGTGAGGCAGAAGGCACTGTCATGCCACGGTGTCAAAATGTTCAGCTCCCTCGTATTCTCGCCTGTTTCTTCCTGACGATCGTCTCAGCCCACATGCTGAATTAATACAAAGTCAAGCACATGACGAACGGTTGAACATCCAGCCATAGTAGTCTAGAAGCGGGCTATTGTGAGGAGACTAGTTTGTGCACGCTGGCCTAGGAGCGCATCACTGCGAGGAATTCGGTTGTTTATTCCCCAGGCTATAGCTACACTCTTTTGACGTGTTCATGCGTACTGCTGCTACCGATTGATAAGAAAACCGGGGCGTGCGAGAAACGCTCGCTGTGTTTCTGGGCGGATTTTCTCTTCCACCAAGTTCCGAACCCAATCTCCAATCGAAAATGACTCGACGGACGGCATCCGCATGTACGCTCGGAAGATCCGATAGCCCAGCCATACCCCCAAATCATGGGTTTTAAAGACAGTCAAGAACCCATTGCCATCGTTAAATAGCTTCTCGCAGCCTCCCTCATTTACAGCTTCTGTGTCCTCCGCTCTATACTTTCTAGAACTTGACTCATACAGAACATCCTCAACTGCAGACCTCAACACAATGACCCTCATTCACATCGGTTAGTATGCACCCAACCTTTAAGTTACTCACATATCTAATCCCATTTTAGTCCTCTTCAAGTTCCGTCCCGAAGTCAGCGAGGAGCACAAGCAGACATTTATAAGGGAGCTAAAGACATTGAAAAAACTCCCGTGTGTCAAAGATGGCCGCCTTATTGTCGGCAGCCCTAGTGTAACGGATCCCATTGAACGCAGCAAAGGGTTCCAGATCGCTCTTGTCAGCTATCATGAGAACCAGGCAGCCTTAGCGGAGTATCAGGCGAGCAAGGAGCATCATCGGTATGTATCAACATCTAATTTCCTTAGTCTATAATTATTGTACGCAAACTAACCCAGTACTGATGGCAGAGTCACATCTACATACATGTTTCCATACAAGGAGGATCTAGTCCGGTTTGATTTTGAGGTTGATGTCGAGGATGAATATATGTGTCAATTTCCGCTAGCTGAGATATCTTAGTCTATAGAACAAATACTAATTGGTTACTACCCTTAATTGCAAATATCGTGATTCTCTTCTATAATATGGGCACCTGACCATCCATTTGTCGGGTACTTTCCGTCCAACGGCCCACTTGATTTCCCAAACTTCAACCCCCACAGAACGCTGCGAACAACAACGGGAATTCCGATCGACCAGTATATGAGCAGTTATAATGCTCCTACACATTAACCGTCGTCACTTCAGATATTTACTTTGATCACCTTCGACTTAGTCTGAAACCACAATGGATTCACCACGAAGGGCGCGGAACCGGGCCGCCTGCAAACGCTGTCAGAAACGGAAAATCCGCGTACGTGAGGCGAACTCCCAATATAGTCGCAGCAAAAGCTGATTCTGCTCTTAGTGTGATGGCAATTTGCCTACATGCGGCTCTTGCCGTAAGGCAGGTGTGCCTTGCATCAATGATGGGAAGCAGGAAGTTCATCGCTCGTTTGCGGCCCAGAGTCTCATGTGTGCGTACCATACTGACTACTTATAAGGTACATTGCGAATATGGAGAACCGAATCAAGTGGCTAGAAACCATTGTCCGCGATAAATGCTCTGATGTCGACCTTGTCCGCGGACCCGAAGGTCTACCAGATGATCTGAATGAGATAACGCAGCTCGAGACCCCTATTGAACCAGGCCAGGGTCCTAGTCTCGATGGTCACCATTCGTCGCAAACTAGCATCCACGAAAGAAACGAGCCACAAGCCGAGTCGAATCCGAGGATAATAGTTTCCCGTGAGGAAGGTAGCGTTCCACAAGCATCGCCCGCAATCAATGAAGAACCTCAGCAAGCACACGAGATAGGGCTGGTGTCCCTGTCTCCAGGAGGGGATCCTCGGTACATCGGCCCATCTAGTGGCTATTTCTTCGCACAACGCATTCTCTCCAGCGCTGGCTGTCGTCAGACAATCAGAGCATCGACGCAAGCCGCGTCGGATTCAGCTCGTCTGTCCCTCGAACTCTTGAACACCCCAGCACCGCTGCCAATACAGAAAGAAAGCGCGATAGATCTATCTGACAAGTACTTCCAGACGATTCACATTCTCTATCCATTCTTGCATAAGCAGTCGCATATGGAGGCTATTGCCCGAGTTTACGCGTCGCAGGAAGCAAATCCACTGGAGACCTTCCAAGTTTACATGGTTCTCGCAATTGCTGCTTTAAATCTGTCGCGCCAGTGCAAACTACACCTCCCTGTGGAGGGCTATCATGCGTCGGCTATGAAACATCTTGATTACATTTGCAATCACGGTTCTGTGGCTTCCCTTCAGTGTCTCCTTCTCCTCATGGTGTACGCATTGTACAACCCTTCCTGCAATGTCAACATCTGGAACCTCAACTACCAGTGTCTTGCAAGTGTGATTGACCTTGGGCTTCAGCGCGATGTTCGCGCCTCCTCATCTCCGCACATCACAATGTTTGAACAAGAAATGAGAACTCGCATATTCTGGGTAGCATACACTTTTGACCGAACAGTATGCACCATGATGGGGCGGCCGATTGGTATCAGAGATGAGGCCTGCGATTTAAGGGTACTGATTACCAGCGCGCGTCATAATTCTAAGCTAACGTATGAGGGCAGTTTCCGCTATCAATATCAGATTCTGATCTGTCGTATTCGAAATTAGGGTCACAGACTTGCAACGAAACGCCTTCGCACATGTCCTACTCAGTACACCTTTTTGGACTGGCCAAATTGAATTCGGAGATCAAATATATCATGCATAGCGTCAACCGCGATGCCCCCGCATATGCGCTCCCAGCCGTAAGGGATATCTCCACTTGGCAACAGGACATGATCCAATCCCTTGACGTCTGGCTTTCAGAGATCCCGGTGCAAGTACCTGGAGTCCATTCTGACTTGCTGCTGCTGTGTAAGGTCAGGTACCATGAAATGATGATACTGCTGCTACGACCTAGCCCGGGAATTCCGAATCCCCCGGACGATATTCTAAACAGTTGTTTCCAGCATGGCCTTGTATTACTCCAGGTGTTTGGCGACTTGTATGCCAACGGCGATCTCCTTTACAGCAGGCTGGTTGTGCATTCAGTCTTCCTTGGTACTTTGGTTATGCTTTACTGCATTTGGAGGCTCCCATGGACGGCTGCAAAGATCCCTGTGGGCGACCTGATTTCAAGGTTCAATACCGCACAAAATATCCTCAGCAGTATTGGAGAGCATTGGTCCGAGGCGACGCGATCTCGTGATTGTATCAAAGAGTTATCTACTGTCACCATTCAACGACTATTAGGAACCCATTCTACAATTGCTGATACAGCACAACCAAATCAACCGGGCCCGGAATATCAACCGAGCGAAGGCCAAGCGCAACGGTATCAAGTCGACAGAGGTCACGGCGAAGGAGTCCCCCGAGCACATGCGAATAGTGACGCAGATCCGTGGTCTCTTGGAGAGACCCAAACGGCTTTTGACATTTCCACCACTGATTACTCGAATTTGTTTGATGATTTCCTGCAGGGAGATTTCCCGGGCTGGAGTGGTATGTCTGATATTGATGGGCTTATGTGGGAAGTATTCAATACTTCCACGCACTGACACAAACTCTTCAAGACAAATGAAAACTGGCCCACCAAACAATAATCTTCTCAGAAGAATAGATAGATAATCTATGATGCACCAACATAACAGTTGACAGTTGCCGGCAGAGCGGGTCTTCCCCGCCGTCGGAGTCTTTCCGACATATCCACTGAGATGCGGATGCCTCCGTTGATTTCTCTCCTCTACCTCACCTACAAACCATAAAAGCTTCAGCCTCTTCACTTGGGTACAAATAGTACAGGCGTGAATTAGGAACAATCTTCTTTGCCTCTATTATTCCCTAAGAAAACTCCTCTCTAATTCCGCCCACCTTCGTTGTCAGCACAGCATAATGTCCGAACCTTCGAACACAAAACAGCAGATCCACCACATCACATATCCAGACTTAGAGGACTTTGTCCGTCGAGTGTTGGTAGGAAATGGTGTTCCTGATAAGCATGCTGCCATTGTCGCCAATTGCCTGGTGCAGGCCGACTTACGCGGCGTCGACACTCACGGCTCCAACCGCATCCCCTCATACATGCAAAGAATCCGACAAAAGGTTCTAGACCCATCATCGTCTCCAGAGCTACAGCAGATTACTCCAGTCGCAGCATCTGTGGATGGCAAAAACACCTTCGGCTTCGTCTCCGCCCACCTAGCGATGCAGAGGGCCATCGAGATGGCCCAGGAGTTTGGACTAGGTCTAGTCTCCGTCAAGCACTCCAATCACTTTGGCATGTCGGCCTGGCTCGTGCAGCAGGCGATCGACGCAGGCATGATGTCCCTAGTCTTCACAAATTCCTCCCCTGCGCTCCCTGTGTGGGGCGGCATGTCCAAGCTCATGGGGGTATCGCCAATCGCATGCGGCGCGCCTGCGGGGAAGGAGCGCCCGTTTATCCTAGACATGGCGCCGTCCGTTGCGGCGAGAGGGAAAATTTACAAGGCGCTCCGCCGCGGGGAGAAGATCCCCACGGACTGGGCACTCGATGGCGATGGCAACATCACGGACGATCCCGCCAAAGCACTCGAGGGCGTGATGTTGCCGATGGGCGGACCCAAAGGATCCGCTCTCGCTATCATGATGGACGTTTTCTCTGGTGTGCTCTCGGGTTCCGCGTTTGCTGGGAACGTAACCGGTCCGTATGACCCGTCAAAGCCGGCAGACGTCGGTCACTTTTTGATGGCTATCAAACCGGATCTGTTCGTGAGTCTGGAGGACTTTAAGGCTCGCATGGACTACTTGTATCAGCGGGTAGTTGGGAGTGATAAGATGGCAGGTGTAGACCGCATCTACTATCCTGGAGAGATTGAACAAATTACGAGGGAGAAGCGGTTGGTGGGGGGAATTCCGTTTACAGAAGCAGAAATTGAGAGCCTCAACAAGGAAGCGGAGCTAGTGGGAGTTGAGAAGTTGAAGTACGATGATGTAGGTACCCTGTGAAGCTACCTACCCTACTGTATCTACAAGCGTCGAGACATACTAGTAGTTTGTGCGGATATATAGTTGCATTGGTTTTCCCCAAAAGCCTAAAAATTGAGTTTTAAGGCACCATTGGGTCTCCGGCGCTTGTATCGCAACTTTGGTCATGGTGGAAGCTCTTTATTTCCTTCAATTGACGTCAACTCCCAATGCGCCTCGAGGAGCTGTTGCATCCCTTCATCTGACAAGCAGACTGGCGTCATCGGCCGAGAAGCTTGGCGAGCACAGACCAAACGAAGCCCGCAAATTTTTACCCGTTCGGGGTGAGCAAAGCGCATCGAAGTTCCAAGAGAGGATGAGGATGTGAAAGCTTCTGCCTCAAAGGTATAGTAGTAATTCGGTAAAGTAATATCTGCATCAAATAGCCCGCTGCTAGGCAGCGGCTCGACTACTTCGAGGTTCGGATCGGCCGCAAGCTTGTAGTGCTGCAACGGGCGGGATCTCCCAAAGATCTCCAAGTCATCGCAGCTCTTCTCCTCAGGCCATGACTCAAATACTTACTCCGTCTGCGGAGAATGAGGAGAATGGACCAGGAAGTCGAACCCGAGCCCCTGCCCTTTGAGATTTGACCGGTGGTGAGCTCAATCCGATTGTGAGAGACGGCGCGAGCCCCTCATGGGAATTACCCCACCCCCTCTCGTCTCCCCTCACCAGTCACCACAACTTGATCTCTTTTCTTCTTCTGCGTTCTCCGTCGTCTTTCTGTCCACTTTCCGGCCCAGTCCGTTTGAAGCAATTTATTCCCGCTTCTATCGCTGATAACAATCTTCATCCTTTTTTATCTATCCTTCTCTTCCCTTCTTCCTTCTCCCAATCTTCACCTGTCAAGCTCAAGCTGTAGCCGGTTTTCATCTACATCATCACCATGGCTAGCACTGTAGGCCAGGTAAGCCTTCCTTTCAACCTGATATTGCTCCGGACATAACTGATTGTTCTTAGACCATCACTTGCAAGGTAAGAAAAATCCACCGACGCGCAGAGGATAAACAAACACATTTTGGAACCGTGCCAACTGAAGCTGCGTAGGCGGCGATTGCGTGGGGCGCCGGGGAGCCCCTCTCCGTGGAAGACGTCGAGGTTGCTCCTCCCAAGGCCCACGAGGTTCGCATCCAGGTCCTTCACACTGGTGTTTGCCACACGGGTTAGTAGTACCTAAATGGATTCGACTTGGCTGAATTTCGCTAACGAGGCCAGATGCCTACACACTCTCCGGAAAGGATCCCGAAGGTGCTTTCCCCGTCGTCCTCGGCCACGAGGGTGCCGGTATCGTCGAGTCCGTCGGCGAGGGTGTCACTTCCGTAAAGCCCGGTGATTATGTCGTTGCTCTCTAGTATGTTTCGCTTCTCGGGGAATACAACAGGAGCGGATCTGACATTTCTTTTTTATAGCACCCCCGAATGCCGGGAATGCAAGTTCTGCAAGTCTGGCAAGACCAACCTGTGCGGAAAGATCCGCGCCACCCAGGGTCGCGGTGTGATGCCCGACGGCACCTCGCGCTTCAAGGCCCGCGGCAAGGACCTCCTCCACTTCATGGGTACCTCCACCTTCTCTCAGTACACTGTTGTCGCCGATATCTCCGTCGTCGCCGTCACCCCCAAGATTCCCACCGACCGATCCTGCCTTCTCGGTTGCGGTATCACAACCGGTTACGGTGCCGCCGTGGTGACCGCCAAGGTCGAGGAGGGCTCCAACATCGCCGTCTTCGGCGCTGGATGTGTTGGTCTCTCAGTCATCCAGGGCGCGGTCAAGAACAAGGCTGGCAAGATTATCGTCGTCGACGTCAACGACGCAAAGGAGGAATGGGCCCGCAAGTTCGGCGCCACGGACTTTGTCAACCCCACCAAGCTCAACGGCAAGACCATCCAGGAGGAGCTCATCGAGATGACCGACGGTGGTTGTGATTACACCTTCGACTGCACCGGTAACGTCGGTGTCATGCGTGCCGCCCTCGAGGCCTGCCACAAGGGCTGGGGTGAGAGTATTATCATCGGTGTTGCTGCTGCTGGCCAGGAGATCTCCACCCGACGTAAGTTCCCCTGAACAGACGTACTCTTACCTCTACTCACTAACATGTCTTAGCATTCCAACTCGTCACCGGTCGCGTATGGAGGGGATGCGCCTTCGGCGGTATCAAGGGCCGTACTCAGCTTCCCGGCCTTGTCGACGACTACCTGAACGGGCAGCTCAAGGTCGACGAGTTCATCACCCACCGTGAGCCCCTCGCCAACATCAACAATGCCTTTGAGCAGATGAAGGCTGGCGACTGCATCCGTTGCGTTGTGGACCTCTCATAAGTCAAGCCAAATAAAAAAGAAAATAATTATATGCCATGTAGTTGAATGAGATATGAAAAGTATAGATTTACAATTTTCAGCATTTGTAGGGTTCACTCGTGCAAATTTACTCGATGAGCTACGTATATATGTCCAGCAAAGAGTCCTCAAGGTACCCAGGCAAGGACCCCTCGGAGGCAGCAAACCCGATCCGGACTGTCATCTATTACAAACCATCCCACATATATTCCAGTAAAGGTGCATATCAAAGTAACTGCTAAGTATCTATGCTAGGCAGAACAGATAAGGCAAGTTACACAGCAAGGCCCAAAGTGTCGTGCTCGGCTCTACCCCTCCTCCTCTCCTCCCCTCCCCAGGACCCTCGTACAGAATCAATCGCCCCCGCACAAGAATCCCTACTACTAGTACTTTAAGCACCACTGGGCAAGTCCGACACGGCCCAAGAACAAGGAAAGAAAATACACCGAGCCAGGCGGGAAATAGTCCGAATTTCCCCTCTCCTCTCCTCCCCTCTCCCCTCGCTGCTACGTCCCCGCACGGAGCGGGAAAGGATTTATCACCATTATCGCTCCTATTTCGTACTAACACATCCGCGGAAGCAGGTCACGGCACACGACCCGGCGTGGGAGACGCTACTCCGTACATATTTGTTTACACAATGGATATTTCGGAGGGTTGATTGTATGAGGGGCAGAAAGGTGCGAGTCATGGGCTGAGCCTCGGAAGGGCTTTCCGGTCTGATTGGGGGTCTTGCCGATGGCGATGGGTCATTATTATGTTGGTTTGCGCGGATGTTGCAAAGCCTGATAGGGTGATGTGTACTCCGTACAACTTCGTAACTGTGGAATATCCTCCGCAGTTTGACATATTATTTTCAACTGTTGTATTCTGAATATCATTTTACGTGAATTTTGGGTAAGGGGGGTTGGTGCTGCGGCTGGGCTCGAAAGATTACACTTTTACGTTTTACGGGAAGGCTAGATTGCGTGGTTGGGGCTGCGTGTAGCAAACCATTCTCATTTTGTGTTCAGGCGTTCAAGGAAAGACAATAGTTGGAAAACAAGACCAAACGGGTCGCGTGGGACAACCGCTCGAGACTGGAAAAGTGAGGCCCTAGAACAGTTTGTGCTCAAGGGTCATGTCCGACTCAGGCTGCAAACCGACGCAGGCGCGGAAGATGTTGGTCACGGCGCTGCGCTGCTTAGCAAGAGAGTTGACGACGGGGGTGCCGGGAGGGGTCAAGGGAGCCTTGAGCATGTAGCTCAGAACGCTGAGAACGCTGTGGAATCCCTTGTACTCGGCGGCATCATCGGCCTTCCAGCTGATACGGGTCATCATCTCGGCAAGAACAACCAAGTCGATGATCAGCGGAGAGGCAAGCAGCGAGTCCTCGCAGATGTTGAACAAGCTGATAGTCTGGTGGCCACCCATGAAGATCTCAGCGTAGTACTCATCAAGAGCGCGCTTGTTGTCGCCAACTGCGGGCATGTACTTGATCACAACACAGTGGTCAGGGTGCTCATCCTTCTTGTACAGAATGTGGTTGGCGGCGACCATGTCGTCGACCACGTTGGACTTGGAAATCTCCTTGGAGCGGAATTGCTTCTGAGAGCTCAAGTTCTTGCCATCGTTGTTGCCGAGGTGGTTGTAGCTAGCGATGGAAGTGAGCTTGATACCGGCGTTGATCAAGAAATCAACGAGGGCGGACTTCATCTTGGTCTGGCCGGACTTGAAGTCGTCACCACCGATAAAGGCATTGTGCTTCTCAGCCAAAGCAATCGCGCCAGGAACAAAGGTATTCTGAGGAGATCCGTTGATGAAGGGAGTGTTCTCCAAGATGCAGGCAACAGCGAAGACAGTCGAAGGAGACACCTCGGAGTGACCAGACTTGATAGCGTTGATCAGGTTATCAGCAGTATCATTGACGCCAGGCAGGATGTCTGCATAACGCTCAGTGTTGGCAGTCCACATGACGATGACCTTGTCGAGACTATTCTGGGCCTTGAAGTCGCTGTTTTCCTGTTAGTGACGAGAGTTTTGAGCAAAGGACATCCAGAAAAAAACTCACCGAATGTCCGCTTGGATCTTCTCAACGTGGGCCCAGGAAGCCTCAGTACCCTCAAGGACGTTGTCGGCACGGTCCTCCTGGTTGGCAGCAATGAAGTCAGGGTAGTAGACGCTAGGCAAGGGCTTCAACTCAGCCATCTCCTTGCGGACAAGCTGCTTGAGCGTGGGCTCAAGAACCTGGGCACGGTCCATGGACTCAGCAAGGTTCAGGCTGCTAATGTCCCAACCGCCGATGACAAGATCATTGGGGTGGACCATGGGAAGCATGTCATTGAAGGGAATGTTGATTTCCTCGCCGGTCTTGCAGTCAGTACCAAGCTTGATGGTGGAGCTCATGACAAGGGAACCGTAGTAGTTGGCAGCACGAGGACCTTCCTTGGTCTCCCAGGTGAGATTCCTGCGATTGGCGATGATACCAGCAGTCACGGTGGAACCGTTGTTTCCACCCCAACCGACCATCATCAGACCGACCTTGCCGACCTTGCGCTCGACCTTGAACTGATAGGTGGCGGCCTTGGGGGTAGCAACAAGCTTACCATCCGCGTTACGGGTAACATCAGTGGTATGATAAGCATAGGTGCTCTTGATTTCCGCGTCAGTATACTCGACGTTGGGCGAGTTGACGGTAAACAGAGGGGCGCGAGCAGCTTGGGCGGACCCGTTCACGGCGCCATTGGCAGCAACATCCGAGTTTGCGTGGGGGGCCATTGTGTTCAGAATTTCGGGATAATTCAAGAACGGTTATTGACTAGTTTGGCGTGATGGGAGGATGTTTTATGAAACCAGTAGTTATCTACTGGTTGTATATTATATTGGCTGGTGCTCCCCCACGGTTGGATGAGCGCCGGCCGTTGAACGGGTGGTGCCGCCTAGAAAAGGAAATCCAAGGTCAGCAGAGTTCCGGACAGTATGAGACAATGACGGGAAGTTCGGGGCATGTCGTGAAAGTCAATGCCCAGAGAGGTTGGGGAGCAACTGGGGAAATCCGGGGAACAGGAAGCAGCTTACGAGTTAAGATGTGTGGCGAAAATTTTGACGGTTTTAAGCGATCACGCCTCGGGGAAGAGTGTGATCAAAAGACTTGAAGAAAAGCAGCAGTTGCAACTTGGAATTGAGGTCAATTGAAGTGTTGAGGGTAGAGGGTAGAGGAGAAAGGGGAAGAGGAGGGAAGACGGAAGGAGGGGGCGACAGTTTTATAGCGGGACACTCGCGTCCGGGTCACGTTTATCTTATCCGTCTGCGTCCCACCAAAAGGCACAACCATTCGACCTCGCCTTTCCCCTTAGCGATAAACCCCTCCAAGGTCCCATGGGCAGCCAATCATGCGGAGTATGGGCACATTGGCCTCGTTCTCGATTCTTCACAGCGGGGCATCTCGACAAGACAACCCTCAAAAAAGAGCCGGGGAATTGCGGTGAAGGAGGATTCGACTAATTCGCGGCCTCCGGTTGCACCACTCTCACATTCGTCTCTGTGCTGCCCCTCATGTTCTGAGAAAGACTGTTGATAACTGGCCTCTGGTGCGAGGCATGAACCCTCCGTTCACCTGCTGGCCTTGGTCTCTGCTATCGCTCGCTTTGTTGTCAGGAAGATCTTCCAAGTCCTCACTCCTGCCCAACGCTCCCTACGCCTGTCGACTGCCGGCCCCTCTACTCTCAAATGGTAATCAACGGAAGCGAAACGACCTTGCAGATTCGACAGCGACTAATATAAAGTTGTCGCAGCTCAACGATCCACCCACCGCCGGGCCTGCCTGCCCTCTGTGATCCTTCTTGCCTCGGCGATATAGGCGCCCTTACACTAGTCTGACAAGAGCGAACATGTTCTCATCTGAGCGGTCAGCGATGAGGTGCTTCCAGGGAAGGGCTACAGAATAATGTTTGTGCTGGCGAGACGAGTTGAGACGGTATCAGCTCTCCCCAATGATCGTGAGGCCTTGTCCGCAACTGCACCGTCTGGAGGAGACCCGCATTTCCACTTCCATACGGAGTACGGAGTACGCTGACAGGACTCCACTCACCAAGCTACCGGAATCGGACACCAGAAGTACGCAGAATCTGGGCTGGCTGCAAATTCGACATGGGAAGTGAGTCCTCCGTATATTCACACGACTGCGAGGACAGCGAATTAATGGTGGTGGTCGTTCCAATAATTGTCTGGTGTCAAGTGTGTCATTTCTGCGAAAGTTTGAAGGCCCCTGGTTTGTGTGGTGTAGCGGAAAGCTCGGATGGGGATCCATGGTTCGACCTTCTCCGAAGGTTGAACCCCCTGAATCATGCTCTCATGCTCAAGCGATCGTTTGCGGAAGCTCACTTTACTCTGTCGATGAGCTTGTTCAACCTAATAACGCTTTGAAGGATACTAATGGCCACGTCCGAGCTGATCTGAGGGTGCTCGGCTTCCTGCTGATCGTAACAAGAAGCCCGAAGTCGAGTTCAACAAAGTGCATGCCACTACGTTCTAATTTCTCGCCCAACTTCCAAGCGAGAAGAGGTGGAGAATAATGCCAGCATTTCTGGCAGTGTCTGCTGCCTGGCTCAAGTCTGCGTTTGTTTCGTTTGCCATCGGATAACACGTGAAGACTTTGGACGGAGTAAAAATCACTCGGAAAAACGGCAAAAGGATTGATATCTTGAAACCCCTTGGGAGTTCAGAGGATATAAAAGTCGCCATATATAGATAGACCTTATAGTTTGGGGACTAAGAGACTTATACTCTCACAGCGACTGGCCGCCACGAACAATCTGTGTGGATAATCGGTCTATGAAATGGTACGCCCAGATGCTTGACCGTCTGGGGTCATGAAAAATGAATCGCATCGGCCGCTTGAATTTCGAGCGATGCGATCGATCTACGGACGAGTGGTAGATTACCCCGGACTCTGGCAGTGTCTGGTCATGTCGGAAAAGCAGCGCTTGTGACAGATGTATGCTCGTGAAGGACTCAGAAGGAGTACGGAAACTTGTGTCAACACTGCCAATACTCGGGCGTACTTGGTTCATGGTATAATCTCACCGAGCTTTTCTCGAGTGGCGAGGTGGACGAGCGCAGCTTGAATTCATCAAAGTCCAAGCAAAGGGGAGACCTTCTCTGAGAGAAAATCACTCGACTTGGTAAGTGACTCGAGATCATAATCGAGCACAAGGAGGTAGAAGCAAATAAAGTGTGTAAATGGCTCGTGCACCTGAGGCGGAAAGGATGCGCAAGGCGAAGATGCAGGGCCCGTGAGTGGCCGCGACATTCGAGAAACAAGACCCATGCCCCCATGAAAATTGAAGGGAAAGAGGGGTCAGGATTCGGGAAGAGCAAACTTCAAAGATGCAGGTTCAAAGCGCGGATGGTGGCAGTGAAGGATCAGCATTCCACCCCTGAGGGAGGATCTGCACAGGCCCAGAGGAACACACGGCTCGCTACTCAGGGGCTAGTCGCTTGGCTAGCCTTGAAAGGAGGATGGCGGCTTGCCTCTATCCGGATCTCTACACAGAAACGGTACACTAGTGGAGAGGGCGACTTGGGGGTGGAACTGAAAAAGGGGTGAGCGACTCGTGGAATGATTGAGGGTCGATAAGTGCGCGTGGTTGCATCGCCTCTGTAGAGAATAGACATAGATACAACGTAGAGTCGAAGAGATGAGATGTCCCGTAAAGACGTGTACCTGCAGTTAGGGGTCGCTCAGTACCTGGTGATGTACCTGGTTGGTTCGCCCAATTAATGGTGGAAGATGAGTGAGGAGACAAGAGGAGCTGACGTGAAGAACGCGTGTTGCTGGAACGGTTCATCACTTTTTAGGGCGCTCTTGTCTTCTTGAACTTTAGGCGCACGAGGCCTGTCGTTGGCTCAGGCCCACCGCCGCTATAATAATTATGATTATCGATTTTTTGATATAATTAACGCCTCTCTCTATTGGCCGCTTTGTCACAAGATTAATTAATACTGTTGTTATGGCCCGGAAGTAACCTTTCTCGGTCTGGTGACTTTGGTCCGTCGCTCTCGACCTCGACATCAAACAATTTCATCAGTTTGTCTGCTGCATCCAAACGCACTGTAGGACGTCAATCTGCAAGGCGGACGAGGAACGTATGTCGCCGCACGATTTTTGTCTCCACGAATGCGCGACCAATGATTGCGCTTAGCTTCGTTCGCCCTGCTGAGTCGGATGATTTTATCACACCGGGGGAGTTGAAGGCTCTGAAGACCTAGTGTCTATCAACATGGATGGAGGAGCGGACATGGGCGACTTGCCCATGATAAAATGCTCCAGTTGCGGAGTTAACGTGGATATATTCGCTATGGGAGATCATGTCTGCGGGAAACCTGCACTTGGTACTTCGAACGCTACCGTTTATGCAGGTCATCATCGCTAACCTTTTTGCGCGCAGCTACGTCGCGAACGCCGTCACCTCCTCCGCCGCCTCCAAAATCGAGCTTTCGAAGACCAACACTGGGGGCAGAAGATGCATGGGCTTCGAAACCTGGAAGAGCCGACCCGCCATCACGGATCGATCCTACAAGGGCCAGTATGTATTGCGTTGCCCCATACCATTTATCCGTTTGTCGTTTAGTAACCGCCTCCCTCTAGATCGACCGTTTTTGCAGCCAAACAACGACTTAGCCGGTAACGGTTCACTCGTCCCGTCTCCCCTTTCAACGTCTCCAGGATCACGGTCTCCACTTCGTGATGTACAGCGAAGTCAGACTACTCCAATACCCGCGGTTGCTCCTACAGCCAGCAGTGGTGAAGACATTCCCAACTTCCCGCTACCTCGATCGATGTCTGGCCGCCGGGTCAATGGTATGACTCTCAAGGAAGCCATTTCGGCACCTCCGGCTCCCTCGCCTGGATATGCGGACGCAATGGGTACGGACTTGGATCGCCCACCTCACAGTGCACACCTACCACTTTCACAATATGCGCCTCCGCCACCACCATTACCAAAGGACAACGATACCTCGTATGGCAACGGCCACCAACATACTATGTCAATGGACAGCAAAAGCAGTTATCGAACCTCCTTGGCAAGTACACGTTATGATAATCGCAACTCGAAACGATCGACAGCAATGTCCAGCCGGCGGCCATCGTTCAGCAGCGTGACTCGCGCCGGATATAGATATGAGGACGACATTCCTCCGATCCCGCCAGATCCCCGGCATTTTCTCCATCAATCCGTCTTCTCAGATTCGTCGATGTCCGAAGTGTCTGCGAATCGCGAGGGCAAAAGCGAGGTACATAGTGGTTTTGATTTCGGGGGTGGAAATGCCAGCCTCAAAGGGGATCTTGATAAGCCGAGTGCTAGCCCATTGCGCGTATCATCGAACACTAATTCTGAGCGTTTGAGCAGCTCTCGCGGATCTGCTGAATTATTTTTCAACAGCCCAGCACAAAGCACATATGGACCTCCACTCGATTTACCTGACCCGGACCTCTCACGATCTGCATCCCCAGCTGGGTCTGGCAAAATCGAGTACAAAGCTTTCAAGCCATCAGGCTCCGATTATCTACAGCCCAACCCCACAGACCATAATCAGCGAGAGGAAATGCATCGAAAGAACTCAGATGCTAGCAGTGAAAGTGCGCTCTCCGTCTCCAACTTTGCTCGTGCTCTTGGTCTCGATATCGACGACACTGTTGAGGATTCGACGACCTCTTCTGAATCCTCCCCATCAGAAACCCGAAGCGGCACATCACTGTCCAGCATTCAGTCTGACATGAGCATGCCAAGACGCAAGCCATCAGATCAGAGCCGTCTCGGCCCCGTGGCGGAAGATCGTCAGATCGAAGCTCAAGCGAAGGCTAACCTAGTCTTGGATGAAGCCCTTCATACAGAAAGCCCGACGAGCCTGGAGCCACCTCGAATCCCTGAATCTCTCTTCAGCCCCGACTCCCCTACAGATCCAGCTCTCGTCGGAGGTGGCTTATCCCTTATTCCTGAGAGACCACCACTACCTCCAGTCGCGCATGAAATGCAAGAGCCCCGGCCAATGATTACTAGATCCGCGACGGAACCCGCCCCTCGACCCCAACAGCCCCGGCCACGGGGACCCTGCCGCGGTTGCGGCGAGACGATCATGGGGAAATCCATCTCCTCTGCCGACGGTCGCCTGACTGGCCGATATCACCGTGCCTGTTTCGTATGCTACCAATGCCGAACGCCTTTCGAGACGAACGACTTTTACGTCCTCAATGACCGCCCTTACTGCGCCCAGCATTACCACGAAAGAAATGGCTCCATTTGCGCCGGATGTCACAACGGTATTGAAGGTCAATACCTCGAGACCAACGAGCGCACCGGCCCCGGCCCTGCCGATCGTCAGAAATTTCATCCGCAATGTCTCCGCTGCCGTACATGCCAGGTCGACCTGAAGGGCGAGTACTTCGAATGGAACGGATTCGTTTACTGCGAACGTGATGCCAAACGCGCAGCAGCCTCCGTGTCTCCCCACCGCTTCCGCCGCCCAACAATGCCCTCTTCACCTCTCGCGCCTCCGTATGGTGCCCCTCCTCCGTCCCGTGGACGACCACCACCTCCAGGATATCCCGGCCGAGGAGGCCGTGGCGGCTTCCGTCCGCCCCCAGGCTCACTTGACCCATATGGACCACCTCCACCCGGCCGAGAAAGAGGACCCCACGGCGGTCCTCCACCTCCGTCACCTGGTGGTAATCTCGGTCCGCCCTCGGGCCCGCGTCGCTTTCCCGAACGGCGAACAACCAAACTGATGATGATATGATTGATACAACTTGCTTTTACGTCTTGGAGTTCGGCTCTCGGTCTTATTGACGAGGCCACCGGTTGATATCCATTCAATTCTATATACAGGCGCTAGATTGGGAGGAATTCTGCAAAACTACTTACCTTTACTGTACCACCACCTACTCGCGATGCCTTTACCACATCTATCTTTCTCCCTGTCTCTCATGAACCTGACCTATTTTTCGTTACTTTCTCGTTTTATTGAGCATGATGTCAGACTACCTGTTACACTACTATGTCCTTTTCTTCCTTCACTCGTTTTGCTCTTAACACGGATCGCTGGCCGACTGATTCGACCGCTCTATACCTTTACACCACTTCGGTTCTCGTCTATATTCTTACTCTGAAATGTTTCCAATTGCTTCGAGGGCAAGCTTCATCGCTTTTGACCTTGTCTCATCCGTTACATTATCCCATCATTTGTCCTTGCATATGGGTTTAACAAGGTGTTTTGCAATCTGTACCATCACATTCTAATATGTACATTGGATATGCATAATGTTTGGTATCTAACTAGGTAGTGTTGCATGGATAGTGACAAGAGCTAGATTTGAGTAAGCGGATATACGTACGGGTACTTCGTTTAACTTGCTTTCCTGTTTAGACTCAATCACCCATCGCTCCGTTTACTATGTATGCGCGGCTTGGTCCATATAGATAGCTTTACCACCGTATAGTGATAATAGTCAGAGTTCTTGCTCGTCTATGCTTCATTGGTACTTTCCAGACAACGCGCAGAACTCGTTGGATCCTTCAGGCAGCTGCTACCTATCACTTTACACACGGAACCGCGATGTTAACTGGGCCACGTGATGGAACGCCACCAACCCTCAGCCAACATCTACCATCAACCTCTGCAGGTCATGCTTTCTCTCAACCATTCTTTGTCCATCATCGTCCTCGTCGCAAGCAAAGGCCTACACCCCTAGCGATAACCTAGATTTGATCATCTACGAGACGAAGCCTGCACGGGACGAGCATTATTTCACCAAGAACATCATATTCTCACGGACAAGGCAGGCTGTAGGTCTCAGCGTTCGCGCAGGGTGGGACCATCGCTGGGTATACATCATCTACGCGAGCTGAAAGACCGGAGGTAACTCTGAATACTGCTGCAACCACTGCGATGCTCCACACCCGATTCCTGTGTGTATTTTCTCTAACCTACCGGTGCCTGTTTGAGGGTATCACTGTGTCCAGCAAAACGACGCGAAGATGGTGCTGGATATGGAGATTAAAAGAGATATTATCGGTGAAGAGGCCTTCGTTACCGGCACGCATTTTTACATTATCAGCAACGATAAGCTGAAGACGTTGGCTGAACCGATTCCGAAGGATGATCTCGAGGGAGAAGTACTTCAAGGAGCATGCTGACAAGGTGGTGGAACGGATCGTGATTGCTCAGGATGTCCCGGTTGTGGCGGATCACCTTTGAGGGATCGTTGGCTTCAGATATATGGCTGTGTCGCTGTGCTCGATTTTCATTCTTGCTTGTCGTTGATGAGAGGAAGAAGCAGTGGCAGGGACAATTCACGGTTCGCGTTTGTTGATGGTAGAACAATTGAACGAGGCTAAAGCATGATCAATGTCGCTGGTTGACGATTGGTACAAGATCTGTTGCTCTATTGAAGTCCCAAAAGACTTTTTCGAAGGACTCCCCCCCTCATAAGTTAGTGTTAGACCGACAAATAACCGAGTATGTACAACCTATGCAGAAGGCTAACGTCAAGGTTGATTGCAACTCGATGTCGGTCGTGGCTGACAGTGCTATCGACCTAGCGGTGAAGGACGTGGAGAGAGCCTCAAGTGCCTTCTGCCGGTATACACAATCTCGGCAGGATGATAATGGCCCGAAGGATTCGGGTTCAAAATCGGTCTTCTTTCTTTTTTTTCCTCCTGGCCACGCTGTCTGAACCGGAGTATTTTGGCTCCGTGAGGGGCGCTCATAGCCGTAGGGCATCCCTGTCGAGATGCACATGCAGCTCTTGCTGACGACACAGGGTTCTTTTGACCGCATACTCAATGAGGGGTAACTTTATTCTCCGGAGGAAGGTATATAAAGGCCGTCACCCCCTCAATTGTTGTCCGCTGCGTCCTAAACTTCTCTCAAGCTGTTGAATTCTTCCGCTATCCGAGCACTCAAATTTCAATCAACATGTCGAATCCAGGCCAGCTCTCCTCCCTCCCAGGGATCACCCGCTACGTTACCGGCCATGACTCTGCAGGCAAAGCCATCATCCAGACCGAGAACCCAGCGGACTGGTCGTCCTATGAGAATAACTCCATGGCCTTCACCGTGGCATACACAACCTCCGAGTTCCCCGCCGACCTCAACAACGACGCCGATATTAAGAAGCACGAGGACCTCAAGGCGTCAGGAAAGTTGGGATTGGTGAACCCCAACGGCACCGTCTGTCGCTTTGTCGACTTTGCGCCAAAGGGGCCACCGCTCATGCACCGGACACAGAGCCTGGATTACGGGATTGTCCTTGAGGGGGAGATTGAGATGACTCTTGATTCGGGAGAAAAGCGGTTGTTGAAGCGAGGTGATATGGCGGTGCAAAGGGCGACTATGCATGCTTGGCACAATCCTAGCGAGACGGAGTGGACGCGTATGGTCTTTGTGCTGCAGGAGTGCAAGCCGTTGGTTGTTGGCGGGGAGGAACTGGGAGAGGACTTGAGCCAGGCGACGACTTCCGATATCAAGCCGAGTCGTTGAATCTGCGATGAGATGTTGTGAGCGCAAAGTGTCATCTCTAATAATTGGCCAGAACGAATTTGCGCAATTCATGAGTTTCAAAACATGATTTGGGTAGCTAAATATACTAATAAGGGATGTAGAGCTGAATCTTGCAATGCGATCTATTGAGATATCAAGGGAAAACAACATTAAGCAACTTTGATAACCACTTTACCAAAATGCGAGCCACTCGCAAGGAACTTGAATGCGTCTGGAGCGTCCTCGAACGAGAACACGCGGTTTACCACTGGCTTGATGTTGTGCTTCTCGTAGAAAGCGACCATCTCCTCGAACCGATCCTTAGGTCCGTTGATGATTCCCTTCAGTGTCACATTGCGGCGGAGGGCCAGAAGGTTCACGTTTGTCCGGTCATCTGGTGCGTCTACCTTGCCCGACAGGTATCCAATACAGTCGATAAGCCCGCCCCAGGCAATGCAGTCAAAGCTTTTCTTCAAGGTCTGAGCACCACCGGTTTCAAGGATAATGTCTGCACCATGTTGTTCCGTCAACCGCATTACCTCTTCCTCCCAGTTCGGGTTTGTGCGGTAGTTGATGGTATAATCGGCGCCGAGTTGCTGAGCCTGCTTCAGCTTGTCGTCGGAAGAGGAGGTGATGATCACTAAGTTCGATACAATATTAGCTTTTGATCCGACACAGTCAAGCCTCCGGGAACTTTAGGGCTCACCCTTCGCTCCAGCGGCCTTGCCGATCTGCAAGCCCGAGACAGCAACCCCGCCAGTTCCCTGAAGCAGGATGTACTCTCCGGCGCCTCCACTCTGCCCCTTGGGCCGCATCCCGTTGATGGCCATCCAGGCCGTCACAGCGGCAATGGGCAGAGTGGAGGCTTCTTCGTCCGTCAAATAGCTGGGAGCACGCACCAGCGCATACTCAGGGAAAGCCCGGTATTTCACCAATACACCAGGTTGGGGCAGGCCCATGCCAGAAGCCATCATCTTTTCGGTAACCTGGCCAGTCTGGTGGTCGGGAAGAAAGGTTGAAAGAACACGGTCGCCCACTTTCCAGCTTGTGACTCCTTCTCCAATTTCGGTGACGACCCCGCACATGTCTGAGCAGGGGACGAGGGAGGATTTATCCTGGCTGACGGATCGGTGGTGATTGTACTCTCCGCTGCAGACTGCGACATGTTAACATCAATTCTGCAGCTCCTGTAGCGGTGGTCTCACCCTCAAAGTCTCGATAGTTAAGTGACACGGCGCGAATCTCAACTAGAACTTCGCCTTTGCGTGGGGCTGGCTTGGGTGTTTTACTCAATTGAAGGCTATCCAAGCCTTCGAGGCTGGTTGTCCATTGTTGAATGGTCGACATGATGTATTCAACCTCTATGTGAGGTGATCGATGCGATATGTAGGACAATTGCAGGAACTAGACGGTTTGTGGTCTGCTCAAACGGCGGCAGAAATTAGCAACCTCCGGATGGGGTAGATATGACTTTATTATTAATCGCAAGGGCCGAGAATTGTGAACACCCCACTTCTGGACCCAAGGCATCTCAGACGCTATTTTAAGCTTGATGAGGTGCAGCATAACTCTAATTAATACTCTATTGTTATTCTTACTCAAGTGGAGTGAACCCAAAACTTCAGCTTCGAGGACAATCTCCACGGCACATGGGATGGCAATCCGTAGAGCAGAAGTATCCATTTACCCTCCTTCGCTCTGAGTATGCGTTACCGGCATAATGTATTCTTGTAAGTACTATTATGTCGACTATTATGTAGAGTATTATAATCCTTTAATCTAGAGATATCGCCAAAGGACTTGAAAGCTGTGTTCTCTCAGCTCTTGCTGCAAGGCATCGCTGGGACCTTGCCGTTTGCAATACAAACAGGAAGTAACATGAAGCTTCGGCGACCTCAGCTCAGCTCTCCACGATATTAGTCTTTCTACTGGAGCACTACTAATACTGCACTATGACTTCTAAATCCTGAGTGTGTGGTCTTGGGCCAGTCTCAGATCATTGAGAGGCCTAGTTAGCCTGGCTTGCCTCTAAACTGAGACTACAGGACTATCCCACGTTGCTCTTCGGATAAAGCTGGGGCTCGTGCTTGGAATCTGTTTGCAAAGCCTGAGTTTGGGATGAGCTGAATTTTAATTTTTTTTTTTTTTTTTTTTTTTTTTTGAATTGCTCAAATTTTCATTGTGTTCTTCCTGCACCCTGGCAACCAGCCCGTCTTCTCTCTCTCACTCCACCGTTTTGAAATATCATCCTTTTCTCGATAACACTCCAACAGGATCCAAACCTTTTCCCACCCAATCCCCTTCTTCAAAACCTGCTTGACTTGTCCCTGTGATATATCTATTCTTGCTCAACCACTATCATTTGCTCCGCTACATTGTGTTAGCCTGGATGTGCTGGCTCACTAATACGAAATGGCTGCACGCACATCTTCAAGTTTATGGTCAACCTTCAACCACGTCGTTCTACCACCTAAGCTCCCTGGCACTGCCGACGCCGGGGAAGAGCTCATGGAAAGAGATCTGATACGGCGGATGCTGGAGACGGTGGTTATTCTGAAGGAGAACTGCGAGCTTGATTTATTGTCTACCTGGCAAATGATTGAAAACACTTTGCAACTATCATCACTCGCAAATGACGGCACATTATGCTATGAACCAGCCCTCATCAAGGCGTTCGAGAAAGTATCTCCGGACAGTTCTGCTTTTCTGCGCTTCCTAGAACAAAATGCCGGTCTTCTCATTCGCAGATCCCCGTGAGTTGCTTTTCTCACAACTTAACCTACTAAGCGGATGCTAATGTTTCTGACCTTGGGAAGTCATACTGAACCAAACGTTATAATCGAAGCCTCCCCTACCGCAGAGCAGGCTCTTTCGGCGAAAGGCGCTCTACAATGGGATTTCCCTGGTGTCGCAGTGTCCGTGCCAAGTGATGTGTTCGATAAACCCAAGTTCCGCCAACGCCTTGCGGCGTTTTTGGAAAAAGCTGGCGGTGAATCCTTGGATCGGTTTTCCGTCAAGGTGTGGAAAGCCGGGGTAGAGACTTCTGAGGATAGAAATACTGTACACCCTGCCATCGTAACGCAATTCCTGATGACCCTCTTCGAGGTCAACGGTCAACGGATATCTCTACCTGCCCTACGAAAGCGCGTCAAAGATGACGTATGCTGGGATAATGCGAGACTTCCGTGGCGTCGCAGCCCGTTTTGGCTCGTTTTGAGGGTCTCCGTCCAACGGCTACTCTACCTACATCTTGGAAGCGAGGCAGGGCGCATACAATACCAGGCATTGATGTGCTTGTTCCTGGCAAGGTTGCTTAGTGACTGTGTTAGGGACTTAAGTTCGGACAAATACGAGCTTCTCAAGGTCAAACTGTGCCGCCGCCTGGCAAAGCTCGATTCAGAGAAAACAGAGAAAAAATGCCTGAGTTTGACAGATGGACGTAGACATGCGTTCACAGTTGTCCCAAGGGTGGTCGAACTCTTCTGCACAAAATCGATCGATGTGACTACAGCAGCACTGGAGACTGAGTGGAAGAATTGGAAAAGGGGCTTTCAGCGACGTGTTCCAAAGCTTCCAACTCGGGCATCTCATGAAGGCCATTGCTTGCAGCTACCAAAAAGCCTTGCCTCTTACAAAAGACCCTGGAACCGGCCCAGCATCGCCACTCTGGAGCGGAGGCCGTAGACCCTAGGTCGCTCAGTCAAATTGCAGATAAAAACACCTCCAAGGATTTTCGAAATTGATGAAGATATACTCATCGCTAGCTCTTCGCGAGATGGCGCTGGAGTCTAAATCAGTAGAGATTCCGTCCTCAAAAGAAGCGACGGAAAACAGATGCGCTGACCTGGCGTTGACCATTACCGAATATATCAGTGCTGTCGGTGAACGCATATGATGGTAACTTTGAACAAATGAGTCTTTTTATCCTGACTATCTTTGGTCTATGGGTGGCTATGGACAAGTGTGTGACAGTTGTATACTCTTTAGTGACTACCACCCATGGTTTACACCCGAGATCCTGGACGTGTTGCTTCTACCTCGGTGGAAACAGTTGAAGCGGCTCCAGGCTATCCAATCGCATCTACACCTCCGCTGCGCGCGCGCCAAGCATGACAGGATGACAATTTTTGCTGGCCCCAAGCGAGGTTGCTTTGCAAAAAGATATGTCGAATCGCCTGGTGGAAGCACTCTGGAAAGGCTTGGGGATCTTATCAAAAACTCCTCGGCAACTTTTTGTCGGGAAAAGCAGGCTGAGTTGGAAGGAGTCAACCAAACCTATGGTGATTTGACCGAGAAGCTCATGACGACCCCTTGTACTCAACTGAGGAATCCTGATGGAACTCATGACATTCGTGGTCGTCACTGTTTTTACATGAGATCTCGCCGACGTCTTAAGATTAGAGTCCACGAAGATTTCCTTCCAATGGAACATGATAATGAGGTCCAGCAGAGGTCTATTGTGTTTGAGCTGAAAGTCCCACGAGCTTTTGCAGCTTACCGTGAAGCTACTTGGGACATTGTTAACAGACTATGTCCTGGCTTAACCACACCTACCAAAATCAAGCCTGAAATGTTGCTTTCCGAGTACGCCCAGCTCCAGAATTATTACAACAACCAAAAGGATACATGCTTTTCTCTCGCTTCGCCCACAAAATCCTTCTTGAAGACGCACTATGGTTATCGCAGCCTGCCAGCTCGCACAGACAAGATACTTCTTCCACATGGATTCACCAGGTTGTATACTGATTCGAAACGACAGCGTTGGTCAGTCGAATGTTCCAAGCAGCTAAGCTTTGCCCATCACTTTGTCTTGGATATACCCAAGGAGCTTCCATTTTCAGCACTGTACTCTTCATTTGCTCCTGACGGCCCAGGCCCCTCTTCATACGAAGTTACATCTAGAATCAGTGAATGCCCCTCAGAGCTCACAGTTCACAAGTATTTAGCACACTAGAACCTTATTGCAGGGTGAAACAAGCGTTGGCTGTCCATTCTTGCTGAACTGGGCTCCTCAAATGTCAACTTTACGCTTTACAGCACAACGGCCCTCTTTTATCATCTTGCATTCCAGGCTGGCCCTAGGCTAACAAACGACAACATGCGAACAGTTCATGTTATGTTTAGGGACTTGAGCTTCTGTAGCGGATTAGCTGAGCAAATAGGCCGACATTTGGAAGCTATAGCCACGAACTGGAGAGAAACAAACTATATGGAGACCCTCCTGACATTGTGTATCCGGCTGTTTTCTCTAGGCCACCAAGACTCACGCGCTGAATCTAAGAGACTTCTCTTGAGGATTCGCAAGGTGACTGCAGGTTGGATCTCGCTTCTGCGAAACGAGACCCGAAACGCTCAAGATGTGCACTACTCGGGAAGAGCCGCACGATACTGCCTTTTTTCCAGCTTTGTTCTGTCGAAGAACTCAGATTGTTCACTATGGTCTATGTATGCAGAGGATCTGAACCGAAGCATCCTGGCTCTCAAAATGACCGACCAAGCTGTGGGTAATACTGGTAGCCGTCTATCAGATGGCATTAGAGAAAAATGAAACTGGACAAAAAAGTGGCATCAGCTCGTACCGAACTTAATGGCCATTACCGCAGAATATCCGATGCTCTCTCCGCCGATGACACAAATTACAACTGGCTACGCAGGGGCAATCTTTGGCCTTGTTTGACCCCCGTCACAATACTACAGCAGCTTCGTTCGACATCCCCACATCAGTTTGGTCCCGGCATGAGGAGTCTATTTATAAAATACGCTCTTTGTACAGCGCGGTTGCAGAAGTTTCTTCGGATGAGAGGGGCTTTCACGAAACTGATGAGGGCAAGCTGAGCCAGGAGTGTGCCGATCAAGGGCATATAAACTGGCAGCCCCAGGACTTTCCCGATTGGTTGCTGCTGGAGATTGATGCAAACATTCAAATACGCGAGGATCAAGTCATTGTGGCTCAGGAGATGATCTCTCCGGCTTCCGGATCAAACTCTGTGCTTCAGATGAACATGGGACAAGGAAAAACATCCGTCATTATGCCTATGGTTGCCGCTGTATTAGCCAATGTGGCAATGCTCAATCGCCTCCTGGTTCCTAAAGCCCTTTTATCCCAGGCGGCACAGATTTTTCAAGCCTGGCTTGGGGGCCTCCTAGGGCGCGAGATCATTCACGTCCCATTCTCCCGAAGAACTCGTACCACCGTATCCCTGATCAAGGATTACCACGAGCTTCATAGAGAGATACTAGATACATCTGGCATCATTCTTGGCATTCCTGAGCATGTACTGTCAATCAAACTGAGTGGTTTGCAGCGTCTTGCTGATTCGAAACTAGCCGAGGCGGTTTGTATGATCGAAAGTCAAAAGTGGATGGATGAAGTCTGCAGCGATGTGCTCGACGAGTGTGACTTTACACTAGCTGTAAAGGCACAGCTAATATACCCTGGCGGTGCCCAACTCGCGGTTGACGGTCATCCATATCGCTGGGAGGTTGCCATGACTCTTCTCGGGCTCGTTGCGCATCATCTCATGGACCTTGCTAGGGACTATCCACAAAGTATCGATATCCTGAAGCGGAACTCTACCGGCTTTCCGGTCACTCACATCTTACGGCAAGACGTTGAAGAAGCGTTGATCAGCAGGATATTGGATGATATCTGTAAACGGCGTACGTCGATCCTGCCTCTTGGAGAATGCGGCGGACGAGGCGGGGAAGCAATCAAGATCTTCATCTCTCAGGAAAGGATTGAGAAGCCTATTGTGAAGCAGATTGCGAGCCTCTTCCCCGGTGTCCTATAGCACGCAAGGACGTTTATCTTCTGCGCGGGCTTTGGGTACACCGCATACTGATCTTATGTTTGAAGAAAAGGTGGAACGTTCAATACGGTTTGCACCATGGTCGCGACCCCATGGCTGTCCCATTTCACGCAAAAGAGGTTCCATCTGATCAGGCTGAATGGGGCCACCCGGACGTCGCCATCCTATTTACTTGTCTGGCTTTTTACTATGAGGGCCTGAGTGTATATCAGTTCAAGCAGAGCCTAGAGGCAGTCTTGAAATCCGACCACCCAGCTACTGAGTACGATCGGTGGACACAAACTTCATCAACTCTCCCTGGGTCTCTGCAGCACTGGAACGCTATCACGGTAGATGATGTGGTCTTTGTGACGCAGATATGGCGACACTTGCGTTTTATCCCAGTTGTGATCAACCACTTCCTCAGGAGCTTCGTCTTTCCTCTCCATGCCAAGCAATTCGCGACGAAGCTCCAGGCTTCAGGATGGGACGTTCTTTTGTATAGCAACTCGCCAATCCAAGCTTCGAGAGGGATTCGCGAAGGCATCACAACGGGATTTAGCGGTACCAGCGATAATAGAAGGCTCCTACCGCTCACCATCGAGCAGTGTGACTTACCAAGCCTCTCGCACACAAATGCCGAGGTGTTGACGTACCTTCTCCAGCCCAGAAACCGAGGGTATCTTGTCACAGCAGACCAGAGAGGGAAGCGTCTGTCAGAGGTTGAGCTACTAAAAAGCCTTCATATGGCAAAAATCCGTATCCTCATTGATGCGGGGGCATTCATTATGGAGATGGACAACTTTACTGTCGCATGCACATGGTTGCAAGAAGACTGGGGCGCACACGGCGCCGTGTACTTCGGCGATGACAACAAGCCCTGGGTAGTTTATCGGAATAACAAACGTGTTCCACTGTTTGCGAGTCCATTCGCAGATGATATGCGCGCCTGCGTGGTCTACCTCGATGAAGCTCACACGCGAGGTACTGACCTCAAACTGCCTCCGGACGCACTCGGTGCACTGACTCTGGGTCTCAGTCAGACAAAGGACCACACAGTACAAGGTAAGCAGCCGTATTATCCTATTTATACGCACATCTATCGCTAACCGAGCGTTGTCAGCGGCAATGAGACAGCGCCAACTTGGGGCCACGCAATCTGCAAGGTTTCTTGCCCCGCCTGAAGTTCACCAAAGCATTTTGGACGTGTGCAAAAAGACTTCAAATGATACTGTGGATTCCTCTGACGTTATCTCTAGGTTGCTTGACCAGACATGCGCTACGAATCGGGAACTACAACCTTTGTATTTAGCGCAGGGAAAGGGCTTTTGCCAGCGAATGCAGGCTGCAGCATCGTACAGGAAGTTTCTCTCTAACCCTGAACATCGAAAAGCATATCTAGATGTTCTTCAACAGCCCGAGCAACAGACTCTGGAGCAGTTATACGGGCCTTATTATCGCAGCGCCGCAGCCTCGCCTTCAGAGGACAAGGCAATAGATCCCCGGGGCAGGGTAGCCACATTGATGAAAACGCTCGGAGAGCGAAGGCAAGAGTCACAGGCATACGAGTCATTTCTGAGCTCGGCTCTGGAGGAAGTAGAACAGAAACGCGAAGTCGCTTACGAGATCGAAGAAGAGCGAGAGATGCAACGACCTCTCAAGCCTAAAGCTCTCAAGTTCCGTGGACTCCACGCGTCTATTCTATCTTTTGCGCGGGGTGGCGTCTTGGTTCTCGAGGGTATCGTATCCGCTGCAGAGACGCTTGAAGAGACGCAGCTTGGCTTGAAGTACCGCATACATGGATCCTCACTGGTCGCTCATCTTTATCTTTCGGCTGAGTTCAGCGTAACGATCAACTTGAAGAAGTCCGGGTAGAAAGATGACACCTATACGGTAAGTTTAAAAGTCCTCTTTGCGGTATGGTGATACTAGGATGCGATTCCGTGCAGCGTCCTGTCACCTGGTTTCTGTTCAACGCTGCCACAGAGATTGCAGTGGTCATCATCCCAGAAGAAGCTGAAGCCTTGATTCCAGTTATGCGCGAGCATACCTCTCCGGATACACATCTTATTATGTACGCAGCTCCCTGGAGCAAAACTATGCTTCACTTCAACAACCTAGACTATTACGCGCTTCCCAGTCTCCCAGATGGATGGAGACTCCCTTCTTGGCTTCCATTCGAGATTGGCATTTTTGGAGGAAGGCTATACTTTGAATTTTCAGAGTAACGAAGACATACTTGCACGTCTTTACTCCATCTCTGGGAATCCCGCAGAGGTTTACAAATCGCCTGACCTTTGGGCTGTGGCCAAGAGCCGGCTCAGCTTTTTGCAGGAGTGGCCGGCAATCCGCCGCCAAGGACAAGACATATCAGATACTCCAATGGGATGTGTGTGTCGGGTTGGCAACTTCGCAGTGATCATCCCTTTTTCACCATTAGGCCCGTTAATACACCGGGAGAAGGTGGCCCTGTGCTTGAGTCATTCCGACCCGAAGTAGAAGAAGATAGGGAGGACAAGTACTATACCAGTGATGACGGTATGGACGAGGATATGATGGATCTGGACAGTTCTAGTGCGTCTGTTTACGAAGATGCTCTTGTCGAGTGATTAGTGCCAGCTCGAGCAAAAGTGTGCGAGTATGTTTTCGCCTTGTTGCTTGCTATTTTCTCTTCTTCCCCTAAGAAGATTAATAATTTGTGGTTGGAAAAAGGTAGATTAGTTAAAAAAAAATGGGTAGACCTTCCTTAATTTGCTGGGAGGGCTATTCCGAGAAACTGAATGTATCACGGAAGATGTAGCAGTGTTGTTGGCTAAAAAAACGAGGTACTACCTAGAGAGCTACCATGTCACTTATAGTTCGAGGTCCTATAGTCCTGTATTGAGTTTTTCTTCAGTTTGACTCTCTCACGCAGCCCTGGGCTAGCCCTACCTGCCCCGAATGGGAAGCCAGGCAGAGAGCACGTGACTGTTAGGGGCAGAAGGACGATCATTGAGGGCACCAATCAGCAGCCAGCATCTCTCTCAGGTCTCACATGGGCACTGTTTTCTCCAACTCCTATCTCTCGCCTCCTCAGCTCTCGTTGGATTAGACTATCAACTCGAGCTATCAGCTTGTATTCCTCCGAAATGCCACGCCAGGCTAATCCAGATGCAGCTTCACCCCGCACAGATCCCTGCCAAACCCTGCCTGTGGCTTCCTCTTGACGTCGCATCGGCGGCCGATGATAAGCTGCATCCAACCACCCAATGTAACCCTTGAAGTCTTGTCGCTCTCGAGTCTTGACTTTACCCACACTGGGTGGGGGTAGGATACCAATGACGCTGGAGACGATGCAACTGGTATGGCCACTGATACGATAAGCTATCTCTCCATCAAGATATCTCCTCGTTCCCAGTTTCTAATGACGAGCAGTTATCTATCCCTTGCTTTGATCGTCTTCTTCCTCGTAAAATCCCTGTTGCTTTTCCTCGTCTTTTCTTCTCATTTATCGACAGGAGAGTATCGTTGGCTGCTACACTCGAGTGACACAGTCGGTCGGACAGCTCGCCAATTATGGATACTAAGGCATCTCCGTCGTTGACCCCCGTGGAATCGCCTGCTCGAAAGGACTCTCTCCCCGATGAAGATCCCAACAAGACCGACCGCTACGCTCCTGGGGTCGTGGAGAATGTTGCTCATGTTGTCGACCATAAGGCTGAACGGGCGCTCTGTCGTCGATTTGATCTGCGGTTGATGCCCGTCTTGGCTGTAATGTGTCAGTGTCGCACAGCCGTCTCGTGGAGGACATTCCTAGCTAATCGATAACCAATAGACCTCTTCAATGCGCTCGATAAGGGAAATCTTGGTAATGCAGAAACTGATGGGATGAGCAAGGGTAAGCGACCATATCAGGTCTTCGAAATCGGCTGCTAACAAGTTAGACCTCAATTTCGCACCTGGCCAATACAACCTGCTACTGTCCATCTTTTTCGTTCCATATGTCGTCTTTGCGCCGCCGATCGCCATGCTGGGTAAGCGCTTTAGCCCGGCTAGAGTGCTGCCCATCTTGATGTTCTGCTTTGGTTCTTTTACTCTGCTTGCTGCCTCTACCAAGAACTTTAGTGGCATCTTCGCCCTTCGCTGGTTCCTCGGCATGTCGGAGGCTGCCTTCTTCCCTCTGGTGATTTACTACCTGACTACGTTCTACCGTCGTGCTGAATTAGCTCGCCGCCTGGCTTTGTTCTACGCGGCCTCCAACATCGCGAATGCTTTCTCCGGTCTGATCGCATTTGGAGTGTTCCAAATTGAGAACACACCCATGCCTCAATGGCGCTATCTGTTTATTATTGAAGGTGCTGTCACTGTCAGTTTTTCCTTCTTCGCCTTCTGGTATCTCCCACGGAGTGCCTCCGAAGCCAAGTTCTTGTCTCCCGACGAGAAGGCCCTGGCTTTCCACCGAATCCAGGTCGACTCTAGCGCCGTCGTGAACGAGAAGTTTAGCCTTCGTGATGCACTTGGTATATTTCGTCATCCGAGTACTTACGGCTTCCTCGCCATTGAAATCTGCCTCGGTGTGCCTCTCCAGGGCGTTTCGCTCTTCATGCCTCAGATCGTCCAGCGTCTCGGCTACTCCACGGTCAAGACCAATCTATACACTGTTGCACCGAATGTTACCGGCGCAGTGATGCTCCTGATCCTTGCCTTTAGCTCTGACGCCGCCAAGCTCCGATCCCCATTCATCGTCCTCGGCTTCCTCTTCACCTTTACCGGCTTCATGATCTACGCATCCATTGACGACGTTCAGTCGAAGATCAAGGTTGCCTACTTCGCCACCTTCATGATGACGTGGGGTACATCTGCTCCATCCGTCCTGCTGAGTACATGGTACAACAACAACATCGCTCACGAAGGTCGCCGCGTCCTGCTCACTAGTATTGGCGTACCTCTTGCAAACCTCATGGGTCTGGTTGCAAGCAATGTATTCCGTGAGCAGGACAAGCCCAAGTACATGCCCGCTTTGATTACGGTAGGCGCATTTGGCGCTACCGGTGCTGTCCTTGCAGGCTTACTCGGAGCCTACATGTTCTTCGACAACAAGAGACGTGATCGCCGCGACGGGGCTACTATTCGCGCGGTGGACGTGCCCACTGAACGTCTGCGAGATGGCCCCGCGTCGCCCGAGTTTCGCTGGTTCTTGTAGAACGCCGTGGCAATATGCCGAAGCGAATCCGGGGTGTTATACGGGACTTCTTGATACGCCTATTCCAGAACGACGTGTTATGAATAAACAGATATGACTACGAAGGGGCAGGCTTATGATCATTCATTCTTTAGGGTAGCCTCAATGAATCACGGTTTTTGAACCAATCAGACGGAACGCTCTAACTAAATTAGACCAAACCAAGAGGTAGATTGTCGAATAGAACGAAAGACATATACAAGAAGCCAGGAATAGATTAATGGTAGCTAGCGAGCCTGAACTTGAGCTTCCATCCAGGGTCAAAGTTAAACTCGTCGCCACCCCGCCAGCACAACCTTCTCAGAAACCAACATTTCGAGAGCTTCGTAGCTCGTCAATCTATGACTATGGTGAGAGAGTGTGTACTGTGTACAATATTATCATGTCCTAGTATCCCACCGAGTGTCGTGTGTAAACCCTTACCCCCGAAAGATATCGCAGCCCACCCTCCCAGAACAATTTTGTCACACAGCACACGCCAGACAGCCATCAGAGTAGACTATGTGAGTATATATATGATCCTCAGAAATAAATTTCAACCCCGGGGGGTGGGTGGTGTAGTGGGTAGCGCTGGGGGATGGATCCTGGGAGTTCAACATTCCAGCTTGTAGGGCCTTAGTGCCTGATGGAATACCCTTGTAGGGTTCATTCCTCGCTCTCGCCCCCCCTTTTCCTTTGGCCTTTTCCTGCCTTTTATTATTGCTAGACGGATTAGAGGCCTCGGGGCTCGTTCTGGACTAAGAAATGTGCAGATATGACACTAGCAGGTCTCATAGAGATGATAGATACCTTTATCATCCATGCATGACCTGAAGTCCTCTGGTGGTGGATGGATGGAGCTCCTGCCCATTTCATTCAGTCCACCCTCCCAGCCAATAAGTCTGTCCCTCACCACATCGTACAACAGCCAGAGTTAGTAGACCATATGTATCATCGTCAGAATAACATCTCGCCCAACGGGGGGAGGTAGCGCGGTGGAACAAACACCAGCCTGTAAGGTCTGAAGGCCTGATGGTAATGAACTACTACTCGAGTTCACTCGGCGCTGCCGCCTCCAGGGACCTTTTTTCCGGCTCCCCTTGCTCTTCATCATCGTCAGATAGATTAAAGGCCTTGTAGCTTGTGCTGGATCAAAATGTGTGGTGGCAGACATCAAAGAGACGGGATACCATCATTCATGGCCCGAAGTCCTCTTTTGGTAGAGCTCCTGCTCATTTCATTCAGTCCACCCTCCAAGGAGCCGTGACAAGCCTCAGGCTGTCACAGACCGCGTCCACCAGCCAGACTACCTAGTATATCTACAACCCCCAGGAATAATATTTCAATCAGAGGACAGATAGTGCAGTGGAAGAACGTCAGTGAGCAACCTATGGTCCAGCTTGTACGTCTGAAATTGAGTAAGTTGGATGGACTTGGGCTGGATAGCGGTTCATCCCTCGTCATCGCCTCTCTATTTTTCCTTTTTTTTGCTCCTTGACCCCTTCTCCGTCTCCAAACCGGCTTGAGGTCTCGTAGCTCGTCCTAGAGTAAGATGTGTAGTGCTATATGTACATAGCATATATCCAAGAAAGATACTATCCATCATCTATGACCTAGAGTCCCGTTGTGGTGGAGATCTTGCTCATCTCATCGCCTTCTTCAATCATTCTCGAAGGAAGTTTACAACCAAAGGCCAGGTGGTGTAATGGTGCACAAACAGTTCAGTTATCCCGTCAGCTTGTAGCGCTGCCGTTTGAAGCCCGGTTCCGGGGAGGACGAGTTTACCAGTTCGATGGCAGGGGTTTCCCTGAAGGTTATCCTGGTCAATGAGCTTTTTCTTTTGGCGGCGAGAGGGGAGAGGAGGAGGGGTTTCGAACTCGGGGCCTCGAGTTGAATTTGGAAGGCGTGGTTGGTGGTGCCGTGTTACTGGGGCTACGGGATGGAGGGTTGAAGAGTGGTCTTGAGATAGGGTGTCTTTTAACATTTGCTCTGCATTCTCTTCAAATTGAAGCATCAATACAAGCGTGCCTGTGACGAAATCGAAGCTTAATTACTGGGGGGCTTGCTGGTTGCGCAGACTGATGGCATTGGAAATGCGCTCAAAATCTCGACCGGGGACAACCTGGCCTGAAAGAGCGTTCACCAGCAACATGTTGCTGCTGAAAGATTTCAGAAAGTCAGCCCTTGAATCGGTTTTCTTAGAGAGCACCCTTATCGCCACGATTATCATAGTAGTCAAGAGTGTAGAACTGTCTAGCCCAATATCGAAGTCCAGCACAGCCCAATTCTATTCTCACCACGCTTCGAAGGAACTTCAAACCCACCAATCCACCTCCTTTTCGGCAGTGTATAACCCAGAGACAGAGTCCAAAGATAACAAATAGGCCAGGTAGCTTAATGGTAAAGCGTTGGTCGTCTGGCGCGACAGAAGCATCCCCGACGGGGGATTCGCTGAGGGGTTTACAAGCCCAGGCTACTCGGATCTGAGAATGCCTATCGCGGACCACCAAAGATTGCAAGTTCGAGACTTGTCCTGGCTACTCTTTTTTCTTTTTCTGCTCTCCCTCTTCAGTTCGTTCTGTTTGCATGTGCATGGTGAGTCCTGCTTTGGTGCTGTTTCCTTTGTTCATCTTCCCACCCATTGGCCTCTCTATTTTAAACATCGAGACTTTCAGCGAGCATCTGTCCGTGTAGTAACAGGGCTTAGGCTTGTTGATGGAGAGGGAGGGTGTATTCTGGACTTGAATTCATCTTCCCATAGATATCCTGGAAGTTATCTAGTCAGCTACAGCCGATGCTATCAGGGAAACGCAATGAAGCTCTGTGGGCCAATGATCTAACGTGGCAATTATCTAGACTCTTACAGATAATTACCCAAGAAGAAGTTTTCAAAGTTGCAACTTGGTTTCAAGTTGTCCGTTGTTCGGGTGACTCCCACGATACCCAGCGGCTTATTCGTTGCCCTTCAGGTGCAGTACCTGAATGGCCCTTTTATCATGAATAGTAAGTATTTCATTCATGATCAGAGATATATGAGCGGCATGTCGTACACAAATCGGCCTCTGCCGAATGCAAAGTGAGATTCAAGTCTATCCAGTGTTATATGGCAGGTTTTCAAGCAGACCAAGACAGCACCAACGCTAACTCTCATGCAGCAGTTCTTTCCTGTATGCTTTTCAAGCTTTCCACTGTATCAACCACACTATCCCGCAACGACCGATATTGAATTCCCAGATCTTTGATCGAGGCCGAATTATCAAACCCATACTTGGGCCCACCAGCCGGATACTGCCCATCTCTCAACGCCTCCCCACTCGGCAACCCACCCTCCAGCTCCGGAAACTCCTCCCCAATAACCTCCACAATATCTGCATTGCAAAAGCTCCCCGCAGTCAAGAAATACCGCTTCCCAGCCGTCTCAGGCTTCTCGACCGCAACCGCATGCGCCAGAGCCGCATCACGCACATCAACCCAGAACTGACTCCCGGTCGGCGGACACTTGTCCTTCAGCGCCCCAGTCATAAAGTCCCTGATCCGCTGGTTCGACGTATTGACCTCGTCGAGGGAATTCAACCACTCGACGGGCCCGAAAATCAACGACGGATTCAATACAGTCAGCGTGAAATTCGGCTTCTCGCGCTCCATAAACTCCCACGCCTCCTTCTCCGCAAGCGCCTTGCTCGTCCGATACCCGGCCTGCCCATGCGCGTTCTGCGGATTCTCAGCCTCGTCCCACGTAACGGGGTTCCAGTCTTGCTCTGAATACTTGGTCCCTGCCGGCTTCGCGGCATTGAACATTGCGGCGAATGACGAGGTGATAACGACACGGGTTACATTCGGTGCGTGTTGATGTACGGATTTCATAATCCCGACGGTCCCGTTGACGGCTGGGTCGAACATGTCCTTCTTCGCGTTGGCGATGCTATAGTGGAAGGGACTTGCCGTGTGGATGACGGCCGAAAAGGGTGGGTCGGACGGGCTTTCGCTGCGGACGGCATCGTCGAATGCATCTGCGGCCGCAATGTCGGGGACAATCTTGCACTTTAGTCGATGCGAGGCGATGTCGGGGTATTGGGCGAGGAGCGAGCGTGCTTTTTCGGCGGTGCGGACGGTTGTTACGACTGAGTGGCCGCGCGAGAGAAGGGTGCTTATCAGGGTGTTGGCGAGGAATCCCGTGCCGCCTGTTACGAGGATATGGACCATCGTATGGTTGGACTTAGATGTGAGTAACTTGCGGTGAGGTGAACGAATCTGAACTGAGCAGTTTGTCGTCTTGGAGTACAGCAAGCGAGCAGTCGGCGGCGGTCAGACATTATATACTTATGGTCCCCTCAGATCGTCTTCGGTTCTACATTCCATAATGACCGTTATGGCCGCCGTTCCGGGGGTAGATCCGACAGATATGTGATTATCAATTCACTACCATCAAGTGTCGGGGCATTGCCGGCGGACGTATCTGTAAGTCAGAGTGGAGTATACCGCCTTCTTAGCCGAGTGGAGTTGGGGGCTGAATTGAAGGGTACCGATACGAGTCTTGGGGATCTTCCGATGCTCTCCTCTTCCGAAATTCCGATATTGCGCAAGCCAGTCTTACTCTTCGGGATGCATGAAGGTTGGATGATCATTTGGGATACTGCGGGGTTGATGCAAAAGAACGTCTACGAGTCATATTGGCTCTCTGGGAGTGTCCTTGCCACAGTAGGTGTGTACTTCGGTGGGTAGGCGGTTGTTGCGGGTGAGCACCTTACCAAGCCTCGAGTCGATATTCGAGGGAGCTGATCACGAGTAGCCATGAGGGAAGATGACCATGGCTACGGAGTCACTGCGCATTCCGTCTCCAAAAACACCCCGTGTAGCCACTACACCAATTGATGCAAGCTTCTGGAGAGAACGAACTGAAGGTAGGGAATCGATTTTTTCGTTTTGTCTCATCACAATACATCCATTTTTGCAGACATATCCTGACCGCAGTCTAGATCTCGCATTTTTCGAGTATCTCCGCTAATGTAATATGAACATAAACCCCCGAGAGAAAACCCTTTAAGCCGACTTGCTCTTCACGGCCTCACGACCCTTGCCAATGCGCTCGAGAATCTGCTCACGGTCCTTGTCAAGCTTGAGCTTGGTGATGACGACGTTCGAGGGGGCGAGGGGGATGGGGACGCTCTGGCCGTTGCTCTTCTCGCGGACGATACGCTCGACGTGGATGGCCCACTTCAGACGGTAGACGCTTGTGACCTTGCCCTCACGGCCCTTCTGGGAGCCCCTAAGCACGAGAATCTCGTCGTCGCGGCGGATGGGGATCGAGCGGACCTATCGTGAGAGAAAAAAGTTTCGTTAAAAATCTGTCCTTCACACGTTCCGGTGTATTCCAGTTCCCAACTCTCATTCTTCAACGGCAATTCGAACGTACATTGTACTTGGCCTGGAGCTCCTTGGACAGGTGGGCGCTGAGGATAACACGGCGCTCGCTGGAGGGGGCGTTGAAGTGCGCCTTGCGCGACTTCCGGCGCGAGGACGAGAGGCCTGTAGAAAATTGGTCGATCAGCATAAGATGTCGGGATTGAGCATGGCGCAGGGGGAAAAGGGCATCACGCACTGTGGTTAGTGGCACCCATTTTCAGACAGCCTCGTTGAGGGATCGTGATTGTCGAATGGTTGTCGTGACGGTCGGGAAGAATCTCTCCTCAATGTTCGTGTGATCCGGAAATGTGGATTGTGCGTCACATGACCCTGGGCTCGTCTAGGGCTGCCATCTCGATTTTGATTGGGCGCGGGATGGACCACTAATCTGAGTCAGGTGATCTGGGCTGATCAGTGCAAACAGAGCAAACGTCCACGGAATTTCGCATCATTCACCAGTTCTATCCAAGGTTGTCTTTGTTCTATGCAAGAATTGCGAGATTTGCTTGATGAATATATCAGTGGGACTGGGGTAATAATCATTGCTAAATTAGTACATCACCATATCTAAATTTACTCTAGCTTGCATTCTGTTCACAGTATCCCGATATTCGATGGAGCTGTGGTCTCGAATCTTTGGATTCTTTTGTGTTTTCTGATATATATCCTGGATCCATGAACATCTATCCTTTACCTCACCACCTCACTCAACTTCATTTCAATGCATCATTTCCTTTTTTCTATATGATCTACAACATTTCCCAGACCCTTCTGCTCTCTCAAGCAACAATCAGCAAACTCCAAGGCCTCATCCATGACCTTTTGAACATCAAACCCTCCTAAAACTCCCATCTTAACCAACACCCCAACCGCTTCCTTCGTCCAACTCACACAATTTTTGCCCATATCTCCTCCATTTCTTGGCAAGTATACCTCTCTCAATCTCCTCTCCACCTCTTTAACAGTCACAGACTGTGTATCAAGCTTCCCAACAAGCACCTTTACGAGAATCTGAAACTCAACATCCGGGTCTCGACTCGTGCGTTCCCTGAATCGCCAGTCATCGCTCGCTTCTCCTGTGGCCGCATGGACAAATAGGGAGTCTGTGACGTCGAAATGGGTGTGCTCTCCATCGTTGGACTTGAAATTCTTGGGAGAAATCAGGATGCCCCAGTGGTATGCGGCGTAGTGGAGACGGCGGCGGTTCTCGCCTAGGGAGTTTTTGCCGCGGGGGTGCAAAGTTATGGAGATGCGGGGTTTGTTTCTCATCTTTTCCTTTTCAATGTAGAAATTGTACGACTTGAACTTTCTTATTGAAGGGGATCTCGAGTTAGGGTGAGCTTATTGTTGTTGAAGGAATTGCTGGTAGCCCCTTAATGCAGTCCCGCCTGCCGCTTAGGCAAAGTATTGGCCACAAGTGAGGCTGGATAGTTGTGTGTCACCAACACCTGAGAAAGCCATCCACCATCTACAGTTTGCTCTGTTCTCTCTCTTTCTTCCTCTGCAGAAACAAATCATCCATCGACACTGGAGGCAAGCCCTGCAACGCCTCTTCGACCAAGGTCACCACATCCCCTGCACATCCAAACGACAAACTCCATCCCGCACCTCCATGGCCATAACTATGCACAATCCGACTCGGCACTTCGCCATCACCGTGCTTGCGAAGCTCTCTCTCGACACGCACATTCTTCTTTCGAAATGGGCGTAGCCCCTGCGCAAGCGGATACTCAGGATCAAGCCGCGCTTTCTTCAACATGGGCAGAAACGACTCACAGCGCGAGCGCATTCGTTGAATAACCGGTGACTCGAGCGAGAGATCCAGCTCCCACTCATTCGGCTCGGTAATTCCACCCAGAACCAGGATATTATCGTTTCGTGGAACGAGGAAGATGATCTCATTTGATGACCGCGGATCCAGATTCGAGTCCGAGCTCGGCATTTGGTCGGACCCGGCGGCGGCGGGAACTACCAACGCTTTCTCAATTTTGGGGAAATCAGTTCCGTCGTTGAGCAGGCGGACAAGAGCGCCGCGGATTGGATAGCATGTTTTGTCGGAAGAGAGGTCTGATGCGTCCAACCCCGTGGCGTTGACAATCGCGTCGGCGCTGAAACGCGCACGGAGCTCCGATTCTTGAGCAAACAGGTCGCCTGATATCGTCTGTGTTTGGAGGTCTGCGCCCTTTTTCTGGACGAGCGATGTCAGCCAGCTCATGCAGGTGTCTGTGTCTATCACCGGGGCGAGGACTTCAAAGGCGTCGACGATGCCATAGGCTGGATTTATGCCGTTGACGCAAATAAGTCCGGGATCATGAACGAGCCCGTGGACTCCGTCGCTTCTCATCTCCTGAACCTTTGCCTGCACTGCCGCGTCTTCGGCTATTTTGTGCGTGAAGAAGAAGTCGGCTGGTTTCATCCTTACCCCTGCGGCATCAGACAAGGCGGGATTGCCGACGATGGCGCTCCATATGCAGTAGCTGACCATGCACCAGCGCTTCGAGTTGATGAGTGAGATGGTATCCGTATGGTGGCCACAAACCGCCGGCGGGTATTCCCAGAGCGCACCAGCGATCTGAGAGGTGAGGCGCTGCTTTGAGGTCTGCGACGCCCATTCTTTCGATACGATGGTCACGCTGTAGCCCCTGTCGAGGAGGGCCCAAGCGGTGGTGAGGCCGATGACACCGCCGCCGATTATGAGGATGCGGGCGGAGCTGACTGAGGGAGGATGAAGGGGTGCATCCTCCGGGGAGAGGTCTTTCCAGAGTGTCAGGGAGGGCATATTGGGCGTCCTTGGTCATGGTTTGTATGATGGTCGTGGTTACTTTATACTCGACTAACATCATGGATACTTGGTCGGATTACGGTTATGAGAGTGGGTGGTCTATTGATGCCATGGACTAACAATAGGTTTTACAATAACCTGTTGAACATCGACTTTTATTGACAACAATATCAATGGTTCTTCTGTTGATATTGTAGATACTCAACAACCCCGGCCAGGAGAAGGATCACTAGAATTTCCCCACTGTAAATGTTTAATCTATGGGGAGCTGTTGGAGTAGAGGCACGTGCGTTGGATGAGATCATCGCGATTGACGAGCGTCGACAAACGAGATGCAGGTGGAATAATCCATTGTGCTGCAAATGACATATCGGGTCATTTGGCATTTGGGTCAGGCAGATAATAATAGCAGAGAAGACGTCAGACGTAGATGGCTTGGAATCTGGCTCTGTTTATTGATCAGCGCCGTTTGTGATGTCATCGCCGTTGGAATGCTTAAATATCCCCAGCATGAAAGAATGGGTTCTGAAACGAATAACACATTCTTCCAAAGTCAAGGCAGACACTACTCCGTGAAACGTGAAATACTCCCTCCTTAAGTCCTTGCCGATAAAACTCCACAAACATCATAATGCCGGCTATCTACGAGCGCATCTCGCAAGACCTGGTCGCGCAGGAACGCACCCTGTGGACGACCCTAACCTCGGCCGACCCGGCGCCGGAACTCGAGCGCTTCACCCACCCCGAGGGTGTCCTCCTATTCCCCAAGAAGGACATCATTACCGTCGACAAACTCCAAGAGGCGTTCAGCAAGCCGTTCCATCGATTCGACGAGTACGATTTGCAGGATGTGCGGACGATTGTGATTGATCTGATGGCGGGCACTGTGACGTATCGCATCCGGGCCAGGCGTGACAACAACCACTACCACGCCACAGGCTCCTCGACCTGGGGGCAGGGCTCCGACGGCGAATGGCGGTTGATTTCGCACCAGGAGACGCTGCTGTGATTTGTGATATTATTTTTCATATTAAACTTTCTCATGTATCATTTATGATTTAACGGTTTAACGGTTTTTTCGAGAGTTGTGATGTGTCACTTTCATCTTTTCCCTAGCGTTCGTCCCTCGGCTGAATTGACTGAAACGATCGAGCGGACGCTAGACTTCTGACACCCGAGTTTTCTCCACTACTGCCGAAGCTATTTTTTAGCTATTTTAATGACCTTGCAATCTCAATTTGATTCTTCAGACTTTTTCCTTCAGCACGAACTATGGTAAATCATGCGTCTACAGAAAGATAGCGAGCCCTGGGATGGCTTTGTCCTCCCGGTCTCCATTCCCGATCCCTCTACGCGGACTCGCAAGGTCCTTATCGTCGGTGCTGGTATCGCCGGCATAGCAAGTGCCCTGGCCCTGGCACACGAGCTCAAACCTCACGAACCCAACCTTCAGATCACCATCTTCGAGCGTCATGAGGTGCTCTCGACCTCCGGTGGTGCGATCAACCTTACGCCCGTCGCCCAACGACACCTTGACCGACTCGGTGTACTATCCGAGCTGGACCGGCAAGGTGCCGATGGCGGCGCGGACGTTGACGCCATTGAGCTCATCTCCAGCCGCTCCGGGCGCTCACTCGGCTCAATTGATTTCACTGATGGTCAGGGCAATGGCGTGAACGGCTACAAGGGCCGTCGAGTGATGCGGATCGTCCTCTCGCTCGCCATGCTCTCCGTCGTCGAACGCCACCCGAACATTCGCCTCGTCTACGGGAAGAAGCTCGCCCGCGTCACAGAGAGCCCCAAGGGCGAAACAATCCTCCACTTCGAAGACAACACCTCTGCCACAGGCGACCTCGTCCTAGGATGCGACGGCGTCCACTCCGCCCTGCGAACCTCTTACGTCGACCCCTCCCGACCCTCCGAATACACCGGCCTCTCCTTTCTCCAGACAACAATCGACACTCCCCCTCCACCACAGCCGCAATCCCGCTCCGCACGAAACAGTACCAGCAGACCCAGCACAAGCAACAGCTCAAATGGCAGCGCACATAGCTACAGCATTCGCAGCCTCCGCAAGTCCCCCAGCATTAGCACACATGCCTCCTCCTCGACACCTACTATCTCCGCTGACCCATCATCCCCTTCTTCGCCCTCAATGCATCCACCACCCTTCCGAACAACGGGCCTCGTCCTCTCCCGTCACGGCGACCTCCTCGGCAGTTACTGCGACCGCTCCCACTCTACTCTCTTCCTCGCCGCCATTGTGCAAATGAACGAATCTCTCCTCCCACGATACCGAATCGACGCCTCTCCTTCAGCCTCTTCCTCTTCTCAGTCTAACTCGCATTACTTAACACCCCCTCACGTCGATGAAACCCGCCGCCGCCTCGCCATCCACGCAGCCTTGCAGGGCGAAATACACTCCCGCTTCAGTCACGCCGGACACCCGTGGATCAGGGACGTCGCGAAGCTAAAGACAAACTGGATGCTGTACCCGGTGTACCAGGTCCGACCTGGAGGCAAATGGTCCCGGGGGAAGGTCATTCTTCTCGGCGACGCAGCGCATGCGGTTAGTCCCCCGCCCCACTCCCCCTTATTCCGATCTCCATCAGGATGCACTAACAGAAGGAATCCAGATGCCACCCCGGGACGAATCCGCCGCCTACGCCCTCGACGACTCAATCATGTTCTCCCGCATCCTCGCACACCACCGCGACGAACCCCTCTGCGAGGTCTTTGCGCGCTACGAGGCCGTGCGGCGGGCCGCAGTCGAAGAGGCGTTCTCGGAGGCCGGCCGGATGTGGAACACGCACCGGGATATGGGCTTCCTGGAGGGCCGGTGGAAAGAGTGGACCATGCCCTGGGTGCTTTGGAAGAATCGGGGCGCGAGGAATGCCGCGTGGCGGTTTGATGCTTATGATGTCTGATTATTTCATATACCTATATATTGTAATAGATGGAAAAGGGGTTACGGGTTGGGTCGAATTGGATATGGATTGGCGGGTAATGTATGATAGACTGGACCGGATCGGGTGGTTCTTGGTTGCTTTGGTCTTGATAGATAGATAGATACCTACTGATTGGCTTTGGGCGATGGGCATACAAAGGCACACGATAATTGTTATGTTCTTTATGTGATACAGACTAGACTAGCTAGTTGGATTATATACACGGCGCTCACTTCTTCTCAGCACTCCACTATCCACTATCTATCAAACGGAAATCAGGTTAGATTAGATTAGAGAGCGCGACGAAAGAAACAATCGTTTAGAAAGTAAGAGTCTGTCCAGCAGTCCCCACAACGGCAGCCTTGACATTGTCAGGGCCAAGAGCAGTGTACTCGTACTCGACGCTGGTGAGGGTACCCTCAGGGGCATCAGCGGAAGCGTCACCAAAGTCATTGTCGCGCTCGACGGCGTAGCCATCGTCAGTGGAGTAGAGGGCCTTCTTGCCGTCAACCCAGACGTTGGACTCGACGAGGACCTGGGCGCCCTGGCGGGTGTTGATGCCGTCGCTGACGTTCTCGTAGTAGTTGTTGTACAGGTGGCCGGTTCCGAAGCGGATTGAGGGGCCGCGAGAGTTGATGTTGGACCAGTAGTTGTTGGCGTAGGTGATGTGGAGCTTGCCGGAGTCCTCGTCCTCGTTGCTGTCGGAGTGGCCGACGAGAGAGGCCTTCCAGTGGTCGTGGATGTAGCTGTTGGAGACGGTGATGTAGTCCGAGGCGCGTTTGAACTGGTTTCAATTAGCATTCCCCCTTGTTCTCCATGAAAAGCTGGAGGGGACTTACGTCGAGAAGACCGTCGTAGTAGTCCTTGTCGTGGTCACGGTTGGAGGAGACATCGACGTGGTCAATCCAGATGTTGGTGGAGTACTCTGCACTCTGTTAGCAGCTTCATCGTTTTCAAGCCCTAAGTCACATAGAACATACCAGCAGCGATGGCATCGCCGTTCTCGGCGAGGACGTTCTTCACGCCGAGGTTGCGGACGATGACGTTCTCGGCCTTCTTGATGTTGATACCGAAACCGTCCAAGACAGCGTTGGCGTCAGCACCGAGGATGCTGGTGTTGCTACCGACGGTGGCCGACTTGGCGCTCTCGGTGATGGGGCCGCTGACAATGACGACTTTGGGCTCGTCGCCCTCGACAGCGGCAGTGAACTCGGCGTACGAGGCAACCGTGGTGGTCGTACCGCCGGCACCGCCGGTAGTACCTCCGTTCAGGCTGGCGTAGCCGAAGGCGACATCGTCAGAGGAGACAGCGCGCTTGACGCAGGGAGTCGGAGCTGCAAGGGCCGGCCCGAGGCAGCTCACGACGGTGAGGAGGTACTTGAGAGACATTCTGAACAGAGACTTTGCTTGAAAGGAGGGTAAAGAAGGAAAGGTTAGGAAAGAAAACAGAAAAGAGAGTGTATGAAAAACGATTGACAGGCTTGCTGTTGAGGAAAGAATAGATTCTGAGGCCGGACTGGGTCCTTATATAGGTCGGTTCCAAAAGCCTCACGTCGTCCCACCGGAGTCATCTTGGGCTCAAGAACTGAAACGATCAACGCCTCGACCTCTCAAATGTGGATGAAGGAGCCACTCAAGGTTCTCCGGAGCTGATCCGGAACGTCACTGGATTAGGGCATTTCGTGATCCGTTACAGTTAGAAAGCAGTTCGTTAACGCCAGGAGACTGCGTCTGCCAAGAATCTCAATTACTTTCAAACAAGACGGATGCCCAGGGGAGACCGGGTGCTTGGCATCAAGATGGACACGAATCGCTTGATTCAAGTGATTAAGGTGAGACCGGAGAAATTCCACAAATGAGTGTAGCTTGTTTCAGGTCCCTTTGCCAAGCAACCAGGTCGGAGGAAACAGAAGCGATTCTTCAAGTGCCACGCGGTGGCAAAAGCTCGGCGGCGGAAAACCTCGTGATGGCATCCGACAGGTGGAAACCAGCAACTGTCGTTTGTTTTGCGCAAGAACTTTCGCTTCGACACCAGCGATCGGCCAAGGTTTTCCCCAAGAACACACGGAGCTGATCGCGCACCATCAGCCCTGTAGGAATTCCCAGAAGTCTTGGGACCAAGGAAACACATATTCCATGAATACGAGGCTGCTTGCACCATGAGTGATGCAATTGTCAACATCAAGATTGTCACTTTCCAATCTATTTCCCCTTGTGTGCTGTCTGTATATAGTGCGGAGTCGGTGGATATTATTGGAGGAGTCTGTGCATCCACAATAGTAAGCACCCTTGGAAGCGATGGGGGTCTTCATGAGAGAGTGTTTCAGCTACGAGTCAGTGATTCCGGAGCATCCTGTCGTGATTCCACTCTCTCCGGAGTCCGGATAACGCAATTATCTAGAATCAGCTCGCGACAGCCCACACAGCCTTTCTTCTGCCCTGGGACTGACTTCCGAGTTATCGCATCAACTCCCTGGAACGAATAACATTCTGCAGGTTGCTTGAGCAGAATGGACAATATCTGATATCGCGCTGAGCCTCGTACTGAGAATCATGTTGTTGCCCGCAATTGCCTTCGAAGGGTCTGTACTCCGTATAGAGTCAAATGGCGCAATTTAATTGACTCCCAGTCATATTCAATCAAGGATTTGATCGTCAGTCGCTTTGACGGGGATAAGTTGCCTGGTTGCCATCCCCACCCACATCCGCCAGCGGCTGTTGAGGCTGGTGTAAGCACCGAAGAAGCCGGAGCTAGCCTGTGGACGGTGGACGGTAGACGTCTCTCTCGGGTAGATACTGATCATGCCCCTGGTACTGAAATAGAGCGCCAAGGAGCCACCGGAGAGAATATATTGGTTGGTAGGAATCTCACAACGGTCGAACCTCAGCCGTCGAGCCAAGCAAAGGGCAAAAGCCATCTGTCAGGTAAATAGAAATCCTTGAATGATAACGCCTGCTGGATAAGCGCGAGTCAGAATAACAAGAAGGTACGATGTTGGTCCCCGAATCTATCGAGTTCTCAAACAGATTCCGCCCTTCTAACAGAACTTGTGAAATGCTCTTGAACTCTGTCTTTCCCGGAGTGCGTTCGTTCCCCTCTAACCAGATGCTCAGCGAGTGAAACCAGAGCCAAGTTCCAGTGAGCTAGCATAGATAGTTCATTCAGATGAAGGACTGAGCTTTGTGGGGAAAAGACGCCGTCGATGTTGATGAACGATGATGACTAGACCAGAATATTTAGCTATCAAAGCGGAAGTTAACCTTGAAAACACCATGAGAAAGGCTCCTCACACACGGTTGCTAACTAAGCAAACAAACAAACAAAGAACTGCAGAGCTCGAAAAGACCATCCTTCATTGCGGCTGCTCTGTTTTAGGCGGGACCTACCCAGGGATCTGTCACAGGATACCCCGGAGGACTTGCCTTGAATATGACGACGGTCTTGCAAAAAGAAGCACTGAAGAACATCGTCCCCAGTCCACACTGTCTAGATTCAGAAACAAGGGCTTTGGATCGGGGCTTGTTTTTGAGGTTGGGTCTCTGCTCGATCTCAATTAAGGCAGAGTCAACCAGCTTGAAGGCAAGTCGGCTCTTCATGATGAATTTCGAGTGCTAACAATTATGTTTATAATTACAGAAAATATTACATTAGCGAAGACAGGAATTGGTCCTCGAGACATCCCACCGAAACTCATGAGCAACCAAGCGGCCACAGCTTTTCGAACACAACCCCAGTGAGCGCCAACCAAGACATTCGCGCATAGAATCCAACTGTCTCCCCAGTTACTGATCCGCGAGTCCTTCACCTGCGACCTGTTGTCCGATGATCACTACTGCAACCGCGATCTGGAACCAAAACAATGTCAGAACGGAGTTTCGTGGTGAAAAAAACACTCAATCATTTGGCATGGCAGGGACGCACCAGGGACAAATCCACACCTCTGGCAACGCGTACTGTCCACATTGGCCGAAAGCGAAACGGCGGCTTCTGACCCTGCGCGAGTACGCCAGGATCCGTGACTCTGTTGAAAACGGCCACCGTCTGGTTGTCCACCATGGCCACTTGGACAAGGTTATCCACATCTAGCGCAAGGATCTCCATAACAGTTTCTTCAGGGTGGAGAGATGCCCCGGTGCTCGACCGTGAGAGCGACTTTTGATGTGTATACTTCTGAGCCGGTCTCGACCCCACGGTGCTACACACATTGCGAAACCGCATTACAACTCTCGGGGACTGAACTGCTACACGGCACTTTGCCGATAGGATGACTTCACTCGTCGTCAAGGCGCTTGGTGGCTTCAACTCCAACACGGACGAATCATACCACCGGCTTCGAAGTTCGAAGAGAGGAAATCCTGATGCGTCGCGGAAAACACGCCGTTGTGCGAGACCCCATGGGTGGCCATGGACTGTGAAAAGCGTGGCTCCGCTCTGGTTGGTGATGGTGTAGTCGAGTGGGTGCCATGGTTCGGGGCTATTGCGAACGGTAATGACAGTCTCCGGCTCGGCTGTTGCGACAGTCTCAGGGCGGATCGCTAGTGGCCATCGAGGTTGTATTGGAGAAGGCTGTCGGAGGAACGCCATACATGATCTGTTGCGGAAGACATTGGGGTCGAAGAAGGGTAAGTGATGGGGAATGAGTTCTTCCTATTTAACTTCATCCTTGCCGCTCTCCTATGGTACGTACTAATAGGCGATGTTACACTGAACGTTGTGTCGGCGGAGCTTGACCGCGAGTTCCCCGTTCCGGCAAGGCAGAGAACGATTCTGCCTTGGAGCGTTGATGATGTTGGTGCGGATAGCTTCGTGATTGGATGGCTGCTCCCTTTGGCGCAGGGCGTTCAGGGGATCGCTACGATGAAACAAATAAGGCTGTGCGATTGTCCATGTGAGTTTAATGACCATTCTCCTTTCGTTTCATGCGAGCGTTGACCCGCCAATTTTGCGAACGACCGCAGCATCTAATCTTTGACGCCGAAGTATACAGTGGGCCCACGGTTACCAGTACGCTGCCCACCGACTAGTTCCCTCGACGACCTTGACAAACTCCTTTCCGACAACTTCTTCGGCACGCTCGGACGGATGTAACTCATCATACCACAGGTATGAAGCCGGATTGTCCTGGTACGTACAGTGCCCACCCCCAATCGGACAGTGGCGCACATACCCTGTTACGTTTGCCGGCGCGTCCAGATATTCGATTGGGTTGTAATAAATATCAGAGATCTTCCCTGTCAGCGAACACATAAACTGAACTAAGGGATAATAAAGTGGGGTAGAAGAAAAAAAAAAAAAGGAAGAGGGGAGGAAGCTGACCAAGCCATACAGATCCATCACAGCTAGCTGCGCCCCTCGGTACCGGTGTGAGATCAATGCCTCAAACGGTGTCTTGTATCTAAAGACATCGTTGACCGTAACCACCGTTTCCCACATCCGATAACTAATCTCCGTGATATTGGCCCCCTTATCCGAGTATCCCGGCGTCACAGCCAGCCCGCCGTGCTCTGGTGTTGCGTACTGAGGGGACAGTTGCAATGGGGCCATATTCATGATCACAAAGTACCGACCTCCGTTTGCGTATACTTTGTCCAAGGCTTGGTAGACACACTCGATATAATATGGGATCGTGGTACCCGCGACCTGCGAGTCTGTGAGGAAAGCGTTGTTCCCCAAGTCGTTGGTGCCGATCCATATCGCATAAACCGTCTCGTTTTGCCCGATGTCCATGAACTTGGTCCCGTTGGGAGTGATATACTTGCTGTCTGCGATGTAGGCGGGTACCTCATACTCCAAGACGGAGGGATAAGGGCCATTGATCGGTTCGTACGTTCGCGGTGTGATGTTATTCGAGCACACTGCCCCGCTGACAGCATAATTGTACCGTTTCACGTCCGTGTGTTCCGAAGCAAAATATCCCCAAGTGTATCCGCCAGAATAAGAGTGGTTGCTCTGGTGAGAGTTAGTCAGTATACTTCATCCCATTCGCGCGGTGCCTGAGACCAAGAATAGACCTTACAACAGGCTGTTCCCACCCAACTGGCGGTGGTTTGCCCTTGTGCTCCGCAAAATATTGCAATCTCGCTTCGTCGGTATAGCTATTCCCAAAGGTGACTAGACCTTTCCATTGCTTTGGCCCCCAATGGTGAGATGGAGCGGCAATTGCTGCGCCCACGAGGAGTAACACCCCCACAATCCTGCACAGAAAACTCATCTCGAACAGCGTCGATGCTTTCCGCCCTCAAGAATTGGGAAGAAAAGAGAGAAGTCTTCTGCTCTCAGGAGCCCCCTCCCTGAGATTTAACCCCGGTGGCTTCAGTGGGTGCCGGATAAAACTATCGAGATTGACTGTCGATCCCCTGCAGATAGATGCAGACGATCTCGCCCGAAATGGTGAAGGACGCGGGAAAAGAAACAAACTTTCGAGTTCGTGATGCAATTGTTCCTCCCCACACGTTCTTGGATAAATTGACTACTTCATCCGGATCTGCATTCCAAGAAATTCTTCTTGTTGCTTACCTTGCTTAACCGTGTGACGATGGATTCCCAATGGCCATTGGTGCGGGTTTTCTTGAGCGACAATGAAAAACGGGCCCTCGCTGATCGCCCTCGCTGACCCCTTGATTCTTCCTTCTTTCGGTCTTTTGTGGGTTAATCGGCGGAAGGAATAGGGTCGGAGCGGTCGGTTCTGCGGGGCCTTCGTTCTTCATCGACTACATAGGTGTGTTTCTGGTAAGATGTTGTTGCAGCAAATCTCATGAACCATGTCTCAAACAACATAGGAATCTCATGATGGATTGACACTGCTAACTCTTCTGCCCACAGCCGTGCCTCGTTTAGTGCGGCTTTACCAAGAAGTCTTTATCGGCTGTCTCAATCCAATTGAGTAATCGCATGATAGTGATGTACCATGGTGCCGTGAACCTAACTGATCCATTCTTCCTAGTCATCTTGCCCGTTGCATCAGTTCCTCCATGACGTCCAGGGGCCCATTGAGCGTACCCAAATAGAAGCAGATCTGGGGTTGCTATGCAGAGAACCGTCACACTAGCCCGGCACAAGTGAATTCTGACTCGAATCTCGAAGGTGTGTCTCTACTTCCACTGCTCAGACCGGAGACCTTCTCCGAACTGGTTGAGTTCGCAACCGTCCGACGTCCACGGTTCAGTATACCATCTAGCGTGGGTCCACTTAGGCATCAGCCAATGGCCGTGCTATCCATTGTATTGGAAATACATACGAGGCTTTGGAGTATTTGTAGCTCTATCTGCGATCAACCGTCAACCCTGAGTCACCGGCCGGCAGTCCCTGAAGCAGAATGGGGTTTGAAAACTCCCTTGAAGCCGATTCGCTTGGTACATACGTGATCACTATCGGGCCCTGCTCAAATAACGACAGAGAGCCTGGTATTTCCTTCTGCGTATCGACGCAGTGTCCCCTTCGAGGACAGGCCATCCATACCCCTGCATGGTAGTTTTCACAGCTGTGACCAGCGTTATTCGCAGCGCCTGGCGGGCCCTAGGTCTATATTTCCGCTAGGGTACACAGTCTGCAATAGAGGATCAGGAGAAACTTTGAACAAAAGAGTGAAAATCATTATCAAGCATATGGACTAAGACCGACGGGTCAGGTGTACGCCTATGAGGAGAGGATAGAGAGGGAGAGAGCGCGCGTAATTAATATAGAATATCACTTGTATAACGCTATACGGTCCTGGGGTGTCATGGTTGACGAAGCTCGATACTGAAGCTATATCAAGATTTTTACTATATGTCGAATGCTCTGGTATATTGCTCAAGTCGTATTATGTATAATCTACATTTCCTCACATGCCACATATCCTTCCTGCTACCATCATCTTCACCCATCCACTCACCCACCAGAAAATCCATGGGCAAAAGACGGCCAGGTCAGCCTTGTCATTGAAGCTCTTGCGGCTCTTGACGGGCAGGTAGCTCGTGTGTAACGTGTTGGTCAGTGTATGTCTGTGGCTTGTAGTATCCTGCTCCATTTTGATAGACACCGTCTGAGCCTGGGTGGGACTGGGAGTAACCAGCGTCACTCGCCACTTGAGTCCCGGGCGCCTGGTAACCAGCCGGAGCCTTTTGCTCCCCATATGCCGCCCCTGCGGCCTTGCGCCGTTTGCGCAGAAGCAAGAATACTCCAACGATAATACCAATCACCAGTGGGATACCGACACCCAGGCCGACGCCAAGGCCTACGCCGAGATTGTTGCTTGATGAGCCACTGTCTGAGCTGCCATCGTCGGTAGGAGTTGGTGTCGTGCTGGAGGATGTGCTGGGAGACGTTGATGTAGAAGTTGTGGTGGAGGTAGTTGTAGTCGTGGGGTCCCCGGTGATAGTGGCGACGATGCTGACGGCGCCGAGAGAGAAAACCTCCGTCGAGTTACTGCAGGAGCAGCCGCCGAATCCATAACAACAGAACGTTCCTTGATCGCATGGCTGAACACCAACTCCTCCACCTGTAGGGTCAAGAGTTAGAACCAGAAGTGAAACGCCGTTTTCATCATTAGATGGCCAACGCACCCTCTAAACACTGGGTCGGGCAAGTATCGACGCCTCCATCTATCCAGTCTTGTACTGTGCAGCCGTTTATGAAATAGGGGGTGATCGTGTCTTCAGCCTGGGTCCTGTTGGCGACACATAATCCGTTGCCGGCACATAACATTCCCAGAGAGCAGCACTGTGAGGGATTTCCGTCATCTGAACACGGATATAGAGTCGCGTCCTGATTGCCAAGGGTATCATAGCATTCCGTCATCTTGGAAAGTATGTGGAGCACTTCCAGCACTTGGGGAGCGTGAAAGTTGCAGCAGAGAATGAATGCAGAAACAGATTGGAGCGAGAGTCGAGAAAGATAAACCCAAGGAAAAAATTTGGGGGCCGGCGGCTTGACAGCACGATATAAGGAACTAACTTCAAGCTAGTGCTATCAGACATTCCCACGCCGGAGGTTCCAGTTCCCTGAGGCTCGTCGAGCCTAAATTTCGACGGCATGGGACGCCTGAGCTGAGTGATGAGGATGAAATGTGGAGACACGGCTGATTTCTTTCGACGTGAGTGGGAGTCTCGATATACTAGTGCCCGCTAGGCGCTGAGAAGGGCCTCTAACAGAGAGAGTGATTGGTCATCACGGATGCGTCCATCATGCTCTTGGCCTTTTTTGCCAAACTGACAATCTGTTTGCGAATAGAAAACCTCTGAGCCTCTGCATGGCGCAGCTCTTCATCAAATTAGATTCTCATTTATCTCCAACAAGCCTTGCAATTGGGTTGCCAGCCGAGACGCCGTTCTGCATGTGAGCTCGAAGGGTAACCCCGCCCAGAAAAGATAAAATGTTTATAACAAGCTTTGAATCCCATTGAGTTGTCACTCCTGTGTGGGGATTGAAGAGGGAGGTTCGAGAACGCTGACCCGCTGTCACAACTGCTCAAACATCGAAGTCCGAATTGTGAACCATAGGTCCCACCGCTGCCTGAAATCAAGTATGCGGTCTGATTCGCTCTCTATCAGCAACAAGGTTTGCTTCTAGCCCTTGTAGAGCCAGATTCCGCAGGGAAAAGGTACACTGCCGCAGATTTAACGCCTGGAAGGTGGGCCTCTTCAATCGCACAATCCAATGGGCAAAAGCAGGGAGGTTTAGAATGATTGAGGAGCGGTTAGGAAGCGACGAGACATCGAAAGGAAACTAGCCGCATCGGCAAGAACAAGAAGTTCTTCGCACTTTGGAGGCTTTGGTGTCACAAGGGCGACACAAGCGACTGGTATGAAGCATCAGATTGCTGCCCGTCTCCTGCTTGAAGCACCCTTGCAAAAGCGATACAAATATGTTCCCTTGAACTGCCATCTGCGGCGGTTGTTGGCTTGATTGATCACTGAGCGACTGATGGCCATTCGAATGCCGGTTTCCCTATTCTCCAGTCGAGCAACAGAAGAATCAATCGGCTGTATTCTACATGGCTCGCAGAAATGCGGCTGGGCGACACGTGTTGTCACCAGAGCTATGGGTTCGGAATCGGCAGCTTCATACGGTGTCTTGAATCATGGCATGACCTCGGTTTCCCTTGGGGCATATTTGGGTGAATATTTGACTTAAAGGTCTATTGTTTGGAACGAAGGTAAGTTGAATATGTTGGAAAACCAATCAATCAAGGACAATTACCATTGTAGTGTCAGTCCCACGAGAAGGCCCGCTTCTAAAGTCTTTTGAAGTATGGCAGCCCAGCCACGACTCGTAGTCTTAATCATTCTAGTTGACCCGACCATTCGCCAGTTGACGCGTTTTGATGTACTCGATTGAATGTTGAAGCAATTTGTTGGGATTGAAGGTAGACAATTGAGGCGCCGGTTTCAGTTGCTCAGTATGTTGTGTTGCTGAAATCATGTTCCGTACATCTAGATTATCGCATCGGTCGTTGTTCGCTGGCGTATACCAACTGAGAGCTCAAGCCAGCCACTATCTGATTTCCGAGACCGTCGCATGGCCGGGAATCGCGATGCGGGGGTGAGCGACAATCATGCAGCATTGGTAACACAAAAAGCGTAAGGTGGCGGGAAAAGACCACTCTAGGTCAGAAGATCCGTGCCATTAATAGCAAGAAATCGTAACATGATCCGAAGCTGCCTCCAGATGCGAGCCAAGATCCAGAGCTTTGGAGTTGGCGGACCGGGTTGGACTGCTGTTTGTGGAGGAGCGACACGAGGATTTGGGCTAAACTCAATTCAGACAAGAGATCCGCGCGCCTTATCGGCGTTTTTGATGGCTGCAACTCGACGTTGATGCTGCAGCTATAAGAGCCATGAGGGATCCTCAAGTGAGGGGAAGGTTATTCTCCATCTCTCATTCTTTCTCTCTGTTGATCTTCTTCGCCGAATCAGCATCAAGCCACAAACATGGTCCTCGACCGCCTCCAACAACTGACCCTCCAGGTCAGCGCCTCTTCACCCCCGCCGCACCCTCTGGATCCCCTCTCTACTTCTGAAATCGACACAGCCGTTGCTCTCGTCCGCAAGGAATATGGCAAGGTCAACTTCAACGCCGTCACGCTCTACGAGCCGCGCAAGGTGGAGATGATGGCCTGGCTGGCAGACCCTGAGAAAGCTCCTCGTCCGACCCGTGCTGCCGATGTCGTCGTAATCGCGCCTGGCGGCAAGATCTATGATGGCGTTGTGGACTTGGAAGCGAAGAAGGTCGTCGAATGGAACCATACGCCTGGTGTGCAGCCTTTGATCACTATGGAGGACTTGCAAGAAGTAGAATTTGTCGTTCGCAAGGACCCGAAAGTCATTGAACAATGCGGAATCCTCGGCATCCCAAAGGAGGACATGGACAAGGTATACTGTGATCGTGAGTCGCACTATAATCCCATTTGATGTGGTCGGTCTAACGAGAATCTAGCGTGGACAATTGGATACGATGAGCGTTTTGGCGCCGATGTTCGCCTGCAGCAAGCTCTGATGTACTACCGCCCTCACGTCGATGATTCTCAATACACATACCCCCTGGACTTCTGCCCCATCTACAACGCGGAAACGAAGCAAATTATCCACATTGACATTCCTCCTGTGAGGCGCCCTCTCAGCAAAGCTGCTCCCAACAACTATCACGTAGAGTCCGTGGAAAAGGAGGGAGGCTACCGAACGAACCTGAAGCCAATCCACATCACACAGCCAGAGGGCGTCTCCTTTGAAATCAAAGGGCGCACGATTGAATGGCAAAACTGGAGCATCCACGTCGGTTTCAACTACCGTGAGGGTATTGTCCTCAACAACATCACCTACAACGACAAGGGCAACATCCGAGATGTTTTCTACCGTCTTTCTCTGGCTGAGATGGTTGTACCTTACGGAAACCCCGAGCATCCCCACCAGCGCAAGCACGCCTTTGATCTTGGTGAATATGGTGGTGGCTACATGACTAACAGTCTCTCCCTTGGCTGCGACTGCAAGGGCGCAATTCACTACATGGACGCAGCTTTCGTGAACCGCGCTGGCGCCAGCACCATCGTCAAAAACGCCATTTGTATCCACGAAGAAGATGCCGGTATCCTCTACAAGCACACCGACTTCCGTGACGAATCCACAATTGTCACCCGAGGCCGCAAGCTGATCATCTCACACATCTTCACTGCCGCCAACTACGAGTACTGTGTGTACTGGATCTTCCACCAGGACGGTACTGTCCAGCTCGACATCAAGCTTACTGGTATCCTAAACACCTACTCCATGAACCCGGGTGAGGACACCCACGGCTGGGGTACTGAGGTTTACCCCGGAGTCAACGCCCACAACCACCAGCATCTCTTCTGTCTTCGTGTCGACGCCAATGTCGACGGTCCCAACAACACCGTCTTCCAGGTCGATGCTGTTCGCGGCCCCGGCGAGGTTGGCAGCGCAGAGAACAAGTATGGTAACGCCTTCTACGCGAAGAAGACCAAGTTCACCACTCCGCGAGAAGCCATGTCCGACTACGACGGCTCTACCAGCCGCACCTGGGAAATTGCAAACACCAACAAACTCAACCCGTACAGCAAGAAGCCTGTCTCATATAAGCTTGTCAGCCGCGAGGTACCACCACTCCTTCCTAAGGAGGGCGGACTGGTCTGGAAGCGAGCTGGTTTCGCCAGACACGCCGTGCACGTTACAAACTGTAAGCCCATCCTCCACGTCCTTTAAGTTAGAGATCTAACTTTAGTAAACAGACTCCGACGACCAAATTCATCCTGCCGGACGCCACGTCCCCCAGACCTCCGGCGAGCCCTCCCAGGGTCTTCCCATGTGGATCGAACAGGCCGGCCCCAACGCCTCAATCGACAACACCGACGTCGTCCTTTGGCACACATTCGGCCTCACCCACTTCCCTAGCCCCGAAGATTTCCCCATCATGCCTGCCGAGCCCATGACTGTCCTCCTACGACCGCGCAACTTTTTCACCCGTAACCCGGTCCTCGATGTACCACCTAGCTTCGCGCGCACGCCAAGCCAGGTTGCTGCTGGAACGAGTTCGTGCGGATGCAGCAAGAAGAGCGCTTCACCTGATGGATCAAGCGTCTATGTCTAGAGGGCTTGTTCTGATGACTTGATGATACTCACTTCTATGTTACGGCTATAATTTGCATGGCTTGTTTTCATTCTTGTATATAATGAAGCTGGGTTCGATATTTGCCAATAATAAGGAGTTTTATGTTCAAACTAGGGTTGGCCTAGAAGGGATTGCCCTAACCGCCTTTTTTCATATAGCTAGGTAGCCCCGACAACCCCTACCCCTCTAGCCATCATCTCCATTTCCACCATCGCAATTCTCCTCACTTAGTTTGCACAAAATCCTTAACAACATGAGCGACCCCATCCCTCCGCACCTCCCAATCTCCCTCTCCCTCCCCCTCTGCCTGCCCAGTCTCCCTCAACAACGCCCTCAAAGCCACACGATCCTCCTCATCACACCCCGGCGGCATCCGCATATACGTATCTTCCTCATCAATCTCATCCCAGCCGTAGCAGCCATCAAAATAAAACCCCATATACCGCTCAGCCATAAGCCCCATCCGAATCTCTCCTTCGCGATCAAACGGCATTGAAGACTTTGTGGGCGTCGCATCATACTCATCCGGGCCAAGACCCATCCGAAAATCCCTGGGATGGGGAAGCGATGTGCGGAATGTATCGAAGAAATGGTGCCATCGTTTCTCGTAGGAGTGGAAGTATGAATCTTCCATAATTTTCCCAATGAAATCTGTGTTTGTAGGCGGATATTCTCGCTATTCCATTTCGCTCTTTGAGAATGGGACGTTGGATAGATAGTCCTCGTATATTCCGACGTCGTAGAGGATTGAGCATTCGTCTAGGTAGAGGGCTGTCAATATTGAAGCGTGTGAGATTATCCAGGTGAGATGCGAGCCCACCGCGAAGGTGAATTTGTTCAGAATCAAGCGCTTGAGGCGCGGAAAGTGGACGTCTGTCAGGTCGAGATACGGTAAGAACCCAATACGCTGGTCACAGCTTAGAGTGAGGTGCTGGATGGAGGAATATGGCTTGAGCCAGGTCATGTGGAAAGAGACGAAGAAGTCATGCAAGGCTTTAGAGTGGAAAGAGGATTCCGGAGCCGCGTGGTCCCATTCCGCGACGAGATTCAAGCGGGGAGACTTGACGGTGTTAAGCACTGTAGCTATCATCGCGGCCAAGTCATGGCAAGAAAATCTGATGCATTGCAGGTTTCAGATGCTGGCTTCCTCTATTGGAATCTTGAGAGCGGCGAGCCAGGAGAAGAACGATTTGAGTACTTGTTCGCGGTACTCTGACGTTTCAGGACATGGCCACAAGGCTATTCCATCGGCGGCGAAGCAGTTTTTGTTGAAGCGCAGGGTTGCGCTGCGGACGTTGGGGAAGTGTCCGAGGCTCTGGATTGCGCCTTTGAAGTCGGGAGTAAAGTCCTGTTCTGTTTCCTCGTTGGGGTCCTGTTCCGATTGGTTAGTCTTGTAGTAGTGCTAAGGTGCCAGGCTGAGCTTCATCACATATACATAATCTTCCTCGACTGTGTTGAGGTGTACTCGTTTGGGAAGTGCCCGCAATTCAGGGCTATCCAACATGTTCTTGATGCGTTCATAGCTGCGCTCATCCGGAAAGAGCCTGATTGTGCTGAAAAGCTGCTTGGTTGCTGGAGTTGACAGAAAGTGAAATGTCTGCCGTAGGGATTTCAGGCTTGGTTTATCGGCGAAAGACACAATGTGCGCGAGAAGCTCAAGAGGGAGCTCCGGTCGAGATACTTGCCATATTCGCATAGGTGTGATTGGTCGTTCGTTGTTTACGGTTGAAGGAAATGCTTAGGAAAGAGGGGGCTCAAAGGAACAAAGAGTAATCGCATTAATATAAGTTGGATCTCCAGATCCATGCTCTTCGATGGCTCACTTAAGGCAGATCTGGGGATAGCCTCAACGCGGCTCCGCTTGGCGAGCGCCTGCCACCGTAGGCTCCTGCAGGAACCGGAGTGGTTTGCCCGCGCTCGGTAGAGAAAACAGAAGTGTGAAACCATATTTTGACAATGTCTTAACACGCGCATTACCTATCTTATATCTGGTTGTTTGGCGTCGGCCCTATATGCCTTCGGTTTCGCTCGTGCAGATTCCCCGCGCCAATGGTGCGCAGGTTCAGAGATTAAGATTGTACCCAGAATAGAGATACCAAGTCCTAGGACTGTTATACAGATTTGACAACATAGCTTAGCATAAATAAAACACTGTTCTTGCAGAACAATAGTATGCACTCACCTGTAAGGGAAAGCTTCGCCATCGACCTGACCAAAGCGTTTCTCCCGGCCAAAGCTCGCGAACAAGGTTCTCTATCCTGTAGAGCGAATCGAGAGATTTCCAGTCACAGTTGTGCTCGCCTGCTTGGAGTTGTTTCAGGCATGCAATTCGCTCATTTGCTCCAATCTCTGTAATCTCTATAGCTCCAGAGAGAGGTGAGTTGGGTCTTGTCACGAGCAGTGATCGGCTAAGGTGGCCTATGGTCAATCTCAGGAGCTTATTGGTAACTGGCTGAACAAAAGGTGTACATCGGAGATTTTGCAAAGTATGAGAAGCCTGTTGGTAGGTTATCATATTCCAAATTGCGGTAGCGAGAGCGACGTCTGTCGCAGCATTCATGAGCAGCTCTCGGTGTGATGGATCGAGCTCGCCGGGTCTCTGCTGCGACTGGGGATTGCAGTCCAGATCAAGAACCAAGCTGCGAAGGAGCCCGAACCGGCCCAGTGCTCAATACATGGCGCATTCGACTGCGCTTCCCGCAGAACGCTTGATCTGAACTCGCAACTCTTCCAAATCGGGACAGAGATCTGCTAATTTATTAATCGCCTGGATGCCCAAGTACGGGTACTTGTAGCCGTAATAATGTTTAGCGCCTTTGTCATCACGGACAGCTGGGCTTGACTGGGTAGCAAGCCCTCTTAGTGACTTCCCATGCCTATTAAGGAGGTGATAAAGAGAAAGTACACTCCTTAACCCTCGTACTTGGAGAAACTTCAGTGGATGAAACGATTGTACTGCTTCAATGGCTTGATCATCATCTTCGAAGGGGCATGACACTGAAATGAGTCTCGTATCGAAGCCAGCAAAGAGGCGCTCAAGAAATTTGAAACTTGGAGCGATATCCTTCAGCACAGCGGGTTTTCCAGCTGAAAGTTATGGATAGCGATCGAAGGCATTGCAATCCGCCAGCCGGCCCCCCGGGGCTTCTCCCGGGGGGCAGTCGCCAGCTTGAGAGCTCGAGATAATTGGACAAGTGGCATACAACGCTTTCCGCGCATGTATTTGGGTCTGATATGATGGAAAGCGATATGAGGAGAGTTTGTAGTTTTCGTTGAGCAGGGTAGTAGTAGGAGTTTCCACCGCTTCTTGAGGCTGTTCATGAAGTGCGCACTATTGGGGTCGCTGAAAATCATCAGATGTTTCAGACTTGGAGATTTTGCAAGGACCGGGACAAATTCATCTAGCTGGGGGGATTCTTGAGACTTTCTTGTGACATTCCAAGGATAGTGTAGTGCGAGGGCCTGAAGGTTTGAGAAACGAATCATATCCAGCAACAAGGGAGCTTCATAGGGCCCGGCTACTTCAATCAATGCTCAAGACTTGATCTGCCCAGAGGTTCAGGCGACAGTCGAGGTGATGCTCTCTGATCACCCCAATGAGTACCTCGGAGAAACTGCCAGGCACATAATAATCAAGTTCCGCAAGAGGTTCCATACTGGCGAGCAGAGTGGCCATAGGCTCCCAGTCTAAAACCTCCATTTCAGCGGCAAACTCGTATAAATGGGGCCCGAAGATAGGGCCTGAAGGTTGACTCAAACACCACTCAAGGAATGATTTGTTTGCTGCATCAGCACAATGTTCTTTGAACTTGAAAGCCAGCCTATCAATCCCTCGACGGATCTTTAGTGGTGGACCGAGGGTGGATCGCGAATGGTAGCAAACAATGTCGAGTTTCCGAGCATATCCTAGATACTGTCTACCCAGGCCAAGAGGAATGCGCTGCGCAACACTGTGTTGGAGGCTGCTCGGTATTGCTGGATCCCAGTGGACGGCAAGATGGCCATAAGAAATGGCGCTATAATGGAATGAACTCGTCTATTGGTTCGGCTCAAGGAAGAAGGATCCTGAAACGATTCTCTTGGCTCTCTTCGCAGCTATTGGCAACGGTGCAGTTAGCAAACGGCTCCAATGAAGGAGTGCTGAAAAACGTAATAAAAGACCAATCTGGTGGATGACTTCGAAAGGAAGTCTCTCCATGGCCAAAGAGGAACGTCCTGAAAATGTAGAGAAGCTGTTGGAAACGAGAGTGTGGATCTATGAAAAAGTCTACCAGGAAAGAAAGGCAGAGAAGTAATAAGGATCTCAAGAGGAGGAGAGGAAGGGCCCAAGGGAAAGAGAAGGAGAGAAAGAGGTAGTGAGAAAAGACATCAGACTGTTTTGTGTTGTTGAGGTAAGAGACCTCGAGGGCCGGGAGATCTCCTGTAACTTATCAATCAGCAGACACATTCTTCCCTCGGTCACCTGGATAAATGCTGCTGCCCCATCAACTTTCTTTCCCCACGCAGCTTTAGTGAAGCCCACTTTGACTGCCTATGCAGCAGGCCGTAGAGCATCATGACTAAGAATTGACATATGGGTGAGGCGACAAGTTACTTATCGAAGCGTTGACGGTTACTTGGATCATTTAACTAAGGGCGACGAAGGTAGCAACAAGTTACTGCGCAACTCAGTGAGAGCAAATTCCAACATGTTGCTGCCTATGGTGATCTATCGGGAGTAGAATAGACCCGAGGCACGGGTGAAAATAAACGAGAACCTTCATATAAGACCCGATAACGCCGTAGAACAAAATCATATTCCAGCCGAGAACGGAAATAGAAGACACAGAAGATGCAACACCATACACCCTCCCGTTGAAAACACCTTCCAAAACTAAACGATGATGAAAGCATAGATTCCAGGAGGAAAACGTAGAAACCTCAGCAGCCGAGTCACTTCCTCGCATGGATGGTTTGCAAGGAAAAGGAGAAAAAAAAAGCACCAAATCAGCTCAACCAGGCATCCTGAAGACTGCATGCTATGTACATCCGTCAAGTCGTATCAGCGCGTCATATCGATTGCCATGGCCGAAATCCGTGAAAAGGTGGCATATAGAGGTTGCGTAAAGAAGCCGGAGATGACTGTCGTTAAATGACCGGCAGGCCTATACCTTAATAAATGGAAAAAGAGGTCGACTTTACGATTTCGTCATCTGGAAATGTCCTAGGACTCCACCTGTATTTCCGGGCGTCAGCGCACCGGGAGTGTGGTGTTGAGGGGTCTGGGCGCCAGCATTGGGGGTACTAGGCGTACCGGCGGCAGAGTATATTGTGGCGCCATTGAGATTTGGTGTTTGATGTGGGTTCATGTGGTATGTCAAAGCCGGCATCTGGCCATTCAAGCCCCATATTTGCCCGGAATACTTTGACTCGTCGATCTTTCCGTTGAACACCAATTGGCGCATTTTCCAGTAGATTTCTCCTGTCACAAGGGAGTCAGAACCAGCCTGGTGGGCGATACCAACTCGTTTTACTCCAAGTTCGTCCGCGATGTCTTGAAGTCCGGATTTCTGGCCAAGATTCTGGAGGATCTGGGCAGCGGCTGGTGTCAGTGGGGAGCCGTTGACGGCTTGGTTGCGTCCTGCGTGTTTCATCAAATACTTAATGTCGTATAATGAAGGGAAAAAGATGTTGAGCAGCTTATGGAATTCCTCCTCGTTTTCCGGGAGCGCTTCGCAAAGCATAATCTTCATCAAGTATCCAAAGTCGTAGCCAGAGTGGAAAGAGACCCAGTGAACGTCATCCAGCAACACAAGCCCGGAGCTTATGAGTAGTGCTCCAAACTCGAGGGGGTCGATACCGTTCTTTTCATGCGCGTTAAAATCGATTCCCGCTTTCGCCAGCATTGTTGTTGATTCTTGTGCGTACATGTCCTCCTCTAATGAGAACCGGAAATTGAACTGCCATGTGCAGGGCGCAGGTACGAGACCGTTCCCTAGTGGTTGTCCGTTGGCGTCGGTAGCATCCGGTGGGGGAACTTCGCCTTTTGATGAAAAAAGAGTAATCCCGAGTTGGATCATCTTCAATAGGTCGACATTACAGCGTAAGGTTTGGTAGTGGTAGTCTGCTTTATTCGTGAACGCTCCGATCGGGCGTGCGACAATACCAGGGAACTCCGTGTCCTACAAACGTCAGCAACCACCATGTGATAGACCACAGCCTTGAGACTATCCAAAAGCTTACCATGCTGATATAGGGATATTTCTCAACCAGCGATCTTAACACGGCCATCTCTTGAGCAAGGTTGTGTTTCCACACGTCGCGTATCCGCGTCTTCACTCCACCTGCCTTCCCCTCAAGCGTAAACCTCCCATCGTGCGCCTGGTGTAATTGCTGTTGCTGCATCTGTGCTCCTCTGGCAAACCCCATCTGGGCCGCATGGCTCGCGAGGCCCGTACCACCACCATCCGCAGCGCCTCCGAAGCCCGCCACGGACATCCCGTTGCCGACACCGGCGGCGCCAGTTAATGTGAAAGGGTTGATATTCGTGTTCGGGTTACCGGTTGCGAACCCGGGGTGGCCGCCAAGGGAGGGCGGCGGAAGAGCTGTGTTGCTAGACTGGGCGTGAGGGTGGTGCTGTGGTTGTTGCTGTTGCTGAAGGTGAGTTTGTTGGAGGTGCGAATAGGGACCGGTTAGGCCAGCAGGCCCGTATCTGCCGACTGGAGGGGGCATTATGGTATTGAGTGCGACTCGGAGGGCAGCTCATGCATTTGAAGGTTGGTTGGTGTCTTCGGAGATGATGAAAGGTGAGGCAACTTGGCAAGCTGGCTCACTTCGGGTCTTTTTCGTGGTTTCGATAATGCCGCTTTGTTGAATGGAAAAGGGAAGGCGGAGAGAATGAGCTCGGTTGCTTCGGGTTTAGTGCTGCCAAGCCTCGGGATGGTTCTCCAGCTTCAAGTGACAACTTCAACTCCCACGGAGAGAGATTGATTCCAGTGCTGTCTCCTACCATTGTGTTCGCTTCACGGTGGAACTCCGTCGTCGAATCTCTTACCGTCGCTCCTTATCACCAATCGACCACTCTCTTCCCCAACGACGCAATCACCCGTCGACATCATGCCTGCTCACAACCCCACCGGTTTCGACGTCAACGAGTTCAAGGCCGCCGCTCACCCTCGGTCGGTCTACGCTAAGAGGTCCCCTTGGACCCGATAGTATGCCTCTCAACCGGTCGATATTTCCAATTCTCAGAAGCTGACAATTTCCGCAGTGAGGCGTGGCGATACACCGGCCCCTTCAGCCGATTCAACCGATTCAAGCGTATCTTCCCGGGCTTCGGCATCGCCAGCGTTGCTTTCGCGGGCTACTGCGCCTACGAGGCTGCTTTCCTCAAGGACGACCACCACCACGGCGATAACCACCACTGAGCGTTTTCCGGCCGTTGAAGACAACTGTGAAGGGAATGCCCTCTAGAGCAGGAACGGATAGATCGTGACCAGAACGAAAGGATACCCCCGGATTTCTTGCCGGAAGAGATTCGATTTCGATTCTAAGAGCGGACAGTCGAGCCGTGGATGATGAATATGCTGGGGATTTGTGCTATACTATAGAAGGGGTTTGACTCTTGCCAGGACACTCCGTCTCTGGTTATGGGGATGTGCCCTAGTTCTACAAACGGCGCTTGGGTTTGATTTGTTAGTGTACATAGCATTGTTATTTGGTGTAACAAAACTACCATTTCCATTTGTGCGACGTATGCAAGTCCATTTTTCGTGCTGGTACGGGAATATCGTACCAATAATGTTCAAAACATCATCATTCAAGTTGTCTATATACGTAAAACCCACAACCAAAAACACAACAGTAAACTACTCCTCGAAAACTAATGAGATGCCGTCATCACCCGCTGTTGTGACTCTCTTTCCATCAAAGCCTTGTACGAAGCCCATAATACCACCTGCTTGTTCTCCCTCGTCGTTCTCGGTCAGGCCCAGATGCCCCTTCCACTCGTTCAGAAGACCATGCGCAGCAGCAGCAGTTCCTCCACGGGCATCCCATCGTCTCACAACGCCGTCAATTCCAACGGATGTAAGGAGCCATGGTCGACCCTGGTTCGCGGCTGCGGCTGCAGAAGCTAGAGGAGTGGGACGAGCTAACGGAGCACCATCCGCGCGGCTCTTCAAGAACTCAACCTTCACCACAGCGCCTTCGTGGGCTTCCCGGATATGCCGGCGGACAGCGAATCTATGAGCCGCGTCGAAGAGGGCGATTGAGCCGTCAACGGAACCGGCGGCAAGGAGAGTCAATGGAGGAGCGGAGAAGGAAAGCGTCTCGACGCTGTCGGTTTGTGGTTGGAGAGAGGCGAGAAGGGTTCCTGCCGTAGCAGCAGAAGTTTGTGTAGCAGGGCCCTTGCCCCTGGCCTTGGACGCAGCGGCGTTGGCAGATCCCAGACGAGGCAATCCAATAACCTTGATGTGGCCCTCTGCACCACCGACAGCCGCAATACCACCACCGGGCGAAATGGCAACTGAGTACAGACCACCCTCAACGGCGAATCGCTGGTCCTCGGCGGTCAAACCGACAACAGCACTGGTACCAGCGGAATAAGAGACACCGGCCGCAGCCGCCGCACCGAAGACATCATAGACGTAGAAACTGCCATCTTCAGAGACGGTGGCGAGCAGGTTTCCATCAGGAGTCCAAGCACCCGCCGTGCAAGGCCCTGTATGCTGGAAGAAACTCTGAACAATCGAGATCGGCTGCGAGGAATCATTGTGGTTGATTCTGAAAACCCAGGCACTGCCATCGTTTCCACCAATCGCAACAACATTTCCCTTCGCCTCATCCCCATTCCCAGCAGGACAGACGGCAACCCAGTTGACCTCCTCAACCTCCTGCGCCTCCGCAACGAATTCCCAGGACGTCCCCGCCTGCTGTGCTGAAGTATCCCGCCAAGCACGCAACCGCCCGTCCAATCCAGCTGTAACAATGTACTCGCCCCTCGGCTCTGTAAAAGCAACCGCATTAACACTGTCCGTGTGCCCGTCCATCTTCACAATCGGTTGCAGCGAGTCCCGCTCCCGTCTCGGCTGTGGGTCTGACTCGTAGCTCGCAGGTAAAAGAGGGCGCTCAGCGTTCGGTGTTGAGTCAAAGACGTAGGCAGTGTCGTCACCGGAGCCTGTTACGACGATGGCATTGTGGATGGGGTGTTGGGCGATGCAGAAGATCGAATCGTTGTGCAAGTCAAAGTGGGCGGCGGAGTCATTCTGAAGCGTGATTTCTTGCTCTTCGAAAGCCATCTCCTGGTCGCCGTCGGCGTCTTCATTGTCCGAGTCCATCGGATGGTCTTCATCGTGGGTGAAGATTTCCTCTGCTTCATCGGCGTCGATGAAGGCGTCTTCATTGCCTTCACGGTGTGGGTTTGAAGAGGACATTGTGTATATGAGTTGCAGGTGGTTTATGTGTAAAATGAGATTAAAGGAAGAAATTTGAGCAGAAACGGACCAAGATGGACGAGCTTTCGAGTGAACTTGGAAATTTTTAGATCACCCCGCTTAGAAATTCATTCTTCCCCGCGCTTCCATCAAACGCTGCAAACATCCATCGCCCGTACCATCCAATTTGTCAGGCATAACTATGTTCAAAATCTAGTCTAATTGTGACATTATATACGCAAATCCGGTATATACTCTCGGTAGCAAGATTCTTACAACTTGGCCGCTGCCTTTCTGCGCATCGCGGCCTCCTGGTCACGGAGAAGCCGTCGCAATATCTTTCCACTTGGGCTTTTCGGCACCGCCTCGATGAATCGTACACCACCCTTCAACCACTTGTGTCGAGCCTTGTGATCCTGCACATGCTTCAAGATAGACTTGATGGTTGCATCGTCGTCCGGCCCTGCGGAAGGTGATTTGGCGATGATCGCTTTGGGCACTTCACCAGCGGACTCATCGGGAATAGCGATGACAGCGCAATCCGCAACGGCCGGGTGAGTGAGAAGATGAGCTTCAAGCTCAGCTGGTGCTACTTGCAGGCCCTTCAAGAACTATTAGTGAGCCGTTGCGCCTATTGGTCGAATGCAGAAAACAAACCTTGACTTTGATCAATTCCTTGATGCGATCGACAATATACACGTGCTCGAAACCCTTAGGGCTCTTTCGAATCACGGCTTCATCACCAGTGTGCATCCAACCATCCCCAAATGTCTCCTTGGTGGCCTTCTCGTTGTTCAAATAGCCAAGCACAACGCTTGGGCTTTTAATCCACAGCTCCCCAGGGGTATCGTAGTCGGTTACTTCCTTGCCTTCCGGTGTCACTATACGTGCCTCCACGCCGGGGACAAGCCATCCAGAAGAACCAAGCACGATGTCTTCAAACTGTGTAGCGGACACTACCGTTGCCGTCTCGGTAAGGCCTGGAGGCTATCAGTTATGCTGCTTACTCTGAAAAATTCAAGCTCGTACCATATGCCTGTCTTATCGCAACGCCTGGGTAGGCTTTCAGGAAGTCTAATGCTGTTTCCCGTCCTAGTGGTGCGGCCCCGGTAAAGAGAGAGATCGCCGAGCTGAAGTCGTACTTCGCACAGACCTGAGCGTTCCGCAGCATTGTTATGATGATCGGGGGCACCTAAGCGGGTTTTAGAGCAGCACTAGGCTTAATGTGACGTAGTACTAACCACGAAGAGAGAGGTGATCTTGAAGTTCTGAACAGCGGCCATATAGGTCTCTAATTCAAACTTGGGCAAAACGATGACTTGATCGCCTCTAAAGGGCCCAGCATGGCACATCACAATGAGCCCATAGATGTGGCTTTGTGGAAGTAATCCGAGCAGAACATCGGTATAGTACTGGCCGTCTTTTGTTTTTTGTGCATCACGCCAGGACTTCTCAGAGGCTGTAATTTGCAGGATATTCGAGATAACGTTCCGGTGCGAGATCATTACTCCTTTCTTGAATCCCACCGTTAGACTGATATCACTGAAGAGATATAGGGCTGCTCACCGGTAAGCCAGATGTCCCACTCGAATAACATAGGAAAGCCGTCCGACGCGCTGCCTCACCAGCCCGCCATGAAATCTTTTCCAGCTTCGGTAATGACTTTCCAGCCTCAATCAACTGTGAGAGTGTCTTATACTGCGCAGGAAGATTTTCGCTACCTGGCAAAACGTCTATCAAATAGATGCGATTCGTGGGGTGACCAGCCGCCGATGCTGCTTCTAATGCGACAGGGAGGAGCGGAACGCATGTGAACAGGGCCTTGGCCTTGGAGTCGATCAACTGGTGCTTGAGCTCTGATGCGGAGTAAGCTGCATTGGCTGGTGACACGATACCCCCCAGTTCGTGCGTCGCCCAAGCCAGCGGTAACGTATCAATCTAGTATAGCCAGCCAAACACCGTCAGTTCCAGGCGAATTCTTCCATTTCTTCCATGAAGAACGCAACTTACCGTGTTGAGACTGAAAACAGCCAATGTCTTGTCCCATTCAGTACCTCTGTTAGCCTCCCAGTTCAATTCCTTCGCCAGCGCACGCGTCAGGTACTCCACCCGCTCCTTCACCTCGGACGTCGAGTATGTCTTGCCCGTGAGTCCACAGGTAAATGGGTGTCTGGCTTTCGCCATAGGATAGCGTCCATGTCCTTCAGTGAACATGAACTCGCTAATCGGGATGTTGTCCGGGATCGGAGGCAGAGTGCCTGCAGCACTTGGTGCCTTGAAGACCATGGCGAAGCGGCTGTTTGGTGTCGATTCTGGTCAAAGTGGGTTGATTGTGCTGCGGAGAAGGCGCGAAGGGAGCAAGGTCGCCTAGCTCGTTGTGTATTATCGGAGGAATGGAGAAAAGAGGAGATCAGGTGTCGAACCCCGGGAAGAGGAGCAATCATCATTTATGAAATACCCGGGGCTTTTAAGGTGCGGGGAAAGCTCCAGTTTGCTCGGCTTTCCTGCGATGTTGTCAATCAAGCTAAACTCAATCAGGTATGCCGAACTTTTGTCCATTGCTCTGTCCAGAGCGCTCTCGGCTATCATCCACGGAACTGAGTGAAGAAGTTTTAGATCCCCGGATGAAGACCAGGGACGAATTTCGTCAACCCAATCAAAAGTCTCATTAGATGGCGGCTGTGTTACTACTCCGAACACCCAAACTTTCCGTCCCGAGGTTTTAAACGGGGTCTTTGCCCAGCCCCACAATCCATGATGCGCGTTAGTACGGAGTAGCCATCTCGTTTATCTTCTCTCCGTATATTCTTCTCTCCAATGCGCGGAGTATGGCCAGGATGATTCTGGTTGACATGAGAAACCTATCGCTACCAAGCGAGTACTTACTGAGAATAAGGTCTTAGTATCATACAGGATGTTGCAACATATCCGACCGTGTTGAGCATGGCGTGCGCTATGAACTTCAAGGATCGCTGCCTCATGTAGCACCCGGCATGAACTCCGAACGAACGCCGATATCCGAGCCTGATTAGTCTTAGTACGGTGAGAGTCTATTCTCTTTTTTGGATGTTTATGCTCTAACAACTCTCAGTTTGAAGATAAAAAGGATCTCTCCTCCTTCAGCTTGATCCACCCGACGTGTTACGAGATAGCAGCACCCCTCTTGTATAGGACCATCCATCTCAAATTCGCAGATGGTGAAAGTCTTCGAGAGGCTGCTTCGGAGCTGACAGACTATGGCCCTGGTCGGCACTTTCTGAAATATGCCCGAAAACTCATTTTGATGTGCCTTTTACAGGTTGACCTAGTCACAAAAAGGCAAAAATATCTTTACAGTCTCAAGAATTGGAGCCCTCACTTTGTCCATTACAGAGCACTAGCAACGAGAGATACTTTTCTTGAGCACCACCTGAGAGATGCTGCGAATACTTGTCCCCCGATCTCAAGATTCCAACGCACCACATCAGCAGTCTCACCCCTAAAGATGAAGCCTGGGAGCCTGTGGCGTCTCTCATTTCACGCCTCCACCGACTGGAAGAACTCGATTTCGTTCTTGAGGAAAACAGTTTTCCCTCGACTTTGCTGAAGGCCGTATCCCAGGACCATCCTGGTTGTCAAGTGAATATCTGGCCATGCCAAGGTGTGGAATACAGCGCCCCTGGTATAGAGCAAGCCAAGTACCCATTCACAGGGGCCCTTGAGTTCGACTATAATACCTTGAATCTCCAAGGCCTCAAAACGTTGGGCATCGAGATTACCATGGACGGCACTAGCGAGGCTAATATAGCAAACCAAGCGTGGCGTGATGAAATGCTGCCTTTTATCTTGATGCCTCCTAGCCTCAAAAATCTTCTCGTCCAGGCCTCACCGTATGGAACATTGAGCCGGCGTTCTGTAATGAGCAAAGCAAAGCGAAGATGGGCTGACTTGGCAGCTGCTGTTAATCCTGTTCCAGCCTGCTCCCTCGAGTCGATTTCACTGTTCGGAAAGTTGTGTATTTTGCCCAGATTGGCCACAGTAGTGGATCTCTCAAGTGTTCGTTCCCTCGAAATTCAAGTCGTCCAAAGCTCCGATGTGCTCGAGCAGGCTGCGTCAGTCTTAAATAATCTAGAGCGACTCTTTTTGACCGTTTGGCAACATGTGCAAAACTGCGGTTCAAGGGGGATCCGTGACCGGCTAGTAACAGCTATCCGAGTTTTCCTCCACTCAAATGCCTATCCCTATGTGGCCTCTTCAACACTGTCGACGTCAAGAAAATCATAGAGAAACATGGTCGCACCTTACGCGGTCTCGTCTTTACGCCAGAGTCGCAACCCGGGTACATTGAATACAGCGATGTTTGGGATTACAAGTATCCCGAATTCACCGACTCTGATATTGCCCAGCTGAGCCAGAACTGCCCTGATCTCCAGGAGCTCCGTCTCCCAGTTCGCCGCTCCGCTGGCAGTCTGCAAGAGTGCAACATCTACCGCGCCCTCGGCCAGTTCTGCAACCTCCACACTCTCATACTAGACCTCCAGTTCAACTCTGAATTCCCACAAGGCCATCCAATAGGCTTATCTGAGGTTCGGGTGTCGCTCATCAACGCAGCCACGGACGAGAAACTCGCTCTCGATATTTGGTCCCTGATAACCTCCACGCAACCTAGTAACCGCCGCCTTCAGAGCCTCCGCATCGTCCCCTTCGGCTGTGAAACCGGTAACTTTCCATATATCGAGAAATCTCTACTTACATGTTTTGCCCGGTCGTTTCTAATAACCCGATACAATCTACACAATCCTGGCGTGCCCACTATAGAGGAAATTGGCAGGATAGAGTGGGAGCTATGGAGGGAGGAAATGGCACAGCTCTGTGGTTCCGTTATTGCCGATACCAGTATTACAGGTGAGCTTGAGAGGATTCTTCTATCTGTATGGCCTAGAGGACCAGGAGAGGGCGGGTGGTGCGCGGGTATGCCGAGTTTTCGGCTGCAGATGGAGTAATCTAGGCGTCTTGTGCGGGGAGTTTGTGTACCTTCAGCATGGATTCTATTAGTATCCTGATTGACATATCTTCTGAAAATGCACAACGCTGCTGCATCACTGTGTTCTTCCATGAGCGTGTTAAAAACACGGGTCCGGCTTGGCCTATCCTACTAGGTTAGGGCTACGTCGAGCTTACCAAATCGTCTTTTAGGTGGGGAAATAGGCGCAAGCTGGATCGCTTTTTCGCTTTGGAGTCAGCGCAATGCTAGAGCTATTCGAAATGACAGGTACCATCCACCGTAGCTCGAATTTGGAAAGTAGGACTGCTGCAGTCCATCGCACCTTCCTGACTAGGTCTGTGTCATCTATCCGCACAAGGCAAGTGCGATGGGTCGGTCGCTCCTTCCAACCACGGATTACCCTCCATCGCACCTTCCCAGGTAGGCCCGATGTGCCTCCCTTCTGTGTTGATACCTGTCGCGAGGTGGCTACGATACAGGTTGCTCTTTCCTCTCTTCGGTAGCAATCCCGTCGACTCCCGCAGTGTGTATCACTCTCTAGCATCGGCCACCCCCATCAAGCCTTCTACGGAGCATCGTTGCGTCTTGCGAGGCACACATCGTGCTTGTTGGAATTTTCTCAAACTTCATACAAGGCAGATGCGAGCGCGGTTGCTCCTTCTATCTCTGTGTGCTGGTACGTCGGTCGTGCCTTCCCATATGGGGCGCCACCCCAGAAACCCTAGAAGGCAGAAACGACCCATGCATGCCCCTAGGTCGCAGCTTCCTTCCTAGGCTATAAGCACTCCAGGCTGGTGGCCTATCGCTCCTCCTTGGCTGATAGTGCTCTTTGATGCGCGGCAGGTGCGATCGATGCTCCGTATTTTCCTCCGTACGTACTAGGGTTCCAGGTGGTTAAGTTGGGTACGTAACTTGCTACGGTGTAAGCACCATTATGCTAGATAATAGAGGTCATAGTGCCTCGCACGGCCGTTGTCGTTAGGTCTTATGAATTACCTTGTGGATTAACTTTGCAAATTGAGAAACTTTCGCTTGTGCTTGGGAACACCGGCTTGGGACAAGGAAGTTGCCGTCCGCTAGGGTACCATATATATATATATCTCGGTTAGGAAAAAGCAATAGCCGCAAGAGAACTTGGATCACGTCAACGCAATGAATTATACTATATGTATTTTACGAGATAGGGCTTAACGCCAGAGGGTGCCGCGGAAAGACAGACAGCTTAAGTTTGAGTCCTCTGTACATACTAAGCAAGAGGCCGTGTGTCGTGAAATGCTGACCGCGGGTCTCGAAAAAACGCTGGCATTTTCAAGCCGTAGCTGATATACCAAGCATTTAGTTCTTCTGTCATCAAATCCGATGTGGTGTAATGGTTAACATCGCTGTCTCTCATCATCGGGTCACACAGCAGCTCGGGGTTCGATTCCCCGCATCGGAATTTCTTTTTTTCTCCTCCCAATATTTTTGACCAGTTCTATCAAGTAAGTCTTTCTTTTATTCTGGGTTCATTTTTTTTATCCATTAATTCCCTTCCCCATCCGGAAACTCCAGCCAAACCACCAGGCCGTAAATAGGGCGTTGAAATTTCCACCACCCTCGAACCGTATTTCGTTGGCGCTATCCTTTGTTCGAGTCCTCGACAACCCCCAGACCTTTCAAGCAACTCTCTTTCACAGGCTTTGAACCACCAGTTTCACCATAACGTGGTCCTCTTTGTGCCTCGAACCATCCGTCCATCTTCTCGAAAGACCGCAATTCCGTTCCCTTGGTTCTAAAATTCGCATGGCTTCAGATTCTAGCACCCCAAAGCACCCGTGACGGGTCTATAGAGGATGTATGAAAGAAATCAAAGCGCCCAAGAGGGCAGAGATGCCCCTCGACGCCCAGCAGCAAAGGGACTCTATTTTTACCGTTACCCCGAGGAGAATCTCCGCGATGGCAGGCAAGTATATGAATCCGGGTGGCAGCAATCCTGGTCTCCGAATCAACAACATACGTGATCTGGAATCTCGTCTGAGTACCTGCTTTTCACCATGGCCAACACTGCCAATGGCACTACTAGCTCCTACGGCCCTGCCGCCCACCCCTTTGGTTCCCGGTTTCCGTTCCCGCCAGAAATCAATGCAAGGATCTTCGAGTACGTCCTTGGGGGCAGACCGGACACCGTGAATCCTCGTCTCCTCCCCCGCCATCTCTGGAGCGTCAACAGTGCCTGGAATGCGTACCTCGATGTCTACATCACCAGTCACTACAGTTTTGACAGCGATGCCAACAACATCGAGGATCTGTGGAACTTTGTTGAACAAGTGGTGACCCAACCAAACCAGGGCTCGGAGCTGAGGCAGCTTACCTTTACGACCGTGAATCTCTACAAGAAATTCGAGCCACGAGACGTCCGCCATGTCTTGTTGACGACATTCAGACACGGTGACAAATGGCTTCGCCAGCCCAAGGGTGCAGCCCAGGCACACGACCAACCTACTCTCGCCGACAACGACAATACGATATTTGCGTGGCTCGCCCCGGAATATCTCGACGGAAATGGGCAAATCAAGCAGGTTCACCGAGCCAGGATCAGCCAATGGTACCACCGCGCCCTTTACATCAGAAGCAAGCCATGGCTTCTTCAGGCCTTCCGGGATATCGGTTTCGATCAGGGCGCCGCCGCTGGACAGTTGGATTTGTTGACACGGGCATCTAAAGTTCTCCAGGCGGGCAAACCCCTGGACGGCTACCATTTGCCCCTGATTGCCTTGGCTCTAGCATACTGCCCCAATCTCGCGAGGTTGACAATTCACATTTGGCCCGAGGCGACCGACCCTTGGCTGAGGCGGATTTTCGACTATGCAGTGGGAAGACAAGGCTTCGTCACTTTCAATACCCTGGGTACACCCCCATTCCGCAGATTGAAGACGGTCAACACCGCGCCCAAGCTGTCTCGTAGAGGAACGAACGGGATACCCGTGGCTAATGAGCACGAGCCAGTCAGCATAACCAGTGTTGAACTGCCATTTCACCGACTTCCCGTACTCGAAGAGGCCTTGCTGTACCATGTCAAGGCTGATGCTACTTTCGGCGCAACCCCCAACCTGCCAGAATACTATGGACAAATCGAGAAACTCCATGCTAGCGGCCCAATTTACAACCAACTTGAGCTTCCCACCTGGGTCGTTCTCTCACCCCGCCTCCGCCAGCTCAGCTTCCGCATCCCTGGCGACGAATGGCCTTTTATCCCACCGGGAGCGCATTCATCCAACGGACCAGCTCCATTCCTGGAAGACACGGGACCCCGTTTATGGTCAGGACTTTACCCCATGCTCTACCACGTGCGCAATCAGCTCGAGTACCTCGACCTGTACCAGGACATGGTTCACAGGACAAAGTATCAGCAATGGGAAAATATGTATTACTTCATGAGGCCATTCTGCTTCACCTTTGAGGAGTTCCCCGTCCTGCGCTACCTCACCATTTCCCCCCTCATCTGGGGCGGATCTCACTGCCAGCATCTCTCACCAGATCGTCTCCGCTCCCACATCCCCCCGAACGTGGAGACCCTGGGCATCTACGGCGCGAACCTCCACTATCTCCACGGCCTACCAGTGAATCCCGTAGCTATCGAGGAAGAGATTCAGAATATCATGGCCGACGCTCGTCAGCTGCGTTGCCTGATCCTCGAGTCGCGGTTGAACTGGCACCGGCCCCCTCAGGCCTTTGAATCCGGTTACACCAACGCTCACGCTGATGCCGCACTCAGGGGCATTCAGATTCGCCACGACGGGGAAAACACCATGTTCTATGGCGGGAAGGGAACGTGGATTGGTCATTCGGTATTGGAAGATGCCGACCTATGGGCGTCGAGGGTCTATGATATGGAGTCGCGGCATAAGGAGGTTATCCCACAGGGGCTCGTGGTGCACGGGATGGAGGGTAACTTGCAAGATACTCGTCTAGACCCGTGGGGCAATCCGGTTGCTCAGGCGGCGGCGAATGGTGACGATGATTCGATGGAGGTTGACGAATAATGGATGCCACGGGAGGTGTTAGGCGTATAGGCTGAAAGATTGGATGTGTTACGCTTTTGTCTATTTGTGTTGTGTTCTGGGATATATGTCTTTGCGTGGTTTCTTGTCTTACAGAGTGTATATAATGTTTTCATAGAGGGTCAGGGTATAGAAGCCCTTGGCTTTATGGTTGTCATACTTGTGATTATAGATGCAATTTCATCTAGGTTTACTCTGCGGCGCTAGTCCAGTTTATCCATGGATATTCCCGCTTATTGACTACTGGAGCAATGGTAATAGGTCTACAGATCTAGCGAGTCCGTCTGTAAAAACTCGGGAGGACGATTCTCTGAGGTTGATTAGTAAAGCCAGATATCCTCGCCATAGCAAGCTTTATAGGAGTTTGACCTATATTCAAAGCAGCGTCATTCCGGGTATCTTCAGGTACCCTCCAATTCTTCGCATATGGTTGGGCTGTCCAACGATGAGAAAGGGTGGATTCGGCAGAAGCTTCTGGGGAGGCTGAAGCGCCGACAGGATCAAGCTGTGATCCGTAAATAGAACTTGAAGCACTTAATCTTGTGTATAGCCAAGCGACGTTTCAGCAGCAAGTAAGCTACGTTTTCATAACAATGAAGAAGACCAGCAAAGAGAGCAAGAAGGAATCTCCAGTTTGGTAGCTTTGTTTCCTGTCAATAAGTTTGTAATACGCAGCAGGAGTAAGCATAAAGTGGTGATAGCTATTTATGGATCATTAGGTTCCAGTATTCACAAATTATGCACTCCTCGTCTTTTATGCGCCACAAGCACTGCGGCAGTGCTTCAGCTCAGCTTCACTCCTTCAACTTCTCTCCATTGTCCAGATCCTAACTTCCATTCTCCTCCTCCTCTCTCGTCTTTTCCGGTCAATCCGATATTTGAAACTTGCTTTTTGCGTGTGTTGTCTGACGACAGACTGTTTAGCGTCCGCGCGGCTTCGTCGGGTTGCCCCGTTCCACCAGAACGTCAGCAATCGCTATCGCCGTAAACAATTGCTTCCAGACCAACTCCTCGCACAGCAACCTCTCTAGCCTTTCTTCAACCCCTTGATCTTCACGACTCACGGCCCGAGCTCTTTACGAGTTTTTCTTTCTAATTATCGATTTTTGTGCGCTGGTCACCGCACCCACGAGATCTCGCCTGCTCTCTCTCTCCCCATCCTAGGCACCTGTCAACTTTTCCAGATCCACCGAGTTCCCGACCACGATGAGGCGGCCCTCGTTCAACCCCGGGCGCACGAAGAATCTCATCCATGGATTCCAAGGCTTCCTAATCTTTCTCGGATGGGCTCTCACGATTGCAGTATTCACAAAGGGCGGTGGTATTGATGGGCGATCAGGCTGGTACTTCGCCTTGGTATGCAACCCGCACCGAAGAGAACAAAAATGGTCGGATTCGAAATAAGCACCGATGCTAACGATTGTCGCTTCATTATAGTGCTGGATCTCTATCCCCGCTCTCATCTACCTAGTTGCAGTGCCCATGTGGCCTCGCGCTCGACGATTCGGAAATGTTTATGCCTTTGCGACCGTCGACACTCTCTTCGCCGTTTTGTGGTTCAGCGCTTGGGTCGCTATCGCTAGCTATGTGGCACAAGGCAAGAGCGAGGGTAAAGATGAAAGCGATCAGCAGGATGACAATACCAACGAGGACGAGAAGCCGAGCGGATGCGACAACTGGAAGTACGGCAGTGCCAGTAAATGCAATGTCAGCACCGCCAGTTGCATCATTGGAGTGGTCATCTTGTACGTTCTACGAGCTCTTGGATTGTAGAATTCTGCTAACTTTTGCCTTTTAGCGTTCTCTTCGCCCTGACAGCGTTCATGTCCTTCCGCAACGTCATGCACTTCCGTCGCACTGGAACCCTCCCCGACGCCGTCTCCGACCCCACCTTTGCGGCACAGAGCAAGGCCGCCTTCTCGTCGAATCCTGCTCAAGACTTTGAGGAAGAGGACGACTTCCGCTCCGGCCGTGCGGGGATGGGCTCCTCGATGCGAGACCGCGACGAGGACTACGCTCTCCTGCACCAGAGCGAGGTCGACGACCTCGGCAACCCCAACGGCCGCTCCGCGATGCACGGAGCTTACGACCCGACCGAGTCAACCGGAGGAAGTGTTCTACATGACTTCAACACCGGATACGGTGGCGCACACGGCCAGCACTACGCGCCGCCGTCTGAATATGACAATTCAACAGTCAGCGGCTACAATCGCTGAGCATCACTCGGAGCGTTTACCCCTCGACTCTTTCCTCCTCTCCTCTATTCACTCCTTCCATGACCATAAGCGGAGTTGGGCGCCTTTTCAGCTTCGATGCTGTATTCTTGCTTGATAGGTGAAATTGTGTGTGTGTGTGCTTAGTGCTGTGTTTGCTTTAGCCTTTGGTTGCCGATGCCTTGCGGTGGGTATATCTGGTGGATATGTTATGTTGTGTGCTGTGCTTGTTTTGACGATTGGACGATTTCAATTTGGGATTCCCTTGAGTTCGACCGTGGATGTATAGATAAATGCCATACCAAAATATCTAGCGTTAAGTTACTTATTCCACAGCTATCCAAGTTGTCTTCCGATAGCCTTCCTCTAAGCAATGGCAGGAACTGGCAGAATACTCACCGCCCGAGATTATCGCCATGCTGGTCTGGACAAGTTGCGGGATATCAAAGGACAGATCAACTCCAGCCAATCTCTCACCCACAGATTCGATATCGCTCTGGCAGGCCTCTCCAGGTCATCGCTCCATATATAGCGATATTTACTATTGTCAATTTCTCGCTTACGACTCGTAAGTCCCTAGTGCCCCGTCTCTCCACCACCGCTAATAGAACACTACAGGATACCCCCTACACTTTCAAACAACAACCCAACCGATCTTTAAACAAAGAAAAACGACCGCCAAAATGGCCAGCAGCATCGACCTCTTCAACCAATACCCACTGGTCCTCGACCCCTCCTCAAAAGCCATCTCTCTCTCCCCAAGCTCCAGCACCAGCTACACCGCATCACAAACCGCCGCGCTCACAACCGAACTCACATCGCTAAACGCCCTCCACCGCACCCTCATCTCCCTCGACAACCCCTCCTCCATCCCCCCACCACCCCTCCCCATAAACCCAAAACGCAGCGCCCAAATCACCAAACTCCGCGACACAGCCAACACGGCCTTCCGCAAGAACAACCACGCCGAAGCCGCGCGGCTGTACACGTTTGCGCTCGAGATGGCGACTTCCAGGCCTGGTTGGGAACCCGTTACGCTGGCGAGGGATGAACTCGCGGGGTTGTATGCGAATCGCGCGCAGGCGTATCTGGCTCTGAGGGACTGGGTTAGTGGGCTTGTCGATGCGAGGTGTAGTGTTGAGTGTAAGCCGACTGCGAATGCGAAGGCTTGGTGGAGGGGTGGACGGTGTTTGGTTGAGATGGGAAGGTGGGAGGAGGCGAAGGCTTTTGTCAGGAGGGGGCTTGAGATTGAAGGGAAGGAGAGTGAGGGTGGGAAGGAGCTTGTTGCCCTGTTGGCGGAGGTAGAAGAGGGGATCAAGAGGTCTTCTGCTTCAGCGTAGGGGACTTTCTTGCTGAGGAATGTTGATCTCGGGGACAGCCAGGGCTCGGTCCGTGGTGTGCAAAACGAGGGAACGGACAAATTAGAGTGGAGGAGCTCTGTTGTTTGTGTTTTGATCTTGTGGCCAGCTGCTCAAGGCCGCTGGGATACGGCGTTAGGGCTCGGAATATACACCTACTATCTGCTTCTATCGGCAACCATACCTATCCACGCCCTCTGGTACAGAGATGGCCAACAATGGCCTTTACAACCAAGAGTCTTTCCATATAAAGACCAGTGGGCTTTGAAAGCATGGTTTTGTATAGACAGAGCAACACTCACAACTTCCTCCTCCCTCCTCAAGCCGCATCCATTGTCCACCCAGCTATATAAACAAACCAATGCCCCAATTGCCCCGGCCTCATAAACCAATCTACCTACCTACCCTACAAACCACCACGCCATCCCGAAATCAACCAACCAACAAAACAAATGTCGAAAATGCCATATACTCCCCACTGCACCGCCACGCCCAAATGCACCTTCTGCGCCCCCCTCTACACAGACCTCTACCCACGCTTCGGCCCCTCAAAGCTAACCCTCCCAACACCGAAGACCTACCCTATCCTCTTCACAAACACATTCAACCTTACACTTACACCCGCATCCCTGCAGACATTCTCCGCTATCGAAGATATGGAATCGATCATCGAGTCTTTTATCCTGGAGAACTCCTTTCCGGAGTATAGGGATATCCGTGTCCCCGTTTACAGACTCCTCACAATCACTGATTCCCCTGGCCATAGTCACGACGCCGAGACCGTGATGAAGCTGATGAAAGAAAACACAAAGGCTAAAGAGGCGAGTCCAAGCGCGAGCCTAGCCCTAACGCTAACCCTCCTCATCGACTTCCCCGAGAAGCAGCATATTGGCCCGGAGAAGATGGGCTGGTTATTCGGGGAGTTCCCTGCCGTGCCGAATTCGTCGTGGGAGAGGAGGGGGCCGGAGGAGGGGGAGGCCAGGCATGCGAGCTTGGCGAGGTTGGAGTTTTGGAGGGAGGTGTTGCGTGCCGAGGGAGAGGGGAGGGTGGTTTTCGGTCCCGAGTAAGTGATTTTTTTTTTTTTTTTTTGTTTGGGGTTATGCAGTGGTGAGGGATGATTTGGGCACTGGGAGATATTCTTGACTGGGATCTATAGCTTTGATCGAGTTATTAGTTGAAATCGACAAACATATACTGCGATGGAGAAGTCTGTCACAATAACTAGTAGTATTCAGTATAAAAACAAGGAGGCAACTTTTGTGGTTTCCTTTCTTCATGATAATAGTCATTTACTCATTAATGATAAGTACCTAATGATACTTGAGCCCATCCTGCCTCGGAACCAAGAATCAAACCCAGCTCCCGCAAAAGCCAAAAGACATGGCGATGCCACCACCAGGGCAACGGGTCGTCCACCGAAAACCGCCAGTCTTTCAAGAATACCAGGAGCTGACCTGCCTCCTCTAGTGCCCAATCAATCTGCTGTGCAACGGGATAAAGAGCTGGGAGCACCCTTCGAACGTCGTAGCCTTTCACAGTTTGATACAGACTCGGTCTTCGGGATGGTATTTTGGTTATGCTCGTGCGTGCATAATTGTGGAGGGCATCTGAAGACGGATTTGAGGCAGCGTTCTCGGACAGTGCTGATAAGTACCCGTCGACGAGGGCTTGAGCAGGTGTTTCTGTCAGAAGATGCGTAACTGCAGCTGCGCCTTGTGTGCATCCGGCAATATGTACGGCATAGCGGACAGAATCCGCACCCAGCTCTTCGTCCACCATTAGCTGCAGACTCAGGTGTCCAGTGGCTCGAGAGCCTCCGCTAGATGCGAATTTCTCCATGAGCGTGTGGATTGCCGTTGCTAGCCCTTTGTTCAAGGGAGAGTAGCCCCAGTCAGACCTTTCGTTGGCAGGACGAATCGTGATAGCAGTGACGTGACCTCCAACCAACAACAACTCGGCGATAAACTCCCCTAGCCTGGCGTATTGTTGCATCACCCAAGGGCAGTCCTTGGAAACCTGGATCTCGCTGACTTGTGTATAGGTTGAGCTCAATGTCCTCTTGGGTAAAACGACGATTGTGTCCTGCCTTAGCACAGCGGCAGTTTTGCGTATGTGATATACTTTTGTAGGTGATCGATGAAGAATCCTGTGTATCGAATCTCGCGAGTGAACTTGGTGGCTCTCCACGATTGGGAGGGCATTTTGCTCTAGATATTGATGGAACAACTCCGAGCGGCCCCATTGGCTTGAAAACTCGGAGTCGAGAGTGATGCATTTGCAGCTGGTCCTGCCCTCAATGGCCTGCTTGGCCATCGCGTCCTCTACTGTGGAGACATCACGAGAGCACGGGATCCAAATGTCGACCTTTTCCCTCTGGACGATATCGAGCAGATTGGAAACATATCGCGGTTTTTGAAGACGGTAGTAAGCGAAGATGGCCTTCGACATGCCCTCGCCCGGTATAACTCGGGAATCCGTAATATCGGCGCCTATAACTCGATGCCCTTCAAAGTAACAGCATCGCGCAACACGTAGACCGTATGGCGTGTCTATCCCAGTGACGAGCACAGTCTTGGGGTAAAACCGCTCATCCTGCAGTATCTGGTGCCTGGTTCTTGAGCCTGATTGAGGAAACCATGAGCGAAGATAGTTCAATATCACTGCAACAAATAAAATTGCATTGTCTAGTGGCAGAAGAACGAGCGAAAGAGCGATGTGAAAGAAGTGGCGGTGAATTTGAGCTTGTAGTAGGTGCCGCATCAGATGGAAGATTTGTCGCCTCGACGACCCGACTGCTCGTCGCACTCCAAGAGCGGACATGTTGCTGCAAGGGAAAGAATCATTTGACGATGACTCGGGAATTTGATGCAGTTACAGGTTCCTGCTTGAGCTGAGTTGAAGTGCACCGAGGCAGGCTAATGCGAACCCGACCACGTCACCTTGCATAAGGCTGGGCCTCAGCGCTACAAAATGCGGCTGCAGAGCTCAAGTCTTTGCAACAATCATGAGCAGCACATTCCTTTGTCGGATAGCCCTCGTGTGCCACAGTCGTCAGCATTCCAGAGCAGGTGCGACCCCACAAGATCGAGATCGAGATCGATCTCGGCATGGATGCTACCTTGATGTGAGCGTGGCAACTTGGCCCAAGATATCTACGATGTAGTTGACAGACGTGCTCATGATCACTATGATCGTAACCGTAGAGATACTCTGGTCAACCAAGCAAAAATGCCAATGGTCAGTAGCCAGTTGTATGGGTGCTCGAGGCAGAGAGGGTGGCTGGAAAGGGAAACCTGATCCGCAGCGGCCACGGCCGATTGAGGCGAGTCGGCGATAAGCACATCTTTAACAATCTTTTGCCCGACGCCAAGGAAAATTCCTAGAGCGCAGGGTTCGGGGATTATGGGTAGTCTCAAGGCTTCGAGTTAAAGTCGGTATTTGAAGCTCATATCTTCTTTATAATAGTAACCAGCGAGATAGAAGACCGAACTAAATGCCTACTCCGTACTGTGACCCGTTGTAGGATTTTTGCTTTTTTGCTTTTGGCTGCCATCTGATAAGGCCGCGATCGCCACTTCGCAACCGGGGGTCAGATTCCAATTGACAGCCTCAGCACGCATCTCTGCTTTCATATGAAGAATGGCTCCTCCACAATTCCGATCTTTGATCGCCCACATTCATCCAATTCTCATTGCGATTCGCTCTTCTCGCTCAAGGCTAATCGGGTCCAGCCATGGCGCCATCCGGTGGGGATAGTCTCGGGTTTGAAATCAAAAGTCTTTGCGCCCCGCGGATATTTGCCCCTTATCAACACTGATCTCTGCCCCTCTTCGGCGCTCTCTCCTCTTTCGCTTCAATCTCAGTTGCGAGTGTAGAGCACCGCTGTCCTTCCTCTTTCCTTTAACCGCCTGCCCAGCTTGGTCACCCGCACAATGACCCGCGACACCCCGCGCCTTCCGCTATCGGCGGCCCTTCCGCCGCTGGTGATGGGCACCGCGACTTTTAACTCACAGTACAACGAAGACCCATACGCTCTCCCGACCACCGAGCTCGTCCACCGTGCCTTTGCCAACGGAATTCGCGCCTTCGATACCTCCCCCTACTACGGCCCCGCTGAGGAACTCCTCGGCCGCGCCCTCGCCACAGATTTTGTGCAGACGCAGTATTCCCGAGACTCCTACTACCTGCTCACCAAGGTCGGACGCATCGCCGGCTCGTCATTCGACTATTCTCCGAAATGGGTCCGCAAAAGCGTTGCGCGGAGTCTTCGTCGCCTACACACCGAGTACCTTGATGTCGTATACTGCCACGATGTCGAGTTCGTCTCGCCCGCCGAAGTGTTGGAGGCTGTCCGCGAGCTGCGCAGGATAAGGGATACAGAGGGGACAATTCGCTACGTCGGCATCTCTGGATACCCCGTTGATGTCCTGTGCGATCTCGCGGAATTGGTCCTCCGCGAGACAGGCGAGCCGCTCGACGTCGTCATGTCCTACGCCAACTTTACGCTGCAAAACACCCGACTCCTGACCGAAGGTCTACCGCGCCTCGTCGCGGCCGGCGTCGACGTGATTCCAAACGCATCACCACTGGGCATGGGATTGCTACGAAGAACAGGAGTCCCAATCGGCAGCATGGGCGATTTCCACCCGGCGCCGGACGGCCTCCGATCAGCCATTCACAGCGCCGCGGAGTGGGCCGATACACAGGGGGAGAAGATCGAAGTCATTGCGATCCGGTTCGCTCTCGAGTCGTGGCTGCGCAATGGCGCAAAAGCGGGATCGCTCGGTCCGCCTCTTGCTCGTAGCCCCGACGCGGACCCGGGCTTTCTCTCCGTCGCAAACATGGGCACGGGCGAGAGACTAGGCGTGAGCGTCATGGGCGTCAGCAACGTCGACGAGTTGAACGAGACCCTCCGTGTCTGGCACAGTATCGTCGACGGGCTTGAGAACCGCGACGAGAACCTCGGCGACGACTACTTTGATGCGCCGAAACCAACATCTATACCCTCCGCTACCAATGCACCAGCCGTCCTCACGCCCTCCGACGGCATAATAACAGACCACGCCTGGTCCCGAGACCGCCGCACCCGCATCCTTTCCCTTGCCCAGAAGATCCAAACGATCCTCACCCCAACGTGGGTCGACTATACCTGGCCCAGCCCACCCCCAGACTTCGTCAACACACTCTCACCAGACCATTCAACCTCACTGAAGGACACCATTGCAGCTGCTAGCCCGACGAGCAAGATCGCTGCTGCTGTTAGCGTTGGCGAGAACGAGGCTATGATGACTCCTCCTTTGGAAGCGCAAGATTTCAATATACCCGCTGGTACAGTTCCGGCTAATGCTCTGTGAGCGTCTGTTTTTGCATTCATTCGTGTATATAGCCTTTTCTTCTTTACATTATGGTGGCTTTGTGTGACTTGAAATCATGACATTAGACCCAAGCAAGCGTATTTCATCAGGCGAGGGACAAACAGCTCCACGTCAACGTCTAGAGAGAGCAAAGCGGGAAAAAAAGTTTTAAGAGCCAGAATCTTGATACCCACTGTGCAATATGCTGCATCAGTCCATACCAGCTACATTAGTCTATGAGGTCTCTACTTGGCCAACTAAGATCTACCCAACCTTCAACCTTCTAGACATCCCGTACGAGTCGCGCTCCGGCCCATGGGTATGGATAGTTCCGTTGGTACCAGTTCATACTACAATCATGGAGTTAGTATCCGTATCATTATGCTCAACTCAGGAGCTAAACTCACAAGGTTGTCCGGCCCGCGATGCGAGGGTGAGTCGCCCAAGAACCACCGAGGATGATATTGTGCTTTCCATCAAAGAAGTCGGCTATTCGACCCATAGTCAGTACATGGCCCGTCAATCATCGATACCTCTCGCTTATGGCAAAAAGAGACAGGGGAAGTAGAGGAAAGGTGGGAACATACATGTATACCCGGGATAAATCTCCATAGCCTTGAACCCATCATGTTCCGCAATCGGCGTACTCGTCCACTCCCAGACACCACCTAGCTCCGCATGGCCGGCGAGTTTGTCGCCGTTCTGGATGATCGGCGTAGGATGCCAGTGCTTGAAGCCGACGTTGCAGTCGCCGAGGTCCACGAAGACCGGGGATGACGATTCCGCTGGCGGCTGGACGGGCTGGGCGCTTTTCACGTGGCCGTTCTTCGGATGGTGCTTGTGGTATCCATTCGCTCCGTTGGATTTGTGTGGTTTAGTGAGCTCCTCGGGACTAAGAGGAAAGCGCATGTTAGTACGTTTGACCGATTTGGCTCAAAGGAGTGAAGCATACCTGTAGCCATCGGCGGTGATATCCGCGGAGCCGTCCGCTGTATGTTTCCTAAGTCGCGCCGAGTGAGCGTATATGCTTTTAGCCTCCTCAAAAGTTGGAAGTCTGCATTGCCTCCATTGGGCGTACTGGTCAAGCTCGTTGTAAGAGGCGATGACTGGCCAGTCCTGAGCCAATTCGAGCGGCACAGGACCAAAGACCGTTCGGACGGCAAACCTGGACAGGAACGCTCCGGCTGTACCTGTCTGAACCCACGATGCAGGATAGCTATGAGTCTGCTTTGCCTGTAGGTATTCGGCGTATTCGCCGTTTGTGATACCCCTTCCCTGAGCCTCGAATGGCTGGACGGTAACGGTCCGCACAGGCTTCTCGTTATCCCACCCAAACGATGCGGCTGGCATTTTGTCCCCGGGATCCTCCAGCCCAATTGACAAGGTCTGTTCTGGTATGGCGAACCATTCGTTCTGCGTCTTTCTTCCCCTAGCATCAAGAAACAATTTCTTGAAGTTTGGAGTTGGAACACCCGGCGGAGGAAGAATTCGTTCACTCTGAATCAGCATGTAGAGGAAAGTCTCGAGATGCATCGCCTCGTGCTCGAATCCGATCCATAGGGCTTCTCCTAATGTTCTGTCTGGAGACAGGCTAGGCCTCTGGAGTACGGACTGTAGCCTGTTTCTGACTCGGTCTTGGTATTCCAGAATATCAGAGCGAGATGGCCATTCATCTGGGATTTCGCTGTGCGAATGGCACTTTTCAGGGTCATCAACATCGGGGTCAATTCCTCTCTCGAAGATCAACTGATATGACTTGGGATCTGTTGGCTTGCCGCGCAAAGCTCGGGTTAGATGGATATCTAGACTCCGCGATCAGTTGCTTGCCAATGCTCGCCTATAGAACTTGGCTTCTTCGAGGCTTACCTGAGAACGTCGGAATATGGCCCAAGTAGAATATTAGAGAATTTCTGAGCTTTATTGGTTTGGAAAGTAGCTCCTCTTGCGGGATCATGGCCTTGGTCGCCAAGTCCCACGCAGTCCAGAGAGACTGGAATTCTTCGAGACTAGGAATAGGACTGGCGGCGAACTGAGAAGGCGACGTTGGGAGACGGAGAGCAGCCGAATGTAGCATATGAAGATCTGGCCCGAGAACAATAAGAACCAGCAGAAAAGGGGAAAAGCCAGCAGTACTTACGGTAGTCGCCGGAGCTGCTACTGAATTCAGCGCCTTCAATAAGACCAGCATCATGCCATAATTTCTCGCGCTTTCCTGGGCTATATTTGAACGCCTCCTCAAAGATAAACCTTTCTCCCTTTTTGATACGTACGCCATTGACAGTGACATCCGTTCTTGGTACGTAGAATGCTTGGTGGCAACCATTCTCATCATCATATTCCGTCACAACTTCCCATTCACCGGAGCGGAAAGCGTCGTCTCCGAGGATCTTATTTGCGTTGACAAGTCCGTTCTCGTAAAACTGTCGCGTAATTCCCGCCGAGTCATTATAAGCATTGTACACCTTGACTGGATCATCGCAGGCATCTAGACCAATGATCATCATGTCGGATGGCCCAAGAAGCCCCGTGAACTTGGCAAGAAAGGCTGCTGCATCTGACACATTGAAATTTCCTAATGACGAGCCCAATGAGAGGACAACTGTTGGCCGCTTTCGATTCTCCGGGTCGCTTAACCAGACGAGTGCATCGTCGTATGTCCCATGGAGACCATGCAGCCCAACACTGTTGTAATCTTCAACGCGGACGTTGGCGAAAGTTCTCTCGAGTTCCGATAGAGAGAGATCGAGGGCATAATAGTCGACAGGTTTGCCGACACGCTCGAACTCGCGAAGGAGGATTTCGATTTTCCGAAGGTTTCTGCGAGGGAGTTAGATACTGTAGTAGCTGATTGCTCCCGATAAACGGAGGGAAGACGACATACCCACTCCCAAGCTCCAGAAGCTGTGCATTGCTAGGAATTCTCTCAACCAGTCTCCGAGAGTGTGTCTCAAGCACCTCGATCTCCGCATTTGTCAGGTAGTATTCCTCCAGGTACGTGATCTTCTCGAATAGCTTCAATCCCTCCGAGTCGTAAAGTAACATTGTAGGCATCGACCGTCTCGTCCCATCCGGAGGGTTCAGGCCTTTCTGGATCTCGTTGGCCAGAGAGAATTCCAAGTCATTCTCGCGAATGTCAACAATGTCGACTCTCTCGGGTGATAGCGCCAATGGACTCATTCTGCTGTAGGGATGCTTCTAGAGAGGAACCAAGAGGGCAGTAAGAATAATACAACGATAAGACCAGGCAACGAGAGTGTGTGGTCTTATAGGTAACCTAGTGAATGGAGATTGCTTGAATAAGGCAAAGAGGGGTAACTGAGGAGAGTGTTCAATTGCAGGTAGAGTATATTAAAAATATAGTAGATGAATGGAAGAGAAGAGAGATGATAGGTCTGGCCAGCATAAGCAAGTTCAAATTGGGAGCCCGTGAAGAATGAAACGAAAGCAGGAACGGCATGCGCGGCAGCTTGGAAATAGCTTCCCTGCTTGAAGGCATCGCTGCCACTGCTCATGAAGGTTACAGGCAGCCCGCCTGCGCCGCCGACGGCTGAGATTGGACGACGGTCGACGAGGTACCCCAGAGCAGCGGGTGAGTGACATCAGGACATCCAGGAGTATCAAATAGAATTGTCAATCGAAATGCATGTCAGTCAAGGCTCAAGAGGCAGCCAGCTCCCGCACGGGCCTACCAGACGCGGGCTTGCGGCGTTGCGGAGTGCCTTGAAGAGGGGAGAGCTCTCTAGACTTTTGCGCATCCAATCAAGCTGGATTTGCTGCAGAGAGCTTCCCCACCCTGATCTGGATGGAGGAGTCATTGTGCTTCCCTGGAGCTCCAGAATACGATCTCTCTAGCGTGTCATTGGTTCTGGAGCAGTCTCAAGGGCGGCCCTCTGACCCTCGGCCTGAGCGATGACGTAACGTTTGCATCAGTTGCATGTTTGCAAAGATTGTCTCGGTTTGCACCGTTTGTCCACAGCCCCTCACCAGGAACTGCCGCCGCCATCCTGCCAACACCTGGGCAAGCATGATCAGCTAAATGCTAAATTTCTTACTGTCTCGGGCCAACGCTGTGACACTCAAAAACAGGATCTCAGAATCGACCCAGAAGGGGTACGAATGTTGGGGCTGATTCCAAAGAGCCTTCCGCCCCAGTGTGGTCAGCTCATCAACAAAGCAAATACCGATTAATCATCATCCAAATGCTATCTTTAGAGTTGACCAGATTCTGAGATCGGTGGCTCACATAGGTACCAAAAGCCAATCTCTTGTGGTTTTGGCCAACATCATCCAGCAAGAAAACGGGCTTCATTCTCCCATGGCTTTTGATTCTCGCACGGGAGTTGCTCCCGCAGATCACGTGGCAATGGAAGATTAAATACTGTAGATGATCATGATTCTAATCATGATGCGGACCGTTCTGTGGAAGTATGAGGGCCTGAAAACCACAAAGCGACTGCCTACCTGCAAGATCATATACCGACATGATTACCGCCAACAAGCTGACTCCCCGAATGCCTTACAAAGAGGGAGACATGATCATGAAGCTGGCCTAAATTCCGACAAAACATCATCCTAATTTGAGGAGGAAGTGCTGTTTGAAAGGATTACCGGCAGTCATCATTAGAAGCTGGTTGCATATCCAGAGTAGTTTGCACTCTGATAGGAGTGTCGGAAGTCGGAGTTGAGATCACGACTGCAACTCGAAAGCATATTTGGAGTGAGCACCGGACCACCAATATTGCTCTCACCTCCCAAATTCATGTCCCTCAACTCGAAGGAATTCGCCCTGGATTGGCATCGGGGCGTCAAGACTGGGAGCAATGTCTATGGTTTCTAGACACCTCAGGCATTGAGGTTGCCAGCGCATCGTATGTCAACCGCTTGTGACTGCCTCGCCTGTTTCCTCTTGAGTCTCGAACACATCTCCATTCTCCGGTCTTTCTCGAATCCCTCATGCAGGTACCTTGCAATGGACACACCCTAGCCCTTCAGTTACCAATTGAAGTTCGAACCGACCCCGGCGTCCCTTCTGGGTCAATTCCGATGCAACCTGTTCGATTACCAACAGGCCTCGAGCTTCCACGAATGGAGACTATCCACATCACACACCAGGGTCCAACGCCTTGCACAGCATGACTCGTCTCGCCATCTTTCCCATTTAGATCGATCCGGAACCTAACGGGCGACGGCTGATACGCTTCGAGAACTGCCGGAGGCTCGGAGTGGCACAACCTCGTGGAGCCATCGTATTCTGGTTCAACTCGAAAATAGTAAGGCGACACTCTCTGAAACCCAGGGACACAAAGGCTCTACCAGGTCGGAGAAGGCTACCAGGCGAATAACTACTCATGCCAGCGTTCACATTGATATGGTAACTGGTCTGCCAATGACCGGCTGAGTGAGAAGAATTTTCCACGTTTCGTGTGCGTGCTGTCAGGCACACATCGCCCGTGATTGTTCGAACCAGCCGTTTGGGTGGCAATGGACGCTGACTCGGTCTCGCCCGCTGCAGGATCCACAGTCCCGAGTCTGGCTGAGTAACCACGAACTCGTCGCTATGACCTCGCGTTCGTTGAGATTTTTCCGAGTCCCGATGTTTGGGTGGGTGTTCATTTCTCTGGTACTTGCCGCAAGCTCTTTCGACATGGAGGTATCTCAAACCGCAACGAACACATCAAAAGCTGCGACAAGAAATGCTGCGCACAATGCCACATCCCTGCAGGCCTCGCCCAGACGATCTCGACCGGACCGCCGATGTGGTGGGCTCGCTGCCTTGAGATATTTCTTTTAGCGCGCACACTAACTTTTCTTTGATTCGAGGCCAACGCTTTCAAGGGCTCAAACAACGTGGACCCAGTCTTGAAGAATCAAGTTCATCGTGATTGGCTGCAAATTCAGGTACCGAAGCTAGTGCGGCCGCAGGACAAATTATGGTTGGTTGGCCGAGAAATGATTCTGTGCCTGAATCCCGGCACAGACAACGTGGCGCACACCCAAGGCCATCGAGACACAGGCTCAGAGGCTCGGCGCAATGTGATGCCTCACTCTTTCATCTCCACCGGGCACTGGGGGCCTGTTCTCGAAAAGAAAAACCTTTACACCGAAGATTTTGGGAGAGGATCCAATGGAGGAACGCCCCCACCCCTGGCGATGATAAATATGCAGTGATTCCCTTCTTCCAGCCGCTTTTTTCCTTTTCTTGTATCACCACACACCAGTCATTCATTCCTTGAGGTAGATCCTCTCACAGTCCTTTACAACCCACTACACTCTTTTGTCTGTAGATCAGATCAAACTTTGTCAATCCTTCAAACCACAACACCGACGATCTCTACCGTCACTCTTTCCAAGATGCTCTTCTCCAAGGTCTTCAGCCTCGCCGCCACTCTGGCCACCGCATCGGCTCTGCCCTTTGCGCCTGCTGAGCGCTCCACTGGCGGCACCGTCTCTATCGTCAACAACGTCGGCCAGGACGTCTATCTTTGGTCCGTCTCTGCCGCCTCTGCCCCCATGGAGGTCCTCCCCGTCGGTGCGACCTACCGCGAGTCCTGGCAAACCAACCCCAATGGCGGCGGTATCTCCATCAAGCTCGGCTGCTCCGAGGACGGCGCTAGCGTCCTGCAGTTCGAGTACACAAAGGCCGGCGAGCTCCTCTTCTGGGACATGTCCAGCATCGACCTGAACCCCGACTCGCCCCTCATCACCGCTGGCTTCAAGGTCACCATTGACGATGAGACGTGCGACACTGTCACCTGTGCCCCCGGCGACGTGAACTGCTCCGAGTCGTACCAGTTCCCTGACGACCACAACACCCGTGCCTGCCTTGCCAGTGCTTCTTGGACTCTCACTCTGGGTTAAATTACCCAACCACAAAACAAGATACCCCGTGAAGAATGTCCCAAGTCTCGTCACAGTCACTCTTTCATCCTCTCCCTGACATTCTTGGACTTCGGATCAACACCAGCAAAAACCAGGCGGGCCCTCGCCCAGGCAGGCGATTCTACCTAACGAGTTCACGACGGATGGCGCTCTGTATAGCGCTCATGGGACGGTATATATGGGAATGGAACCCGGCGCAAATATGAATAGGATACCGATATAGAATTGGGGACAAAATGCAAATATACCATTACTTTCGTTCAAACTCTCACCTTTGGAGGCCTGCAGACTTCGTAGACCATATTCATCATGATTCCTTACCACAAACATACACTTGCAACAACCTTTCTTTATTTCCACCATGATGAAACAGCAATTCGTCATCTTCGCAAAAGCGAAGTTGAAACCCGCGTTGTACAGAGCGAGCTAAGCACCACGCCGCGCGGCACCTAAGCCACAAAGTCCCGACTAGCAACGAGCTAGGATCGACGGCCGTTAGAGATCTTCGATGACCGTTATTCTTTAAAACATGGTCAGTGGTGTATAGATTATGTTTGATGCATGGCACCCACGTGTGGCATCACTTCGGAGGTATTCGATGGTGACTTATGTTGTCGGTGGCTGAAAGTGAGACTGAGAGCGAAGTGGGAAGTGGGACTCCCATGGTGCGGATACATCATGGTTCTTCATCGTGTCTTGTGCGATTCCCGGCTAAAGTCGATCGTGATCCGCGTTGCCGAGTATGATCCATGAATACAGTTCAATCTGTCCTCCTGGCTTGGAAAGGATTATCGTGATCCATGATTGAGCTTGTTGCGGACTGAGTTGTGGAGTTTGTGGGTTTATGACGTTGGGTTTTGGCTGTTAATGGTGTTGAGAGTTGGCTGCTTTCTCCGGTGGTAGGTAGATACCGGCGCTTATAATGTGTCTCTTCAAATCTGTTTTCATCAGCAAAATCAGAGATCATGATTGATTTAACGTCTAAGTCTATTTTCAAGTATCTTATTTGAGTGATTTATCCATTGCTTTGGGTGTGCTTGTTGGTCACATGACTTCAGCCGCCGTTTCCTCGGCCAGTCAACAAATCCTCCCGAATCTCCAGCGAGAATCTCTGCATAATTCTGCTTTCACACATTCAAAGTACAACGTACGGCCGCTGATTAATTGACAAGAGAACTTTTGCCGATTGCAATGCCTCAGCCCATGCGTCATCCGCTCCACGATTGCCACCGGAACTGCCCGAATAGGCAAGGTATACACAGGGCCCCTCATCCGTCCAGGTTCCACTCGAGCTGTCCGCCAAAAAGATTCCGAATTCACGATGCGGATGGAACAGTTGCGTAACTTTGCAGTCATAGGAAGAAGCCGGGATCGGTCAACTCCAGAACCTGGACTTCGACCATGGGCCAGGTTATACTTTGTCCCTCAAATAGTGCCTTCCCCTGGTTCCTGGGCTGCCACAAAGCTATTGTGAAGTTTAAACTTTGTTGGCTGCATTGATTTCTTGGAACGATTGGTCTACATCGTACCATGGCAGACGCCCGAGAGTCAGCTCGGCCTAGAGCACGGGTAGGTAGGGCCGCTTCTTCTGTTCGCGGAGAGAGTTGACACCGTTTAGTCTGAAGCTACACGACTTCGAGATGAAGAGAGGTTACAAAGCCGACCATCGCCGGCTCGAAGCGGTGGCGGACGCAGGACATCCGGATCAATCCCCGAGGGTCTTCGTCGACGGAGCACAGGTCTTACCCCCCGCAGCCGTAGCGGTCGGGTTCCCAGTCTGTCATCTCGAACCACACCCGCCGAACGGACTCAAGGAAACTTTACCCTTGCCGGGCCTGAGGAAACACCACAGCTGCGTACGGCACATGAACCTTTTGTGCAACCTGGATATGGGGATCTGAATCCCGAGTATGAGCAACCGCCGAACGCAAAACCGGTGTGGAGTTTGGCGAAGCCGTTACCTCGTGTCGTGCGGCCTGGAATGGTCCCAACAAAGGAAGAGCTTCTGAAGAACTGGGAGAAACCGCAGCTCCCTGCAGAGCAGTCGCAGCAGCAAGGACTGAATGTTGATCCGAATGAGCTGGAAGATGGACGGATTGAAAAGTCGGCGGATCCGCGGAAGATGGCGGCGCAGGTGGATGATGCCCGGCAACAGCGGGAGAATAACTTTGTCAACAAGCTATTAGCGGGCGACGGGACGACGACACGGCTCTCGCGGACGGCTTCAAGCCGGATTCGGCGTCCTTCTGCCCCGGGAGAAGTTGCTTCAGACCAGCTGTCTGCGGTCCCTGAAGGTGAGGCCCACTCGGATGGATCTGGCGAGCACCCAGACGACCTGCAGCATGATCTGAGCGATGAACCCCTGCAGGCCGTGCCCGAAGAAATCCCCGAGCCCGATCCCGAGCAGCTTGCCGACTTCAATGAATTTGATCAAGCGGCTCTCCCAGAGGACCTTCACCCGCTCATCCAGGACCTCGTCGAGGAAGAGGTCCACAACAACCACACCGTGTGGTCCGTCATCCGGACGCACCACCGTGAAGCCCTTGCCGAGTCCCTCGCCGTCTTTATCCAGCTCACTGTCGGCCTCTCTGCAGACCTTAGCGTCACCCTTCCGAATACGACAAATCCCAACACAACCGCTTGGGCCTGGGGGTTCGCCGCCATGATGGCCATCTATATTTCCGGTGGTGTATCTGGTGCACATCTCAACCCAACGATAACATGCATGCTGTGGTTCTATCGCGGCTTCCCCAACCGTAAGATGCCTGAGTATTTTGCAGCACAGTTCATCGGGGCATTCGTCGCCGCGCTCGCCGTCTATGGCTTGTACTACGATTCGATTCAACAATACCTCACCTTTGGCACCAACGCCTCCACAACGAGCATAATCAACAGCTTCGTAACCAGTCAACGGAACCCCTGGATTGGACCCGCAACCGCCTTTTTCAACGAATTCCTCGGAACAGTTGTCCTAACGGTCACAGTGTTGGCACTGGGAGACGACCAAAACGCACCGCCAGGCGCCGGAATGAATGCCCTCGTCGTCGGCCTCGTCGTCTACTGCCTTAGTATAACATTCAGCTACCAAACCGGAGCGGCACTGAACCCAAGCCGAGACTTCGGACCGCGTCTTGCGCTTCTTGCGTTGGGGTATGGGAGTGATCTGTTCACGAACCCGTATTGGTTCTATGGGCCTTGGGCGGGATCATTCTGTGGCTCGTTTATCGGGGCCTTTTTGTATGATTTCTTCATCTTTACGGGTGGCGAGAGCCCGGTGAATTATCCATGGGAGAGGACACAGAGGGCGATGAGGAAGAGTAAGATGAAGTGGAAGAAAAGGTTGAGGTTCACTAAGGAGGAGGGGGAGAAGGTTCCTGTCTGATCTAGCAAAGCTCTGGGATTCCTGCTAGTTGCTGGACTCGGTCATTAAACAAGCCTAGACATTGTTTGACATTGAGAGATACAACCCATACACAATAGACTCATTCCTAAGTTCCAGTTATACCGCTGAAACATTCTGCAAGGTCCATACAACCTCCACTTCTTCAATGTCTACAAAGCCAACAAAGACATACCTGAAAAAAACATACCATCCTAGAGCCAAAGAAAGAGCATAAAGGCATACAACAAAGGAAAGCCATTGTGCAAAATAGAGAGGGTTTCAGATCACCCGCTCGCACCTCCTTTGTTTGAATCTAGGATATAAGTCCTCCAAGCCCCCGCCATCTCCACCTCTTTTCCTCTCATAAACACGCAGAACACAAGCTACGTCCAAAGTAACTCGACTTCTTTTCAAATCAACAGTTACTACTATCAAGCTCAGTTCAGCTACTCAACAAGTCTTACAGCCCAAAACACTAAAAGGACAGGTACCTACCTATCTATTTACTTAGTACTTTACTAACACACTCAACTTACCGACAGAATGTCCTACAACAGCAACAGCAGAGATGCGTCTCGCCGGCGGAAGTCGAACAGATCAATGGAATTGCTTGACCAGATCGAGGAGGAATGGAACGAGTCCCAGTCCAACAGTCCAACAGTGAACACACCTCGATCCACGCAGCCATCGAGCCCAGCCTCCCCGCATATATCGACTCCGACCTCTACGCGGGTAATGACCCCGGCTTCTGCAACTGCGTCGCCTACATATCCACGCTCGGTCCCGAATCCCCCCCGAAGATCCGTGACATCGGCCCCGATGCATGAGACGCAGTCCCCAGCCCAGGGGCAGGCTTCTGGCGAGAACTCGGACTTTGAAGTGCCTCCGTTGCGTGTCCGCCCTAAGCTCACGCGCATCAACACTAGCCCTGATATCGCTGGTCATACACCCGTCGAAGATCCTGGGCACTCGGTATCCCTACACCCCTCTGACACTCACGGAAAAAGCTACACCAACACGCCAGTGAGCAGTTACAACACCTACAACGATACCGGCTACTCTGACGCCTATACTCCCTCTCCCGCCCGTGGAGCAAGCTATACCTATACTCCGACCTATTCGCCTCCCAGAGACCTCTCTCCCGACTCTCCGTCTGATTTCCGCTATATACCTACGCCCGTGAATGATACGCTCTCAGATATATCGCAAAACGATCAGCCCACCGGCATCGCAAATGACTCCGACCTAACCACCGATTCCGATGATACCCCACCTAGATCCCCCCGCTGGCGCGATGGCCGCGAAGTCCCCGAAGAGCGCCTCGAGCACGATTTCGACCGCGAAACACCCCAAGTTGTACTCGACGCCGAGGAAGCAGCCAATAATACGCGCGAGGGCTCCGAGGGTACTCTTACCGAAATGCTCAACCTGACACGGCTCGCGACGATGATGGAGCTGTTCTTTACAGCGGAGAATGCTCTTACTGCGGAGGACGAGGACCGCGCGGAGTGGAAGATCAGAGATGGGTTGACTATTGCACAAGAGTTGGGCGAAACGGAATACATCCAGCGGGCTGAGATCATGCTAAAGGCCGTGGCGGATCTGGGAAGACAGAAGGTGCAGGAAGCGTATGAGAGAGCACACAGGGTCACGTATGTGGCTGATGGCGATGAGAGCGAGAGCGAAAGCGAGAGCGAAGGTGATAGTGATAGTGATGGTGGTGATGATGACGATGACGATGACCAGAACGGCAGTGATGGGGAGAATTTGGCCGATATCCTTGAAGGTCGCCCTGAAGACTTTGGACTATCTGATGGTGACGCAGACTCTGAGGTTGAAGGCCATCACCGAGCTTCCAGGGAGGCTGCTGATTTCCCTCTATTTCAAGAAGCAGGGCGATTCCTCCACCCACAAAGCAGCAGTAGAGGAAAAACCAGCCGCTCGCCTCCCACGAGCGAAAGAAAAGATCGGTACCGTCATCCTGCAGATAATGGAGACCAAAGCGGTGCCTTTCCGACTGATACGCCAGAGAAGTCACAGAAACAGAAGAAGCGCCGCTCCAGAAACCGCGGGCCCAGACACCAGTACGTCAAGCCCAGAAACATCGTCCTCCCAGCCACGTTCCAATCCTGGGAGGCGAACTCCGAGGGCGAAGAGCAAGACCCCCTTTCCCGCCATTTCATCATGCGCAAACGCCGCCGCGAGGAGTACTCCGAAACAAGAATATGGTCCCACCTCCTCCGACTAAAGCCAGTCTCCGCCGCCCGATCCAAGCTTCCGATGTTACGGAAGCGAGTCCTTCGCCTACTCCCCCAGACATGGTATACACCCGATAGCAATGGCGACACCGACCAGCCACCTCCGCCAGGAGGCTTCTTGGCCGTCCACTGGTGGACTCACGGCTTGTCTTTGCTGTTGCAGATGATGGCCCCTGTCGATAATGAGTGGCAGGCCAAGTATGAAAGCTCGGCATTCAAGCCGGGCCGGGCAGAGTTTACTTTCCGCGCACATATCCCGTGTAGTTGGATGGCGACGGCGTCACGATGCAGATCGACAGACCTATTCCCGGAACAGCCATGTGAGTATTTGGCAGATGAGGAGGAGGTCGGAAAATGGAAGAAGGACTTTGCAGAGGCAAAGCTAGACATGCCATTCCTATACTGGGAGCGAGCCCAGTTCCAAAACGCCATCCAGCTGAAAAAGGAGGGCCGTCTTGCGCCGAGGCAGAAGAAGGCCAAGACGCAGCAGAGCAGATTCCCTGTGATTGACTTTAGTCTCATCTCGTGGGTCAAACTTTTTATAATGCTGTTTTTCCTTTATTGGTTCTGCTTTGGGTTCTGGAAGGCTGGGATCTTGACGAGGATCCATATCCCCGTGTGGAATCCCTTTGCCGTGGTGGATCTGAGTAGGCTGGGTAGGCTCGAGGACTATCTTCCTGAACGGCTTAGGCTTGGATAGACAGGTACTTAGTAAGTATCGTAGACGTATCCTATGTTTTCGTTTTAGCAGATAATGAATTGAATATATTGTTGTTTTGAAATCAGATTCAAACCCGTAAATGGTCGATTCATTCACACCCAATCAAACAAACGCATCCAAAACAGACAAATCCCAAACATAGCCCGCAGCACCCATAGCACCGACACTCATAAGAAACGCCATGAGCACGTTGACCCCATTGTTATCCAAGATATCCCACCCGCTCTCGACGCGGCGGCTCTCGTGGTGCGCCTCTACCTTGCCGGAGTCCGATCCGGTCGATGTCCCCGTGACGCGTGTCCCCTTGAGCGCGGCGGTATTGGCGACGGCTTCGGTCTTCCGGAGCTGCGCACCGGGTGTTTCGGAGGAAGTCCCCGCGGCGCTTTCGGCGCTGCTGGATGTTGTTGCGGAGGGGTGGATCAACACCTAGACAGATGTCAGCTGGTCCAGATATAAAAGTAGACTGTAGACATCAAGACCCCCCCATCCCCAAAAGAGGTAGAGTATACATACCTTCTTCCCACCAGACCCCTCAACAACCTTCCCACTCCTCTTATCCACCACACTCGCCTGGAAAACCCCACCGAGAACACTATCCAGCAAACTCCCGCCCGTGCCCCAGATCGTAACGGCAACAATCCACGCCGCGCGGTCCGGTACCGAATCCAGCGTGAAGCCCGTGCAGAAGGGAAGTAGCAGCGCAGATGTGAATGCGATGGTGAATGCGCCGAACACGCCGGCGATCAGACCCGTTGCCGTCACGCCGCCGTTTGTACCCGGGGGAACGGGTCGGAAGGTAGGCGAGGTAATCAGGCGGGGGGTTGATTTTGAGAGGATGCCGAGTTCTGAGGAGAATGTGTCGGCTGCGACGGAGGCGTAGTTTCTATTCCACCACGAGGAGAGTTAGTATCGAGTCCTGTAGAAGCAAGCTGGAGAGAGGGCAGGGNGACGCACGCTACAATCCCGACAACAAGCAAATCCGCCGCATGCCGCCCATTCGAGAAACATTCGGCCGTCGGCTCATTCCCGCTCTGCTCGTTCTTCCGGAGGACCCATGCGTGCAGGAGGCTGAGGACCGTCGCGACGACGGAATTCGCGAGGACCTGATTGTGTGTTCGGGCGCCCTCGCCGCCGTGCGAGCCGGTTGCGCTGAGGGTGAGTTGGGCTTTGATGTCGTGTTTGACCTGTTAATCGCCAAGCGACGTTAGTTTTCGGTTTCTTTTGCTTGATCGTTCAGGTGGGTTGAGTGTGAGAAGCAAGGGAGGAAAGAGAAGAAGTGTGTACCTTGGTAGCCTTCGTCCCACCAACATAGAACACAAGCAAGAGGATCAGCGGCAGCGACCACGGATTCAGCGCGTGCGCGATGGCCGTGAGCCCTGCGACGACAAGGCCGAAGGGGGTGAGTGATTTGCGCGAGTAGGCGCGGTGTAGGAGGAGGGAGATTATCGGGACAGCGAGGAGGGGTTGCATTTTGGATGCTATACGATTCAATCGCTGGGATTGCAATTTACCGGTCGGATTGAGGGAGAGATTCAGGAAAAGAGAGGAGGAGCATGGTGGTGTGAGGGAAAAAGAGCTGGTGCTGACGGCTGACGGTGTCACAATCATCGGCGTTGTTGGCTGAGCTTTGGTCAAGTGGGGCCCGGGCTGAAGCTCAAGTTGCGTTTAGGCTGAAGAACTGAAGCTGTGGGGCCCAGAAGTGTCGGCCGCGTTCCGGACAAACGTCAACCACCCGTCTGCTACTACTACTCTCATGTTGGGTATTTCTCTTCTACAATTTGAGCTGGATCTGGAGTATCTCAGACATGCTGTCTTGTGGGACGAATGTGGTTGTCTGGGTCGTGCAGTTGCATGTGGGCTGAGGTTACACCGTGGGCCACGTACGAAGAGCAGTATGCACATTATACGCAGGCATGGACAAATGCAACACTTCATTGGAAATGGCCCGCGGTCTTTTGCATTCTTCGCAGAAAGTCCATCTTCATGGCTAGCAAACAGCGGGAAAAGTCCTACCTGGTGAAGCCGACATTCCTGTATACAAACAGCCTAGCAGTGAAGACAAACAGGTTGCATGATGCCTGTGAAGATGCTGTTTGCTACCCCTCTCTTGATCATAGTGAAGCAGTATATCAAAGAATTCTTCACGTAAATCATTCCATACTAGAGTCACGATGCGCACAAGGCGAAGGCTGCATAGATTTAAAAACGGGGGTCTCCCCGGAATTAGGGCTTCTTTTCCATCTTCTCTATTTTCTCGCTCTTTTTTTTTTTTTTTTTTTTTTTATTTTTATTAACTTTCTACACCACAGACCATGTTCTCGACCTCGATATTGACCTTGCTTCCATTACGGAGAATGTGCTATGCCCTTATGCCTCGTTCAATATAAGAAGCCGCTGGAAAAAAGGGTATGGATATACCCCGTATCTCGACAAACTCTGGAGTGAGCACCAAACGTACTATCCCAATTGTACCGCTTATACACTGGCTTGAACTTAGTCTTAAGGACGGCCGCAAGTTGCTTTAACCACCTACGCGAACTCCCCAAGGTTTCTTCGTTTTGTCACGACAATACCAGCCGTATGTTGCTGCTGCCTGACTTTCCCTAACCAAAAGAGCGCCGTTTATGGCGATTTACGGGCTCGTCGTCTTTATCTTGACCTCCTTTTGGAATATGATTTAGCCCTATATGAAAGGCCCAGTCCGTGACATCTTGGGCCATGACCACCAGCAGGTCTGGAAATGGAAACGCGGGTTCCCAGGTAAAAGCACCCAAGAGGCAAGTAGAGCAATAGTAGACTGGTACGTGCTTACAGCTTTGCTCAGAGATTGAAAGATGCTAATCGCCGTTAGGTTTTTGATGGCGTGGATTGATGCCCTAAGAGCTTCGTTACTTAGGGCACGAGTTTACGGTTCCTTATGCGTACCGAATATACCACCGAGGCGCTTCATACCTCGCCGCCGCCTCCAATAATGCCACTTCGAACCACCTACATGTGGCCTTTCAACTCGAAGTCCTGATGTCGAATCTCCGAGCTTAGGCAGAGACCTCTCTCAGCCGATGCATGTTTCCCGCCGTGACTTATTCTGGGATCACAGACAGACTTGAGGAATCTATTGCAAGACCCGTCAAGAGCCAGGAGAGATGAGGTACCACCACGGTCATAATGGATTGGGGTGTAAGCAGCCGCCACTGCGAGTTAGGCCTGAGCTAGTTTGAGCTAACCTGACCCATATGGCACAAGGCCAGGGGCGCCACCATAACCACTGGATGACGCTCTCTGTACAAGGCTCTGAGGAACCATAGGAGAGACAGCTACTACTCTCTTGGTATTTCATAGTGTCCCGAGAGCCGTCTCTCGTCTCGTTTCTTTTCCCTGCGAACCTGGTTCGGTAGGTTCTAATCTATACAGATTTTCAATCCCAAGCCTCAACCAAGGCACACGAGACTGACCTGACATGAGATACCCCCTTGATATAGGCCTGATATATATCGGAGCACCATCCTAGATCTCAGCCACAGCACAGCCCAGCTGGCCATCGATGACGAACTTACCCTCGCTTCAAATATCGCTGCCCTCAAAAGACACAAGTTCTTCTGAAGCCTGCTCTGGAGTCTCACGCGAAATTGATGCCAATCGGAATGATAGGTCTTTGGGTTCCCAGAGCGGAAGCAGGAAGTGAAGAAAGAGCCCCAGGAGCTGATTCCACTTGCCCCCCGCCATTCCGACCAGTCGAAGAAATTCTTCGGTACCAGTTGGAAAAACGCACAGTTCGCAGCTTAGACCACTAAGAGGATATATCTACTACCTCCGAACTGGAGCAAAAAAGAAGATGGTGTCACCGTGCGAGGCCGAATCTAGGGAGAACCCGTCTACCGCAGGCTAATCTTTGAAACCGCTTACCGCGACTTGAAAGATCCGGCGAAGACCCAAACCGCACCTCTCATCCTCGACAACGACGAATAGGTTGTTGACTACAACGTCCATAAATTTGTAGTCAGGGATGAGTTTCAAGGTCCGAATGAGGAGCAAAAGCCCAAGAAGAACTCCGGGCAGAGCTCAAAAGACAAAGATATCCTGGTCTTACACGAAACAGCCTATGCTGTCCCATCAGCATCGGGAATCCGAACCCCCCACGGTGTGATTGCAACTGCCGAAGCTCGCTATGATGTCGGCTCTCCGTTTCTCCCGCCACGTCGCGGCAAAGGGCTGCTGCCTGCACCGAGCCCCCTTTGTCGGACCTCGAGCTGTTTGACTGCTCATTCCGTTGCCGGGGCGGGGAGCAAGGGAGGGAGAGGGGACCACTGAATTAGTGCCCACGATGAAAGCGCTTTGCGCTGAAAGAAAGCCGTATGGTGCGCAGGCTATGCCCACCGCTGCCAAAGGGCAGTCCTCCTAGAACCACCGTCGCCGTGAGCTACCAGACCAACGTAAAGACTCGAGAGAGCCGACAGGTCCAATATCCTTGACTTTGGCTCAACTGCGGCTGGGCCGGCTTGAGGAGCTCAAGAAATCATGGCCGTTCCGGGGCTCTGTCTTCCAGCCCATCTTCTCATCGTTACTTTGAACCTCCTTCTCCTACAGGCGCCTCCAACAGCCATGGCCATGGGTACTATGTACAAGCCCCGCCACAGCTTCTCTCGCCGCCTACCGAAGCGGCTTTGCCCGATGTTGCCACCAACGCTTCCACTCATTGAAGGATCAGTGGACATGTATCGGCACCCGCCACGCAGAATGCCCTGTGTGCCCGGTCCGGCGCCACGACCCATGCTCTCCCGGGTGTTCAAGCTCACAAGTAATGTCCCTGCACTGCGCAAGGCGTACAGGTGCGCTGTGCGTGATGATCAAGCAGCTACTGCGCTCATTGATATGGCACCCGACAGCCACCCCATTTTTAGAAGTGAGTACATGCTCACTGGGGTAGACAAGAGGAGCATCTGGGAAATATTGGACCGAGAGACCCCGTAGCTTTGGACGCAGATGGAGCCAAGTTTGGCGAGGTATCTTTCGACGCTCGCACGGACGGATATCTCCAGGATAAAAGAAGGATCATGACGGATAACGCGCATTCGTCGAGGTCAAGGGTGCCGCACGTGCGAACCCGGACAGGGCATTCGTATGCAAGAGGCAGCACAGATGATTGCTTGGATGCTGAAACATCCAAAGAGGCTTTGAAGCAGCCCAAAAGGTAGGTATCCCATTCCCAGGAATCCATCCGACCAGCACTCTGAACCAAGAGTAATGGAAATGGACTGATCGAACCAGAACCGCTGATGAGCCGACGTTGGCTGCCTGGCGTTATACGACGCTACCTCGGACAGCTGGTCAGAGAGAACCGGAGAACCGCAAATAATCACTACGGCATCGTTGCCAGAGGGTAAGTTGCGAGATTCTACGTGAAAAACACGAGATCCATCATGGTTATAAATCTCACTGCCATTGGAATAGAGAGTCCAACATCAGGTAAGCCCACATTCCAAGGTTCTAATACAGTTCTAATAATGACAGAGGCAGCTACACACGCGCCTCCTGGTCCAGCCTTGACAACCTCCTTCTATAGGGAGCACCACCATCGCGGTTGAACCGCGATGGCCAGTATGGCCGCCCAAATGCTCACTTGGCAGGTCAGCCACTAAGTGTAACAGGGCAAAAAGTGTAGGGTATAAAATCTCGCGACTATAAGCAGATTGGTGCCTCTGGCCTTATAGCTACCAAAGGAAAAGCCCCCAACTCTGAATGCGCGGAAACATCTCCGTTGCTTATTAGCTTTGACTCTCCTCTCAATACTGTCCTGATGATAAGCCCCAGGATTGATTGATAGGTCATGGCTCGGCTCTCCAATGACCCATCCGGACCCGAGACAATCACAGCCAAGATACCACAGGGTTACTCAGAACATCGGGATTGAATGCCGCCAGGCACTCACCTAGGTCCACTATTTCGTGGACTAGAACAGCACCCAGTACGGATTCATTCTGACCAACCACGACGTGGTCGCGATTCGTCGGCTGACCGACGACCGAGTCTCGGCAAGAAATCCAGGGGATTTTTGCCCTAAGAGACGAAACCTGCCCGCCTGTAGAAATGGCTTCCTGAAGGGGAAATCGATGCTGCACCTGAGTTCAGTTAGATCCTTGCATTACTCGCCTCGCCAAGGCCTGTGACATGGCAGAGAGAAAGGCGGAAAGAGATGAAGATTGGGATAATGGGATAAGAGTTCAACTTGAACTCGAATGCGGCGCGCAGGATCTTGAATATCAGGAGTACGAGGCCCATGCCCTGGAGAGATCGCCCTCGCCCCCCACTGGTTGGGAAGATGAGCACTCCCCTGAGGGAAGTTATGTAAGTTTTCCAACCCCTTTTGCGAGATTTGACTGATCTTCTAGTAGGACCCCTCTGCGGACGTGATGACCTCTATTCTGGCCATCGCCCCGGCGCCTGTTCCACGCGATCTAGGCCACTTCCTAGTTTATTAAACCTCCGCCCCGCCCACGTTCACGCCACGTAGCGCGTGGAACCTGGCCATGATCCCAGGTCTTCCACCCTGGGCAGCAAAGGGCGAGCGGAAGTCGCGTACAACCTTGCCTCGGACGCGCCGAAGTTCTGGTATCTGGCCAAGATCCTTCAGGACGAGGGTGTCTTACAGGGCCCGTATGGGAAGGACGGAAAGCGCCCCGGGCGGATGCTCGTCTTCTGCCGATACCCGCTGGTGATGTGGCTGGTGGAGATGTTCCTTGATGCGCTGCGCGTGCCCTTCACGACCATCAAGTCGTCGATAAACATGGAGCAGCGGACCGCCGCGTATGACTATTTCAATGATCCCAACAGCGACTGCGCGATTCTGTTGACGACGTACATCTGTGCTGCGTATGGTCTCAACCTTCAGGCCGCGTGTTGCCTAGGGCTATAGTCCCTATTAGCCCATGAGTGAAGGTGGTCTCTTGTGCTGGTCTTATGGCCTATGCTGTTTATAGGGGATGCTACGCCAGAGTACTTTGGCCTTCACGCCTAGCTACGCGAGGGCATTCTGATCACTCGCGCTGGTGCGCAGCCACCTGCTAGCCAGGAGTGTGGAGCTTGCCAGGATCCATCTACTATGTTAACATTTTCCCAGTGCATCTCTAGGCGGTTTAACAAGAGGTGTAATAACTGCCTCTTACGCGGGCATGTGGCCTATTCGCTCAAGTGTGATCCTTGACTAGCTCGCGGCATGCAGTCCCTCTATTACCCTCGCGCTTAAGATTCTATACGACTCGTCTCTCTCAACCCTCTGGAAAACCATATTACTGTGTGGATGTGGAAACAGCAACAATCCCAAGCAAGGTCCGGTTTTCGGTAACCCTAACTCGAACGATGATGGCCGGCTGGCTCTCGGACCTCGCATGTTGCCCCGCTTGTGTTCGTCCTGAGGCCTGTCTCTTTAGTGGCTACATCTTTATTTGTCGGATTCTTCAGATCATTCCAGAGAAAGGTCCGATATCCTTATGACTTCGACGCCAATGGAGGGGATAGTCGGCAGGACGGCTACAAGTTGGGCCGGCCGTATGAATACACATGCTCGGGAGAATCTGGCTACGGTATACAGGGGGTGCTATGTACTCCGCGGCGCCGAAGCGGCTTATTGGCCATTGGGCCCCTTCCAGAATGCAAAGGACAGAGGCTTGCAATATAGCACCTGAATGGGATCTGGCTTGCCACCGCTTCCTCTAGGGTGGTTAGTATTATTATCTCCTTAATAGAGACACCGCGCTATGTGCTTACTACAAGGTAGTAAAGTACTTATATGCTCTAGTAAGTATCCCTCTTCTAGTTCCTTGCCTTGCAGTGACCTTGCCTTAATTATGTAGTTCAATCCCATTATTTAGATAGACACCACCACCCTTGCCATGGGCATCCACCAGGGCCTCGACATGGTGGCAACCAGCAATATTTATTAGTACCACGATGCGGTGCGTGCACCTCCAACGCCCATGCATGTCCCGGCGGCTGCTGTTCCCTCTTCGGAGGTTGAGCGGGTCGCCCCTCCCAGGATGGCTCCCCTGGTTCGCGCTCCCTCCCCGGTTTATGACCATGTATAAGAGCCCGAATACTCGGCATTGGGAATGTATGGCTCCCAGATCGTCTGCGCGGACGATTCAGGGGAAAAGCAAAGACATGTGGATACTATTGTCTGCAAGAAATACCTAACGTGGCCTCCTCCGGCGGCTTATGAGTGAGTGCTAGGGAGGATTACTTGACGGGCGAGATTCTCGAGAATTTCCCCGCACACTCCCCTCCTGCGCAACCTTTGTTCAGGCCCGATTTACAGCTGATCAGGCGCTGTTCTTCTGATCATTTCACCCTCGCTAGCTAACATCCATCAACCTAGCAGTATGCTTTACATTCTTCGGTCTCAACAACGTCTCAGACCCCAAGCAGCCAAAAAGATGGACATTCTTCTTCTACATCTTATAGCACTCCCCACTACACGAGCAAGAAGCGACAGCAAACTGGAGAAACACACATCGTCTACAACAGGGAAAAGCATTATCGCAGTTCACAGACCCCTGGAAGAGCGCATTCAGTTGGCTTCCCGACGTTCAAGAAGTAATTGCCCAGGCCGATGGGGACTTGGCTTGTACAATGCCTCCCATCCCTAGTGCATGGACTTGGCCGTTTTTCTTCTATCAGAGATGCCGTCATGCTTTGCTCCAAAGCTTGCTGTCTTCGCGGTCTTAAACGCCCTGATACATGGGCAGTTCATGAACTTCTGGAAGCACCAAGGGCGCTCCCCTATCCGGTTAGTTGAAAAGGCCATTACCTGGAATGATGACAATGGTTGAGTACCTGAGACCGTCGTCAACGTGTGCACGCTGCTGCAGGCGATCGGGCGCCTCGCGTCTCCATCGGATCGGCCAGGTCTTGCCGCAGATCGTGTATATCCTATTTCATGACCATACTGTGCAGCGCTACCTCGAGGCCAAGAACATCGACAAGTTCCTCTCGCAGCTCGCGAGCTACCTGCCCCGAACCGTTACCGACCGGGCGCGTGACGCCGTGATCGGGCGTGGTTGCAGACTCGATGTTACGCGACTGCCAGCTACTTTACGAGAACCCCATACTGATGTTCGATGCTGTCAGATCCTACTGCCGGGGTTCCCGTCTCCTTTCTGATAATGACACCCAGCCACGCGTGGGGTCCTTATGCTTGTAGATGCGCATGAGTGTGCTAAAGGGGCACGGGCAAATCACTCCACATGCGTCTGGACAAGGTGTTTGAGGCGTGGCATCGTGAGCGAGAGACGATACATCCGTTTAGGCACTTTGGCATGCCCTAAGGGGGTTGGCGGATGGCTCTTGATGCGCTCCAGAGAGTTCTCTACTTACTTATTCAGATCAGGTGTGATTGTGTCACATACCTGAACCCCGGCTTCTATCAACTGCCTGGCTGAAACGGCAAAGTAGGCACTCCCTCGTATTTCCCGCTATCATTGCATCTGCTGACTACCAATAGGTGCCCCGCCGTTTCCATTTGCTTCATACAACCTACAAGCCTCTGCCCAGACCAGCTTGTACATGGCGCAAAAAGTCTACCAATCGACAGCTTTGCCCGAAAGCAAACCGCAACACTTTGGAAGTGAGTCCCGGTTTAGAAAGAAACATGCTCAGAGCCCCGGACTAGCCAATGCTGCAGTCATCGTTGTAGACACCAGTTCTGAACGTCCCGTCGAAACACTCGGGGATTGCATCAACAGTCAGGAAGATTAGCTGCATTGCTATGAGGTACTAGGCCCCGTCCAATCCAACAGACCTCAGTGCGCGTAGAGAGCCTCCTCCCTGTTGATGGCCCTCTAGTGTCGACCATGCGGACCTGGATCTACACACATTGGCTGTTCATAGAACGTGTGAGAAAACGGCGGCTCCATTCTTCCCACCTGGCTTACGGGTGTGGCGGTTGCTCCTGCTCATCACCAGAAAGAAGGCGCCATGTAGCATGCTGTCCGAGCCGCCGGACTCGAATCCAAATCCTTGCACAGCCTGGAGAAATGGATACCTTGTACCGTCAAAGTGCAGCATAGTCGCCTTGCGGGTTACGTTGTCACGACGGGCGTGCTGTCGCCCGAGCCCATTGCCTCGCAAAAGAGCTGTTCCCACACGACATCAAAGACCGCCTACATACACCCTGAATTGGTTGCCCGATTCGACGCCAAAAAGCTCAAGAAATTATGCCTCTTCCAAGGTCTGATCACCCCTCAAGTGTTGTCGGCATTGGTGCCTCAGGCATTCAGCGCCGTAGCGGTCACGTGGCCCGCAACCGCCACGATGTTAACGCTCGGTCTTCCCGTAGAATAGAAATACCAAGCGTTTCTATGCAGTCAAGTGTGCTGGAGAAACGCGGATACTTTCATTAGCGATGGCCGGGCCGGTGGTCGGACCACGAGCCTGGCCATAGTGGTCCGGCACCGACATTTTGCACCTTCGTATCAGCAGCCAGCTTCTAGACACCACATGGGCGGTGATTTTCGTTCCAAACTCGGAGATAGCCGTCCAAGTCGGCGAGTTCCTTACCAGTCTGTGTCCCGGAGGCTCGTGCTGTGTCCGACCTACCTCAGAGACGACCTCGACTTAGGGCAGAGATATTGATTCAGGAAGAGAACTCGGGAGGTCATGATGGTGAGGACGCGTTTGTACCGCTGGGTCCGCGCTCACGAGTACAATTACACTCTGCCGGATTCTGGATCATCGCCGTTCAAGCTGTCGGCCGGACGCCGAAGATATCAACTAGGAATTCTGCATTGTTGTAGTGTATACCGGAGACAAGGTTCTCTCTGGAGACCACTTAACCGGAGGTTCGACCAAAAGCCATGCGTCTTCCCATGCCGTCCAACGACGTAATGTACTCGGTCCAAATGGTCAGCCCAGCCAGTCTGCGAGGAGTGCGCCCTCCGCATCTGTCGGCTGCTCCCGCGTTGGTCAGCATTCTACAGAATGTTTGGCCCAGAGAAATACCAGGCCGTTTGTAAGAGCACATGGGTGCTCCGCGCTTTGTGTGAGAGCAAAGAATATTGGGTAATAGACGAGTCCAGGAGATGCCAAAGCATCATCTTGTTTAGGCGCCATACACAACAACCGGCTTTTGGTCGTGAACCCTCCCTAAGATCGACGACTGGATCGACAGGATGATGGTGCGTAACGAAATAACGGAACATATTACCTTGGCTGGAGAGTGCCACATCCTGGTACTGCTCCCTCGGTGAGATAGTCGGAGTCAATGTAACCGGAGACCAGCCGCCTCGAAAGAAACAGGGCACCAATTATGACGCGCTGGGGTGCGATTTGAAGAACGTAAAAGTGCCCGTTGCCACCGAAGAGCAGGTACCCTCTTAGATTCGACTGACGATACGCGGACTTTGATCCTTTCCTTTCTTGATATCAGACATCTCCGCGCAAAAGCCAATCCGCAATCGTTACAACCCAGCCAATATGGCCCCAATGCCCGCGCAACAACCACAGCCAGCATGGCGCCAAGGTGGACGGCAGCCATCTTACTGTCATCGCGCTGCGGCCAACAAGATCCCAATCCCCGCGCAACGGCCGGTAAGACGGCGAGGTCAAAGGGCTGCGGCTCCGCGGTTACAACGACAATAGCCCCGGGCTGGCTTGATAGGACAGGTGATGTACATGGATTGCATCCATGAAAGCCGTCGGACATGACATGCCGACAATATTACGATCTCTCGGGATGGGGGTTTTCCAGCGTCCCTCCGTGGCGTCTCCACTTTTTCAGCGTGGGCTTGGGACCAAGCTATTGGGCAAATTGACAGTTGACGTCGAGACGTCATAAGAGATATACGCATGGTTTATTAGGTACAAGGCCACTACACCAAGAATAATATTCGTTGCAAAACTAAACTTTGCCTTCTGCAAGGT